AAAAAAAAAAAAAAGAGAAAAACTTACTTGACGAACTTCATCTTCCGTCATGCATCCTTCGACATCTGTTTTGTTTAGGAATATAAGGAGACTTGCTCCCATGAGACGCTGCAGATAAACCAGCGTCAGTTCCGGATCCAAGGCAAAAACTTTGCGAATAACGAGTGGTGAGGTTGACAAGCGGGGATGGGCGTCTGTACCTCTTCAAGAAGTAGACCTGCAAGCTCTTCTCGACAATCATCTGTTCTCAGACGATCTGTCGCATCTACTACCCAGATCAGAGTATCTGTTTTTTCAAAATAGTTTTTCCAGTATGATCGCAGGGTCTTTTGTCCCCCGACATCCCCTAAGCGACAGCAGAGTCAATGTAGGTTTGCGGGACCACAACCTGACTTTTCTTACAAATGTTCAGTCTGTATCTGCACAGATATCAGCTACTATTCAAAAAGTATGAAGATGTGAATTTCTTACCCCATAAAATCAATTGTTTTGATGATGAAGCCCAGTGTTGGGCTGACAGTTGTAACGTCCTCATTCATAATCCGCTTGACGATGGTTGTCTTCCCGGCATTATCAAGACCACTGCCGCTGCTTGTTAGCGAAACCAACCAGGTTTTCCCATTTGAAGACCATACAGCATCAATATTCGCATCTCTTTGTCCTTCAATCGGGCTTTTCTTAGTATGGAAAGCATTTTGCCTGTTTGTCTGGGTGGCGTCGCTGGATGGTAGATAGTTGCAGGAAGATACTCTTTTCCCGCCAGAGACAGCGGAGCATCTTGAACTTCTAACAAACTGCATTTGGAACAAAAACCAGCAAAACGATAATGATAGTAATGACTTATATTTAGGTTAAAATTATACATGGGAATTGCTTGTTGAAAGTCCATTTATTTCTTTGTAATTTCTTTTGCTTCTGTTTGCTGTAGAGGGGTCCAGTATCAGCCTAGACCCTTTGCCCCATCCATTCACTCTGGCTGGCAGTGAATGTTTTGGTCTTATCATTTTTCCAGCCCTAGCCACATTGAATATTTTACGCCAGTAGGCAGTTGACAAAGACCTCTAATCCCTCTCACTTCTGAGCCTTTCTCAACCTCAGCTTCCTTATGTTTGTAGAAGTTATTCTACATCATTACCATAAGATTACTTGCACTACTATATCTATTCCCAGTCCTCTTTATCTGGAGTAAGTACATATCATGATAAAGAGAGGTTTAAGCAAATGGCTGATATTCTGATACGTCTTTCTTAGGTTATCAATGCGATCGACTTGAGCTCTCACTAGCAATCATGGATAAAACCAGTCGATATAAGGCCAAGCCAGCCAGAGTGAATGGATATTCCACGGCTCGATTCTACAAAAGATGTGGTTCTTTTTCTCTTATCCCCTCTCGTCGGTCTGGCAGCAATCTTCCTGAGACTCTGGCCGACTCATCCAAAGCTTCGCCAGTGACGGAGCAGCAAGCAAAACCCTCCACTGGATCAGTGACGGAGCAGCAAGCAAAACCCTCCACTGGATCAGTGACCACTCAATCATCTCTTCCTGAACCCTCTACCTCATCACATCCTCTTCCTGTCGCCTCAGCCCAGGGCTCGAATGTCAGCAAGTCTAGCACATCCCCAGCGGAACCTGCTAGCGCACAGGAAAATAAGGGAGAGCAGAGTCTGCAAGGTCCCAACAATCTACCAAACATTCCTAAAGCAGACCCTCTGGGACAAAGGAAGCCTCTAACTAGCCACAAAAACCAGCCTCGCCTGAAACAGAGAGTAGTGAAGACACACTCGGGGTCACCAGGTGCTCAAAGTGAATTCAAACAGCCAAGGTATCCTTCTGAGAGACAACCTCCTTCCCCCTCATATTCGAACTCGTATCGAGCCTCTTCTTACGAGTTTAAACCATCAAAACTAAGACACGAGGTCGATTCTGATACAACTGACAACAACCCCACCACTTCCACCAAGAACACCCCATCAGGTAAGCCACATCTTATTATATTTCTCGTTGGAGTGAAAATTGACAAAAGACAAGAGAAACCAGATTCCAAGCCGCGCAAAATGGCTGACAGTGACGCCTCGGATGAAGTCATGCTGCATCGTGGCTCTAGGTTCAGAGGCATTAACAGAAGATCTCGGGGTACCTCGAATAGACGATCTCAGAGCCGAGGTCGACGTGCCCCAAACAATGCCATACCTTCATCGTCAGGGCCTGGCACCTGTGAGCAGTCGGGCAGTAAGGTCACCAACACCAAAAATGAGACCCGGGGACAGCACCATAATAACGAAGTGAGCTCTTGTAACCCCTCTTCCGATAGCGGTCCCTCTCAGCAGAAGGTTCAACCCATGCGCAAGGGAGATTCAATCAAAGTTGCACCTCCGGACGCTTTGGAAGAGCTGAAAAGACTACGAGAGGAAATCGTCGCACACGCACATCAGAATCGTCTTAGAGATCTTGACTACCCTACTGCAAATCCCGAGGCTCTTGCCAAAGTTAGAGATGGTTCAGGGACAGATCCAAAGTCAGATGTCTACCAGGAGCTCGCAAAATTCCGTCTTGTTCCAGGAAGCACAAACTTAAGCAATACATCATTCCCCAGCTCTCACAATACGTCCGCGTCTTCTCAAGGATCGGGTAGCTTTTCGCCTGGGCTTGAGAGGTACCAGGCTCAGTGGAATTCGTATGCCGAAAGTCCTGCTGTTTATCCTATTGTAGAGGATGGACAACTTGTTCTTTCATTGGAACCAGGCCCCGATCATCAAAGCACACAGCACACGCCACGTCATGATTTTAATCTTCAGGTAGCTGAGATCCGACACACCAGACTGGAGCAAGCTCCCGAAAACAAATGGGTAGATGCACTTGCTGCTGACTGGGAGTATCGTCCTCGAGCTTGCTCTAGCTTTGAAGCCTTCCGTGACTGGTTTCGTCGCTGGTTAGACTCCACCATGGCCATTTCTTGCGAAGTCGATATTAATCACCAAGCTTTCTTCGATGGTACTGCACACCCAGATGGTACACAATCGCTTTTCATCCCGAATATTGAATACCCGGTCGTGTTTCTAGATATGGAGGATGAGAAAACGCGCCTTCATCACCATGAAACCGTGGAAGGGTACTGTCACAATCTGGAAATACACATCAAAAAAGAAGCAGAGGAGGAGCAGTCCAGAAGACAGAGAGCACGCACCGTCTACCTTGAGGGCGCCAGAACGCCACCAGAACCCAATCCAAACGTCCCCCGCGCGAACGTCTATCTCCGCCCCGTTGAGATAACTGATATCCCAGAACTGATTAGTATCTACAATTGGTATGCCCATCATACGACCCTGAGTGTTGATGTCGAAGCCGTCGATGAAGCAGAAGCTCTTCAACGTATCGAAGATTGTCGAAGCCAGAGATTACCATTCATTGTCGCCGCCGAGTGCAGAGCTGGACCGGTCCGCGACCCTAATGCGACTCCGGAGAGAATCCTAGGCTACGCGCTTGCTACTGACACTCTCGGACAAAGGAGCACAGGTAGATTCACTGTGGAACTGGAGCTCTTCGTCAGGAACGAATTCCAGCGCCGGGGCATTGGAAGATGTCTCATGGACAAACTTTTAGAAGTGTGTGACGCAACTCACATCCCAAAACGGGGTTATTTCTTCCGTAACAATGCAGAAGAGGAGACTGGTTATGATTCTGGGGGTCGTCGCAGATTGGCCCGCCTTTTGTTCACTATCAGCTACCCAAATGACGACCGCTATCGCTACCAATGGGTCCAGGAATGGCTTGAGAGAGAATATCAATTCAAACAGCAAGGCTTACTCAAAGGAGCCCGGATAAAGTTTGAGACGTTGTGAGTTATATTCTATCATGCTACGCACCGTGAGATGAAGATTTACTAATTAATTGCTTCAAATAACAGCCTCGATGTCAGCTATCTTGTTCGAAATGTCGGATACAGCGAGGGCGGTTCGTCAAAGGTTAGGTTCTAAGGTATCAAAGACGGTCAGTCCTCAAATCATAACAAAACCCCCCGGCTGTCTGTTTAAAAATTGCCCAGGCTAATCTAAGATCAATGTCATTTAGACTTGCCATTATCTTAAGTGACTTGCACCACACCAGTCCTGCTTATCGCAATTGTTCAGCAAAAGTTTCTCTTTACTTGGTTTACACACATCATCACTCGATTCAATCTCAAAGGCAGATATCCATTTTCATTTGGACTCTTCGACGCCTGATTTTCACTTTGTCAACGAAGACAAATTGACATCCAAATTTGAGATGAAATGAGATTCGATCAGTTTATGGTTTGCATGCTTTGACTTCTTTACACGGAAAAAAATGCGGGGGAAAAGGACCGAAAAGAAAAGAAAGAAAGAAAAAAATATCATTTCCACTCGATCATTTTTGTCATTTAGTTATTGTTTTAGCTTTACAAAGGATAAAAAAGAATTAAACCCAAATTGCTATTGTCGATACTTTATCGAGTTTGTCTGGGCGTCTGTATCACGAATATATACCTCATGCCTGTTATTCTCAACCGATAGTACTTATGCAACCACCTTGACAAGAAGAGTTTTATATATAAGTAGTGTCGAAAGCTTTTATAGCCAATACAGGTGCCTATTTATCACATCTTTTACAAATTTCACATACTGTTATCTCAACTTCTAGGTACCTTAAGCAGCTCTCGACCTCATGGAAGAACAAGAAACCCGACCAATCAGAAGAGCCCATTGCCAACCCGCAATTTTTTTTTTCTGCCGTCCTGAAATTATTCACCGCCCCCGCAGCTCGAACTTTTTTTTCCAAAAGAGAAAAAGCCCGAATTATCGCTGGCATTGCGACAGGTGAGAAATTTCATACTGAGCCGTGTGGGAGGAATCAAGGGGATTTTATTATTCCTCTTTTTTTTTTTTTTTTTTAACATATTCTCCATCAAATCAATTTCTTTTTACCCCCGCGCATATTACCAGCCTTCGTACCCGGAAGATGGCTCCCAATACCGCGGCGAAGAAGCGGAATTCCGCCAAAGACGACGATTTCGTGCTGACGCTATCGGACGATGAGAACACTACCTTCGGCGATGAGGGTGAAGATGGAAATGACGAAATGGAGGCAGAGACAAAGTCCGCCGGAACAAACAAGCGCAAGAGAGAATCCGCGGAGACTCCCAAAGGCGGAAACAAGAAGCAGAAGCAGAAGGAGCAATTGAAAAAGGGAAAGAAGAAGGAGGATGCTCCTGAGCCTGAGGAAGAATCTGAGGAAGAGGAGGAAGACTTCGGCGGCGAGGATGACGGTGCTTTGAACCCCGATTTTGAATTTGATGTCGGCGGCGCTGCGAACCACGGGGTGACCGAAGGCTTCGATGGATGGGGCATGGGCGATGCCGATAATGAGGCTTCTTCTAAGGGTGGAGATAAGAAAGCGGTTGATATCGACGACATCATTTCGAGGAGGCAAGCAAAGAAAGAGGCCGAATTGAAGAAGAAGCAGAAGAAGATTCAAAAAGAGAAGGAGGAAGAGGATGACGCTGAGTCTGACGGGGGAATGTCCGTGGATTTCAAAGATGATGAATTGCTTGCCGATGATGGGTTTGGAATGGGAGCCGACGGCGAGGACGAGAGCGAAAACTCGGAGCAAGAAGACGGCTCTGATTCTGAGGACGACGATAACGAAAAACAGAACAGTGACGCCGAAATGGATGACGATGATGATGCTGCTTCTGATAATGATTCCGTTGCTACTCCAGTCCAGCACCCCGACGATGTTGCTTCTGATAGGGAGTCGGATGTTGAAAGTGAGGTCGACGCCGAAGAAGAAGAAAAGCGCAAGGCCTTCTTCGCCCCCGAGGAGAAATCCGATGAGAAATCCGGTACCGAAACAACCAAGAGATCATTCCAGGAATTCAACCTATCTCGCCCAATCCTTCGAGGATTGGCCGCTGTCGGCTTTACGAACCCAACTCCCATCCAGTCGAAGGCAGTTCCCGTGGCCCTTCTTGGTAAGGATATTGTCGGTAGTGCGGTGACAGGTTCCGGAAAGACTGCAGCCTTTGTTGTCCCCATTCTTGAACGTCTACTCTTCCGCCCTCGGAAGGTCCCAACAAGTCGTGTCGCGATTCTGATGCCCACTCGTGAATTGGCGGTTCAATGTTACAACGTGGCCACCAAGTTAGCCACATTCACTGACATCACATTCTGTCAGCTTGTCGGTGGTTTCAGCCTCCGAGAGCAGGAGAATCTGTTGAAGAAGCGACCTGATGTGATTGTCGCTACCCCCGGACGTTTCATCGATCACATGCGCAACTCGCCAAGTTTCACAGTAGACACGCTCGAAATCTTGGTTCTGGATGAAGCAGACCGGATGCTGGAGGACGGTTTCGCCGATGAATTGAACGAGATTTTGACGACTATTCCCAAGTCTCGACAGACCATGCTTTTCTCGGCCACAATGACCGACACTGTCGATAAGCTTATTCGGGTTGGACTCAACCGTCCTGTTCGATTGATGGTTGACGCCAAGAAGAACACCGCTGTGACCCTGGTCCAAGAATTCGTCCGGTTACGACCAGGACGGGAGGACAAGCGCTTGGGATCCCTTCTCCATCTTTGCAAAGAGATCTACACTGGACGAGTAATCATCTTCTTCAGACAGAAGCGCGAGGCCCACAGAGTTCGCATTATCTTCGGACTTCTGGGACTGAAAGCCGCAGAGCTCCACGGTAGCATGAGCCAGGAACAGGTATGTTATAAAATTACTGAATTGGATTTACAGAATGAGAGGCTAATGGACTCTACAGCGTATTAAAAGTGTCGAGAACTTCCGAGATGGCAAGGTGGCGTTCCTCTGTGCAACCGACCTGGCCTCTCGTGGTCTGGATATCAAGGGCGTCGAAACCGTCATCAACTACGAAGCACCCCAGTCCCACGAGATTTACTTGCACAGAGTTGGTCGAACTGCCCGTGCGGGCCGTTCCGGTCGTGCATGCACCATTGCGGCGGAACCGGACCGCAAGGTTGTCAAGGCAGCTGTCAAGGCCGGTAAAGCGCAAGGGGCCAAGATTGCTAGTCGGGTGGTTGAAACTGCAGTTGCAGATGAGTGGGCCAAGAAGGCTGAGGAACTGAGTGGGGAGGTTGACGAGGTTCTCGAGGAGGAGAAGGTGGAAAAGCAGCTGTCACAGGCCGAGATGCAATTGCACAAGGGTGAGAATTTGATCAAGCACGAAGCGGAGATCAAATCGCGGCCCAAGAGAACCTGGTTCGAGACTGAGCGCGAGAAGCGACAGGCCCGTAAAGTGGGAGCTGAGGAGCTGAATGGACCGGGTGCAGCCAAGTCGAAGAAGGACAAACAAAAGCTGAGCAACAAGGACAAGAAGAGACTGGATGATACCCGGCAGCGTCTGGATGGAAACATCGGATGGAAGAAGGGCAAGACGGATCGGGAGGCACCGAAGCAGCAGGGCAAGGACAAGAAGGGCAAGAACGCAAAGAAGGGGAAGAAATAAACGAGAAAAACATGGGCACAACAATTTAGGATATCAAAAGGCGTACTTGTGTGAATAGAATTGAACTAGATTAATTCAATCAAAACTGTGAATATTTCCGTCTTGATCTGTGTCAGATTTTTTTATTTCGACCTAGCCATACGCCCGTGGATATCCATGATTCCATCCTATGCAATCTTCTTCGAGTGTATCGACTGTGAGTATCCAGCATTACCCCTTTAGGAAACCTCATTGACTTCAACTTCCAGATCGATGCAGAGCGAACATCCGATAATTGCCGAGGATAAGCGAGCGGCAACGCGGCTAAGCCCGGGCTGTTGGTGCCTCAGGCTGCCACTGCTCTCCGGTGTCGGGGATGAGTTTTGGAGGCTTGCATCATCAAGGGAAGCGCTGTGTAGGACAGGACGAGAGGGCAGAAATGCACGGCATACAGGGGGCTGAACAGGAAGAGCAGCAGATCAGATGGAATGTGATGATTGTATCATGCCCCATCTCATTCTATCCACCAACATGCCTGAGTAATCCTCCTCCTCGTACTGGACGAAGCATCCAACGGTCCATCCAGACTCCAACGGCCAATGATGACTCCAAAGGACGATCGCCGCTGTCGGCGTCTCAGAGCAAAAAAAATGAAAAAAGGCGGAGCGTCATTCATCGATCCATCCAATTCAATAGTAAGTGGGAGGGTCCATATTATTCCCTCTTCTGCTTGACTCACGCCCTACACTTGGCCATCTTAAATACTACTTCTGCACTGTGCTGTGTTTCTCTTCATCGACCTTTTCACTTTCATACACTGGATTAACTTCCTTTCTCTTCTGTCCCTTTTCCTTTTCTTTTCTTCTATCTTCTGCTGCGGGTTCCGCACCGTACGCCGCCATGCCTATGTATGCCCCTCTTTGCTCCCCGCCTTTTCAACATTTGATTCTGGTGGTTTGATTCTCTGCACACCGACAATTTTACTGACTTCGGAAAAGGTTGAAAGATCCCTCGACAAAATACAAGCCGTTTAAGCCTCTGCATCTGCCAAACCGTCAATGGCCTAACAAGGTTATCGACAAGGCCCCGCGGTGGCTGGCCACCGACTTGAGAGATGGCAACCAGAGCTTGCCCGATCCAATGGTATGACTATTCCCTTTGAAATTCGCTGAGATTTTTTTTTTTTTTTTTTTTTTTTGCGGAAAGGAAATTGATGAGACGTCAATGCCTGGGATTTATTGGGGTCAAGCTAATATCGTGGTTGTATATAGGACGGTGACCAAAAGTTCCGCTTCTTCAACATGCTCGTCGATATCGGATACAAGGAGATCGAAGTTTCTTTCCCATCCGCATCCCAAACAGACTTCGACTTCACCCAGCGCGTTGTCAAGGCTACTCCGGATGATGTCTGGCTGCAGGTTCTGTCGCCGTGCCGTGAGGACCTGATCCGTCGCACTGTCGACTCCCTCAAGGGCGCCAAGAAGGCTATCCTGCACATTTACCTCGCCACAAGCCCATGCTTCCGTCGAATTGTATTCAATATGGACAAGCAGAAGAGTCTCGAGATGGCTGTGCGCTGCACCAAGTACGCTCGCTCCATCACCAAGGATGACCCAGCCAATGCCGGCACCCAGTGGCACTTTGAATTCTCTCCGGAGACTTTCTCGGATACCGAGCCTGAGTTCGCCGCGGAGGTTTGCGAGGCTGTCAAGGCCGCTTGGGAGCCTACCGTGGAAGACCCCATGATCTTCAACCTTCCCGCAACCGTGGAGATGTCGACCCCTAACGTGTTTGCCGACCAAATTGAGTACTTCTGCTCGCACATGACCGAGAGAGAGAAGTTTGTTGTGTCTATTCACCCGCACAATGACCGTGGTTGTGCCGTCGCAGCTGCTGAATTGGCCCAGATGGCTGGTGCTCAGCGTGTGGAAGGTACCTTGTTTGGAAACGGCGAGAGAACTGGTAACGTTGACTTGGTTACGCTGGCCCTCAACTTGTATACCCAGGGTGTCAGCCCCAATGTCGACTTCTCGGATATCAACTCGGTCATTAAGGTTGTGGAAGAGAGCAACAAGATCCCCATCAACGAGAGATGGCCTTATGGTGGCCAGCTGGTTGTCTGCGCTTTTAGTGGCAGCCACCAGGATGCGATCAAGAAGGGCTTCAAGCTGCGCGAGGATGCCAAGGCCACTGATGAGAATGAATGGCAGATCCCATATCTTCCCCTGGACCCTCAAGATATTGGCCGAACCTATGAGGCAGTTATTCGTGTCAACTCCCAGAGTGGAAAGGGTGGTGCCGCTTGGGTTATTTTGCGTAGCTTGGAGCTGGATCTCCCGCGCGCACTGCAGGTTGAGTTTAGCAAGATCGTTCAACGGCAAACCGAGGCCGTCAGCCGGGAGCTGCGGCCCAGCGAGATTACCAGCCTGTTCGAAGAAGCATACCACCTCAAGTCTAACCCACGCTTCAACCTGGTCGACTACAACATCACAACCGACCGGTCGACATCGCCCGCACCCCCGGAGCCCGGCAAGGCTCTCAACACCAAGAACCTCAAGCGTCGCTTTACTGGTATCATTGAAATCGACGGTCTCCAGCATGCTATGACTGGTGTTGGCCCTGGTGCTATTTCCTCTCTGGCACAGGCGCTCTCTACTCTTGGTATCGATCTCGATGTCGTCGACTACAAGGAGCACTCGATCGGTCTGGGTAGAGATGTCAAGGCTGCTACATACATCCAGTGTACTGCTGCCGGTAGCAAGGAGCAAGTCTGGGGTGTTGGAATTCACCAGGATGTTGTCCAGGCTAGTTTGATCGCTCTGCTGAGTGCCGCAAGCTCGGTAAGTACCCATGTTACCCGGGAAATCCATCGTCGTGCATATTTCTAATTACCATGCCCAACAGTTCCTCACTTCCCGTTCCGGTTCCCCTGCTCCCTTCCGCCCCATTCGCTCCAACACCCTCACGGATGAGGATATCCAAGCCCTTGAGCTCTTGAGCACTTCTAACAATGTCCCTGCCCCTGCCGCAACTGCGTCAAACAGCAATCTCAGCCCCAAGGTCAACCTGGATGCGCTGACAAAACAGGCCGAGAGCCAGTAAATTTGAAGAAATATTTGATTTTTCTCACAACCATGGATCTACACTCGGGTGAATTTGGAAACAAGCATGTTACAAAGGACTCGACAAAACGAGTAGGCCATGGAAAGGCATGATTGTATAAACTGAAATGATTTTAATGGTAATGAGGGTGTTTTTTATTCATTTCTTTATTTAAAAGGCCAAAAACACTGGGTGTGATAAAAGTTAGTTTCAAAGCTAGGGCGGGTTAAATTGTTCATTTATTGCACATAGTGAATATACTGCATTAAAATGTCTTCAAAAAAATAAAAATAAAACCCCTCATACTGCTTCGTAAATCCCATTAGCTTACAGAACTAATCAGGCACCGAATTTTAAATGTTATTAAGTTTTAGATGCGCATATAAGACACAAGGAACAAATCAAGCATAAAATGTATATATCGAATATGTAGCCACGAAAAAAAAAAGAAAGGGCATATATAGATACAAGTCTGAATATGCATAGGCAAAATAAAAGCAGGGGAAAGGATCTCAGGAAGCAAAAAAAAATGGTTTTGGTGGTCACATGCATATGGATGGGTATGTATGTACAGGAAACATGATATATCATTCATCATGAGTAAATAGTATCAGAAGGAAAGCAAAGGGGGAAGTAAATAACAGTTTAGTGCAAGACAAGAAAAAAAAAAGATAAAGCAAGCTTAAAAAAATATAGGAAAAGAAAGAAGGGAAACATCCTGAACAAAGTGTGCCCGAATCCAATAAATCCATGCCGACCGAAAAGAAAAAGAGATAAAAAATGCAAATGGCCATTACTAGACCAACTGGATATTTATGCCTGGGTGCCATGCATGGGTTTATTAACTGAAATTTGACGATGCCGCGGTTCTGTATTAGAGCTTGAGTATCAGATCGTAGTAAGGTATCTTGTCTCGCGATTTTTTACTCTGCATATCCGGTCCCTTCATATTGTCTTCTCGCATGATCATTGTGACCTGGGGCCTGTCCGTAACCGTCCAGAGTTGACTGATACATGAGCGCCTCCTGAGGCCAGTCCTCGACATTCTCTTCCAGCGTTTCGGGGTGGGGCTGGTCATGAGGAGTACTGTTTGTGACGGTGAACCCCTGGCGCCTGGGCAGGGAATCCTGTCTCACTGGAATGTGGCTGGGGAGAGTCTCTGGCACTGCGCTTGGAACATTTGCATCAAGGGGTGGGACGGTGGCCGCTGAATGGGCAAACTCCCCAAAGTTGAAGCCAAAATCGGGATTATCAATCGTTGTAGGAGCGTCGTAGAGCTGGTGTGGTGTATGTCCGTTGCTCGGAGGCGCCGGCTGGATTGGCTCCGCGATCTGGGGAACGGCAGATATTCCTCCTGATGCAGCATCGGGGTAGTTGATCTCTGGAAGCTCTGTTGCTCGTTCCTGCACATCCTGGTACGAAACCATCGAAGCCTCTGGCCTTTCTTCGAGTACTGGTGCTGGCGACCGAGGAATGGTGGCAGCATCATTCTCTGGGACCATGGTGGATCGTCGAAGGCTGTTACCCATTGTGCTTCCGGGTTTAGAGCTTCTGCTAGTTCGATGCTGCGGGGCTTCTGCTAGGGGGTTTTCGGCACCTTCCACGTCACGGATGCTGAATTGGGCAATTGTCCGCAGTTTTCGAGTAACCCACGATGCAAGTACCTTGCCTCGCTGTTTCTCGCCCAATCGAGAACGAGGGAAGTCGCCTTGAGACACAAAAGCCACAATGTCGGCAATGACCTGGTGCTCGTTGAGAATAGCATCTACGATGACAGGAACAACAGATGCCAGGTAGGCTTTCCGTGTAACCTCGACCACAACAACAATTAACCCACCGGCCTGGAAAACAGCACTATCACAGTAATGTTAGTAGCTATTCATCAGGACAGAGACAAATCACTTACCATCCTCCGGCCATGATGTTGCGATGGCATTTTTCCACAGAATTCTCAATATCCATAGGGAAATGGTTCAATCCGTTAACCTCGAATGTTTCACCGATACCTCCAAGGACGAATAGGACTTGCATCTCAACGGCCTGGCCTCCGGGGCCAATTGGCCTTGTGACCGTGTGCAGGAAGCCGAGGTCACCAGTACGAACGTAGGCAACATTAGGATCGCCATCGATGATTCGACCGTTGAACCTCTCTACATCGAAGTCCTGGTTCGAGCGATAGAACGACTTGGCACAAGCATCTGACTGAACCCAGATCTCACCATATTCACCCACATGAGACAAGGTGCATGTCTCCGGGTTCACGATGGCTATTTGGGTATTGACAGGCACCATTCCAGAGTCTTGGACGACTAAGGCAGTTGAATCTGTGTCAGGATCCACAGGGCAAATAAGCCCGTGGCGCAAAGACCGAAGATCCAACCACAACTCAACCGGCTCAATGCACATATACGACCTGGTTACCACCATTGGATTGAGAACATGCGAGTATACGACATTGATGGCGGTTCGATCAAGGCCGGCAGAGGCGAAATGTAGGCGCACTTTTTGATCTATAGTCAGGTCGCGGTTAGAAGGCATTCACAACAGGGGCGAGCGGTAGGAAATAAACAAATTGGACGTACATATATCGACCCGTGGTCGAGAATCCGAGGATATCATTAGGTTTTTCAGTTCTTGGAGCTGGAATCCCTTTCCAGTCATAGCACTCATAGCATAGTCCAACATCTGGCTGGTGGCATAGGTATCCTTGATCTTGTACCGCGCAAGAGTGACGAACAATGACATGGGGTTCTGCGCAAAATCAACAGGCGACACAAGGTATGTCGGCGCTCCTATAAGCCTGATTAGCTTGAATCAATGCACAATGTTGGAATTCTGCTTCCTTACCAACATAGATTCCCATCAAACAGGTATGAAGGAATCCAAGACCCAAAGTGCTACGAACACTTCCCAAAACCGGCCGTACGCTAGTCATTTGGCACGTTTCCTTTTGCACCTTGCACATGCCTAGAACAGTATCGTGGCCGATAGAAACGGATATCCGTCTCTGATCTGGTGTCCAGTAAGTCCATATCATAGCCGGTCGGCCTCCCTGGATCCATGTCTCTTTCATAGTATAGCCAAGGTCTCGGCAGCTGTGCGATTGTTTCGTTGGCTTCGTGGTGTTGTAGATCGCCGGCACGCCGATCCGAAGAACCTGCGCGGACTGCTTGATGTGCTGAGAGACAAGCTTCTGTCTCATCACATGGTCAACGTCGCTGTTAACAATGATTGCCTTTACATCAAAATCGTTGATAACATGGAGAAAGGCGGGGGCATCTTCTGAAAGACGGTTTTGATCAATAGGGGCGAGAGGAATAACAACCACACCCAGACACCAGCATGCATGCACAGCAAAAACATACTCCTCAGAGTGGGTGTACATCAACGCCAAGTGATCTCCAGGTCGAACCTTGACCTTGTTCTTCAGGTAGGTAGCTACAGCAGCCACCTTCAAGTCGAACTTCCTCCAGGTAAGACCCTTGCCCTCCTTTCCACGGCCGTCAATAGAACAATAAGCCAACTCTTCTGACTGTCGAGAAACGCGCCATTGAAGGAGGTCAACAATGGTTTTAAAGCTATTAAGTGGCGTAGAGGTACGGTCATCCATAACAACATCGCGGTAGTCTACACCTGAGTATTGCTTTTCTTGCATGGCAAGCATGTCTTGCCTGGTCATCAACGCAAGAGGAGACCAGATTCCTCCAACTGGATCGACACCAACTGGCAGGTTCATCACTGACCGTTCGACCCCAAATTTAACATGCACACAAGGCAGACTGCCAGCATCGAACTCTCTGCGACAAAGCATGTTGCCAATCTCTTGTCTTCCATTTTTGGTAACACGAGGAAGGGTGTTTGGGGCAGTAAGGAGCACACAATACACTCGAAGATGGTGTTCTTGATAGAGAACCTCCATGCACCGCTCCGCCAAAGACTCGAGGAGAACCGAGTCGAGTTGCCGCGGGGGACCGCCAGAGGTCGTTGGCGCAGTTGATGCAGCATAGGACTCTAACACCACGACCGGAAGATGCTCATCGTTGACAAAAACATCAAAGGCAGTACAGTCATGGATCTTCGGCAAATTCTTCAGGATGCTGACAATCATGTGTTGGACGAAGAAATAACGATGTTCAACAATTTCCTGCCCATGTTCAACCCATTCCACCTTTTGACGGAGTCGGTCTTCGTAGAGGCCGAGAACAAATATTTTCCCTTCAATCACGCAGCCCAAAAGGCCAGTTCTCAGAAATTCAGGTTCCACCAAGATTGGAGTGGGGTTCCCTTCCTCGAACTTGTATGGTCGTGCATGGAAGATTGCTTCAGTATGCTTTGGCAACGCCCAGAAGCCACCCGAAAGAGACGGCGAGTCAACCCAGATCTCACCGATCACATTCGAAGTGCACAACAAATTGGTCTCGGGGTCGACAACAGCAAGCGTTGCGTCAGGAATGGGGTAACCAAATGAGCCGACGCGCACAGCATGTGTCATGGATCCAGCGAATTTTTTGGCCTCTTCACCCATAGCCAAGACCACAATCTCATTGCTTTTCAAGGCCTCTTTATCGAGAAGTACCTCTCCAATTTCATTCTTTCCCTGTTCCTTAGGGGCTGGAGCAGGCGCACCACCGCCTAGTAGACTACTACCAAATCCGCCTTTAGTATCCGCCTTCTCAGACTTCTTTTCCTCTTTTTTAGCATCTAAACGCTCGGCCGGATCCATTTCATGGGTTAACGGACATCCCATCCGTTCTTCGCCGCCCAGCCAATCTCGTACACTTATCACCATACCACCGTGTTCGGGTAGGCATAGCATTGGAGCAACGATCTCTCTGGCTCTCGGGTTTCTCATTGGTCTTAGCCATCGATCTGCGAGGATTTCATGGAATTCAGGATCAACGGTAAGTGTGTCAATGAGACAAAGTTTGACGCTTCCGAAGTTAGGCTCGGAGTTTTTCTTGTAATGCCTTGTCGCCATCGGATTCTGCTGGTAGTTATAGGCAGCTATTTTCAACCCGGGGTAATCCGCAGCCATGATAGTGGCCCTGTACTTTGTGATAAGATGAGCGTAAAGACCTGGGGTTTCAACGGCTCTATCCTCAAGCCAGACACTCGTATGGCCACCGTATACGGCAAGAAGAAGACCCAAAATCATACCGATGCCCTGTCTGGGGTCAAGGTAGGTAATGATAGTTTCTCCATGCGGTTTATAGTTGCTGCTACCCCCAGGAACTGTAGTGATCATTGCACTGAGGCACGCCATCTGGTGCATGATTGTTCGGTGACTCATGACTACACCACGCTGATCTCCGGTTGGAGCACGCGAGAACTCAATATAAGCCAGATCTGGAACCACAAGAGGCGGAACATCATCCTTCTTCTTCGGGTGATAGCTGCCAAATTCATTGGTCTTCCACCATTCCACACCTCTTGGCCAGTTTAGCTTCTGGGTTGTAATATCTCTCTGGAAGTTTTTGAGGTTGTTCTCCGTAGTCAAGGCAAGATGCGCCTGGGTCGAAGTAAGGATTAGGTTGAGCGATTGGTAGTCCTCGAGACTGTTTATCGGTACAGCAACGACTCCAGCGATAAAACAGCCCATAAGCGCGACGGCAAATTCAATGACCTCGGTATCTCGGTAAATCAAGGCCACACGGTCACCACGGTATAGATTACTCTTGTCCCGGATGACCTGCGCAACTTTCTCCGCACGACTGGCGAGCTTCTCCCAAGTGATTGATGCAATTTCCTTACCCTTCTGGTCCAAGACCCAGTAGGCAGCTTGCTTGGGATGAGCGCGGGCTCGGTGCCGGAGTACCGTAGGGATGTTGTCAAACTTGGACATAGGTGTGTTTTTATCGTGCGGGTCGTTGACTGCAAATGGAATGTCTCGCGGCTCGAGTGGAAGCAAATGATCGATTGTTTCCCCTTGAGGAAGGTCTGAGGCGGGGATCAATGGCGGGGCCATGTTTGCTGTAGGAGAAAATGCATCTGACTGAGAGTAACGGTGGAAGCCACCGCCCCCGTAGCTGTCTCTATAATCATCATGCTGCTGGCCGGCAAAATCGGAGAAAAAGCCTTGTTGCGAATCAAGCATCGTCGACTGTCGCGTGATAGCACCCGGGGGCATGTCATAGCCTCCCATGGGGTCTTCCATATATTCCTGCGGCATACCAGGACTGAACGCATAATTCTGGCTCAAAAGGGTTGCTGTTCTTGGATCTTCTGGAGCTGCCGGGGCCTGTTGGGATTTTGGAAGGAAAAGAAGAGAGTCATACGAACTTGACGATGGCATTCGCTCATGAGGCTGCAACATCGCATTCTCTCTGCCATAGTACGCTGAACCATGATCTTCCATCGATGCCTGGGTATCTCCACTAACTCTTCGATCGAATCCGAAGCTTCCGTTGCCATGCATTCGCTCATGCTCATCCGCGTAAGCCTGAGCAGACATGCCTTGGCTTGTAGATTCCGCCGTTGGCGGACGGACATTGAGAATTGCTTGTGGAACATTGCTTGAGCTGCTCAAGGAAGAAGATTGGCCCCCCGAATTATGAGAATTGACGTCCAAGGCCATGTTTGGTCCAAAGAATGACGAAAGGAGGACGGTCCGGCGTTTCTGGTAACTTCAGCCAAGTTAGTCTCAGCCCTGATCTGTCGAACGTCCGGAGCATGTTTTTTTGTCCCCCAAAGGCGGATAAGAAGAAGAAAAAGTTTCATTGTACTTGACGCTTCCAAACCACGGCGAGTCGATCATTGGAATAATCCGGTAGAGGTTGCTTACCCTTTCTCCGTGATATCACCCTCCTATCAACGAAACGAAAGATCAGCTAACCAAGACATAAAATGAAGACCACGAGGGCCTTCAACGACCAACGGTGGTTGTGATCGTCCGGACATACCTCGAATTCCCTGTCAAGACCCCGCAAAGCGGCCTGAAGCTCGGGGTTGTCTTCCGCCATATTTACAAGATGCCCACAAACCGGGAGCCTTTCATTCGAACGCGCGTCGCAGTGAGAGTATAGGGGTCGGGAATATCTTCATCGCAGGGTTCTGGGGTTTGGGTCTGGAGGCGCTGGAGCGACACTGTGAGAGCTCCCTGGTCTTGTGCGGCCCCTTGCGATGGTGATACTTCCTGTCTTTGGGCTCTTGTCTCCCAGTCTCTCTCCGCGCTGGTCAGCCACAACGTCACCTGCCGCCAGGTGGTGATAGGGCCGGTTAAGCGGGCCGTTCGCGCAAAAGCCAGGAACCAATCAGGGGTTGGGGTTGTCTTGCACCGCCACACTGATGCCAAAAATATTCACCCAATGCCCAATTTATGGCACGAGGGATATCCACCATGAGTTGCTCCACGAGAAACATCATCATCAGGATATGTTCAGGGGTAACTACAGATTAGACGAATGTTTAGTGCTGAAAACTCATCATTTAGGCTGCTTGACCTCAATTCCATTTTAATTTCTGTAAGCACTTTACGGTTTGCTAATTGCGACTGCAACCCCAGCGAACCATACCTACTACCGACTACGGAGTAGATTAACATCTTCAGGGGCACATTTCTCCGTAATCAAAAACTAGTCGTGCTCAAGCCTGGTACATGACATCAAGAATGACGAGATAAAAGGGGAGATATGATACGAAATGCACCTATCATCGCTTTCTTGCAGCAGGGGAACTTATGCCATACATTAGTATCCATCCAGTATGGAGGTATGGACCTATTGCATCCTATCAATCTTTCAGAGTCAGGATAAAGCGCCAGGTATTCCATTCATATCATTGAGACATGTTTTCCATCCAATTGACAGCATAAAAGTTATTAGAGCGTATCATTTGACTGACCTAATGTTGTCCTTTGTGAGCCAGGAGGGGTGAGGCAATCAAAGAGCATTGATGATAGCGCGGAATAAGTAGTCTATCGTCCATTGCAATTCTGATTCAAAATGTACATAAGATGAAAGAAGAGAGTCAATTGCCCCAGAGCGAAGCCATCAAGATCAAAGAACTCCCTATCTAAACGAAATGCCATAAGGCGATACTCGCAGGTGATACTCAAGATCAACCAAGACGGAGTGGATGAAGAAAATAAAAACTAGCCCGAATAGGCCTAGGTCGGCGGGAGGCCATGGTGCTCCAATCACATGACTGCGATCGCCTGATTGGCGCTGGCTCTGCCCTAACCCACCCACAGTGCTAAGCGAGGCGCACCTCGAATTTCCTTGCGCTCAGCGAAACATTTCAGCCGACCGACTGCTATCGTCGACGTTGCGAAGACACCCAACGACACCGTCCGTCACCTTCACGAATCCCTCCCTCGACAACAGGTGCATACGGCGTCCATAATGTCTGATCACGGGGAAGTCGAGGTCGAAAACCCCGTCGGGGCTTTCAACGTCCTGCCCAAGGAGGCTCTTGCGGAGCAGGGAAGCGTCAAGCTGTTCAACAAGTGGAGTTACGAGGATGTTGAGATCAGGGACATCTCCTTGACGTAGGTGCCTCCCAATTCATGCGATTTATCTTCTGTGCATCTGTCAAAAAAAAAAAAGAGAGACTCCCGGCCGGTTGGGAAATTCAGATCTGTGGGGAGGACTTCAATATGAAACCGAGAAGGGCTTTTGCACAGCGGGGGAATATGCGAACACAACGAAATATACAGAATCAATTTTGCTGACTCGGATATACGCATACAGCGACTACGTTCAGATCCGTAACCCCGTCTACCTGCCTCACTCCGCTGGTCGCTATGCCGCCAAGCGTTTCCGCAAGGCTCAGTGCCCCATCATCGAGCGTCTGACCAACTCGCTCATGATGAACGGCCGTAACAGCGGAAAGAAGCTCTTGGCTGTCCGCATCGTTGCCCACGCCTTCGAGATCGTACGTGCTTTCCTTGATATGAACCGCGACAGCGGCATACTCGAAGCCATGAGTCCTATATGGTGATACTAATTCTCGCACAATAGATCCACATCATGACCGACCAGAACCCCCTCCAGATCGCCGTTGACGCCATTGTCAACTGCGGTCCCCGTGAAGACAGCACCCGTATCGGTTCCGCCGGTACCGTCCGTCGCCAGGCCGTTGATGTCTCTCCCCTCCGCCGTGTCAACCAGTCCATTGCTCTCTTGACCATCGGTGCCCGTGAAGCCTCTTTCCGTAACATCAAGAGCATTGCTGAGTGCTTGGCTGAAGAGCTTATCAACGCCGCCAAGGGTAGCTCGAACTCCTACGCCATCAAGAAGAAGGACGAGCTTGAGCGTGTTGCCAAGAGCAACAGGTAAAGGGTTATTTGTTGGGTATTCTCCGTTTGGTCCTCTTTTTATGTTTACTGGAGTGGACGGGGGTTCATCGGGATTCAGTCGATTTGCATGCATCTGCGCGACTGTACATATAAAAAGACAGTCACGGAGGGAGCGATCCAAAAAAGAGAGAATCGGACGGCTTTCTTCTATAGTAGTTGAGATGCGATCATGAAGACCTCAGGCTTAAAGTCATTTTCTTTTTTTACCAAAAAAAACAAAATATGTTCAATTCTTATGGTTCTGCCATCATTTCACTGGGCATGATGTGAAATTGATGAACGAAATCGTCAGACGTATCTTAAACGTAGATATACACCCACATATGATATCCTAGATTTAATCAACTAGCCCCTCTTCAACGTCTAATTAATTCCACTTGATCGACGTTCATTTTGACAATAATCGCAGTACTGCTATCATTGCGCGCGGCCCCGACTGTTCGACTCCAGAATTTGATCGCTTATCGATACGGCCGACGGCAGCCCCGAAAAAAAAGTTTCGGAGCTAATCACCAGCCATAGCAACCAACAACCTCCTCCGCTCTCCTCTCCCTCCTCGTGCAACCACGAGTCACAATATATCATCATGGTGAAAAGAAAGTTGGGGGCCTTGGAAAAGGTCGAGGCTGACTTGTAAGTACTCTGGGAGCGTCGTTGCGGGCGGAGCGAGGAATCTGGCAATTCGAACGAAGATTTTCGAACACTACTAACCAGCCTCTGCCGTGCTCTACAGGCCCAATTTGCAGCATAAAATTCGAAGGGACCCAAAGTAAGTTGTATCTAATGGCCATTGCGTTATAATTCTCCTGCAGTATGCTGATATATGTGCGCTTTGATCAGGTCTTACGTCGAAGACTTCCGCGCCCAACATTACCAATATGAGTCTCACCGGGAAATCTTCATGGCAGCGCCTTCGTCGAGCACCGATACGGGAATCATTTCGCTGCGAGAATTAATTGATTTTATCGCTCATGTCGCCGATTGCTATCCAGAAATCACCAAGGAATTCCCGCAGCAGCTCATTGATATGTTGTCGCAGCACCATTTGGTTTTGGAATCCGAGCTGCGAGAGAAGATTGTCGGTAGCTTGGTGCTTCTGAGAAAGAAGGACATTATTGATTCAGCTACGTATGTTGACCTGGACTATACTATCGACATAGAACATTTTACTGACTTTTCCTGTCCGCTTTAGCCTGCTCCAAACATTGTTCCCGGTCCTTATTTCTACACCCAGCAAGACGCTGCGAGCATTGCTTTTCCAAAAGATCCTTATGGATCTTCGTACTGCAAACTCAAAGACAGCGAATCACAAGCTCAACAAAACTATGCAGACTGTTCTATTCAACTTGGTCACTTCAGACCGCACCTCATCCAAAGGCCTCTGGGCCATCAAGATCACCCGTGAGCTCTGGAAGCGGCAAATCTGGGCGGACGCCAAAGCAGTTGAGGTCATGAAGGAGGCTAGTTTGTCGAGCAATGAGAAGGTCACTGTCGGCGGTGTTCGTTTCTTCCTGGGTGGCGACAAAGAGCGGGAAGAAATGGAAGATGAGAGCAGTGACGAAGAGACCATCGATCTTGGACGAGTGAAGCACCAGGTTGGGATCAACAAGAAGACTAGAAAGAAGTCTCGCGCTGTTGAAAAAGCAAAGCAAACTGTCAAGAAGAAGGAGCGCAAGAAGAACCAACCGCACCCGTTGAACTTCTCAGCGCTGCATCTTCTCCATGATCCTCAGGGCTTTGCCGAGTCCTTGTTCTACAAGCATCTCCATAACACCAAGTCGGGTCTGAACCTGGAGCAGAAGCTTCTTGTCTTACAACTTGTGTCCCGTCTTGTTGGATTGCATCAACTACACATCATGCAGCTTTACTCCTACTTCCAAAAATACCTTACTCCCCGACAGCCGTCCGTTACCTCATTTTTGGCATCGCTTGCCCAGGCAACACACGACTTGGTTCCTCCTGATGTTCTTGAGCCTCTGGTTCAAAAGATTGCAAACGAGTTCGTCTCCGAGGCGTCAGCCGCAGAGGTTTGCTCTGCTGGTCTCAACGCCATCAGAGAGATCTGTGTGCGACAGCCCCTCGCTATGAATGAAACATTACTTCAGGACCTTGTCATGTATAGGAAGAGTAAGGATAAGGGTGTGGTCATGGCTGCTAGAGGTCTGCTCAGTCTGTACAGAGATGTTGCTGCGGACATGCTCAAGAGACGAGACCGGGGCAAGGACGCCTCCATGGGTCTCCGATCAGGTGAGCGCAAGGAGAAGCGGTTCGGTGAACAAGATGCTGGTGGAATCGAGGGCCTGGAACTTCTGGGCAACTGGAAAGAGGAGGAGCGCAGGAAGAAGAGAATCGAGAAAGGTCTGCCCTCCGACGCAGAAGACGACGAAGAGAACGAAGAGGACAATTGGGCAGCTTGGAACGTTGAAGATGATGAGGATAGTGATGACTCTGGTGGCTGGATCAACGTTGAGAGTGACGCAGAAATCGACATGAGCGACTCGGACGATGAGAAGACCGACCGTCCTTCGAAGAAGGCTAAGCAAAGCGAAGAAAAGGAGAAGGGAGAAGCTGATGCTGAAGCTGCGAAAGAGGAAGCCAGAAAGAAGGCGTTGCACCTTGCCACTACTCAAATCCTTACTCCAGCAGATCTGGCCAAACTTGCAGAACTGCGCACCGAAGCTTCTGTGGATGCTCTGCTTGGTTCTAAGCACCGTCAAGGACAGAACAGCAACTCTGCTCGACACAAGGATGACCCCTTGACCGCAGCAGAGATCGAGGGTCTTGCTGCTTTGTCGGCTGGAAAGCTTACGCGTGAAGAAAAGATTGCCCACGCCAAGGAGGGCAAGACTGACCGCAATGATCATAAGAGTGTGACGGCAAAGCGCAAGGAGCGCAAGGAGGCCGAGGGCAAGAGTACTACCAACAAGGAGAAGGCTCGCCGCAAGAACTTCATGATGACATTGGGCAAGGCCAAGAGCAAAGGCAAGCGCAGTCTTGTGGAGACACGGAATGTGCTCAAGGCTCACCAAGACAGAGCCCGGAGAGGTGGAAAGAGAGGAAACTTGGGCAATTAATGATTTCCGATGAGCTGAAAAGTGATATTAGAGTATATGCGAGACAAAAGAAAAGGAGTTTTGATGTTGTATCATTGCGTTGCCGTGTTGTGATATATATCTGTTTATGGGCCAGTAAAGCCCCAAAAGAGCTTAGATACCACACTATTCTGTATCTCCTGGATATAATTCAATCATGTTCATTCTTTACTTATACTAGAGTCCGGTCTGGTTGTATGAAAAGTGATCTGTATAAGGTAGAGCGGTACTCCGTTCAACGCGACCTTCACACAAGATAACCAAGTTATTCATATATACACGTCCCGATGTTCTAATTAACAGGCAGTAAATCCCATACATATCCATATAATAATGCAGATAATCTAATTAAACATTTAACATCCAACAGAAACCCTAGACCCTAATATGTCCCAGATAGGATATATTGGTTCTGCGGGCACGTGTCTCTGCGTGTCTGCGCGTCTCGCGCCTCGCGTCTCGTGCCAATCCCCAGCCTTCGATTTCCACGCTTGCCGTCATTCTTCTTTCTTTCCTCCTCTTCTTTTCTTTTCATCTCCCCTCCATATATGTACGTCAGACATACCTTGCATACATTCCAATTCCTTGCATCAACATCATCCCTATTTTGAACATCTGGGGTTTCAACCGTCACTACGCCCCGCAGTCGAGAGATCTATCTTCGCCCAAGTGCTGTGCTCGCCCAAGATGTCTTCAACTACTATCCAGAACGTTGCCAACAACGACACCCTCTCCAAGCGCAGACGCTTCCAACCGCCCATCACATCCTTCTTTTCCTCTCCAGCATCCAACGAGAACACCCCTCCTCACTTATCCCACAACCACTACTCCGCCCGGACCAACTCCCCCACCCCCGCCGTTCCTGACAAGGTCCAAGCCTCACTGATGTCAGTGGGTATGCGTGTCCGCAAGTCCATCGCAGAAGGATACAAGACTCTGGGCGCCAAAAAACTCGAAAATTCCGTCTACGCGGACCAGGATCAGAAACCCCGATACCCCAGCAGCCATGCTGAACTGGCTCCTTTCGGCGGTATGTTCAAACCAGGCGACAATGCCGTTCAGCCTCTGTATCAGCCATCATATCAATCAAGCGATTCTCCGGATATCATTACCGACGAGAACGATGCTTTTTCTCTCCCACCGAGCAGCCAAGAATCCGCCGCGTCCTTCGCACCCCTCAAACGGTCATTTGATGATGACATTGACGAACTCGAGGATGAAGATGAACAGACCTACCAGGACACAAATTTGAGCCACGGTCGCACCATTCTTACACCGACTTTGGGAAACCAAAGACGACGGTTCATCGCCATGGAATACCAGAACAAAATGGACCTAGATGATTTTGAAGAGCCATCTTTCCTTCGAAGACGGGAAGAGGTCGACTCTGATTATACACCGAAAGCAACTGACAGCTATGATATTGGAACGGGTGGTGCTATCTTCCGTTGAACAAAAAGCTCTTGCTTACTTTTGTCCTTGCGAATCATGCCTTTTGCGTCGTACGTATTTGGTGTCACTGGCCGGTTTCCCGTGAACGAAAAGTGATTCGTTTTTTCCTCGTTTCTATATATGTGTGTATGCTTTATTGGGATATTGATTTTGGGTTGGATTGGTTTATCAAGGCGATGATTATGTGTGCAAATACCCCGAGGCTGGTTTATGATATCTTGTTACTTTATCCTGTTACATTATTTTTCGCCACAGGGCTTGTATTCATTATGAGTTCGATACATTTAGATTTAGTTGATTTATACTTATTGTATGGATAGGAGGATGGTTTGTCAATATTACAGGTTGAATACATCTTTTGAGAAACTTTTGATAGCCGAGTTTATATTCTATCTAGTTTACATGCAACCAATCCCGTACCAGATATGAACGCGAGAGGTAGCTGGATCAGGTAGAATCAGATGATAAAAAAAAAAACGAAAGGTCATGGTCATGAAAAGGTGGCAATTAACCAAGCATATTCAAGGTGGGGAGCTGGGAAATCTTCAGTAAAATAAAACAGGACGATAATATAAAAAGGCGAGGCGAAAATAACGCTCAATCCAAACAAACTCCCACCGTTTGCTTTGAAGGGGGGTGTACATATGATAATGATGTAGATGATTTCAAAAAGACAAATGATTACAGCTCATCCTTGCGAGGAGCCTTCTCTTTTTGCTCCTTTTCCTTCTTCTCGGTCTTCTCCTTTTTGCCGCTCTTCTTGGCCTGGCCGTTTCCAGATCCCTTTCCGGGCTTGGAGGCGGCCGCACCCATCTTTTCGTAGATGCGGTTCATGATGCGCTCCAGTTCCTTGAGGCGAATGTCAAGTTCGACAACGGTCATGGCTGGGTCGTCGGACTCGGTGAGCTTCTCCTGCAAGGCGGACTGGGCCTCAAACCAGGCGTTGGTTGACTCGTAGGCCTTGTTGAGAGTGGCCAAGTCAGAGGGCTGGAACATGGTGTATTTCGGTCCAGAGGGTTTGGGAGATGGGGTCGTCTTGGTCGATGAGGTCTTAGACGACGAAGAAGAGAATGCATCCTCGTCGAGTTCATCGAGAGGGTCGACCGTCGAGGATGGAGATTCGCTGGCGGTAGTTGTGCTGGCCGAAGATGCGTCTGTCTCGCTAGTGGACGAGCTAGAAGCCGAAAGACTCGAAGAGTAAAGGTCTTCATCTTGCTGAACCTGCTTCTGCATGACGTCGGCCACTGTCTTGGCGTTCTTGAGGACTTCCTGGAGCAGCTCCAAGCGAGCCGGTCGGGCAGTGTTTTCCTGCTTCCTCTTGAGAGCAGGGTTGACGATATCCTTCAAGCCCTTGAGCTTCTCCAGGAAATCAGGGGTCTTTGCGTTCTCGCTTTCATCATCCATCCATGCACTAGAAGCCGTAATCTTCTCCTTAAGAATATTCAGTTGGTCCGGCTTGACTGTCTTGATAAACTCATCGTCCTCGACCAGATCCCGGCTGCGGTAGATGAATGATTCCAGTTCGTTCAAAACTTCCTCGCGCAAGAAACGCTCACGGTCCGAGGCGTCGAACGCAGCCAGGCGGCCCTTGATACGGCTGAGTTCCTCGACCGAAGGAGCAGGTACTCCCAGGGGCGAGGTCGTGAAGCTAATGGGGATGGATTCAATCTGGGTCTGGACCTTGGTTTCTTTGGCACCCGTAGCGGGAGCTTCATCCGCGGATGTTGTTTGTGTCTGAGGCTCTTCGTGCTCCAGAGTGATCGACTCGCTAGGTTCTCCATCCTCTCCCAGGGGAACCTGCTCATCCTTCTTGGATCCCAAACCGAAGAAGCCCTTGACATCCTCAACGATTCCTTTCTTGGAGCTCTCGACCTCGCAGCTCACGGATCCAGCAACCACCTCGGGAAGACCATCGACTTGACCGAGACGAATAGAGAACTTAGTAGTCATGTTTGCTGCGGAGCAGTCAAACTTCTCTTTCAGGTGGGCGACGGAGGCAGTAAGATTCTGTGTCTTGACAGCCAGAACCGGTGATTCGGTAGGGATTTGCTGGTAGAAGCTGAATTCAAAGTCTTCCAAGTTTTTCAGAGTGACCTGCTTCTCAGGACCAACCAGAGAAGTGGGAGTGAACAGCTTTTGCTGTCTCTCCTTACTCTCAGAGGACCACTTCAGCACAATAGGGTAGCTGGACGCATCGCTAGCGCGAATGTCCTTGACGCGGAAGCTTGGGCTGAGAGCAGCTCCCTTGAAAGCGGCTCCAAAAACGGCAGCTTCATCAGCGTTGACATTGGTTCTGAGTTTCTCTGCTCCGCAAGCCTTTTCCAGCTCCTTCTGGACAAATGGTGTCCGGATAGCTCCACCGTGCAGAATAACGGAATCGATGTCGGTCATTTTCAATCCAGCGGCAGCCAAAGCTTGTTCCAAAGGAGCTTCGACTCGAGCCACATGCTGCTCGGCCAACTCTTCAAGCTTTGCGCGACTCACACGGTACTTGAAGTTGACATCATCCTCATAAATGCTCTCGAATGCGGAACCGGTTTCACTGTTCGCGCTCAGAATCTGGCGCATTCTTTCAGCGTCCTTCCAGAGTCTCGCCATGGTCTTTCCATGACCCGCAATCTGAGCGGGGGTAACACGGTCCTTCAGTTTCTTTTCCTCAACCAGGTTGGCGATCATGTCTTGAACAATGAGATCGTTGAGAGCGTCTCCACCCAGGGACTTGTCCCAGCCTGCTCCAATCACCTGAACCTCCTGGACAGTCTTGTTGAATCGACCGATATCCTTAACGGCGCGGCTTTGGAAACGAAGGACACTGGCAGAAGTAGAACCAGCACCCATATCATAGACGATGTGGTACTCTGGCTTCTGGCCATCCGAAACGCTGGGGAAGGTGCGGCTCATGGCGTAGTTGAGACCAACCGCGAGACCATCACTAATCAAAGTCTCGACATTCAAGCCGGCCAACTCAGCCGCCAACTCGAGACTTCTCTTTTCCTCCGCAGTGTAGAATGCGGGGTAGGTGATGACAACGTCACGGATGTCAGATCCCTTGCCAGCCAGAACATCGGCGTTTGCCTTGATCTGCTTCAACTGCATGGCCAAGATCTCCTCGACCAAAAACGCATCCTTCTTCTCCGCCTCACCGAGTCTGTTGCTGCGCAGTCCGACAGTTCCCCGGTTACCGGGAGCGGCTTCCACTCTCAAGGCGGGATATCTACCCTGGTAGGTCTTGACAGCCTCATCCTGTCCACCGTTGAAGGGAACACCGAGCAACTTCTTCAGGTTCGAATAGACATCGTCGGGGTACCGAGCGGCCAGCGCCAAGGCGTCGCCACCGTAGAATCGTTCAGGGAATTGGCCGTTACTCTCTCTAGTAGGCTTGAACGCGACAGCGGCCGACTCTTTGCGCTTCGAATCCTTTGTGAGGACGATCTCGAGCGGGATTCCGGGTTTCACGAGCGCGCCCTTAAGATACTCGGTGCCGACATCGATACCAAGGACTGCGGACCCGGCAGCGGAGGCAGGCGCAGGGAAACTGACGAGGAAGAGGAGGAAGGGGAGGAGCACGAAAGAGAAAATTGGCGAGGAGAATGTTAGCGAATCTTGTAGGCGTCGTCGGCCGTGGGGAGCCATTGTCTATATAATTTTGCCGCTACCAACCTGTCAGTCAACTGGTTATGTCTTTGTCCTTGGGTATAGACGACTAACCTCAAAGGCGGTATGACGATAAAGCGATTGCAGATGCTAAACGGTATGGAATTACACTAAGAGTGTACTCACACGCAAGCTTGTCGTGGGGAAGGAGATACGAAAAGCAAAGCGGATGATGTTGATAGTTGAAGGAAGAAAAGAACACCTTGAACTAAGCCATCCAGCACACACAGTCACACACTATACTGGCCAGCTGGCAGTAAGCATGAATAATAAAGGGTCCGAAAAAAAGGGCTGAGATGGAGGAAAGCAATCGATTATCTGTCTTGAATTAAGAAGCTGGGAGAGGACACGTTTGGGGCGAAACGGTGCAAACAGGCCCATTTTGGGTGTGTTTGCATCCACGCCGGGATGATCGACGCGAAGATCGAATATCGACGAGTCCCTGCAGACGCAGTGGAAGGAAGAAGCTTCCAAGGACTTCATGGTTGTTTGATGCTATCTGCGGCAATCTTCAGCTTGGTTTATCGTTGATGTCCTTCCTTTCTTTGCTGTCCCTTCGGATGATCGAATTCAACGATCCACTAAGACGGCTTTCATCTACAAATCCCATGAATTCCAATAATCAAACTGGATAAATATATCCTAAACCCAATGTTAAATCTAGGAAGATATCGGGGAAATGGTATACCATTCATTTCACGGGCGCGTAAGCATGAATTCGATTGCGACTGACATTGGGATGTCTGCTCGGGAGATATATATACAGGGAAATGCTTCAAACGCGATATGATAATGTTGAAGAGACCTCGAAATGACAACTCGTAAGAGATGCCCTGCTAAACATCCAGAGTGATGATCGAATCTTATGCCGGTTATAACCAATATCTCAACCTCTTCTTACTGTCTCTGCTGCATTGGATAGATCTACAGTATTCGAAATGGGTGGCAAATATTAAAATGTCAATGCGTCTATTTAACTATACTACAATCTAGACAGAAGGATACAATCAATTCAAATATTCGTGAAACACTGATCCAAGAGATGGCATGTAGATTCGACCACACTTCACTTGAATCATTAAAGAAGCGCGATGCGCAAATCAACAACACTCTTTTGTATTCGGGAAATGCCGCAGAATATGTCGAGTATCATTCTGACAGTTCTCGAGTAGTTAAACGGGCGCGGGTATTTGTGCTAGCCCATTTCCTCATGAATTATTTATTTGCCGATCTCAACACCGCCGGTGGCACCGAGGAGACGCTTGATGTCACCGTAGATGGCGAACTGACCAGCAGTCAAGGTACCAACCATGAAGAGACTAGAGGAAATATTAGTTACTGTTTCATTCCGAGAGCGCGTACAGAAAACTTACCGAGCACCAATACCGGCGTAAGAGCCACGGAAGCCGAGCTCCTTACCGATCTTAGCGAGACGGGTGACGGTACCCTCACCAGGAGCACCCTGGGTCTTGTTGATCTTGGACAGCATGGTGTCGGCGGGCTGAGAGACAAGGGCAGCGGCGAAACCAGCGATCAAACCAGAGCCCAAGTTGATACCAGTCTTGGCACCGTCGGAGAGGCTCTGCTTGTCGAAGGAGTTGAGGATGGTCTCAGAGACCTTCTCGAAGACGACGAACTTGGCCATGGTGTAAGGGATCCTGTAATTCAAGTTAGTTGGGACTGAATCTGTGCCGCACAACGCATTGGATACTTACTGCTTGAAGAGGATGGGTCCGAATCCAGAGTAGAAGGCACCGACACCCTCGTTCTTCAGCATCTTGCTGAATCCGCTCAGCAGACCGCTAGCGTAGGTGGGCTGAGAGACGAGACGGATACGGGTAGCCTCGAGAGGGCAGAGAGCGATGTCAGCGAAGAACTCGGCAGCGGCGGACGAGGCGAGGTAGACAGCGGTGCGGTTGTTGGAAGCAGTCTCGTATCCAAGGGTGTTGATCCACTGCTTCTTGAAGAATTCGTAACCACCGAACTTGAAGGCACCCTGGAGGAAGTAACCGGCGGCGGTAGGGCCGAAACCAGTGAGGAGAGCGCCAGCACCCTCTTTGGCGATGACCTGACGGAAACCACCGATCATACCACGGTTGTAGGTGGCAGGGTCAAGCTGGATTCTGGTCTTGACGCTGAAAAGCAAAGAGAACCCGCGGTCAGCGCCATGGTCACAATTGCGAAAACTCTTTTTTTCTTCGGTGAAGGGATTCTGGTATCGAGGCCGAGGACGGAACACGGCGCATTCACGCGATAACAGACGCAACGAGGTCAGACTTACACATCGACGGGAGTGAGAGCACCGTGGGTGATGGAGCAACAGACGGCACCAGCGAAGGCGAATCTGGAGTAAAGCTGGAGGCTGCTGAGCTCAGGAGCAGCAGGGGCGACAGGGGCCGCAGCCTTGGGGGCCTCAGTAGCAGCAGACATGATTAGAGGAGGAATATGTATTTTATTTTATGAAGAGGGAAAGAAAGAGAGAGGAGTGGGGAGAAGATGAAGCAATTGAAGCTTTGCAAAAACTGGGATGGGAGGAAAAGAAGAGGAAGGATCAATTGAAAGGGAGGCTGGCCTAACCGGGCGGCAAAGGGACTAGCGGCACCGAAACCCGAAAACTTTTCGCGGTCCATGCATTGTTGCGGTCGGGGCCTTAAGTCCGATTGTCGTGCCAACTATGTTTTATTTTTTATACTATGTACAAATGGAATTAAATTGATTTGATTCAATTGGATTTAGATTATATTATTTAGTACTTCTTCTGTTGTAAATTGATATTGAAGAGGTCACAGTGTGTGCGGACCATCGGAAGCCGAAGGAAAGGATATAGCCACATGTCAAAGTTTTCAACGTACGTACCATGGACTGGTTCTCGACAAGAACAGGGTATTCAATTAGCATAATTAGTTATATAGACTGATCTCAGATTATCTTTCATATTCACTCAATAAATATCAATCGAGAATACAATCTCAAAGCATTGACTTGGACGCTTCACAGATGGTCCGGGCTACCCGATGACGTATGCGTCTCTATAACAACGCTTCCACCGACTTATGAAAGCCCAAACAGGCATAACATACTGACACAGCTTTAATGCTCTTTGATGTTTATTATTCTGATAATCAGAATCATAATCAGCAATACGACCGAAGGATAAAGTGTTTGATTTTCCTCGAATCACAAAGGCATCTTGGTTTCATTTAAACGTCTCTGATTGGTCAGATTTCACCACAGTTGCGATTATTATTAGAACTGAAGAATTCCAAGACGATAATACCAGTTGTATAGACTGATCATATCTACTGTATATTATAGTATCATTGATACACGAGGAGTCAATGGCTAGACAATGTCAGTCATGGACTTTTAAACGGTACCTGTTTACAGTGTCTCTGAATCACATCCATCGCCCTTGATTCTACTGCACTATTTGACCCAGTATTACCGCGCCTTGCGTATCGTTTGCCTTCAAGACTGACGTGGTTCCTTGCTGATGTGTCACCGCACTCACTACTCGTGCCTGTACAAATGTATGCGCCCTCAAGGGTTCGCGCAGTTATCCGTTCGGCTCGTGGAATATGCTCATCGGTATTGCCTTCATCAGCAAATACATACCTACGATTCCATTCGTGTGTTGGTCCGTAGATCCCACCCAACGGCTAGCCATGGAGCCAGTATACCTCTTCACAAAAACCTCAGGCAAGGGTTCCCCCAAACAGTCCTTCTTTCGCAGATCAAACTCCACAAAAAGTATCCCATCTGCTTCCCAATCTTCGGAATCAATGATTATCAGCATTTTCCGGTAACCCTGATACTCGTCTTCCTGTTAGTCATAGAGCGTGTAGCGTCCGTAGGAAACCGTTGCTTCCACGGTAAGATGCTGGATACAGCGAGCAACTCTCTCATCCTGGCTGGTTTCAGATGGCAGAGGTAGTGCAATGACTTCCACTCGATCTGCAAACTCACACGCTTCGCAAAAACGCGATCAATATATTTTTCTCTGAAAGTCAAAAGCAACAGTGTCCACCCGATCTTTTGCCCCTGGCGTGGTGTCATAAATCTCCAGCGACCTTCGTGGCACATGCATTTCCTCATTCACAACATAGCCGAAGATGACGGACACTGGGGAGCCATCGTGACTGGTAATTGCTCCCTGATATTTGCGGCCAAATCTAGGAGGCTTTCATTCCGCAATTGACTGGTTCAGCGACGAAGAGATAAGAAAAAGAGTGACAGTCTAATAATAACTGTAGGGTCATGTGACATCACATGAATCTAAGACAAGGGATAGTAGAAATCTGGAACAAAGTCTTTTGCGAGACATTGGCGATATATAATTGACTGATTTAAGTCTTAAGGCGTTCGAGTGTCTTATTATATCTTTGTTCTAATCGCATTTAAAGCTGACACAAATTCCACTCGCCTGGATGTCATTTCAAGTCTGTCTGATTTTTGCCTGACCAAGTCATTCTGACAGCCTACATCCAAAACGGGTTTCAGGTCCATATATTTTTTATTTATTGATTTACTTCTTTTGCTTTATTCTCCGATATTATTCTCCTACAATCTCATCTAAAATGCTCTCTTTCCTATGTTGTTTTCCAAATAGGAATAAAGAAGATAAAAAATGGAAAGAAATCGAAGGTTCGTCTGCCCGATATTAGCCAAGAACAATCACTGACGATAAACAGAAGCAGCAGAGAATCTGGATCAGAAGCCATCATGGGATGCCCCGGATAATACTCTCATGATGCAAGCTTTCGAGTGGCATGTGCCTGATGATCAGAACCACTGGCGCCGTCTTCGAAAAGCACTACCCAGTTTGAAAGACATCGGAGTGGATAATATGTGGATTCCTCCTGGATGTAAGGCTATGAGTCCGTCTGGCAACGGATACGACATATATGACCTGTATGATCTGGGAGAGTTTGACCAAAAGGGATCCCGTGCTACGAAATGGGGAACTAGAGAGCAACTGGAAGATCTCGTCTCGTTTGCCCGAGATCTGGGTATTGGGATCTACTGGGATGCCGTGCTCAATCATAAAGCAGCTGCAGACTATACAGAACGGTTTCCAGCAGTCAAGGTCGATCCAGGCCGTATGTATCCAGGACTCGCTTATTATTCATCGGCTAACTGTCACTACAGAAAGAAATGTGGAAACATCCTGCCCTGAAGAGATCGAAGGCTGGGTTGGATGGGATTTCCCCGGTCGTGGAGACAAATACAGCTCCATGAAGTACCACTGGTATCACTTTAGTGGTCTCGATTGGGACGACTCGCGAAAGGAAAAGGCGATATACAAGATCGTGGGCCCCGACAAGGGCTGGGCCAAAGACGTCAGCGACGAGAATGGCAACTATGACTTCTTGATGTTTTCAGACTTGGACTATTCCAACCGTGAGGTCCGAGAAGATGTCCTCAAATGGGGACAATGGATTAGCACGGAGATGTCTCTCAGTGGGATGAGATTGGACGCAGTGAAGCACTATTCAGCTGGGTTTCAAAAGAAATTCATCGACCATCTTCGAGAAACTGTCGGGTCGGATTTCTTTATTGTGGGAGAATACTGGAAGGGTGAAGTTAATATCCTATTGAATTACTTGGAGGAGATGGATCATAGGCTTTCGCTGTTTGATGCTCCTCTGGTCGGTCGTTTTTCGAGCATTTCCCGTACAGACAGAGCAGATCTTCGGCATGTTTTGGATGGAACTTTGGTTCAAACTGAGCCCAAATACGCAGTGGTAAGATAGGACTCCAGAGTATTCCTTTTGATGACTACTAACAACATCTAGACATTTGTCGCAAACCACGATACGCAACCTGGACAGTCTCTAGAGGTCAGTTTATTTTCTGTGCTCTTCGCATCCATAATGCTTACTATACCAGGCCCCAGTTTCAGCGTTCTTCAAACCTCTCGCATATGCTTTAATCCTGCTTCGAAGCCAGGGACAGCCATGTATCTTCTACGGAGACCTCTACGGCATCAAAGGTGATGCCAACCATACCATGCCTCCATCCTGCGGAGGCAAACTCCCGACTCTCGCCCGTGCGCGCAAGTTGTACGCCTACGGTGAACAGCGGGATTATTTCGATCGTCGAAACTGCATCGGTGAGCATACTGCTGAGTACCACTTTATATCTGCTAATCTTGTCTGTAGGTTTCGTGCGGTATGGCAACCGTCGGCACCGAGACGGTCTTGCGTGTGTGATGAGCAATGCCGGCGCATCACACAAGCGCATGTATGTCGGTCGAAACCATGCTGGAGAACAATGGACCGATATTCTCGAATGGCGCAAAGAGACAATCACAATTGATAATCGTGGCTACGCTGATTTCCCCGTTGCTTCAATGAGTGTCAGCGTGTGGGTAAATGCGGCCGCGGAGGGAAGAGCCAGTCTTGGGCGACATTTGTATGTTTCTTCTGCTTCTTGAATGGACTTTACTGACTTTTCACAGCAACAAATATATTTACAAGTATAATTAAATCTTGGGCCAGTTCATCGAAATCTGCTCATTCAATATCGCTATCTAAAACACTAATATTCATGCGTTCTTTCGGGTTCCTACTATCTCACAACTGCCGTCACTCCTGGCTTGATATCCTCCAGAACCTCCTCCAGCTCATTCCATATTTTCTTTTGCATCAGAAAGCCTCCGGGCCTGGTCACATAGGGAGCCATGGAATTACTGGGTGTGGATGTTAGCCCATATCAATGATTCTTAACGTCTTTGCACTTCTTGATGAGGTTGCCGCCGGTGATGAACGCGCCATGGCTCTCTTTGCCTGCATAGTAGCATGGACCAGCGTGCGCGAACCCTCCTCGGCTGTCCATGCTATCAGGGCTCTCATGACTATCAAAAAGATCTTGGCAAATCCCTCAGCGCTGCGGGTTAGATCCGTGTAGCACATGCCCGGGTTGAGGGTGTTGATGGTGACAAACGGCTCAGCATTCTGGATCCGGGCCACAATCTCGCGAACGACGAAAATCTGAAGCAGCTTGGACACATTATACAGATCGGACATGTCGGATGTTCGTTGAACTGCGCATACGCATCCACACCTGAGCTGACTATGCTCAGCGCCGGATCACTACCATTCAACCGGGCACTGCGCTGCAGGACTGACAAGAGAATACAAGAAAGCAAGGTGGTGCTGATAACATTGACTATGATGATACTCTCATGTTCCTCGAGTAGCTCCCAGTTCCATGTTGCGACTCCAGCATTGAGCACGACCTTGTCTAACCGTTGCAATGCCTTCTTCACTCGCTCTCCGAACACCAAGACGCTGTCATATCTGCCATAGTCGAGCTCCCACAACTCTACTATTCCTTTTCGGCCTGTTTCCTTCTCGATTTCTCGCAATGCGGACAGTCTGCGAGACTCGTTGCGCACAGTCGCGATGACCCGTGCTGCGTTCATCCGGACAAAGTATTTGCAAGCCTCCTTTCCCAGACCGACATTGGATACTGTTGCTATGATTGTCTGGTCTGTAAAGTCCGCGACGGGTACTTCTGGCTTCAAGAAAAGCTGGGTGGGGTGTGAAGGTCACTCAAGATCATTTTGGTAGATGATAGGAAGTATTTCCGGTAGGACCTGATGCATCGTACTAGGCAGTATAATTACTTGCTGAGTTAGTATTAGAAAATTATAGAGTATATCAATAAATATTCTTCTTTATAAAATGTGTACTCTTGGTAGATGGTCATATTTTGGGTAAATGGATACAGATGTCGGAGTATGTATTTCGTAACGTGTAGTGTAGATCGTAAGGTAGCTGGTATCAGACAAATTATCTGTCAATCAATTCGGATAACTATATAAGTTCACTTAATTAATTCCAGATTAAGGATATATTGAGATAATTCTGATATCGATGATGTCTGCAATGTGTATAGATGATGTCAGCCTCAGGCATAAACTGCATTACTAGAACAAACAGCCACCCGTAGCGATCGCCATCTTGTGGATCCTCAACTCAACGTCTTTATCTCTTTCATTTCTTTTCCTCTTGATCAATCCAATTCTCTCCTCAAAAACAACTGGACTAACTATGGATCATAACCACAGTGCTGTACATTTGGAATACAGACGGGATGCTCCTCCGACCCAAGCATCCGATCGTGGCGTAAGGATGTTCTGCACATTATTGGGTCCTAGGAGTCTGATGTTCGATCGGAATATCCATCCGGATTGACGCCTCTAGCGGTCGATCGCCACTCTCCCTACGTCCCTAATAACAGCATCCCCTTGTTCTCTTTTTCTCGCGGGGAGATAAGCGAATTTGAAACAACTCTGGAGCCGAATCGAGGAGACCCGGGGAATGCTGCCATGAGCCATGACGCGGCCTGGGGTCAATCACCTGCTAGGGACACAGTACATATCATCGGATATCCTGTTTTTTGCCATTTGGATTATCCTCTGTCCGCAGTCTGCACAACTTCAGGGATACGCCATCGACATCACTATCTATATACTATGTATGGACTTGCTAACGCTAGTTCCCGATGGCTTTCCGATGCCCTGTCGCCTCCCGCGCGAACTGCAGTTTGGTTCCGGACTTTGAGGTCGCTTGCCATCCATGGTTCGGTTCTTGAAAAAATTTTAGGCATTGAATACGATTCGCTACCGTTCAGTAAATATTCTACTTATTCCCAAAGATTGGAGAAAGAGAAGAGAAAATATACAATAAAAATTTGACGGCAGTGACAGCCACCCACTGGTTGGAATGATGATCTATCTACGTCGTCCGTGCTATCTCTACGATGATGCATGCAAATGAAACATTCCCACCAACTCGTCTCTAGTCTGGACTTAGTTCAATAAGAGCTTCCCTGAAATTGAAGATTCATCTTCCCCTGGAACAATTGGAAACCCAAACAGCCAGGGAGTGACTGATCATTGTTATGATTTATATGACGATGGCAAACTCTGTTTCCTTCTCGAACATCTCCAATTCTTAGTCTTTTCCCCTGTCTCCAGTGCCAACCGTAGCCGAGTTCCTGAACAGGGTGGCGATCAGCAGAACAAACTGCCTGATTCGATATCCAAATGCCAAATCTATCCAGCAAAGGTGATCATGCTCCACATCCTTCTTTTCTGGTAACGACGTAGGGCATTTGAAGGGATGTGGACATCACTTTCTTCGTTATGAGATGACGAATTCTCTTGCCGTTTCTCCAACTTATTCTCAGACAACCCTTTTGCAGGCTCTCGCGGGGAACCTTTATATCGCCTCATCTCCCTCATCTCTCGTAGTTTAACGAGGTAGATCAAGGTCCACTGACTCCATGGTACGAAGATAGCATCATGTCTAATAACCCGCTGTCAACAGAATCTTCACAGAAGATCGTACCGCCAACAGGTTCGTCTTCAACCAATTCGATTCAGATCACCATGGTGCTAATTTTTTTTTTCAATAGAGGAGGTATTATCTTCATCGGATGAGTCGCAGTTTGATCACGCTTCCCAAAATGAGATACAGGCCAAGCATGATGACTCGACTTCTCAATCTCGTCGAATGGCCTCAAAGACGATCGTCTCTTTTGGGCCTGGCGACTCTGGCAACCCGGCGAATTTCTCAAAGGTATATACGCAACTTAACATGCGATTCTGGTTTGTTACTTGATAATTACCCATATGTTCTACGACGTCAAGCTGACCGATATTGCCATACTTTAGGCTTTGAGGGCGTTTATTCTTATCACCGGCGCGGTGGAGGTCATGAACAGTACTGTGGGATCATCCCTAACCGGTGGTGCTATTAAGCCAATTTCTCGAGAATTCAATATCACAAACGAGCAGGTCCTCGTCTTGCCAATATCCGTTTATCTTATCGGCTACATCGTGGGGCCTATGCTATGGGGCCCTAGCTCGGAGGCATATGGACGGAGGTATCCATTGTTGATTGCCTTTGTGCTGTTTACTGTCTTTATGATGGCATGTGCATTGGCAAACTCATACCCTTCTCTGTTGGTGTTTCGATTGATTGATGGGATGGCAGCTTCTGCACCGATTTCTATAGTTGGTGGCGTGTATGCCGACCTCTATACTGATCCTACCGCTCGAGGGCGACTTATGGCATATTACATGGCTGTAAGTGTCAATTTTTCCCTTCCTTTTCCTTCATATATCTAGGTGATTGTCTAACGCAAGACAGGCCACTACCGTCGGACCCATATTTGGACCCTTGGTTTCTGGCTTTGTTTCCGAGTATAGTTGGAGATGGGCCTTTTGGTTTGGACTTATCTGTGCTGGTGTGACATTGCCAATGACCATTCTCATGCCCGAAACATACAGGCCGATTATACTTCAGCGAAGAGCCATCAAGCTACGCAAGGAGACCGGTAATCCCAACATCATGTCACCGTTGGATCTTAAAGGTCAAAGCCTGAAGCAAACACTAGCCGTCAACCTGAAACGGCCATTCCAGATGCTCTTTTACGAGGCCATTACCTCTTGCTCGTGCTTTTATCTCGCACTTGCCTTTGCCATCTTCTACCTTTACTTCCAGGCATATCCCATCATCTTCCAGGGAATTTATGGTATGGACTCGGGCTATTCTGGGCTATGTTTCTTGCCAATCGGTATTGGTGCTGTCATCGCTTGCTTCATATTCGTATGGTACGACGGCTACCTGGCCAGAGCCAAAGCCAGAAACGCCAAATGGGCGTACATTGAAGAATACCGCCGTCTTCCTCTGGCGTGTATCGGCGGGCCATTATACGTCCTGTCTCTCTTTTGGATTGGCTGGACCGCATCTCCTAAAATCCACTGGGTGGTTCCTTTACTTTCTGGTATCCCATTTGGGACAGGCTACTTGCTGATCTTCATGGCTATGATCAATTACGTTACTGATGCCTATGAAACGTATTCCGCCAGTGCCTTGTCCGCAGCCACCTTCACCCGGAGTACGCTGGGGGCAGTATTGCCACTGGCAGCCAAACCAATGTTCGATCGACTTGGGGTGCACTGGGCCTGCACACTCATTGCCTTTTTGAGTATGGGGGTCACAGTGATCCCATTCGTGTTCATCCGCTACGGAGATCGCATCAGATGCAACAGCCGATTCTGCCAGGAACTCCAGGCCCTGAAGCTGAAGGAATATGGGGAACGGGAGAAACCTGCCCATGATACCCGGCCAGCCACTCCAGTTGTCCAGGTTGTTGAAACCGAACCAAAGGATTTGGAGCAGGGTCGTTGAGTAATTTAATCGGTATTATTTCAGGTTGGTTTTATTACAGGGTATGGGATAGGGTGAGCATTGTTCAATATTTCTTCCTTCTTATTGTTATTTTGAAAGCACTTGATTCTCTATCGAGGATTATTTGATTGCACAAATAGGTACAGGTATCATTATTGACACGGCAACAGTCAGCAGCATTATTAGGCAGCATTAATAAAGTGTGTTATATAATGGACGATTATAATTAGCACTTCGTATTTAAACTTGGAGTTTTGGGTTCCTGCATTCCTGCTGCCGGGACTTGATTCCTGCGATGGGACACAGCCACCTGCTATGATGGTAGCATGAGGACATCCACTTGTCCTCACCGGCATTGAAGTGGCTTATATCGCATGAAGATGAATACTAGATCGGATTATAGTTGCTATTGTTTATCACCAGTGCTAACTAGATTGCTCTTAGAATTAGATAGTCTATATTGATAGACCACAAAGTAGTAAATATCAATATAACATCCTTTGCCATGGTGAATATGATATCATGATGATTCGCCATATGAACCAGTATTTAATCGATCGCCTTGCCATTCTGTCCTATACGGACTTTGGAATGGTTTTGGAACGAGAAGCAGCTTGTCTTCACCCGACATATCCACAAAGCAACATGCCTTACCACTCGGTTTGTTCTCCATCTTGGTTCGTATCGATGAAGCTAATATGAGTGTTGGGATAGGTTGTACTGCAAAACCACATTACTGGCTCGGATAAAGACCGGTTTGTCTTTCCTCTATCAATGCTGTTGATATCAAAGCTGATTTAGATAGAATGAAATCGCTGATTACATCTGCTGGAGGCAAGATCACTCGACAGGAGGGGAATGAGATTGAGTATGTTTCTTTGCTGCTATATTTGCTGCTTGTTTGCTGCCCGACTAACGATTGATAGCTTCGAAGTGCCGGATGAGTTTGACTTTCGTCTAATCACGAAGAATCTAGATGTGGAGACTATATCAGATCACCCATAGATAGAATAATATCAATCAGTTGTATTGTTGCATTGCTGCATATTTATTGCTTCTATCTTTGTTGGATCGGATCGGGGCGCAGTGGTTGATCGTGCGGCTGCGCCCGGCTTGGTTCGAGTGGCTTTTCTCCATCTGGACAAGAATCGGGTGAAGGATGACGATGCAGAGATGCGGTTGATGCTGGTTTTTGACGATATCGCCAGTAACCAACTGCTGCTAGTCGCTGGATAGTGCAGAATCATGATCATCCTTGTTTTTTGCACGACGCGCGAATCCTCCCCGGTCGCTCTTTAGCTGCTGGTCTGGGCTGACTTGGGGCGGAGAAACCTTTCAGCCTTCAGCTTTCGTTAATTTCCATTTTCCAGCCTCAATATTTTGTTCTTCTTCTTCGTCATCCCTCCTTTCGTTGGCTAGTTAACTGCTGGCTCTTTTGGCCCCTGTCTGTCGTTTTGCTCCTCTGATCGCTCTCTCCCCCGCTAATGAATTAATCGCATCCAACGTCCTTCACTTCCGCTTCATCTACGAACCCCTTATATGAATTAACGATAATGAATTACCAATACCAACAACAGTACCACGAGGTGGGAACACCACAGCCCACTCAGTCTCAGTCGGATAATAGGAGCGTCTGGTGGCCATGGAGGATCTTTACGGCGGTCACATCGAATATGCTGCTCTTGGGGTGTGTTATCCCTTATCTGTCTGTCGGCCGTATATACCAATGCTGACATCGCATTCCTCCAGATACCTCATCCTCCCCGTTGCATTCGAAGCCGATAAGCCGAGTATAAAACTCGACTCGATTTCCCTCACCACCGTCGGAATGGTTTTTATCGCCGTCGCATACGCGCTCTCCATGCTACTGGGGTGTATTCTGTACTCGGAGCCCAGCTTTCTTCTCCAATCGCTATATCTGTACGTTCCCTTCTGGATTATCTTATCATCGCATTGATCTGATTATTTTTGCAGCCCCTGTCTCTACTCCAGTCTCCTCGGTTTATTCAGCGTTGTGTTCAACATCCTCTGTCGGAATTTATACCCCGTCAGTAATCTACAACTAGTGAGTATCTGTTTATCGGGCGCCTCGGGCTTTCTCTATGCCCTGGCTGGGTTGTGGATGTATGGAATGGGTATCTCTGCGGCCTATCCGACCTACACTCGCGAGACTAGGTACTCTCGGACTCGCGACGATACGGCTCTTCTCACGGAGGATGAGCAGCAACGGCAGCAACTGCTCAGGTTGCTGAAGCAGAAGGAAAAGAAAAAGTCGTCGAGGATCTCGCAGAAGACCTTTCAGGTCAGTAATCCCGAGCATTTGATGCCGGGCAAAGCATGGGGCAAGGGCAGTACGCCTCCGCCGACGTATTGTTGATTAAAATGATGAAGCAGGAGGTGAAGCGAAACACTGATCCATCCATAGTAATAAGTAATATCATATCAATATCGTTCGTTATCCTTGAAAGCATAAATGTAGACATGCAGCCTGCAAATGACTTCATTATGACATGAACCAACATACCCACATGTGATAGCTCTGACTCTCACCAGCGTGACCAGACTCATCAGCAATATTTATGATAATTTATGCCCATTAATGTAGAATGACCGGATGGTATCCTGAATAATCATCGAAAGTTGCCTCGGCTATTTCCTAATTGGGCCGCTCCGTGGGAGTTCGGCATCATCGATTCCCAACGGCACTTTTTTCTTCTTCTTCTCTTCCAAGGGGCTGTCGTTAACTCTCTATCCACCTTATATCTCTGTCTATCGAGAAAATATGTCTCACAACGTCACCCTTTTTACCCCGCCGCCGTTGGATCCCTCCAAGGCGCGTATCGAAAATGTTCTAGAATTGACCCCCGTCCTCGACATTGGCCCGGTATGTCCGAATCTCACTCACTCCTTGCTCCTCCACACTTGTAACCTGACTTTATCTACAAGACTTACTTACTGACCAAATGATTTCAAATAGGATGTCTTCACCAACACCCGTCCTCTCTGGCATCCTCCCGGAGCGCGAGGCATCTACGGCGGCGCCGCGATCGCGCAGTCCCTCTCGGCCGCCATGCTAACCGTCCCCGACGACTTCGCCGTCCACAGCATGCACTGCTACTTCGTTTTGGCCGGTGACTCGGAAATCCCCATTCTCTATCACGTCGAGCGGGTGCGCGATGGTCGGAGCTTCATTACACGGACGGTGCAGGCAAGACAGCGGGGCCGGCCCATCTTCACCACCACGCTGAGCTTCAGCAGGGCCAACAGTGGCGGCAAGAAGAAGATCGAGCATGCATCGCGGAAACCGGAGGTGTCGTTACCTAATGACCCTTCTCCTGGTTCGACGCGGCCTTTTGATGATGATATCGCGGGGCCGTTTGAGTCGAGGAAGGCGGGTGTTGTGAATAGTATGTGCTGCCTATGTTTGAAGGAGATGTTTTGCAGTGGCTAATATCTATAGACTTATCTCCTTACCCCGAGGACAAGCGACTCAGACGCTTCTTCCGCGTGCGAGGAAAGATTTCTAATGCCGGGGGCCACCAGGCGCATCTTTCGGCTCTTGCTTATATCACAGATAGTCATTTCATCGGGACGGTGTCGCGGGTCAGCAATATCCCGCGATTCACCTCGACCGCAGAGCTTCAGAAGGCACTGAATGCGCTCAAGAACCCATCTGATCTCGACGATGAGGATATTGCGCGAGCTCTCAAGGAGCTAAAGGAGGAGGAAGCGGTTGAGCTACGCCGTCGTCTGGAGGGGGCATTGAGCAAGGCTGCTGTTGAGGAGAAGAAGGAAGACCGCAGAGAGGTCGGCATGATGGTCAGTCTTGATCATTCTATCCACTTTCACAACCCGTGGGCTTTCCGGGCCGATGACTGGATGCTCAGCGAGATGGAGAGTCCATGGGCTGGTGAGGGAAGAGGATTGTCGATTCAGAAGATCTGGTCTAGCGATGGGGTTTTGATTGCCACATGCATGCAAGAGGTATGTTCTTCTTCTTTTCTTCCTTTCTTTCTATATGCATAAGGGACTGGACTAATCGTGATTCTAGGGTGTTGTACGATTAAAGCAGGACGAACCACCTCGTTCGAAGATATAGATGGACTTGCTGGTCTATCCAGTTCATATACCCTTTTCTTTTACTTTGTTGCTATAGAGTGGGAGTGTCTCCCTTGCCTTGGCTGTATTTATTCCACTGTTTATATCTTAGAATTTGCATTGTTTCTCAACAGGACTCTTCCATTGTCTGTCCTGAGTGTTTGAATAAGAGCATAGCACACAAGTTTGATAAATATACATATCATCGAATCGAATGACAAAAAAGACAAGATGCAAGCAACAAAAAGAAAACCCAGTTCTCCATGGCGATGAATAAATGCAAAATGTCGTATCAGTCTCGTTCTCCTGTCTTTGACCTCAAGCCATCCAGGATCATCAAGCAAAGCAACAAACAAACGACGATAAATGTTTTAAATCAGAGAGCCGCCCCATCCTTTTTTTTTCATTTCCCCAATCCATGCCAGAAGAAGAGAGAAAAAACCAAAAGGAAGAAAAAGGAAAACGAAAAACGCAAAGATGCAAAAATAATGCTACAGACCACCACCCAAATCATTATTCAAACCTCTACCTTTTCTTTCTCGACGTCGTTCTGCAGCTGACTCTTCTTCTCTGCAAACGCCAGCGCCTTTTGCCCCCAGACTTCAGCTCCCTTGTATTCGCCCACAAACTCAGGCCAGCTTTTGATTTCCTTGGCCAGGTTCTGCAGTTCTTGCATGGGGAGCTGGTCCAGTGGGGTGAGGAAGGTCTTGACGCCAAAGACGATTGCACCGGTGCGGGGGAGTCGTCGGAAGGTCTGGCGTTCGCGACGGATGAGGATCTCGCCTGGAGAGGGATCAGGGTTTCCCTCTGAGAGGGTGGTGGGACGATAGAGGGTTTCGAGGAGGTCCTCGTTGGGGCGTTTGACTTCGATGAAGTAGTTGGATCGTTCCATGGAGGAGGTGGGGGTTAGACGGGCGAGGAATCTGGTTTCTGTTAGTTTTGTTGTCTTCTTTCTCGTTATTTGATGATTGACTGACTTGCTGACAGAATTGGCGACTTGCTGGTGCCACAATGGGACTGGTTCGTGAAGTTGCGAGATTGTCCATCCAATGCGTTTGTCCACCGTCCATCCCACGGGGAAGAGACTTGCGCTGGCCGCTCTGGATGCTATTAGTGAATTGAATTCAATCGCAACAGCGCAGGCTAGACTCACAGGTAATATTCTTCGTCTTCGTTCTTCATCAAGATGCTCAGATCCTCCATCGTGAGTCGCACTGCAATCTCCAATGGATCCATCTGGTTGTTACCTCCTCCAAAGACAAAGGTCTCGCCGGTGACTTTGTTATGAATTGTCGTCTCGTCGCCATACTGCTTTCTCTCAAACATGTTGGAGTATCGCTGGCAGAGGAAGTCGACGACCTCTTCCAATGCCTCGAGACAAGCATTGTATGATTGCGGCAGGCATTGGAGCACCTTTTCCCTTTCATGCTCGAGCAATTGGCTCCGGATCTGGTGTTCGTCCGTGTAGTTCTTGTCGAGGGTGAGCCAATTCACCACGTCCAGCCGTCGCATGTCCATCATGACCCGGTATCGTTCTCTGCCCTTGATGGGTTGCGCCGGGTAGGGCGCCATTCGTTTTATCTCTGCATGTTGAGGAGAAGGAGGAGATGATCTTCTGCTGAAGCGCTTTCGATAGCCCACCGCAAAGGCAATGACGAAGATTGAAAGAGCCACCAATGAGTAAGTATTCATAGCTTTCTTCGTTTTGTCCTCTTGAAAGGTCCTTGCACTCGAAATCACCAACAGCACTTGCACACACTAAAAGGAAACCAAGCTTCTTCGTGAAGAATGAACAGGCACGTCTCAATGGCGGACATGGCTCTCAATTAATACTAAAAAAATTCGGGTTAATAATTATTTTATTTTATTATTTTGCCTTTCAACAAGTCGGTCAATCCCACGAGAAGGGAAAAGGGAAAAAAACAAAATCACGGATCATCATATGGGTCAGACGATTAGCTACCACCAAACTGCGCCCTCCTCCTCTGTCTACATTCCGGATCCAGAAAGCCTGATACGCCCAGGGCCTTTTTTTTCCCCGCAAAAGCCGCAATTCGCCGCCTCACGATTGACCGTGAAGGGCAAATCCACATGATCTAGGCAAAAAAGGAGCAGCTCCTAGGTTTCGCAGCTTCCCGATTGGAAAAGCTCCACTGTCCCTCTCTGCAAGCATTGAGAATAGGCCGACGAGTGACGATACAGATTACATACCAAGTATGGGGGGAGCTAGCTACTGCCTGGCCTAGTTCATGGTTACAGGGGAGTGGGTTAAAAAAGCAAAAAATAATGCACCGCAGGTCTCCTAGTGGGCCTTACCTTGGACTAACTAAGGGACTTTGGATACGCAGTGACATTATGACTACATACAGAAAACACCAGACCAGATATTTTTCCAAGATGTCGTCGTCGTACGCTCGTGTCCGTCCGTGCGCCCCCATGGATTCGCAAAAAGGGCCTCGTGAGCTAAATGGGCTTCTCCCCTGCCTGAACAGTTCCTGCAGTTCCGTTGCAGTGGGATTCCGAAAGAGGATAAAATTAATGAATACATTAATTATTTTATTTTATTTTTTTTATTACGAGAAAAAGAAATGAAAAAGGAGGCAAAAAAAGCGCACGAGAAAAAAGAAACAAAGAATTAGGCACCGAATTGTTGGGATCAGCCGTTGCAATCCGGATGGTGCGAACTTACGGCACATCATATTCATCCATGATTACAGGAAAAGAATAATAACCTTGTTTGGGGGTGCAAAGAGGAAAGGGAGAGACCATCCACAACTACGCGTGGGATGCGCCGCGAAACGAGACAGTCCAGGCAGTCACACAGCTTCAGGCGGCTAACGAATAACCTAGGGCGAGGGCCTAGAGAGCTGGTCATAGAGATTATCGCGACAGTGAGTGGCCAGAAGGGGGAGTCATGTCTGGGACTAGGGAGGACGATGGAGTCGATCTGACGTACTATGAAGCCGGTACCTTTGGATAGAAACCACCCCGCGAAATATGCGAGGATGATGAATGAAAACGAGACGAAAGAGAGGAACGAGGGGGATCCACAGCAGGGTCCAGAAGTGCATCTGAGACAGACCGTCGAAAAGGTGAATATCTGGGGTTTTTGCGCTGCTCCTCCGCCGAAAGCGCGCTTGCCGCGGGATTTTCCTGCGGCCAGCCAGCAATTATTGGCATGATTCTCGACGGCCTTTGCAGCAGGAATTACCGCATTTATTGACAGACTGCAAGTGACCAGCTGACTCAGGAATGTTCATTCAGTATTATGCTGTTGTATTGTTTTTCTTTGGAGGAACCGTATGGCCAGGTGTCATCAAAGGCTAGCTGATGCCCCGTGCTTGAAGATCAAACCCATCCAACCAAATACTAATTCATAATAGACTTCCTCGGCCATAAACTAACCAACCACTCTGACCGATGGGGTGATCATCGATTTGCAAGGTTGCAACAACCAAACGGCGTCACTCCGTCGTACGACTCTTGGGGCTAATCGCCACTAGTCAAGGCTCAGCCTACGTCGACTTTAGTCTGGGAGACTTAGTCTCAGTCTTCGTCAGTCTCGACAAGATGCTAAGATGCTTATGATGATTAAATACCGAGCCAGTGAGTGGTTGTTCGAGGACGCTAGTTTAGAGGATCGATGTGCACGGGCGATTTCAGTCACTTGATTGTCGGTTGCACCGATGAAGGGGTTGACGTTGTAGTTCAGCTTCATTTTCTGTCTATAGTACTTGGCAACTGCCTACAAAACAAGGCATTACTAACAATCAGTTTACTTTCAGCATCATCTTATAGGCCATGTCTGATGACTGCATAAAAAGCAAACCAACCCGCATTCTCGTACCCTATATTAACAAGAAACAAATAGGCTCCATCCGAAAGAAAAAAAAGAAAAAACAACTCAACACCAAGAAATAACTCTAACCCTGCAAAATGACACGCATACAAAAAGACAAATTAAATTAAAAATAAATGTCAAAACGTCAAATGTCAAATGTACGTGTTGGGGCTGGCTCAACTCAACCTGTCATTTTCTTGTCACTTGACATTCCTGACAGCGGAGTATTACTGTATTCCTGCCCGAGTCAGTCTAGGATCATAGGGTGATTTCAATAGTGTATATACTATAGTCTTGTATAGACATGGATGTTCCCATCGTGACAATTGGATAGTTATGCACGAGGGATCAAACATGAGGTCATCATATTACTATTTCCATCAACAATCAATTGACAACTCTGACTGTCATCTTGTGGGGTATGTATAACGCACTGTACATAATAGACAACTGCACATAACCAATACCTGCACTGCCATTGATGATGACATTGACATTATTTTCCATTCAATTAAGCCCACGTTGAATAAATCAGACTCATCATATTAGAAATGTCCCTATCCCACAGTCATCACAGCTTGCCATGATATCATGTCATGTCATGTCGCAGTTTGTGGATAATCCCACCAACGCAAATCATCCACCCCTTCAATCTACAGAACTAGTTAACTAGGTAGTCATCTCTCTTTGCTTTTTCCTTTCATTCGCTTCTAACTTTCCTTAATCATCGACGGAGTTGATCTCCGGAGCCGAAAACGAAGATTTCTTCAGATCCACTTGGATGGGTGCTGGAATCGCACCGGTGCGAGCTTGTTTGATGGATGGGAGGTGGGTTGGGTTCGTCATATTTGCTTTTTCTTCTTCTTATTTTTTGTTCTTTTTTGTTCTTTTTTTGTTAGTTTAAACTTACTTGAGGGGCTGGGTTGGTGGACTGAAAGATGACATCGAGTTGACTATTATAGAGCAAAATAACACTAGGTTGTGTATATAATCATGGTATAGCTCTATTGCATAGAACCAAAGCCAAAGCATCACAAACATTGTTCACATATTTTGCCGTTGTCAAGATTAAATGGAGCTTCATCAAAATAAAACACAAATGGGGTCATGTCAAGGTATCTAAGAAGGCAACACGAAGAAGAATGATAATGATAAAAAAAGAAAAAGAGTCAAAACAAATAGGTGGTTTTTCATGGGCATACACGCATATACCCATAAATCGAATAATCAAATCGTCCAAAGATCAAATGGCAATTCAAGTGAACGCCCTTCCCCAGCCGCCCGCCAGTGCAGTGCAGATCAATCATTCAATTAGCGTGTCGAGAATGTTGGGATTTCACCGTTGCAGCCTTCCACTGCCACACCTCCCTTCTATCGTCGGCCATGGCCATATAGTAGTGTCCCGGTTGGGGCATCAGATACAAGGATCTCTCAAAGAACTCCATGTTATAAACTGTTCCCATTGGTTTGACAAGGTTGTCTCGGTAATAGGTGTTGGTGTTTTCTTTTTTCTTCTTTTCTTTCTTTTTCTTACTGAATCTCCTCTACCTGAACTTGGCTCTGCACCGGCCCATGACCTCGCCCTGGCAGACCAGCTCGGCACTGAATTCACTACCATCAAGGGTGAGGTAGATGTCAAAGTACACACGGTAAAAGGTTCCCTGGGGAGTATCCATGCGCTCAAAGTCGGTCTCCAGGTTCTTTCGTGACAGGTCCGAGGTGAGTGTGACAACCTCCTTGATGCCTAAACCATTGTTAATTGTGATCAACCAATTAGGGCGAGGCCTCTACTTACGTGGATCCTTGGTGTATTCTGGGCAGACATCCTCATCACAGGCATAAAGGATATCCTCGTACATGAGGGTGGCTCCTGGCGCAACCTGTCGGAAGAAGCTGACCTTGACCGGCTCGCCAATCTTCACACGCTCTCCCTTTTGCACGAAAATCTGTCTCGTGTACTTGCACCGGTCCCTGCCATCAAGACTAGGAACACGGTACTGCTCGGGGTGGTAGCCCTCCTTGAAGGGCTGCAAGGTTGCCATGAGGTAGTGCCGACGGGCAACACGGTGGGTGATAACCCGCTCTGTGATTCCTGCTGTGACGGCACCCTTGACAATGGCTGCGACCGAGTCCATAGGTCGAACCACCTTGGACTGGTATTGAGGAGGCACGTGTAGTCGAATCTGTTGGAAGAGGTACTCGGATGCACCGAATCCACCCACCACCAGAACGTTCTGCAAAATTATTAGAACTGCATGTCAATGTCATTTCCGCCAAACATACCTGAAGGGACCGGTTCTGCGCCTGGATGGCAATGATCTGGTTACGAACCAGCTCGAGAATTCGGTTAACGACAGGCTCGAAGCACTGGAGAATCTCCTCATTGGTGAACGTCATGTAACCTTCTTCAATGCCAGCATCGGGAAAGTCCGCTTCAATACCAACATCCACCGCCCACTTCTGACCATTACCACGGAAATCCGCCTTTATTCGGTTCTCAAAGTCCATGATACACTTGGCATACACTCTGCCAGCTGTTCGCGATCCATCGGGCAGCTTCATCTTCCGAATCTTGGCCCGGAGGATGTTGCTAAAGTTTCTGTTGAGAGCAGTTGAACCGCAGGAATCTCCCGAACCGGCGGTACATTCGGCCACGCTGAACGGTTGTTCCTCCTCGACCTCATATGCGATCAAGTCCACAGTTCCACCACCACAGTCGACAATCAAGATGGCATCGCCGACCTTTAGATTGAGCAAGCCTGTCTTGGCACAAAAGATGGCAGCGGCCTCCGGCTCCGATACCAGTGTTAGCCGGTTGTCATTCTCATCCCGCAAGAATCCAGCTTGTATAGCGGCCGCACGCGTCGCGGCCTTTCCTGCGTCGTTCCAGATCGCAGGCACGGTAAGGTAGTATCGGATATTGCGCTCCTCACGAGCAAAAACCTCACCCAGTGTCTTTTGAAGTTGGGCCCGCATGGCCTGCCGTAACTTGAAGAGATAGTCAGCGGCAACATCGATTTCCGACTTGCCCGGAGGGAGAGGAGGAAGGTTGATAGGATCGATATAAGTGTTGCCGGAAAGCATAAGCTGCAGCTTAAACCATTCGACTTTCTGCACTCCAGGCTTGGGGTAGCCTGTCGGGGCGAGAGCGTCTGCGATATCCGGACCCCACCCGACTACTTTTTGGTATTGATCGTAGTAGAGAACTGTGGGAATCTAGAGAATCAATAGTTAGCCACTGTGTCTTGTATCTTGGTTGTCGCAGCCTGTGAACCCACCTTTTGCTTGGTATGCGTTCCAGCACCAGGCCACTCGGTAATGATATCTTCTCTCGCCTCATTGTTGGTCGCAAAGGCAAAAGCAACACCGGAAAAGGTGGTACCAAAGTCAATTCCAACAATGAGCTGGGCCTTGCTGCGGCCAGCACCCTCGACCTCCGCAGCGGATGCGGAGTTTCGCACAAACTGCGGCTGCATGCCGGGAGCCATGCCAATGGGCTGCTGCTGCTGCATGCCGTAGCCCGGGGGAGCACCGATCGGCTGAACCGCAGGCTGGGAGACTTGGGTGTATTGCATGTTGGTATTAAGCGAAGGAGGGTGATGAGCTAGTTGCTGACCGGCAGGGGGCATCGGACTCGTGGGCCGACCCAAAGAGTTGTATGTGTAACTTGGGGGCCGACCCAAAGTATTTTGAGGGTTCATGGGAAGGCTAGTAGTCGAAGAACTGTGGCCGGAGGGAGGAGAGCTGGGAGAGGTGCCAGTCGAGGGCGGAGGAAGAGGATTGCTCAACTGGGGCGACGATGGAGTGGGAGCGGGTTGTTTGGTACGTTTTGTCCCAAAGCCAAATGATCGGAGTTTCGAGCTCATCGAGTCCATATGAATGGCTAGCGACGAGCCGTCGGAGGGGTCGGGAAAGAAAGGGAGGAAAGAAAAGAAGAGAGGAGGAGGAAGAGAGGAAGAAAGAGTGAAAGGAGAGAAAGGAAGAGAGAAAGAGAGTGAGAAGAGGAGGGGCGGAGAGAGAGGGGAGGATAGAAAAGCGTTGGTTTGTAGAGGCAGTGCCAGCCAAACAACAGAAAAACCCCGTTCACTTTCTTCTTCTTTTTCCTTCTGATTTCCCGCTTGTTTTTTTTATTTTATTTTTATTTTCTTTAGGACAACTTAGCGAGGGAAAAAGACGGAACAAACACGAGAAGGACCAGGGAAATCAGATTATTTCTGGCGATGAAAGGGAGAGGGATAAAGGGATCGAATTGGTCCTGGTGACAGGGTTTGGCAGATCGGGTGAGGCTGAGTAGTTTCTGGCTACTGATGAAGCAGTTGGTGGGTAATCCAGACGGAAGATGAAGCAGATGGAGGTGAAGAAGATGAAGATGAAACTGGCAAACTGAGGCAGCTGATGAAACAGTGATGGAAGCAATAATGATGGATGATAAACTCCAGATCAAAGGGAGAGCGACCAACACGAGATGGCGGGATTCGGATGTAGCCTTACTTCAGTATCAGTATGATTACTATGTATGTTGCTATTATTGCGATGATTATGAGTCTATCATGAATCTATCCATGAACAGTCTACAGTCCACAGTCTACAGGATGTAAAGTATTCAGAATATTGATATATTGTTTATCTTCATCTTTGATTCTTGACTTTTATCGCCATCCAGCGTTGAGAATGCGGAGGTTCGTGGCTGGTACGGTCACATACCGTTACATACCATTCTTACCATACACGCCTAAGTGGGGGGGCATTGGGGGCCTTTTCTACAGTACATTTCTGACATTTCTCATCTAAATTACTTATTTGTATATTTTATCAATATTAAATATCATATAGATTAATAAACATATAAGCAGTTGACTATTATACCTCGTCTACTATCTTTCATTCTATTCAATTCTTCCTATTTTGGAGACTATCAGAATTCAGAAGGACAAAGGAACTACGACTAGTTCCTAGTCAGCCTGACGCTCCAGCCCCTCGAATACGATTCCACCTGGTCCAAATAGGATTGGGATTTTCATTCCATCGAATTTCATAATCTTATTATGGGGACAAACAGAGATCGGTCGTGTCCACTGTCCAACAACCGAGTCAGACTGTGTGGCACAGTCAATACCTACCTACAGTAGAATACATCGACAATAATGTATTTACTATACGTGACAAACGGTACCTGAACTGACCCACGGAACAGCCCGACCAGCGCCCAAGCTGTCTACTGTCAGTAGTCATTCAATTGAAGAATCATGTTGGTGATGGAAAATGAGGGGATAATCATGTGTGCAAGTGTTGGTGCAAGATGGAGTCGGATTGGTAGAAATGGTGGAGAAGACTCAGCCTTGTGTCTTTGTGCGGCTGAATGTCATTTCATTTCCTTTGGTCGCCTATTTTTATCGACAGTCGGGGATTTTCATAGGCACCACTATAACTGTATTTGAGAAGATCTTTTATTTTAAGCACATCTATTCTTCCTTCGTCTTTCGTGCCACCCAATGCGATGGCCGATACAGATTCTGCAGCATGCTGTCTGCGTCCTGGATGTAGCCACACTGTGATCGCTCCTCCGACGGCCGTTGTTCGATGCGGAACCCCATCCGTTCGATCAGCAGAAACACTTCTGCCTCCGTCAGCTCCACATTGCCTGGTTCTCCGATGCCTGTCGTCTCGCCGTCTGTGCTGCTGCTGTTGCGGTCTTCGAAATGCCACAGTAATGGACCGACGTTGATCCAAACGCCATTCGGCTTCAGACAGTGACGGATCGTCTCGATGTAGCGGATCAGGTTGGGCGCGGTGTCGATGAAGAAGACGGTCGTTACCGCATCAAACGTCTCCTTGTTGGATGGGCTGGTGTAGAGCACTATAAAGTCGGCGGCGGACATGCTCATCGATCCCAGCGGTGCCGCTTCTTCGGCCTGTGCTTCCATGATCGCCGTGGCGGGGTGGACATCCGGGATCATGACTGTGCGCAATTGCTGCTCCCGAGAATGTAGATTAGAGAAATGCAGCGCAAACGGATGCAGCGTGTGCTGCTTCGGTCCCCGCGTGTGGTTCAACACCCAACTACTCGCCATCAGCTGGTGATAGGAGATTTCATTCCCCTCTGCCGCAAACCCAGCCCGACAGACCTCAAAGACTAATCTTCCCAGTCCAGCACCAGGAACTAGCACTTTAATCTCCTCGCCCGAGGCCTGTCTCGCCCCAAACTCCTCTGCCAGGTCACGGAGAACAGGATCGTAGCAAACCTCCCTCTCCGCCTTTCCCTCGGCGCTCCAATCCCGAAAGAACTGTCGGATGGTAGAGTGCGCTTTGTTCACATCTGACGAGGTCGCGATGCCATGCCAGTTCTGTCGCGGATCATTGGCCGCAGGATGAGCTGGCAGACCAAACGATTGCAGACCCGTCGCGAGGATCGAGTCTGCAACGTCGGCATTCGTATCAATGGCATCGTCTACTCGGTTGAAGTTGTCCAAGATGTTGAACGGGGGTTCCGAGAGCATCTGCCAGTGTGCAGATGGGAGGGCATAGAATGCCTGTCGTCGACGATGGGTGGTGTTCATATGGGCAGTTCGTCGATATTGCCTATTCCACTGTTCAGCGAATGCTCGATGTGGGATGACCAACCCAGTAGACTGTGAGGCATCAGATGACGCAGATGAAGCAGATAATTCATAGACAATATTCAATATTTCCCAACAAAGAATCCAAATCAAACATCACCGCAGATAAAAGCTATACGCACCGGAAAGAATCGAGTGTAGCAAAAAGCACTCGTCGCTCTTCATCCTCTGCCAATGGATCGAATTCCCCCGCCCAGCTGCGAGGCTCATCCTCATCCATATGTTCAGATACCATTTTAAATATAAAACTAGAATGAACCAATCTTATAACCAAATAATTATCCAGGTAGCCCAGGTAGAGAGTGTGCAGCGATGAAGATAAGAAATAAGCCGGCTACACTTTTTTCGCAGATGGTCGACGGTGGGCCCGCTTTGTTTGGCGGGGAAGAAAGACAAGTCGGACCTCAACCTTAGCAACTTCACCTCAGCAACCTCCATCACAACAACATCATCCATCTTCGCTATCTGCTGTATTCAAAGACATAGGCATATCAAGACAGTCAACAAGATGACGGAAGCACCTACCATCCCCCAAACACAGCCCGTGGCCCCCCACCTCAAATCCCAGGAATTATCCTTCCCCCTCCCCAGAGCCCTGTATACGACCGCACACGTCCATCTGACCTTCCTGGATACCTGCGCGACCGTCTTCCTGGCCAGTTCTACGCCGGGAGATTCAGCGGGGTCGATCAAGCCGATGGGGAGCTTTATCTACGCCATGCCGGATGTAAGTCACTGAGCAAATCAACTACATTTATTCTGTATTGGACTAAGGAAAACAGCGCACTTCCCCACGCTCCACCATATCGACAACATTATACACATCGCCTGCGAGTGTGGAGTACACGACGCGGATCGCAAAGATCCTTGCCCGTCGAATGGGGAAGCCTGTCTATGTGGGCTGCAGCATTGATGCGACTGCGCTGAGTTTGACGGTTGAAGAGGAGATGGAAGGGGTCAGAAAGATTGTGGAGGTTGTTTTGAAAGAGTGGGAGAAGAGACAGAATTAGTGATTTCGATTGCATACGTTTGCATGGGGGTGTTTGGTGTTATTGATTTCTTTGTGGCTATGGTAGACATGCATCAGACTGGTAATGTTCAGAATTCTTTATTTGATCATTCTTTATCTTAAATGAAAGCCTAATATCTGCATATATAGCCCTAACTTTCCTTGGATTTTGAATGGCTTCAGTAACTATCAGTCTATATATTGCATTTTATATTCACTATACCTTCATTCTGCTATATAACCCAAAACATCCATATTCTTATCCACACTCAACTATCAGGGTGTCAAGATTCTCAAGAAATACAACATAAAGCACGGTATATTAGAAAGGCACTGTCAAACCGACCACGTGTGAGTATAAATACACTCTTGACCGTATCAAACATACATTTAACATAATCAGTGCTATTTAATCCAGACCCCCATAGTTCCCGGCTGTACGTGGAGAGACGTTTTCGCTGAAGACGTTCGAGATATCCCGGAGACAAAGATGATCACGCACTGCATCCCAACCTATCCTAATACAGTCCCGAGACTGGCTAAGCTCATGCTTTTTACTCAAGGAGAGATCGATTGGCAGAAGGAGAATCTTCCATTTTTGGAAGATTCTCCTTCATACTTTCTTTTCACTCGGTTGTAATTCGTGGAACTCTTTCGGAACTAGATCTCAGTCGACTATGTGGTGATCAGTTCATCGATGGCAGAGAGGGAGCGCACAGCGGCTGCGAATAACCTCACAAACCCTTGACCCGATTCAACGAGGAGCACAATTGAGGTATTCAGGAAATGTGTCAGCTTCCTCGAATTCCAAGTCAGGGCCATATGGATCTGCAATCCTCTCTCCTTCCTCAGTTTCGTGTGTTCGTACAGACATACCGAGTATATTCTATTATTGATGCCATCTACATGGCAAACCAGCTGTCTCGATTTGTCTCCCATACCCACAAACAAATGTTGCGAAGACTGACAATGTTAGATACCACCCAGTGCAACGCTTTCCGCCTACTGACATGGGTATAACGCTTTTCTACAAAGAAAGGAGGCCTATTTGCGCTCAAGCTACCTGCTCTTATCTGGGTCCTCACCCAGGAAGAAATGCCTGTGAATTTGACAAGAAGCTCGAATGGACAAGCCTTCAGAGCCCTCTACCAGTTGTCGCAAAAAATAATGATATCCACCTGAGACATACCCCATGTTGTGGTGTCTGAGATGTGCTCAACTGCAGCCCTTACAACCACTCGAGGCTGCCTATATTAGACGATCGGGAATGTTATGTCTCTTCGGTCAGACGGACGGGATATAGATTGAGGTGAGTTATGGTCTTAAAGATTCTGGTATTCTCCATTAATCCTGATGACTTTGGTTCCGGCAGAAATAGTCTCCCCAATTCTATCTTACGGCAAATATGGCTTTTGAAATGACCTCGAAAAGCTTCAGCTGTTCAATCGAACTCGTATCTGTTGAGATAATACCAATCGACCAAAAAAGGTGAAAGGCCTCATGAGTCTTTGTGGAATTAATATTTCAACAATATCCCCGTCTACATAGAAGGGGGAGTTTGGGAATTGGATAAACCAAACTATTTTGCACGGCCTTTATATGCTATTCAACTGGCCTATGAGCGTGGACTGATTAACATTCAAGATCACGAAATTACATCTGGATTAATACTGGTTATTATAAAAACGGATTAGGAGCAGTGAAGACAGTATCATCCCACTAAATGAAGTATCCAACGATTCATAGTCGCTCTCCATCAACTCTCAACATTCTATACTATTCAAACAACGCCATCTCGCTTACTAGTAACTGGAATGCGCTAGGAAAATACCTATCTAAGTTCGAATCCTTCAAAGGATGCAAGCTTACCTTGGAACGGCCCGATACGAGAGCAACTAGGATATCTGACGTGAGATATCCACAGGAAGTAGTTCTAACTAAATATCTTGAATATAAACAGACTGTTCAAGATAGCTTACGTGTGCCTAATGGATCTCAACCCATGGAAGCGAAAACTCGCCAAAGTTCGGTTATCTCCCGAATGAAGCACAAACAGCACTACCTCTATCTCTGTAACTAGTATTTTTAATTTCCCCATTCCACAAGATTGAAGCAGCCAGCATCACGCAACTTCAACCTGTCAAATAGAGTGAAATGCAACGTTCAAGTCGGCAAACGTTCCGACGAGTGGAGCGCACGGGTGCCTCGGCCCCTTCGGCTATACGTAAGAAGAGAAACAGGCGTAGACTACTTCTGGGAGGTCGATAGGAAAGTGTGGGATGTATCATGTATCACCAGTGGCACTGGCCGACGAAGCCTGTTTGGGAGATTCGGTTCGTTAGAAAGAAACATCAATCAATTATTCAATCAATCAATTGGTAGGGTAACTAGGTACTATGGCCTGCATGGGTGGAACTGGACGGGTGGTTGACCAGTCTAGTCTGTGGGTGCTTCTGGGTGTCTCGGACGAGCGATTATTCTTGGCTGAGGCTTTCCAAGCGGCGCAGTAGTCGAGACATGGCGCAGATGGTTGGCGATGGTAAAGCCGTGGCTAATTCATGTTGAGCGCTTGGTAGGCGTAGCACATAATCAATCCCATGGCCAAGATGAACTTGATTATCAAGCAGGTGTCTGGTTCTCGATCAGCAGGAGGGGTGGCGGAGTGGGTGAGGAACATGAGGCGGATAACGATGTAGACGAGACATGTTTGAATAAAGAGGAGAAGAGGGATTGGCCAGGTACTTGGTGAGAGAATCGACATGATATGAATATGAATTGAATTGAATATGTCACTGTTCTCACTGCTCAATGAAGCTGACAGTGGGATGATGCCCTATAGACAAGGCAGCAACAGCCAGCCAATCAACAGCCACGGCCCCATTCCCACGTGGACAAGGCGAGGTCCGAGTCGTGAAGCCAAAAAAAACCGGGCGAAGAGGGGAATCGACCAGTCGGACAGCATCAAGAGACAAACTCTCGGATATGGAGTACATACGGAAGACTCCGAGCCTGCATCTAACTAACAGCGACTAACATCCCAGGTGATACACACACATAACCCCTCAATCTGGCTGGAGGGGCGGTCCGTCGGCACGTTCAGCCAGCCTCTTTCTCTGGTCACTCACTAACTCATTGGTCACACAGGATGTCCATCACCACGTTAGCTCACCACCAATCACCCCCCAACAATACCGCACCATCCAGTCATTCTACGCGAATCATAAGACTTGAGGAGATCTTTTCCGCTAGTGGCCAGTCGTGCAGTCGTGGGTACAGACGGCTCGTGTACAAAAAAAAATAAAAAAGGAGCTACAAATGGATGAGTCTGGACTGGGTGATGCAGGTGCAGATGCAGGATCCAGCAGGGAAGGGTGCAGCGTACATACAGGAAGACGGGAATCCAATCACTCCGGACCAGGCCGAGAAACAACAACGATCGACAAGCAGATGTTGGAACGAGAGTGGTTGAGACTAACTGAGACCTGAGCGAAAGACGGTTGAAAGGGAGATTTTCGGACGAAAAGCGGACAAACAACAAGACAGTCGGGGATGGCGGCTACGAAAAATCTCCGTTTGGGGGATGTGATTGGGGGGTTCGGATTTCTTCTCGCAGACGGTTGAGACTAAGAGACGACCAAGATACAAAAGGTCCACCGCCGGTTGACCATCCGGACTGGGTTTCCATGTGGCCCGTTCGGTGGTTTCGTCTGGGAGGATTCCGAGTCGATCACGATCCGCTTCACACCTTCTTCTTTGGTCTTTCTTTCTTCCTATTCGATTTGATTCTACCTATCCTACAAAGTCCTGATCTATTTGAAGAGATCATGACACTCACCCCCATGGCTTCGGGGTCTGTTCAGTTCTCTCGTATCGTGAAGATCATCACCACCATCACGGTGGACCCATGGACCAGGCAAAGGGCAGCCATGATCTGACTACACTGCCACTGCCGATCTCGGGATGCTTCACCGTTAGCAGGAGGCCTGACCTCGAGTATTTTAGACTCTGTCGGTAGATGAAGAGGGTAAATATTGGATAGAAATAATCCTAAAGTCCTAATAATATAACTGTCAGTGTCACCACATACCTTGTATCTGGATACTCTCAGAGTAAAGTAAAGTAAAGTAAATTATGTAGAAAGAAGAATGACAGACGATCTCTGCAGACTCTCCATCTTATTTGCTCCATCTCCGCCTCACGATCTCAGCCTGGTTCGTTTCAGCCAGTTTGGTCACTACAACAGTCGATCTGGTTCTCTCATTTATATTATTATTATCATCTTCTTCTTCTTCAGACCCTCTTTGTTGCTCCCTGGTTTGCTCCCTCCTTTTTCCTCTTCTGTCGTCTAGATACTCCAAGATAGATCTCCTCCAGATCCCGTCTTCTCTAGCGGTAACCTCGGTATTGACTGGCTCATCGTCTTCCTCAGTCCTCACCATCTCATTCTCATCATCATCATCTTCATCTCCACCATCATCATAATCTTCTCATCCATTCTCCTCTTCTTCCCAATTCATGTACCCGATCGCTTTTCCCGTCCCGCGCCAACTCTAATCCTCTTCCAGGGATTCACTGCTCCGGCCTTTGCTCGATCGCAACACCTCTGCAGCCTCCCTTTTGCCACCGTCATTCCATTTTTTGGTTGAATAATTAATTGTGTTTTGAGAGCACAGCGTCATTCCTTTTTGTCATGTCAATCTCTTTATCTTTGCTCTGTTAGATTCTTTGTTACCACCACTCTCCCTCACCACCACACCATACCACCACAAACATCGCCAAACTACCACACCAACACCCCATATGAGGTTCATTCAATCTCCTCATCATGCAGAATTCCTTTTTTCGCCCTGCGACTAGCCAGGGTCAGCAGGGTGTCCCCTACGACCTCCCCCCCGTCCACTCCGTCACTTCCCCCCAGTCCCAATTCCACCAACCCCCCGCTGCTCTTCTTTCCGCTCCGCCGAGCAGGCCTGACAGCGGACTGAGAATGTCTCATCTTCTGCAACCTCTACCCCAGCAAATGTCTAACCCTCCTCCTCCGGTCACTACTTCTTCCTACTCGCGCTCGTATGAATCGAGCTCGGGTTCGCCCGCTGAGGGCGTCTCCATCCTCCCCGATGCTCCTCCAAATGGTTCCGTTTCCGGGGGTTCGGGCCTGTTACACTCGGGTGGCGTCCCACAGCATCCTGCCCACTCCCAACAACCACTGCAGCAGAAGCGAGCTTATCGACAGAGACGGAAGGATCCTAGCTGCGATGCCTGTCGTGAGCGCAAAGTCAAGGTATTTCTTCTTCTGCTACGTTTCTTCCGGTCAGGGTTGGTTAATTCAGTAGTGCGATGCCTCCGACTCCACCAGTTGTACAGAATGTACCAACCGCAAAGTGCGATGCCAGTTCACCAAGGAGACCAACAGACGCATGTCCTCTATCAAGTTTGTGCCATGGCCATCTTGCTTTGATGTTCCTTCGATTCTGATTCCACAGTAGACAAGTGCAAGATCTGGAAAAACAACTGGTCACCACCAGACAGCAACTGCAGCAACTGCGGTCGGGTTCCATGAGGTCGGATAATATCATGGACCTTGATCTCGACAATCCCAGTCAACCGCTGCTCAAGCTTCCCGAAACCTCAAATCGCCCCTCCCGGAGACCCAAGGCGCCCATCGTGCAGGACCTTACCGAAGTACGAACCAATCTGCGGAACTACGGGAGGGGGATTCTGAAAGTGCCCCCGCCATATCGCCAGCGGGGCTCGAAGCCGTTGGTGACAGGTGAATCGCCGCCGCTGCCTCCCAAGGACGTCGCAGATCGTTTCTTGGGTCAGTACTTTTCCTGCATCCATTCAGTGTTCCCCGTGATTCACTGGCCCAGCTTTGTCGCGGAATATGAAGAACTCTATCGTGCTGGAACGCTTCAAGGGGTCCCTCGGGACTGGGCAGCTGTTTTGTTTGCTGTGTTCGCCTGTGGTTCGCTTCATACACTCGATCGTGCCAGGGAAGAGGAGGGCAAGGAATTTGTCAAGACGGCCTGCGGGGTTATGGATATATGGCAGGACGACTTCTCTCTGGATCGAGCACGAATGGCCCTAATAGTCAGTATATTTCTCTATGAGGTGAATTCCAAGTCGGCGAGTTGGGTGTGGATTGGTTCTGCAGTGAGGGTTGCTCAGGAGATTGGTTTGCACATTGAGTCTGGGCCATGGCCCACACTGGAGGGGGAGATGAGGAGACGTGTATGGTGGGGGTTATACGCCTGGGATAGGTTTGTGGCTCTTGACCTGTGATGCTTGTCCAGTGCTGATTTCTTTAGACTCCTTTCCCTCGAGATGGGAAAACCGGTTCTGATCAACGATCAGGACTGCGATGTCGACCTCCCCTGTCCCGTCGACGATCAGTATATTTTGGAAGGAGGGGTGCCTGAAGGACAACAGACCACACCGCTCTTATCAACGATCCATGTCGTTCGGTCGATCGGTCAGCTTACACGAACCTTGAGATGTTCCACCATCAGCCCGCAGACTCTCGAAACGTTTGAGCGACACTTCAACGCTTGTCTGGCCACCTTCCCCGTACATTATCATCCGAAATCCGACCAATACCTGGATCCTCGCTCTCTCGCCCCGATCATCTACCTTCAAAATGCTCGGTTTATCCTCCACCGTCACAACATTTCTCCTTTCTGTCCGTACGAGGTGCGATCGTCTGCATTGGATTACTGTCTTTCCACCTGTTTGGATACAGCGCGCCTTCTTTCGCGCTGCATGCAGAATCCTCCTGGCAACGGACACGACTGGCAAGGGTTGATTGCATCTTCTGCAAGTACCATGCTCTGCACACATATCTGGCGTTGTGCGCTTTTACTGCTCTTCCGCCAGGAATACGCGGCTGCATTAGTTTGTGTTCAAACAAGCGCCATCATCAATGATGCCCGTAGTGTGAACATATCCTGTGGACGATATATTGCCTTTTTCCTGAACTGTCTTCTGGACCGGTTACGCCAAAACGAAGTGGTTGATTTCGAGCGCGACGAAGAAATGATGGCCTACGTGTCTGGTGATATGCAGGGCACCAACGACGGCAGCTGGATCTGGCAAGGCAGCGAGACAGGCTCTCAATTAGAGGCAGTACCATCGAATCCCAAGTCACAGAGCGAGCAGCAAGCCAAGGAATCAGAATCCAACTGGGAGAGCTGGGGATGGGTGGAGCGAACGGTACAATATCTCCTCAGCGAGAAACAGCAGCGACAAAGGGAATACGAAAGACAGCGTGAGAATGCCCGAATGGCAGAAACCAAGTTCCTCAGTCCCGATTCGGCGGCTGGGAACACGGACGAGGCGAACCGACGGACGAGTTCGTCTCACTCGCGCATGACGATTGCGAGCATTATATGATCCACTCGCATCATTCTACGTACGCAAGTACAATTCTCGACTGCACGATCTTATCTGCAGCACACGATGCCTGCTAAGTTGCGACTCAGCAACCACGGCAACGGCATCGGCCTAATCCCCCGCGCCAGGAATATTACTCCCCAGGAGAAAATGGCAGCATGTGAAATGAGATTATGGCTAACGATGAGAAGGAGTCATGGAGGTAATTTTACAAAAAACAACCTGTTTGAGTATACAGTGTATATGGCATGCATATGTACAGCTACAGCATAGCGTTTATGAGATAATTTGATAGGTGTATAATTGAATTGAGCATTGCATTGCATCAGCTCTTTTTTTATTCTTTATATCATCACGTTAATAGACAATATCATAAGTCTATCTTATCATCTATCCCACCACCATACCATCATAATTTTTTTAAACATACAGAGAAATAGAATTAAAATCAAGTCTCCAGATTAATACTCCTTCCGAACCGCGCATACAACGCCACCTTCAACTGCTGCAATTCCTCTCTCAGCTCGCCCAACTTATCCTCCAACCCGGACACGTCCGAGTCAATCTGCTCTGTGGACGAGGAGAGCAGAGACTGGGCATTTTCCAGGGGGAGATGGAAGAAGGCGTCTCCGATTTTGTACCTGGACAATCATCAACATACTGCTCAATTTAGAAGGATAGAAAGACAGATTGAAACATACGGAACAAGCTCATCCTCATCAGCAAGCTCAAGTTCTGTTGAGATTTCCTCGAGATCTTCCTTGTCTTTCTGTTTGTTGTTAGCAACTACACCGCAATCATGATCATGATCATGAATAGGGGTTAGGAGATAGGGGCAAGATAGTACCTGCTTCCCCTTCAGCATCTCCTCCAGCATCGTCTCTCGCTGATGAAGACGACTGAATCTGTTAATCTTCTCCTGGTCCTCGCGACGGACTTCGTTTTCCTCCGTGCCGGCCGCGGAGACCTCGTCTTCTTTTGAGAGCTAGATTGATTGTTAGTCTAGCTCTTTTTTTCATGGATGGTCTAGTGCGGGGAGTGCAATTACCATGCGGTGCATCATTTTGGCGGTTTTATGTATGTATTAGGGTGAGAGGGGATAGAAGGTGTTGGGTGTTGGATATTGAAGCTGTTGGAGGTTTGCGTGTGTGGTGGTTGTGGTGGTCTGTGCGGGGCATTTGGTGGGATGGGATGGGGATTTGGGGACTTCGTTTTTAATCAGTTATCATTCTCTCTTTTTCATTCTTTTTATATATTATGTATTGCTTATTATACTATATATCTCCTTCTTTGGTTTATTTTATTTTCTTTTCTTTTCTTTTTATTTGGGGTGATTGATGAGGCTTTCGTTGAGATGCACCTGCTGGATGGCACCTTTGGATAGCTTCATCTTAGATAAACTAGGCAGAAAGATGACAGAAATAGCAATGCCCTCATACAGGCAGACATGAATGAGAGCAAGCAACAAAGAAACAGAGAATAGCTGATCCTCTGCTCGTGTCGGGTGACATCATCATCTTCCCTTCCTTGTCATCTGCTCTTCTCCGCATGGTCCAAGGATATTGCATCTACTTTTTTATCGATCTAGATATCTATAATACCTGTCCATTCTATCGTAATATCGTCATACTCGTCGTTAGTTTCATTATTATCTGTATAACTATTGTGTGCGACTCTTTTTGCCTCGAATCCGTATACCATCGGAGAAAAGAAACACCTCCGCAGCCACAGCAACCAACGCAGCTTCAGCTTGTTACACCGTCCTCGTCTTAGCCTGAGATTTTATCCATCGCTCACCGTCCCCAGGCTCGGTATACAGCATATTTATATCCTCATCAGGGCTTACCAACTATCGCCTATCTGATACGTCACCTGTATTACTTCTCCAACCCAGCTAGCTAGCTGATGAGCTACGCCGATCCATAAATCAAATCCCTTGACCAACACCAACACCTACACGGTCATCACGACTTATCCTCCACACACCTCCCATCCATCGCAAATACACACACATACGCAATGCGATTACAATCCAATCTCCTCCCCTCCGTTGTCCTCGGTTTCCTTCCCTCCCTGGTCTCCGCGACCGGCTTCGACTGCGCGCACATCAACGCCGACGGATTCAAATATGACCTCAGCCCCCTGGGCGGCGTGCATTCCGTCTACCATGCCGAGACTACAGAGCAGTTTGTCCAGAATACGACGTATGTGTTGAATATATGCAATATTCTGAAGGGGGCTGCGAATAGAGGGCGGCTGCAGTGTGGGACGTCGAAGAATAGTATGTCTATTTTTTTTTTTCTCTCTCTCTCTCTCTTGGGCTGCTTTTTTCTTGGGGAAGTAAGTTGGTGCAGTGATACTGACTGACGATAGTCTGCGGATTCCGATACACTACCTCCCTCGACCACACAGACGACCATGATACAGCGTTCCCCATCGCCGGACTGGACCACCTCGGCCACGGCACCAAAGACCCCGAAGTGACGCGGTTGAGGAAACTCGATTCCGCGCAGGACGGGCTCCTTGTCAAACTCTCTGGCGGCGAATACGTCGACGAAGAGAAGAAGAAGAAAGACGCCAGCGCGGTCATCGAGTTCAAGTGCGATCCCGACCGGTCGGGGTTGGAGGGTCTCGAGACGGCGGAGGATTTAGAGATGCGATTGCGCGCGAGGGCCGAATCGAATACGGGCATGGATATGCAGCAGAATAATGGAACAGGCGGCGATGGCGAGACGGTCGACCCCGCGAATACAAGTCTTCAGTTTAAGAGCTTCGGGCCCGGGGATGATAACTCATATGTGTTGAAACTCGACTGGAGGACCAAGTATGCGTGTGATGATTATCTCAAGGATAACCCGGGCGAGGCATCTTCTAATCACTGGGGATTCTTTACCTGGTTGATTATCATGTACGTCCCTTCTTCTTCTTCTTCTACTACACACAGACACCAGATGGAAAGCTAATGTTGTACAGCGTCTTCCTTTGCACCGCCGCCTACCTCATCTTTGGCTCCTGGCTCAACTACAACCGCTACGGGGCAAGGGGCTGGGACCTTCTTCCTCACGGCGATACCATCCAAGATATCCCGTATATCCTGTCCGATTGGTTCCGGAAGGTGGTCAATACGGTCCAAGGGACGGGATCGAGAGGGGGTTACAGTGCGGTGTAGGGTGACTGTCGACGAATGACGATCAGTTGGATGGATGGGAAGGATTGGATATGGATTATGCGTATGAATATGGAACATTGGATAGATGATATTGCTGGTTGGATAAGTTATGATTAAGTCGAAATGTATGCATTATGTTCCAAGTGTAAGTATCATCGTAAGGGTAAATTGATAATCGATAACTAACAATCTGGAGTATCCTAAACTAACAGTGTACAATCTCCCAACATTCATAAGAAGACAGGTAGCAAATATAACAACAATAGCAGCAAATAACAACAGCAAAGCACGATAAAGTTCAGCACAATAACCCACAGAAAGCACGACATCTCCGATCAGTGAGAAAAGGAGTGTAGCGGCCGGCAGATGGCGTCATCAGAACTAAGATCTCATCATCATCAGGTGCAAATCACGTTAAAGTAAGGAAAACCCCCCTCTCCCTCCCTCGCTCCTCCACTTGGTATTCTGTTGCCAGTTTCCCACTTTCCCTTCTCAATTCTCCTCCTTATTGTTTACATTCCCCGAGGTAGGTATTTCCACCCAAGGTCTACACCCGCATGGCGAATTGCTTCATGTAGAGGTAATCCGCCATGTTGTCGTCGACGGTCTTGCGGATGATGGCAGCGGCTTTCTCGCCGTATTTCTCTCGCCATTCTGCGTCGAACTGGGCTTCGGTTTTGACGGGGCGTTTCTGATTGATCAGGTTAGTTTCGTCTCACTGGAAAACAAGGGCAGGGCAGGATAGAATGATGCTAATACATACGTGTGTTCTAGCTACCAACCCCCTAGACTCGATGGCATCGTTGTGAAATCCCCTCCACTTCTCAAAGGCATCCCGGGCAACCTGGTGGTCTTCATCGGTATCCCAGTTCAACATGGCAGGGGTATACTCGAGGCCGACGCTGCGGCAGAAGGCCTCAATCATGGGTGCCGGCTTCTCGAGCATGTCGTCTGCGTCGACGACACAGATCTCAGCTCCGGACTCGTGCAGGGCCCCGTTGCCGTTCACCACGGGCTTGAGGCTGTCGTCGTCCTCGTCTTCGCGCGTGGCGACATGCGGGCCAATGAGACGCACATTGCGCAGGTGGTCAAACACCCGACGCACCTCGTCGTACCCGGCCTCGTTGGGATAATACTCATGGAACCCTGTCACCTCGTCCAGGGGAGGGATGGTACAACGGAAGTACGAGGGAACACTGAAGTGCGGGTCCCGGATGAGGAAGGCAAAATGGAACTGGGCCATGATTTCCGTGGGCATCACGGTGGGATTACCCGGTTCTGCCTCTGTGGCATACGGGTAGGGTTCCTGGTCCAGGCTTGCTGCTCCTACGGCTGTGGCATGGCCATTGCCCATGTGCTCTGCGCAGGAGTGACCGTGGTCATTCTCGGCCGCATGGCCGTTGGTGGTGGTAGTGCCATTGGTACCGTTCACGGTCGCAATATGGCCATTTGCCACCCCGTTCATCTCCTCCGCGTGGCCATTGGCCGAGCCGTTTGCTCCGTTGGTGATACCCTCAGTGCCTACGCCGCGCTTGATTCTGTTCAACGAAGGGGCGATGCTGGCGGGCTTGCCATCCGGAGGAAGGAGGTAGTGGATGATGTCTTTGATGAAGACTCTTTTGTTCTCATCCTGCTGACGGTAAGTTTATGAAGATGAGAGGTCGGTCAGAGTTTTCATGAGTGAAAAAAAGAAAGAAAAAAAAAAGGCCGGATAGGGACATATCTGCCCGCTATCCCATGTCCTTCATGCCACACCCTGCCTCTACATCATAGGACAATCGGGGCATTACGGAACGAAAAAGAAAAGGAAAAAGGAATGCGGGGAATGAGATTCGATGAAAGAAAAGATCGAACCTCTGAAGCTTCAAGGTCGATTCTATCGAGCACCGTCTTGAAGGTGGACTTGCTGAAGCCGCTATCCAGACGGGCCTGTTCGTCGTGTGCAAATCTAGCACTGAGCCTTTCCGGGCCGTAGTAAAAGGCATCCCCAAAGGGTTCGTGAATGCATCGGATATCAGTCCGACGAGTCATGAAGACCTATCAGATGTTAGATATCACCTAGAAATAAAGATAGAAAATGTAGGTGACGGCAAACTAACTCGTTCAAAAGCCGTAGAGCATGCTCTCGGATGGGTGACCACGAAGATCGGTTTCTGAGACATCTTGGAAACCTTGATCCTTCTTTCAGGATCGACAGAGGTTGAAGAAGTCAAGAAAGAAGAAGAACTATTGTCGACCAGGGAGTTTCACCACTGGAGGATAAGTTCCTTGCGTCTTACAGAAGACAGACGAAGGTGGCTTTAAGGGAAGATAAGAGTTTAAAAGAACCAGGGAAAGAAGAAGAATCTTTACTTTTCTTTCCCAAATGACACAAAGTCAGTTAGTAATGAAGAAGGAAGAAGAGGAAAGAAAAAAAAAAGAGGAGAAAAAAAGTGATGCTAAAGAGCCGGATTTATAGTGTGAGGATAGAGGATGACTGGATGAGGGGAACAAAAAGGCAACCGATAAGAGGCTCTCCCTTACACTTGCTATGAATGCTATAATAAACAAATACTATTATATTAATATTACCAACTACAACTACTAAAGAATAATTCTGCAAAAACAGTTTAAACACCAGGAACAGCTCAGATGATTGAGATCTACAGCCCCTCACAGCCCATCCAGCAGAGATTTCATGAGAAATTCCCAGTCACAGCGTGTTCTGCGGCAACCGTCCAAATGGATCAAATGTCGTGATTGCTCCCACGGGCCCTTTCAGCCCATCCAATAGGCAGCAGCTGGCTCAAGGGCTGGCCAGCACGAAGTGGATTATTCTAGTCCAGAGGAGGAGCAGAAAAGTGGGCATTTCCCGATGGTGACTGAGACTGTGTGCAACTGGAATAATATTTTATGGAATGGGAGAGGCATTTTCTTGCTGCTCGTGTATCCCTGTTTGCTGGTTCTTGACGTCATGATTCGTCGTCTAGACAGATATGCAGATAGCTGCATCGACAGAGTCGATATATAATAGTTATGCATAGAGGCAGAAGATGTAGGTCAATAGATATGGGAGAGGGTTCTCACATCGCAGGTGTACTTTGTATACTAGGTGTAGAGGTATCCATGTCGATGAAGATGAGATCCACATCACTAACAAAGGCTGCAACTGCGGCGTCGAAACTAGCCTTTTTAGCTCCTCGATCGATGGCTGAGAATTATCCTGGATTAATCTTTTAGGATTCAGTTTTCAGGGATGCTGGATAAATGGCTATATTCATACTCGTCCTATGCTGTATCACTCTGGCTGCTTATGTATGCATGCGTTGTCTACCCCGTATGGATGTCCCTTATCAGGCAAACAAAGCTTATATAACACACGCAATAGCACAGTAATGCAATGCAAAAATGTCTTATATATGCCATATAATCCCTCAATACCCAATATCCAAATAGATGGCCCAGAGTGCTCCGTATAGTGGTCTGATGGCGATGCGGGTCAACGGGCGGAACTCCTCAAACGGAAGAGCCCGAGACTCCATCGTGGCTGTCTGAGCGATATATTATATGTAATTATTAGGAATATTTATTAGTAGTCCCTTTCGCACGAGTGTATATAGTACTTTTGAACCCTATCCAAAGCCACGGCTTCGTATATCAACCTAGAGATAAAAATATCAACCTCGGGCGGGACGGAAAATGGACCCACTCGAGCCAATCGGAATTCGCGTATTAAGCCAATCAAGTACCCGTCACTAACGCACGTGATAGGTCATGTGATATCATCTGATATCACGTGGCTTTATATCGCCAGCCCTCTTCATCTTCTTCCACTCAGCTTCATCCAAGCTGAATGCCTGCTAGTACTTTGGCATCCCTGAATTCCCTGGATCTTCCCTGTTGATCTGATAAAATACGAACCCAGGAACCTTCTCTACGTTGATCTTCAATAACCTTGAGTAGCACCGCACTTGCCAAGGTCAACCATCGCCAGCCGCGGCAGGCTCGATATATACAAAAATTAACCGTAGTAGCACTCTCAAGTCTCGACTGGCGTGCTCTGGCCAAGACCTCGGCCATCCTTTAGATCCTTTGTAGTGTCGAATAACTCAAGATGAAGCGGATTTGATCGAGTCATCGAGTAGGCCGAATGCGGCGATATGCGGCAGAATCTAGACCGTCACCTGATCTCACCTGACATCATTGATTCACGTGATTTTATATTGACAGGCGGTGTAAACGGGCAGAATAGATATTCTAGAAGGCGGTGGAAGGCACTCGTTGCGTCATGCCGCTTCCCGCCGCTTCTCGATGCCCAACTCGGCCTGTCTATATCAACGCTTGCTTCACCTCTCGTTCCTGCATTTCATCTCATCTCATCTGCATATCATACCTCGACTCTTGGGGATCTCTCATCCTCTCCATCTACCTCCTCTACCTCTTTTCCTTTGTACACCTATCTAATATACAAGCGTCACCATGAACGGGGCTCAATTCACAGACAAAGCCAACAAGGCTTTGCTGGATTCCAGCTCTCTTGCCGAACAATATTCTCATTCTCAGATCCTCCCAATTCACCTCGCAGTCTCCCTTCTCAATCCTTCCCCAGATGAATCCAAAGACCAACAGACTGCCTTCCACCCCTCCCACGATGCCGCTTCTGCCCCGCTCTTCCGCCAGGTCGTCGAACGCGCCCACGGCGACGCTCAACTCCTCGACCGCTCTCTCATGAAACTACTAGTCCGTCTGCCCAGTCAGGATCCTCCACCGGAAACTGTTAGCGTTTCTCCTGCGCTGGCAAAGGTCATCCGTGCCTCTACCGAGTTGTCCAAAACCCAAAAAGATAGCTATGTCGCTATTGACCACCTGATCCTGGCGATGGCACAGGACTCTCAAGTCCAACGCGCATTGGCTGATGCCAACATCCCTAATGCCAAATTGATCGATAGTGCCGTCCAGCAGATCCGCGGGACAAGGCGCGTGGATTCCAAGACGGCAGATGCGGACAGCGAGAGCGAGAACCTTCAAAAATTCACCATCGATATGACTTCTTTGGCAAGAGAAGGAAAGATTGACCCTGTTATTGGTCGACAGGAGGAAATCCGTCGGGTCATCCGAATTCTTAGTCGACGTACCAAGAACAACCCGGTTCTCATCGGTGAGCCCGGTGTTGGTAAGACCACCATCGTCGAAGGTCTTGCCCGTCGAATTGTCGACGCCGATATTCCCGCCAACCTGGCGCAGTGCAAGCTGCTCTCGCTCGATGTCGGCTCTCTGGTTGCAGGAAGCAAGTACCGTGGAGAGTTCGAAGAGCGCATGAAGGGCGTGCTCAAGGAGATTGAAGACTCCAAAGAAACCATCGTCCTGTTCGTCGATGAGATTCACCTACTCATGGGCGCTGGTTCCAGTGGCGAGGGCGGCATGGATGCTGCTAACCTCCTGAAACCCATGTTGGCTCGAGGCCAGCTGCACTGTATTGGTGCTACCACGCTGGGTGAATACCGAAAATATATTGAAAAAGACCAGGCTTTCGAAAGAAGATTCCAGCAAGTCTTGGTCAAGGAGCCGACTCTCTCCGAGACCATTTCCATTCTTCGTGGTCTGAAGGAAAAGTACGAGGTGCATCACGGTGTCAACATCCTTGACGGTGCCATTGTTTCTGCTGCCACACTCGCCTCACGGTATCTTACCGCTCGTCGCCTACCCGATTCGGCGGTTGATCTGATCGATGAAGCCGCAGCGGCTGTGAGAGTCGAACGCGAGTCTGAACCAGAGGCCCTGGACACATTGGAGCGGAAGCTCCGTCAGCTCCAGATTGAAATCCACGCTCTGGAGCGTGAAAAGGATGATGCATCCAAGACCCGCCTGGAAGCTGCCAAGCAGGAAGCTGCCAATATTACGGAAGAACTTCGGCCTATCCGCGAGCAGTACGAAAGTGAGAAGCAGCGCAGCAAATCCATCCAGGACGCCAAGATCAAGCTCGACTCCCTCAGTGTCAAGAGAGACGAAGCGGAACGGTCTGGGGACACCCAGACTGCTGCAGACCTAGGGTACTACGCCATCCCGGAGACTAAGAACTTGATTGCAAGACTCGAGGCAGATCGGGCCAGGACTGATGCCGAGCGACGTGCTCGCCAGGGTAACGAAGCAGGGGAGGCCCTTCTCGCCGATGCGGTCGGTCCCGATCAGATTAATGAGATTGTCGCCCGATGGACCGGCATTCCAGTTACCAGACTCAAGACCACCGAGAAGGAGAAATTGCTGGACATGGAAAAGTCTCTGAGCAAGCTAGTCGTTGGCCAGAAGGAGGCGGTGACGTCTGTGTCAAATGCAATCCGGCTGCAGCGTTCCGGGCTCAGCAACCCCAACTCGCCTCCAAGCTTTCTCTTCTGTGGACCATCTGGTACTGGTAAGACTCTTCTGACCAAAGCACTTGCCGAGTTCCTCTTCGACGACCCCAAGGCTATGATCCGATTCGACATGTCAGAATACCAGGAACGGCACTCTCTGAGCCGAATGATCGGTGCTCCTCCAGGATATGTGGGACACGATGCAGGTGGTCAGCTGACGGAGAACCTCCGACGACGTCCATTCTCGATTCTCCTGTTTGATGAAGTTGAAAAGGCTGCCAAGGAGGTTCTCACCGTCCTCCTTCAATTGATGGACGATGGTCGTATCACCGATGGCCAAGGTCGAATCGTGGACGCCAGAAATTGCATCGTGGTGATGACATCAAACTTGGGTGCTGAGTATTTGGCTCGTCCGTCCACCAAGGACGGTCGTATTGAACCGCAGACGCGCGAGTTGGTCTTGGAGGCACTCCGCAACTACTTCTTGCCCGAGTTCCTGAACCGAATCTCAAGTGTCGTCATTTTCAACCGTCTGACGAGGAAGGAAATCCGCAAGATTGTGGATCTCCGTCTCAACGAAATCCAAAAACGCTTGGAGAACAATGGTCGCAATATCCAAATTGAGTGCTCGGATGAAGTCAAAGATTATCTCGGCCAATCTGGTTACTCGCCCGCCTACGGTGCTCGGCCTCTGGCCCGCATTATCGAGAAGGAGGTGCTCAACAAACTTGCAGTGCTGATTCTGCGCGGAAGCATTCTCGATGGTGAGATTGCTCGAGTGGAAATGAAAGATGGTCGCATTAGTGTGCTACCGAACCATGACATCCCTGCAGACGATGATGAAATAATGGATGATGAAGATGCAGCTTTGGAGTTGGAGGACGAAGACGGTGATATGGATCTGTATGAGTAAGACATGTGAATACGATGTGAATATGGGATTTATGATACACGATGTGGCGTTTTCTTTTCATTGCTTACTGTTAAAATAATTATGCATATCACTTTACTTTGAGTGTATCTAGTCAAATCAATGTTCATACCACTTTCTTTCACAAGCTTAAGTATGATCCAACTCGTAGAAATATATATGCGCTTTGGAACAACTCCCTTCAATCTGATCCAACTGTTAAAGACAGCATCATGCCATTCATAGACAGTCCATACACTTATACAAGTCTTAACATTACCAATATTTATATAAACCAACTACAGCCTATTCAAATTCTCCTCCCTCCACCACCTCGCAATCTCTCCCGTCTGACAAAACTCCACCTCATCCCCCCACCCCTTCAACCAAGTCAACAACCTCTCCACCATCCCAATAACATGCGCCATCCCACTCGTATCGGGATGCATCAGCACCGGAAAGATCGGATTCTCTTCATTCTCACGGATCCACAGGAATCGGTCGCGCCAGAGGTTCTCAATCACCCGGACGTCCGTGTACCCGTGTGAATTGTGCACGTGTGGGAGGTACTGCATCGGCGTCATGTCTTCCATGTACCAGTTGCAGGGGACGCAGACGAGGGGGCGTCGGTCGGGGGTTGTGGGGGATTGTTCGACGGGGTGCATCCAGGATGAGGCGGGGAGGGAGAAGTCGATTGGTTTTAGGGGGGGTCGGCGGGGGGCGAAGAAGGGGTGGCAGTCGTGGTCGGTTAGGGAGGCATCTGCGTATATATATTATTAGTAAATGTGGTATGGTATGTTATATGGGGAGGGGGTACCGTATTCAAAGCCAAATTCTTCGAGAAGATCGAGGGTTGATTCTCGGACTTGGTATAGGGGACCTCTGTATCCGACTGGTTTCTTGCCTGTCAGCTTGGTCGCAATGTCGATGCATTTGACGAGGACGTCTCGTTCTTGCTCGACGGTGAGCTGGTATGCCCCCTCATGCGCGTATCCATGTAGACCAATCTCACAGCCGGTGTCGACCACTTCGCGGACCTGTTCGGGGAAGCTTTCGGCAGAGTGGCCTGGGATGAACCAGGTGCAGCGATCGGCTAGATTGAGCTTCTTGAGCATGCGCACGAGTCGAGGGACGCCGACCTGGGCAGCGAAGAAACCGGCAGAGTAGTCTGCGAGTGTGTTGTCCGAGTGGTGGCCTGTTCCTAGCCAGCCGGACACTGCGTCTAGATCTACTGAGACTGCGATCCGGATCTTGTTTCGTTGGGGCTTTCCCAGAGATCGGGGGATGGACTGGATGGCTGTTTCTGTTTGTTTATCTGTGGTTGGTTTGGCTTCAGCCTCTCTCCAGATTAATCGGCCCTCCATGCCACCATCGACGCTGAGACATTGTCCTGATATATGTCCAGCCGCGCGGTGCGAGGCCAGGAACGCCATGGTGCGAGCCACATCTTCTGGTTTGGCGATTTTCTTCAACGGTACGCTGTCAACGTTAGTCATGCCTATACGAGAGTAGAGTTGACAAACATACGTGGCTTGAGCTTCAGCCCACATCTCCACCGGATCATCAAGCCTTCCTTTGATCAAGGATGTATCGACCCATCCCGGTGCGACGGCATTGATACGTGCCTTGCTATTCAAACGCACAATCTCATTCTTCACGCCCCGGATCAGCCCATACTGCAGACCAGCCTTGCCGGAGGCATACTCTGCATGACCCTCCTGGCCGAACTTGCCCGTCTCGCTACCCGTCACGACAATGGCTAGGTTATCTAACTCCCTACCCAGCGTCTGCTGCGAGGCTTTGGCTGCGCGTAGAAAGTGCTTGATGGTGAGGAACGTTCCGCGAACATTAACTTGATACGTCTTCTCCCATGTTTCCAAGGGCATATCCCAGATCGGGAAATCGTTGCTTTCATCGGTGATGCCGGCATTGGCGACGAGGATGTTCACAGGACCGAATCGCTTGGTGGCTTGTGCGAAGCCTGACTGGATGGACTCTTCATCTGAGATGTCGCCGGTTATGGTGTGGAACCGGGCGTATTGATCTCCATCAGCCTCTGCGAGCTGGAGGGGACGAAGATCAAGTGCAGTCACTTTGCATCCTTGCTCTACTCCGTGTTAGCTGTACTCCGCATACTCCGCATTGAAAAACAGAAGTAAATCAATACAATCTAACATTACATCTTACAACAGTAAAGATCAGCACCAACCTACCCAAAAACTCCCTCACAGCCGTCTCTCCAATCCCCCCCGCAGCACCAGTAACAAAGACATGAAGTCCTTGCAACCCCAAAAAGGAGGTCGAATCTGCACACATAGCAGGTTACCGGTGTCCTCGTGGCTAATAGTGCGACAATTTGCCGAAGACGACTCGAACCGAGAAAGCCGACTCCGAGCTCGGTTAAGAGTCGTACGCCTGTCAGGTTCGATAGTGGCCGATCCGTGAAGATCTTGGCGATTCGTTTGGGTTTCCTGATTCAATCTGACTATTTGAGAGTCAGGAGGATGTCGATGCTTTCAACAGTCGTATATCAATCGATAGTCAAGTTAGTTGTTGTTGACTACTGCAGAGTAAATAGTATTCAGTTAGTATCAGCATAGCTTAGCTTAACACCGGAATCCACTTACTCATATAATGACAGATGACGTCGATCGAACCCTTTTCAGTTTTCACCCTGTTCCTGAAGGTCTGAGGGCGTGCAAGGATCACTTTGTGACTTGATCTCGTGCCGGCGAGTCTGTGCGGGTTGGGTGTCAGACTCACAGAGCTTAAGTAGGACCTTGCAGCTCGTATTCTGCAGATGCAGGTGCGGCTATTGAGGATGAGGTGAGATGATGGTCGACTATTGAAGTCTGGTCGTGGTCAAGACGCAAGACGCAGAGTGTTTGACCTTGACCTCGTGGTGTTGACGCGGGGAAGTCACGTGTAGTATGCCTACGAGCATTGTAACTGACTGAATAGAATGAGATAGAATATATTCTAGAATATGATGATATGATAAGAACAGGTATTCATAAATATAATCCGAATAATGCAATGCATAAGACAGCCAACCAAACACCCGTTCAAGACTCATTTTTGAAGCCAATGCAGGGATTCTTCTCCAAGAATGAATCATGGAGAGCATATCATAGAGACGAACTAACTAACATGCATCGGACATTCCTTTTTTGGCCACGTGTTTCGTCTCCATCTGTATTACTATGTATCAAGGCCCCTCTACGGAGTGCCTAACTAGTAGCTAGAGTAACTGAACTACTCTAAGTAGCATCACTAATACTCTGAATATGAACTCATACCCCATAGGAATACTACTCCATTGTTCACCGCACAGTATGTCCTCCGTACAGAACACCCCGATACCGCAACGATCAGCGCATCTGACGTTGACAGTCCCACCAATCCAGCCATCGCAGCCCAATAGCCCAAACGGCCAGAAATGCCCTCAGCCAATCACATTTAACACATCACCCGATACCAAGCGGGAGAAATAGACGAGAAAAAGGTTATTTGATAGACTTTGAGACAATTCATCGGAGGCTGGCCGGAAGTTTATGTGACTTACTTTGATACTACCTGACAAAGTAGTGCTCTACGAGAATCCTACTGCGGTGTACAGTACATGTGTAGGACTCTAGATGGGGTGGCAAGTACTCCATAATCCATAACCCCGCTTGAAGATCAGAGGGTCAATGGAGTTCTCCCTACTCCGTACTCCGTACTCCATCTGGTGTCCATTAGCTGGTTGTTGGAGAAAGGAGTAGGTAATGAGAATTGGAGAGCACGAACCAGGAAACATCTCATGAGGATAAGCAGCAGCAACTGCGGAACCAGATCAATACATCCTGTTGAATGCGATATCACTGGCCGGGCAGTGCCGTGGGGAGGATTTTTGCTATTGGTGGATGGGATTGTGGTGGGATAAAAGGCGGATCTGGGCATTTGATTCGATCTGAGATAACAAAAATAAAAAAATCATTAATTAATAAAGTTTGCCACATCCGCTAATTGGCCTCGTCCAAGCTTGGCTTTAACCGGAGTCCGTCGGGTGTTACTTGCTGTTTTGATATACTTATATTTTTATTATAGATATCTGTTACGATGTAGTGTAGTTATACTGTAGAATATCTATCAAATAGCATAACATCATTTTCAAATAAGAAGAAGAATAATGTACCCCATGAAACCGGGAAAACATCGGTTCCCACTCGCCCAAATGACAGGATCGGCAGTGTCCCACACACGTGACGCAACACCGGGAGATCTGCGGGCAAACAAAAGAAAAAAACTCGCCAGTCCTCGGTAAAATAATAATAATTATCAATAAGCAGATTAATAATTATTATTTAGTGTTAAGGTATTGTCTCAAGGTACTCAATACTCAGTCTTATGCACGCAGAGTAGATGCATGCAAGCTTGCGAAACTAGAAAAAACTGGTAATTGTGATTATGATGATCTTGTGATAGAGCCGTGGTTCGGAATGGACCTCGTTTCTGGAAGTATTCCGTAGTTTGACACGCGAATAGTCTCATCTTGTTCCGTGGTTGTGGTTATTGGGGATTGCTGTTTTCTTCGTTTATCCGGAGGATTTGCATATCCGTTTTTCACTGATCGTATGATCAAGTATGGAGTAGCTCAGTGGTCATGTAGCATTCGTCAACAATTATATACAAGAAGTAATAATATCAGGTCTAGACTAGGGATTAATCATTATATCATCAAGCACAATACCTCCCTTATCCAATCCGTTCTATAGTCCACAAAGCATAAAAGATAAAATATAGAAAGAAAGATAGTGGATCATGGTTCCGGTTGCCCCTCCTTGGACTGCCTGGATTCCCAATATTCAGGCGGATGCGACTGGCGCTCCACCGTCACCGTCACGTCCTGTCGGATGCGTAGGGCTCGTGCAGATCCATCGTCACTGATATCATTCTCGTGACTCTGCTGCAGGCTGAGGTCCGAGACTGCTTTGTGCGGCGTCACCGTGACGCTCCGGTTATAGTCGTGCATGCTAAAGTCGCCCGTCGGAGGTCCGTAGTGTCGCAGTCCCGAGCCCCCCTTGCTCGTCCAGGGTCCCGACCGGTATCGATCGGTGGCTCGTCGGGATCCGCCGGTCCAGCTCTTGAGGGCGGGGAAGACATCGCGGAGAAGAGACCAAACGAGCGGGAGGTTGGTGACGAGGATGGCGACGGTGGCTTCGCGGAAGTACCAGTTCATGTAGATGTAGGAGATGAGTTTGGGGACGAGACAGTAGACTTTGGTGAGGATGGCGGCGACGATGACGAAGATGCCCATGCCGAAGAGGACGAGGAGGATGAGTTTCTGCTTGAGGGGCACGCGGACTTGCACGAGGAGAGGGATGGCGATGACCAGCATGAGAATGTCGGCGGAGATGGAGATGCAGCCTTGGACGATTTCGTAGTATTGGTAGGAGGAGCATTGGTCTGATGGTCAGTCTTAACCTGGTTATGGGTTATGAAAGGACTTACAGTTAGGCGTAGGAACAGCCCAGTAGTTCGTCAGAGGCCGACAGATGAGGAAAAGAGACAGCTCGACTGCCACAAAGCCAACACCGACATAGACGGCGACGTAGTTGATCCATCGTCGTTGGCGCAGCCCTTCAGTGATACGGGCATAGATGACCAACATGCAGGCCTTTAATCCCCAGATGGTCAAGACAAACGAGTGTTCAGACACAAAAACCCATTTGCTGCCCTTGATTCGTTCCGCTTTGTCGCTGGGCGTCATGCGGAGAATATCATCTTCGTCCATCAAATTCGACCCTCCACCAGAGACGACTTGGTTGAGGGCGACACAGAGCATGGTATACCAGATGACCGAAAAGACCATGAGATAGTCATCCGTTTGGAGGTTGCGGATACCTAACCTGCGTATCCGTGCGGTGCTAAAGAGTCAGTACCCCCATCACCATGTAGTACAACCGAGATAGACTTACAATCGCAAAGCAACCCCCAGAAGACCGACAGCGTAGAGAACCCATGTTTCCCGTGCGAAACTATTCGCAAACGCAGGCGTGAGACCAGACATCTTGTCGGATTTCAACCTGCAGCATTGACAGAGGGGTTAGAAGGAGAACATGCGAGCAGATGCCAGGATGAGAGATATTATAAGAGGAACCAACATGATGAGAGTAAGATTAATCCGTTAGACTTTGAGCAATCGGCACACACGCCGGGACACGTATTGACCTCCACGACAGGGAAGAGAGGGATGATCGGTGGAAAAATCATACGTAGATGGAGAGATACAGAGAGAGATACAGCGAGGATAGAGAGAAGATACAGCAAATCCCGCAGAGAAAGCAACCATGGCTCCAGAGCCCATCATTACTAGTTCCTACTACGACCAGAAAGGCAATAGACTTTGCAGGCCGCATTCACTTTGGCTGTCCTTGGAACCGCCCAAAGTCAACCGTCACTGGCTGTTCGCAACAGTAATTTAGCGTATTGCCCTGTGCCTGGGAGTTAATACGGCCTGACACAAACTGTAAAAACCGCCACGCCGTCTGGCTTTCAGGCGAGGTGGGGGGGAATTCTCCAAATGCGGTCTAGCCGGCTGTACTCCACCTCCCCCTCCTTGTGTTAGCGCCAAACCTTGTTCTTTTTTCTTTTTTCTTTTTTCTTTTTTAATTTCTTTTCTTTTTCCATTTTACTTTTTTCTATTCTTTTCTCTCTTTCTACATAATATTATCGACACTACATCTTACTACCATGGAATCAGTAAGCGGAAGAGTCGGCCCAGGGAACAAATTCAATAGTCTGGAGTGTCGATCAACCACAAGCGAAGCAATTCTGGTACTTGCCAGGACAAAGTGGAATTGGAGAGGCCCACAGGAGATCTCATCAACGCCAGCCATGCCAACCATGGAGTACGGACGATGATAGGAAGACGCACTCCTGGCTAAGTCTTTAGCCCACTTGACTCGCTACCCAGTCACACTTCAATATGCGAGTAAGAAATTTAGCATCAGCAGGGTTTCTCTCAGCTACGCCTTACCATGTATGTAGTCAACCACGAGAGTATATCCCTGCTCGTACGTCCGAGAATCCCTGTCTAGAGCGTCTGATTCGTCCACAGCTGCTGGTGCTCCGTCCCTGCAGGTTTGGTGACCCAGTGCTTTGGGTTTTTGGGCCGGCTGCTCCGTGCAATAATCTCTCATACAAATAGCGACGGCCGGTGGATTATACGCACAGCCTTCTGTTTGCTGTCTGTGGATGATTATTACTATGATCTCATTGGTATTCAATGCTATGTGTACCTGCCTATCTGTAGACTGTAAATATACGCGTAAGCATAATCTATCAATCTTGGAAGCAATCTAGATGCGAAATGACTGGAGCAGCCCTATCACCCTTAATAACACCAAAATAAAACCCTGTCATCCCATACCACCATTGACCATATAAAATTGAGTCCAGATCGGATATCCACCGATCATGGCGAGCTGGAAACCACTGATAAACTTCACGCCGTCTGCCGTCTAGTGCGGCCAGAAGTGTCTCACCGTATCCTTATTCCATAAACATATGAACATAGCCTCAGTCCCTGGCCAGTCAATCTATTTTATGGTCAACTGTTTCACATTCCCTAGTCCCGTTCTCCTGTTCTGGTATGTGGTGTGCCTGAGGTGTACTTTTGGCTAGAACCTTCGGAATCTCCGAACATCCCTGTCTGCTTTGCGGTTACAGCCGTTGCCGCAGCAGATGCATACGGAGTATATTAGTAGTCCCAGTAGTAGTCCTAGCAATAGGAATAATACTAGTAGTAATAGTATTGTATAATGTTAGTAATCCTGGTTCATGATAAGACAAGGTTATTGTAGTATGGATTGGTCTGGCTTATTCATATAACCTATCAGATACGACGAGAGTCAGTAGTCTACCGCTCAAGTGAAACCGTGACAATCATAAGTAAGACATTATTAGTGCATATCTAACTTATTATGAACTGGGATGATTAATGCACTTATCATATGACTATCAGTAGACCTAAGTCCTTACAGTATGCACATACCACGTGATTGACAGACTGTCGTACTGCAAGGGATACTCTATACAATCTAGGTAATATGATTCTTCAGAAAGAAATACTAATAGCATGTAAGGATACGATAGATAGACAAAGATAGCAAATAGATCAGAGGGTCCGCCGATAACTCTAAATTCTCTTATTTGCCCTTCCACTCCTCCTAATCCGCATGATAACATCTTCGACGCTCCCTGCATGGAATACTGAATTCTATCTGCTCAAGCTCCCTCTTTTGGTAAAGGCTGGTGTGCACATCTCCGCGTTCCCTTGCAAAGCTGATCGACTGGGAGGTTTGGTTGCGTTGGCCTGTCCAGGTGGACCAACCAGCGTGGTCTCCGGACCCACCGGCAAGCATTTGGCCACCAGTCGTGATGAAAGGCAGTCTGTGGTTGGCTGCAGATGGAAATAAAGTGGACAGGTTTCCCCACTTGGAGCCGGGAAAAGATTGGTTAGCGTGGGGCTAGCGTGGCTTAGCGTTGTTGGAAAACGGACGGAGGGGGAAGGAACAGAAGAAGAGCGTCGCTCCTGCCTGCTGTATAATAAACTCTGGCCTCCAACTTCTTTTTTTTTTCTCTCCTTTTTTCTCTCCGTCTTTCAGGCTGTTTGGGAATCTCTTCTCTGCCATGCTTGACCCTCGCTGTTGATTCTTGATTCCATCTCGCTATACTCTCCCGTGTCGCTCATTACCGGTGATTTTCATTCCAGAGTGCCACACTTGGATCCTTAATCGATCGCTTCGCTCCGGGTATTTATATACGACTTCACTTCACTTCTCGCCTCTCTCGACTACTTCCCACCGTTTATTGCAGACTAGGTCTGCCCATTCGATATGGCTAAAGAATCCTATCCCGACAAGTCGGCCGCCCTCGAATCCGCCACCGAGGACAAGGCTCAGGGGGAGTTGATCAACGCATCCGGTCATCGCCAGGAAGTCGAACGGAATTTCAGCTTGCTCAGTATTTGCGCCGTCGCCGTCACGACCGGAAACACCTGGATCGCTCAGGGAGGCAGTGTGACCACTGCTTTGAGTAATGGAGGTCCTTCGGGTGTCATTTATGAATTGTATGTCGACATGGCTCTCTGATATCAACTCTCTAACATGACGCAGTATTGCGGTTTCGGTTTGCTACTGGCTGGTTGCTGCATCCATTGCGGAACTGGCGTCGGGAATGCCCTCGGCCAGTGGTGTCTACCACTGGGCTTCCATCACGGCGGGAAAATATGGCCGTGTCTGTGGTTTCTTTGCGGGTTTCTGGAACTGTCTGGCGTGGATCTTGGGTGCTGCGTCCATGTCTGCCATCTTGGGTCAGCAGACTGTCTCCATGTACGCCCTCATGCATCCCGGCTTCGTCCCCCAGTCGTGGCACGTCTTCGTCAGCTTCATCATTTGCACCTGGTTGTGCTGCTGCATCGTCCTCTTCATGAACAAGTTCCTTCCGTATGTCGGTAACCTTGGAATGATCCTCATTCTGGGTGGTGTGTTTGTCACCATTATCGTCTGTGCTGTCATGCCGCATGTCAATGATCTCCCCTATGCCTCCGACTCGGATGTCTGGCGCACCTGGCAGAATGACACCGGATACTCCAGCAATGGCTTCGTCTTTGTGGCTGGAATGCTCAACGGCGCTTACAGTGTTGGCACCCCTGACTGCTCGTCCCATCTTGCCGAGGAAATCCCCAAGTAGGTTTCATCTCACGTACCCAACCTCCCTGTACTAACAAGACCAGACCCAGCAGAAACATTCCCAAGGCCGTCCTGGCTCAGATGGGAGTCGGATTCATCACTGGTATCCTTTACATGATCGCCATCTTCTACGCCATCCGGGATCTCGACGCAGTCAACACAAGTGTCTACGGCTTCCCTCTTGCCGAAATCTACCGCCAGGCCACCGGATCTAGAGGCGGAGCTGTCGGTTTGCTCATCGTCGCCTTCTTGCCCACTGTCATCACCTGTGCCGGTTGCTACATCACCGCCGGCCGTACTCTCTGGACCATCTCTCGTGACGGAGCGACTCCTTTCCCCAACTGGCTCGGACGCATCAACAGCCGCATGCACAACCCATTCAACGCCACTCTCGTCTGCGGCGTCATCATCACCATCCTGGCCTGTATCTACGTCGGCTCCACCACCGCCTTCAACGCCTTCATCGGCTGTTTCGTGCAGCTGTCCAGTCTTTCCTACTTCGCCGCTATCCTCCCCCACGTCCTGACTCGTCGCTCGAGCTTCACCCCCGGCTTCTTTTTCATGAAGGGTCCTATCGGTTATATCGTCAACATCCTCGCCTGCATTTACATCATCGCATTCGTCGTCATCTTCTGCTTCCCTTTCGCCCTGCCCACCAATGCTGCCGATATGAACTACGCTAGTTTGATGACGGGAGGACTGTCCATCTTCGTTGGTATCTGGTGGCTCTTCCGCATGGGTTCCTACGAGGGCCCTCAGAACATTCCCCTGACCGACAGGGCTGTTCTGGACGACGCAAAATAATATTTTCCATCTTTTTATCTTTATTATACCTTTTCATGTTTCTTTCTTTTGTTCCCCTAACGAAAATCGGGGGCTTCACATACATACTTCATTTCTGAAGTTGATGAACGACTTTGCAACTTTCACTATTTTCGAACATTTATACACCATGACACGTTGGATATATGGACGATCTTTTGTATTTATAATTCTCATGGCCGGTCTTTCTACTGACAAGCTAAAAATAATGTTTCAACTTGATGATTACTTCAACTATACTATCATAAACTACCTGCACATGCTATTATCATGAAACTAAGATCTAATCAAGATCGCCATAGTAAAACCTATTCAAATTGCCGTCGAATTTAGTATACATCAAAGTCAATATATGTATGTACCGACTACATGTCAGTTATACCGCCTCGGACCATATTTAGTGGTTATATTCCTACACCTGCACACTGATATTGCTAGAAAGCTTTTCTCCATCCTCAGTTTCCACCCGAGGCTAAGCTTTCTCCTGTAGCGCACACCAACTACATCATAGCTTCTTATGATGTCATGGTAGATGAGGGGTTGTCTAGAAGGGCAGCTTAAATAACCGAATATTGAAGATGAATTATTTATTCTTATTCTTATTCTTATTATTTTACTTATTGATTGATTGGATATCTATGATCAATTCTCAGCCTCATCCGTCTGAGTCTGAGGCTTCTCATAGATAGGCGCAAACTTGCTCTTCATCCTCAATTGCTTGCCGTAAAGCCAGAAAATCAGAGGAATGGGAACGAGGATTACAGCAATGCAACCGAGTAATGTACCGGCCCATTGGATGCCCATGTTGTTGAACATTTGGCGCGAGAAGAGGGGGAAGCCTGCTGCTACGCAGGATCGGCAGAAGGTGTTTGCTGCGATTGCGGATGCGGCACTGTATGTTGTTAGATTAGACTCATCCATAAGGTCTGTGGATAAGGGATGGAGTGAAGCTTACAAGAGAAGGTAGGTGTCAATTAGATAGTTGAACAGCTGGATGAAAATGATCAACAGTCCGGCGCCGGTGAAGAGGCCACTCAGCGTAGGCACGATCCAGTGGATGCTGCTCGTGAAGCCCGTCCATCCGAACCAGAAGAGACCACCAGCGAACAAAGCACCCCCGACAATCACCGGCGGGAGACGCCACTCGGGGACAGGGATGCCCCCGTTTCTATCGAGCTTTTCATTGTATCCTTTGCTGGAGATGATCATGTACAGGGCCGCGAAGCAGAGACCGACAACCATGCCGAACAAGGGTAGTCCGGCGACACCGGGCGCCATGCCGTAGACGCCCTGGAAGACGAGCGTGTATGCTGTCAGGAAACAGTAGAGGAGACCGTAGATGAAACTCATGTACACGGTCACAGCGAGGATTAAGGGCTCGTTGATGAGCAGGCGAATGGGGCGGGAGAAATTGTTCACGACCAACTCGCGGAGATCGACTTCGATTTCTTCCTGCTTTGCGTGGATGCCCCAGTTCTTGGTGCGGCAGCGTAGTTCGGCGGCTTTTTCAACCAAGATGACGGGTGGGTAGGACTCCTTTAGGAAGAATGTGTTCATCACGAACGCGGCGTAGCCCATAAATGCTGGGACCCAGGCTGTCCAGCGCCAGCCCAGATACGACGCGTTGATAAATCCACCAATAAACGGCGCCAGGAGGGGTCCCAAGAACACGGTGTTGGAGAACATGGTGATGGCGACTCCGCGGGTGCGGTTGTTGTACATGTCGGAGAAGATAGCAGCCACAACGGCCAAGGGAGAACTGCCAAAGATACCCGAGAAGAAGCGACATATCATGAGCGTCTGGAGATCCTTGGCGACGGCGACTGCGGTATTGAATATTCCAAATCCTAACATGGCAATGACGATCGGCAGGCGACGACCTTTGAGTTCTGACAATGGGGCCCAGATCAAGGGCCCGGAAGCGTAGCCGATGATATAAAGCGAACTGGAGAGAGTAGCCACTTCCACGCTGACACCGAATACTTTCGCAACACCGCTGGTCGAAGCGCTAAAAATGGCGGAGTCGAAGGTAGAGCAGATACTTGTAAAGGCGAGCATAGCGCTGATGTAAATCCTAGGGAAGAGGTGAGCATTTGCGCGAACTGACGCCCCGCGCGACAGCATCGCCACCACTTACTTTCTTTTCAAAGGCCAATTCTGGGGATATAACGGATCATCTGGCCCATCGAATTCGACGACATATTCTTCGCGATTAGGCAAAGGTGGTGGGTATGGCTTGCCCCCGCCAAAGGCTGGCAATGGGCCTTTGGAACTCCGCGACTTGACACTCTCACCGACAGTATGCGCATGTTGCAGCCGTTGGGTATGAATTCGGCTCACTACATCAGATGTTCTTGTCTGATGACGCTCCAGGTCGACTTCGGTGTTTTGCGAATGAAGCGCGTGAAACTGCGGGTTATAATCGACAGAGCTGCTGGAAGCTGTCGAGCTGGTACCTGACGATGAAGGCCTCTCTTTCTCATTGGACGATCCTAGCTCTTCCTTGCGGCCATCAGGAGAATGGGGCACGGCATCCGTCTCAGCGAGCTCGAGTTCAGAATCGATGATGGCCATGGTTGCCGACTGCGGCGATACCAGAGATAGTTGTCCAGGTCGACATTGACGAAGAAAAAAAGAAAAATAAAAGAAGGGGCAAAAAAATCTTTTTGCATCCAAGACATGACAAAAGATTAGACTCGCTAACTAGCAGTTCGCTGCCTGAGAGCCAGATGAATAATGGACTGTTGGTAGGTTGGATCAGCGCGAAGCTTGGAATCGCCATCCGAGTTATCCGTCCAGACCCACATCAGGCCTCAATTTCGTCAATCTCCACAGCATCCAGAACTGCTTTTGGCGCTGTCGGCAAGTCTTGCATGACTCGTATCCGAAATCTGTCACCGTTGGATTTCATGCGTTTGCGATTCGATTGCTGTCGCTTTGTCTTCAACCTGAGTAGCTCATCCTGTGTACTCAGCGAGTGGACAACACGGAGAAATATCGGTTTAAATTTCGACAATCTCAAATTCTCCTGTGCAATTATTCAGTTGCACAGCCAACTTGGGGCCAGGATTGAGCGTCCCGTGACCGTGGGGAAATCCGTAGGGACCAACGACGGAAGCTGTATATTCGGAATTCGGGGCTCTTCTGTTCGGAGCCCGCCCATATCGAACATTCGGATATAGCATATCTTTAAATCCGTAGAGCCTGACGCAATTCCGCTTTGCGGATCGAGAAATTTCTAGATATGCAGTTGCAGTATCCCAACATTCCTGAGCATAAGGAAGCGATGAAGAATTCATCAAACAGGGACACGACACCCTGGCAACATGCATGGCTATTTTGGGGCATAACCTGCATTATTCACATCATGCTGTGCTCATCCAGATGTCACAGCGCACTGGGATTGGCGTATGGGACGTGCCGCAGGACCTACCAAGACAAGTGCACTGGTCACACAAACAAGTCCCTCTTGATCCATCACATGGCATCCTGCATCATAATTCAATTTCTCCATCTTATCTGTGGTTTGACCACTTCATTAGGGAATTTCATCGACTGGATTGATCAACTTCGATCCCATCTAGGGCATCGGCATGATTGTCGAACCAGAATTCGTTCCCAAGCCAGCGATATCAAGCATCGGGTATCTTGCAATCGTGTCATGCACATGGCCGGTCTTTCAGGAAAAATCTTTTCGGTCTTGTTCAGTACTTCGCAAACAAACCATCAATCGAGTTCTTCCAGTGCAACAAGGGGTGATGATACTACTCTGTGAAACCACTCCTTGGCTGTATGCGTTTGTAAACAGGTTAGACTTTTTACCGCTTGGTCGAACAGTCGGTCAAGACGAGAAGCTGTATCGGAAAATATTTCCTGATAGACGGTAGTATTTTCTCTGCTGTAGAACAAAACAAAACTTAGATTTTGAGACTGAGTAGAAAGCAAAGTCGGAATCCAATAGAAGACTGACCAAGGGCCCGTTTGTCGGTTGCACTTCGTTTCCCGTCTTCTTTGCTCTTTTGTCCAATCTTTTCGGTTCTGTATTTGTTCTGCAACTCAGCTTCCTGCCTTGTCTTTAGGCGGCTGGAATAGTCCGGTGGGCCATTTCTGGCCATGCACTTCATTGGAGGGGTAAGAGTCATGTCCATGTTGATGTCGTTGGACGATTGCATCTGATGAGTCGCAATGTGGTCTGTCTATCTACAACTGTCAAACACAGAATCGGTTAATCCTCCAGATCACGTGCCGGTAAACACCGGCTGTTTGGACGGCAACTGTTTCTGCCCTACTCCTCTATAGCATGTTTAGGTGTTAAGAGATTAGAATTAGAAACTAGATCTACTAGATAGTCTAAATAGAATGTTCTTCACAGATCTTGCCGTTTCCTAACCTCCACCTTCGCTTCAGGATCACTCAACATTTCAAAGCCCATCTCCACAACCTTGGGCGTGACACCTTCTGGAATTCTGACATCATAAGTCAACAGAATCTTAGCCAGAGCAATCTTGATTTCGTTACTAGCGAAGAATCTCCCGGGACAGATTGGCTTCCCGATCCCGAAGGCAATATGCTCCGGACTGGTTGAAGCGAGTGCTGCCCCAGCATCGCCAGATTGACGTAGACGAATAAAACGATAGCCGTCGTAGACAGAAGGATTTGGATAAATAGTGGGATCCCACATCATGGACGAATCCACGGCAACGTTGGTTCCGCGGGGGATAGTCATGCCATTTGGGAGGACAACATCTCGTAGAGCTTTGCGCTCAAGATTCACTGCATGGTGTGTTAGTGCCTAGAAATAAGTGTCAATGATACCGAATCGTAAATCTACATACCCAATGATCCAGGCTTCAGCCGTTGAGTCTCCTTGATTGCACTGTCCAACAGTTGCATCTTAAAGACGCCCGCAGTTGTCCATCCACTCTCCTCCACGGCCTTCTTTGCTTCATCTCTTATAGCCGGGATCAATTCTGGATGCATGCAAATATCAAGTAGGGCTTGCTTTAGCAACTCAGAAGTTGTATGCATCGCACTTATTGCAAATGCTATTTGCGCAGCAGCGGCATCGTAGGGGCGCCCTGCTGCTATCTCCTCGAGCCATTCTATAGTATCATTAAACTTTTTTGTCTTGTTACTTTCAGAAGAAGTGGCCTTTTCATGTGCCCTGCGGTCGAAAGTTGGCTGCAGCATAAGACGAGCGAGACGCAATTGCTGGCGACATTTTCTGATTTCTGGCAAGAACCAATGGGCAAATGGGCGGAGGAATGCAGGACAGGCGCGGAGTGATCGAACGCCCATGAATGTATTGATTGTCGAAGTGAGAACCAGCTCTTGCCATTGAGCATCACGAGCGAGTTGAGGGCCGACAAAGACAGATGCTGACATTCGTCCAATGAAGCGAATTCCATGTTGAGACCAATCGACAGTGTGCCAGTCTGGAAAATATCTTAATATTCAGACCTAGCGAGAAGATAATGGGTACATACCACTATCATCCGTCCATATTTCTCTCAGAGCTTCGGTGAGATGTTCATGGAACAAATTACATTCTATAATGCACGCCCATGTCAGTGAAACTCGGGTTTTAATGAAGATCCCACATACGACTATTCTGATTCAGTTTCGTCTTGGTCACATTAATCAGAATCTTTCTGGGATCCGTGATAACACTCTGCCCTTCCATTCCAGGGTACGCCGCGAAGTATTCCTGTTTTGTCGTCAGTTTTTGTATCGTTTCAAGCAAAGGGGGACTCAAACGTACATCATGAACAAGCGCCTGATGGTCTAAATCCAAGCAGTTCTTCAACCATTCTGTATAAGACGCTGGAAGAATCACTCGAGAACCAAGGGTGGTTATAATGCGAAATGGGCCGTTAAACTGGAGCATGCAGGTCAGATACCACCATTTCTTATAGGAGCCAATTTATCTTGCCTTTTGAATTCCTTCCTGAATCAAGACCCTAGCATTCGACATAAACTCAGCATGAGCCTTCTTCAACGTGATATCACCAGGGTATGAGTTGACAATTGGGATTGCCGGTTTTCTGGTCCAACGCCATATGAGGATACCAAGGAGGCCCAAGAGGGCCGTAGGCAGGATGTAGCCGATGGAACACTCTGTATCGAGAAAGCCAACCGTGTGGGGGATAAAATTTGCCATTACGATCAGATATTTGATGACTCTCTGCAGTCATTCTGAATAAAAGGCGCGCAGGCCATCCATGCGAAGGTGGTTTAAATACGAACATGATTGTCTCTTAAAGAAATTAGTGGGGCTACGGCTACTAGCCAAAAGGACTAATAATGAGTAATAATTACTCGCCCCAGACTCTTAATGTTACTTCGTATTCTCTGGAGGCTTATTAGCTATGAAAAAGCTTATATTTTAACTAGGCTTATAACCATCCAGGGTCAGTACAGCGATTTTACCTTGATTTAGATATTAAGGAGAAGACAGAATCATGGCGTTGAGGGTACACCTTGTAAATTACCTTACTGGCGCAATACTTTGACACCATAAGAAGATCACATTGTGAGCAATATTATTGGTCAGTCTCCCAGTTTAAGCTCAGATCCTTGGTCAAAAGTGGATGGTCTGGTAAATCCCGTAAACATCGTAAGATTCGTAAGATATACCCTCTCTGTGGTGAATGGCAGTGGATGTAGCTGTCCAGATGATGTTGGAAGATTATAAAATGCTAGGGCCAAAAGAAAGACTTTTCGTCTTTATTCCTATATCAAAATCTGCTGCCAACAATGTCCTTTCTCAAAGTGTGTTCAGAGGTAAGTTGCGTCCTACTTACCGTAAGATGCTATATCAAATCCTAATCCTCACATTCTAACCAAACCAGTGTGACGAGAAGCGGCCGCAATGCTCTAATTGTGAAAATCGACGGACCACCTGTCGTTATGCCACTGGGCCCTATCAGAATCGTCTCAGCAGGCAATCGAGGCTCTCCATGAGCTACTGAACACATCGTGTCCACCACCATTGCAATCAGACTCATCAGGTTTTTGCTGACACTATTAATTGCCTGGAGAAGCTGTTTACCAAGCTAGATGGCAACGTTGAAATGACTTCAAGCAGCTTCATGTGGGTTTGTGAAGTTCCGGCAGCATTCATCGACCTTCTTCAAGAGTGCAATCCTCTTGCACTGGTTATCTTGGCTCATTATTGCATTGTCCTACATCAGCTGAGAAAGCGTTGATGGATCTCATCATGGGGTGAAGATGTGCTTGATGTTATTATAAAAACTTTGAGTCCTGCTTGGAAGCCTTCTGTAGCCTGGCCTCTTCATATAGTTAATACGCATTGTTAGTTACAGCAGCATTCCGCTACGTAGAAGACTCCTTCTTTCGTACCATCACCCACATAAACTCGGCATCAAAGTCCGGGTCATCCTCCTCCAGCTTCCCATCGCCTGCCTGCAATACCTCCACCTGCAACACCTCAAATCCAACTTCTGTCAGAATCGCTCGATTCTCATCCACATCATAGCTGCTCCAGAACATTCCATGCCCTAAGAACTCTCCATGGATTTCTTCCTCATCGATAGTCGCAAGATTAAAAACAAACACACCCCCAGGCTTTAACCAGCCATGGATCTTAGCGAACATGGCCTTGAGCTTCGACCGTGGCAGGTGGAACAGCGTATAGAAGCTGATCATGCCGTGGAAGCTCGCAGACTCAAAGCTGAGCGCAGTAGTCATGTCGCCCGCAATCAGCGTGGCCCCCGGGCACCGGGCCTTGGCCATCTCGATCTGCTTGGTGGAGATGTCATTGGCGACCACTTGCGCGCCTTGGTCGAGAAGCATTTTCACAATGGGGACCCCGGGACCACAACCAAGCTCCAGAATGGAGGGTGAGGGTTGCTGCAGCTTGTCTAGGAGCATCTTGGTGTATCGTTGTCGCGGTGACTTCTGGCTTGTCACCCACTGCAGGTACCATTCTGTGATATGGTCGTAGGCGTGCTCAACAATGCCTTCCGGTGTGTCAGACATTATCCTTGTTGCAGGGAACGAGGAAGTGGATGGAGATTGGCAAGCAGGAATCCTAAGGAGAAGTGAGAAAACTGCGGTCAGGATGTGCTGAGATAAGGGTGCAAGAGGATTGCACTAGTCATCCTGGCTCATTATTACGCTGTCCTATATTAGTTGAGAAAGTACTGGTGGATTTCATAATAGAGTAAGGACGTGCTTGGTATAAAGATAAAATCCTTGATTCTGATTCATGATTAGACGCTTTCTGTAGCTATGCGGTTAATGTGTATTGTTAGAAACTTCCATAATAAGTAAAAATGACTCGAAAATTGTCATTGGCTGCTAAAAGTATCCTCACGTGACCACGCGCTCCCGCCGCGTCGCGAAACGCGAGCCATGATCTCTGCAACTGCACACCAGATCGAGTTAGAGACCATCATTCGTCATGGTCTTTAAACCATTCAAGCCTCCTTTGATAAGGAATACTCTATATAATACTGCTCAGAAAGCGTCGGCTCCCACCGCAGACACCGATAACCAAGGCCCTCCTGCCAAAAAGCAACGTCGGGATGAAGAGCAGACCGACCCAGATCTTCCAGCCCGCTCAAATGGGGCTCGGAAGCCGCTTGTCCAAGTGAAGAATTGCGGGGAGGTATCTAATGACTCAAAAGACGATTCAAGTGATGAGAAATACTTCAATGTTTTATGGTATGAGTCCTAGTCGTATCTTATCGTATAATCTTCAATAAACTAACAGGATATTTCGGTATAGGCGCAAATTCACTACCAAAAAGAACAAGACCTGGGATGGAGATGGTATACTGTCTGTCCGTGACGGATATGCCTATCTGCAAGATATCTCGGGGAAGGAGATGGGGCGGGTGATGTGTGGCTCTCGATTGGAGCCGGGTGTCATGTTGTCCATAGGAGGCAAAGAGGTCGAAGTTGATTCTGAAATCCCGAAAAAAGAGTATCTTTCTGGTAAGGTATTCCTGGACAGCAAGAGTGCTCCTTCGCCTCCGGTACCGAAAAAGGAATTTGTCCCTGTTGTGCCGACTAAGAGCAAGGCCGCTGCTGGTACTTTGACGTCAGCGACAGCAAAGGAGAGAACAGGACCTGAATCGACTGTTCCTAACGCTGCTTCGAAGGGGAAATCTACTCTGAGTGCATACAAAAATCCACTGTTGGAAAGTACGGTTGTGCCTCAAGCCCCAGCGGGCCAACCTAAGCCGCGCCATGACCCCAATCAACCTGGAGCACTGGTAATGACGCGACCGGATTCAGTCCCTAAAGGAAAACGAATTGTGGATGTTGTTGTGGATCCTATTTTGGGAAAGCACTTGCGGCCACACCAGCGTGAAGGTGTCCAGTTCCTGTACGAGTGCGTTATGGGACTGAGGTCGTTCAACGGCGAAGGTGCGATTCTAGCCGATGACATGGGGCTGGGCAAGACGCTGCAAACCATCACGCTGTTGTGGACCCTACTGAAGCAGAACCCGATCTACGAAAGACCTCCGGTTGTCAAGAAGGCACTTATCGTATGCCCGGTAACTCTGATCAACAACTGGAGAAGAGAATTCCGCAAGTGGTTAGGGAACGAACGTATTGGCGTGTTCGTTTTCGATGACAAAAGGAAGCGACTTACCGATTTTACAATGGGCAAGGCCTATAGTATTATGATTGTGGGCTACGAGAAATTGAGGACTGTTCAAGAAGGGCTGGCAAGAGGCGCTGGGGTCGATATCATCATCGCCGATGAGGGACACAGACTCAAGACGCTCCAAAACAAAAGCGGCCAGGCTATCCAATCTCTTAATACCGCAAAGCGAGTTATTCTCTCCGGAACACCGATTCAGAACGATCTGAGAGAATTCTTCGCAGCAATAGATCTGGTCAACCCTGGAGTTTTGGGAACATTCAAAGCCTTCGTCAGGGAATTCGAAGGACCCATTGTGCGAAGTAGACAGCCAGAAGCAACACGGAAGGATATCGAAAAAGGCGAGGCCAGGAATGAAGAGCTGAGAGAGCTCACCTCCAAATTCATGCTACGCAGAACAGCAGATATCCTCGCCAAGTACCTCCCCCCTAAAACAGAATACGTGCTGTTTTGCAATCCCACCCCTACCCAGGCAAACATATACCGAAACGTGCTTGCGTCGCCTATGTTTCAATGTGCTATTGGCAACTCCGAGAATGCCTTACAGCTCATCACTATCTTGAAGAAGCTGTGCAACAGTCCTTCGCTTCTTTCCCCGAAGAATACTGATCAATCCCCCAACGAGACCATGTCAGCTTTAATATCATCCCTCCCGCCAAACCTTCTGCGCCATTTCTCTCCTTCATCAAGTGGCAAAATACGTGTGTTGGATCAGTTTCTGCATAACCTGCAGGCGTCAACATCTGAAAAGGTCGTGCTTGTTTCGAACTACACATCCACCCTCAATCTACTAGCCACGCTACTATCATCGCTTTCTCTCCCATTTCTACGATTAGACGGTTCAACGCCACCGCAGAAACGACAGTCCCTCGTGGAAGATTTCAACCGTCTTCCTCAAAACCTCTGCTTTGCGTTCCTCCTCTCTGCGAAAGCAGGTGGTACGGGATTGAATCTCATCGGAGCCAGTCGTTTGATCCTCTTCGACGTAGACTGGAATCCAGCCACTGACATACAAGCCATGGCTCGGATTCACCGTGATGGCCAAAAACGGCATTGCCGCATATACCGCGTTCTACTCAAGGGCAGTCTGGAGGAAAAGATTTGGCAGCGCCAAGTCACCAAGATCGGTCTCGCAGACAGCGTCATGGGGAATAAAGATAGCGTGGCACAATTCTCACGAGACGAGCTGAAAGACCTCTTCCGACTTGATGAAGAAAGCAGATGCCAAACCCATGAACTCCTAGGTTGCGAATGTGAAGGACGTGGAGAACAACCCACCACCTCTCGAACAACCGACACAAACGAGCCTACGCTAGAACTATCAGAAGACGAAGACAACCTGTCAGAATTAAGCGATACACCATCCCTTCCCGACCTTCCCACCCTAATCAAAGCCTCAGAACTCGACATGGAAGAACAGGAACGTGTATTCCAAAACTCCCGGCCCCGTGACCGCCGCAAGAAGGCAGATACCAACCCAGCCAAAAACGACAAGAACAAAAAAGAAAAGAACAAAATGCAAGAGTCCCTATCCCAATACTCACACATCGACCCTTCTCTCCTTCCCATGGCAACCCAGTCGGAAACTCTCGAGCTCCAAAGTGCCATCGACGACGATGATGTTCTATTTCCCTTGCTGAAAGAGGAAGATAATCGGGTCAAATTCATTTTCAAAAAGACCAGCCAGGCAGAGGCGGATGGGTCTTCTTCATCATCGCCTGTCGTTGTGGACTGATTTTATGTGAAAAAAAGAAAGGTTTATTCTTGGCCGAGTTATTTCTCACATTGCATTGCATTGCATGGCGTTTTGCTTGTGTACATTGATACCCCTGAGCATGTACATTCTGAGATGTTTGTATGATACTACGCTACGATTATCTTAGAGGGAAGTCATATATAATGGACAAGCCATATAATAGATATGCCCTGTCTACCTAAATAGGCAGACGGGATGGTATTTACTAAATAAACAACTTGGTAAGGCTTATCATCACAGTAAATCTTGTATGCAAATGACATGAGTAAAATCAGGTCCACGATAAAGAAATAAATATAACTTAAAATACAAAACAAACAAAGGGGGTATGGGTATGCCGGGGTACATTGCTCATAAAAAAGACGCCTGAATCAATGGATGTCATCAAAGGGAATAAGTAGTTAAAAAATATCAATCGATATAAGAAGAAAAAAACCGTAAGAGAAAACATTTCTCATACATAAACACGTTACCATCAAGGTCCGTAAGTCAATTTAATACTTGAGCTTTCCCACAAGCCCAAAGGTGTACGCCGCTTCGGCTTCACTCTTCATCTGGACCATATATATCTTGGAGGATCCATTGGTAACGCCGCCCTGCTTGGGAACACCGCCATTTCCGTTGTCTTCGCGGATGGACACGGCGATGCCTGTTCTCGCCACACGCTCGAAGGCGCTCTCTCCCAGACAGACATCGAGCAGAACCTCTCCACGGGTCTTGCCGCAGATGAGGATACGCTTCTCGGATTCCACGCCGCGACGAGGCGAGGCAGATCCAGAGGCCGATGGGCTTCCTTCCCGAGCATCAGTCGGGCCGCTGGTATCACTGCGTCCACTTGCAGCAGTGCCAGGGCGTGGAGGATCATGGGAAGCGGGCATGATTGTCAGGCGAGCAGCTCCCATGTCTCTCCATTTGGATTGTGTTTCGCGGTAGTAGAGTCTGATTTTGGCGTTGGACAAACCAATTCCGTCTACTCCCTTGATGGCAGCTGCTATTCTTCCGATACCAGACATTGACGAGGGGTTCGATGCAGACCCTGTGGAGGTGGAACGCACGCTGCCATCCTTCCGAGAAGTCACTGTTGATCGTGCGATGCTAAACATCTTACTTCCAGCACCAAATCGCTTCAAAGCCGAGAAAGCACTGCTCATGGTGCCGACACTACTTTCAGAGTTATCCGCCAGCGACCTGGGAGAGCTCGATGCACGGTAGCTCTTTCTGCGAAGAGGCCAGCCAAAAGATCCTCCGCTCTTGGTTGAACGCTCCAAAGGAGCGGGCTGGTCGGCAAATGGACCTCGTGCGTTTTGAAGCGCAATGTATGTTGGGTTGTTAATGCGCGAGTCGTTGATAAGACTGTATAGGACCTCGCACTCATCAGGGTTTCGTGAACGGAACATGATGTTGTTACTCCATGTAATCTTGGACCGTTCGGTTGGTGGAGAGCGAATGCTTATATCAATAGCCGTGCCACGCCTTATGGGAACAAGGGGTGTTAACTCCAGAGCAACAACAGGCTGCCCTTGACTTGATCGCCTTTCATCACGTCTAGGTGAAGTAGAACCTAGGTTCATCTTGTAAGCTTCAATGAGGCCAGGGCTGACAATGATGCTACATTCATCAGGCAATAAGCTCTCCCAAGTGCCTTTGTCAGACCAGGCGAATACCGAGGCAATCGTCTTAGAAGACTTTGATGGCTGTGATGGGACAGACCTATATCCGCCCTGAGATACAGAGTGTGAGGGGGACAGGGAGCTGGTCGCAGGCTGCTCAAGGGGCTTGGAAAGATCGCGCGTGCTAGCTGACGGAAGCGAAGATGCGAGCTCATCTTCCGTATCATCGTCCGAGGAGTCGGATTCCGAATACTCAGATTCGGAATACATTTCATAGTGCCGCACAGTTGAGGTATCTGAGTCCGAGTATTCATCCGATGCTGTGGACGGCTCGTACTCGTGCTTCAGAGGCGAAGAGCCCCGTCTCTTGAGACGCGCAGCCGTTGGGCTAAGAACTGGAGTGTTCGAATGGCTTGATACTGTGGAGGAGCTTGGCGAACGATGAGGCGGGGGCGGTGGTGGTTCATCATCTTCAGGTTGACTGGAATCGGAGTTTGAGCGAGAGTGGCCTTTGCCCTTTGTAAGACTCTCTATTGAGTCACAGACATTCAGATAATCAAATTCCTCATCGGACGCGGATCTCAATGGCTCGGTTACATAAGTGCTAGTGCTTCCTGACCTAAGTTTTGGGATGAGAGGCAGATCCATTGAAGGAACTGACGAAACACGTGGAGATTCTGCGGGTGGCTCTCTCACGGGGGTTTTTGGCGGGTGGTTCTCTTTATGGGGCTTGCTTGCTTGAGACTTGTCTGCGGTTTCACCCGGGCGTTTGACATCGTCATAGAACCTGTGGGAAGGAGAAGGGGCCGCGTTCTGCTCCTTTTCTGCAGTAGGTGTCTTCGGTGTAGAAGGTCCTGGGGAGGAGCCTTCCCCGTATCGTGAGATCCTCTTCGCCTTTGATCTTTTGAGACCGCCTGCCGTAGCATCGTCACCAGCTATCCTTCCGCGGGGGTCTCTAGAGTGAAGTATGGGCGTTGAAGGTTTGGTCGATACCTCCGACGCTGCCGGAGCATAATCCGATTCCCGCGTAATGTCAGAGTACGAGGAATCCTTGGATTCTTCCACGGAGGATGAAACGGTACTCGGGTCAGTCGATAGGTCCTTGGTAGTAAGAGAAAGCCGGGCAGTGCGAGCGGTTGCCTTCTCTCCAATTGGAACATCAACATCGCTAAGGTTTGGCGCAGCCTTCGGGCTGGGAGGGGCATCGCTGGAAGAGTTTACTTGATTGCGCTGCTTTTGCTGTTGCTGTCGCTGCTTGGCCCGATCCATGAAGCTCTGCGTTCGAGAAATCTTTGGTGGAACAGGGTTCAGGCCCAACAGCTGCACCCATTCAAACCCAACGTCCTCTTCGTCAATGCGAAGGAACAGTAGCTCCTGCCAGGAGTTATCCTGCCCTGGGTCACTACGTATCATGACCACAATTTCTCCCTTGGAATCTCCATTCCGAGCAGACACGCATGTGAGTTCCATAGGGGGTAAAAGCAACCATCGGTCTGCGTGATCAATCTCACAAATGAGCAAGTCACCTCCGGGACCTTTCTCGGAGACGTTGTCTCTCAAGAGCAGTTCTGCACGGCAATCAATGACCTGACCACTCGAATGGTATAGTGACAGGTCGAAGAAGTCTCGGGCTCGGACTCGCCGAGTCCGATCAACGGTCACATTAGGAAGCACGCCCAGGGTGACCGGGTCGCGCGCACGCGATGTATCGATACTGGCAGCAGACTCATCTTCAAGTCTAGCTCGTTCCTCTCGTGCACGGCGTCGAGCTTCTGTGACAAGTGCTTGATAGGTCGTAGCTACCTCTTCGCCTTTGGGAGATTGTTGGAGCATATTAATTCCCTTGAAGGTCTTCGCAAGATACTTCAGTCGCACAAGAGGTCTCTTTAGCAAGTACGCCACATCAACCTTCTCACCATCGCCATCTACCACATCACCATTTTCATCGCGTGCCATGCCCTCGTCTAAGCTTCTTGCGTCAGATTCCTCTTCGCCTTCTTCGAGAGGCGCTAGGTTTACAATGACATCTCTGAAACCAAGTCGCCAGGCTCGGAGGTAGTCACGGTATACTTTATGGGCCCCTTGGGCCCATGTAATCAATGCATCCGAATTGTCTTTTGGAATCCGCTTATGCAGTGTTTTGAGGCGCTCAATAGCCACCCCCATATCAACGATTGGTTTGGTGAAGTTCATCTCATCTTTGGGGTCCGTAGACGGCCGAAAAAGACCAGCAGCTATGGCCGATTCAGATCTCGACAAGACACAGGTGAGCAGGACAGGAATCACACCCCCGACCAAAGTTTTGAGTTCCCGCATGTACTTCGTTTCGTCCGCGGACAATTCAGCTAACAACTCAGGCAGCGTTGCAGTCGGTGCCTGACTTTTACTCGATCTGATGCTCCTGGCCGAGCGGAGACTCCTGCTCCTATTCGGTGTGGATAAGACAGAGATCAAGTCATCATGAGTGGTGAGGCGTCTTCGCAGCTGGGTGGAGACTATTGGAAGCGAGTTGGGATCAAATTGATCTCTTTCCTCTGCGTCTGCGTCGTCCTGTCCCGGCGTTGATTTGGGCTTCTCTGACGAGGTCGGTTGTGGATTCGCCTGGGATTTGGCTCCATTGGTACCAGTTGACTCAACAGAAGCAATGGTAGAAAGCCGATGACCTCCTGTGCTGGGAAATGCTCGTTTAGGGCCAAGTGGAACAGGAGCATTGCTACCAGACACTTCGGAGCTTTCCGACAAATGGTGGGTAGTGTCAACATCAGAAGCGCCCGGCTTCTCCTCAGGAGCTTTCTTGGGGTTTTCACTTTCCTTGGGGATAGATTTAGAGGGTGGTCTGCTTTGCCGGATGTCACTTGACTTCTTGCGATTAGCCGGCGAGGGTGCGTCTTTACTTCGATCCTTGGAGGAAATCGTCACATCCTCTGCCGACTTCGGCCGTTCTCCAATAGACAGTTCCTCCCTTCCTTTGGATCGCCGCATACGATTGCTCTTTCGGCGAGGGTTACTGTCTGGTGACGGCTCTGATTCTGTAGCACGGTCATGACTGTCCTCCCTCCTGTGTGCCCGTTTTGCCCGGTTCTTTGTATTCAAAGGCGCAGGAATTTCGACATCGGACTCCATATCATCATCCACAAATGGGTCGTGGGTCTCCGAAAGCCAGGCTTCGATTTTGGATCCCCGGGGCGGAGCAGGCTTGGGGGCCTCCGGTCTTCCAAACAACTTTCTCGACTCGTCAATCATATGACCAAAAATGCCATTTTTGGGAATCACTGGATCGTGAAGTTTGAATTCCTTTGTTTCTTTCGGCTCTTTCTGCTCCTTCGCCTCTCGTGAATCCTTCGAGTCCTTGGATTTCTTCGACTCTGGCCCGCGCGCGCGTCGTTTTGACAATTCAGTGAAGTCGGCTTCACTCGCTGCCCACTCCGATTCATCTCCTGCATGAGATTTATCCGCAGTCACAGACCGCGTGGCGGAGCGGGGTTTATCGCTACGTGCCGCATCTTCCTCTTCAATTGTGCTGCCGACAATCGAATCGACATCGCGGGCTACCCTTGACTTGCGTCGTTCTCTGGATGACTCCGTGGTCGCACCTGCCTTGCCCCGAGAAGCAGGACTAGGCTTCGGTTTCTCGTCCCTGCGAGCGTCCTTTTTCCCCGCCAGCGGGGAGGCTATTGGGTCATTTGTAGTGTATTCGGAAATCCGATTCGGAGCAGGTAGCTTTGGCGGAGGAGTTTGCATGGAACTCCGATTCAGTTTCCAGTGTTCGTCACTGATAACTCGTTTTCGGGGAGTGCTGTGGCTCCGAGGTCTGCTCTTGGAGCTTGAAACATCGCTGTCCTTTGTTGACTTGCCCTTGGGCTCGGTGCTGGTGTTCTCCTCATCCTCCTCGTAGTAGATGGCATCGTTGGCGGTAACCACCCCGCCTCCTTGTTGCTGCCATTTGCGCACCTTTGCACGCACTGAGTTGGTGTCATAGAGACCCAATGGTTGACCGATGTCAAGGGGCTTTTGTTTTGCTGGGGAGGGTTTGGCGGTACCCCCGCGGTTGGAGGAGCGATGGGGAGTGGCAGGCGACGGCATCGATGCCTGCGACCGGAAAACAAAGTTAGCTTGAGCTTGAAGAAAAAGTGACTACCCGAGACATTCGAAAGATGATGGCTGGGAGGGAGGTGGATGGAGATGATCCCCTTCAGTTCTTTGTTGATACGCGGAAAAGGCACCCGACGACGTCACCGTTGTTTGTTTATGAGGGGGGGACACTCACTACAGAGCCAAAGCTTCACGAACCATACCCTTGATTGAGTTTCGATACTGGCTGCTGTGGGTAAAGAAAAATCCCAGTCTGATCTTCAGAAGAAATCGCACAGAGCAACAATAACAGAGAAAAAGAAAGAAGGAATGTGGCAGCAAAACAGGCGGTCAAAAAAACTGGAGAGCAGCAGGAAGCAGGTTGTTCTGGGTCCGGTGATAAGCAGCTTTGCGTTTTCCCCTCCAGCTGCCGGGGAAACGAAGCATCGCCCAACGCCGATCTGGCACCAAGTCCCATATATGTTTGTTGTTGAAGAGTGTGTCCCTGAGATCGTGGTTTATTTTAGTTGACTGTCAAAGCTTGATCTTCTGATCGTCTGGATTGATTAAGCATGGTGATTGTATCCATTATTGTTTCTTTTCGTTCTATTCTTAGAACTGCATTCAATTTGCCTTGCAGCACAACACAGATGCCCCTGCATATTCTTTAATGAAGCCTCATATCTTGAATAACTCTTCTCTATATTCTCTATATCCTATAATATCCCGATGATAATTATTACTCCGTGATGAGGCCCTCGGGTAAGATCATTCCAAGGGTCCACCATCATCATCACTCATCATCACTCGTGATACGCGTCACACGGTGGGCCAAATGAACAGATGATCCCATCTGGCACATTTCAAAAGCCTGATTATTGCTTTTGCCTGCGCAAGGATTGGGCTTGTCACATAGGTCACTTGTGGCTATGGTGGGGGTTCTGCTCGAATTGTAAAACAGGCCCCAAATTGCAGGTGGATTATTCGCGCTGGCGTTGTAAAATGAAACCCCATCAGACCGTACATCATTGGTCAATGACTATTGGGACTTGCGCTGGGTCGAAATTGCTTTCAGCGCCCTGAAAGCGCCTGAGATAGTGGTGATACTCTGGCTCAAATAATCTAGACAGGGCCATTAGCTTGCACACTGGGTACTTTGCAGCAAAAGTACGAAACCCACAGAAAGGAACAACAATCCAAATGAAGTTCATGAAGATATAGTAGATCCAAAAGTAATATCCTTCTGGCCGAGAGTATGGTCGCGCATTGACGTAGTGGTCAAAGAGGCTCGTCGCGTAGTACAGGGTATCCCCGTACAGGTGACTCATGCAGACAATCAGCTGAAACGGGTGTCGCAGAGCATTCTGGGTGAAAATTGTGTATGCAACAAAGTAGCAAATAGGACCCCAAAGAAACTGTTGCGCAGACCTCGTCAGTATCTGTCTCTCAGACCAGGCGAGCTGATTCACCCACCACCGTGATAGTTTCCAGACACAGGACCAATGTGTCAGAAGTCATATACCGAGAGTCCGATAGAGCATATTCCTTCCACAGTTGACCGACAAAGTCCTGGGCTGGGGCCATGCGGTCATGGTTGAAAATGAAATAACCCTCAAAGAAACAGTGCAGCGTTCCACCTGATGGATCTGTTAGCAAAGGAAAACACATAAATTTCAATGAGAAGGCACATACTGAGAACAAACCATAGAATGGCAATTTTGTCCGCTTTACTCAAACTCGGTCGCAGGAAGCTAGTCAGAGCCAGTGTCGTTCCCAGAAGAGCTGTAGAGGCACCCCCAGCGACCGCCAAAAGGGTAAGAACGGGAGTTTCATTGACAGAATAGCCGTTGATGTGTGCATCTGTCGGGTAATATGGATGGGGAGTAATGTCAAGAGACATGGCTGTGGTGTTTCTGGAGAGACAGCAATTGTGTCTGAGAGCCAAAGATTTCGTCGCAGCTTTGGTGGTTTGTTTTGGCAGATCAGATCAACGCAGCCCGATTTGGTTGACTGGTTCCCATCTGGGATAGTGTCCTGTTCCAAATAGGAAAGGAGGTGGAGGCTCGACATGAACAGCCAATAGAAATTGCGGCTCTGTTCCTTAAAAAGGAGAAGCTAGTCTAGAAGAAGAAGTATCTCATTGTCCACAGTACTTTTTTGGATGAAAGCATTGGAATAGAAGGGATCAAATGAATCTATTGGTTTGTTCACTTGGATGCTAAGTATCATGCTATTCAATGAGTCTATCTAAGATAGAAGCAGAAGTAGAATTAGAGATAGGCACAATATCAGACTGAACTCAGCTCATCAACAATCCAGGCTCTACTTGCGCGTCTGGTCATCTTCATGGCAAGTTATTCTTGCCTTTTAGATATGTAATCGATAATGATGCTAATTTATGGCTACACAGCAGGTTCATCCCTGAGCATGTTCGGATTTATACTCTATCCGTACTTTTTGCTCCATAGTCTCATCAACTTGCCACCAGAGGAATCAGAAATACCACATGACAGGTTCAATAAACAATCTCTAATTCTTATCTGACCCATAAACAGTCTCTTCAGTTAAAAATAACGAGGCAGAAACCTGATATTTTCGTGATAGAGCAGAATGACGACGATGATGCCAGACTGGGTTAGCCTGTATGCCTCAGGCTGCCACGGCCATCCCCACCAGGAACACCTCGGGATAAGTGATCAAAGGTCCTCACCTCACCTTCCAATGTCGCCTTCCCAGTGATCGTTATCTCTGTACACCACTTTATGGAGCCTGGAAGCTCCCCTTAACACACTCATATTTAAAATGTCACCCGATCCACACAAGAAGAAGCCGTTGGGGCTGGATATGTCCCGTACCCCGACCTTCGATTCGCCGCCCGGTATCGCGGCCTTGTTCGTTATCCGATTCGATATCAAGACTGGGTGAGCCTTCATTCCAACCAGCCTCAATTGAGGCATTCTCAAGCTTCACGGCTAATCCTTGTTTCTGCGCATAGATACGTGGTTTCATGGAAGCGATCTGCCCCCGGAGGTGAGCTACGATCGGCACCGTTGTTCTGCCTTGCGCGCAAAAGAAGTCCGCTGATAATGGGTACCAGTCGAGGTTGAAGGCGTTGTCGAATACAAGTCGCTTCCTTCTGGATTGCACAATGTTACAGATGATTTAGTGTAGGTCCGAGATGCCTCTTTGTCGGTTCCTTCGCGCTGACTGTCTTTCGCCAAGGTATTTCGTACACGAAGAATATGCCGGTATCAGCGCGTTTGTCAACTTGCCCGCTGGGGAAGCTGAACGCAATGCGAAGATGTTCGCCATCGGTGTATTGGTGCCACTGAGTCTTGGAAGGTTAGGGAAAGGCTGGAGACACGCCCCACGGCTTATGGAGCTGGCACAGTAAGTGGTTTGACCGACCGTTACTCAAGTCTGAAGACTAACTGGCTGGATTGCATTACAGAGGCTATGCCAAAGATATGTCGAATATAAAACCTATCTCAGACTACTGGGAGACGCACCAAATCCGTGGAAACGATGCTTCAATTTTGTCCCCCGACTCTCCTCTTGAATCGCCCATTGGCCTCCGGTTCAAACCACATAATGAGCAATTGGATGGCCTGCATCGCAACCGCACCTTCAGCGATGCGATGGTAATGGAATCGTCTAGGCTGGCCTTGACACCATCGCATCCTGCTTCTTCACTTCCTGCGTTTCTCGATAGTTTTGGACCCCTTATATTCCCGCTCTACAGAGCAGCATTATTACGCAAGCGAATCTTGTTGATGGCAGAAGCGCCGGTGCATACCCCTTGTGACTACGGTATGGTGCTTATCTCCCCTCTTTTCGTCAATGGCCATGCTAACTGTATTTAGTATATGATTTGTCCTTATTAGCATCTTTGCCTAATTCCATTCTTCCCCTACTCCCGTCTGATGGCTTACCCAACCCCCGGCCTCGTCCACTTTTTAACGTGGGTGTGCATGATATCCCATACCTCTCATCGTTCGTCGGGGCCACACCAAGCTCCGAGCAAGATTCAGCTTGGATTGCTTGCACAACAGATAGTGTTTTGAGTATGAAGCCTGAACTCTACGATGTGCAAGTCACACTGCCACCTCCTTATTCTAAAGACGCACCCGAAAAGGTGTATCCTAAGATTTCCTTTTTGCCACCATCTGCTGCCAAGCCCAACCCCGCCCAAGCAGTCCAGCTGAAGGCAACCCAGCGAGATGTTCGGCGCTATTGTCTACTCCGCAAGGGTTTGCGCCAAATGTCTGAAGAGCAAGAATCCGAGGACCAGGGGGATGAAGACTCGGATGCCGAATCAACCTACTCATCCAGCCCTGTCGTGGAGCCCCTATCATGGTCAAGATTGGCGTATACTTCTTTCATGTGGTGGGCGTCGGCAGGGGAAAAGCGAGGCGGGCTGTCCGAAGAAGAGGAAGACCACCAAGTCGAACAAGATATCAGATTATTAGCCAGTGTGGAGACCCTAGCCAACAACACATCCGGATCCATGCAGCCCGAAGAAACCGCAAAACAACCCCCAGAGATAGCACTGGTGGCTTACTTCCGTCGTCTAACTACTCAAATATTCGTGACACTTTCAGACGTCGTCGCACGTCATGATAACGAAGACCCTTCAGACCCCGAGACAAATAACCAAAACGGCACCAGCAACAACGTCCCCTACGAAGACGAGCCAGAAGACTACAGCGAACCCATCACCCAGCAATCAACCCGTGATGAACCCGATGCACCACTTCTCCCACAAGGAAAAGTCGCATCAACCGACCAGCCACCACCAGACGAAGTCCCCATCACGATAACCATAGAAGACATGATGGAAATGGGTCTTGACATCTGGAGCGCAACGGACCGCGTCTTCGTCGAGGAGATGGTTCGCTTGTGGTGGGGTCGTGCGGCGCATGTGGACGGCGCCCGGGTAAGATGCTGCGGGATTTCGATTCTGTAAAGCGAATCCTTGAATTGTTCTATGTTTTCCTCAATATGTACCACAACTAGCATATACGCGCGCATTTAACATACTGGCCAGTAAAACTGGATTGATCTTGTTGGGATGGGGGTTGATATTTGCAGTTGAACAATTACTACTGTTTCGGATTGGAATATATAGCATCAAAGGTCAAAATGCAGGTCATTTTAGACGGTTTCCAATGATTAAGTCGTTAGAATATTGTGTGATTACCGGAGAAAAGTCATCCTTAAAAGAGAAGAGGATTCCTATTATTTTGTATCTCATAATTAAACATGAAAGGCAAATATATACTTCAAATGATGGGTAGACAAGGAAAAGGTTGAGAATGAGTGACCTATGGCTCGAGGAGATATCGAGGCATACAAGGAGTTGGGATGAACGCTAGAGTTGAAGAAAGCATAAAAAAGCCCATTGTAATCAACTGCAGATAAAGAATTTCTCCTTAAAACGCCATGCAAGCACATAAAGACAGTGAAAGAGCACACAAAATTGATAACCAATTACATGAATCATGGTATGAAAAAAAATGATAAATGCCCCAGTAATGAAATTCCAATGAAAAACGCCGTTCCACTTGGAGCGCCAGGGTATCCAAAGACAACCAGCGCAATAACCAAGAAAAGGCCCAGAAAAGAGAAACTCCGATATTTCAGTTTTCAGTTCACTTCGTCAGACTCTTGAGAAATCAAAGCATCGCTACCGGAGCATCCTGACTGGAGCACTGAGGTCTCTTCGGCTCCTCACCGAGTCGCGCTGGCTTTTAGCATTGGAGTTTTCAATGCCAGGAGTTCGCTTAGCAGTTCGAACTGGCGTTACTCCCATGCCCCCAGAGCGGAGTTGACTCTCACTCAAGCTTATAGACCGCTTCATGCTGTTGGCGCGCCCTCTTCGAGCTCTGATTTGTGCTAATGCCTCTTCCCGGCTAACTGATGTTCCTTCGATCTTATCGAACTGGTTTGATGACCGTGGCTCTGTGTTCAAGGGAACATTCGTAGTTGCGATATTTTCCTGGTCAAATTCATCTTCAGCGCCATGCTCTAATATCACTTGAGGCGTGGCCCGGGATTTGCGAATAGCTCTCATGGGAGTGGGGGTGGGGGAAACGGTTCGGATGGGAGAATCTGTTTCGATGGCGTTTTCAGACCCTTCTGTTGAGAATCTAACTGGTGGTCGCTGAAGTTCATCATGAACATGGAATTGGGGTCCCAATGCTTGGAAAGCCTCGGAATCTTGACGTCTCTTATTGTTATCTCGAATAGGAGATGGGAAAGCGCGGAATGTTCCGGTCACAGGCGAGAAAGTAATCACGGGCTCCTGATTTTGTTCATCTTTTTCCTTTTTAACAGCTGGTTCAGCATCGACAGCAGGCGAAGTCGGAACAGGTGTACTGCCAGCTGGGTCAAGGTGCTGTGCTTGGTTCGATTCAAGGGTAGCGTGATTTCCATCACTTTCTGGGTTTTCTGTTACTTCATTCTCATGCACATTTGTTGCCTCGATTTCGTGAGTATGATCTGCCTCTCCGCCCTCCATAAGACGGCAAGCGCACCTCTTGAATTCGCATTCCATCTGCAAGAAGTGCACCATGTCCTCTGCGTAAATTCTTAGCCGCTTTTCGTGCTTGAGAACATCCTTAAGCTCGCCGATAATATCCTGTTGAGCATCGAGCTCAGCGGTATCTTCTTCTGGGTGAACAGTAACATCTGACAGCCTCTGCCTTTTCGGGGGAGTCTGCTGTACCGGGGTTTGATCGGCGGAACGCGATAACGGTGAGTTGACGGAATCCTCGGCATATCTCTTAGGCCTCCTAGGTGTCGGTGTCAAAAACATGGCAAGGTCGCCTTCTGCAAGTGACATCCTTCCAATGTCTTCGCGGTTCATCTTCTTCGCCTGAGCTTCGAGGTTGTCGGAATGGCTGTTCGCTTCAACGGACCGCAGGCGTCCTTTTAGAACCTCGAGTTCCTCTGTGAGACCAGCAAGTGCATAAGCGCGCTCGAATGCCTCTTGCCGCGCCTTATCTTTGGACTCTCGCTCGACCTGAATTTCCTCCTTTAACATCTTGGCTTCTGCTCGGGCATGTTTCAATTCCTCCTGCATCTTCACCACGGTTGAGCCCGCGCGGAACGCCTCTTTCCTTGCTTTTCGAATTTCCTTCTCAAATACCGATCTTTCATGGGCTTGTCGTTCTTTTGTGTTGTGGAACTCTTCCATCAATGAATCCAACCGCTCAGTCAGGCGACGTTCTCGCGATTGGGCATCAGAAAGTTGGGAGGAGGCGCTGGCCAGCGCAGACTCTGCTTCTTCGCGTCCAAGGAGGGCCCGTTGGAGGGCTGCCGTGGTTCCCCCTGAGCCTGCTCCAGCTGCTGGGCTATTCCCACGCGATAAATTGTTGAGAAAGGCTATTTTCCCTTGGACATCTGAGTTACCTCTTGAGCTTTTATTCTGAAAACCTCGAATTTCGGATGGTAATGACGGCGAGCCGGGCATCATTTGTTGATTCATTCGCTCCGGAGAGAGGGGATTGAGCGCTTTCGTAGGACTCGACATGATGGCTGGCGGGGTCTCCATGACCGAATGCTGTGTGTAGGGATAATATAATCAGTAGGATGAAGCTAGCACTGAACTGAACATGACAATGCACTTGTAGAAAGGCAAGGAAGAGCCAGAGTTGTTAATCCCCGTTTCACAATAATCCACTAGCTGTGGAGGTTTATTATTATCGGTGACGCACCCACACAAAGATACACGAACCTGTTTATTGCCGTCTTGGGAAGTCAGGTGACCGTTGCCCTGGACGACGCGTGACTGTCATCTGGTTAGTCATCCATCTCTATCACGTGATGATAAGCTAGACCCAACTTGGACGACAACGACGTGTGGTCCGTGCGTCGAGGGGAATTATCGACGATATCCCACGATCTCGACTGTAGATCACTGCCTCTTCATAGAAGCTAGACGGAGCTGTCAGTGACCGGAAGAGAGGATGCATGAGATTGTCACGCTTCAGTTGGGACAGCGGGCGAACTACCTGGCTACGCATTTCTGGAATCTGCAGGTAAGACAATCGGACCCTAATCAGAACTGTGGACTGATGTCATTTGATAGGAATCGTATTTCACATACAACGAGGGGGAAGAATCCCCAATTGACCACGATGTTCACTTCCGTCCAGGGATTGGAGCAGATGGATCAGAGACATATACTCCCAGGAATGTCATTTATGATCTGAAGGGTGCTTTTGGTACTCTCCGCAAGTCTAACGCACTTTACGAGCTGAGTGCGGATTTCGATCCTGGACAAGGTCTGTGGTGAGTTACCCTGCCTTGCCGCTGTTGTTTCCCGAATAGGTCATTTATGTGCGTTTTTCTACGGTTATGATACTTAGACTTGCCTCTTTCTCCGTGTTAGGGATGGAAAAGAAATCCTGCAGCAGCAAACACCCATTCCGCAAAGTGATTATCAAAAAAGCCTAGATGCAGGACTTCCTGCCCCAACACTTACATCTGAAACTGTTCGCTACTGGTCTGACTATAATCGGGTCTTTTACCACCCCCGATCTATAGTTCAGTTGAATGATTATGAATTGAACTCCCAGACGATGCCCTTTGAGAACTGGGATGCGGGAGAAGAATTGTTTAATGATCTCGACAAGGAGCATGATCTGTTAGACAGAGATGTCAGGCCATTTGCAGAGGAGTGCGACCAATTGCGTGCTCTGCAGGTGTTCACCGGGTCAGATGACGCTTGGGGTGGATTTGCCGGTCGGTACATAGACAGACTCAGAGACGAGTACGGGAAAAAGAGTATCTGGGTGTGGGCTATCGAAGGCGGTGGTAAGGTCTCAAGGGTGAGTATCTTCAACATTCCTTGAGTGTCTCTTCCAATACTTATCTCAATGCAGCAAGCTCAGTTTAAACGAGACATGAACAAGGCACGATCCATCCACACAATCTCCCCTCAATCGTCCTTTTATACACCAATCATTGATCCCCCCAGTCGACTACCAGCCAACTTCAATGTTGATGCTCGTTCTGAATGGTATACCTCAGCTTTAATCAGTTCTGCTGTCGAGACGGTGACTCTCCCATCTCGTCTCCGCCCATACCACGATTTCGAGGCTTCATTGGCAGGAGATGATGGTATCCACAAAATATTCGAGCTGCAGTCTAGCATTTCTGGTGACGAAGAGATCCACGCGAAGGGTACCAATCGGGGCGAAGATACGGGGGATGGTTCCTCCAAGGTGACAACCAAGTTCGATTTGGACTTCACCTATGACGAGTCAAGCAGCAACGAGGCGCATATTTTCAACCAAATGCAAGTCTCGCGTGGGTTTGAGCCAGAGCAAAAGGATGACTCTGCCTCCCATGAGGATTTGGGGCTTTCCCGCAAACTACGGCTCTTCAATTCCGAGCCAATGCACCAACGGTAATTACACCCCATGCTCATCTATACATCCCACTTATTGACTGTTTCTTTGTCTAGATTCCATACATCTCTACGATTTCCTATCTTGGACAGCTTCCCTGGGAACATGCTCCCTATTTCGAACCCCGATGCAGGTGCTAAGGTGCTGGCCGCTCTAACAGCGTCGTCACGAACCGCGGAACGGATCAAGACGATGCAGGCAGTTGCAGGACGGATGATTGGGGTTGATGAGCGAGAGAATTTGGTGAATGGACTGGGAGAGATCCGCGAATCATATGAAACAGGATGGGCAAGTGACTCCGATTATGATGATGATTGAATGCAGCTATTCTTTTAGCGAAAAAGAAATGGAAAATTAACGATAGCCTTGGAATATCATAAGGTATTCCGTACTTATATGCGATTTCCCTGGCTAACAAAGAAATCCGTTTGATAGAAAATATGGATGTCTATCAATTCAAAGTATACTATTCAATGCAACAATTGCCCTATGTCAATTCACTGATAGAAGTGGGATATAAAAAAGAGTATCCCTCTTACTGAACTTGTCTTCCGATACATACTCCTACCATCATCGCCCATAACATAGTACCCTTTTTCATATATATATATATACAAGTTTCCCTTTTTCTGCTCGATCTATGCTCATCTCTTAGTTACTTTCTTCATTGCGCCTGAGTTTGCCGCTTCTACAAAATAAAAAACTGGTGATAGAGTAGCCTGGCCCCTGGGGGTTTAGACACAAACATCGAAAGAACCGTTGAGCGAGTTTTCACACAGCACTCAATACAGCAGGAGTGATATCAATGCACTCACTAAGCGGCATAAAATAGTGTCGCTATTACTTCACATCGTTGAGCAAGGGCCTACAGCTTCTACGGTAAGCGGTACTTTGAGGGCTAAATCAATCGGCCTCTGCTTACGTTTTATATAGTCATGGTCATATATACTACTACCTACACTATATACAAAGCCACTGTGTCTGAATTCAACAATACATGAAATATACGAAGCAAAGTGGTGGTTCTACAACTCAAGCTTTTCTGGGCTTGTGCTCTATAGAATCCACAAGCTATATACGACCAGGTCGAGTACCGATGAGTCCAACAATATGGATCGAAAACGAAGGAAGCTCCTATTAAGTTGAGCACAGAGGCTATTACATTTCGTGTTTTGCATACATTTTAGCAAGCAACATCCGATGTTTAAAGAGCAAGTTTCACCCATACTGGTATTCAAAAAGACATACTAATCTAATCTATACAGAGCTTCTTGAAGAAAATGGCGTCCCATTCCAATTCTTTGGCTGGATGTTAATGAATTCTGGATATATCATGTTGCTGAATCCGGCGACTTAGTGAACCTTTTCATGTACAGAAACCACATCGTGCTTGAGAGCAGTCATCATCACAAAATGGATCGGGATTCAAGACACTGCAGCTCTGATGAGCTGTATACACAGGACAGGAGAGGATCCTAGGGAGGCGAAAATACATCCGGATCATCTAAATGATCTGGGCAATTTACATTGCCACGGCTGTCTCTGAGGGGGCTGAGGGGCCATATTTCTTTTGAGGACAAAAAAGGCCATAGAGCAGCATGGCACCGGAATGTCCTCGCCGTTGACTCCAGCGCGCAATGCACTCAACCTCGCTGATAATAGCGTCAGTGCCTACCTACATCGAGTAAATGAGAAAGAGTCACTCATTGACAGAATAAAAATATCTACACAGAGAAAACCGGGAAACGAAATACTCCGAAGGAACCATCGAATGCCTTTTCTACTGGGAAGGAACCATAAAAACATAAATAACCACGCGCAACGAATCCAAGACGAACTCCAATATCAGCACTCCAATGGCATTGAATGTAGGCAGCATTTTCCCCAGACCCGAGAGTGAACACACAACCCATAGCGGACAAGGCGGCTCATTCCAGTATGACGCCCAGGACAAAGAAAACTAGAGGTTCAATACTGTGCCGCGAAAAAAATGGGGCTCTGAATGTTTTCCCTAGGTTTTTCTATCGGATCACCAAAGACGTGCACACATTCTGGTTTCATTGGGCCATTGCGCTGAGCTGAGGCAATGGAATGGGCGAGTTTCAGAATCATAGACCAGGACAAGGGATGGAAACAACCATGTGGATGAGATAGGCTCCAATATTATGATGAAGTGTGCTCCCTGCTATATACACATGTGCTTGTTTCTTTTTTTAGGAATATATCATGAGTTCTTCATACATGCATTCCCTGTATAAAACGATGAATGTCATCAGGATGTATAACTAGTGCTATTTAGAACTCGACCGAGTCTTTGATCGAATCTATTTCTGGCTCCGATGCGAGACCAGGATCTTGGAATAAAATAGAAGAAATTGCGAAATGGACTAAAGGAATAGCCATGCATCATGGACAGGGGGTAATCGATATTTATTTGTCAATAGTGCAGTAGTTTGATTATCCTGTTATATTGACTTCATAAATTTAAATCTCAATACATCAACGCCAGATATACAGTGTTATAATCTGTAGTATGCCCCCAAAAAGCTCTCATAAACGTATACATCTCTCATGTAATATTCAGTTTAATTCGCTGACACCGGCAACTCGTATTCCGGTGGAACTTCTGGCCAGGCATCTACCCCGTCCAAAAGTGCCATGGCCATGCCACCGCTCAGATGCGCCTGGATATGGCAATGAAGTAGGAATGGACCAGGATTGACGACATGGTACCGAATAGCCATCCAGGTGGTTTCCGCAGTAACAGGCAAGGTGGGAAAGGTATCGCGCATTTGCGGGTTCTTGAAGTTGAAGCTTTCAGGGATGTGCGTCATTGCTTCCGCTACGGACGTGTATGAGAAAACTCCGGATCCCCGTCCGATCACAAAGTACTTGTTCGAGTGTTTGTGGATGGGGTGAGGCGGTTGGAGGCCTCCTGTCATGTGAATCAACACGTCAACCCAGGTGCCATTGTGGGTTCTGAGAGTGAGATCCTGGGGGATGGCGCTTTGGTTGAAGAGTAAGGGTGTTGGGACTTTTTCCGCCGAGAGAGGAAAGCTGCTGTTCCCCAATGTCCACCGGTAGGAAGCATTATAGCGCTGAATTTCCACAAAGAATGTTTGGTCGACGTCCATGGATGGAACCTCAACGGGAAACGGAACCACCTTGGCTTCGTCCAAGATGACAGTGTCCTGGGTGGTGTTGACCCCGATCATATTGATATATGGCTTAGATGGTCCTTTTTGAGTTTTGACTGGCGACGCATACGACATGACCGCTGTGGCATTGACGATCTGGTTGACGCCCTGGTTCGCGGAGCGGATGGTATAATCACCTGCGAGGTTGTCCAATTTCACCATGACTGAGTAGCGAGTACCGATGTGTAACAAAACAGCATCCACCCTCATGGGCTCGACGTAGCGTCCATCGATGGCGTAGACATACATGGGGTGCTCGTCGATTGAGAACATGGGCGCCGAAACGCCTGCCGCGCAAATCAAATCCCAGCTCACCCAGCCTGCAGCAGGGTTCACCTCGAGCACTTCAGTCGGCCCCTGGCTCGGCGTGCAGCCTTCAAAAAATCCCTGGGGACTAAGAATATCATAGTGAGTGAAGTTTCCTTCAGTTGCTGCGATTGGAGGGAAGCATCTGGGCATGGTCAGTTATTCCGCTCTATGAACTGTAGCCGGCATCGGGTTGGGAACAGTATCAACTTACGCCAAATCCGTCAAAGTGGCGTTTCCAAGTGAGGCTTTCTGCGCAGGAGTGGTGTATTCGTTGATGACATCCCGGGGAAGACACTGTACAGAGCCTTTGCCATTGATCAGCATGGCATTAACACAATAACCGTCGAGCCCGGTAACCTCTTCAGCCTTCCAAAATTGCTCCGACGTCATAGTGTGCCAGTCCGACAGAATCATAGGCTTTGTATTCTTTTCTGCCTCGAGGATCGCATGGAGCTCCTCTTGGTCATCCGTGATCATACTAAAGGGTCGTTCCACAGAGTCGTCCGGTTGAATGGAAATGGCCCCGTAGAGACCATCCTCAATCTGACCTCGGGTGTGAGCGTGATACCAATAGGCTCCATAGCTTGTTGCTTTCCACTTGTAGAGAAAATGGTCACCAGACTGGATAGGTCTTTGCGAAAGTCCAGGGACACCATCCGACCACGGCGTGCCCTGTTGGTCAATGCCTGAAAGATCAGCAACCAAAAGAAAGAAATAATAATATCACGCATACCATGGAAGTGAATTGTTGTCGCAAAAGGAAGCTTATTATTCAAGCGGAATTCAACATCATCACCCTGCTTCAACTGCAAAGTAGGAGCAGGGAACTGGCCATTGGTCAAGATCATCTTTCTTTTCGAACCCGCGACCTCTCCCTCTTCCCATGTAAGAGTAATCTCAAATTGCACGGTATTACCAGCATTCTGAGCAGCACTAGTAGTACTGTTGATTGTATCTTGTGCACTGCCAGGAAGACAAGACACCCATTGAATAAGGCATAGAACGGCCAACAGGGTCAACCTGCTAGGTAAAAGCTTCATGCTGAAAGCCATAAGAAACTTGAGATTGAAAAGAACATAGTCCGTAAAAAGGAAAGAATAGGGACCTATTGCATTATTAAATAGGAAAGAGTTCCAATAGCCCCGGCACAATCGCCAGCCTAGGAGCCAAAAAGCCTTGTCCATGCTGGATACGCATTGGAAAACCTCCGCCGATTCTATTATTGGTCTGCATGCCAACAATACAGCGAGGGATGAGCAGGCCAGACTCGATCAAAATCCATAGTTCCTGTATTATATTCTCCGGATCATCGTGCCCAATTCAATTGAAGGTGATCGATTTGGGATCTTGCGTGACAGTTGGCAGAGGCTTAGCCTCGTATCCCTAACCTGCAAACGCCACTGAGTACAGTCCATCAATCTGCTCCTGACAACGCGATAAGAGCATTGTATGACCCGTGTAGGCAGTCGTATTATTGGTAATTCAATGCCAGATACTATGTTCGTGTGCTAGGACTGCAGTTTGGGCGAGGGCTGTGGAGGTCGATTCTCAGGCGGAGCAAGGCAAGGCTGACAAGCAATTCATGAAGTCATCTATCATACATTCTCTGGCATTAGTGCGAATAGTTCCAAATTCTATTTTGATGAGATTTAGATGGGTCATTTTTTTGCTTACCTACGGGGGATTACTGGAGACAAGGCCAGTTCCATCCTTGGGGATCGGATGAGATTCATGACTTCAGTTCTCAATCCGTCAGGACTCCAGGTCTGAATAATAGCCTCAACTGAAAAATTCTGCAAATGCCAGTTGATGGGAGTTGGTCGCTGGTCTCGATGGTGGTGGAGCAGACCAAGTGAAGAGGGAATCATTGCAGGAGACGATCTGAGTAGTCGGTGAGACCAGCAGAAATAAATAGATACGGTGAGCCTCGCAGCATCCATCTCTTCATTATTGTTATTCCTACCTATGCTATGGCACTATTTATTCCGGTGAATGTGGTCCTTCAGAAGAAAAAGCAAACAGGAAAAAGAAAAGAAAAAAAATAATAACAAACGCTGCAATAGAACCCAACATCATCGCCAAATGTGTCACATACAAAATGCCAATATCCATAATTACCTCGTGTCAGTCGTAAATCTTCAAGACTTGAATGCCTGCCGTCGTAAATGCCGTCTCTTTATGATTCTGCTTCTTCTTTCTCTTCTGTCGAGATTTCCTCTGTCTTCTCTTCTTCATCTCCACCCAGAGGTTCCATGTTTAGTACCGATTCTATCGGATCCTTTGACTCCACCTGTGGTTCTAGTTCTGCTGATCCAATGGTCCCAGCTTCTTCAACCTTTTCAGCATCTTCAGAATGCTCGGTCTGTTGAACATTTGTGGTCTGTTCAGCTTCAGGTTCTTCGGTCTCTTTATCTTCTTCAGTCTGTTCAGTCTGTTCAGTTTTTCCAGCCTGTTCAGCATCTTCAGGGTGTTCAGCATCTTCAGGCTCTTCGGTCTTTTCAGCTGCAGGTTCTTTGGGCTCTTCATCTTCTTCAGTCTGTTGAATTTGTCCAGTCTGTTCAGTTTCCCCAGCCTGTTCAGTTTCCCCAGCCTGTTCAGTTTCCCCAGCCTGTTCAGTTTCCCCAGCCTGTTCAGCATCTGCTGCAAGAACCCCAGATTCCTGGGGAACCCCCAAACTAGACCCGGAAAGATCTTCAATGCAAGCATCCGAAACTTCAGTCACTAGTGTCGCACTTGGCTGCACAGAATCAACCTTGGCGGTTTCTGGGCTTGGAGTAGGAGATTCCCGCTCTAGCATAACCACGGGGGAGGTGGGAATATTTTCGGCTACCATAGAGGACTCTGAAGTCGCTGGAGTTGCCGAAGACATGATTGAAGAACTCACGGTATCTTCCTCGTTTACGGAATATGATGATGGCATGAAGGCACTCGATATTGGAAATGACTCAAACATATCCTGGGGAAAAGGGCGCAGGTCTGAGCGTAGAGAATTCTGTGGTTGAGCTCCTATTATGGCGAGAATTACCACCAGAACACTCAACATGGCGATAGCCACATTGCGTCGGTCGCTGGCTAGCACTCGGATGTAGTTGATCAGTAATGTCTGGAGCTCAATTTCCACTGTCGGTTTTGAGTGGTATGTTGACGCTGGCGGTGGTTCCCGTTGTTCTTGCGCTCGTCTTGTTTCTGGGGTAGGCGAAGCGATTCTCTTCTCTGGAGCGAGTAGGCGAGGCTCGTGTTTATCGGGGCTATCCATGATCTCTCGTGCTGGAGGTTGAGCTGCTTCTGTGATCATCTCATTCGTCTGCTCCTGTGGTGGATGGTGCATGTGGAATCTGCTTTCGTAATTGTATAGCTCATCGTCCAACAGCCTCTTCTCCAGTTCCCGTCTGACATCGGATGGAAGCCACAGGCCAACTTCCACGTCGACCTTTTCCATCTCTTTCCATGCTGCCGCCCATGCCCCGGCTCTCATCAGTCCATTGGCTGCAAAGACTTTAATTTCCCATTTCCGGCCGTGATTACTGTTCATGACAACCCGTCCACCACAATCCGGACAAGACTCCCCTTGTTCGTCGTCTGTCCCGCTCTCCTCTGTAGCCGAATAATCCTCCTTCTCCGAGTCTCCCTCGTCGTGTCCCAGAAAGTGGCCGTGGTGAAGTCGTGGGCGCTGCAATTCCAAACTCTCTAGCAACCGCTCTTCTAGTAAATCATACATATCCTCCGGGTGTGAGATCAGCACTCCACGATCGCGAAGCACCCCAGACCCAACTTTTTCCTCCAGGAGCTTCCATCTTCTCCAGTATTCCAAGGGCAGCACCTCTCGCAGGATCTTCTGGTTCGGTGTCCCCAACAACCCGGGAATCGGGAGCGAAGGTGGAAGTAGAGTACAATGAAGCAAGACAAGCGGGTACTCCTTCTTAACCTTTTGGCGACTCGCTGATCTTGTGGGGGAGTAATACGGTGATCTTTTCAACGGCGACGAGCCCGCCGACCGTATTGATAGGTCCGATGTTCGCTTTCCTCTGCGCCTGGGTGTTTTCAAATAATCATCAGTGTCCTCTTCATCTTCAGTATACATCTGCATCGCCCGCACAGAGCTGGGTTTCCGGAATGCCACCTCCCGGTATCGGATAGCATTATGTATTGAATTGAATTCTTCGTCGGATTTGTCATTCTGATCCACCCAGTGATGTGTATGCAACATATCCTCGTGCGGTCCCGCGGAGATGGCAAGAGACCGCTTCATCCCATCCGGTGCGTGGGCCAGCACCGAGGCAGGTAGTGAGGAAATCGACGAGCGACTAGATGCGCGCGAGTTTATCTGCGCCAGATCCTCATCGTCCAAGTCCCGACCTCCAATATCACTGCCCGTAGATTGTTGCGCTGACGATGCTGACGAATTATCCCCGTAGTCTTGTCCCAGCATCTGCCCCTCACTGTGGAGAGAGCTAGTCTCGTCATGGTGTACGAGGTCTTCGGGGATCTCTGGTGTCGCGAACGTCGACGAAACGGGAGGGGAGCTCGACTTGGATTTATCTTTGGTCGAGTCTGCGAGATCAATCATCTCGGAGACATGAGATGGGTCTTCCTCCATGAGCTCTTTCTGTCATGGGAGATAAACTTCTCCCTCCAGGATTAACGCGGCGGCAGAATGTGAGATCGACCGAGCGAGGAAGGAATCGGCAATGGGAGGAATGGAAAAGAGCCTAAGCAAAAGGCTTTTCTAACATCAAGATCAGGTTGATATAGGTATAGATGACGATGGTGAACAGACCACTTTTCTGGAAACCCATCAAGACACCTGGGGTGTTGTCCCTGGCGAACTGGCTGATCGCAAGCAACTATCTTAGTCTTTGTTGGTGATGTTCCGCCCGGTTGTACAGGGCAACCTGAGGCCAATAATACACAGGGCGGTATTGCAGGTTAATTTGCCTTCAATAACTAATCCGTCATTATTATTTACTGCGAGGGAGTCTCATAAAAGCTGATCTATTAGCCGAAAGGGATTTTATTACAGCGAATCCACCAAGAGTTCCTTGATCTGGTTGGAATGCTGAGCGTTCGATGTATGTAGCCAGTACTACCCCGTACTTTGGAAATAATTCCAAATACTGATTGCCAGTAGATCTCAGAAAGGATGTGTATACCTCTCATCTCCAGATCGATAAAAAGATCGTACTTTTGTCGCACAGACTGTGGATATCATTTCCATTCCATCCCATCGATGTCGCTGCCTTAATCCGCCCCCGCTTACTAATGACAGGCAACCACCACGACATTCCGTCTTCCACTCGTTCTTCAGCGTCAACAAAAGCTTCATTCCTGCATCTTCCATCACATGATCATCTCTTAAAGTCTATTCTGCTTTGCCTACTTCTAGGCGCATATTAACCATGCATCCCGAACAGCACCGAGATTTGTTCAAACTGATCTATCTGTGTAGTTACAACTACCTACACCGACAATTCATCACGGTGTGGTCTGTGAGTCCTGTCTGGTCCACATAGAATCCACCATGCAAGTAAGCCCTGCAGATACCAATTTCCAGCCAACATCCGTGGTTTCGGAGCCTTTTTCCCACTGGGTCGGGTTTTGGCTTTTGGACGCAATACGCATCTGTCGCTTTGTTAGATAGTTGCTATTGAGTACATGGGCACATGTCATGGTATGTGTCTAGTCTGGCTCTCCTCAACCGCTGTGTTGGAGCAGATGAAAAATACGAGTATATTGATAAAAACCTTTTGCCTCGTCATTCAACATTTCTGTTTGACAGGCAACTGCTGATAGCGGAAGACTGGACATTGGCTTCAAAGTTTGAATACAGCACAGACGTTGGGAGTATGCTCCTTGCAATGTCTGCATCTGATCTGTCTTCGAAATGAATGGGACTGACCCGGGGTCTTAAAATGCAGATGTGTTGTGGGCGAAGAATAGGTATACTTATCAATGACTCCTTTCATTCAGCTACACACGTGGATATCAACAACATACATCGTGTATATAGCGGTAAGACATCACAGCTAGTCGACTCGCTTACTATAGATTATCCAATGCTGGAATTCTATCCACCTCAGTAATTAATCCTTAATCAAAACACGCACTCCCTTGCTGTCCATGTTGACAAAAGGGATGAAGATATCGTGCTTGACACGAACATCTTCGATCGTGGTCTCAAACAGCTCAAAGTTCATTCGTCGCAAAACTGTCGAGATAACCAGGAGGATCTCGGATCTTGCCAGACTATACCATGTTAATATCAGGATAAGGAATGGGAAGAAAAGATGACATACTGCATTCCAATACATTGCCTCGATCCTTTACTGAAAGAAACTAAGTATTTCTCCAGTCGCTTCCGCTCAGCAGGATCCGTCCATCTCTCTGGAAGGAAACGGAAAGAGTCGGGGAAAACAGCCTCGTTGTGATGCATCAGCAGGCAGCTCATGCTGATGGGTGTCTATTATCGCTAGAGGTTAGAAAAGCATTCAAGCCATCGTAAGATGCAGATCAATTACATACACCTGGGGGAATGGTCCAGTCACCAATTTTCAGTGCGTTATACGGTGCAATTCGAGGTAGCCGGGCCGTCACGCCGTACGACAGTCTGGGTAGAGTGGTTAGTGAGAAATAGAGGGTAACCACTGCCTTGGATGAACCTACCTAATTCCTTCCAGCAAAACTCCATTCTAATAATCAGTTAGAAAACTGCTTATCAATTTTGTTGAACGGGGTCTTACCAAGTAGGGCATCTGTTCGAGCTGAACCAACGACGCATTCTGGTCGGGGTCTAACCGGTTTAATTCCTCCTTTAGTTTCCCCATGATCTCTGGGTCGTTGAGAAGATAGAAAGTGATATAAGACATGGCCTTTGCCGTAGTCTCAGCCCCAGCAGACACTATGGTCTGCATCTCCTGAGCCAGTCGCGCTTCACTCTTCTCCTGTTCCGGTAGGTCGCTACTGAGAATATCATGGAAAAGAGTTTCTCTTTCTTTATTGTCGGAAGCTTTCGGGTTTGCCTGTTTCTCTTGATGACTTTTGGCAATTGAACGGATGAGGCTTCGACATCGGTGCTGATACTGGAAAAACAACTCCATTCCGGGATTGAGCCAGGCAATCGTAGATTCTGGCAAGGCAAGGAGGAGAGGCAGCATCCAGGCGACTGACCGAACGAACGTCAGCGTCTTGGCCGTTCCCATAAGTGTATGGTTCCATTGGGGAATGAAGTCAGGCTCGTCGAGATAACTATATCCGGCGCCCATCGTGTAATCGGAAATCGCATCTGTTGTATAGCAGGTATACGGGTACTCGATGTTGACCGGCTGGCCCGTGTTCTTCAATTCATCCAGGCGCCGGCAGAGCTTGTCAACCAGGGCTCTGAGGGCTGGTTCCTGCTGGCGAATGCGCGTGGTGGAGAAGAAAGGGTTCATATGCGATCGGATCAACCGGTGACGGTAATGGTCGACAGCAGTGAGGAGGGCCATGGGAGCATTGAACGGTCGGACAAAGTAGTCATACTTATTACGGGGACTATCGCGGGAGTAGATGACTTCGTAGTAGTCCGGGTCATCGACGTGAAGCTCAGTAGGACTGATGCGCACAACGGGACCTGTTTCGCCATTAAAATCAGCCAATGCTCCATCCCATCATGATTGTGTATACACGGGAATAGGAAGCTGACCATATTTTTCGTGGAGTCGGCCAATTTGGAAGGTGAATTGACCACAACATATAGTATCATAATAGAACTCATACAAAACCGTCAATGCAGCTAGACGAGGACCAGGGAAATGGGCAATGGGTGAAAACCATAGCCGGTAAACGGCCAGAGCGATGAGATACGCCAGCCCAAGAACCACAGCGCTGGCATACGGATGGGACAGCAACAGGCGCAATAATTCCATGGCAGGCAGGAAACTGCAGAACCAGGATCAGTCGACCCGCCGAACCATTCTGCCGGAGTCGCCGGTTCTTAAGAGGATTTCAGCTCAGACGATCATCTCTCTCCGGAGAGGGGGAAGGCCGAGGGCGGCCTTTTTTTGTTGGCATGAGGGTGTGGACTGGCGATGCAGAATCTCCCAATGACAGCTGGGGCTAATATCATCCGAGTGCCCCAAGCGTGAGTTTTTCTGCTAATTCATGTTCTTTCTTCAGCGCACAGTCCGAGTCCGTCACAATGGCATTGTGTGTCCAGGAGGACATTAATATTGCAGGAATCAGGCATGATTGGACAAATCCATGATTCCCTGCGCTGCTCCACCGGCTAAGAGCAATAGTGCTGAAGTTGCAGAATTGCAAATCCCGCCATTTTGGGTGGCCTCGACTCTATGATAGGGATGATAGGGGATATTCTCCACCCGGGATGAGTTGGTCGCTGTCAAGGTCTCCAGTTCGTATTAATATTCAGGATTCAGGAGTGGGCGACGGTTTCGAAGTCGGGACTTTGGCTGGAACAGGAAAGAGATTCATTTGGTGCTGCGCGGGTCATGTGATTGCTCCCCCCCCTGACGGGCTCGCGTGGGGATAGCTTCATCCTTCCAACAGACAAGACATGTCTACCGCTACAGAATTCAACAATCAAAAAGAATCCATCAAGGCAGTACTGGATTCCTTTTCTACTGTCACTCAAAGACCCTTTCATAGTAAATCAGCGACTCTTTCAAACCATCATGTCTTTCTCTTTGTGTAATACAATGCAGTCCAATTCGTCCAAGTCAGCAATAAAGCATTGCCGTGGCCTTTCCCAAGTCATGCTCTCTGTAATGAGACAGTATGGCCTACGCAGTATATAAACCACCTGCAGTTCATACGACAATGCTGCTAAGAATAACCATCCTCAATTCCCCTCTACCCACCCAGCAACTTCATCCCCATCCTGCAAAGATCTCCTAAGAAAAGCGCCCTGGCTGCATAATGACGGTAAGTCCAGCCACCAGACCCATATCCATACACATAAGTACTACATACTAACAGCCCTAGTACCTCAACGACCACGAGGCAACGAGACTGATCAGCCTCCTCAATAATAAGTCTGATCAAGACAGTGACGTACGCGCTGCCTGGGATGCAATCCTTCGCACCGCATTTCACCCTCAAGACGGATTTCGCCTAATCCAAGAGGATCACTCTTTATTCAACATTGTCTCTCACACAGTGCATCTCCGAGACAAATTCCTCATCGTCAACTGCAAAAAATGTTCAACACCAGATTGATGAGAATGTCTGGAGTCACGCAAGAACGGAGCTAAAGTACATACTCCAGGTTGCCTACAGAGGGAAATCCCGTCGGAGAGCGAAATGCCCGGGTGATCGATACGGGGCTGTTGCAATTGGACGGTACGTCGAGTTTTTCAAATTTATCGCTGCTGAACAGGAACTCCAGGTCTGGCCTCCCTTTAGTAACCGTTGGGATATAATCCGGTATTCGGAGATTATTCAATTCACTCTCGACTGGGTCTTGGAGTGCCATCAGGAAGAATCCCGTTGACGGGCGTTGTCTGACAATAGCGGAAGTCGATTTCAATGGTTGTCACTCTATTCCCACATCGAGTACGACTAACGGCACAGCTCAAGGATCTGTCAGGTCGCACGTGGCTTCTGCTATTTATGCGAAGTATTCTTTGGATGGAGCGAAGAATCATTAGATATTATTCGTCAAATCATGCCACATAATCAATACCCAATATAGAGCTCAGATAATATCACGATACAGAACAAACCTCAAGCATGCAACTCAATCCAGTCCCCGTAGAATGCATTCAGTGTTTTTCTTGATTCGCAGAGCACAACGCTAAATTTTGATACATGAAAACCCAACGCTTGAGACACAGAAACAAATTTAGATATAAAGCCGTCTAGCTGCTGTGAACAGAAAAATTTACAGCAAAAGACGCTAGAGAAACCACACCAATAAGCCAAATTTTATAAGCTCGCTGGACATGGGCGCACAAAGTCGCATATATATGATTATAAGAAGGGTAAGTTATTGAGGCGGTGGTGATTCGCCATCCGGGGTCATCAAAGAATAATTCTGTTGTTCCCCAAAAAAGCTGAGGACATCCTGTGGAAGATATTCCAGCCAAGGGAGAATTTCTCCGTGAAAGGCAAAAGGGAGGTGTTCTTGTTGCTGGAGCGTGTTCATGTCGATGTCCTGGCTTTCGATCAACATATCTTCTCCGTTGGAGCCTATGTTAGGAAATCCATCGGCTATCCTGGGTCGTAAATGGGCATCGTTGCCCTGGTCATTTGCGGCAGGTACGGACATGTTGTAAGTATAATCAGGTACCTGTGTTTCTAACTGGGATGAGGTAAAATCTTGGTTAAAAGCTGAGGGACGGGGGCTTGGGGTTGAAAATGACCCATTTAGGCCCAGAAGTATATTGGTGTCCGATGTGGGCATCCTTCCGGCAGAGACTAATGGGGAGTACTGCTGAGTAGGAGTCGCAAGCGAAGAGCCCCGTGTCGCATCAGCGGTTCGCGTCTGCTGTAGTGGTTGTGCGAAGGAAGCAGAACTTTGATCTGTGTTCGATTGTGCAGGTATGCATGGGTAACTATGACTGTACTGCGAGGCGAACGTAGGTCTCTCGGGGATGGGGTCAGCCTGCGTAGCTGGCATCTGGTACAACAAGCTAAGATTGGGTTGGGACGAGTTCGTCGCTCCTGTAAGTGCCCATCCAATTGCTGAGATTCGGAACCATTAGCATATTGTCTTGTGTGTCAAAAGATATCATGGCAGTTCTCACCTTGGCCAGTATCAATATTGGGGGAGGTTTTACCATGCGAAGGAACATCCGGGCCCGTTCCTGATGGTTCTGGATTGCCTGCAGCCTCCAATGGTGTCTTTGTGCGACGCCACCCTGGAGGGGCGAAAGGCTGGACTGGGGGTATTTCAGCAGCATTTTCCATCTCTTCTACGGTATATAAAAGAGGATCAACAATCCCCTTGGCCTTTTGGTCCAGCACTGTGAGAATGTATCTCGTACCCTCCCAGTATGTGTCGAGTGCTTTTAGTGCTTTATAACATCGTTGATAATTCTCTTTTGCAGCAGATGCGAGGAGAATGTGTTTAGACTTCCGCTCTGTCCCATTGGAAGGATCCATACTTGGCATCACGAAACCACTCGATCGGTTGGCTAGTAGAGGCTGTGTAGGAGGAGAGCCGGACCTAGACGAAGGCGAGGTGTAGTAGGTGCTCTCCATGAGAAAAGCGCATGCGGCAATATACATCGGCTGACTCGTAAAAGGATTGCCGATGAAACTTTTGCCATCCACTAACTCGGAAAACGAAAGTATATCCGCAATAGTCTTGGCGGATGACATCGAGAGCTCTCTGCTATTTGGATAGAGATGTTGTATTGTTCCACCGAAGGAATTCAGGAGCGTTGGCTGATGGAGAAGAACTATAAGGGTGTGGAACCACTGAAGAAGAAAGTTAGACGTGCAACAAAATTAAACAAAACCAAGTGTTATACTTACAAAATGGAGCAGAATGAAATTTGTCCCCTCTTTTGCCTTAACGTACGTTTGGAAGTTGGCTGCATTAAAGTGAAGTCTGGGGGACAAATGTTGGTAGATTCCTAAAGACCGTTGAAGTTAGCCAGGAGAAACAAATTTTTTTTTTAAAAAAAAAGAAAAGAAAAAAAAGAAATGCAACAGTACCAGTTAGGTCACTCTCCATTCCTGCCAATCTTTGCAATGTGTCAGACGTGACATGGTTGACATCCTGAATTCCATTGATGAGGTCTGTCACCCTTCCGTACAGATGAATGACTCTAATGAGCGGGGGAAATGGCGATGGCCAACCATTCGGAAGTTGCGATTCTGATTGTAGAGGGAAGCATAGCTCTATGTCTTCATCGCGCAGGGTGACTGGTCTCCCTGTTCCAGATGAGATCACTCGGTCAAGGAAGAAGATACTCCAAAATGTGTCAACCTTTTCTCGCTCTCTTGCACGGTGGTCTTCAAGGTCCTGTATGTCTTTCCCAGGGTTTTGGTGGGCCTGGATATCCTCGTATTCATCCTCTTCGAACTCTCCGGCCTGTCCGGTCATGATTGCATTGGGAGTTAATCCACTTTGACCGTAGTTATATTTCAACCCTTGCAATTTCTGCATCCCAAGGTCCTGAGCCATGCGAATCGAAATCCCTAAGTACATCCATAGACCACTATCACGGTTCGACCCAAACTCTTCATAGGCTAGCAGCAAGCAAGCCTGGACAACGGCAAGGGTTGGGCATGATAGAGAATCGACAAGAGCACTCATTGCCCTATGAGCAAAGGCCTGGCCTCGATTCGACTTCCTTGTATCCAGTTGTGGTACAGAACCATCAATGTTTGGGGCTTGAGGGGGGCCCAGCAGAGGGTGGGGAGAAAACCTGGCAGATAATGCGCAAACTGCATCCACAAGCATGGTTTCGACAGTTTTGTCCTTTAAGTCTCTGAGAAACCTATCCCGCTGTAGAAATGGAAAACTACAGCCAAGATGTACGAAGAAAAGCTCGCAAAGGTGTGTGACAAGATTGCTGACAGGTGTGTCATCTCGATCGTAAAATGGAATCGTATTGGAATCTCGGCTATCTTCCAACGTCGCCAGAGAGCCCATTCCTATATCAGCTAATTTTGGACTCCGGAGAGGGGACAGTGGCTCTGCAAGACCATCAACATGTCAGTTGGCCTGACTCGTAAAGAGACAAAAGACACTCGGAGAGAGGCTAGTCAAACCTGATGACATTGATGGATTGCTCTTGCGGGAACCTCTAACTTGGACGACCTGAAAGCACGTTAGGAGTGCAGCCCTTTATGGTAACAGGGTATGATCTAACCATCTGTTTAAAGCCAGGAACGATGGCAGTTGGCCCAAAATACCGGAAGTACGGAGCATGAGTGCGGCTGGAGGAGCCGAGAGAGGTGCGATCTATTTAATATCTTAGGAATCATGATCGATATAGAATGCACAAGTGGAAACATGAAACCGGCGCATGGTTGACATTGACCAAAAGATTATGATCGCTTCGAACTTACTACTTTCTGGGGTATCCCCCGCATTTTGCTGCTCATACTCTTTGGGCACACGTGTAGTATCCCTTGCCAAAGAAACTCCTTTTGGTCCCGGCACTTTTGGATCCTCCGGAGCTTTTTCGGAACAATCAGGTGGTTTTATAGCTTGTGGGGGATCTGGCGAACGCTTCTCAACCACCTGAGAAACACGGGGGTATACCACCTCATTGGGACCAGGCAGCGATGGAATCGCCGGAGTTCGTGGTGCGGTATCGGATTGCGACCGGGCGTGGGAAGGAGGCTCGTTGTATCCAAGACACGTATGATTATAGTCGGAGCATGTTTTACACACTGATCAAGATATCCCACTGTCAGCAACCATCTAGAACCGGCGACCAATAAATCAGACTGTTGCCCACCTGGTTGTTCACCTGAGCATCGTATCTTGCGCTTGCGACAGGTCCGACAACTATGGAGGACCGTTGTATCAGCATCGCCTCCTGCATTGACGATGGGAAGAGCCACCAGCTTACGCTGCGTTTACTCGCCGCCGCTTTGTCTGGGGCTGTCCATCGGTCGAAACAAAGCGAATCTGTCTCGGTGGTGGGGGAACATTGCTGCCAACGTTCTTCTTGGGCGAAGGGAGGCTCATTGCGAGCAAATAATCATCCGTAATCCCGACACATTGGGTATTGGGTCTCTCCACGCCTTACGTCAATGGAGTGTGGCTGACAGAGGGTCCCAAGGGAGTCGCAGGAAAAATGTATAGAGGTCGGGAGAAACAGTGTCGCGGAAGGTCTTTGGAACGAAGCGCCAGCAGAAGAACAAAATCCATGGACGTAATAATTAATTCCAATGGAAGGAGCGATGTGGTGGGTCAAATTAGGGCTTGATGAGATGGCGAGAGGAGTTTGGGAGATGAGAATAGGGGAGTTTGGCCAACAGCAATAGAATAATAGTGTTGAGGTCTGAGTATGGAACCAACGATGTCCCCAAAGCGAGCTGCGCAGACCGCCCACCACAATGCTTCAGCAGCGTCTTCTTTTTATTATTTCCACATCAAAAAGAAAAGAAACCATCCATTAATAATGGAGAGAAAAAGAAAAATAAATAAGCTGGGATACACAACGTTATTGGGCTTTTTTTCCCTCCGCCCCCAAGGTCTGATCTACTCTGTGGGATAACATGACCCTGTGCAACGGTCAGATGATGCTTCAACTTTTTCTCTCTCGTTTCCCCTATGTGACTCATCAAGAGGTAAACACTTCATTATTCTTTTCTAGAAAATACTTCCCTGTGGGTTCCTGCATGCCGGGAGGGTCTCGGGGAGAAGAGTGTTTATACCAGAAGCTGAGATGGTCTAACGAGCTGGATCATCACGGGCCCAGTCACACCGATTGTCTCGAGTCTGGACTCTTTCTGGGGGAACTCGACTGGGGGAACTCGACTGGGGGAACTCGACTTCGCTTCCCCGTGCGGAGTTCCGAGCTCCAATTGATCTACATGGGACTAATGTGTATTGAATGTGTCCACATTGGCATAATCACAGTTCATATCTAACTCTCGCTCCACTGCCAGTTGTCAAGAGTCTGCCATGGACAAATCTTCTCTCTGCCTCCTACACCAGACGTTTCCCGCCCGGTCTCCACGCCTCTCTCGGGCGACTCGCAGTAATTCCGCGTACCATGTGACCGACCCGCAGAGAAGATGTATTATGATGGACAGCCAGCAATTTCCTACGATTAATGATGAACTCAATTCTATCGGAAAACCAGTCTATTTAATACCGTCCCATGGTCTATCATTTATGAGCTTCAGGCTCGGTCTTGCTCCTACCGAGGTTCCTGGGCTTCTTAGCGTTTCTCTATCCTGTTCTAGAAGTTCGGCCTTGGGATTTCCATCGCATCTGTTACGCGCCCATATGAGATTCCTCCCAGTCGACTGATCGGTTTCATCACCTTCAAGTCAACTAGATTCTTTTCCTCGTTGATGGCGTCATCTCTCACCCAGAAGCGAACTCCTTCAATGATAGCCAAGGCTCCTGTCTTCTTGCCTGGGGTTGCTCTGCTTTCGAATTCTTTAATTTCAACAAGCTTGCCTTCGATCGACATGACCGACTCCTTCACACGGGCTGGCTTGACAGAGGTAGAAGGTGCCTGAGTCAGACCAGATATTTCCCACTCGGAGACGCCGTACGGCGCATTGATGGCCGTTGCGTTGGCCGCCTCGACAAAGTGCTCGGAGATGAGGTTTATCACACATTCCTCTGTTTCCGCCAAGTTTCTCAACGAATCTTTGAACTGGTCCAGTGGTTTGGCGACTCCGACGACGAAAAGTGGAGGATCATGGTTGATCACGTTCGCGTAGCTGAAAGGCGCCAGGTTGGTTGACTGGCCATCCTTGGATACGGTACTGATGAGCGCAATTGGTCGAGGGACAATGCCAGAGATCAAAAGCTTGTAGTTGGAGGTAGAGGGTCGCCCTTCTTCGTAGGGGTCGATTTCCACATGGTTCTTCTTCAGACTTTCACCATTGTCATTTGCACCATCACCCTGCTTCCATTGTGGGTTGGGAGACTTCGTAAATGTGACCTGTGTTTCCTGGTTGAAGTCAGGTCGAGATGCTTGGATTTTCTCGAAATCGCCGTGGGGCTTGAACATTGTGGACGACTGATTGAACGATCGAGAAGACTGGTGGAATAGGATAGGCAAAGGCGTGGAGCGGTTCCTGTGGATTTGTCAGTCGCGTTCCTTTTGGTCCGTTGCACAAAGCCGGCTCGAACTCACAGTGGGCTGAGAGGAAATCTCTTGACAGTTCGCAGAGAAAGAAAACGCATTGCGGTGATAGAAATGGCGGGGGTCCTTCTTATCGCACTTCTTGTGCTCGCAGAGCAGACTGGAGCCGATGGCGAATGCTACAGATAATCGCTTAATTCCACGCTATTATAGCATACAGAATCTCCAATTACCACGGCTCGGATGACCTCATAGCGCTCAAAAGTGCGTGGGGATAGAGCTTCATTACCGACTTTCGGGCCGATGTCAGCGCCTAACTCCGACCCCGCATACCATCGGATAGATATGGAATCAATGAGATGAAATGAAATGGAATGAAATGATCATGGTTGAGAGTAACTATTCTGTTTTCCTAAGGGATTCTGAATATCTGCCATCACCATCAGTATAGTGGCAATGCGATGCCACTAGACTGGGTCTGCTTAAACCCTGCACTATTGTGGGAAGCTAACCTCCACCCCGTCAAAGCTCAAGCAATTGTAACCGAGTTATAAATCCCTGCTGACTTGAGCAAATCAACTGGCAGTTTGACTTTTTATGTGTCAAAGTAGTGCAACTATGATAACGCGTATACAAGTGAGCCTAAACTCCAAGAGTGCAGAGGCGGGGTCATAGATAACAAACCAGAGAGGGGACTTTGCCTCCTCTTTTCTCCAACATCAGGGTGAGATTTAATATGCTGTTCGGTCAGCTTTCATATTCGATTCGTATTCTAAGTCCCTGAACCTATAAGGCAGATTATTATGACCAAAATGACACAGCAAGATTACGAGATCTTCAAGCTTGGAGACTGGGAGCTCCAGAGCGGAGAGAAACTCAACGATGCCCATATTGCGTACAAGACATTTGGAGACCCCAAATCTCCTGCTATCGTCTATCCAACCTGGTTTTCTGGCTGTATGTATTGGATCACAAAGTGCGCCATGTACTGCTAACCTCGCAAGTGATATCGGACAACCTATGGTTGATAGGCGAAGACAAGACACTGAATCCCAACAAGTACTTTATCATCATCCCTGCCCTCTTTGGAAACGGCCAGTCATCCTCTCCGTCAACCCAGTCCACACCTGGACCATTTCCCAAATGTTCCTTTTATGACAATGTCCGGGCTCAGTATACGCTTGTTACGCAGCATTTGGGGATCAGCCACTTGCGTGCCGTACTTGGGTGGTCAATGGGCGCTGTCCAAAGTTATCAATGGGCGACTCAATATCCGGACTTTATGGATTTGATAGTCCCTTTTTGTGGATCAGCGAGGACCGCCTTGCATAATCAGGTCTTCCTGGAGGGTGTTAAGAGTGCACTGCTTGCTGCGAAGAGCATTCCCTCCGCTGGCTCGGGAGAGGACGGCATTCTCACCGATGGGGATGGTTTTCGAATTTGGAATACTAAAGAGAAAGAGGTCGGTCTCAAAGCATTTGGGAGAGGTTATGCTGGATGGTGAGGATAGACCAATTCCGCTTTGTCATGAACGATGCTAATCCGTTGTGTGTGCACAGGGGTTTCAGTCAGACATTCTATCGCGAGAAAGTATATGAAACGGCACTGGGCTTCAAGGGGCTGGAGGACTTTATGCAGAATTTCTGGGAGAAATGGGCACTTTCTAAAGGCAAGTATACAATAACGAACGTTCCTAGTGTGATAGAACCTAACGTTTGTTGTCAGATCCGGAGAACCTACTCGTAATGCTGCAAACTTGGCAGAATGGAGACGTATCGAAGCAAGCGCCTTACGATGGAAATTTCGAAAAGGCTATGGAATCCATCAAAGCCAAGGCACTCGTATTGCCTGGAAAGACAGATCTATACTTCCCGTACGTCAGCACACAATTTTTTTCAATTCAGAGTACTGATAAAGCATTAGTCCAGAGGATTCAGAGTATGAGGTCGCATGCATGAAGCCAGGAATCGGGGAATTTGAGCCAATTCCCTCCATATGGGGCCGTAAGATTGCGTCCAATTTTTTAAAGTTGATCTTTCACTAACTCGATTCACAGATTGGGCTGGGGGTCCTGGGAATAGTAAAGATGATGTCGAATGGCTGGATAAACGCCTTTCAGATTTCTTCGCTGGGGTTGATTCAATGAACGTGGCTGGGCTCAAGATAACTGACCAGGGGAATTGATGGAACATTGACTTAGCTGTAAGACTGATAGGTCCTCTGGAATATGTAAGGAAGACGATGGATATTTGCCTGTTTACGGGATTTTCAACATGGAATGTTGCATGTTGTCTCCTGTCATTCACATGTTGCTTAAATGCGCTATACCAAAAGTAGAAGTTATTGGATGTCACTCCAATCAAGCATAGCGCCCGATCGCAGTCACGTGAAATATTTAAGTTTGCTGAGGTAACCAAAAGCCTAAGTTCCTTCTCCAACTCCAGGATCCAGGAAACCTGCGCTCGCCATTCCTCATCAGAGTCCATTCGCTTTCGTTTTCATTGATTTGTGTTTTGTCTTCTTCGTCTTACTTATTTTACCCTAATTTTTTTTCTGTGTCATTGCCTACTTTCATTTACCTTCAACTCTCTTCTGTATCTAATCCCTATTCGTTGTTGAGCCTGGACCGGCGCAACTGTATTCTTTTAACCCTCAACCCTCAACCCTCAAAAACGACAATGGCAACACCACCAGTCCGACAGTGGGGAGTTACTCCTCCTATTTCCACCGTCCTGCCCACCCCGGATGAACTTGCTGCGAACGATGATTTGATTTCTGAACTTAAAGCTCAGAACAACTTCGAGAGCCCTACGGAGACCGACCGAAGGTAAGACCGAGCTGGGAAATATGGGTACCTGATATTGGCGCTGATGTTTGTGGTCGCTTAGAAAGCAAGTGTTACAGTTAATCCAAAAGGTTACCCTCGAATTTGTCAAGGTCGTGAGCCGAAAAAAGGGACTTACTCCCGCGGCCGTCGAAGCATCAGGAGGAAAGATCTTCACATATGGCAGTTACCGTCTGGGTGTTTATGGTCCTGGTGAGTAGGCACCAATGTTTTAATCACATACTGTGGTGTCCTTGCTGACAAATTTTGCGCAATAGGCTCGGATATCGATACATTGGTGGTTGGACCAAAGCATGTCGTGATCGATGATTTCTTCTCGGACTTCCCTCCAGTTCTCGAAGCGATGGCTCCCCAAGGGGCCATTGAAAAAATGACCCCGGTTCCAGACGCCTATGTTCCCATTATCAAACTCGAAATGTCCGGAATCAGTATTGATTTGATCTTTGCTCGCCTGGTTATACCGTCGATTCCAATCAACCTCGATTTGAAGAACAATGATTACCTTAGAGGGCTGGATGAACGGGAAGTTCGATCGCTTAATGGAACCCGTGTGACCGATGAGATTCTCGAGCTTGTTCCCCAGCAGAAGACGTTCCGCTTTGCTCTGCGCGCCATCAAGCTTTGGGCACAACGTAAGGGAGCACCCTACAATTTATTTGTCAGAGCAAGGGTCTAACTTTCTGAATAACAGGTCGAGCTATCTACTCCAACATTGTAGGTTTCCCCGGTGGTGTTGCTTGGGCCATGCTGGTAGCCAGAGTTTGTCAGTTATACCCTCAAGCGACTGGATCAGTCATTGTCGGCAAATTCTTCCGCATCATGAACAAGTGGGCATGGCCTCAACCTGTATTGTTGAAGCCGATTGAAGATGGCCCTCTTCAGATCAAAGTTTGGAACCCAAAGGTGAGCTTCATATGTCATGCTGCGAACGACCGGTATACTGACCCGGCAGATCTACCATGGTGATCGGTTTCACCTCATGCCTATCATCACGCCGGCATATCCCTCCATGTGTGCGACTCACAATATCTCGATGTCTACCAAGGCAGTTATTCTCCGCGAACTGCAGCGTGGTGGTGATATTGTAGACAAGATCTTCTTGAAGCAACAGACTTGGAATGACCTCTTCGCTCGCCACGAATTTTTTGCGCGGGACTATAAGTACTATCTCAGCATCACTGCCTCCAGCAAGACCAAGGAAGCTGAAGCTGTGTGGTCGGGTCTTGTAGAATCTAAGCTAAGACATCTTGTTGGCGCTTTGGATAGGAAAGCGACCATTGCGGTAGCTCATCCTTTCCCCAAGGGTTTTGAGAGAATCCATAAGGTCAGCAACGACCAGGAAGCAGAAGCAGTCAAGAATGGGTCCACGCAATATCATGACAAGGGTACGAAGACCGAAACTACCGATGAGATGAAAGACCCTGCACACCAAGCCGTGGCCGAAGATGGTATCGAAAAGCCAGAACTCTCAGAGCTTGCACAGCAGAAAGCAGATGACGAAAGCCGAACAATTTATACCACAACTTATTACATTGGTTTGGAATTGAAACCTCTCGAACCAGGTACGGCATTCGCCTCCCCTTCATGATTCCACTGACTTTAAAAGGTGCCTCGCGGTCGTTGGATATCTCGACTGACGCTCAAATCTTCAAATCAACTTGCACCTCCTGGGCGGGATACCAGCCAGGCATCAACGATTTGGCAATTACTCATGTTCGCAAGTATGTTACTGGTTGACACTCTGTTCCCCTTTTCCTCATTCTAACTCCACCAGTTTCGACCTGCCGGAGGATGTCTTCCAACCAGGCGAGACTCGGCCTACTCGGCCTAAGAAGAAGGTCGTCAAGAAAGCCGAAGCGATTGGTCAGAAACGAGGCATCGACTCTCTGGACGTAAGTGCACGCAAGAAAGCCAAAGCAGACCCCGAGCGACAGGATATTCGCCACTACTAAGGAGCTCAAGATCGATCTTGATACATAACGATAAGGGTATATATGTATCTGAGAATGACTAATGTATAACTATCTAGGACACATCGCGTGGGAACGCGAAACGCCAGGTCACCAACGGAATCTCGAGCGCTGCGACACCCGCCTGAATAATTTGAACGAAAGAAAAGCAATTGACCAAGAAATCGCGCCGGGGCCGGTCCCCATAACGCTGTGAGCAAAGCACTTACGGCTGCAACATATCAGAAATCGAAATCACCAATATTGGTGTCTATGTAGTAACATCATCCCAGCTGAGTCTGACTCTTTAACATGCAGTTGATTAGTGACTCGCCATACATTCATGCGATGAGCTTTACAACTGACGTCAGGAGTACAAGGTTGGTTTTCTTTTCTCTTCCTCACGCCCCTTGAACACAATCATTTTCCTTTCTTCTTTCTCTTGCCATAGCAGGACGAGCTGGAATAGCGATATCCGAAAAGATGCAGTCGCAGAAGCACACTTAGCCCAGCTGAGCGAGCATCGTCTTGTTAATTCTCTTATTTGGTGTTTCCCCCCATTGAATATGCCGTGGAAAAGTGGTTTTGGGCCTTCTTACCGGTGGTTCGTGACTGTACATATGACCTTGCCATATCTTGCAGGTAGTCTGGTGTTTGTTGTCTACTAGCTAGATTTTAGTGGAATAAAGGTAAATGTTTGCAGTGGCCCACGGGTCACAAAGCCTTGAATTCATTTGCTACATACTCGTAGAGTTTCATACCTGGTCAATAATGAGGTCTGTCCACGGTCTTATCAACAAGACGAAAACTAGAGGACATAGACTTCAACTTCGTCTTCCCCGCCTTCGGACTTCTCGCCGATCCCAGCGACATCCCCGCATTGCCCGACGTATGGCGATAACAGTGCTGGATATTTAACCATTGGTACGAGCCCTTTGAGTCCCTTGTTTTTCAGGACATAGACAAATAAGTATATCCAGTATTCAAATAAGCAGCCGCAATGACATCGCCAAAAGAATATCCCACCCTGCCACGCGAAAACACTCTCGCACAACTGCCCCCCGAATACCCCACAGACGCTCAGGGTCAAATCTCCCAGATCCTATCAACCTCATCACTCAATCGCCTCGTCGTCCTTGATGACGATCCCACAGGAACCCAAACCTGTCACGACATCTCCGTCCTCGCCGTCTGGGACGTCCAAACACTCGTGGAAGAATTCCAGAGCAACTCGCGCGGATTCTTCATCCTCACCAACTCCCGCGCACTGCCCCCAGTCGGAGCAGAAAAACTGATCCGCGGCATCTGCGCGAACGTCGCGCAAGCAGCCAAAGCCACCGGACAGACGGTGGATATCGTCCTCCGTGGCGATAGCACGCTACGGGGCCACTTCCCTCTCGAAGCGGACGTGGCGCAGTCGGTGTTTGGGGAGGTGGATGCGTGGGTTCTTGCCCCGTTTTTCTTCCAGGGTGGACGCTTCACCATTGATGATGTGCATTATGTCGTTGAGGGTGATCAGCTGGTCCCCGCGGGGTCGACGCAGTTTGCCAAAGATGCGACGTTTGGGTATAAGAGTTCTAGTTTGAGGGATTATGTTATGGAGAAGGCACCTGGGAGATTTGCATCTGATCAGCTGCATTCGGTTACGATAGATGAGATTCGAAAGGGGGGTCCGGAGGCGGTTTTTGAGAAACTCATGGGACTTCCTCAGGGTGGCGTTCTTATTGTCAATGCTGCAGCTGAGTCTGATATGCACGTTTTTGTTGCTGGGCTGTTGTTAGGTGAGCCTTTCTCCGTATTGCCGATTTACTCAAAGAATCCAAAGCTAACTAGTTAAACAGCCGAAGCAAGAGGGAAACACTACCTTTACCGCACCGGCGCAGCCTTCGTATCCACACGACTAGGCATTCGCTCCAAAGCCCCCATCACGGCAACCGAGCTCAAACTCCCCAACCCCAGAGAGACAGGCGGCCTGATCATCGCCGGGTCCTATGTCCCCAAAACAACAGCTCAGCTGAAGGTACTAACAGACCGACGCGGAGGAACAGGTGAACTAGCCATCATCGAAATGAAAGTAGACGACCTCATCGCCTCGCCTGATAGTGCAACGAAAGTCATCCAACAAGTCGTTGAAGAGACAGAGTCATACCTTCAAGCTGGTAAAGATACGTTGGTGATGACGAGTCGAAAGCTGATCACTGGAGGCGATGAGTTGTCGTCTTTGGCTATTGGGTCTAATGTTGCAGAGGCTTTGGTGAGAGTGTTGCAGTTGATACGGGTGCGTCCGCGATATGTCATTGCAAAGGTATGTCACTCTTTAGATTTATTTTTCTTGGAAATACTATGAAGTAACTAACATTCTTCTTTTGTATAGGGCGGTATTACTTCGTCCGACGCCGCTACCAAGGGTCTCAACGTCAAGCGCGCCATGATTGTCGGACAGGCTGCACCGGGAGTACCGCTTTGGAGATGCGATGAGCCAACTTCTAGACACCAGGGAGTCCCGTTTGTTGTTTTCCCGGGAAATGTGGGTGGAGAGTCGACTCTGTGTGAACTCGTACAAGGGTGGTATTGATAGTTTGAACCTAGACGAGTATAGTATATAAGAATGTGTATTGACTACTACCTATCTACCTATCTACAACTATGTGGAATCTATTGGCCCTGTAAAGAAGTTGTTTGTTCCTTTACTGAATTTTGCCTTACGACCCAGGAAAGGTATAAAACGACAGTCTTTCACTATCATAATCCAAGTCACAACAAAAGAAATGGAGTCAACCGTATAGATCGCCTGTAACAATCGCAAGTACACCAGGGAAACACAGAATAAAAACAATAAAACAGAAAGACCCACTCGTAAACACCGCCTACGCCGTGACATGTGAGAGTATATGTATGCAAAACGGTCATGGTTGAGATCGCAGTGACAGACAGACAGAAAGACAGACATGATGGCGCAAATGCTCCTTGCTAGGCAAATCCAAGAGAAAATGGTGTAGAAAATGATAAAAAAAAGAAAGAATCAGACAAAGATTTGAACCGGTCATTACGCATATCCTCCCTTTTTTTGTTCCCTTTTGAAACCCGTTCCTTCACTGCCCGACTCCCCCAAACCTCGCCCCATGCATTATGCTTGAAAAAAAAGAAAACAAGAGATAAGATGGAATCCAACCATATGGATCGAAGAGGACATAATAAACATTAGCAGACGTTGACGTTTAAATGGGGTGGAACAGATGGACGCTGTTCCTCCCTTTCAGCAATCGGACTTTATCCGACGACGCTGCGGAAACTCAGAGCTTCGAGGAAACCTCCGAGATCCTCCTTTTGGACTTCGACCACGCAGTGTTCGAAGCTGTCAATGCGGACTCGGGCGTTCGTTTCCTGCACTACTTCCTGGAAGGCGATGCCAAACCGGTTTCGTAGAAGATGCTTGTTCGCGCGCATATCGTCCTCGTTCTCCGATTCCGACTCAGACTCAGAGGACTCGGACGAGTCCTCTTCGGTCTCTTCTGCTTCTTCATCTTCATCTCCCCTTTGGGCACGTTCGGCTGCACGTTGCGCCCGACGTTCTTCTCGTTCCTTCTGCTTCTTTTCTTTAGCATCCTTTTTCTGTCGGCGCTCTTCTTGCCGCTTCGATAAAGCAGCGAAGTCGATCACACCTCCACCTCCACCAGTGCCGACAACAACATAGAGACCTCTGTCCTCATCAAGGCCAGCTAACACAAGGGGCGTACCAGCTGCTCGCCTCCGGCCAAGCTTGACACTATCGCCCCTTTCTCGTTCTTGCACTCGGATGGCCTCAGCGATCCACAATGCAAGTTTAGTCAGTGCTCCAGGGTTCGTAAACAGCTTTACATCTGGTCCATCCTTGACAACAGCGATACGGAACGCCCTCAAGTGCCGGATTTGGTGCTTTGAGAGTAAAGATGTACCGGTTCGGAGGATGGCACGATGAAGATGTTGAGCAAGGGGAAGCGCTTCCATAAGAAGCGTAGGCGACTCCGAAGTCAAAGAGAGGGCATCATATGCACTCCAGAACCGAGGGAGAAGGCTGGACAGATCGGACTCGGTAGACCCTTCATGGTCATCAGATGAATTCGCAATTCGAGGTCGGGATAGGCGCTTTGCATCCCAGGTGGGATGCTCCTCTGGCCCAACCTCGAGAATGGCACCCACGATGACACCGATGTCTGTGGCAGACAGACAAGCCTTCCAGCCCCAGCAGCGTACAAAACCCCAGCCTTCACGAGAACTGACATGGCCTGATCCATCTTGCGGGACAAGCCCGTCTAGTCCGTACATGGGTGCGTATTTCAGGAGTCGCGACCGTAGTACACGCTTTAGTTCCATATCCATATGAGTGTAATTCTGATGACATTGGGTGAGACTGATTCCCATCTTTGCCAGGAGTTTATGGAGTCGTTTTCTGCCATTTTCAGTCCAGACATGAAGGCGCGATGCCAAATACGGGCTGTGTAGCATGCTGTCGTAGAGCGACCAGTGTCGCACCAGAATAAATCGCGGTTCGGGGGAGATGCGGATTGATTTATCGGTTGGGGACCGTGCGGTCGTTTGGATAACGCCGTTGATTTCCCCTCTGATATCTCGATCGTTCGGGTCAGGGGGATTCAGTCGATTAACCTCATCTCGAAGAATCCCGCGCACTCGTTCACCCCGCTCTCCACCCCAACCAGCCGATCCTCCAGACTCCGATGAGTTGGAAATGCCAACGCCAGACATTGTACGACCACTAAGTTCCAGACTAGAAACACCGACAATGGCTAGCCATAGTAGATCATTGTCTTCACGACCCAATTCAGACGCAAGAGAGTAGACAAGGGATGATATAGGTTCCGAATACGAGGTTCCCGCCGAGTAATAAGCATGTAACACCGCATCATGCTTCCTTTTCAGTCGGAGGAGTCGACGCTTCAATGTGCGCGCGGAAGGCTGCCTTTGCTGTGCAGGTGAGGGCGAATCTGAGACCGGAGTAACAGAGCGTGACGAGTTCGAAGAGTTATGGCCAGGCCGTTGTCGACGACTAGGAGACGAAACAACTGAAGATCCCTACATGTAAGATTAGTATAAGGGCATCCGTGATCGTTGAGGATCCAGTTCGTATACGTACTGAGTTACTCCTCCGCCGCTGACGAGGTGGCCCGTCTTCTTCCTCAGAGTCGTCCTCATCCTCTCGTCCGGACCACGACTTTCGCTTCTTGGTCCCTACCATACTGGAATCAAAGTCTTCATCCTCACTCCCAGGCTCGTCGTCTTCATCCTCCTCATCCAATTCTGGCATCTCCAGCAAGGCGCAATATGCCTCCCTTTCCCTTTCCATCTCATCCTCAATATCCCCGTCATCAAACACGACAATTCCACCGTTCCCCGATTTGTAAGAGGGGTTGATGCACCCCCTATCGATTCCGCGCGTTTTCCGTCGTGCAGCCGCGTCCATTTCTCCCAACGGTTGTCCTGATACCGCTTGTCCACCAAACACATTTCCCAGATTCCATGGCCGCCTCGCGTCGAAAACCCAGACTTCCACGCCTCCCATATCCTCGATTTCGTCCTCCGGGTTGCTCAGGGAGAGTATTTCACTGAGATCAACCAGTCCACCCACCCCTAAACAAACCACCACGCCTCCACTACCCCCATTGGTGGTCTGCATGGGCTTGACCAGCTCCTCTCCTGCACGAGCGAGGTCGCCATATCCAGCCACTGGTTGAATCTTATGGGGAATATAGTCGCGTTTTAACAAGGCAGTAAGAATCCGACAAGCACATAGAGCGTCCGGTTCGAGGGCAACTAGAATCAGCACAGGCGGAGATAGCGGGTGGTGTGATCGGAGCAGTTGTGTATAGAGGTGCGCGATAAGCTTGCGAGGAAGATACATGGCCAGCCAAGGGATCAGAGCAGAACACGCGGAAAAGAAAAGCAATAAAATCAGACAAAAAACAGAACAAAAAATTAGGCCTTCGAGAGGCCTTTCTCTTCACAACGATAAATAAGTATCAATAAGCAAAGTCAATCGTGTTTTGGCGGCTCCATGATCCGGTGTCTTTTGTCGTTCTAAGTCTTTGCCAGAGAGGAACGCAGGAGTCGCGAATCTCCAACCGACGCGTCGAGGCGTGCGGCACGTGCGTAAAGGCACGCCAAGCCCCGCCTGGTCGTCCGATCGGTAGCACTAACAACGCTGGTATGTATGCCAGCGGGCATTTCTCGCAGAAAAATGATCTGTCGATTGCTTTTTTGCTGTGGCATTGGGTATAGTTATTGTTTCAGCTGCTTATATACATGAAGAAGTGTGTGAAGAATTGTGGGTAATAGGGGCGTTCATGGAGACATCGGAAACCTTCATCGCGTTTACTCCAAGAACCAATGGCACACGATCTGTATCAAATAAAATGCATTGAATAGAATATTCTAAATTAAAAACTCCAAAGACGCCGTGCTCGTATGAAATACAATCCCAGGGCTATTTCCATGGCATACACTGCCGAGTTCAATTTATATGGCAACGCAGTGATAGTACCAGTCATCCTGCTTTGATAGAAGCAAGATCACCTCGTCTCAGATCAAACCGAGTGGCCTAGAACCGATCCGGAAAACCACACGGCAGCACACACACCTAAGACAGAAGCGCCGACGATTCGCTTTCCCCAGCTGTTGTCGTCGGTCATCTTGGTAGGTCCAACGTTCTTTCTCTGCGAAAGGTAGGAAGATAGTGTCTGGGATGATTCTGAGTTGGATGATGCATCACCACTGCTCTGGTTGGATGTGTCAGGGCGGATGGCGAAGTACTCTTGGTCTCGCTTGCGCCACTTTCCCGCGAGTCGAGCAATTTCAGCTAGATCCTCTTTCAAGGAACCTGGGTCCGTCGCGTTGGCGTTCTCCACCTCCACATTCTGAACATTGCCGAAGAAATCCACAACAGTCCGTAGACGACCCTCCTGTTCGCCTCCTGGGAATAAATCCCATCGCACGCCGGGCTGCGAATGGATCTTAGACTCATCGTACGAATCAAACAGATCTCCCAGGTTGAGTTTCGAGTTGGCGTTTGTCACTTGAGTCTCGAGGAACTCGAGCACGTAATAAGTCCAGCGGTCAATGACCGCAACCCCGACGTCATTGTCCGCATGATGAGAGTATGAAGACTGGTCGAGGGCACTTGATCCCGTGGCGATAATGTTGGGCGAGTAGAAATGGGTGTACATCGTATTGGCTTGGCAAGTATCGATCATGAACAGCAATTCATGATAGCGCTTCTTTTCCCACATTTGGCCAAACGCATCGGCCAAATCCCACGCACCAATTTCTTCTGAGTCTTGGAACTTCAAGAATTGATCTCCACCATGTCCGGTCATATATACCAGCACGTTACTTCCTGCATCTGACCCCAGACGCTTGCTGCGCGGCACATCCTCGTCCAACCGGTCGGTCAAAAGTCGGATGAAGTTCTCAACCGTCACCTCATAGCCCCGGTAATCCACCTCGATGTTATCACCATACAGATCGACCGCGCGATCTGCATTACTGTAGACGGTGCCTGGGAAAGCATTGCGAGGGTTGCAGGCCATGTCGTCGGGGAGCATCAGGATGATTTGCGAATCGGGGATCCCGAGACGCTTGACGGTTCGGTATAAGGAGAGGACATTGGCGAGATGGCGATAGTTGAACCAAAAGCGCGAAGTTGATACTAGAACAGCCCAGTTTGATGTATGCTCGGCTGCTACTAGGATGGTGCAGAGGAGAAGGGGGAGGAAGAGGGTGGTTTGGAGGAGCCTGAGGAGACGAGACATGTTGGATGCTAAGGCTGTATCATAATCAGGAAAGAAAGGGGCAAGAAGGAATGGTGGAAGAAGAAATAAAGAGGCAACCAAATGGGTATCAAATAAGGAGACTTGTACAAAAGGAAAAGCGAAGGGAAAGGACAAGGTCCCTGGATGATTGAAAGCGATGATCTGATGATGGAGGATTAATAATGGAGATGGAGAAGGCGGAGTGACGGTTTGGGTGGCCCGACAGTGGAGCCATCCTCTATCAAAAGAACCATGGGCCATTCCGCTCTCATAGAAAATAGTACTATGAGCTATGAACCCTTGTTACTCACTGTTTGAGCAAGAAATGAAATTAAATATGAATTTATATTAATCTACTAGCTTGTAATTTAGGTTTATTTCATTTTCCCTATTTTTTTCTAGTTTTTTATGGTTTGTTTTGAGGCAGTTTGTTCTAGACCTCCTGGTATTGCTATCACAACCCTAGCCAGCGCCGATGCTGCAACTTCACTTTCGATCTCACAACCCATCATGAATTTACACAAACACGCCGAGCAAGATGCGTTTGATTCCTCTCTTTTCCCACAAAAGAATTCTCATTCAATTTCTTTCTCCCTTCTTCTTCCTCTTTCCTCCCTGACTCTCTCCTCAACCACCTTCTCTCCGATTTCCTTCTCAGTAAAACTCGTCATCTTATTTACGTCGTTGAAGCTTCTTATCAGGAAGACAAACTGAAAAGTAAGATAATTTATTCCCATCAAAGTTTCTTTGTCAGAATCGCTAATTCCCTACCGTGTCTGCAGACCCTCAGAGGACCACCATGGCTCCTCCTGGGGAAGAACGTCCTCTGGCCTCGTCCAGTCACGACGGCAACAAACTGCACCTTCTTTCTCTGCCTTCAGAGATCTTAGAAACCATTTTCAAACATGTAAGTTTCTTTAAATATACTCTTTCTTGTCTAAGAATATCTTTGCTGACACTGGATCAGGCTGGCCTGAGTGATCTGTTCAACCTGTCGTTGGTCTGCAAACCATTTCACGAACTTGCTTCTGAGCACATGTATCGCAAAGTCAACCATGTCTTTGCCAACAGTGAAACGTATGCTGGCCAGCGCTCGTTGGACCGTCTCATAGCCGTGCTGGAAACCTTGAATACCAGTGACCACAACTACTCGAGGCACGTCAAGGCAATTGCCCTAGACAGTGTGAACGCAGTGGACCCCAAGAAATCCTCTAAGTTCAAATGCGGCTATAACTGTGGAAGGTTTCTCAATTCCCTCCTCGTGTCAACGGTCAATAAAACTATCGGTTTGGAAACCTTTAAGTATGTTTATTAGCGTTACCCCGGTCCCTCATTACTCTAGTCTCTGTACTTACATCTTTCACTGCAGATGGGATGCCGATTTGGAAGTTACCCACTCCTTGTTTCTGGCCCTTAGCAAAATCCAGGGCTTCCAAAATCTGCATGTACGCCTTCATATGGCCACGGCTCCAGTGCCTGCTACAAATGCCCCTTCTGTGCTGCTTGGTCCCTTGCAAAATCACCACCAGCACTTCCAGAGCAATGGCCCGCCATATGGACCAGCAACTCAAGCCTCGTTGGCCATGGATCCATACTTGTTCCAAACTCTCGAGTCGTCCAAATCTTCTGAAACCCTTTCTCTTTTCACAGGACTCAAGAGCTTGTCAGTGTTGGATATTGGTAGTGTCGAAGTCATTCCAGAAATAGCCCTGTGTATATCTGGATGTTCCTCCACACTCAGATCTTTAAAGTTGTCTTTTTCTGACAGCTTCGCCCTCGACCCAAAGAAGAATGCCGCTAACGAAACGGACACGGATTCTTCGTCGGATGAGGAAGACTTCATCACTTTGCAGCCGCCACCTGGGCCTTCTACTTTTCCCAACCCAGGTAATCCCTTCGGTATGCCGCCAGTACCCTCCCCAGGGGAAGAAAATACCAACCAGGGGCACAAAGCGCACGAAAATGCTTTGTCGCAGATATTCGGATTAGATTTGTCGATATCTGATCGTCAGCGTGACCAGGCGCTTGAAAACTCCGTTGCTTCTGCTGCTAATCAAAAGGCCGAAAAGATGAAACTTTCCGACGAAGAGGAAGATTACAAGTTTGTTCGTACACTACAGCAAATCGCCCAGGCTTTGCCTTTGATCGCGTTCAGCAGCGAGCAGACTCCACAAACGCTGAGGGCAGTGGAAAAAATGGAAAAAGCAACCACCCGGTACCTTGAGAAAAACGCAGAAAAGGTGGCTGTTGCAAAACGCAGAAGTTCCGCTGGCGAAGGTGCTAGTTCAAGCTCCAAGGTGCAACTGACGAATTCGGACGTCCAAGACAACAATGCCCCTAGTTCACTGCCACAGCCCTCGGCCTCGCCTTTTGAAATAGGTCAGCCGGGCGCGAGTTTGAACAAAGACAAGCAAGCGTCTATCCGTGAAAGCCCGGGGATTTCTGTTACCGTTGAAGAAATTCCGCCCGAACTTGTTGACATGGACTGCCCTGACCTGGTCGAAGACGCTGAAGAAGACCAGGAGTTCGTGGAGCCCGGTCCAAGTAACGCAAGCGACGGGGATCTGACGCCAACGGCCAGCTCCTATCAGAATGGCAACATGAACATTCTTCATTCTTCCAGTCCGAAGAACGCCAAAGGCAAAGAGGCCATGAGAAGATCCCCAAGTCCAGCTAACACCGTTGTCAAGGTGGGCTCGGTACACGCAGCAGAAGAGCAATCTGTCGAAGGTTACATCCGTGAAAACCATGGAATACCGTTGGAGAGCCTTTCCATCTGTCTGATTCCTCTGAGCCCACTTGTTATCATTCGTGCTGTCGATGTTCGTGCACTTAAACATCTGTCACTGCTCAATGTCGGTGCACAACGCAACCTGTGGGCAATGCTCGAGCAACTGCACTATGTGCGTCCTTGCCAATTGACTTCAATTCACACGGATGATGTTACGCCATCTTTCTTAAGCTTCGTCAATAGTCTTGACAAGGTCACTGAGCTTTTCATGCTTGAGCGCCGCGGCATCACAAAACCAGAGCCCTTTGCATCTAAGACGCCGGTCAAGATTGACGATATCAGGAAACAGGTATTCGAAAAGCACCTCAAGCACTTGCAGAGGCTCATGATTCGCAATGACGATGATGCGAACTGGGCCCTTGACGTCCAGGCTATTCGCATGCTTACCAGCCTGGGCTCCAACTTGATTGAAATGGCGATTGGACTGAACATGTCTAGTTTTGTAAGTGTTCTCCATCCCTCCCTCCCCCCTCCCTCCTCCCCCTCGACTCCTCTTGAGGTGTTCGACAAGCTCATTCATTCCTCAGCATTACTTCTTGCAGCAACTTGGTGGACTGCGGTCGCTCAAGGCTCTGCAGGTTTTCTACTTCCATCCCGACATGTGCAACTCCATGCTGCGGGAACTGCGCACATGCATCATCAACCACATTTTGCACTTTCGGTTCTTGCGTACTGAATATGTTGCAATGTGTTACTCGTTGGGTGGCCCAACCCAGAATAATGCGATTCAGTTGAAGACAAAACTCGGTCGGGTCACCACTGCCACGCAAATGCAGGATCCCAAATCTGTTGATGACAATTTTTCTTCCCCTGGCACTCATGATGGAAGGAGCGCGTCCACCAGCCCATCGGAAATGGAAGTTTTCATGAGAGACGGTATCAAGGTCACTGACATTGCTGGTGTTAAAATGTGGGAGAAGGAAATTTGGGCTTTGAAGTTGTGATTAGGTTCCACGTCGCCCACGCATTTCAGTTTCCTTTCTGGTTCATGGTAAGCCCTTTTGTGTTTTCCTTGTTTCTTCTCGTCTCTGGTCAAGCTTCCTTGGTGGCTTGGTGAGCACGAGCAGGTCAAGTACACGTTATTTGAAGAACTTGGATAATGCAAATGCGACAGTGGGCTTGCTTAACAGACAGATGACATGGAGATATTTTTCTTGCTTAGAAGACTCATCTAAGATTTGGATGCTTGAGGTGAATCGACGGTGTCTTGAAGATCAGTTGGTTATCTCGGGCGATTTCCGATGCCTTAGCACATGCATGTTGTTTCTAGCACTCGAATGAAACTCCACTCAGTTAAGTATATGAAAAATGAACACGGCGTAGACTTAGATGGCATTATTCCGTACGATATAGACGAGGCGCACGCTGGAAGCCACCACCTTTTGGTGGTGGTGGCCTCCAGCGTACATTATTTTCGAGACGAGGTGAAAGTGTTTTGGTGGGAGAAGTAAATAGAAAGCTTGAGTATATGCGCTATACCGCATTAGGTATCTTTATGCCTTAAGGCATAAAGGCAGAAATTAGTCATCGCTGATCGGAACTTAATCAGTTAATCCTCCGAATCACTCCACCATCACAAACCACTACCACATCATTCTTTCTTTTCTCACTCAATACCCAAACAGAAGGAATCGTCGATAAGAGCGCCTCGATTACTATTCAAAATGGGAGGAAAGAAAGCAGCAGGCGAGAACTCCAAGAAGGCAGCTGGAAATGCCAAGGTATGTTTGGTTACTTTTTTTTTGCCCCTCGTGAACCCCGCCCCCGCTTTCTGTTATTGCCACATACATTTATGGCATACTTTCAAACTTCAAAATTGAAATATGGGGAACTGATGGATTGCATTATAGAAAGCCGAGGCAGCTGCAAACAAAAAGGCAATAGAAGATTCTAAGCGGGCCGCGGAGGAAGACAAGCAGTGGGCCAAGGGATCGAAGAGCAACGCGAAGAAGTGAGTTTCGAGAGAGAGATAAGAAAGAAACAAACAACATACTAACCACATTCCAAAACAACAGAGAAGACGCTGAAGCCAAAAAGGCCGAGGCAGCCCGCAAGAAGGCCGAACGTGACGCCCTGCTCGCCGCCGAAGAAGCCTCGCAACCCTCCAAGCCCAAAGGTGGCGGCGCCAAATCCGCACCCAAGAAGTCCCGCGGTCTCGATCTCTCTCAGCTGGATGGCGACTCCAAGTCCTCGGCCCTCCATGCCTCTGGTATCGATAACGCTCTCGATGCCTTGTCCCTTACCAACAAGGACAACTCCAAGATTGACCGCCACCCGGAGCGAAGATACAAGGCTGCGTATGCGGCGTTTGAGGCGCGACGCATGCCAGAGATTGAAGAGGAGAACCCTGGTCTGAGAAGACAGCAGCGCATTGAACTCTGCAAGAAGGAGTTTGACAAGAGTGATGAGAATCCGTTCAACCAAGCGCACGTGGCATATGACGCTTCTCGGGAGGAGATTGCTCAAGTGAAGGATTCGGAGAGGAAGAAGGTTGAGAGCCGCTTGGCTAGGTAAATTGGCTGCTCTATTTTATTCTCTTTCAAGAGCGTTGCTGTGTTGCCAGAGAAAGATGCTCTGGTGAAGACTAGCCTATTCAGGGACCACGCCAGAGGAACTATCTGCCTGGCAACATGGTTTCGGGGTTAGTCCGCCGGATCATGATTAACGGTTACGCTATAGCGACAATTCCTCAATGGGGAAGTGCATGGATATAGATACAGGAGCTTCGTATACTCCTAGTTGTTGATATAAGTGCTTTCAGTTGGCCTGGATGTATGATGAGTTATGTTTTAGACTAATACACATTTTAAGATGTGATCACAAGCCTCCCCTCCGAAATTCGCACGTATAGAACCCATAATACAATAATACATGTACATCTAATATAAAATGGTATCATGACAATCTATTTATCCAATAACTACAGGAACACATACCCACAGTTTCTATCCCATCACAGCTCTAACATCCCAGACATAAAGGCTCTCATCCCACCCCACACTGGCACACCAGCCCTCACTACCGAATAGACACCAATCGACACCCGTGGCGAATTCCGTATGCTGGCCCATACGTCCCAGTTCTCTGCCCATCACCGGGCCCCCGGGACCGGCGCGCATGAGATCGACGTCTCCGAAACCGCCCGCATCGGAACCATCAGTCCAAGCGCGACAAGTCATGTCATAGCTGGCACTGAGAAGGACGTTGGATAAATGTGGTGACCAAGCTACCTTGCGAACAGCGTATTCGTGGCCGATCATGGCTGCCACAGGACCCTGCTGCGGGGCGCGGATGTCGAAGGTGCGAATGGTGCGATCGACGCCGGCGGTGGCTAGCACAGAAGGACGGTACTTATTCCAGTCATGTGTGAGAGCTTCAGAGGGCGGGCATGCAGCTGGGGGCACGCCTGGTTTTCCGGGAATCGGGGAAATGGGGGCGGCATGGATAGGGATCTGGAGGGTGAGGTGGTTGGAAGCCGAGGCGGGAGTGCGGAGGTCAAAAATGCGGACGTAAGAGTCGGAAGTGACGCAGGAGAGAATATCCGGAGAATGCGGGGAGAATGCCGCGGAATATGTGCAGCTGTGGGTGGGCAGAGTGAGGAGCGACTGAGGACGATGCGGTGACCAGACGCGCACAGTGCCATCCCAGCTGCTCGAGCAGAAGCGGTCCTTGGAGACGAGGTTCCAGTGGACGCTGAAGACCTCGCGGTTGTGCTCTTTCCAATTCTGGATGGGGAAGTCGTTCAAGTTACAGTCGAAGAGCTTGATGCTACCATCACCAGAAGCGGTGAGGACTTGGGTCTCGTGTATCTCGGACCAGGCGAGGTCATATAGAGAATCTTGGGTGGTGAACCTGCGGGCATCGGTAACCATCAGTATACAGGTTGCGATCGCGGGGTCAGACGGGGTATGAAACTCACCCTTTTATCGGAACTATTCCATTAGGAGTGAGTTCGAGAATAAACAATCGACCATTTCCGACGAGACCAAAATTGGCCGACCCAACAACAGCTAGACGGTTGTCGAAGAAGGGGGAATACTTGACCGCACAGCCGTTGTAGCCCTCGGTGCGGAATTTAAGCATGGTTTAGAGGATGAGAAGAATTAAGAGATGATGCGATAGGGAAAGGAAAAGGAAAGAGTCCAAGAAAATGACAGAAATGTATTATGGTTTGGCAGGAAAGAGATCATGACATCGCATGGCTTGAGGTTTGAAACAAAGATGAAGCTGTCATGGGCAAGAATTCCGGCGATTGCGGGGAGAAGTGAATGTGAACAGGCCGAGGTTGACGTGATGCCACCCTTTTGGCGGTAATTCACAGCATGCCACCCTGCCTATTCGGGTTTCACATAATACTTTACAACACATCTCTCGACAAAGGGAAAGGGGAAAACGTACAGGGAGATGGTGGTAGTAGTATTAGGCAAAGTAATACTAAAAAAAAAAAAAAAGAAGAAGCAGAAAAAAAGAAAAAGAAAAAAAAAGAATCCGCGAACGAACTCCTCGAGGGACAGTATAGCAACTATGCTAACGCCACACACATACCCTAACAGCTTAAGCCAGTATTATTGGGACTGCCCTGGGCGCGGTTCGAACAGCGAATCTTGGCCACTGCAAGTGCAGAGGTTTCCCTCTACGCTACGGAGTGGTCTGATTACCTAGTAAGGGGAGAACGTAAAAAATGAAAGATTTGGGCTGGTAGGGTTGCTGCCTGGTCATGCTGTCTCTTCTTTGCCAGTGATCTTCTTCTTCTCTTATTGCATATTCCTGTCAAAGGTCCCAGGAAAGAAAAAAAAAAAACATATGAAAGGATCTGGAAAGACAAGGAATCCAGGTGCGTCAGCCACAGTCATAATGATGTAGTCTGGATACTCACCACCATCTGGGAATAACACCATTCAATCGATATCACCCACCATGGCAGAACCCAAAGACTGGATTTCTCCTGCTAACCTCTTCCTCCAAACCCAGGTCTATCGTCTGGGAACCAACCACGGCCTTTGCTCTCTCCCGTTAGGCCCTGAACGAGACTTTCTCCTCCTCACCTGGGGCCCTGTTATCTATCGCACAACATACGCCCCAGACTCTCAACGCCTCATTCCCATATTCCTCCGTGCTTTGAACGAAGAGATTCGCAAGGCCCTCCCACGATGTCTCCCTGGTAGTCCGGACCAGATCCGTCAGCTGGAACGGACTTATTCCTCTAAAGTCTTCAGCTCCCAAGAGACATACCATGGGGTTGACGAGATAATCATACGTGAAGCTTTTCATGACTGGAAGATTTCTTTGGCCTTGACTTCGAGTGATCTACCAGTTCGACTGCGGATGTGTCTTCTTGTCGATGATGGAGTTCTCTCGTTTCTCACGGGGATGCTGGATTCGTCGACTCTGGTAGAAAAGGAGCCGGATTTCTCCAAGTGTCCTGTGAAGGTTATCGAGGAGAATTTTCTTGCTTTGAATCATGTTGATTCAAATTCAACGGAGGGAAAATATTTGGGCTGGACGACAGTGACATTGTCTTCGCTGGTGGAGATATATAACGGAATGCAACAAGGGAAATGTCTGGCAGATTATCACAAAGAGGGACGTGTATATCTGGGGGATAATAAATGGAAATGAAATTATGCTGTCTATCTACATGTTGGTGAACAGATCAGGATGAATTGAAGACTCTATACATAGTATAGTATCTGGTTTATTATTGGTCAGTTCCAGATCAATCACGTGATGATAGGCCTGTTTATCAACGGCTGAACATCTTCGTTTTCTCTTCTTCGTCATCCTCCTTCCCATGTCAATACAACAGGCCATCCCCATCATTCTCCTCTGATGGCTTCATCCAAGAGCTGGCGGCCCTGTTCATGGATGCTTTTCTCTCTAGAAAGAGGCCACGGCTGAACCAGTCGGACCTTCAGCAGCAGCAGCAGCAGCAGCAGCAACATGAAACAACACCCAACGATGAAGATTCAACAGACTTCAAACTGGCACTGCTCGTGTCTCTCTTCCCAAATCTGGAACAGGATACTTTGCTAGATATTCTCGTTTCCTGCGGTGGGTCTGTCGAGGCTGCTTCGTCCACAATATCCACACAACCTTTGGAGACGACCATCAGGAAACGTGCTGCCCCCGGTTTATCACCAGGGGTTCAAACATCACTATCATCGCATGTCCTGGTAACAAAAGACGGATCACCGGTCACCAAAAGACCGCTCACAAAGAAAGGGAAAACACTGCATCTTTTCTCTCCCGAAGACATCGCCGCTCACACACCATGTTCCATAATTCACAACTTCCTACCCGCAGAGCAGGCAAATGCTCTCCTTGTGGAACTCCTGGATGAGTCAAAACACTTCTCCAGATACAAATTCCAGCTCTTTGATCGGACAGTTCAAAGTCCTCACTCAGCAAGTGTATACGTTTCTACGCCCGAGGAGCATCGCCAACAAACCGAGGAATATGCATATGGCGGCACCTACCGGTCTAATGTGCGGCAGGTCACCCCTCACATGCGAACTGTAGCCGCCAAAGTCCAGCGCTCCGTGAATGAAGAGATTCAGAATCATATTCGGACCTGCTATCCAAGAGGGAAAAAGCTCAAGTACCAATCGCCCAAGGAATGGATGCCCAATGCGGCATTTGCAAACTGCTACGATGGGCCTGCAGAGAGTGTCGGCTTCCACTCCGACGAATTAACCTATCTCGGCCCGCATCCTGTCATCGGCAGTCTGAGTCTGGGCGTGGAACGCGAGTTTCGAATCCGCCGGATAGTGGCTCAGGATGATGATGAAAACGCTGGCGATGGTGAAGAGGATACTTCGGAGGCTAAGAAAACACAAAGTGCGTCTGATGCTCGTGCAGATGCCCAGGGTCAGATCGCTATTCATCTACCACATAACTCCCTTCTTGTTATGCACGCGGAAATGCAGGAGGAATGGAAACATGCCATCACACCTGCTCAAGCTATTTCCCCGCATCCCGTGTCGGGTAACCGCCGCATCAACATCACCTACCGATGGTTCAGGGATTCCCTGCACCCGCGGAACACCCCTCGATGTCGTTGTGGCATGCATACGATACTGCGGTGTGTACAACGCAATCGAGAAACGAGGGGTAAATACATGTGGATGTGCTACGCTGGTTTCGCACCTGGAAAGAAGGGCTGTTCATTTTTCCAATGGGCGGACTTTGATGATGATGGCGAGCCCCGCTGGGAAAAGAAGCAAACCGAAGAAGAGGTCCCTACTTTGAGTAATTTTCTTGAAACACACTGAGAGTTGTAGAACCAAAATCAATTCAAATTCGTTTTCAAACACCATAGTCCACCAATACCCAGAATCTTCATCGTAGACAAAACATTAATTCCAATAATTTCCATCTACCTCACCGAATCCTGATGGTTGTGTCCTTTCATATATCCCACAACGCAGTCTGACTCCCTTGCGCATTTCTGACTACGGTACAGTGACTTTCTGTATGGACGACACTGCGCGATGGCAATAACGAATGCTTGTATCCGAGTTGAGCAGTCAAAATATGCTGCACACTACCTTGATGGGGGAGCTCCTTGAAAAAGTCATGGAGCTGGTTTACCAACGTGTTCAGTGATGTATTGCTGCCGTTCCAGGTGATTCTGTCGACCATCTGCAGTTCTGGCCTCGATGGAGCTCCAGGTACGCTGATTTGGATCGGGACTATCCATTTCTCCCCCGGCCGTAGTATGGATAAATGAGTCTCTTCCAATATCGATTGAACTGCGCAGTTATCACCTGGCACCAAGCTCAGATCAAGGTCAGTTATAATCCCAGGGTCGATTCCAGCATGAAGATGACCGACGACTGCGTAAATCTTGTTTTTTAGAACAGCTTCGCTTGATTCTGTATCGTAGGTCTCCATATCGCAGAATATGTGCCATCCGGAAGGCACTTCAGGACCAGCAAATGGATAAAAACAGACAGGGGATATTGTATGGAACCCGATGTTTTTATCGATTGTGGGCATCGAAAAGTGCGTTGGGGTTGCAGTAACGAAGAAAATATGGCACAAGGCTGCTCTTTCGTGACAGAACATATTAGATACCTGGGAGACCACTTTTCGGACATTTGATTTTGTGGCCCTCGCACTTGTCAGTTGATAGAGTGAATATGTGTCGACTGCAATCTGAGCAGACTCGAAAGAGTGCATTCCTAGGGGAAGAAGGACCCCGAATCCGTCTTTCGCATTTCCGTTGATATATGCAATTGCGAACCGGTCAGTATCGCTGTTCAAGCTCGAGGCAACTGCTAATGAGCTAACGGCTTGTTGTCTCAATAATCCGATCGATGATTGAGGTCTACCACAGGTTAAAAACTGCCTTTGAGAGTCCTGAGTAGGAAACATACATTCTGTCCAAGATGATGACTACGTCCAATGGTGTGAGCCACCCAGTTTTTAGAGATTCGTCGTAATCAATGTCAGCGGTGATTTCTGCCGTTACCCATATCGACAAAGGCTCAGGGCCGATAATAGGGCTCTTTGGTGTGGCTTCCACGTTAACACCGGTGATAGAAATGCCTCGTGGCGCTAGAATTTCATTCTTTTCGTAGCCCAAAACAACCCGAGAAGGTAATATTATGGGTGATTTTTTAGCATAGCAGGTTTCATTTCGTTTTTCGTTGGCTCCTCGACTCGCGTTACGCGAGACAATATCACTCGTGTCAGTCGGATCGTTTTTTGAATCTAAAGAAAGGCGTCTCATCGTAGAGTTCCAGGATCTAAAGCTCCATCCACTGAAGAATCGAGGGAAATGAGGCGTAGGGCAAGGTCCGTCGCAGGTCTCGATTTCACGGTTGTGTGCCCCTGACTTTATCGGGGAGTTAGCTAGATAAAGAATGGGGAGGGGAAATGGGATAATACTTCATCGGTGCATTCGCTGCTCTCTGTAATTCTCGGTCTCGGTCTCAAACTGTCCTTGGATATCGGCGTATCACTCTGGCGGTTTTTCGGGATCCTAATAGATCTAAAGTTATCACCAGGTGGCGGAGTTGTCGAGGTAGCAGACTCATCCGAGCATTGCCTAGGATTTCCACGAAGAGATGACTGTCTGCAAGGAATCCAAGGATAGATCAAAGCAGAAGCTGAACTGTTTGTACGTTTGTGTGGTCGTGGGGTTTTGGCTATCCTGAGAGGCTTGGGTATTATTTCTTCCATTGGGCAATTCTTGTTACTCCAAGGGGACAAAATAAGGAGTGAACTTAGACGTGCTCCTTTCCAACGACGGGCTCTCCGTAATAAGGGGTTCCCGAGCTATCAGTTCTCTGGGTAGAGTTTGAACCCCGAGGTTCAGATCGTTGATGGTTATGCCGCGTCTTGGTTCGACGAAAGCACGAGCAACAAGTTCTTGAGCTCCAAAACTCTGAGCAGGCAAGAGCCACAGCAAGAACGCAGAAGAGGATCACTATTGGAACGAGCACTAAAGCAAGAACGAGTGCGGAGCTCTTGAAATCATATGACAAGCCTTTCGACATTTTCAACGTGAAGTGTTGCGGACAGGGCAGCTGTATATGAAGGTGAAAAGAAGATATTTTCACAAAGGAAGCTTTAGTCTAAAGGGAGTTGAACACTAGCTGTTGTTCTTTCCATTTCAATGCAACGCATATATGGGAGCAGCGACAGTCGAAGTACGTCAACATTTGTGCTGGATTTGGAAGGCATGTATAAAGTATGTAACAGAGATGAAATCAATGTGCAGCATCGGGTATATATTTAAAACAAAAAAGTGTCAATTCACTCATGTACCTCCTCTGTCCGAGGAATGATTGTCTCCTTGATTGATGTCAAAGTAGCATCGTCTAGCCGAGAAAAGCGTATCTGCAGGGAATAGAAGTCAGAAAAGGTTCAATTTAGTAAGTGTTCAGCCCATGGGCCATACAACTCGAACAGAGAATTCGCAACATACCATCTCATCGCCACCGCCACGAGCAGCATTTCCAAACAACATCGGATCTGAATGGCTATTCTCAATCTCATTTTGAGCACGCTTGGCCCAGATTCCATCCCAATGCCAGTCACCAGGGAGCCGTGCCTGCGGGCTACCCTGCTTCGAGCCGTACTTAGACGCGGAGCTACTATTACCTCTTCTATGGGCCTGCCATGCATGCCACGCCCCTGGATTTCCAGCTGCCTCGAGCGGTAGGGAGTCAAGAACGGACTCGGTATCGAAACTAGACCGAATGTAGTCCAACAATTCTGACACCGGAACAGTCTTCCGTGGTTCTATAGGTTGAGCTGCTGCAGATGTGCCTTCCTTCTTTTCGTCACTACCATTGTCCTCATCTGCTTGAGGCTGAGATGTGGAAGAAAGGTCGGTCGTATCGTTAGTCGGGTTCTCGTTTGCGGTCGAAGTTGCTGTCTCTCCATTGGAGACACCCAACCCATTAACACTCATAGCCCGTGAGGAAGCAGCCGAGTCTCGTCTATTCCGTTTCGCTCTTCCGAACCAGTGGGGGAATCCATGTCGGAGGCTAAAACCGCCCGCGGGTAACCGCTCCTCGTCAGATGCGCTTACTGGGTCTTCACTCGACGCATTGGTGCTGAAGGTGTAGGTCGTAAGAGGCACAATTAATGGATGAAATACATCAGTGGAGAAGGTGACTTGAGGTGGAAGATCGGGATATGACGTTGGGAAACGGATCTGGAAGCGGAGGACGGCAGAGGAATAGGGGCCTGATTTGGTCAGGGGACGGTCCGATCAGCTTTGAAGATGCCAATGGCCTGTTTAAACAAGGCTATTGAGCAGAATATAACCGACTTACCTGAGCGAACAAAGAGAACGCTACTCCAACGGGTGGGATCACCCTGAGTCAAACTCACATAAACCCCAGGAGGGGCAGCATGCTGCAAGCTTGCACTGCATATGGTGTTAGCACATCAATTACCCCTGAACGCTGCATAACGCAGGCAAAACTCACAATTCCAAAAGAAGCTGATGTTTGCGAAGAGAAGGAATGCTGGGAAGTCTGGATGTTGACATGACTGAGACACAACGGCTTTCTTTTCTGTCTCTTGTTCTCCGTCCAGTCGAGATACGATCGAGTCGCGTTGATGGCGGAAGTCGGAACAAACATGGCAAACATTAAGTCCGCTATCTCCGGGGCTTATCAGTGGCAGTATTTGGCCGCTTTTGTATACAGCACGAAGTAGACTTGTATATTAGCCCTTACTTGGTATATGTAGATGGTATGATAATATCTCTTGTGTAATACTGCTCTTTGATATACCGAGATTATGCAGGGGGTTTAATTTCTATAAATCGTTGTGGTGGTTCAAGTTCCCCGTAGAAGACTCCCTATCTAGCATCTACAAATCCAGACTTCAATCAAAAGCAATAGACAAGTATAATATATAGGTATATCATCTCTGCCCCATATGCATAGTAGACATCCCATCCATCCCCGAATTCAAATCAGACCGCACCACCCCCAGAATCATCATCCCCTCTCCAACCCCGTCATGAATACCCCCCGCAATCCCCTCCACCCACCACGAAACCAAATCCGCCACCGCAGCACCAACCTTGCCCTCCTGGAATCCAAGAATGGCAGTCCCAAGATTCATCCCACCCTTACCTAGACTATCAGCTACGTCCACGGTAGCAGCGACCAATCGCTCAGTTACTCGATGAGACCGTTCGTACTGGTACATCTGCTGTAGGAGGATTTTGGCATATGGTAAGAGGAACTGAATTAGTAGGAACAATTGGATAATGGTTGAGGCGAGTAGACGGTGGAGATAGGATCGTTCCGAGGGGGTTCTCTGTGAGACTGGGTGGTGACTGCTGTTGTTGGTTTGTGAAACAGCCGTCGGGAATGAGGTTTGGATGCTGTCTGGTAGCTTTTGTGTGATGGTTCTCGTTTCGTGGTCGGTTAGGTCTGTCGGTAGAGCGTCGAGGAGGTATCCCACAGCAGTTATGTACAAGGATCGTACTAGACGGACATCCGAATGAGATTGCTGGGCTTCGTAGCCTGCGTTGCGGAGTAGGTTGAATGCTATACCAGATCAGTCTTTCAATCTTCAAACAGAAAGAAAGGCTTGAGCATACCTGGAATAACTCGATTCCATCTAACCCCCGAATCCGCTTCATATTTTGAAGTAGGCGAGTGACTCTCTCCGTCGGATATCGAGATTGAGGTATCGGATTTGGAAGAACTATCAGATAACCCCCGGTCCTCTGCGCTCGCCGTCACAGGGCGTCGCTGCACCTCCCCGGTAGACGATTCAGACATGGGGCGGTAGTATGCCAGTTGAGGGTCGGATGAAGACGCGAGGCCTCGGTGAGAATTAGGAATTGATTCATTATCATTATGGTCGATATTGGGCAACTTTGGTCGAAAGGAATATAGACGGGACATCCGTTGACGGATGGCGGTTGGGATGAGTGGGAGGAGCAGAGGGAAACCGGCGGGGTAGAGCATTGTTGGTGAGTCCTCCATCTTGCGCTTCAGCCTCTCAAGCCCCAAGGATTGAGTGGGATGTTAATCTTAAAAACGAAGAATGTCCACGGTGGATGGAGCAAAGTCTGTTTGGGTATTTTGTTGTCCAGAGATCTCGGTGGCAGAGGCAAGATAGTGGCTGTCGAGAGGCAGAGTCAACAAGAGATTAACCAGAAGAATCACAAAAAGTGGTATCCAAATGCCAGAGAAGAAGCTGAAACCCAACTGCTGCAGGTTTAAATTAGATCGACATTCAAAACGGCCGATGACAGGGAAAACCGTTGAGAAAAACGGCCCGACTTTCACATGTCAATCCAACCTGGTCGTCCCGTGGCAAAGGTCAGTGGCACAAAGCCACGCCACGAGATGCAGATAAGAGAGGGATCAACCATGGATCGGAAGATATTCAAAGCTTGACCATCAGATGATGATATTCTAGAATGAAGCTTTCATCATCTCGACCGTGCATTCCATGATCAGTTCGCCCTATCGATGACATCTCTCAATAGCCAATCAGAGGCTGTGATCGCTGCGCCCTACTACATCTGCGCCCTTCAAACGATCAGCCCATTTGTATGCAAGGACGGGAGTTATTATATTAAGATGAGTAAATGCCACAATGTTTGAAATGATCATCAAAACAAATGCCTTCGCTATGGTAAAGAAAGAAAGAGAGAATAAAGAAAATCAACAACTTTTCTACTGATCTGAATCCTCCTTAAATTACTTTTAAAATCATCAGGAATCACCATCGACACTGTCAGGTGCCACTCGGATCGGGATAATCCGCATTCGAAAATGGCCTCAGGTCTTGCGTCGGTTCCGAACCCAAGAATCCAGTATATTTTGGACTTGGGATACTAATTGGCGCCGACCCAGGAACTATCGAGTCTGGCATCTTTCCCACGTCGTCTTGTCCACCCTCGTGCCCACCACCCTCTTCGAAGGTCAACCCTTCCATGGCATCTGGGTTCAGCGCATCATAGCCCTCGTTCAGATGCTGCAGGAAAACAGGATCAAATCCCATCTGGATCAACGGATCAACGGAACTGCTAGCCGGTGTTGATAGTGACAAGAACCCAGCCGAAAGACTGCTTCCCCGGTCGGTGGACAGACCAGAAGCAGGCAAAGTGGGAAAAACTCCAGCACTGCCAACATAACTGCCAGTCGAGCTCCCGGGCATGCTAGGTGCCGCAGAGGACCGTCCGGTCCCTGGCAATGCAGGGCTTTGGTAGCCAGAGCTATGGAAACCATGGCTATACAACTGATCAGAGCACACCGACCTTGCTATAGGATTGGTCTCGATAGGCGGTCGTCGCAAACCACCATGGACAGCAAATGGCGGTTGCATGCCCAAATTATCGAATTGAATATGATCGGAGTTTGGGACAATCTCTAACCCAGTATCGCGTTTGAGGATACTTAACCAGACGGGATTATCGGCACAAGTTTGGTTCCAGGGGTCATCGTTTCCATATATGACCTTTCGGGCTTCGTCTTGGATCATCTTATCGGTCGGAATGATGCCCATTGCGACATGATCATTTATAAAAGAAGTGAGCTGGCGCTGTAAACGGTCGAAGCAGTCCGCATCGTGAGGTACCTCTATGCCAAATGCAGGGTTTTTTGGAATATCACATGGCTGTCTTATGGCATGCGATGGTTTAAAGGGTGCCAACGTCTTGTACTCTTGGTCGATTAGGTACGGTGGCATCGCATTCTCTACCAGACTTTGAACAAAGGGTTCGAACCCCCAGTCGCCCTGCCACTGAGCCATGTTGGCGCCATCCTTAAAATGAGCTGCTAGATGTTCAACCCGTTCCTTCCAGGTAGTGAGGTTTGTTGCACAGAACCCACACCGTGACTTGATCTCTGTCGTACCACTTTGCCAATTATCCATGGAAGGATGAAACTTGACGTTGTGCATCAATCGCAGGTGCTGGTTGAGATGGTCCTTCCGGTAGAATGTTCTCTCTTGAAGTGTTTTCTCCTGGCAGGTACTATAGTTATGGGTTTCCAGGTGATCGTTGTCTGGATCGGCCGCCATGCAGAACACACATCGGTTTATGCCCTGAACAGAAACTACACCCCCTAAGGGGGAGCAGGTCCATTTGTCTAAGGCCAAGTGCAGTGACTTCTCATGCCGCTGCCAGTCATACTTGGTAGGGAAGGAGTCGGTACAAAAGGTGCATTGGAATATTCGGGAACTGCGAGCCTTCTGTTGGTTGAAGGCATTCACTGGAACGGAGGGCTTACGCCGACGACGACGTTGTTCCTTTTTGTCCATTGAACCAAAGGATCCTTTGGAAGATCGATGGGAGAATGCAGAGGCAAAGGAGAAGTCAGAGAGGGAAGACCGACTGGTCTCGAAGCTACTGACCGAAGGGGGCTGGAGCATATTCGAGTTCGTCTGGCTTGAGTCATTGCTAGACCCAGTCTTCCGAGAGAGGGAGCGCACGTGACTCAGATGCGACGATCGTGGTTTGGCAGAATCGAATGATGTATTGACCAAAGCTCGGAGAATATCGGAGGTGGCAGCAGGTTCGTTCTCAGGTGGGGAATGCTTCCAACGTTCCAAAGGTGTCATGAGAGATACATCCGGATGCTGTTGTCGCGCTGGTATATCGACAGCACCTGGGACCGGGGAACTGCTGCGCGGGGTGGGGCGAACTTTGCCGCGTCGTCTAGCATTGGCGAGCCAATTACTGACCTGTGCCCTCTTCAGGCCAGTACGCTGCTCTAGTTCGTCTTTTTCTTGCTCTGTTGGATAGGGATGCTGGCTGTGCTCATAGAGCCAGGTTTTTAGGATACGGACCGCCTCGCGCGATAACCGAGAACTGCTTTTCCTCCCTTGAGAATCGAGATCCTCAGAAAAAGTTGCTCCGGGAAGGGACTTGAGTGCTTTCTTTCCCGTCAGACCGCCAGTGGGGATGTCGACATTCTCAGTGACCGTGTGTAACGTATCCAGGAACTTGCCCGGTTTTTTGGCGTGGGTGAAGCTGCATTGGCGGTAGAGAGAGATGCAGCACGTACAACCATTCTGCATCACTCCCCTGTTTGCCACGAAACAATCAAAGCCCATCCGCCTACAGAAATCGCATGGGTCTTTGGCCCGAGACATGGGAAATGCTTCTCTTTCCAGAGCAGAGCCTGCGATGTCGTTCACCTGTTGCGGCTCATCCTGTTCTGGTAGATCATTGGGAAACTCGAGTGACTGTTCCTGAGCAAGCGAGTCGCAGTTGGCAGTAACTTCGTTTCCGTCCACCTCGATATGGTCTGAAGCCACATCGTCATCCTGGGCCTGGGAGTGGGAGCCATATGAAGCCCTATCAAAATCGAAGTACTCCATTCAGGGTGGGTTTGATTGAATCTCAGCTGTGAATTAGGAGAAACCCTAACTACAACAGCAACTATGAGGGTGACCAAAAGCAAGAAAGCAGCAATTGAAAAGAGAATCGGTGAGATGGGGAAAACAGAAAGGTAGAAACTGGGCGTTCACACGAGAAAATATGGGGGACCTTTTTTCACCTGGGGTAGCAAAGGCATGCCGAACAGTAGTACCTTTTCAGTACCGTGGAGCGGCCGTTCGTGGATAGACCCCTAGGAAGCATTGCCGTAGGGAGGGCACGTGCCAGTTATCGTGTTTGGTCCAGTCGGCACGGCCGATGATTGCCTGGAGATGTTGGAAACGACGCCATCCTCCAGAATGTGGAGGGGGGATACTCGGAGACAGAGACCAAGTCCGTGAGATTCGAGATAGCTAGTTTAGCTGCAGCACAGGGCGTCTGCTCTGGATGGATGGAGATCAAAGGAAAAGAGGGGAAGAAATTGTCGGTCGATGGGGCAGCACGCCCTTCCAGTGACAGCGCTATGCCTGGTCGGGCTAGCGCGTGTCAGTGCGGGGCAGTCCCGATTGGGAAAGAATGAATCATCTCAGGGTTTGATAGACGATATCGGAGAAGCTGCAGAGTCGGATTGGCCTGTGGATGGACGGAGATTGTTTATTAATGATGTTGCTGATAAATAAACGACGATCATAGATAGCATCAAAAAGACTGTTCTCTTGATTGGTCCCGAGCCACTATATATACAAACTTAGTTGTACTGTATATGGATTTAGATCGTCATCACTGGATGAAAATAGCCGTCGACGGCTAAGTGGAAGCTTACAATAGATTGACATAAAAATAAATAATGGAATGAACGAGTCATATTAATCAATTAGTATCTGCATATATATATCCTTGAATAAAGCTATCATCCTCGCATTACTGGCAGCTCTATACAAAAGTCATCTCGATGATGATCCTCAGTTGAGCACTCCCTCCGATAACGCCTGTCCAAAAGAAATGTCATCACGCGGCCATGTGTGATCATACATGGCGCAAGACCACACACCCTTCTGACAAATGCTATATGCATGACAATCACCGTTTCCAACCGGGCGTCTTGAACAGCCCCGAGTTCCGATAGACGATCTTCTGATGGATGGAATACACTAAAGAGGTATCCAACCCGTGATGGCTGACTCTGCATTTATTATTACAATATCCGCATATTGGGCATGGTTCATAGTTTGTCGGGTATTTACTATGTATGCCTTGGTTTCACTGCCGATATACCTACTCTCCTTGGCGTCAAAAAGTTCTATGCAGTTGCTATCTATGATTGCATCCAATTTAATTAGATCCCCGATCCATTACATATCCCCTAGAAAGTAGCTGTTCCTTTGCCACTTTGACAGTATTGTTGGTTTGTCTTGTTGAGACGTCATGGATAGTCATAGCTGCCGCATATTCTTTTTCCCACGCTCCGTCTTGAGTCCTACCTATCCTTGACAGGATCATGGCATCGATGTTTCTGTCTAGGTTTAAGCGACTAAAAAGCGGAGATTCATCCAAAGAGCCTGTTTTCCTGAGATTCAGATCGTCGAAACGTTTCATTATAGGCGTCGTGGTGAATTCCATCTTCGTGGTATGAGATAACCGAGTAATCAATTCAAGAGAGCTGTGCTAATATTCAGTCTGCCCCCTTATTTCTTCGGTGGTAATAGGATATTGTTCTATATGGAGTGGTGGGTTCGTTGCGCCAGTGATATGTTTGGGGATTTGACATTTCTCATAGATTGTTCCTGTCGTCCCGGCGGCTCTCCACACCAAGATCCATCCAACGGTCCATCAAGGCGAGTGCCCCGTGTTGTTATTCCTGTCAGTGTATTAATACTTATACAGTACAACAATGGACGTCTATTCTGTTGGCTCTTTATGGAGTGGCGCTGTTGTTTCTAGCCCGTGAGCTTGGGACCTACCGGATTGTGATCAGAATGACTTGCTGACGAGATTCAATATAGCTGTCGCCGGATTCATCGCTGATCGGACAAAATCTCGCAAAAAACCTTTCCTGGTTGGATTGCTCAACTTAGCCGGTGCCACTTCTTTTCTTTTCTTCGGATCCAGATTGCCTTTCTGGATTATTGGCCGCCTTCTCCAGGGTGCATCCGCAGCCGTCGTGTGGACAGTCGGGCTGGCTATTATCGTGGACACAGCTGGGAAAAAGCATCTTGGGGAATCACTGGGGTTTGCAAGCATGGCAGCAACCCTTGGAGTCATGTGTGGGCCCGCCGTTTATGAACACGGCGGATACCATGCAGTATTTGGCATGTCGTATGGCTTAGTCGCAGTTGATATCGCTTTGAAATTGAGCATTATTGAAAGGAAACAGGCTGCGAAGTGGTTGGATATAGAGATACACGAAACGGCAGAGTCGCCAGTGGACTCTGATCCGAAGATTCATTTCAGATCCATTCGCATTCTTCTCTCCTCTCGGCGTATAATCCCGATTACCTGGTCATATTTTGTATCAGCGCTTGTTCTGAGTGCATTTGACAGCATCCTTCCCTTGTACATTGAAAATTTGTTTCACTGGAAGCAGACAGCCCAGGGTCTCATCTTCATTCCTCTCTCGGTCCCTAACGTACTCGGCCCGGTGGTTGGAATCATCATCGATAAATACGACAAATCACGGCGCTTTCTCTGTTCTGGGGCCTTTTTAGCCTGTACCCCAAACCTCGTGCTCCTTCGCCTGATCACAAAAGATACCTTCGGACACAAGGTGTTGCTTTGCGCCTTGCTAGGGCTAATTGGACTCTGTGTGACGATTGTGCTCCCGTCGATGACGGTCGAAGTCTCTCTCACTGTGAAGGAAAAAGAGGAAGAGTCGCCTGATATATTCGGGAAAGGGGGTGCGATGGCCCTCGCGCATGGGATAGTGAACGCCTCGTTCGCGACAGGACTTATCGCAGGGCCATTCTTTGCGGGGTTTATTCGACAAGCGGCAGGATGGGGGGCCGCGACGTGGGCTGTCAGTATAGTCACTGGAGTGACTGCTATCCCAATGGTGTTGCTTCTTGGAGGGCCTATCTGGGAAAGGCGAGACGAGAAGGTCGAGGAGCATCCTAGCGCTTAGAGTTCCTCGCATATGATGTTGAGGGTTGGGAAATATACCCGTGAACCTGCGAGGGCATTTGTTATATTGATGCCACCCCGCTGGTTTGCAAAGGATAATCTTTAAGTTGCGGCGACTTATTACATGCATACAAGAGCAAAAATAATTATAATTCCGGGAAATAAGATAAAAAGCATGAAACCCAATTGCATCGGTAAAAAAGCAAAAAAGAAATGATCAAGTTCCGACACGGGGAATCGAACCCCGGGCTGTCGTGTGAGAGACGACGATGTTAACCACTACACCACATCGGATGGTTGTTGAATATGCGTCCATTTTTGGCTATAAGGTTGCTTTCAAAAGAATCCACGCTAATTATATCGTGCCCTCCTCTTGACCCTCCCCCTCTCCTCCCTCTTTGAAATGTCTCAGTGCCAATAACAGTTGATGAAAAACACATCCATCAAGGATATGAGGATGACTACCTGTCTTAGGTTATGACTACCTGTCTTAGGTTCTCTAAACCTGATACTACTCGACAATTAACCCGTACAAATGATGATTTGCTAACAAGACGAGTCTGTCTTCTTGAGATTTGGGTGCGAAGTGCTAACTCAAACCAAATTTATTGGAAAATTATTTCCCATTCTTCTGATTGAATTCGTCCACCACCTTTCGTGTTGTTTTGATTATGTCCAAGCACCCGGGAGAGTCGGAGTGGCAGCAGATGGACACTGGATAGTTCTTCACTGGCAGTGGTACGACGGTGCCATCCACAGCAGTCACTGACTGGTCCTCGATTTGCTGTCGTACATGTTTCTCGACGTCCTTAGGATCCCATGGCTTCTTCTTGCGGTCGATCACAAGCATGCCCCGCGAATCGTACTTGACGTCACCATAGAATTCGGCCCAAAACTCTACTCCAAGATCATTGGCAGCTTTCTCCATCTGAGTACCAGGAAGCCCAAAAACCGGCACTCCGGGGGGAATTCCCAGCATAACGGCCTTTGCCACATCATAATCCCGACACATCATTCCGTATAACACCCCGTGGGGTTTAACGTGGTTGAGAGGGACGTTTTCGCGGTCCAAGAAGCCTTTTAGCGCACCCACTTGGTAGACGGTGATTGCTGTTAATTCCTCGGGCGAGAGCTTCATCTCCCGTCGTCCGAAACCTTGGAGATCCGGCAGACCGGGGTGAGCTCCAACTTTGATATTGTGAGCTTTGCAATTTTGAACCGTCTCCAACATGATCAAAGGGTCACCGCCATGGAAACCACATGCGACATTGGCGATGTCGATCATGGGGAGCAGCTCGAGATCTGGGCCACATGCCCAATTCCCATACTACAATACCTAATAAGTTAATTGAGATGCATTATAAACTTGGATTCAAGGGTGCAAAGGGAAGGACGCACAGCTTCTCCCAAATCACAATTGATAAGGGCTTTTTGCTGGATTGGGGGCATGGTTGTTCTTTCGTCGCGTTGCCAGGTATTTCGGATATGCGGTGAAATGAAGAAAATAAATCGAAAGAGGCGAGGATGATTGTTCCCCAGTTATATCATTTGGGATTTCAAGACTCGATTATATCCACGGATGAGGGGTTCGGATCCACATTTATCTACGTGGGCACCGATCACCTCCAACATCTCCAACTCGGCGATCATGAATTCATCATCCACCATAGAGGTCTCTGCTTTCGGTCATCGGCTGATGATCATGGTACTCCCTTATCTGGACATGGAATTCCTCATTGGTTATTAACACCGAGGTGGTCAAACCTCTCTAAGATGTGAAGTGCCCCTCTTCATTCATTTAACAGAGACAATATTCCCCGCAGCATCGCTTGTGGGATTGGTATTGTATTCTACATCTTCTATTCATGATGGATTCGCTCAAGACACTATTGGTAGCTAATCGCGGCGAAATAGCCGTTAGAGTCTTGAAGACAGCGAAGTATGGAGCTCGATTGCTACCCTCGCCGCTTCTGATCAAGACGTAGCTAATTATTTGTCTTTTAGGAAGTTGAATATTCGAACTGTTGCTGTATATACTCAGCCAGATGCTGCTTCAACTCATGTACACCTAGCTGACCACGCCGTTCTTCTCTCTGGTCACCCCTCAAAAGCGTACATTGATGGGTTGGTTTGTCCTATCCATACCCGATGACTGCTGTGTACCTGACTGCCCAAGGGATCAAATAATAGATATAGCCAAAAGAAATAACGTGGATGCTATAATTCCTGGATATGGTTTTCTGTCCGAGAATGCAGATTTTGCGAGAGCCGCCGCCGCTGCCGGTTTGGTTTTTGCAGGGCCTTCGCCAGAAAGCATTGAAGCTTTTGGGCTAAAACACACTGCCCGAGATCTTGCTACTAAAGCCGGAGTCCCCATTGTGCCTGGTTCCACTGGTTTGGTGAAGAGTGAAGATGAAGCTGTGGAGGTGGCCAAGAAACTGGGATTTCCGGTAATTCACATCCAATTATTGACTTGATACTGGGGCTGACATATATTGCAGGTCATGCTCAAAGCCACCGCTGGCGGTGGTGGAATGGGGCTGCTTACATGCAATGACGAGTCAGAAGTGCGACAATCGTTTGCCACAGTCAGGTCTAGAGGAGAGGCCTTATTCAAGAACGCAGGGATGTTCATTGAACGGTATTATCCTTCTAGCCACCACATTGAGGTGCAGGTGTTTGGTAATGGGGATGGAAAGGCAATCTACTTTGGTGAGCGTGAATGCTCTATCCAGAGAAGACATCAAAAGGTTATCGAAGAATGCCCGAGCCCCTTCGTTACCAGAAACCCTGGGCTACGTGAAAAGCTGGGCGATGCTGCTGTGCGACTAGCCGAGTCGATAAAGTATGGATCGGCTGGGACAATCGAGTATCTAGTTGACGACGAAACAGGCGGATTCTTCTTCCTTGAGATGAACACGCGCCTTCAGGTTGAGCACGGAATCACAGAACTTTGCTATGGAGTTGATTTAGTAGAGCTCATGCTGAAACAGGCTGATGCTCAAGTTTCTGGGAAAAAGGGCATCGAGGCATCGTTCCTGACCAGTCTATCGTCCAAGACTCCATCTGGAGCTGCTATCGAGGCTCGAGTCTATGCAGAAAATCCCATCAAGGACTTCGCCCCTTGCCCTGGAACACTTCAAAGCGTGGAGTGGAAGGAATTGCCTGGTTCCAGAATTGACACATGGGTATATAGAGGAGTCAAAGTATCTGCAAATTATGGTACGCCAACCACGCCAACCCTTGAACGAGACTGACATATGGTAGATCCCCTGCTTGCAAAGGTCATGTATCATTCCCCAAGCAGACAACAGACTATCGAAGGGATGTCGACGATATTAAAAGAGTCGCACATTTGCGGCCCTCCAACAAATCTGGAGTTCTTAGCCAAGATACTTGCTGACGAGAGATTCGTCGCTGGCAACACCTTGACAAAGTTCTTGGACAGCTTTGAATTTAATCCCTGTGCCATTGACGTGGTATCTGGAGGTGCCTATACCCTCATTGAAGACTGGCCAGGGCGTCCGACGCTTGGAAGAGGATTCTGCCACTCTGGTCCTATGGATCCATTAGCATTTCGCATTGCGAATGCGCTCGTTGGCAACCCTGTTGGTCTTGAAGCTTTGGAGATCACATTGAGTGGACCAGATTTACGATTCCTTGGACCAGCGCTGGTATCTGTCTGCGGTGCTGCCGTTGAAGCCAAACTGGATGGCGTTGCCATTCCAATGTGGTCCAGAATCAAAGTTTCTACCGGTCAACGCCTGACTATAGGTAAAACCATTGGAAACGGCTGTCGAGCTTATTTGGCTGTCTTTGGTGGATTCACAAATGTTGCCAAGTGGTTCGGATCCAAGTCTACCTCGCCAATGGTTGGGGTTGGAGGATATCAGGGCCGGGCGCTCGCATCCGGTGATCTTCTGTCCATCTCGAGCCAGCTCCCTGATGTCAGTGGTGAACTTCGTCTGCCGGAGCACCTGATTCCTAAGTATCCTAATCATTGGGAACTGCTTGCTATGCCTGGCCCTTATGATGAGGGATACATTGTGCCAGATAGCATTGACATGCTGTATGAAACCCACTGGAAGATCTCGCATAACGCAGCTAGAGGTGGTATCCGCCTTATTGGACCAAAACCGACATGGGCTCGCTCAGATGGAGGAGAAGGTGGTGCCCATCCATCAAACCTAATCGAATATGGATATGCGATAGGGTCACTCAACTGGACAGGCGACGACCCTGTGATATTCCCCCAAGATGGACCGGACTTTGGTGGATTTATCAGTAGCCACACTATTGTGAAGGCAGACCTGTGGAAGTTGGGACAGGTCAAAGCTGGGGATACGCTCAAGTATAGAGCTGTATCTGTGGCGGATGCAGTGGCTTCCCGCAGAACCACGGAGAAGTTTATCAATGATGTCGTGCAACGTTGCTATCATGGAGGCGACTTCAGCAGTATAGAACCTTTGAGAGACGACCTTCCAACAGAGCTTAAGAGTGGGAACCGCGGCAGTGGTGTAATTCACCAGATACAAGAGAAGGGGAATCAACCGCTTGTTTCCTATCGACAGGTAAGAGAAAGCCATTGGATGTTGAGGGCCAGCTAACATTATCGTTAGGCGGGAGACGACTACCTCCTGATTGACTACGGTAACGGAGCGTTTGATCTGAATCACCGTTGTAGGGTTACTGCTCTCAAGAAGGTACTGGAAGATGGCAAAGCAGACATATCATTCTCAGATAGCTTGATAGGGATGGTCGGATGTGGAAACTGTAAGACTACATGCAACGGAGCGGCTATATCGTTTTGCTAACATTTATTGTAGCTCTGATGCTTTATTACGACGGCCTCAAAATACCACAAGGAAAGCTAATCAATTATCTCTCCGACATCGAGGCCAGACTCGGTGACCTCAGCAAAGCAAAAATGCCCAGTCGTCTATTCAAGCTCCCACTTACATTTGAAAGCCAGAGACAAAAGGATGCCCTAAAGCGCTACATGGAGACCCAGCGTCCTTATGCAACCTATTTACCCGACAATCTTGAGTTTGTTGCAAAGAACAACGCCTTCACGAGACAGGAGTTCGAAAACATCTTCCTCACAGCAAGCCTTATGGTTGTCTCTGTCGGGTTCTTCACTGCCCTTCCACTCGCCCTCCCTGTCGACCCACGACAACGAATGAATTGTCCAAAGATGAACCCTAGTAGGGTTTACACCCCTGCAGGTTCTGTATCATGGGGTGGAAGCTGTATGGCGTGAGTAACACCAACAACCACCCTTCGCGACCTTAGCACTAATCACAATCCCTATCAAGATTATACAATGTCGACTCCCCCGGCGGATACCAAATGACAGGCATGACCATTCCAGGCGTCGACATTCTCGGTTCCAAGAAAGGCTACAGTCCCGAACGACCATGGCTCTTTGAAGACTTTGACCAAATTACCTTCTACCAAGTCTCCGAAGCCGAATACGAAAAGGAACTCGCCCTCTTCAACAGCGGTAGATACGGGTACCAATGGGAAGAGGTGACCTTTGATATGGCTGAACATAACCGACTCCTCGACGAGACCAAGGACGAAGTAGCAGCCATCCGAGACCGTCAGCGAAAAGTGCAAGCTGAGATGGATAAAGTCGAAGCAGAATTACTTGATCGTTGGGCGAAGGAGAAGGCCGAAAGGGGGATTCCCATGGATACAATTGAGAATTTACTCCAAGGTAGAATACACCTGTTTTCTTCCTCTCTTTGATCATCATACTAATACTTTTACTCGTATCTAGACCCCGAAATCCACCCCATCGAAGCCCCATTGAACGCCAACGTATGGAAGGTAGAAGTGAAGCAAGGCGACAAGATCGGAGAAGACCAAGTCGTCATCATTCTGGAGGCTATGAAACTCGAGATTGCCGTTCGGGCAGATCCTGCCTCGGTTGGAACGACTGTCGAGAAAGTTCTGGTTCAATCGGGTGATTCCATCGAGGCTGGTAAACCTTTGTTACTGACAAGAAAGAGCTCGAAATGAGCTGTATGATATCATGAATACTGCATCATTTCAGGGCATCTATCTATACAGACGGTATATAGTGTAGTGTAGTACGTATGTGAAATGAAACGTTCAATTCATACTCATATCCCAGAAACGAAATTGGTATCTAGACATAACGCATGGCAAACCCTGAAATCATAAAAGCATAGGCCGATTATTCCCACCAGAAACTAACACTGATCCCGGCCTTCAATCCCCGGACGTAATGCCACCATCCCACAGGGATATACAAACACTCTCCTTCCTTGAGAACGGTCTCGACATACTCCGCCTGCAAAAACCCAGGCCACATGGCGTCCCACTGGTCGGATTCCGCGGGGGAAAGCTCAATAGAGGCAAGGTCTACCTGCGATGTATTGGACATGTCGATGAGTTGTTTGTTCTGGTCGGGGCCGACGCCGCCGCCGCCGCCTCCCTGGGCTCTGTTTTCTTTATGCTCGGATGAGGAATCGACGGTCTCCATGCCTCTGGGGTAGATCTGGGAAGCGGGTGTGTGTGGTGAGTATAGACGGATGTACTTTGTGCCCGCGACCTGGACTAGAATGTTGTGATAGGGATCATGGTGGAGGGGGGAGATTGTCCACGAAGGGCCAATCCAGGTGTTGATGATGGGGTCGCTGGGGAGGCCGTAGTTGGATTCTGTGTCGGAAGCTTCGGGGTGTATTGTTGTCTCTGGTGTCTCCTTCGTTTTATCCGGGTGTGATTTGTTCGCTTTTAATTTTTCTTTTTGTTCCTGGCGTTTCTTCAGATAGACTGGCGTCCCTGGTTCAGGGCCAGGGGGGTCAATATAGCAATAATCAGGGATGGAAATATCCTTTCGCAGAGCCGGAATCTGAGCAAGCAGATCATGCTGCGCCATGTAACCCGTTTGACCCTCGTCATCATCTTCCTCATCCTGACCATTCTCCCCTCTCCAGATGAATCGATCAACAAACTCCTTGAACTCCATTATGCGCTGCCCCCACCCCTCATCCGTATACGACCTTCCCACCTCGACAGGAACAAGCCGACGACCGCCAAAGGTCCGATCGAACCAGTAATCCCGCGAAGCCCATGGCCTCGTCGACATAGCGGGCCAATGTTCCACCGCATCGGTAATGATCAACGGCGTCCGGACATTATGAATATGGTTCTCGATTGAATCGAACGACGGCGCAGAAAGTCGAGGAATCGGACACTGCAAGCTCTGGGCCGGGACCCTGTCGGGGGGGAAGAGAGGAGGTGAGAGCTTCCTTCGTTTCGAAGCATGGTAGCAATCAAGACCCCCGTCGCCATCGGAATCTGGCGGTGAATGCGTATCCTGGGCTTTCGACAGGGTTGATCCCTGAAGTGTCGCAAGCAGTGATTCCACCAGAGTCTCTCGCAGAGGCGCCCCGGTCATAATCAACGCTTTGTCAAGCACATGGACAGTAGGCGATAGCCACGACGCCTTGGGACTAATCCCCAACTCCTTCTTATTCTCTCTGAGGCCTGTAACAAGCGCCCCACAGCCATTCTTGTCAATTATCCCTCCCCTGTCGAGTCCGCAGTTCTCGCAGATGGTGAGACAGGCTTTAACGATGCTCGCGTCTGTGTATAATCGTCGCCAGCAGGTTTCGACATCTTTGAATGGGAAAACGCGTAATTTCGCGTCGGCAAGCTGGAGAGCTTTGTCTGGATTACCCAAGACGAGGTCGCGATGGGCGTCAAGGTCGTGGTTGAGACATTTGAGGATGGGGTCGTCGGGGGTGGGATCTGCGATGGCGGAGAGGGCGTCGGCGAGGACGGATTGGAGATGCATTTTATGTTCTCTAACTCTCTAGATAGAGAGGTGGGAAATAATATGCATGGAGGATTAGTACTGCATGTGTAGTCAATATGAAGTAAGTATTAGTAGTTGGTTGAAGAGGAAAGGGTTTTCTGGGGATGTTCGTTTTTTCTTTTTTGCTGGCCGACAAGACAACGTCATCGCTTGTTGATAAACATTAGGACAATGCATTTTCGGGTTTTCTTTGTTTATTGTTCTTACATTGCCTTAGATAAAAGATAGTAAACAAATATAAATTCTTTGATTCTGAGATTACTATACAATGCTTGCTTTTACAATCGCCAATAATATACAAGAGTCGTGATATATATCCTGTCCACAACACCGATCTCTAGTACTCCAACAAATCAACCACCAACTTGGGGATGCGACTGACGCCCTCGCCTCTCATGGCACTCACGGGAACGACAGTTACTTTCTCTATCCATCCATGTTCGTATCCTCCTGGATGCTCAACCTCACCCTTGCCCACGGCGGAAATGTAGTCTCGCAGCTCTTTGAACCGATCTTGGGTTTCAGGTAGATCAGCTTTGGTAGCTACGACGAACCATGGCTTCGTGTGGATAGGTGGAATTGCAAGCTCGGGAAGCTCTTTTTCGCTAGCAGGCGACATGTTGATATGCTCCATGGGGTCATGCGATTTGGCATGACCAGCCAACTCGGGCAGACCATGCTCTTTGGGCCATGACATGGAATCTTCGCCTTCAGAGGAGAGTTCAGTATCGCGCACCCGTTCATATGCACCAAGTTCGCGCCACAGATTCTTGACTCCCTGGATTGGGTCTCCATTGCTGAGGTCGACCACAAAAGCCAGGATACCAGCGCGCTCAATATGTCGCAGGAATCCTAAACCAAGACCACGGTCCAAATGGGCGTCTTCAATTAGACCGGGAATATCGGCGATGGTGAAGTTGGTTCGTTTTCTCTTGGACTCGACAAGCGGCCTTCCTTTGTGATCGTCGATGACAACAGTACCAATACTTGGTTCAAGCGTGGTGAATTCCCAGTTTCCAATGCGCGTGCGACTGTTAGTCAACGACCGTAACAAAGTGCTCTTCCCGGCATTGGGTTTCCCGACCAGTCCAACATCAGCCAGTAGTTTCAACTCAAATTCCAACTCCAGACGCATACCACCTTCACCTCTAGACGCAAAGTTCGGTCGGGTTATTGTGCGGGAGATAAAGTGCGGGTTACCCAAACCACCCACAGCACCGGCAGCCAGCAACATCGGCTTATCCATATGCTGAGAGAGATCAAGGTGAATCGGCGCCTTCGGTTCCATCGCGGCAAGCGGCGATCGTCGTGGCGGGTTTCTAGGGAACACTGTCGTAAGGAAATCGGAGGGTTTGGCACCAGGGTACAGAACCCAACGGTCATGGCGGATCGAGGTAAATCCAATCTCATCCAACTCATCCGTCTCCTGATTCATTTTGGCCTCGTATTCCATCTTGCGACGCTTCTTTTCCTCCGCGACAGGATCGTACCGCTCTACTTCCCGGATTACCGTTCCAACGGGAACCTGGAGCAGAACATCCTCTCCTCGCTTACCACCTTTACTCTTGCCCTGGCCATTCTTCCCTCGACCGGCTCTGATAACACCTCTGCGCGCAAGCTTGTGCAGACTCGTCATGCCCTCGACAGCTTGGATGTAGATACTTCCGCCGCTACCGCCATCGCCGCCATTGGGGGGGCCTTCTTCAATGAACTTTTCGCGAAGGTACGAGACACACCCACTCCCACCGGACCCGGCATGGATTGTAGAGCGACATTTATCCTGGAAGATGAATCGGGAGTAATCGTCAGGCGACGGGTTCAAGTGCGACAGCTCCGGGGAAGGTTCGTCAGCGTCAACGTCAGCGGGAGGGTCGCTCGATCGCGGAGGCTCGGCTTCTGTACTGTGCCATCGGCAAGATTGTCTGAGGACTCGAGCTGTATCTTGACGGGGTGTGTGAAGACGGACGGATTGTCTGATGAGGAGAGAGGGGAAAGAAAACAGAAGACCTGTTCGTTGGTTCGCCATGATGCACGATTAGGTACTGCGCATTCTGATGGCGTTGTCCAGGGAGATGCAATCCAGTCAAATCACTGCATGTAGCCCCAATGACAGATTAATTCAATGGTTCAGAAATATCCAGTGTATAAAGTATTCTGTAGAAGCTGCAGCAGCTCTCTACCAAGATTGAATCAGTTACGTCGTTATCCACAAAATTCAAATCACGTGCCCTATCAGCACGTGATGATAAGTGCATAGTGCCTTGCAGCCTGAGGATGCATGAATCATGAATCAGACCAGCAGCGGTTCGCTCACATCTTCCCAGTCAAACCAACAGGTCCGATCCTGTCAATCTTGCAAACTACATTCGGAATGTACAGACTATCTACAGACTACTTCACCCGGATACGGAACACACCGCGTGACCTACCAATAGTGGGAAGTACTTTTTGGTCAATGTCCTTTGAAGGATCATTATTGCCGCTGCCCTGCACGGTTGCTCTGGTGGCTTTTGAACCCATCCAAGGACCGGGCCAAGCGGCGCCAACGTTATTCCTGTACCACCGACTCCCACAAACAAACAATCTTCCCGCTCATCTGCATGATCAAGATGTTGAAAGAAACAAAGAGAAAAGCAAAGAAAAAAACAAAATCTTCTGACCGTGTCGACTGACTGTCGAGTCTGAAAATAGACATCTACAATCCGGATACGGGCACGGGTTACAATGCACCTCAGTCTAGACCGCCTCAATATTGGGCAAGCCCTGCTTGCGTATGTAGCCATGACAAGCAAAAGAACCGACGAAGCGTGACGATGACAGATAGACGGGGCCAATCACCAGGGTGAGGAGATGAGACCCCCCTTGAAAGTTGAAGCAGCCTTGAGCAACAACCCTTGAATATGGACTCGGACAAGATGTGATGTGACGGGGGGAAAGGGAAGGGCGCGGAAACAGGGACAGGGGGACAAAAGTACGATATTTTTTTTCGGCGTCTCCAGGCTCCAGCCAGCAAGAACTTCAGCTGGATGCTTCCAGCCGACGGTGGTACTTTTGGCATTGGACGTGCTCTTCCGTATCGCCCCTCAGAGCAGACCAGCGGAGGATCGACTTGGAGAGTCCGGGCTTAAGACACTAAGAGACTAAGGTAGTATCACCAGGGTGAATCGGTATGATACTAAGATTGTTTGATTAGTCGGTGGATCCGACCCGGGTTACTCGACATATGTACGTTATCGAGGCTCGATTGAAACATAAGGTTGAATCGACGATGCATCTTTGTTGAAGTGCTTTGATATGGGTATGGTATTACAAATGACAGCTGGCACTGGGCAAACTGCAGCTGAACCTGAACGTGACGAATATAGGCCCAGTTTGTTTGTTCACTTGACACTTATAGCCTTGCCACAGTCAGCCCACAGCCCCAACGGAACATACCGCATTTTGATGCAATCCACCGAACAAAACCTGAGATGAGTACAGGACAGCCTCGAAAAAGCCGAGGAAGTCATGTTTCACCCTGATTTGGGCTGAAAGAAAGGACAACAAAGCATCTTCAAATAGATGCAGACACGGAGTACTCCGTAGTGTACTCCGTTTAGTCCAGAGTGATTCCATACAAAAATACAGCATACCAATCTGACCTCTCAAGCTTTGAGGCGTTATTCATCCATTATCCTGGGATCCGATTTATCTCTTCATACTGTCATTTACTCGGTATTATAAGTCAATCCTGGATAGGTAAACAGTAAACAGAGCAAATCTATTTCTGTAAGCTAAATGTCTGCTGGGTTGGTTCGATTCATGCAGTCGGTACATTAGGGTGCATGTATGATGCTGATGCTGAACCGATACAGCGGAACCAGATCCATAGAAACTAGGGCAAACAGACCAGACCGAGTATCACTAATATCAACTAATTACTCACTAATCGCCTACGGAGTAACTAACATGTCTTACAAGTCACTCGTAAGTCCAATATCTACAGATCTCATCAATCCAAAAAAAATAGTAAACGCATGTATGTAAGCCATAAGCCATGCCAGAAGTACCCAAGGCAAGTCCTAAAGTCCCAACTAAACTAGCTAAACATACCGAAAAAAACCCGTCCATACTAGTAAATCCCAAAGAGTGGGTCCCCATAAAAAAATTAAAAAGATTTCGGCAAAATGAATAATTCAGATAAAAATCAAGTAAAAAAGTGAAAGTCAATTTAAATAATAAATAAATGCGGCTTGCGGATTATCTGTCTTGTTCCAGGAACGACAAGAAAACCATGGATAGCATCAGGGGGAACGCAGCCCGTCTTCCGGACCGGAAATACTATACATAAACATGACAGACAAAAAAGGCCCCCCTCGAACTGAACTAAAGTTACAGTTCACATGACTGGAGACAGGTTCAATAGTGGCAAATCATTCAAGAAAGTCTCAGATTTTTTTTAAATTTAATTTATTTTTTGTGGACAAAAGGTAAGTTTACGTGGAATGGAAAATTCTGCGGATGGAGAGGACTTGTTATCCGTCACCGCGGCACCGGACTCTACATTCCGATGGAGATGAGGGGCAGGGATGGATTCTTTCGTTCTCTTTTTCTTTCTCTCTCTCTTGCTTCAATTGACGATTACACAAGAAAAATCTCTTCAAGACAATATCAACAGTGGAGAAAACAAAATGTGACTGTCTGAGGTAAAAGACGGGAAGAAAAAAAAAAAAAGGTGAAAGTGCAAGTAACCTCGTACTAAGAGATGTGATGGAATCCCTCCCATTTCAGCCGCTTGATAGGTCGGTTCCTGGTTCTTTTTAATGTGGAGAAACAGCGGAAGTCCCTTTTGTTCCCCTGTCGATGTCTTTCCATGGATCCAAAAGGCAAAAATCGCCAAATGGTACTTTTGGTCCGAACATCCGGCTACCCCCTTGAGGCAATGTGATTCGCCAATGCTGACAGTCACAGAAAACATGCTGAAACATGAGGAAGATCCAGAATGGAAGGCAAATCGGCGATGGTGAGGGTTGATTGGTGCGGGGAGGAAATCCTAGCTTTACCGTGGTATTTATTATTATTATTATTATTTATTATCCTAGAGCTTATCTCGGATGGTTCTCGGATGGAAGTTCAAGTATGTTGGAGCTGAGAAGTGTACATAGTAGCGGTGAATGAGGGAGAATCGCACAACATTGCAGAGGTGTTACAGATGCAACGGAAATTACACGGCGTCATTGGAATGACAGCCAGAGACTAACAGTCGCAAGTAGACAGACAAACACAGCTGAACGGGCTGGATTAGCGGCACCTGGATCGGTAATGCCGACGGGTTCCCCGCCACAATCGCACTTTCGCCAGAGATTGATTAGAACTGGATCTTTCAGGTGGCATGATGATGCCGTAGAGAATGCCGTTTTGGATGTAGGCGAGCTGCTGCCGTGTAGTGTAGTACTCGGTATGTACCTGTAGTGTTCCATCTTATCAACTGTCGCTATACAGGGATAGCACATCGACAGAAATGACAGGTCGCATCGAGTCCCCCCCCCTCGTACTCGATCGACTAGTTCAAAGGTACTACGACGCAGCATACTTTCATAGTCCGGAAGATTACTGTAGGAACCGGGAACCCCTTCACCCCGTCCAGGCGTCCAGGAGACTAAACCGTCTCAACTGTCCAAAGTAGCCCCTTTTCTTCAACCTGGCGACGTCATATTGTAACAGCCTCCCGAAAGACCCGACAGTCTGGCACGGCAGCTGTCTTGGGCGATCTTCAGATGCGTGGCTGAACTGAACAGCTGAAATCATGAAACCATCGCCAACTAGAGATGCTGTAGATTGCAGTAGTCGATTAGTGTGTGGCCACACAAAGGGCGGACTCGTTTTCCGCTCCTCCGTGCCTCAAAGATTCGACCCTGCCATTGAATTTTCGCTAGTGTGCGGAACCTTGGGAGATCGTCACAGGATCAATATTCGATGGAGCTGAAGAACAACCTAAATGACGATCCAGAAACTTCTCTTACATACAGAATACGTACGATAAATTTGTGGAGTTGGGTCCTGACAACCGGCTGGGTGGGACGGGCAACGGAATAAGAGGGACGAATCTCGGCGTGAAACTCCGCTGGTTGGAAACGGTGAGCGACTGATGTCCGTATCGAGTAAACAGTACTCCGTAGCAAAAACTCATGATGTATGTCGCAGTCTGTATGACCGTTCCGTGTATCCGACTACTGCGAAATGATGATGACGATGATGGATTAGGCTGTAACGGTCGACTGAGGCTGGAGATGGAGACACAAAGCGTTTTTATCGCCGAGGTCTGTACCACCCTGACTCATCCGTCAAAGGCCTCGAGGATCACGATCGTGGCTGAGTATGGCTCACCGTATCTTCAGAGAGAGTTTGGTTGAAACGGATAAAATGCCCGTGTTGGTATTATTGATTCCTGCCCAACAGCCTCCTACAAACTGGTGGGATAACCCTCCGTTATCCCTGGCGCTGAGCGGTATGTCGTATGTACGAAAAACCAGGTTTTGGCAGATGTTGTGCCGCCTCTTCACCGCTGATGATGCAGATGATGATATTCCCACAGCCGAGGAAACCGAGAGAGAGAGAGAGAGAGAGAGAGAGTCGACCTGTAGACTGTAGTGTCGACGGTGTAACAAGATAGAGGAAGCTCACATGATTCCAGAGTGCAGATTCCCAAACAACCAAGACAACACGGAGTACATCGGGCGTTGACACATTCCATGGGGTTTAGTTTATTCCTCCGAAACGTCCGAATGGTGATGACGATGGACACGATGGGCGGTGACCTCGAGCTAAGCTCTCTCCATGTCGGGTGATGCTGATGCTGCTGATACACTACGACAGGTCTTCACCGTATCATCATGGGAATGAGGGGGTGGATGAGCCATGCCCTCCACCGCCAGATCAGTCCCGTTGCAATTAAGCCGGGCTGCCCATCCTCGGGATCTCAGGAACCTCTGACCTCTTTTTTGTTAATTATTTTGTTTTTTTGCCTGACAGGAGAATCTGCACGCAATGCATCGTGGGAGGGGAGGGAACAAGGAACAACACATCAGTAACAGAATCGATAGCTCTCTGAGCCACTAGGCAGCTGCATCGGAATTGTCAAGGAAACCCTGGGATTGGCGAGTGGATGACAGTTTTACCCCTCCATGGATACCTAACCCCTCCCCCATGCCAGGTTGGCTCTGTTTGCTGGTCAATAGGAGACACCAGCACCCTGTTTTTTTTTTTTTGACTCAACGGCGATCATCTGGATAGATGCAGCCTCCGCGTGGGAAAGTGGTGAAAGGTCTCTATCTGACGCCTGACTCATCGACTAATTGCATCAGATATCGAATATTACGATTTATGGTCATTTTTCTCTTGCCGACCGCTTCAGCTGCCCGTCACTGTTGTCAAAGTATAATGACGTCGGTTTGCGTCCCAATATTCCCCCCTTTTTGCTTCCTTCATCATCCATCTCGATCTGCCCAATCAGATCGGGCAATCCTCCAGATACTGCGAAAATCACTAGAATGACCCGCATCTCCAAACTACCAAGTCTACCTAAGAGACTAACTATCTCTGCCGTCTTTGTTTTTTTGGTTCTTTTTTTCTTTTTCATTTTTTTCCCACTAAATTCACCCCTCTTTTTTCTCCCCCTCTTCCTACTAGTCCTACTCGCGTGGCCAGATCTCAACTGCAAAAAGTCAGGCACTATGAGATCCACTGCTCGACACTATTGGTAAGTAATAACTGGAAGGGGTAAAGTACGACTGAAGAGGAGGAGAAAATCTGAAAAATGATGCCAATAATGAAGCATGAATGATCCAATCCCTTGGTTCCTCCACTTCCACCCGTCTTTAGTGGAGCGTTTGAAGAACAATGGCAGCTGTGTTCCACAGGATAGTATGAAGTATGATGAGTAGTATGAAGTATCTGACTGACCGGAGCAATGGAAGCTGAAGGCTGAGAGCCCAAAAATGGTCAAGGATGTAAACGACCCAACGGCTTTGTGAAACAAGGATAGCGCACAGTATTATTCAGGAGTATCTGATGTATTATGTATGTATTATTGTTGGTGACTGCAGTGTCAATCATCATTACTGATTATTTGCTGCAGCCTCCTCGCTTCTCTAGTGCCGACAGCCAGACAAGACAGGGTCAGGATATTGATCTTTTTTTTTGTTTTTTTCCTTTCCCACCCCTGTTGCCCATCTTATGATACAGCTAAGTCGACTAATTACCTGGGATTTCTTGTTTACTGACAGCTGATCATATGGCCCACTGGATAGTGTAAGGGTGACTGCTCTCAAAAGGCCCACCATGACATTTTCTTTATTATTATTATTATTTATTATTCCCGTTTCATGGTTAATTAGTGTCTCCCTTTTCCACTCCCAACCCCTCCGTGTTTTTTTTTTTTTTTTTTTTTTTTTTTTTTTTTTTTTTTTTTTCTGGATTTCAGGTACGTCAGCGTTGGGTACACCGCATGTTGGAAGAAATCATCCTTCGGAAAGAAATCAAGAAATATAAACAATAAACAAGGAGAAAAACAAAGATCAATCAACATGCATGTTTGCTCTATAAAATAATAAAATAAAAAAAATAAAAAAAATAATAAGAAGAAGACAATGATACCCCATCACAGTGATCACATCGCCCCTTTATGGTGGAACACGGCTGGGTTTCCAGAATCCCGCCTGTTTTGGCCACTAAATCCCATCCCTACGCCACAGCGATGTGAGATCTATCATCTCACTAACTCCCACTAAAACCAGACTTCTGGAAAGTCGATCATCCTTGCCTTACGGCCGGTTTTAGCGCGCTTCTAGATACACGCTGGCTGCTGTTCCCCGGAGCCCGGGGCTCAGGTCCATGGGTCTTTTCTTTTTCTGCTTCTCTTGATCGGATCTACCTGGTAATATGGATTCTTTTTTACTCTGTCACGTAAAATATACCTAGTGGATCGATTATTCCTCTAACTACCTGCCATACCCTAAATGATGTACCTGATGGTCTGATGGATCCCCCTCTGTCTCCCCCCCCCCCCCCCCCCCCCCCCCCCCCTTTCTCAGCTCTTTCTTTCTCCTACGTTGTATACCCAGTCGGATGGCCCCGATCCTTTTTGTCTGCTGGAAATCATAGCTTAAAAAATGGTGTGGAGACTGAAATAATAAAAAAGAAAATAAATAATAATAATATTTTTTAATTAATTAAAAAAAAAGAATTTAAAAAAAAAAAGAAATACTTTTTCGGGCTGTTTGCTCTCTGCATACTATGCACATCCCGTACACTTGTAACCGATCCAGCGTTGATGGATGGATGTGTTGAACGGTTGACCTGACGTTTTTAGTCTTTCGCCTGATCACATATCTTTATCCACCGCAAAATACTTCATTTAATTCTCCCCTTCCCGTCCAGATTCTCTCCTGTGGCCATGATTTCTTTTTAATCGCTTTTCTTCCGCTTCAGATCGCTTCTCTTCTCCTTCCCCATCTACTTCTCTCCTCTACACAACCCACCCCATTCACTTTACTATTCACTCATCCTCTACTACTCTACTCTACTACTACCACTACTACTACCAACACTGCTCTACTCCTGACTCAATCCGGTGACCTCATCGAAATTAAGATACCCTTCCCTTGCAGCTGTCTCACCATCTGCATCTCCGGATCCTCCAAGAGAGCTCAGTTTACCCTCGAATCTACTCTGCGAAAGGGGGAAGAAATGCTGAAGCCCCTTTAACAATAACTTTTTTTTTCTCTCTTTTTTTCTTTTCTCTACGGGAAAGAAAAAGAAGATTCCCTCCTTTCTAACCGATTATCCCAATCTTATCGCCCATTCTATTGCATTCCCTCCCTTCTATACGGAGTGCCAACGGAGAATTTCACCAGAACTAAAAGTCGAAACACATTCCTTTTGGGCCCGTTATTTTCCCTTAGGGATTGCGTCAGGGAGCTTCGATTTTCTCTCTGGGGGGATTATTTCAGAAATCCTTCCTCTCTCGAATCCAATCCAATCACCTACTTGACATATCTCACACACAATGTTCAAACGACCGGCTTGTTTACAAGGCCGGAGGCCTGATGGTGGCCGCGATGACTGGGCCAACTTTCCTATCCGTCAACTCTTCGTTCTAGGTATGTTTCTTGTTTTGTGCCCAAAGCAATTGAGGCCATTCAAAACGGCTGTATACGGATTGTTGCCTGGTTGGTGCCCATTCACTTGTCGCGGATGACTGACAGCGCGTTTCTTCAGCTCTGGTGCGCATCTGCGAGCCAATCGCCTTCATGTCGATTTTCCCTTATGTGTATCACATGGTCGAAGAGTTCCACGTGACCGACAATGAGACCAAGATTGCTCTCTACGCCGGCATGATTACTTCCTCCTTCACCTTTGCAGAATTCTCCGCGGGCATGTTTTGGGGTCGCATGAGTGACAAGATTGGCCGGAAGCCGGTGCTGGTCATGGGCCTGATTGGAACCGCCATCAGCATGATTGTATTCGGATTTGCTCCCAACCTCGCGACGGCCATGGTTGCTCGAGCGCTGGGAGGTCTGCTCAACGGAAACATCGGAGTGCTTCAGACGACAGTTGCGGAGATCGTGACGGTCAAGGAGCATCAGCCACGGGCTTACTCCATCATGCCATTCGTCTGGTGCTTAGGGTCGATTATCGGACCCGCTATGGGTGGTGCGTTGGCACAGCCCTGCGACAATTATCCCTGGCTCTTCCAGCGCAGTAGCATCTTTGCGCGGTTCCCTTTCCTGCTGCCCAACCTCGTCTGCGTTGTCATCCTCGCCTTTGGCATCGTCGTTGGCTTCCTCTTCCTGGAGGAGACCCATCCGGAGAAGAAGTTTCGTCGTGACCCCGGAAAGGAGTTGGGCCAGTGGATGATTCGCAAATTCTGGGGATCGCGCGTGCAGCTTACCGAGGTCACGGACGCCAACAAGGACGCTGAAGACGCAAGCTACTTTGGCTACGATGATGTGCCGCCGCCAGAATATCGCAGCAACGAATCTTCCCCGCGTTTGGGCCCAGTTAAAGAGAAGGACAGCCTGTCTCAAAATGACGACATTGAGGGACAGCTCAAGTCCAAATGTGGAACTCCCAAGGCTTTCACCAAGCAAGTCATTTTCAACATCATCGCCTACGGAATTCTTGCATAGTAAGTTTTTTTCTTTTTCTTTTTTTCTATTTTCTGCCCGTCCTTCGCAACCCAACTTCCCCTCCAAAATGAGGGGAGGGGGAAATGACAAGCTGTCTGTCTGTATGTACGTATGTACTGACTTCTTTTCCACCCACAGCCACAGTGTCTCCTTCGATCAATTGATGCCCATTTTCCTCAGCACTCCCAAGTCCGACGGAGATGTCGTTCTACCCTTCAAGTTCACCGGAGGTCTCGGATTGCCTACCAAGACGATCGGTTTCATGCTCGCCGTACAGGGTGTCTATTCCATGATCGCCCAGCTCTGGTTGTTCCCCTTTGTTGTTCGACACTTTGGCACTCTACGAACCTTCCGCTTCGTCCTTCTCGTTTGGCCACCCCTGTATCTGGTCGTTCCGTACCTCATCATGCTTCCGACCCAACTGCAAACCATCGCCGTCTACGTCGCCTTGATCAGCAAAATCACTCTGCACGTCATCGCTTTCCCCGCCACCGCTATCCTCCTCGCAAATGCCGCCCCCTCCTCGAAAGTCCTGGGATCCATCAACGGTGCCGCTGCATCTACCGCCAGCTTGAGTCGCGCCCTCGGCCCAACTGTCACCGGACTGCTTCATTCCCGCGGCCTCGAAAGCGGACACTCGATCCTGGCATGGTGGGCATGCGGTATTGTCTGCATCCTCGGCGCCATTGAGAGTTTCTGGATGGAGGAATCAGACCCCAAGCGGGAAACTGAGGAGAAGGTCGGACATGACGAGTCGAGCGCGGACAGGGATCAAATCCAAGGTGCATTTTCCGCCAGCAAAGAAACTGGCAATCCCCAAGAACAGCGGCGGTTGCTTTCTTCCACCCGGACGAGCGTCGATGATGAATTCGACATTGCCAACTTGGAATTGACCCCGAAACCCGAACGTGATTAATCGCCACTTTTGCATCATTTTCCTTCAACCATTTTTCATGCGCATATCTTTTTTTTTGCTTTGATTTTGAGCCTGTCCAATTTTTTTCTTTCTCCTTTTTCATTTCATCTTCCATTTTCCATTTTCCTGCATTCATACCACTTTTAACTTTGTTTCATCTTCGTGAATATTTCTTTTTTTCACAGGCTGCTTGCATTTGGGATGTTGTTTTCATTTTTCATTTCCTTTATTTCTTTTGTTTTAGATCATGATGATTCAAGAACTGGGTGATGGCGCAGCTTATAGACTGGATGCATATTCAAAAGCATGAAGGACCGGCACTCTTGTTTTTCTGTTTTGTTTGTTTCTTTCTTTCTCTCCTCTTTTCTGCCTGCGATCTTCTTTTCTTATTATCTGGTTTTCTTTTTATCATGGGGCATTGTTGGGGTCACATTATGATACTCATGCATCTGGGAGGCTTTTTGTCATTAACCACTTGGTTTCTTTTATACCATACTCCGTACCTCGTCTTGCAAATGGGATTTAGCAAATGAGAGGGAATGTCTTGATTCCTTCTACCACACCATATCTTTCAGTGTTCTTCTATATTCGTATACTTCTTGTTACTTCTCCACGTAAAAACTCAATGGTAAAGATTTCCGATCTACAAACTCCCAGTCCACCTGTTCCTGTTGTCTCTCCAAAAGCCATACCCGCCACTTTCACGTGACGTTGAAAGATGCGGGGTTGAAATCGAACTGCTTCAACCTGGTTAGCAACGCTTGGACTGGACTGCGATTGGAGACTGACTAACTTGATATAAATGATATAAAGCAGCAACGTATTCAGAAGTTCCAGACTAGTTTCTTCACTTATTCTTTGGAGTTGGAGAGGTGTCAGATGTCATTAGACGGACGAGATTGGTAAAACCGGTACGTAAATAACCAATCAGACTGCGTGGTTTCCTTATCAGAGATGGGTTTGATGGTATGGTACTGTCATTTTCTATATGGAACTTTCCATCAACTTTCTTTTCTGCTGTTCGATATATGAAGTACCCTACTGTACCTATATCAGACTGCAATATCCTCCTGCAGACCGTTCCTTTCTTGCGATATACCGGCGCATTGAAGCATTTTTATCCATCAGCCGCGATACTCTCCAGCAAACTAATACTGATACTAATCGGCAACTAAGATTGCCTAGGCTGTCATTCGGACTCCACCGACGGCCCTATCTCCAACTCTTCTTGCGACTTCGATGTCTTTTGCTTTCTCTCTGACTGTAACCCTCCTTCTTTTTTTGCCCACTCCGTCATGGGTTGCGACTGTGTCCTGCGCCTTGGTCTCCATCGTTGATAGCTTTTTTTCCCCGGAAGAGACTAAAAACGCGTGGCGGTTCGGATCCCGGAATACTGGGAACGCAAGCAGACATTTTTTGCTTGTACCGAGTCGCTTTTTATTTTATTATTGATATTGAATCTTTTTGATATTGTTTCGGCGAGATTGAGTGGCGCATGATCTATCATGAATGGTGATCCGTTTCTGAACCCGAACCCAGTGTCTCAGTCATCCCGCAGAACTCGATCTCGAATTCCGAGACATGGTCGCGAGCTTGCGCCTCTCCCCGTTCCAACTCAGTCATGCTGAATCCTTCATCTCCGGTCTCTCCAGTCTCCCTGGGCAAGAAAAGACCTCATCAGTCCGAGTCGACGACGGCGGCGCAACAGAATCAGAACCAGCAGACCCCCGCACAACGCGACGTACCCGCTGCAACCTCGACTCCGGCTTTGACGACGACGACGACTTCCTCCTCCTCTTCTTTCCGCAATGTTTCCGCTTGTAATCGCTGTCGGCTACGCAAGAATCGCTGCGACCAGCGTCTGCCGCGGTGTCAGTCGTGTGAAAAGGCCGGGGTGCGGTGTGTGGGGTACGATCCGATTACCAAGCGGGAGATACCGCGGAGTTATGTGTACTTTCTCGAGGCCCGCGTGGCGTATCTTGAGAAGTTGTTGATGGATAATAAGGTTGATTATAAGGAGGCCGTGGCTTTCGACGAAGAAGAGGCCGTCAAGGTGGAAACGGGATGCGAACCTGTTCAGAAGCAAATCGACGGACTGGAGGCAGTGCCCGCCGGCGGCGAGGTTTCCACGACATCAGAAAAGAATAATGAGAAATGGGTCCGGCTGAAGAGAGAAAAAGAGGATACAATGGGCCATCAACGACCCGATCGGAAGGCCGAGGGCGCACAAGACGCGGATGGGAACCCGGATTACGAGAAAGAAGATAATTGGCGGATACAAAACCTTGTCTCCAACATTGGCATGGTGTCTGTGCAGGGAACATCCGATCCGCGATATTTAGGATCGACGTCTGGTATTTCTTTTGCGCGGGTGGTTTTCGCCGCGGTCAAGAGTTCTGTTGCTGGGAATGTCTCTGAGCGTCCCAGTGAGCGTCTCCCGCATAGTGCCACGGGTACAGGCGGGAGCACAATGCGAGATTCTTTCTTTGGCTTACAGACGAGGCCGACGATGAAGTGCGCGGCGTTTCCAGATCGCGATCTGGCCGAGAAACTGGTTAATCTCTATTTTGAACATGCGAATCCGCAGATGCCCATCCTTCACCGTGGGGATTTTATGGAGCTTCTTGATCGGACTTACTCTGTCGAGGAGAAGAATCGGTCTTCTCGTAGCTTGTATACGTTGAATATTGTTTTTGCTATTGGAGCAGGTATTATCTTTGAAGATAAGAGCCCTTCAGGTGAAGAGGACAAAGACGGCCGTGCCCGGTCGCCATCATCGTCCACGTCCAAGAGACCAAAGTTGTCAGGCCACCAGTACCAACCAGAGGAATACCATGCATCGGCGATCATTCACTTGGAATCCTTTCTAGTCTCATCCTCCGCTAGCGATGGCTTTGGTGGCCTGGAGGAGCTACAGGCAGTACTTCTCCTGGCTAGTTTTGCCCTTCTGAGACCTGTCGCCCCGGGTCTGTGGTACATCGTCGGAGTTGCAATACGACTAGCCGTCGATTTAGGTCTCCATTATGAAGACGGGACAGGCGTCGACTATGTCGGGGAAGAGGGCGTTGACCGTCCCCCACTCCGGGGAGATAATAAACCCCAACCACGCATCGATACACGCGAGCGCGGACGTCGAGAATGGGTTCGTGATTTGCGTCGCCGATTATGGTGGTGTGTATATAGCTTCGACCGCCTCGTCGGATGCTGCGTTGGCCGACCCTTCGGAATCAGCGATCAAGCCATCAGTACCGAGTTCCCGTCTATCTTCGAGGACAAATATATTACCAAGTCTGGACTCGTTGTGCCCCCTGAAGGAGCGCCGAGCTATAAACATGCGGCGTTGCATTATTTCAAACTGCGCGTGCTGCAGTCTGAGATCCAGGATGTTCTTCAATACCAGCAAGCGCGATTCGCCCGGCAAAGAATTCCGTATACTTCAAATGTTTTCACCCGCTCCGACCTTCCTTCTCCCTTTCTCCAAGGCTTCGATTCTTTCCGATCATGGCGAAAAGACATTCATCGGCGGTTGACTGAATGGCAGGAATGTGCGCCCACGACTCAGGACACGGGCGTGAGGTTCCCCACCGAGTTTCTCGAATTGAATTACTGGCAGGCTATTATTATGCTGTATCAACAAAGTCTTACTGTTCCGGCAGAGTTGGCTGGAGAGCTCGATCCAGCTGAGGATGTATCGAGTCCGTCGTTCTCTAACGTAGAGGATGCTGATGACGAGGATGACATCTACTTCAAGGTAGCTGAGGCGGGCCAAAAGGTGATTCGGATATATCGCCAATTGCATCGTGTGCGTTTGGTCAACTATACATACCTGGCTACGCACCATATTTTTATGGCTGGTAAGGAGTCGTCAATTTTGCTCCGGTGACTTGTTGCTAACGTCAGTAGGAATCTCATTTTTGTACGCAATATGGCACTCACCCTGGGTGCGAAGTCGATTGGTATGTTTGATCTTTCTACAAGCTAGCAGGTTTGGTCTAACGTCATGATAGACACTTGATGAAGTGGACTTTACCGTGCTCGCCGCCACATCTGTACTTGGAGACCTAATGCACAAGTGCCCACCCGCAGAGGCGTGTCGAGACGCCTTTGAACGAATGAGCAAAGCTACCGTCCAGATGTCATTGTCAACCACCGGGTTTGGGTCTCAGGTTGACCTGTCGCGGTCTCATGCTGGTGCCACAGCTTCTCAAACAGCTGGGGTGCTGTTCCCGGGCCGGGCGAGACATTACGCCAGACAATCCATGGAGCAGCGTCATCGAGCAAACCCCTACCAGTCACGGCGCCAGACTCAGACACGTCAATCTCGGCCCTTGCCACGATTCGACATGAATCTTGGGGATCTGTTCAATGACAACAGTGCAGCTCCTGAAAGATCCACCAGTGGTTCCAGGAAACCGACACAGTCTTATCCTATCCGTGCGGAATATCCTGAAGCATCAGCACAAAGTTTCGGCCCAGATCAACCGCAGCCACATTCGCAATCATATACACAACGGACGCCGTCTATGGAATACTATGGCAATTACGAGAACCCAGTCTCCCCTTCACAGCAGCAACAACCGTCATACTACTACGCAAACTCCCCACAACACAGTGCATCACCCAGCAGTGTAGTCGCTGCGAACAACCCAACACAGAACCAGTTCCCCCACACAGACCACGAGGACCAGTCGGGGATCAGCCTGGATTTCCTAGATTTCGACTCCACTGGGGCAGAGGGGCATGTTCCTCTTGGGCCTGACGGGAACCCAGATTATAACATGATGGGCATGCCCTCGATGGGGCATGGAGTTGGACACAGCGTAGGGATTGACTTGGGATTTGGAATGACGATGGACTTTCAACATGATTGGAGTGAGAATGCCAATTATGACATGCTAGAGGGGTACTTTTTTGGTGGATCTGGAGCTGGGCCATCTGGTGGTGGATGAATGGACTTTTCTCCCCTTCTTTCTTTCTCCCTCTTACATTTTTCCTTTGGTCATCTGATGGATATACAGGCCAATAAAAAAGAACAAAAAGGAATATTAAAAGGCGATATGAATTGATGAAATAATCGTTTGCATTTTGTGACTTTTGGTTACTGGTTCACTGTATATGTCGTCTAGTATATAGTAGTTTTTCTTTTCTTTTTCTTTTTATTTTATTTTATTTTCTTGAATATCCTGAGTGTAAATTTGGCCAAAGACACAAATCAGCGATAATGCAATCAATCTCTTCTGATCAACCAACCATTCGCACTGCATCCAAAAAATGAGGCCAGCATTGGGCAGCAAACCTCGAAGCTTCACATTGTCGGTCCTTGAGTTGTCCCGGTGGGACTGCGAGGAAAAAGCAAAACAAACCGAGGGGAAAACAAAGACGAGCAAAAAAAACATCTCTAGCCTGTCGTTGAACAACACACACCGACTTGGCCGGTGTCTGGCTGTCCCATCTTCTCTTTTATTATTTCATCGTTTATTCGAGTCTATTTTCTCCCTCTCTTTTATTATTTACGGTCGGGTATTTCTTTGCTGGATGAAGCAGAGGTTCGTCTGCCAAGTTCCCTTGCAAAAAAAAAAAAAAAGGAAACCCCGGATCTCTTATTCTTCCTTGCGTGACGCTTGGACCATGATTGAAACTAACTGATCGATCATCGTCCAGCATCATCAGATCAAGTGCTTCTTTTTTTTAATTAATTTTTTCCCACCCCCCTCTCGATCGCGGGGTGTTCTCGTCTGGCCTGGTCCTTGTTCCTGCGTGGAGCTGCCGTTGCCATCTTGCCCTCTTTCGCGTCGTACAGCAGCAAGCAGTTTATCGCCCGCCCGGTCATGCTTATCGTTGCCTGCGGAGGAAAATCAGCTGGATTGAAGGACCATAATAATTAATACCTACCAAGCGGGGGATAGCCAGGAATACAAACCACCTGATAATTGAGCGAGCTAGGACGGTGGCTATCTACTATACTGGTTCCTCATTTGGTTTGGGAAAAGGGAGAGAGAAGTTGGCATTTTTCACTGCAAGGACGGCATCCAACTTTTTTTTCTGGTCATTCTTTTTTCTCTCTTTCGCTATATTCGCCGACGACCCTACGTTCCTTTTTTTCCCCGTTCCTTCTCCTCGCCCTGCACGGCTCATACGGCATACGGCATACGGAGTTGTCGTTCTCTCGATCGAAGAAGCGCTGCCTAGTCTTAGTCCCTGTGGAAGGTCATGTACAACACGTCTAGAATTCTGACTGCCTACGGAATACGCTCATTTGTTATAACAATACGGTCGTTTTAAGCAATACTTCACAATGGTCAAGTCGGACGTCCGGAGGGACTACTATGCGGACCTGGGTCTTGCTCCCAGTGCAGAGTCGGAGGACATCAAAAAGCAATTCAGAAAACTAGGTGAGAACGAGGGAGCAGTTTTGAGGATGGTGGGCTAGATGGAACGACCGAAACTGACACTCTACCAGCTCTCAAATACCACCCTGATAGGAACCCCGGAAAGGAGCTGGAATTCAACGCCAAGTTTCAAGCTATCCAGGCGGCCCATGAGATTCTCGGTGACCCCCAACAACGGTTGAAATACGACACGGATCGCTTGCGTGCTGGGTATGGCAAGTTTTACGGACCCCCGAAAGCGAATACCTCTCGAAAAGCCCCGGCAAACCCCTACACATCTTCGCCCACTGCGAAAGCCCAAAGTCAGAAGCCATTCCCCGGTCGTCCTACGTCGTTCCAAAATGGCCCGTCGACCGGTGCGCAACGATATGCAAGCTATGCGCGAGCAGCGCCCCAGCAATCGTGGCAGAAGAAGCAGGATGAGGGACAAACCAGGGCTGATGCGTTTCGTGGATTCCAGGATATGAAGGGTAATGCGAATATGCCCGGCTGGGCTCAATTCGACCCCCGGACTGGACGATCAGGCCATCCAGGTGCCGCTCCCCGTGCTAATGCTACTCCCAATGGACAATCTGCGAGGCCCAAATCGGCCTATGAATACTTTAAGACTTCCCCCAAAACAGCAGGTCCGGATCCATCTCGTTCGCAGTCGACGAAGAAGAAACAAGGATTTGCACCACGGGGTGCAGGTGGTGATGAGCCCATGGCCACGAATACTTCGGCATATAGCAATACCCCTCGGGGTGAGCGTTTTCAGGCATCGGACCCGTTCTTTGAATCCGTTCCTTCACCGACCGCGAGGAAATCAGCTGCAGCGTTTGGAACTCGACGTGCCCCGGATCTGGAAAGGTCCAGCAGCAAGTACGCCACCTCTGGGGGTGAGAGGACCTTCTTCTCTAGTGCCGGGCTCGGGCGTTCTCCAAGTGCGCGCGCCTCCCCTGGGAGTCCCAAGTCTCGTTCGCGGACGAACCCATCCAGCCCATCATCACCGCGGAGCAGTAGGCATCGCAGCGCAAGTCCCCATACCAAAGCAAACAGAGACCGGGCCTTTTCTTCCTCAACAAGCTCCAGTGATACCGAGGATGATGGTTTGCATCCATACCGTAAACCAAAGGCAGTCCCTAAAAGCAGACTCCGGCCCAATCAGAAGTTCGCCGACTTTCGTCCCCAGCAAGACTGGAACCCCGGAACTGGTGAGCATCCTTCCTCTACCCGTTCCAAGCACCAAGGCTCTCGGAATTCCTTTTGGACACGAAGTCGTCTGGACGACTGGAGACCACGGAGCGTCCAGGAGTACGTCTATTACTATTCAGTTGCTGACCGAGATTATGTGAAAGGCCATGATTCGGATAGTGCTGCCTCCCCTAGGAACGTATTTGCTGGAAAATACTCGTCTGGACCTAAGGATCCATTTGTTAGGTATGATATTTCTCCCTGGTTTACTTGTTTTGAAGACTTGGGCTGACAGTATTTCTTTAACATTTGCAGCTCATCCAAAAATGCTGATGTACCACAAAACGGAACCTTCAAAAGCAGTAGCCATGGAAATCTGCGCACTGAATTTTCTGCACAGGATTGGCAAGGTGCTTTTCAGCAGGGATTTAGTTTCTTTGCCCCAAGCCCGGCAGAGAAAGATACGAGCCGACCTTCGTCTAACCGTGGGCGAACTGCAGCCAGGAACCCTGCCTGGGCAGGCCAGTCGGCGGACTCATCTAGCCAAGGTTCTCCACGCCCTGCATCGACTTCTCAACAGCCTACTCCTTTCACCGACATGAAATTCTCGGCAGATGACTGGGTCGAACGGTTTAAGAATCTCTCGTGGGCTGTACCCAACACCGATGGAGCCAAACCGAAAGCGAACCCTCAGCCTTCAAGTTCAAGAAGCCCTAAGAAACAGACGAGACACACCAAGTCGCGCTCGGTTCCGCAGTCAGCCAGCGTCTCAACGGAGGCTGATGAAGCAAAAGCCACCGTCGATGGTGATAGTGGGCGTGATTCGAGTAAGGGTGCTGATGGAGATGTGGAGGCTATGGATGTCGATGATGAACGCCCTGCCAAGAACCTTTCTCCAAACTCAAGACCAAAGAAGACTCCAGGAAAGAGAAGACAATCTAAATCTAGACCGTCATCAAGCGAAGATAGCAAGGGAAAGAGTCCCAAGTCGAAGTCGAAGCCGAAGAGTCACTTGTTCAGCATGAAGAACCTCGAAAAGACAGTGCCGTTTACAAACACGAATAGTGGTGGTATCGATGATCTGCAGGATATCGAAGCGACGCTTCCGTCCGAATCGCGGGCTAAGAATCCAACTACGACGATTCGAGATATTCGTCCCCGAGAGCTGAACTGTCCGAACCCACCTCGACGACCTCGACGGCCGACATTGATTCCCGTCAGCGCAGGGTCCCAGCAATTGGCCCTACCCCGGAATGCATGGGACCGGTACGTGGCTGAAATGAACACGTACATGCGGGAGTGGAATGACTTTAATCGACGATTTCTGCGCCATTTCAGTGCACGACAGGACGCCATTGAGACCGGGTTGGCTCCGAACTGGATCAACTCCGTGGGAGACTCGGCCCGGATCAAGATCGACGGACAAGATGATCTAGATGATGGCAACACGAAAGGTGATGGCGATGAGAGTGACGAGGAGCTCGTGTCTGGCAGTGCCAAGGGAGGCTACAGTGCGTATCTACGCGGATTGGAAGAAGATGTTAAAGTACGGAAGCATTGGGAGGTAGCATGCGAACTGCACCAGGAGTGCATTGTGGAACTGGGACAGATGCGGGAATGGATTCTCAATGGAGGGAAAGTTGTGTAAGGCCTTATGATGCACATGGCCTTTTGTTTTGCATGGGATACGGCGTTGGTTGGACTGAGTGAGCTTTCTCCACTGCATGATGGCAGACCTGTACTATACTCGACAATACCCTTTGGAAATTTGGGTCATTATTATTAGTTTTTTTTTTTCCTCTCTCGTTAGCCTCCAGATGGACAGACGATTATAATAGACTGACATGATTCGCGACTATCAGCCCTATCTCAAACCCTCTGCCCGGGCCCTGAGCCCTAGTCCGATACCGGATTCAGCCTGACAGCCTCAGGCCGCCACTTACCGGAAACGGCAGGCCCCCGCCAAATGTCCCCCGCTGACTGGGAAATACCAGCCATGACCGGGTCATGACGATTAATACAACTGGATTCGGGTGGCTTGCATCATTAATACCAGGCCCCAAACGGTACTGTGACACTGAGTCACGGGGAGGAAAGAAAAGTTGCCCTCCGCATTGTTCCTCGTCGCCCTCTTCTTCCCTTCTGTTTTCCGCGTCTTTTTTTGCTTTGGGATTCTTGACGGCTCGCGAATTTTTTTCGCTGCTGCTCCATTTGTATTGGTAAGATGACTCTTGCTGTTCTTTTCCCCTTTGTTTCGCTTTGGCCTGGATTGCTCAATTGTTGTTACGTCTTCATTTTTTTGGAGGGGCATCTGGTCCCTGTACCCATATTAACCCCGCCCTTGAGAACTAGCTGACATTTATTATCTAGTACAGGCCAATTGGTTACGGATATTCTCCGACGAAGTAACAATTAATCGCGAGAGATATTTCTCATATCAACGCATTCATCATGACTATTTCAATTGTTTTGGGCGCCCAATGGGGTGATGAAGGTGGGGGAATGAATTCCTTACGATCCCGATCCCGATCCCGACTATTATCGTCTCAAGATGATATATATGATGCAATCTACATGATGAACGCAGGAATGCTGATGCGCGGCTCTTTTTTTCCATATGAATAGGAAAGGGAAAGATTACAGACATGCTCTCGCAGCAGGCTACACTTTGTTGTCGTGCCGCTGGCGGCCACAGTAAGTTTTCGCTTTTCACCGGAGCTCGCCCGCTCCCGTTTTGATATCAGGGCCCTGGTTCTTATTGTTTGCGCTTTTCTTATAGACGCCGGTCACACCATTGTTCACGGCAATGTCACCTATGACTTCCACATTCTCCCTTCCGCTCTCGTCTCGCCGTCGTGTATCAACCTCATCGGTGCCGGAACCGTGGTGCACGTTCCCAGCTTCTTCAAGGAATTGGCCGCTCTCGAAGAGAAGGGCTTGAAGGGTGCCAGTGAGCGTGTCTTCATCTCTGACCGTGCTCACGTCTGCTTTGACTTGCACTCTGTCGTTGATGGTCTGGAGGAGGCCGGCTTGGGTGGTCGCAAGGTCGGCACCACCGGTAAGGGTATCGGTCCCTGCTACAGTGACAAGGCCGCTCGTCGCGGTGTTCGTGTCGGAGAGATTCTGGACCAGGAGAAGTTCGAGCGCAAGCTGCGCACTTTGGACATTGCCTACCGCGCACGTTACGGCGAATTGGCGTACAATGTCGAGGAGGAGATTGCTCGGTTCAATGTAAGATATGCGAGGAGAGATGCGGCTTGTTCTTTGGATATACTGACCCATTTATGTAGGAATACCGCAAGCTTCTTGCCCCTCACATTGTCGACCAGCTCGCCTTCCTTCAGAAGCACAAAGACTCTCCCAACACCTTGGTTGAGGGTGCTAACGCACTCATGCTTGACCTCGACCACGGAACCTACCCCTTCGTGACCTCCTCCTCCACCGGCCTGGGTGGTGCCATCCAAGGCCTTTCCCTGAACCCCTCCAAGATCACCTCTGTTATCGGTGTTATCAAGGCATACACCTCCCGTGTGGGCTCCGGTCCATTCCCCAGTGAGCAGCTCAACGCCGATGGTGAGAAGCTGCAGTCTGTCGGTAGAGAATTCGGTGTCACCACTGGCCGCCGTCGTCGCTGCGGTTGGTTGGACCTTGTCGTCTGCCGCTACTCCCAGGCTATCAACCACTACACCGCCCTCAACCTGACCAAGCTCGACATCCTCGACGACTTCGATGAGATCAAGGTCGGTGTCGCTTACATCCTCCCCGACGGCACCCGTACCGAGTGCTCGTTCCCCGCCGATTCCGATCTCCAGGAGAAGGTCAAGGTCGAGTACGTCACCCTCCCTGGCTGGAAGAGTAACACCATGGGTGCCCAGAAGTACGAGGACCTCCCCGCCAACGCCCGCGCCTACATCGAGTTCATCGAGCACGAACTGGGCGGCGTCCCCATCAAGTGGATTGGTACTGGTCCTTCCAGAGACCACATGATCAGCCGCGAGTAAGAGTACGAATAGGAAGAAACGATAACAGACAGCACTCGAATATGATACCATACCCATCAGAGAAGGTATCGCAAGGTGCCAGATAGTAAGGATGTGGTGATAACAAAAAAGCGACTGCTTACTTCTTGATGACCTTGAAAGAGAGGACTTTAGATTTCATCATTCCATGTTTGTTTATATTTTCGAGGATTTATATCGACGAATTTGACGATTTACTATTTTATTTCTATTTCTAGCCTTTACTACTGAGATGATGGGATGGTTGAATGAATGGGTTCTGGGTTGGTATTTCATGAATTATTAGATGTTCTCTTGCTTTTTCTTTCTTGGTTGTTTCTTACAGTGAATAGATTGGTTTATATCCTGTTTTATTATGGCTTTGCAAAGATTTTGAGATAGCTACGAAGCATTGGAGACTGATTTTGGTTGTAATTATTGCATTGTAGATGATTTATCCACATCTATCTAGTATACATTCCGTCAATCAGACATGATATTAATACAAGCATCACAAAATCTTTCGTATAATACAAACAAAAGTAAATCATACACTCAGACACAAGAATAGATGTAAAACACACACACGCCGTTCCAAACAGTGGTGGTGCATGAAATTAAATAAATCCAATATATCCCAAAGTCAAGCAAACAGAGAAGAGAATGTTCTTTTTGTCAACCCCTTATAAGCACACACAAAACGCCTGTCCGATGCAACTTTCGTGTTCTGTGAAGAAAAAAAAATTTCATACTCGGGATGTTGATATCAGCGATGAAAATATGCAGGCATGAACTCTTTGCCGATGGTTGATGTTTTTCTTTCAAACCCAGAGTTTAAAAGGAGTCATCATCGCGGTAGCGACTGCGACGCTGGTCACGGCCTCTGTCGTTGAAAGAGTTGGAGCGACGGGGGAAGTCGCGGCCGCGGTTGTTGCGTGTAAATCGCTGGGATCTATCGTCGAAGCGACCACCCCGGCTGTTGCCCGAGAAGGTTCTATTAAGACCCATGTTGCTGATCATTCCAGACGGGAGGTGTGGGGGTTCGGCGCATCCGTAACCGTCCACAGCCAGCTTGTTCAACGCGTCGATAAGATCTCTCTTGGATCTAAACACGCCCACCAATGTTCCAATATGGGCCCTGTGTGCCCCTTCCTTCAGCTCCTCATCAATTTCTTCCATGGCAGCCTTCACTTGCTCGCAGTTTTCATCTGTTGGGGAGACGGAGCCCTGGCTGATTTCAACCGCGGCAGCTGAAAGGGAGTTGTCTCGTTCGACTGGGAGATCGCCCAGCTTGTCGTTGAATTGATTGAACTCTCCGGGGTGCAGGAAGATCCATCCCTCACCGGTCTTCTTGGCTCGTGCTGTACGTCCTAGACGATGAATGTAGGTTGGTCTGTCGCGGGGAACTCCAAATTGGATGACGTGAGTGACGTCGGGGAAATCCATCCCACGAGCTGTCACGTCAGAAGAGAAGAGTATGCCAGAGCTCGCCTTGCGGAAATAGTCCGCATTCAATGTTCTCTGGTTCTGGGTCAAGCGCGAATGGATTTCATACATGCGGGTGCCCTGGAGAGGATGTCCACTCCGACGATCCCCTGGGTTATTCATCAGGTTGCGGAAGGCCTGGTAGTTGACAGTGACTTGGGCAGTCGAATTCAGGTACACGATGGCTTTGAAAGGTCGCTGACTGGGGTTGTCAATAGCGGCGGCCCTGTAGTTCTTGACAAGCTCGAGCAGGGCAGGCAGTGCATTCTCGTAGCCATTCAAGCGAACAACCTTCTGCGGAACAGCTTGATGGGTCGGAACTTCATCATCCTTCACCGTTTTGACAAACTTGAAGTTTGGCTTCATGGTACGACGGACCATTCTCATGACTTCCCGCGGCACAGTTGCGGAGAACATGAGTGTCTGGCGGTTAACTGTCATTGGGTCTGGAAGCATCTCTTGGAGCTCCATGATATCAGGGGCGAAACCATCGTCCAGCAGACGGTCAGCCTCATCCAAGACAAAAGCTGACAACTTAGGGGCCTTGACACCGCTTCTCGGGTCAGAAAGAATATCCTTGAGTCGCCCGGGTGTGCCAATCAACAAATGGCAACCTTGGTACTGGATACGGCGCAATCCTTCTTGCTTTCTTGTACCACCGACTGCGGTCTGAACGATGACACCAGTGCCCTCAGCCACTTTTTTAGCTTCCACGGCAATCTGTTCCGCCAGCTCACGAGTAGGAGAAATGATGATGCCGCGAATATCAGCAGGTGTAGACCGCCTGGAGCGGCCTCGTTGGATGGACGGGTCATTCATAATATTCTGCAGAACAGGGAGGATGAAGGCGAGCGTCTTTCCGGTTCCAGTCTTTGCCTGAGCCAAGCTATAAAGAAAAAATCCAGCGTGTCAGCTATTTGGGTCTGTCTGGGATTAACAGGAGCCTTACACATCATCGCCTTGCAGAGTCTCATGAATCGTCTGACTCTGGACATCTGTCATTGTCTTGATTTTCATAGGACCTGTAATGGTTCTGATGACTCTCGGGTCAATCAGGCCATGCTTCGCCAGATCGGCGAATTCAGTCAACAACTCGCGCGATGCCGGTGCAGAGTCATCTATCTGGACTTCTTGAGCAGCCGCAGCACTGGAGCGAAATGGAGACGAATGGAACAGCGAGCGCTTGATCTGAGGGAGAGCGGAGGTGGATGGGGCCTGCCATCTTGACAGCTGGGGAATCGATCTGGCGTAGAGGGATCGGGGAGCCGATGCTCGGAGAGCCTGTACGACACCGTACCGGCGAACCGTGCCCAGCATAGTGGACTGGAAGGTGATTATAGGATAAAAGAGAACAAGAATTGAATGTAAGAGGATGGAAAACGAAAAATGAAGGGTGATGAAGATGGAGGTGAAGGTGATAAATCTGGGCGGAAGAAAAAAAAAATAAACTGGCGGCAAAAAAGGGACAGAAAAAGTCGAGACTCCGATTGGCCGACACTAGCAGGTGTGTTATAGAGACGTTGCCTTTTTCTTTGCTTTTTCTTTATTTCATGAAAGATATTTATTTGTTATTCATATTAAATGCCGACGAAAATATAAGATAAATAATAAATACATAAATATTTTGCAGTGTCAGTTGGAAAGATAGACAGAAGAACACTTTGTTGACGGCAGTATAGTACAGTATAGTATGGAGTAGGTATACGGTTCGATTCTCAACGCTTTGACAAAGCAACATCGACTCGTTGAATCCTCTACACTAGGCTATGCCAACATATCCTTGGTTCTGTGCTGGCATTGACTTTCTCTGTATAATCTTCATTCTGATACCGACTGGAGACTGGCTGGAGACCCTTTTTAAACCTGATCCTGGTGTAGAAAACGGGTTTCATCGTAGACTCTTTTACCCTGGGAAGTATCTGCTCTTTGCGAGAAACCTACACCGATAAATCAATGCCATAGCTCTGCTCTCGCATTCATCTGAGGCTCAACAAGATCTGGTGTCCGAAGGGGCACTGTTTGGAGTACTTTGGGTATATTGCAACTCGAAGGAGGTCTGGTTGAAAGATCGGTAGCCCAGCCGTACTGCCTTAATGGCTACACCCTAACAGTATGCTGGATATTTGAGTAGTTTCAGGGGAGAGGCTTGTGTTGGGGATGCGATTGATGAGACAAAACATCTCCGTTGGCACAGCCATCGTACTTCAGGTGATCGAATCGAATGAAACCTTCCATGTATGGACTCTGTTTGGGTCTTCTTTGTCCATGTGCTTTGTATCGGTCAATATGTCCTCCCTCCCCCCCCCCCCCTTCCATACCCTCATATGCGAGGGAGATGCGATGACACCCTGTAGAAGATAGTACCGGCATTCCTACAGTTGTGAGGACTTTGTTCATGATGTCTATACGTGTAGAGTTGAACCATTTGGAAAGTTCTCTTGGCCCAACATTCAATAGCGTCTTAGTGGTTTTTCAAAGCCTAAATTTGTCCCACGCAGTATGTCTGAGTGTCACCGTCGAAAGCAGCATGGAAGCTGTGTCTCCCAAGGCATGCATCTGGGTGCCAGGTAGGCCACCAATGATGACATTGAAGATGACTGAGTAGAATTATAATATCACAAAACGACGATATGCAGGTGTAACAACTGAAAAAGAGAGAAAAATCGGAATAAATATTTCAATCGCAAGTCTAGTATGGAAGAAGGATAATCAGCGAAGGGCAGATTATCGTAACCGAGGGCTTCTTTTGGTTTGTGAACCCATATGCTGATCTGTCAGGCCTTTGTATTCTGTCTCTTGCGTAATTCAGGATGACGTGCCATAAATCTGGTGTTTCTGGCTTGCAGAGAGATGCAGAAAGTCGCAAGTTGCGATGCATCGGTAGAAGCCCATCATGTGACTCAGGCATTAGTGCCTTGTGAATCAGGCATCAATGCAAATGCAATGAACAACCCACAGTTCGACAAGGATTTAATGCTCTAACTAATGACTGCAGATTACGCTGCTTATTTCTGGATTTTCTAGATCTCTTCTCTCTATCGCCTATCACTTTTTCATTCTCATTCTGACTGTAGATCGCTTTCAATTCTTCCTTTTTATCGTTTCTGCAGAGTTTTATGGATGACTCATTGTGGTATCCTGTACCTGAATATGACTTGATGAGATTGAAGTTGATGCAATTGAGGCAGATGCAGATGCAGATGGAGAGATTATTGAGCATTCCTGATCAAAACTGTCCATTCTCTCCTATGCCCATTCGCCTCGTATAACTGGTGTATAAAATCACTAAAATGGGATCGACTCCATTCCGGAGATGCAAGCATTAGGGAACATCTCCGGGCTCCATCGACGCTGCTTAACAATCAACACCAACTGCCACAGCTCGCAATCCAGATTGGCCACTGAGCCACCTTTACGCTGGCAGCAAACGGTTCTCTTGCCCAGAATGTCTTTCTCCCGTCGGGGTGTGCTATCATCAATTCTCCCGACTGCTCCACTCCGCCACATCCAGACTTGGTGTGGGCTGGTTCCAGCGATCTGCTTCGAATTGCGGAAACCTTGGATAGCTAAGATGGCCGTTTGGCCTAGGTAACTTTTGCTTTCTCGAGAAGCTTCTCCGAGTCATGCCATTGCTTTCTAATATGAAGTAGTACTGAAATTTTTCTTCGCCTCGCACGCACCCCCCTTAGTTGCAGTAGGACTTTTCTCCTTGGCTGAACAGTATTTAAACACTCAATCCCTCGTGGAATATTTGACACATTGACCCCTCAATTATCCTTTCTTCACCCTTCATCCCACTTGCACATCTATTGCATCATCACATCATGTCCGGAAACAAGGCTCTCTTCTTCAAAAGTATCCCCCAGGGATACCCTGTCCCCGGGCAGGATATCACCATTGAGAATGTTGCCGACGTCGATGCCAACTCTCCTGCTCCCGCCAACGGTGTTGTCTTGCAGTCCCTCTACACCAGTTTCGACCCCTACATGCGTGGCCGCATGCGCGACGCCGAGTCCAAGTCCTATGCTCCCGCTTTCGCCCTCAACAAGCCCATTGACAGCCGCAGCATCTGCAAGGTCCTCCGCTCCAACAATGCTTCTTACAAGGAAGGTGACCTCGTCATCGGCCATGTGCCCATCCAGGAGTACATTGCTCTGAACGGTGAGCAGGTGGTCGTCCTCAGCCCCCTCGAGAACCCTTTGGGAATTGAGGACATCCGTGTTTTCTTGGGTGCTCTGGGTATGCCCGGTCTCACTGCCTACTCGTCGCTCTACGAGATTGGAAAGCCCAAGAAGGGCGAGACTATCTTTGTCTCCGCAGCTAGCGGTGCTGTCGGCCAGTTGGTTGGCCAGCTGGCCAAGCACGAGGGCCTCAAGGTCATCGGCAGTGTTGGATCGGATGAGAAGCTGGACTACATTATCAAGGACCTGGGCTTCGACGGCGGCTTCAACTACAAGAACGAGAAGCCCAAGGATGCCCTGGCCCGTCTGGCCCCCAACGGAATTGACATCTACTACGAGAACGTCGGTGGCGAGCACCTCGAGGCTGCTCTTGATGCCCTCAACAACTTTGGCCGTATCGTCGTCTGCGGCTTGATCTCCCAGTACAACTCCGCCCCGTACCCGATCACCAACATCCACAACGTGCTGGTCAAGCGTATTGACATGCGTGGATTCATCGTCGGTGACCCCGGTTTTGCTCCTAAGTACACCAAGGAGCACCAGGAGAATGTGCAGAAGTGGATCAAGGAGGGTTCATTCAAGAATCTCATTCACGAGACCCAGGGCATTGACAACGCTGCCGAGGGTCTGGTTGGTATCTTCTACGGAAAGAACAAGGGCAAGGCTGTCCTGAAGTTCTAATCTGGATAATCTGGCAAAGATGCTTTGTTTATAGTTTGGATAATATATCATGACGCTAATGAAATCAATGCATGGTGAAAGCTTTGAAATCAACGGTTGAATTTGTAAGCGTACTCGTAGGATAATCGGTTATCCAGTTGACATCTTACCTCATGTTGACGTAGGTTGGCAAATTGAAGTAAAAGTAGATAACAAGTTCGATGCGAAGATAATACTAGCTGCTAGGGCATCATTCATAATAAGCCATCATAATATTGAATTGAGATATCTCTGTTCAGATAGATGGATAAAGGCTTCCGTGACTCCAAAAATATATTTCCGGGGATGAAGCTATAAAAGCTTTAAGATGGACGATTTAGATCAACCAATCAAGAGATAAAGATAGATGTCAAATAATAAGATTCAAATAATCACCTGCATGACCAAGCTACTAATCATATTGATACAATCAACAAATACTAACACCATCCACCGGCAATTGAATCTTCCAGTTTTGCCTCCATTCCAACATCGGCCATTTTCGGCTGGGCGGAGGACAACCGACCAATCACGTCGCCCGTAATGTGATGACCGCATCCCGAGTCGGACTCCCGAGGTTCCAACTTAACCTGACTGGAACTTCATCGACTCTGCATCGCGCCTATATCCAATCCACCAGCGTCGACGAGCAGGTTGTATTTTTTTGAAGAAGACAGTCGCATCCAGCCCCTTTGTTGAAGTACCGTCACATCATGGCCTCGATTGCGCGCCAGACCCCCCTGCTCAGGCAGTCCTGCCTGTCTGCCTTCCGATCGCCGTTGGCTAGCAGAAATGCCGCCGGAGTGTCGCAGACCGTGGCTTTCCATGCCTCTGCCCAGAAGCAGATTCTGCCTCCTTTGCCTCGTGAGTTGGAACCCCCCTTTTGCGGCTGTTGGAGGGTTATGGGAATTGCGCGGTGTGGTGGTGATGGATGGAGGGGGTTGCGGATGGATAAAACCGTTGCTTTTTTCCGGGGTCGAAAATGTCACGAGGGGGGAAGTTCTGACAGACTTTATGCTAACAATATTGTTTTTACAGAGACTGTTGAAGGAACATGTATGTCAATCCAATGCTATTTCCCCTACTCCGCTGTATCCGAGACGAAGCACGCAAATGTTATGTTTGGTTGGACAGGGCGACGACACCTGAACAGCCATGACCCGCGACATATCAACCAGCCATGAAGAAAGGAAACGGATTATTGACTTTGGATCTCACCAGTGAACGACCCTGCTCCTGTTCCCGAGCCTCACCCTTCGCACGGTAGCTACCACTGGGTTTTCGAGAGGTGCGTTTACATCACCTGCTTGTTCTTTTTCGGAGATATTATTCGGGATATATTAACCCTTTTTTCGCCCTTTATAGAGCCGTCTGTGTCGGTCTTGTTCCTCTCACCATTGCTCCCTTCGCTGCTGGATCGCTCAACCCCGTCACTGACGCCATCCTTTGCTCCCTGCTCGTCGTTCACTCCCACGTTGGATTCGAGTATGTTGCGACCTGACCCATTTCCCCGCGACAATCAAATTCGAATGTATACTTACTTCCTTCACAGCGCCTCGATCACCGACTACTTCCCCGGAAAGCGTGTCCCCAAGACCAAGACTATTTTCAGCTGGCTGCTGCGCGGTTTCACCCTCACCACCGCCGTTGGTCTGTATGAATTGGAGACCAACGACGTTGGTTTGACAGAGACCATCAAGCGGGTGTGGAAGGCATAAAAAGCCACAACAAAATACCATTTTCCATTTTTTTGAGTTTTAACTTCTCGTCCGTTTTCTAACCCCCCCCATTTTCCTTTTATACTCGTGTGTTTGGTCGGATTTTCCCAGGCGTCTGCCTATGTATATGTTATCTTGTTCTGTGTAGCCACCGACTCTTCTGGTGTGATTCTACGTGGTCTCATTTGTTCTCTTAGAAGAAAGAAAAAAGAAATGTACACTGCGTGTGAAAGACTTTAGCACAAACGAACTTAATTGATAGTTAACTTTACTAGATGAAGACTAATCAACGATATCACTATTGTTGCCATTATATCAAGAAGTGGATTCATAGGTATCTGTGGATTCAGAGTCCGTCTGATGGTTCTCGTGGTATTCAACGGCAGATCCATGGTCAGACTCTTGACTTGATTGATGGCATGATGGCATGATGGCGTTTGATAGCCTGTCTAATGTTGGCTGTTTTTAATGTGGAAATGCGAGTCAAGTATATAAGTATCTCAGTTGGCTTGACTTTATACGAGTCGATAGACTTCCCAATATCACATTTGAAGTCTTGAAGCTTATCCTTATGCTTAGAGAAGTGGGTATCCAAGTAGCCTTGATTGGATCGTAATTGACAGACTGTCCTAGCAACCTCTTGTTGTGCCCTTAAGTCCTGAGCTATGCCCAAATATCGCCAGCAACCCTTGATACTGGGCACGAAGGATGCTTGGAATTTTGGTCTTTTTGACATAAGCTTTTCTTGAGGAAGTATGTTCATGGTGGCTCTTTTCTGGTATGGGTATGATTTAGGCAGATTGGTCTTAGTCGCCGGTGGTTGTGATAAGAGTTTTTGGATGCCTATTATTTCATCTTTTATCTTATTTCCGGGCGAAAATAAACGAAGAATGAAACATAGAGGGTAGTACTCCTTCCACACCCCTATCGATCTATACCAGCCCTCTGGATCAAGTGTATGGATCGGTAGGGGTGTGGCAGGACTACTTCCTAAGAATAAGATATAATGATGATAATTTCTACTCCTCTTCCTCTTCTTCTGACAAACCAGCTTCACCATCCAACTGATCATCATCATCCGCCCTGCGAATGACCTTTTCAATAACCTTCAATGTCGTCTTCAACGGCAACCCCACAACATTATCATAGCTCCCATCAATCCTCTCAACAAGAACCGACCCTAACCCTTGTATTCCATATCCACCGGCTTTATCCACACCTTCTCTTGTTCGTACATATGCCAGGATCAACTCATCCGTGACTTCGCTATCAAACCGCACCGATGTTTCCTCAACGGCCGACTCAATCGCATACCCAGGCTGTCGCGCACTCGCCAGCGGCGCCATCGCAACAACAGCCGTGTAAACCTTATGATTCTGCACGTTGCGCAGCGACTTGAGCATGGAGATGTGATGCGCCTCGGAGCGGGGTTTTTCGAGAATTGATCCGTCCGACACATCCACGACGACCGTGTCCGCCGCCAGAATCAAGCCCGGTTCGCCCTTTTCCTCGTTGTCAATTTCCTTCCCGTATACTGCCTGCGCCTTCTTAGTTGCTGTGGCGAGGACGTATTCGAATGGAGCCATTGTTTTGGGGAAGTCTTCGTCTGCGTTTGAAGGGATGATTTCGATGGCGGGGAGGCCGAGGAGGGACATGATCTGGCGACGGCGGGGAGAGGAGGAGGCTAGGATAACGCGCTTTGAGCGGAGTTCATTGAGGACGGGGAGGGCGAGGGGTGGTGGTCGAGGGAGGGATGCTCGAGGGTTTGGTTTGGCATCATAGGCTGGTGGGGGGTCGATGTTTTCCGCTTTGGCGAGGAGGGATTCTTTTGATTCGGACATTTCGGTGTTTTGTGTATTCCGGTGTTTCTGATATATAGGGACAAGTAATCAATAGAGAATAAAAAGAGAGAATAAAATAGGTCGTAGTCTAATGAGGGATCGTTTGTTGATCTTCAGTGACTGCAGTTTAAACGTGATGATAGGTGGGGCGGTGAACATTGGCAGATCATTTGATAACGCGGCCTGGTGGGGTGATGAGCATGAGCATTGCTGCAGTTGTACGCCGGTAGTGTCAGTGGCATGGCAAAATTGCAAAAGAATAACATCCATAGAAGTGTAGAATATCCAGTAAAAATGCTATTATGTGAATAAAGATGTAAAATGAAAATGGCGATTTTCAAAGCTGTATATCCAACCAGCCCCTGATCAAACTGTTCCCCCGCCCCAAATCCAAACGCCAGTTCCCTGCCAACGAAAACAGAAAATATTGTAGTAAAACATTCCTCCATGTGAAAGAGCCGAATATAATCATAAGGCAAGTCATACCGCTATGTATATGACGTGTTGAGAGTTGCAGGTCATCCAAGACCCTCGAGTTGATGCAAGTTTATCCAGGACGCCTGGTAGAACAGGTGAAAAGTATTAAGATGAAACAGTAGCACACGATAACCTATCAAAGCACAAGGATTTTCATCCCTGATACGAGGCCAAGAAGAAAGAAAAGCAAAGGTTGTAACTATGGCCTCGGTGTTCGATCGGAGTGCAAGCCTAGGGAGGCGGCAAACCCGAACCTCGGCATGTTGCTTCAGGCAGCACACTGCACACAGCACCACCAGAAAGGCCATTATTATCAGGGTCGAAAAGAGTCATCAATGCGACCGCCTCTGTTCTCGATCTCAGCGATAAGATCATGTCGTTCTTGTAATTGTAGACGCATAAAGTCCACTGTTTTCTTCAGCACAATGCTCTCACTTCGGCCTTGGCCCTCAAGGCCCGGAACTAGTTCTGTAAGGCGATCAAATCCCTCCCGAATGGCAGCGCGTCGTTTCTGCTCCGAGGCGATATGGTTGTTTTTCTTTTCTTGTTCGGTAAGACGTGGCTTGTCTTTGTCCTGCACGGGGGTGGAAGATGCGGCATGCTTAGAAGAAGCAGTTGGGGTCGATGAAGAACGATCGTCGACGTCTTCGGTATTCATTGTGGCTGGAACGGGAGAATATGATGGCTCGGAAGAACTTGATGCAGAAGCAGGTGGCTGCGCAGATGGCATATTGTCTCACTGCCTTGCTTTAATACGACCCAAAGTGGATGTGCTGGTATATAGTAGTTGCCGCCTCCACACGGCGACAGAGCTGTTGGATAGGTGATGCCGAGAAAAATGGAACAACAAACAGAAACACCAGAAACACGAAGAAATTAAAGAACAAAAAGAAGGGATAGAAGAAGAAAATAAAGCAGAGGAATCTCACGAACCCCTGGACAGGTTGAAAACCAGGGGAATGGATGGATGAAGACCCAAAGCAGAAACGGAACCGAGACGGACGAAACTACGGATCGAAGGGAAAGAAAGAGGCGTTTGATGCCTCAGGCACATGCGGAGTGAGAAAAAAAGAGAGTCGCCAAGAGCTCTGGATCCGCTGGCTTGGCATCTTCACGTCATCGAATGCCACCAACTTTCTTTTCTTCCAGCTTCCCCTTCGATGGATTTCGGTCTTGCTAGCGAGAATTCGATCTTGGATGGAGTTGCTCCGAGAAACTTCGTGTTTCATTGTCTCCCTTCCTCCTGTCTTCTTCTCTCACAGAGACAAGCTTTTTGATCAATTGATTCGATTGACGTTCTAGTTCGATCAATGATCTCATACTTCTAAACCAGATCTCTTATTTCTTGGTTGCTCTCCCTCATCACACCACCAACTTACCAACTGCCAATATGTCCACCCTCGAACCTCTTCGTGGTTCTTGTTCATGCGGTCGTAATGAATATAGGATCACAATCCCAAACAATGTATCAGACCATGCTCAAATCTATTTCGACAGCAGTAGGGATAACCGTACGTCATTCCTGGTCCCCACCCCTCTTTTGATGCCTGCTAATGCCTTGACTACCTGACAGGAAGATTTCATGGGACCCCCCTAACTGCATGGCTACGAGTTCCCTTGAACTGGTACCAATCTCATACTCGATCCTTTTTCCCGGATGAAACTCATAGCAGCATCCGTCGTATCTTTACCCCCCACCACGCGCCACACACGAAACGCATCTTCTGCGGATTCTGCGGGACACCTCTTACATACTGGACTGAAGATCCCCAGGAGGAATCGGAATACATGTCGGTGACGGTTGGAAGCCTCTATGGTGATGATCAACGGGCGCTGGAATATCTGAACCTCCTCCCTGAATCGTCGGACGAAGAAGAGGAAGAGGAGGACGAGGAAGCCCCGGAGGTCGAACCAGCAGGGTCTGTCACCAGAATCCCTGCATCTTCATCTCCCCCTCGTTCTTCAGTAGTCGTGCCATCGTTTGGAAACGAACCGAGCATTTCCCGAAGATACAGACATGGCACTGCTGGTGGTATCCCGTGGTTTGAGGAGATGGTTGATGGAAGTCGGTTGGGTCGTCTGCTGAAATCCAGACGAGGTGTAGGCGTTAGTGATGACCGGGCAACAAGGGTAGAATGGGAAATTAATGAGTGGCGCGATGATGGAGCTGGCGAAGAGGTTTATGTGCAGTCCTCGTCCTCAAGCCACAGCACCGGAAAGAGGAAACGTGGGCATCGCGTTGAAGTGGAGGAACTGGAGTAATAATGGCTAATGAAGGCATCTTGATTTTGAGATAAATTTCTAATTCACCTAATGATTCGATTCTGACCAAAACATCTGTTCCATGTAGTATAAACATTCTTCATCTGTGAGCCAGACAGCCGCTCGGATATCTTCGTATGTTACCTCTATCTGAAGCCCTTCTACGTAGTCACTAATTCGGATAACCAGCCTTATGGACAAAAGATTATGATCTATTTTCAATGGGAGTGACCCTTGATACCAGAGAAAAGGCATACCACGACCTGCCCAAGCCCAACGCTTTCGAGGACATAACAAACCTCTTCTTGATATATGTACAATCCAAGAACAGTATACATCTAGATAGCCTTCAAGACTAATTTTCAACCCATATCTCATTCCCAAAGCATCTAGACCCTATTTTTCACCCAGAAAAATGCCCTTCTAGGCAAACATGACAGTAAGAGAAGGCGGGCTCCCTCTTTCACAGACCTGGGTTCCCAATTGGGAATCGCCTCGCTTAGCGTGCCTATATCTGTAGCACCAGTGAAGGGCGCCTTTGTCTGCTTTCGCACTCTGAACTGTTTTGAAAAAATGAATCATCCTTTCCTCTTCTTCCCTTTGTAAAGAATCCTACTTTCTCTTTATTCTTTGGTGATTCTATCCTCTTGATATGTTTATCTTATTGTCTTGATTCATGGCACATGATTGTCTTTTGGATTCTATCCCATATCGACAGTGTTTTGATGAAAGAGCTCCCCTTTATCAGCCTTGAGGGCTCACTCTACTGAACTCCAGGATAGGAAGGATTGGATTTGGAATATCTCTGCATAAACCTTTTATCTATATCCATGTAAGACCCAAGTTTCCTATGTTTGCTGCGATATCACAGTGATGACCGGCGTCGACAGTTCAGCTCTCTTCAGAGTAACGACGCCTCCACAAAGAGGATATCTGAAGAGCCACTCCTAATACTTCCCCTGAAGCCAGTGAGAGTGCTTATATACAATGAAGGGAAAAGACAAGCCTGTGAAAAGTAAAAAGTCTGCCCCAAACTTGAAGAATCGAACTCTCTCTGGTCCTCCCTTGTCGAATCCAAGGTTACCACGGTTGCCAGAAATAAAGAGCAAACCTTCTGCACCCAATCTGAAGAATAAAGGTTCAGTTCCTAATGTCAAGAAAAGAAGCACCTCCACGTCTGTGCCTGAGGACGAAAAACCACCCCGGTTACTGCATCCTTTCGGACCCCCCCAGGACCACAGGGCTAAATCGAATCAGGTACAGGATGGCCCAAGATTTATGTCCGTGTCGAATACTGAAGAGATAAAACCGGTAGAATACCGTCGACCTCTTAAGCGATATGGCAAAAAGATCCCAACCATAATGGGAATTACCCCAACCAGAGTGAGAAGACGAAAGGTTGATGTAAAGGAGTCAAGACCTAAGAGGATCCTCAAAGCCTTGAAGCACCCGGGATTCAAGACGAAATGGAAGGGTGCTGTCGACCATTTCATGAAAATGAAAATGGTCAAGCAGATGAACGGGTGTCTCAGGGCTATGCGAGTCGAGGAAGAGAAGAAGGCTTTGGAAGTTGAGGTTTGTCAAATTCCAGTTTCTCTATGGCATGAAGAAGACTGATAATTAGGCTGCTTTCAGTATAAGCCACTATATCGTTTGAAGGAAGTAAGAAGGGCATCGGTATTGTACGACAACTTGCCCAAGCCTAGGAGAAGGCCTTTGTCAATCATGGGTGTAAGTTGACATCCTTGAAGGAAGCATTGGAGTTTGTACTTACATGCAGCAGATGGAAAGCGTGAGCATGGATGATCGTCGAAGGCTTTCAGCGCTTTCAATGTACAGTGAAAGACTTGCGGACTCTGATGGGTCTGAGTCGACCTTTTCTCCGGGTGCTAGTTCTGGTCAAGGGGCAGAGCCAGTGAATTTCGACGAGGACTGCTCGCTTCGTGCCTCAATCGTACCCTTCCAAGAGTGGGCGGCTCTTATACGTGACGCAAATCCTTTTTCAGACGAGGTTGCCCAGGAGCCCACCCACACTGATCCCCCCTCGTTTTTCCCTCCTGACAACCACCTTCAGAACCTCCAAACACAACCATTTACAGACGAAAATCCCCAAGACCTACCTTCCCCTACCTCTTCTGAGGTCACCATCACTCCTTGGAACGTTAATTTGACGCCCAAGATGTCTCAATTTCCCGATTCCCCGGCACTTGATCCTTTCATGGATCCTGAGAACGTCGAGGACCAGGAAGCGAGCGCCAGCGTCTCCTCTCAGAAAGGTAACTTGACCTATATCCCAACCCTACGAACTTGAGAAATACTGCAAGCTCCAGACTGTTATCTTCCTCAAAGAATATAGCCCTATCGTGTAGAAAAGTAAAGTCTCACCACAGGGGAGTCAAGCTTCTTCTCACCTGCAGTGCTGAGGATGCTGCCTATAGAGCTTGCACCTTCCTGTGGGACTTTAAAAACAAGTCTCTTCCACTGGATCATAAAACGCTAACGTGCATCTTTCATAGAAACTGTCAAAAACGCCGCTGGTGATCAGAATTCCAGCCTGCCATCCACCCCAGCGAACGCGTCAGCTGAAAAAGGTACGTGTTTGACAGTCTCTTTCAAGGAATTCAACTGACCCATGGCAAGAAGACGCCCACAATGACTGTTTGTCTCAAACAGAAACAGAAGCAGAGCAAACGCCATCTGCTATCAAAATACCAAAGAGATCCCGCGACAGCAGCGGAGGCTCTCGGATCCCTCGAGTTCCTGCTCAGAAGCAAAGCCATGGAGGGTTTGCTACTTCGCAAAAGGAGGCACGAGTCGCGTCAGAGCACCGCAGCTCAATCCCAGTTGCTGTTCGTAGACACAGCGCTGAACAACTGGCTACGCCTCAGAACACTCCAAGTGAAAGGTTCGCTGGGGGAATGAGGGTCATTGAAAAACCTCTCGGTCCCCGTCCACGTCCTGTAGAGACAAACAACCCCGCGGTTCCGGAGTCCATCCAGGAGCCAGCAAAAGAGCCGGCCAGTTCATCTTCGTCCTCCGTGAGCAGCTGGGACCTGGATGATCACGAAGAAGATTTACAGCGCCCTTCAACTGTATTTACTGGAGAATATCGCACTCGCCTGTTCCATAGATCTGGACAGACTGGCTATGGGCCCACACTGAGGGTTGCGGCCAGTGCCGAAAACATTATCATGGGGGCAGAGGACAGCCGTGTCAAGACTGCAATGGTGACACAGAGATCGCCATCATCGTCCGTTCGATATGTGGTGGGGAAAGCCTTGCCTAAGTCTCTGACGCAGCCAAGCGGTCTTGCGAGCCATCCCGTTGGAGAAAGCTCAAATTCAAAGGAAGATGAGAGTTCTCCCGATCATCCTCCAGTCACACGCAACTTCTGCAGACCCCAGGTCTCTATCGAACACATGCCGAAGAGAGACTTCAGCGGCCGAGAGCTATCGATACCGCGCAAGCCTCTTAGCACCAGACCTAGTCCTGCCAACCTTTTTTCTGGAAGCTCTGAGAACCCGGAGTCTAAGAGCACACCCCCTCCTATTCCAAAGGCCTGGATGAATATTGGTGCTGATAGCAATGGAAACTCGTCCTCTGAAGTTAAAGCTGTGGACCCAGCCACGCCCATGAGAGACATATCACAGGATGAAGACCATTCTTCTGGATCTGGTGTCTTAGTCCAGTCAGCCCCAGGTACCGCTGAGAGCACAGCATCTCTTAAGCCGCACCCACCGCGTTCTTCGTCATTGCAGGCTATCTCGGATTTCTCAATGCATTCTGAGTCGGATTGTGTACCTACGGGCCCCGATGAAGCACAACTCAAGGATGCATCTTACCTTAGAAGAAACGTCACATTTGACGACATTGTTGAGGAGAATCCTGATAAAGAACAGGCAGTTCAAAATTTGCACGTTGTCAGGCTTCCTGACTCCAAAAGCACTCGAATGCTTGACAGTTTCCGAAACATTTTCTCCAAAACCAAGAGTGGTGCGGAGAAGGGGCGCGGGAAGAAAGATGAGAGCGTTGAGCCTGCCAGTGCTGCGAGCAAAGACCAGACTGCCAGCAGCACAAAGCGTGCGAGAACTCCAAATGAGAAGATTGATTCGGCTAAGATTGGTCCCAAGACAAAGACCAAATATTCCAAGTTATCCGACGGAGTTGGTTGGAACAAGAATTCGCCTAACCCTAAAAGCTCGGATGATTTGTCGCCTGTCCTCGTTCCGACTCCAGCTTCGTCTTTATCATCCATTCCAGCACCACTTAGTGCCCGAATCCTGCCAGAGGACCGCACCCCATCCTTTGCACGGCCAACGCAAGCAACGCGCACCAAAGCCGCGGTTACTATCAGCTCCAAAAGCTCAGTCCAGGGAGGCCAAGATACACGGAGCCGTAGGGCCCATTTAGTCGCAGCTTCCAATGGTAGCCCACAGCGTGCGGGACGACCTCAGAAGCGTGTCATTTCGGCACCTATTCCAATCCAGAAGAATGCAAACCAAACAAGTTCTGGGGTGATTGAGAAGCCGGGTGCCCTAATCGGCCAGAAGAATGGCACACAGGATGATGGCAAGCCATCCGATTCAGAAGAGAAGAATGTCATTAACATCCGCCGGTGCATTGAATCTCTTTGTAACAAAGCCCGAGATGAAGTGACGCCAGCCAAGAGAGAAAAGTATCTTCGGGTAAGGAGCTCCTTCTGAGCATCACTTTGCTTTTTGATCATTAGCTGACATACATCTCAGTTGGCTTTGTCTCTGCAGCAGCAGATGAGCAACTACAACAGTGTAGACAAGGAGGCTACCGAGGCCGAGGCATTGCTCAATAAGAAGAAAGCTGACAAGGCCATCGCCGAAAATGCCCTGTTCGAATACTTTTCGCAGGTGCAAATGCAGATTGACGAAGAATAAGTGCCTCAAGAGATTTATTTGGACTCACTTTCACGTCATTAGTGAAGTGAAGCGAAGCTCACTGCAATCTCAACAAATCGTCAGCCAATTCTGAGAGACATTTCGAGTTGTCCTCCTTCGAGATCTTTTCTTCTTTTGCACTTTCCTCCCTCTGGAGTTGATTCTCTACCTCGTTCCCTTTTTCCTTTTTACTGCATCTTTATCATTTCCTTTGTTTCTTTAAATCAGTCTTTCCTTCCAGTTCTTTGTTCTCCTCTCATTTCATCTTACAAAAATTACCAAAAAAAGATCAAAAAAAGAAACTCAACCAAAAAAAAAAGAAACCAACCCCCTTTGGTCGTTTCTTAAGTCTACTTTGGCTGTGACGGCACTTGTCAGAGTGCAATTTGTCTTGAGTATCTCTCCTTGTGTCACCTTTTCCTTTGTCTTTCTTTTGTCATTCCGAAAACCTCCAAACAACCCAAAAACAATACAAAAAAAGAAAACGAGAAAAAAAAAGTTTTTGTATGAGTGACGACTGAATGGTTGAATGGTTGAATGGGCTCATGATTATGGATTTTATGTCGAAAAACAGAAAAACGAAAAAGGAGCGAACGAGAGAAGATAGTACCATACCATAGGTAGATAATCTAGCAACCAAGGCAATGAATGATATTGAACATTCGCGAGATTCAAAGCTGTAGTTTTCCACAATCCAGATCATTTCAAAGTGCCCCAAAGGAAAACTACAATGGATTATTTTTAGCTGCAGCATCTTTCTATATTGTCGATCCTGGGTTTCTTCAATGCTGTTCTTCTGGTTTCAAGCTAAATAGGCCAAGGCCTTTGTCGTGCGTCTTTGTCTTTGTCACTCTGAGACTCTAAATAAGCAACACTCAGGATATCTGCTTTAAGCCCTTGAGAATCTGCGTCTCTCCTTTTGATTACACACAGTCAGTCCGAAAGAAAGATATTGCATATATGGTGGGCTCTGCTGACGTTGAAACCCACTCGTCAAGTTTGTTTACAAGTATCACTCTTCTCGATCTTTTCAACTCCAGACTTCCTTAAGAATACAACTCCCCTCTTGTTACCCACACTTCGTCTCCAACTTGCCAGTCATGGGGAAATATCGCAAGAATAGCCAGAGAAGCCAGTCTGGCTCTTATCAGGTTCGTTTTCTGCGCTTTCCTCCTTGAGAAGAGAGTCCTTTCCCCTGATCCAAAACACTCAACCCATCATCACCACACAACTTGGCTAACGAATGCATCGCAACAGGGCAACGTCTTCTCCAACATGACGAACATGGCCGTGAATAATCCCCAGAATGAGAAAAGATCATGGAGAAAGAGAAACCACGTGCCCTCGATTTTCATACAGGACATGGATCGCACCGTTGGAAACCTCGCCTACCTTCCTTTCACAGGAAACCCAGCTCACGGTGGAAGACTTCCAACGCCAAATAACCTCCAGAACCATGCTTTCAACTTTCCCAGCACTTTTCCAACGTACCCTGCTTGTCATCTGGGACCTGGCCCAGCCTTCATGGGATACCAACCCCAGAATGAGATGAACGCGAACGTTATGCCCATGCCCCCACTTCCTCCACGCCCGATTGAATCCGAGCAGGAGCACCAGAACAGACTGTTTCTGGAGCAGTTCCGCTACGCAGGTCAGCAGCAGGTACGTGGATGTCCCCTGTTCTGTTGATGCCCTAAACTGACCATTTTCTTTTCCTGCAGGAGTACGAATCACCCCGTTTTGATCCTACTATCCATGATACGATCAGAAGAATGGAGAGCTTGAAAGTTGCGAGTGAGGCAAGCGCCAACGACAATGCTAGTTCTCCAACTTCTCAGCTTCGTGGAGATGCCCCCGAGTTCGTCCCAGGAAAAAAGGATGACCAGGTTGAGGAAAAAAGCAGAAACTCGGGAAGTCAGTTCTCTTGGACAATCGTCAGCAGTAGCAACAGTGGCTACCAATAGATGTGTCTTTTATTTGTGAACCAAGGTTTGGGTAAAAGACTTGTTGGGCTTTGGCTTTTCTCAGTCTACCTGACTTTATTGGTTCTTCCTTTCTCTGCTTGGGCTACTAAGGCTTTATTCTTTCTTCCCATAGCTATTTGCATATTGCGTTGTGGAGCGGTTTGAATAAACTACCATTCATTGTGCATGGTTATCATATCCTAGTAAACCAAGCTATAATTGTGCTAGTAGCGATAAGTGTCAATGATATATAGTAGTATTGGCTGATAGAGTCATATAGTATTACTAAATCCCATATCGTTCCCTTCATAACTAATACGAAAATCATAAAAATCAAAACAGTCTATAAGGTATCATTCAATGCAAACATGCCGTACTCGTCAATATCTCTGGGCCTCCAATGTCACGTTATTTCTCCAGTACCCAGGACCCTCCGGGGCCAAGGGAGCGTGCTGTATTTTTTCTTCCTCAATAGGCGCGCCAACTCGTAGTGTCAAACCAACCGCAATGCAAACAATGACGACACCAAATTCTTCCAGGACCGACATAACCAGCTGCACTGTCATGTTTCCATTCAAGATATTGAAAGTCGAGTTTGCCAAGAACCAAGCCAACATCGAATAGATGAGACGCACGAGGATGAGCACGGCCGAGATAGCCACGGCCAGCAGTAAGCGGTGTTCGCCCTTCTCAATCTGGGAGCGATGAAGAGTCAAGATGGCAAGGAGGAAACACAACATCGCCCAAGCGACGAGGAAAAGGATCATGCCGATTTTGATCTTTACGTCGGGGTGTTGTAGCGATTCGACGGTCAGGCCGCGAGACAATGCCACGATACAGAGGATCAGGCCGACGATGGTCAAGATGCGAAGTGCTGTGAAGAAGACTTCGTTGATGGGGGAACCGCCTTTTCGTTTGATTGACTCGTTGCTATATGGACCAGGGTGTTAGCGACGTTCTCCATATTATATATCAGCAAGGTAACGGAAGATCTACTTACGCTCGAGATAAAAGGCCACTGCAGGCCATAATCAAGGGAGAGAGTCCAATAGAGCTGCAAATCGCGGTTGCTTGGTATAAACCGGTTGAGGCATGGCTGATAGTCGCAAGATCGCAGCATGCACCGATGATGCGAACTAATGTAAAGATGACGAGGAATAGAGCGCCGGCATTCGTCTTCAAACCATGCCGAAAGACTAGAAATGCTGCAAGAAAGAAAGATGGAAGGTATATGATCAACTCCAGAACGGAGATGCCGTGACTATAGCTGAGACCCATGACTGCGAAGTATTGTAAAGAAGATGTTGTGATGTGTTGTAATGAAGCCAACTTGGGATGGAATCAATCGGGATTATATAGCTGAGCATCATCACTCCAGTCAGACTTTGTAAAAATAGATCATAGATTTTTTTTCCCCCAACACCTACGTTGTTGTGCATGGTGTTTGGCGCCATATTGGAGCACATCTTATCCACTAGCAGAGGCTGTGGGTGGCTGAAGAGTCGATCGATTATAGACTGGCACGATAATCCAGGAACCATCCTTGGTTAAGCAACACCAAGCATGGAATCGTGGATGTCAAACGGTCCACTGCATGTCTTCGAGTCCACAGATGAAGCTTTTCGCACTGGTCACCGAATGCGGTTAGCGCCATCTAAAGCGCCCTTATCTGCCAACGTGGGCGTCTCTGGTCTCGTGATATCTGCGCCTCAATGATTGGGGGCCAGAACGAAGCGCCTCCATTTCCCCAACACTGGCATTAATGAATTTACACTTACCGACCGATGATGGAGGTTGAAGTCACATCCGATTATTGATACAGTTCATCGACACTCAAACCGTGGGGAAACTACGGAGTACTTGGTAACATTTTTATGCTAGATCCTTTCCCCGATCTACAATACTGGTGACAGGTCTGGCGCTATGGTCTATTGTGGGAAGCCAAGCAAAGGGTGCGAATCATGCCGATCAAGGAAGATTCGATGTGACCAAGCTAGGCCAAGCTGTTCGCAATGTATAAGAACCCAGCGTGCATGTCCCGGCTACCGAGACGCATTATCTTTAATGTTCCGAGATGAAAGCCAGGATGTTGTCCGAAAAGCAAAGAAGGCAAGCCCACCAGGTCGAAGCCCCAAGACATCGAAGAAAACATCTCGCGCTCCCTCCCCAGTTGGGAGTGCTCGCACGGTATGCCCAAGTGGGGATAGTTCGCTGTCAGAAGCAAACACGTCAGCGGGGAGTGTTATATTTTCCGACCCCAAGGACGACTCCCAACTACTGCAGCTAGCTCAGCAGCATTATCGGTGGCGGCAGCCAACATCACCTTCATTTGGAACTGAGCCATCTTATACCCCGACAGATAATGATGCAGTTGGCTTCTTTTTCCGGCATAATATATGGCCAGGTTCATTCTGGATGGTGGAGAATGGGTATGAAATACTCACCCAAACCCGAGGCTCTCCAAGTCAGCGAGCCATGAAGTCAAGCATTGTTGCGGTTGGAACCGCATTGTTATCGCGTACTAGAAAGTCGCCGTCATTGGAGCTAGTCGCAGAGAAGGAGTATGGCTCCGCATTGGAGCATATGGCTGCAGCTGTATCAAATGATGTGGAGGCCAAAAGCAATCCAACACTCGCTTCGGTTCTTTTACTTGCCATATTCGAAGTAAGTTTCTCGACATGTGGATATGGTTTATTATAAACTGACCCGGGGTATTTTAGCTCATTGTAAATAGTTCTGTACGAAGTATAGAAAACTGGACCAACCACATTCGTGGCGCCGTTGGACTACTGGAGCTGCGTGGAGTAGAGCAGCTCCAGACTCCAACTGGGCTAAACCTTTTCGTTCAGTTAAGATATCAAATAGTAAGTATCGCTTGGAAGTTGGTTTCTTCGGGACTCGACCTGACATGCAACAGATCATTAGTTGCCTACAAAGAGACTCTCATGTGCCTGAAAGCCTTGTTGAATGCTCACGGGTAGCAATGTTTCTCCGACCACAGACCCAAGCATATGGAGACCGTCTGATAAAGATCGTTATCAGAATATCAAACCTTCGCGCTGATATCAAATTGAAAATCCTCACTGATAATTCAGAAATACTCCCACTTGCTTATGCGATTGAAGCTGATTTGGTAGCTTGGTTGGCTTGTTTGCCTCCCATATTCCATTATGATTTACTTGACACTACATTGTTAGATTCCTGGAGTCAGTGCCGTGGAATACATCCTTATGGCAACCAATACCACAGCTACCGCGACTTCCGGGTAAGCAATGTATGGAATCAGTACCGCTGCGCTCGCATTCTAAACTGCGAAATCATTCTGAACTGCCTCGGAAAACTCTCTTCCAAGTCAGCTACGGGATGGTCCACCGAGCTCAAAAGCCACATGAGCAGCCTTCGCGTAACGGCCCGGCAAATGGCCATTGATATCTGCGCCACCATTCCGTTCCACTTTGGTGCGGGCGCGCCAAACGACTCCGAGGAATCATTTGTCCCTGACAATGAGAGCTATATTGGCGGTCTCGTCATTCAATGGCCGCTATTCATAGCCGCGGCGTCCGAAGCAAAGAATCACCCGCTTCGCAAATGGGTGATAGGCTGTTTGAAGGCCATAGGACACACCATGGGTATTAACCAGGCCTTCGCCGTGGTGGATATAGTCAGGACGGCAAAGGGGTTTTTCGATAAAACCGACCAGGAAGACAGCCTGTTTATCGAGGATGTACTGAGAAGCGACGAACTGACGGAAATTTTGGGTCAGCAGACCTCACCATTGGATTTTTGATTTTATTTTTTTTCTATGTAATGGCTGTTCATAAGCCATGGGCGTATATAACACAGTACACAAGGTTGGGTTGGGTATATGTTGGCGTTTGGATTTAAGCCACCGGCACACATGTCACGAATGATGAGAGTCTACTACATTGAAATGAATTTGCATTGCATCCATCATACAAATTACGCCATTATCACCATAGCCTGGCAAGGCAGTAAATGCACACATGCCATGCCACTCAGGCAGTCAGGCCCCGAACCATGCAAAAAATGCCTTACTGTTCGCTCGCATCCATTGCCAATACGGAATGGGCCAGGGCTGTGCATACAACTCCGCCTTGCCAGAGTTACGATTGCAATTCTAGAACCACCCAACATCTCCCTATCTCCACCCCTGTAAGAAAACCCTGTCTTATGCAATCAATCACCCCACTATAAGATATAATTTATTCATTTTTCTTCCTGTGCCCCGTACAGCCTTATCGCCTGCATACTACATAGTGGCAGTGAATGCGAATAGGGGGGGTTCGGGGTAGTTGAGACCCCGTAGGGCAGGATTCAGCCTCTTTTTTCATCAAATTTTGTCGCGTGTAAAATGTTTCATAGGTTATGGTGTGGATTAGGTGGGGTTACACTAAGTGTTATTCCCTTGGATGTACGGAGTAGTCATGATGAGTATGGTTTTGGAGAATACGATTTTCTGCCTTGGCTCTCTGCCTTGGCCATTACCCACAGTAGGTTTAGTATGTTGGTTTGGGTTCTTGATGATATAATGAATATATAGATGGTATATGGGTTCAGATGAAGGGATTGAACTATTATATACTTTTCTGAAGTGTGGTTTCTGCCCTAAGAACCAATTTCTTGTATCAATTGCATATGATACGCATCATACATTGCAAGAAGCTTTTTTGCCATCACCATTCCTTTTCTAGACAGATCACCATCTTCAAGCTGTCAATATCGCCTCTGCAGAGATCCACATTCAACTCTACTCCTGCTTTATCGATCAAAACAGTATCATCAGAACATCAACACCATGGGTCATCGACATTCGAAAATGAGAGACAATGGATCCGTTTCCCAGGACTTCATGTTCCCCAATCATCCGCGTGAATTAGGAAAAGGATTCCAGAAGCAGGCTCCCAATGTCCAAGCTCGCAATTTGTGGTCTCCCCCACCTTACTCCGCCCAGCCTCCTCCGGCTTCAGGGATTTCAACTGGAGGGGACTCCCCTTACGCTTTCCTGGGACAGTTTGATACCGTCTTCGTGGTAGATGATAGCTCCAGCATGAAGGGTCGACGATGGAAGGAGGCCGAGGATGCCCTCTCGGCTATCGCGCCCATCTGTACCCAGTACGACAGCGATGGGATTGACATTTACTTCTTGAATCATCGACGAGCGTCCACCAGCGACACCACAGGTGCGTACAATAACATCACGACAGCCGCAGACGTGCAGGAGATCTTCAACAGCGTGGAACCGCATGGGGCTACCCCAGTCGGAAATCGACTGAATCAGATCCTGCGGCCATATGTGCGTCGTATGGGGAGAATGGCAGTTGCGACAGATGACAATGGGGAGTTGAAGGACAAGACGTTGTTTGTAAAGCCGCTCAACATCATCGTCGTCACGGATGGCGCGTTTACAGATGATGCGGAGGTCGTCATTGCCAGCGTGGCTAAGAAACTGGATATGTACGAAGCTGAGCCATGGCAGGTTGGGATCCAGTTCTTCCAGATTGGGGATGATGAAGGTGCTCGCTCATATCTGCAAGAGCTGGATGATGAGCTGGGCAAGAAAACACGCAATGAGAAACTGCGAGACATTGTCGACACAGTGCCCTGGAAAGGGGGGAGGGGCCAGACACTGAGTGCAGACGGGATACTGAAATGCGTCCTGGGCGCTGTCAATAAGCGATATGACAAACGTGACGCGTTCCGTTAATCTATTGTTACGACTCAGTATACTTTTTGTTTTTGTTTTTGGGTAATATGCCCGAGGTCTTTGCCTGGAGTGCGGTGTACATATGGAGTTCCCGGGTTTATTTTTGCTTCACGATTCCGTATGACCTGGACATTAAGATTTTTGAGTATTAGTATAGAATAATAAAAGAAAGAGATCAGCGACTCAATATGGAGTGACAATCCACATTTTGTGAATTAGCTCGACACAGAGTAGCATTGACAGCTGTCTGCATTCTGCAGCCTGCACGACTCGTTGACTGCTTAGCAACGCTCTTATTATTCCTGAAACCGAAACCGATGATTGACCCTTGAATCTGCATTGAACTTTTCCAGTACCAGTCATATTGAAAGCATCTCTTGCATTGGATACGGTTGACACATCACAGGAGGTTGATGTGAAACGCGTTGCAGAAGGCGCCAACTTTGGCGCCCGTGTGGAGTAGGGGATGGATCAACCATGCCAGGGATAAAGGCAGCCGTATAAGCCTATTCAACAGATTTAGATTGCGTTGTTGATAATGCGAAGTTGTTGATATTGATGTCTTGAGACTCATTTTTGCCCTGGCTGGCTGTAGTAAGGATGTCCTGTAGGGTTGTTCCGATGATCTGATCGGTCTACACTCGGAGTCCCGTAGCCCCTGTACAGGATCAACAAAGCTATTGTCCGGATGGCCTGTCAGATGGCGGGGATTCCCTGTCCCATTCAGCTGGACAAGGAACAGAGACAAGTTGACAAGGATGCAAGAATAGAAGGATGAACAAGCGACAGGCGAAAAGCGTCGTGTTCGCAGAATAAACACGATGGTTGCCGGGCACCGCAAAGAGCTAAAGGCGTACCTGCAGGAAAAAAGAGTTGTGGTTGGCGATCGATGATCGGTCAAGTCCGAGAGGGAAAAAGCCAGGAGAATACTCGGATTGGACAGTGACAAATAGCCAATACGCGATAACTAAACTACTACCAGGCTACTACAATTACTATGAAGGCTTAGCCACGACTATCTTAGTATTATTTAAAATCCCTTCATGTGGCCCAAAGCGCAATATCGCACACGTTATTATTCTGTTCTCACGTGGCCCAGCGCAAGTTTTGGTTCTGCTTAATATGATCTGCAAGTTTATTGGATGTATTACTCCGTATCTGTATTACTGTATTTGTCATTCTACCTCTACCTATGAGTATCTGATAAATATTGTAGGACAGAGTGAAGGGAGTACAAGGAATATAGATATCTGAGAATTAATTCATAGAAAGAAATATAAACCTCCTTTATAAATGTTCTGTCTAGAACTGTGTAGGTCAATATGGGTATAACCCTGTCCCTGTTCTGTAAGGCTCGTATTATATTTCGATCCCAGCCACTCGATCTGTCATGGCATTCCTCATCGCCAAATTTCCCTCTCCACCGAATCCACTCCATATTGATTGGGCGAGATTATGTCCATCCGGAGTCAATCACTGCCTCTTCACTGCATAGCCTTTATTGGCGCCAGTGCGTGCACGTCCTTTCGCTTCATGACGGCTGGTATTGGTCGCTATTAGTTAGTTCAGCCTGTTCAGCTTCTCCTCGTCTTCGGTCCCGCTCCGGTGGTGATCGAATCTCTCGCAACCGTGGATGAGATGGCTTTGTTCGGATCTGATCTCAAGCCATCTGCTTTTTTACCCAAATTTTCTCTCACTAGTCGTTAGTCTCTCCTCTTTCCCGGGTCGCTTTTATTCCTTTCAGCCCTCATCTTCGCATCTTCTCTCCTAAAATCCTTCTCTTGCAGGGGTGTGACGTGACTCGTGGGCCATGATAAGCATGCAAGTCAGTCACTAGCACCAGTTATTTCGCTGTTTATTGTCATCCCATCTACTTTCTCTCCGCAATCTATTTCCCTTGAGCCTACAAATACTCGAGGAAAAAGAAACAAAAGGCGGGTTTCCTAGCCTCATCCAAACCACGTGTGAAATCATTTAAGGCTTCCATCCGCCCATACAAAACCGCCGCCACACCCACAAGCGCTGATATTCACCTCCATCTCCCCATCCGCCTTGTCGGCGCTTCTGTCCTTCAATTCACTGGCTTCATTGGCCGTGCTTTCATCCTGTCCCTTCGTCTCAGAAACATTCAATTGTCTCGATCCTGACGTGTGCAACGTCGCGGCTAATCGATCATCGCCCTCATTCAAAACACTCCGCTACACTATAATAGGGTATTATGGCGCTTGCCAACGCTCTGCGCCTCTGACCCTGGATCTTATATTGACCTGTCAATCGCATTGGTGGCGCGCGAACCTCGAAAATATAAAAACCTTTCGAATTTCTTTTCGGACTGAAGAAACGACCGCACCACTTGTCGAAACGTCAAGGCTTTCTCTGTAATTATAGCAACACCTTTTGTCCAAGCCGGTCTTTGGACAACACACTCCTTTACTGCTTCATATATTCGGTGCTCTCGACTACAGTCCGTTTGCGGTATACTTCAATTCACGCATTCCTTATCACTACGGTTTTATCTTGGCTGCTGTCAGTTCCGTTTCCGGCATCACCTGTCACCTGCCAGTCTTCTACCCCTCCGACTATTTCTACAATAATTTTCAACCATTTTCAATATTGAAACTTCAATCAACGAAGGAATTTATTTATACTGACAAAATGTCTTCCACAACGTTAATGACATTCCTGCTGTGAGTTTGATGTCGAATGATTCAGATACAGGCCGGGGATTCTAACAAGCTATGCAGTTCTACCAGCCCAAATGTGAGATCGGTCAAGTTGTTGGGCTCATGGGACAACTTTTCCAAGCCATATATTATGGAGAGGGATAAACGTGTTGGCCCAGGCCAATGGAGGGGGTGCCATACATTCACGGATATCATATGTGATGGATCTCCAGCTCATATGCATCCTGGACGCTCTGGTGGGCTCAAGATGGGTGGCACCTATTGGTATTATGTTCGTACCCTTCCAGCTCCTGTTCAATTGAGAAACCATCTAACCATCGAGACAGTACTTGTTGGACGACGATGTGGAACATTACAACGAGGCGGAGCCGGTGACTTCCCATTGTCCTTTTCTTCCCGGCCAACCGGTCAACGTCCTCTTTGTTCCTGTTATCCTTCCCGATAGTCTACCAACCCATACCCGCGAAGACAGCATTGGCTCCCAGAAATCGGATATGCGAACAATGAACCCCGAGGACAAGTTCATGAACCCACGTCAGCCACCAAAGCCCAAACCAAGCCGTCTTCAAACTTCTATCCCACTGCTCCAGCAGGCAACCCCACCATGGTCTTTCAGCGCTTCTCCACTGAGTGTGCTTACCAACAGAACTGCATCTCAGCCTAGCCACATTGCAAGCAAGTCTAAAGTACACGATGTGAGAGCGGGCTCGGGCTATAAAACTGCTCGCTCTGTGTCACCGCCGAGAAGCCGAGGCCTTCGAGCAGCATTCCGTTATTTGAATACATCTTCGCCCGATATCAACGACACGGACGACGAGAAACCGATTTCAGGACATCGCTCTACTAAGTCGCAAGGGACTAGCCGTGAGGGAATTCGCTCTCACTCAGCCAGTCGACTTTATGACGGTCCCGGACAGGGTCTGTACTCCCGCTGGAGCTTGGAAACTCAGGACACGGAAATTATTCTACCCCCACGTCCCGCTTCTTCTGGCAAACACGAGTCTGGGTCACTGTCAATCCAGGATCGACGTGCTCTGAAATTGAAATCCAGGAGCTCCTCGCCTCGAAGAACCCCCCTGACGCTGGAAACGCGCCCAGGGAGGGATATCTCCAGCAACACTACCTTACACACAAAACTGAATGAAATACCGGCTCATAAGAGTTCGCCTTTCCTACAACCACCTGCCGATGAATCGGCAATTACCGGCGATACGACACCGACTCCATTCACTGTGGGAGAGAAAAGACTCCCCACACTCCCAAACACACCATCTTCCGTTATGGATGAAGCATTGCGCGATCTTGACGCCCGGGAAGAGGCTCTCGACATGGAAGTACTGGCCAGTCACTTTTCTGATTTCAGTGCAACAGATGAGTCTACGGACGAGAACTCACTATACGAGAAAAGCCACTTTTCTGAATGGAGTACGGATAACGATGCGATCTCCCCTGAATCCATGGTGTCCGCTTCAACTTTCAACTTTGAATTTGAGCAGGAACCAGCCGAAGCGGACAGTATGGAAGTTCCAGACCTGCAATCTGGTCTTGGTGTGGCTCACAGCGACCCAAACACTCCCCATCTCACGGTGAATTCTCACCCGTCACCTGCCACTTCCACCACCGGCGACTCTCCTCGCATGGACCTTCCTCTCCCTCATCTCAATGTCTCCTTCTCCCCATCCGATCTTGACATCCCCGGACTTTGCATCAGTGGCGTGGACGATGTGGAAACCAACCCAAAACGACATGCGGCATTCTTTGGCGCGATGGAGTCAATCGATGCTCTCGGACTCTCGCCAAGTCCTGATGCTTCTGCTCTAGTCGTACCCGAGGGAGTTGACGAGGCACAGAATGGAAATCTCGCTGAGCCGGGCCGACGCCACAGTTCCTTCAGCGATGCCCAAATCGCTGGACAGTCTGCGACGATGCAGGAGATGATGGATGAATTGAGTTATCTGAAGAACATGATACAATCTGGAACAAATCTTATTTGATTTATGAGCGAAAATTGGTGTTTACCATTACCTTCAAGCATCATATATAGCATTGAACGATGGAGCATAGTATATAGACATGTAGTAACGAATTTCAATTTCAACATATCATTACCATTACACATTTCAATTCGTACCCATTACACCTCTAAGCCAAATTACTTTTAATCAAAAATAATAATAATGTTCGAACTCCATGAGGCTGGGTTGTCATCAAATCCAACCCAAACACCAACGCGAGAAAACAACCGCGTGCCAAGAATCCCGGTCTGCATCCAATCCACCCTTTAAAGCACCTCGACCAACAAACAGCAATCAAAGAAAACAAGGGGAAAAGAACCAAAAACACTGCCCCGTTCAATAACAAAAGACATGGTCTAATATACAACCTCAAACAAGGGAACAAACCATGGCTGATGATGATACATCGCAGCTGCTGCGCCATGAGCCGCAGCTCACGCCCGTCGGAGAGAAATCGCTACCGGCAAAATGCAAGGCCAGCACGTTGGCGTACTGCCCCACGATGGACCTCATTGCCCTGTCCACGGACGATGAGGAACTCCGGGTGTTTCGTCTGAATGGGCAGAGGGTGCTGGGGGGCTCTTTTGGAGGGGACCCGTATCTGGACGAGGATGATGGTGGTGGGGAGATTCGGGGTGTGAAGTGGAAGGGGAATGGTGAGTTTTCTGTTGAATTATTATTATTTTTTCTCTCTCTTGATGCGACATATTTGATTCTATTATTAAGTTACTCATACCTAACGGATTGAATCCAGGCCATCTCCTCGCCGTCGCATGTGCGGATGACTCTATCCGTATCATCAGCTCGTACAGCGGAAAGACGGTCCACCACTACCCTGCCTATCAAGTGCAAGACGAAGACGCCCCCCAACCCGTTAAGGTAAGCTGTCTGGGCTGGGGCGTCAATTTCACCGACAGCAAGGTTGCACAGCGACACTTGCAGGAAGCGGCTGGGCAGATTACCGTCGAGGATCTGTTGTCGCCGGACATTCACCCGTCTCGAGCCGCTGCACTGCTCAAGGCAGATTTACCAAGGGAGCTAGCCTTGTTGGATATTGAGAGCTCGTTGCCGAAGCTGAGTACGTTGCCGGCGACGGGAAGTGAGTGAGTAGCTAGTTCATTTTGACCAAGAAAAAAAACTTGATTATGGGCTAACGGGATTTCCAAGTGATGATGTGTTTAGCTCGAGAGCGTCGATTGATGCGATTTTTCATTCGGCTGCTAAGAATACGAGTGACTCGGTTGATGTGCTTCTGGTGGGGTTTGACGATGGCATGGTACATCTGCGTATCTTTGACTGCTTTGAGATTGGTTCTTTTCAGATCGGGGGCTCTGTTGGTGTGCCTGATTCGTGCAGGATTCTCCAGCATGTCTCGCACCCTCTGAGCTCGACCCATGCGTTGTTGACGTCTACGTCAGACTCGGACAGCAAACCGGGTGCTTTGAGTCTGTTGACTATCGATCTCCGGTTTATCACCAAGTCGGGGAGATACTTGTCCCTTCTTGCCTACAAGACAACCCAATTGCAGAATCTGCTGAGGTACATCAGTCAGGTGCAGAGACAGATCGAGCTTGAATGGAAGAACGCCCAGGAGCTTCCGGCGAGGTATATGCGTAGTGTCACTGAGGATCTTCAGGAAAAGTGCCATTGCGATTTTGTTACTGCGGCTTATCACTTGGTGGTGACTGGGGATTGTTTTGACCCGCTAAAGGAATTCCTGGTTGATATTGTTGGAGAAAGAGTATGTATCATCTCTGATATCTGACACAGCTATGTTTGCTGATTGAATGCAGGGACACAAAAGATGGGAAAAAGCCGTTTCAGCCGGCTACGAAAATGTTCGTCGTTTGACTCATGAATGTCTTCTTCCGGCACTGGAGAGATGCGAAGTGTTGCTTAGCCGACTTATTGGACTATCGAAGTTCCATAAGCTAAGCGAGGTTCTTGGATTGGAGACATCAGACTTGAATGCAATTGTTGAGACACTTGACTGTCTTCATCTCCTGGCTCACCACATTCTTATCAACACAAACGAAGAGCTAAGCCAGTTCGTCTCGTTTGCCAAGTGGCTTCGTCATGAGATTGATATGCAGAGTGCGGAGCCTATGTCCCAGACTCTAGAGGAGCTGATGGAAAAGACAGACATGATTGAATATCCTCAAACATTGCAGTATATACAGGGTGCTCTGACAAAGAGCAAATTGCGGAATTTTATCCAGCAACTTCCCATGATGGGCATTCCGAGACCACCTCAGACTACCAGCTCGGATAAATGGGCACCTACCGGGCATGACAGGTCCTTCTACGATACGTTCAAGAAGCTGCTTGAGCAACAGAGCCAGGGACAGACTGGCCATGATGGTGCTGATCAAGTGGAACACCCTAAGCTGAATGACTTGACGAAGCGTCTGGGGTTGCAGTTCGAGAAAGTGTTTGGACAGATTGCATTGACACAACGGAGGGGGATCCTTCACCGATCACCTCTTGCGCTTCACTCGGACTGTGATAAGGATGCCACCGATATCACCATGCGCTATGAGGTAAGCCCATTTCAATACACTTGATGATGGACTTTGCTGATGAGAATCCAGGAAACTGAGGAAGGGACATTCTCTTCGATCTACATAGCTACCAGATCTCTCAAGTCGAGGCACCTCTGTATGTTGCTTATTCCTTGATTGGAAGGACTGCCAATACTAATATTTCTGAACTAGTTTACATCTATCGTGTTGTTCTTGATTCTGCCAATGGGGTAAGCTCGACTCGGACTACCTCGGTAGTAGGTATATCTCTACAGGAAGGGGAAATCCGTCAGGTACAGTTTGTGGAGGATGGTACCCTTACGATCCTTTGGTCGGATGATAGTATGCTATACTTTCCTTTTCTCGGATTTCGAATGCTCATTACTGATATTTCCAACAGAAGGATCTGCTTATCTTCTCAGCTTCCCCTTCCAGCCTGCATCGGTTGCCAGTCGCCCTGAAGTCGACCCTCCGTCTATAGAGATTGAATACAACGACAGTGAATACGACCCGGTGTCCGCGGAACCCGTTACGACCACTATGGATTTGGATCTTTTCTCGCTGGATTCCCCGCACGTGAATGCGATCAAACATACATTCGCAAAGTCTGGCCCGAAGGCCAAGCCCGTGAGGGTTGATGTTAATGGACGAAAAGGCCGAAGGGCAGTATGCGTGTTATACGGCGATGGACTACGGTACGAGGTGCTCGATATTGATGCTGAAATGGAGGATGAAGAAGAGGAAGAAGACGAGGGGGAGGAGGGTGATGAAAATGAATAGATTCGGTTATTTGCATTATTACAAGGCATAGGTATGATCACGACTTTAATGATACAAAGGTACTCTGAAACGGATGAATCATTTGCAGATGCAAGTGGCAGGATTGTATAGGGTCAAACATTCCGATGCCTGGTATCATCCATGACAAAGGGATGGTGGATAAACACCCCTCTCTTGTTGCTACCCTAGCCATTATCCGTGAAGCTGTAGCCAGATATAGACTAGCTGATGATTTAGACAGTGATAGGTGGAGCGAACCACTCCATTCACTCTCTTGTTAGCTGTTGGACTGTGTAGGCTTCTTTATTCTTTTCTTCTAAACCCTTCCATCTGATTCTCTGGATACCGTTCTCCATGCATCATTCTTGCATTATTTGTGTGTCCATTGGGGTTGACGCCCTGGGGTCGATCCATCGGTCGCCGGGGCCACACAAAGTGGGCAGCGGCAGTTCTTCAAGGAGCAAAATCAAAACAAGCAAAGGAGGGGCAATGGCATCCAGGCCACAGTCGGCCGGAAAAAGCACAACTAGGAGGGTAAATAGTTGCAGATAATAGAGAAAACATAGAAACTATCTCATACTGATTCAAATGAAGACTCTTTTCGTGTCTTGAAGCCTCTACAAAGCCTTGTTCAGCGCTTCTTACGCTTTCGTCTGGCCATCGGGTCACGTGCGCTGACTCATCGAACTGCCCAGCCCGCCAATCAGCGCCCGCCGTTGCGGCTGTCGCTGCTCGCTGCTCTGGAACTGAACCTCTTTTTTGGCTGCTGAAAGTGAAAAAACGCATCATTGACCCTCTGTCGTTCTTCTCTCCCTCTCTTCCTCTTCTCTTCTCTTGACTTGCTCTCTTCATCAATCTTAAAAAAAAAAACATTTACCTATACTATCCATCCTAGGATATTTCATCTTCATTTTCCTTCCTCCCCCCATCCTTTTTGCCAAGGGACTCTCCGTCGTCTCCCTATTTTTTTTTCTCCCTTGTCCTGGCGTGCACTAAGGCACCTTTTCCTCCCTCTCTTCCACTCCCGGAAAGACCTGGTGCATGCCTCGTCATATCCACAAAAACAACCTTTGTTCACTAGACGAATTATTCCCCGGTCCACACCAACACTCTTTTTGTTGTGGACAGTCTTACAGTCTGGCTGGGATTTAATCAATCTTAATCGGCCCTGTCTTTTTTTAATTTTTTCTTTTTCTTCTTTTTTCTTTTGCTTCTCTTTGTCTTTTTTTTACAATTTTCGCATAAGGCAACATGAACGTCAATCAGGTGTTAGAGGGCACCCTGTCGCCAGGTACTTTACATCCTATCTCGAATGGCAATGATGATCCTGGTAGGAATCTTTTAACTAACTGCTTGTCTTCTTTTTTTCTTTTATAGATGCCGCGACACGTACAAGCGCTGAGCAGCAGCTGCTTCACGCGGCGGAAGTCGACTTCGTACGTTTCCCCCCGCCTTTCCGGCCCCTCCCCTCATATGTCCTTTTTTTCTTCTCTTGTCTATTGGCATCGAACCCGACTTGCTAATGACCTTTTTCATCGCTTCTGTCGTATAGGCTACCTATTTGACTACTCTCGGTCAAGAACTTGCAAACGAGAACGCCGCATCTTCCACCAGAACGGCCGCTGGTCTCGCTTTGAAGAACGCTTTCACTTTCAGAGATCTCGCCCGGCTACGCGAGGTGCAAGGAAAATGGCACCAACAGATCAGCCCAGAAATTAAGACTCAGGTCAAGGAGCTTGCGCTCCAGACCCTCAACTCGAAGGACGGACGGGCCGGCCAGTCCGCCGCCCAGTTTATCGTCTCTATCGCCGCCATCGAACTTCCTCGCAATGAGTGGCCCGAGTTGATGAACATCCTGGTTAAGAATGTCGCGTCTGGTTCGGATCAAACGAAGCAGGCCTCTCTGATCACTATCGGTTTCATCTGTGAATCCCAGGATGCCGACCTTCGGGACAGTCTTACCGCCCACTCCAATGCTATATTGACGGCTGTCGTCCAGGGTGCCCGCCGTGAGGAGCCCAACATGGACATCCGATATGCCGCCATCAAGGCTCTTAGTGACTCCGTTGATTTCGTGCGCTCGAACATGGACAATGAGGGTGAGCGGAATTATATCATGCAAGTTGTCTGTGAGGCTACCCAGGCGGATAACCTCCAGGTCCAGGCTGGTGCCTTCGGATGCTTGAACCGTATCATGGGAGCCTACTACGAAAAGATGCGCTTCTACATGGAGAAGGCTCTGTTTGGCTTGAGTATTATGGGCATGAAGAGCGAGGAAGAAGATGTTGCCAAGCTCGCTATTGAATTCTGGTGCACCGTTTGCGAAGAGGAAATTGCTATTGAAGATGACAACGCTGCGGTTGGTGCCATCTTTTATTTGATTATACAAGTGAATGTTCCGCTGACACATTTATAATAGGCCCAATCCGAGGGTTCCACTGAGATTCGCCCCTTCTTCGGCTTTGCCCGTGTTGCGGCCCGAGAGGTCATTCCCGTTCTCTTGCTTGATATGTGCAAGCAGGATGAGGATGCTAGTGATGATGAGTACAACGTTGCACGCGCTGCTTACCAGGCTCTGCAGCTCTACGCTCAGTGCGTTCAGGGTGATGTCATCCAGCCTGTTCTGTCCTTCGTTGAGGAGAACATCCGTAACGAGGACTGGCACCGTCGGGATGCCGCTGTTGCCGCGTTCGGTGCCATCATGGATGGTCCGGACCCCAAGATCCTGGAGCCCCTCATCAAGCAGGCTTTGGGTGTCCTTGTTGGCATGATGGAGGACAGCTCCGTCCAGGTCCGTGACTCTGCTGCCTACGCGCTGGGCCGCGTGTGTGACTTCTGCTCCGAGACACTTGACCCCGATGTTCACCTTCAACCTCTTATCTCTTGCCTCTTCAACGGTCTTGCTAGCACACCCAAGATCGCCAGCTCCTGCTGCTGGGCTTTGATGAACGTTGCCGACCGCTTTGCCGGTGACATTGGTGGCCAGACCAACCCGCTCTCCAAGCACTTCCAGGACAGTGTCAAGTCGCTTCTCACTCTCACCGAGAGACAGGATGCTGACAACCAGCTCCGCACTGCTGGATACGAGGTCCTTAACTCTTTCGTCACAAACGCTGCCAACGACAGCTTGCCTATGGTCGCCACCCTTTCGGATGTCATGATCCAGCGTCTCGAACAGACCATCCCCATGCAACAGCAGGTTATTAACGTCGAGGACCGTATCACATTGGAGGAGATGCAGACTAGCATTACCAGTGTGCTCTTGGTGAGTTTTTCTTAGTATAATATTTATAAGAGGCATATTTACTGACTCTTTAGGCCATTGTTCAACGCCTTGAACTCGACATTAAGCCCCAGGCGGACCGCATTATGCATGTCCTGCTCCAGGTTTTGTCTACCGTCCCTCCCAAGTCCAGTGTGCCTGATGTGGTGTTCGCCACTGCTGGTGCGCTTGCTGGTGCTCTTGAGGACGACTTCATCAAGTACATGGACTCTTTCACCCCATTCCTCTATAATGCTCTTGGTAATCAAGAGGAGCCTGGTCTCTGCGCCATGGCCATCGGTCTGGTCAGCGACATTTCGCGTGCCCTGAACGAGAAGGTTCAGCCTTACTGCGACACCTTCATGAACTACTTGCTCAACAACCTGAGAGTAAGAGAACCACCCCCATTATATGATATGAAAACTTCTATGCTAACCCACTTGCACAGAGCTCTACCAACCAGCTCAAGCCTGCTATCCTCGAGACCTTCGGAGATATTGCTCAGGCTATTGGAACACAATTCGACACATATCTGCCTGTTGTTGCCCAGGTGCTCCAGCAGGCGTCGATTGTGACAGCCAGTTCGGATGTAACTATGGAAATGCTGGACTACATTATCTCGCTTCGTGAAGGTATTATGGACGCATGGGGTGGTATTCTCCTCTCGTACAAGGGCACACCGCAGGGTAAGCATGATCATATTCTATGCTCAACATGAAAATATGCTAAACTCGTGACAGCCGCACAACTCCAGCCCTTTGTCGAGTCTATTTTCGGCCTTCTTCACCTCATCTCTCAGGACCCTAGCAACCGCAGCGAGGGCCTGATGAGGTCGTCTATGGGTGTTCTGGGGTATGTTTAACCTACTTTACCTGCACGTGTGAATAATGATTGCTAACCATCCTTCACAGTGACTTGGCTGATGCTTTCCCCAACGGCGAGTTTGCCGCTTTCTTCCGCAACGAGTGGGTTACCTCTCTCGTCCGGGAGACAAAGTCGAACAGAGAGTACAGCCCTCGCACAGTCGACACCGCTCGCTGGACCCGTGAGCAGGTCAAGCGTCAAGTCACCTTGTCGACTGCTGCTGCCATGTCTTAAGAGATCTCCATCCGCTCATCATAAGTTATTGATCGCTCTTCTCGAGACAGCTCCCCTTGCAGTAAAGAACTGGCAAACAGTTTACCAAGGGAAATGACTGACTGAGGTGACCCGTCTCACCTAGAGTGAGGCCCAATTCATTTGGGGCACTCAGACGCCGTGCCATCAATCAGTCGCAGCAACAATGTCAAGCGATTACGTCTGCATCCTTTGGAATGTTGCGCATCGGCACCATGAGAATCGAGCTTTTTTCTAACCCCTCCCCTTCCCTGCAGCACGAATATTCGATTCACAAATCCGCAAGCGGAAAATAAAACTTCCTCCCCTCCCCTTTCTTCCCCTTCCCCTCACGTCTACCCTTACCCATACATCCCTCTCCCAGTCTTCACGCATTTGATGGGCAACGCGTTATCATCGCCTCCTTTTTTCGGGCCCCTTTCCCCTCCCCTTCATGACACCTTTTCCGAATGGATGCCATCAACATTTTCCTTTTTTGCCCTTGATTCTTTTCTCCTTACTATTACTATCACCATTTGTTTGATTCTTTTTCCCTTGCTCTACATCGCCTTTTAATTAGACAAGACCCCTGTTCTTGATAGCATTTGCTTTTTTAAAACTCATGTATGCCCAAGAAGTCATGTATCCCTTTGAAGAGACAATCATCATCACGAAATCTTAACCCTGGTTCCACGTATAATCCAACACATACATCCATGATGTTCCCCAAGAGACCTTGTATAGAAACGAAACAAAATCTTCAATAAGCATTTGTGGCGAGCCAGAATTATGGTCGCTTTCAACGTCAAGTAGTGCTCATCTTTTTTTTTTTGTGAATCGTGCGGATATATCAAAAGCGGAATGTATGCCTTAGGCGTGAATGGCGGTGTCTATCAGCACGTGATCAGATAAGGGCCCGCAACGCACAAACCCTAAGCGCGCGCACCAACGAAAAATGGGTCCAGCTAGCCTCTTCACTTTTTCTCCTGATATTCCTTTCTGCGCCTGGACAACCTGCCGAACATCAACGTCGGAACATCCCTCGAGGTATGTACTATTGCTCGCCTCTTCACCCGTATCTGCAGCCTCTCAGCTAGTCTGGGAGAGCAATCATTGCTGGTTTTTGGTCGTCAATCGAAATGAGGATTCGATGGTCGAAGCCAGGATGATACGCTTCTCTCATCGCGGCACGGGCTGAAGAACCCTTTGAGAAATCAAAAGGGGCACTCTTTATGCTCAGGACTACTGGTGGCTGACTCTATGCGGTCGGAATCTCCGTTTGTCGCCGTTAAATCGGTGGCATTTTGGGGGAAAAGACCTTTCGTCTTTAGATACCTCTTATCCCAATTTTTTCAAACTCGATTTGAGAATCTCGAACCGCCAAAATGGTCAAGACCTCCGTTCTCAACGATGCGCTTAACGCCATGAACAACGCCGAGAAGGCCGGCCGTCGCCAGGTCATGATCAGACCTAGCTCCAAGGTCATCATCAAGTTCCTCCACGTCATGCAGAAGCACGGTATGTCCTTATATTCTGTCTCAGTCTTTTCGCTTGGGTCGCTTGCTCGGATCTCCGCAATGTGTTGTGTTTTTGTTTGCTTTTTTATTTTTTTTATTTTTTGCGCCGAAAAATTCGGGTTGATAACTAGGTGGCCTGTCTCGATTTCACACGACGTCCGCCCTTTAAGTATCCGAGATATTGATTGTTTTTTAAACATTGCGGAGATCTTACAAGCTTCCTGAGCGTTTTTTCTGTATCAGGCAGCCTTTATATTTTTGCAACATCACTGACATTATTCTTTTTTCAGGCTACATCGGAGAGTTCGAGGAGGTTGACGACCACCGTTCCGGCAAGATTGTCATCCAGCTGAACGGTCGCCTCAACAAGTGCGGTGTCATCAACCCCCGCTACCCCGTCCAGCTCCGTGACATTGAGAAGTGGGCTGTCCAGCTCCTTCCCTCTCGTCAGTTCGGCTACGTCGTCCTGACCACCTCCGCTGGTATCATGGACCACGAGGAGGCCCGCCGCAAGCACGTCTCCGGCAAGCTCCTCGGTTTCTTCTACTAGACACTTCACGAACAGAAAAAGTTTTTGTCTTGTCAATGTCGGAAACAGCATGACATGGTTATGATGTACGAGCGATGAATTTCCTCAAATGTAAAGGGAGTCTGTTGGCGGACAGTTGAGGAGAATACCCCGGCGTATACGCCGTAGATAGTTTTTCTTGCAGAGTGACTTTCACGCTCTTATGAAATCAAGTCGGCTATTTCCGTCAATCTTTCTTACTATTGCTACTGTATACTTTGTAGATCCAGTGATATACCTACCCTCGGCCTCACTAGTCCTCTGGGTGTATAAATGAGATAGCATTCCAACCTCAATACATGAAATTTCAATGCACTTCTAATATTCTATCTAGCAGTTCATAGCCATTCAACTGCCCTATCCCATTGCAGTACTCTAAGCAAAGTGTGCACACCTGCTTCTATGAACATTTCCTTCTTTTCTTCTGGAACCCCACGGACCAAGAGACGCACTTTTTTGGTTCGCTCTCATTCAACTCAGACATATCGACCCGTGCTGCCATTATCGATTCGTCGATATCTGCTTCTGAAACCGTAGAGTCGTCATTGATGTTCGATTCTGACTCGGTACAAGACTCGCTGGTTTGATAGCTGGAGGCCAAGGAGCCTAACAGTCAATGACGAGTGGTCTTTGCGGTTGACGATGGTGACCAGTACTTGGTGAGAATGGGAACAGGTTGTCAAATCCCTAGTTAGACACCGATAGCCACGAGGGTCCCGGGCGTGTGAAGTCAAAACCATGGTTTTGAAATGCGCCTCAGAAGGACGCGCTACTGCTGCCATCTTCGCTGGGGTTTGTCTTGTCGCTATTTTATCGAAAGCTGTGATGAATAATGGGGAAGATGTTGACGATGCTGACCATCTCTAGGCAGAAATCGGAAGCCATGACTAGGTAACCCCCAGAACGCATCATACTGACATGATACATCCATATTCGAACTAAGACTATGTACGGAGTACACTCCCAATATCGGACCGAGGCCCATCTTTACCGCTTTAATTCTGCCGGTGAATTTGTTGTCTTTCCCCGCAAAGATAACCATCGTCTATCCGCGACTCCAGAACGACAGTTCACATACAATCCCGTCAACATACCCTGTACATACATACATTCCGGTGGACAAAATGCCCCTGGACACAATATACCTCACCCGTCATGGCGTAAGCTACCCACCCTTACCAAACTCATACATCCCAATCTAACCCCTCCTAGCACCGTCTAAACTGGACCATCGACTACAAGACCGGCACCTACCATGCTCAATTCCCTACTCCAACCGGAAACCCTGCGGATCCCACCTTGACCTCTTACGGAGTAACCCAATCGCATGAACTGGCTGCACACTTCACCAGTGCCGAGTTCAAACCCAAGCCGTTCCGTGTATACTCGAGCCCGTTTTATCGGTGTCTACAGACTATTAAACCGAGTGTCGAGGCGTTGAAGGAGGTGCAGAAGAATGGAGGTGATGTTGATGAGCATGCAGAGTTTGATGTTAGAATCGAGAATGGGGTAGCGTGAGTACTATCTACTCCTTGTGTTGGATATCATTCGAAAGGTATGATATACTGACTTCTAACAGGGAATGGTTCGGTCCAACTACATTCTTCGATCACCCTTCTCCTGCCTCCCCCAAAACCCTTCACACCCACTTCCCAACCCTCCTCCCACCTAACCCAGAGACTACCTACACCCCGCACCTCTATCCCTCCACCCGCGGCGAAACCATCGCCCAGCTCCATGACCGCCTGGCCACGGCCCTGGCGTGTATAATTGCCGACCTGGACGCCGAAATCTCCGCGCTAGAAGCGACGCAGCCGCCCTCCGCTCATACTAGCAAGGCCGTCCTCATCTGCTCACATGCGGCGCCGCTGGTTGCCGTCGGACGGGCATTGACGGGGAAAATGCCAGCCGATAGCGGAGAGGAGGATTTCAACGTCTTCACGGCCGGACTAAGTACGTTTAAGCGGAGATCGGGATCGTCTGCGGGCTCTGCTGGTGGTGTGGATTTGTTGGCGCCGGGGACGAAGCCCATACGATCCGAGGGCTTGAGCGTTCCCAACTGGCAGGGTGGAAAGGGGGTTGGAGGTGGGTGGGATTGTGTTGGTAACGGGGATTGTAGCTTTTTGAGTGGAGGTGCGGAAAGAGGATGGTTCGTATATTCTGTACCCCTTTTCTTCGATTTTGTTGAGGCTGTGCTAACCCCTCTCGTAGGCATTTCAATGGCGAGGAATCGTTCGACACGGGCCCTATGGCTCCGCCGTCTGCTTTGCCTACTTCAGCCTCTACACTTGTTGCGGATACAAAGCTTTGATCAAGACCATAGAACTATATAGATAGAGCATTGGTGGTTTGCCCACAATCTTGTGTTTGAGATATTCAATATCTGAAGTTATTCCTTTGGATATATTCATAGAATCTACATGGGAAATTCTTTTTCCGCGATCCTGCGTGCTTCTATAACAAATCTGTATGTATGCTGTAGGAGTACATGTGAACGCTGAAAGCACCAAAAAAGGCAAGAATCGCTCTTGATCTATCATATTCCTGACGGGGTATCGTGCTATGTTTCATTCTCGATCGTCATGCTGTGCTGGCTCTGGACGAGCAGTTTCGCCCTCCTGGTGCGGCGGCTGCTCTGCATTCTCTTCGTTGCCGGCCTCCTGTCGACGGCGTTCTTCTTCCTCCCCACGCGCTCGCTCTGCATTTAGAGCTGCTTCAGCAGTATTGCGCATTTCTATGTGCCTTTCACCAACACCCGGAACCAAGCTGGCAATGAACAGTGCCAAAGAGCGCTCCACTCTCCTAAAGTTCTGCCTCAGCTCAGACGTAAAGGTTCGACCACGACCATCTACAGGCCCATTAGGCGGGTTCACAGCGGCCTGGCCAGTGGCAGCTTGCGTTTGATTCTGTGGACGAAGATGTTGATCTGGGACAAAGTGCACCAGACCCTCGAGGTGTTGCTGTACAGGCGCAACGAAAAGCCGATGCAGATGTTGCGGTACACCTGTTTCCGAAAGCAAAGAAATTATCACAGCCAGGGTGACGAAGAAAATACGCGTCCAGGTGCCCGGCTCACTGAACATGTAGCAAAAGAAATACAACCGAACAAACAACCAGATACGTCTCACACCTCGCGCTAGTCCAACGCGCTCTTGTCGCTGGTTATTATTCATCACGGCCTGGCGCACAGCATTTTCAAGAACGGCTGCGTTTGGATTACGATGCATATCAGGCGGATGGCCGGGACCATGAATAGGTAACGCATCCGGGGTGTGTGCGGCACGAAGCGCGGCAAGTGATGACTGAATCGATTCTGTTCCACCAGGCGACGTGACTAGAGCTTGGTATCCATCGGGGGACGATAGTAAGTACAGAGGTGCCCTTTCACGTTCAGTAGTCGTGACACGTTCCGGGTTGTTGTTTTGCAAAGTTGCGGGGCTAGATTGTGAGACACGGATCTGGTCTGCGCGAGTATATATGTTGAGAATGCGGGAGAGCAAGGATTCAACTGTACCATCCCGTGGGGCGCCCGGATTCCGATACTGGTCATCAAGAATTTGAAATAGCTGTGTTCGTATTCTGGTGATTTGGCTGATAGGAGGTGCAATGCCTTGGCGGAGTAGATCTTCTTCTAGTTCGATATCTCGGCGTAACAATTGTAGGCGCGGTTGTACTTCGTATAGAATTCGATCTTCCGGGTTGATTCCCCCAATAGAGCTAGATGGGGCTACATCAGAAGACATGGTGAAATGTGACGTAGTAGTTGTCGATGTCAAAGGTGGATGCGAAAGATTGGATGACATCGGTTGCCATGCGCCTTGTTGGGGAAACAACGAGGAACTTGGATGGGAAGCGAGTGGATTGAAAGATGATGTAGTCGCGGCTTCCTGTGATTCTGTGCGCAATGGCGACGCGCCTCGTCTTTGCGCATCGATCTGTCGCCGGATCGCCTCAATGTTACGACGTAGCTCGAATTCTATTTGGGCTTCATTGGGTGCTGAAGGAGCCACTGGGCGTCTTTGCCTTATTCCTTGATCATTTGGGGTGACATTTGGCAGAGGAAATCGACTAGAAGGGAGAAAAGGGTTCCGTTGCGTGGGAGTCCCTGTTGAATCTTGTGTCGGCGTGGGCGTGACAGGACTAGCAGAGGTAATTGGTGTGGCAGAGGGAATGGGTGCAGGAGGAAGAACCAGATGCATGGAATACTCAGATTGCTGGATTCAACCGCTAGTTAGCATGCCATCTGGAGGCAGGATGAGGTTGGCTGGGGTCATGATCACTCACGTCCACCGGCTCTAGTATGTTCTGCAAAGTTACGCCATCGTTCGACAGCGGTTTCCCGCCGTATATCAATCTCTGGTTCCCTGGAGAAGGCTCGCTTGGTATTGACTGCGAGATTCGAGCTTTGAGGCCAGCGACTGTCGTGGAGAGGGGAAGATCGTGGAGGGTGAAGCGGTTGGGAGGAGGGAGTGATGGGCACAGCACATGCAAGGCAATCATGCTGCGAATGCTGCTTCCCGAATCCGCTGAGGAGGATTGCGGAGGATTTCCAGTAGAATCACTAATGGTGGCCATTTTGAGAGGGATAATTTGCCTGTCTCAGGTGTTCAACTTGAAGATATCCAAGAGCTCATACTAAAGGTGGAGATAGTTCAACGCGTCACGATAATACGTCAGCGCAACGACTCGACGGGCGCCAGGGGCTCAATTGAAATAAAAAAAAAAAACCAAGTCGAGGTTAGCGACAAGATAAAACTGCAAGGTAAGTAGACACAAAGAGTGACAAGAAGCGACAGTTTAAGAGAAAAAGAGCGATGATGAAAGGTGACGGTGTCCTTTTCCTGATAGAGAGGGGATAATATGCCGCGGAGCCACTGGAGCTGCCCAACGTTAACGCTTTGCTTATAGTATATATATATGAACAACAATTTATAATCAGATCCTCAGATTCACAACCCCATTCAATACAAATATTAGCAACAAATAGCAATGTAAAAACAATAGATGAAGCCAAATGCAGGCATCGAGAAGCGGAGAAGCGGAAAATCTCACATCCCGATCTGCCAGGCGGTGAGGCCGAGCGAAACTCGGCGTGATGCAAAAGTACCGATTTCTCCTCTTCTCGTGATGATCGTCGGCCCCCCAATTTGTTTCTTTCGCTTCTGTCAACCTGTTTTTTCCTAATATCTAATCATCTACACCCTTTGCCCCCGTGGCTGTGCGAAGAATATGTCCTTGGAGTAAGACCGCGTTATGGTCGTGTGCCTCTCCGGCCGTTCTGTACTCCTTCGGAAGTTTGCGACCTCCTCTACTGGGAAGAAGGCTGGACTGATGGATCCCATCTCTTTCACGGCGCCTGGCCGTCGTAAGACCGGTGCCAAAAAGTTTTCGACATATTCGAAGTCATGGAATCAATATCACAAGGAAAATAACTACAACTATGATCATAAAACAAAGGGTTCTTTCGGTTCGAGACTCCGCTTTGCCTTGCGGAACACCAAGGTGGAATGGTATCCTATCCCGGTCGGACTAGGCATCGGTCTTTTGGGGTTGTTGCAATACTACAAGACACAACGGGCGGAAAGACGACGAATAGAACAAGAGGCGTGGGAAGAAGCATGGGAATATGGAAAGCCTCCTCCACGTCAAAGAATAAGACCTAGCGGACCATGGCAGGTTCAAATCATGTCGACGTTGCCTCTCAAGGCAATCTCGCGACTATGGGGACGCTTCAATGAACTCGAACTCCCCTATTATCTTCGTGTCCCCGGCTTTAAGCTGTACTCCTGGGCCTTCGGTGTCAACTTGGACGAGGTGGGCGAGCCAGATCTTCATACCTACCCGAATCTGGCAGCCTTCTTCTACCGCAAGTTGAAGCCGGGCGTCCGCCCTCTAGACCCTGACCCACGCGCCATTCTATCTCCCTCCGACGGTCGTATTCTGCAATTTGGCTTGATTGAACGCGGTGAAGTGGAGCAAGTCAAGGGCGTAACGTACAGTTTGGATGCACTTTTGGGTGCTGCGACCCCGGCCAACGCTGACCACAAAAAGAAATTCACCGACCACTTCTTGGAACCTTCTCAGAAGGATGCAGCAAACATGGCAGCCGATGAGGAGTTTGCTCAAATGAATGGCATCTCCTACACGCTACCTACCCTTCTTGCGGGAGAACCTGGAGCCGCAGGAAAGAAACGAGCGGCATCTATCGATGCTTCCACAACCTCAAGGCCCACCTCAGAGGCCAAGGTCAAGGCTGATTTGGCTCTGGGCGATGGTGCTCCATGGTATGCTCCCAAACCGATGTCGAATAACGCACTCTATTATGTGGTCATCTATCTCGCCCCAGGTGATTATCACCGATTCCATTCCCCGGTGCCATGGGTTGTTGAGAGCCGTCGTCACTTTGCCGGAGAACTTTACTCTGTTTCCCCGTACCTGCAACGCCACCTCCCTGGTCTATTCACTTTGAATGAACGAGTAGCCTTCCTGGGTCGCTGGCGCTGGGGCTTTTTCAGTTACACCCCAGTGGGTGCCACCAACGTGGGATCGATCAAGGTCAATTTTGACCGCGAGTTGCGCACCAACAGCCTCACAACCGACACTGCAGCTGACATGGCTGCTCTCTTGGCCGCCAAGCGGGGTGAGCAGTACCCTGGCTTTGTCGAGGCAACTTATCTCCATGCCAGCAGGACACTGGGTGGACATCCCCTCCAGCGTGGTGAGGAAATGGGTGGATTCCAACTGGGTAGCTCTATCGTACTCGTCTTCGAGGCTCCTGTGGGAACTCGAAAGTCATTCGATGCCGGCTGGACAGGCGGCGAAAGAGAAGGCGGATGGAACTGGTCCATCGAGAAGGGCCAGCGTGTTAAGGTGGGTGAAAAGCTGGGATTTGTGGATGTTGAAGCTTAAAAATTGGCCATTTTGTTTAATACGCGAATCGGTTGGGACTTTCAACAAATTCCCAGCTGATATTTGCTTTTCCCCTGTTCTTTGACATTGCAAAGCCTAGGAGCAGTGGCTCTCGGTTTTCTTATTCTGCACTGCTCATACCATACCATCTCTTGTATATTTGCTAAATAGATCGTACGACACCCTAGCTCGAATAATATCAACTATTTTGTTTCTTTGCAGCTTCCTATAAATGAACTACAAGTTTGATCTAAATGTGTTCTCTGGATTGATTACCTGTGATGGATATAGACAAGACGATAGCAACAGCGCCACGAAGTATAGAAGAACAGAATTGGCACAAATATATAGACTCCTATAAATTTAGCCCAGCAAGAAGCTAATCAATATAAATAAAAGAATAACCAACCATTATCGGCATAAAGCCGAGGGTTATGCAGTAAACAATGAAATGCATGACTAAGCAGACATCAACAATGAAGCTTCCAAGTCTCCAGGACGCCATGATTTTGTATTTACACCTCTGCACGCAACAACAATTACTCAAACCGCAAATTCTAACCTCATATACTAGAACAATACCGGGTACCATAATGCTCGCTTGAGGATAAACATCTCAGCCAACAACAAGAGCAATGCCTCGTCATCACCTACTCCGAAGACACCCCGCGCAAGACCATCCAGACACGGACTCCCCGCAGCCACGCGCAGCAGCCAGAGTCGGCAATGGAGGCAGCGTAAACCCACAGCTGCAGTTCACAACTCCTCCTATGCGCGGTACACCCCAGTTACATCCATCGTCGGGACCGATTGAGTCTATCGAGTCGCCGCATCAGCTTCATGGTGCTTCTGCACCAGCTCTCTTCTCCTTGTTTGGGCGGGGTGTGACGAGTCGGCAACGGCCGCAGATGATGGATGAGGATGACGAAGAGGAGGAAGACGAGGAAGAAGACGATTATGAGGATGGCTTTGAGCCTGATCAGAGAAACTTCGACCTTGATCCGGAAGCGAATGAGGTTGAGATATCGGATGAAGATGCAGATGGGATGGTTGGAGAGGAATATCAGGAGGAGGAAGAGGAAGAAGACGAGATGATGCAAGATCGAGGTAAGTATTGGTCTAATACGTATATATAACGAATTATAACTCAATTGGTTGCTAATCTACCAGGTCATCTTGCAGAAAAGTCCCCCTCCCCTCTCCCGAGCAACCTGCGTGAGATCTCCTCTCTTGCTTCATGGACAGTTTCCACCCACAAACCGGGCTGTGGCGTCTCTGCTCTTCGTAACCCCTCGCCCATGCAGTACTGGCAATCCGACGGACCTCAGCCACACACGCTCAGCCTTCACTTCTTCAAACTCGTCGCCATCGTGCGGATCCGCGTGTACCTCGATTTCGAAATGGACGAGAGTTACACACCAACCAAGATGATCTTCCAGGCTGGCATGGGCGGCAACGATCTCGTGGAGTTTGCAACCTGGGAAGGAGAAGCACCATGTGGCTGGGTAGATGTGCCTCTTGAAGGCGTTGGAGGCCGAAGCGGCGGCTGGGTGAGAAGGAAACGGTTAAAACGCACTCGCACTCGAGGTAAAGGCGAAAAGGGACAAACGAAGTACATATTCTCCGATCCCGAGAACCAAATCGAATACGACGAAGGGGCGTACGAGGACGATGATGATGAAACGGCCGAAGACGACGACGACGATGACCCGTACGCTGGGAATGTCCTGAAAGCCATGGTGCTGCAGATGCGCATCATGGAGAACCACCAGAACGGAAAGGATACGCACGTTCGTGGATTCCAGGTATTTGCTCGTGACGATGGCCGCCAGCGGATGGGCGCCGGGCCATCTGCTAACGATGGTCGGATTCGGAGACACAGCATTCGCAAGTCCATCCGTGGAGTTGCCAACGATAATGGAAGAGATGGAAATGGTGATGCTGATGGGGGAAAGGTAACTGGCTTAGAGGAACCAGATTGGATGGGAGAGCCAGTGATTCGATAATGCATTCAGTTCACATTGTGGATTGAAGGCCATTGATGGCGCTTTTCTTTTTGTCGCGACCAACAGCAAGGGAGACGGAATAGTGGACGGCAAAAAAAGACTGTTATAAAAGGGGATTTGATCCATTCGGAGTTTCTCGGTTGTTAAGATACCCATTCTTCAGTTATAGCTAATATTAAGGAAATATCTCTAAATGTTGTGCTCATCTTCGTACTAACCAAGCCAAGATATCAGCTACAGTAACAGCAGTTCTACTGAGGAATAATAAGTATATGTGTATGGTCATGTCTCATTTTATATACTAGCACATAATAGAGTCCAGGTCAGGTCTTCCTTTCCCGTCTCTCTTTTTCTTTCTGAAAGAAGCTACATCTATGCCAAAAGCTTCTCCAGCTCAGCAGCGACAGCATCACCAACCTCCTTGGTGGTGGCCTTGCCGCCAATGTCACCAGTGCGAACACCGGCCTCGATGACGTTGCTGACGGCCTTCTCGATGGCCTTGGCCTCGGCGAAGCGGTCGAAAGAGTACTGCAACATCATGGCAACGGAGAGGATGGCGGCAACGGGGTTGACGATGCCCTTGCCAGCGATGTCGGGGGCGGATCCTACATAGACATGAGTATATATAACACTGAGGGGAGACAGATAAGTTGCGACATAAGACATACCGTGGATAGGCTCGTAGATACCGTTGACCTTGCTCTGACCATCGGGGATACCGCTCAAACTGGCACTGGGGAGAAGACCCAGCGAGCCGGGGATGACACTGGCCTCGTCCGAGATGATGTCACCGAACAAGTTGCTAGTGACGATGATACCGTTGAGCTGTCTGGGGTTCTTGACCATGATCATAGCGGCGGAGTCGATAAGCTGGTGACCGATCTGGAGCTGGGGGAACTCCTTGGCCATGACTTCGGTGACGACCTTACGCCACAAACGGCTAGTAGCGAGGACGTTCGCCTTGTCCAAACTCCACACGGGGAGAGGGGGGTTGTGCTGGAGTGCCAGACGGGCTGCGAGACGGGTGATGCGCTCAATCTCGGTGCGGGAGTACGGCTCGGTGTCCATGGCGTAGCCGCTGCCGTCGTCCTCCTTGCGCTCTCCGAAGTAGATACCACCGGTCAACTCGCGGATGATGTTGAAGTCGACGCCATTGCACACTTCGGGCTTGAGGGGGGAGCTGTTGACCAGCGAGGGAGCCGCAAAGTTGCAGGGTCTCAGGTTACCAAAGGTACCCATTTCCTTGCGCAGCTTGAGAATACCCTGCTCCGGGCGAACGGAGCCTGTACCCCATTTCTACTTCTATTAGTTGATATCCTTTTGTGTATGTAAACGGGGAATGGTCGACGTACAGGTCCTCCAATGGCACCGAGCAGAACAGCGTCAGCGCTCTTAGCAGCGTTCAAGGCCTCGTCGGTCAATGGTGATCCGGTAGCGTCAATTGATGCCTGTAAAGAAGATTTTGTCAGAAGCTGTCTCTCCAGAAAAAGTTAGCACCGAGAAAGAAAAATACTCACACCACCAAGCAAGTGGTCCTGGAGGTTGAAGCTGATGTCATTGCGGCACTTCTCAACAACACGGAGGACCTGGTAATCAGAGTATAGGTTAGTTACAAGGCATGAGATCATTCCCTCAATTGAATTGCGCTATCCGCATATGGCTGGTACGCCATGGCGGTCGGCGAGTGTTTGCTCACCTTGATAGCCTCAGCGGTGACCTAAAGACTGGCTGTTAGTATATCAAGCAGTGGTATGGTCCATATTGGAGTCAACTAACCTCAGGACCGCAGTGGTCACCTCCAAAGACAACAATGTTGAATGACGACATCTTGATAATGTTTCAGGGGGGGATATAATGAGGAGTAATGGAGCGCAGGAGGAAGCTCGACGCAGCTAATAATTATTATATGGTGTATGGCGGGGTGGATGAATTCCAATCCACCCCGCGCGCCGACACCGGAGCCGCAGTCGGCCTAAATGCAACACCAAAAATACAGCTCATGACGCTGTATGATTACCAAATCGTATTGGCTTGCCCGTGACTGGCCATTATGGATTCAGATTGCTTGCTTCTTTATTTTTATGGCAGATAATACTAATAACACAGGGTGAATATATCCACTCGTACACAGGAAAAGATTAAATAGTTAATAGGGCAGCACAGAAAATCCTAGGTAACAAGAAGAACATCAGAAGGGAATACTAAAAATAATGTAGAAGAAGCAAGTATGGGCCTATTTGGACAATTTCCAAACACCCATATAGCAGGTCCGCAAAAATGGACCCAGAAGTTGCTCCCAAGATACTCATCATAAGATGGGGAAAGCCCCATGGCGAGGAGTAAACAAGGGAACTCGCTTTCACAATCTCGAAACAACAGACCGACGCTCCAGAACCATGCACGTAGAACACGTATGCTGTCAAGGAAAGAAGAAATCTACCCCATGGTAGAACGATCGCGAAGTGCACCAAAAAACAAGAACATTTGACCGAAGGGAATGAAGTCCTCATACTGGCATATGGCCAGGTCATCTCAGTATTCATACATGAGCAAGTTCAGTAAACTACTGCTTCTTGCGGTTGGCACGGTCACCCTGGGCCAGCCACTTACTGGCATTGACCAGCTGCACAACGTTGATGAACTGCTTGAAAGCCATGACGGGTGCTGAGATTCCGGTAATGATCCAGGGAAGGGTGCTGTCGATCTTGTTTGCTCGGGCCATCTCCAGAGCACCGGCACTCCAGGGGCTAGCGAAAAGGCTGTTTGGAGCAGGATGGGCAGGGTTTCCAGGTTGCACAGAGGCAGGCTCACCCTGAGCAGGCTGCAGGAGAGAGGGGGAGAGGGTAGGCGAAGAGAAAGAAAGGAGATAGAGGCCAATGAAGAACACCTCGTTAAGAGCACAGCAGATGAACAAGACAGTCTGTAAATACTATTAGTATTTGCCATCATCCACAAGATGTAGAGCTAAAACCCACCTTGCTAGTGTAGTACTGGTACAAGAACCAGTTTCTGCTACGGTCGACCTTCTTGTGGCTCTGGGAGGATCCACCCATGCTCAATGTGGCGTACATGTGCATGTAGTGACTGGCCATGTCCAGAGAAATCAAGCTTTGGAAGATGATAGCCCATCGTGGCCAGGCGGAGCTCAGGAAAACAAGGAGACACGCGGTAGTGCAGCGGTCAGTCACCATATCGAGCACCGCGCCGAAAGTGGTCGATTGGTTGAAGTATCGCGCCGCATATCCGTCGAGAGCATCCAACAGACATGACACACTGTAGAGGATCGAGCAGGTTCGTGGGTGAAGCGGCATGTAGTAGAGGGAAGCGATGGCGAGGAAAATACGTGAATACCCTAATCCGCGAGGAAGATGTTAGATGATCGAAGTGAACCGTACATCAACGACGAAGGGCTCTCATACCAATCAAGTTTGGAGCAAAAAGGAAAATGTTCTCTTTCACCTCCTGGCCAGACGAGGAAGCATTCTTCTTTGAAGGCTTCTCTGCAGTGCCATTCCGAATGGGCGATCTGTTACTTTCTTCGGACTGAGATGCCACCGCGGCCTTTTGTCTTCTTGTTCTAGGACTCATTTTGCTCTATGGAACGTTCGGATATGCGTGGACAGGACTGTCTTGAGACAGAGAAGTGGGATACGATAAGAATGAGAAGCGGATAGCGAATATAAGTGGTTCCGCACAAGAAACAGTAAGCTGGCTTATCTGGAGGATTTGGAGATAATCAGCGGGTCGAGATTAGGAGGGAAGGCTATTATCAAAGTTAGAGTTAGTAAGATGGTATTCTTTCCGGACAAGACAGTAGTATAATGAGACGACCCAAGATAGTGAGAAAATTGATGCAATCTGGTGGTGCTAGAAGGGTCTCCTGAAACACCGTGGACACTTACTCGTTGTTCCCAAGACGCGCGACTCCACCACAGCTGTGTATGTAATAACAAAAGCCCGACGATTCAGGCTACCAAAGGAGCGTAAAGGCGAGGGAAAGACAGATAGTATGAAAATATGATCGTTCAGCTGGAAGATAGAAGATCAGTCAGTCAGGAGACTTTTGGAGAAAGATTCGGCCGTGTGTTATTTGGCGATAAGGTGGCATAGATAAGCAGAAGGGCAGGTATATTTTTCTTCTTCGACTCACGTGTGATTTGCAGAACGGCCAAGTAAACTTCAGTATAGGAGAAAAAGCAACAGGAGACGTCGGAGATCAAAGGAGTGGAAGATTCGAAGAAGACGAAAGAAAGAAAGAAAGAAGAATTGATAGAATGACGATCGCGACCTGCTGGATCTTCGAACGGGACTCTCGGGACCGTCCACAGTGCGCCAGGAGAAGCTTCCCTGGAGGGCTGGAGCGGCTGCTTGCGGAGCCTCCAAACACCGCCCTTGTGCGACTATGCAATGCACACCACACAATAGTCCCAGTTTAGTCGCTTGATATAGCCAGGATGTTTATGAGATGTTTTTTTGAGGGTGTTGTGTGGTTTAACGATACGTTTAAATTGACCCAAAGACTGCACTGACAAAAAAAAAAATTGTATGTAGAGACTGTATGTACACCGAATGCACGAGCAAACTCCAAAGAATATTAGTTACATCTACGGTTTTGAATATACTCATCATCATGTCCGTGACCTGCGCGGATCAGTGGCTTCCTGTCGACGCCATTCTCGAGACTCCTTCGTTCCTAGGCTTCCTAACCCTCCTTCTAGTCGTCGTTCCCATCCGCCTAACCGGATGACGAGGCAGGTCGCGTTGTCTCCGTCTTTGGTCACCTCGGTAGCAAAGCTGACTACCTTTTTAGACGCTTCATCGGGGGTCTTTGCCTCCTTGACAATGTCGACGATCTCTTGATCAAGGAGACTGCCACTGATGCCATCCGACATCATAACCAAGAACGAGTATTCCGCTGGAGCCATCTCCAAACGGTGGATCTCTGGCTCTGCAGACACACCAATACGCTTGGATTGGACATCGCCAAATGAGCGCGTGTTGGCCAACCCGCTCATGCGTTCTTCACCAAAGGAATCAGTCACAAACGTAGCCGCATATCGGCGGAGTCTGTTCGCTTCAATTGGCGACGAGGGATGGTGGTTCGAGGTGAGAGGGATCGCATCGCCCGTTAGGGTAGAGCACAGTAAGATCCTGGTATCGCCAACATGCGACACTAGTAAACTGGAGGGAGCGCTGGGATGCCAAAACGGCGTGGGCGTTGGAGTGGAAATGAGTGCCACACTAGCCGTACTTCCGCCTTTGAACCGCTTCAACCCTCCAATACTCGAACTTGCCGAGCGACGAGTACCACGCAGGATATCATCCTGATATAGCGGCTGATCCGCCGTGGCTAGCTCATCATCCCGCTTGGCCGCTTGGGCCGACACAAAGTCCAGATCCGCACGCAAGAAGGCATATTCCATGACTTCTTCAATGGTGACTCCTTCCGATGGGTCTAGTTGACTCTGTGCCGACATGTCACTTTCCCGGACATCCTTTCCGTAATAGGAAAAATGAGCCGGGATAAATCTTTTGAAGTACCCCCCAACAAGCCTCCTCCAGTTCTGCACCATGTTCTTCTCCAGCTCACCGATTCGCTGACGGTTCGCTCCCTGAAGAATGGGCAAACTTTGTTCGCCGTCGTCAAGTTCGTCTTGGGGAGGCTGGTTCACTTGGTTTCTCTTCAGGTTGGATTTGAACTCGAATTCCGCCGCAGCATTCTGAATGTATTCATGTAGATGATCCTTCAAAAACGTACTGCACTCGGAGCCGCCATGTCCGTCGAAGATCCCAAAGTAGAAAACCTGCGGATCGCCGTTGGCAGTGTCTGCTGCACGGCTCTCACGAGGAGGCCCAGACTGCGCACCAGCACCAGGTCGCCGAATCGTCAGAGATGCCGGCGGACGCTTCGCAAAGGCGGGGATATCAATCACGCCAGCTTGGTGAGCATCTTCGTTGGCAGGGCGGGTGCCTCGGTTGGTCGCCGCGCCATAGTGATGTTTCGCGCTGCGTAGCGGAATCCGGACAACGGTAGTCTCGCGGCCTACCAGCGTCTGGAACGAGAGCGGAGTTTGCGGTGTCTCTCCTGTATGAGGTACTGATGCAGCGCGAGGCAGTTTATGAAAAGGAGTTGTTGGGCCTCGAGGGTCGGGATGGAGAGAGGAGGAGGGTAGATGGGTTACGAAGTAATCATGGAACTCGCGGCGCTTCGAAGCACCCTTGCGCGACGAATGATGAGTGCTGTAATAATGTTTGCAAGGAAAAATGAAGCCTGATACACAGAGAAAATGGTTAGCAAAGAATGCTGCTATCAACAAAGACTCGTGGAACATCCGGATTACGCGGCTGAAGTTGGACAAAGACATACGATAACTGTCGGCCAAGGTCCAGACCTGGACGGTTATTCGCTTCGTAGGAGTCGGAATCATGAATGTCGAGGCATTGAAAGAGCCAAAGAGGGCCTAGGGAAAAAGAATTGTATGATCAAGCAGGAGAAGGGAAGGATAGTAGGTGCATGGTCTGGTCAGTGACGAGTGGAGGGGAGAGAGGGATGGATTGGCGGGACCGAGCGTAATAATGCGACGGGGAGATGCAACGGCAGTTCACCGATTCGAGTTTTTTTTTATTATCCCCACGCTATCACGACATGAGTAATGGGTTTGTTTGAAGTGGTTCCTCTTACTCATCTAGTAGAATTTGTTGAGAATGTGAGATTTAAATAATCTGGACTGTGCTCTATATAATCCCTGATCCCATCACATCCAGGGAGGGAATAGAACTACTCCGTCACGGATTGCTGCTCGTAATCTTATCGCCCCAACGGACAAGTCACTCCTCCATGCCAGAAAGAACTCTTTTTATCAAGCTGAATGTCGATCATTTCTACTTTCTAGAGCTTATCTCCTTTATGAATCCCTGTAGTCGGGAAGGCACGAAAAAAGAACTGGAAGTCATGGCTCAATTCCATCAAGGCTAGCTATGAGTATGGATTTTGAAGGCGAAGTTGTAATACAAATCCTCAAATCATATCAACATCTGCATCCAAAACTTCCCTGAAAGCCGTTTAATATCCATCAACATCCTCTGTCTTGTTTTTGTTTTTTTTTTTTCTTCTTTTGTTCAGAGGAGTGACTATGAAAGCATGATGCAAACTGAATATCGAACAAAGTCAAGAGAAAACAACGACAAAACCTCAAAGATCTCAACAAGGCAAAGTCGATCATAACAAATGATCATCAAACTTGTTTGACTGATATGATAATCCCAGGGGCATATCTCACTGATTCACAGGCACAGGCACAGGCACTTGCACTTCAGGCACTTCAGCAGGCATTTCCCTTGCAACTTCCACCTCGCCGTGCTTTGGCGCTGGTCGAAGCAGCACATTGGCCATGTACACCAACTTGATATAGTTGGCATGGGCAGAGTTATTGCGAATCCTGATCTCAGGCGTGATCCCCAGCCTGACTTTATTGTCATCTTTCTTCAAAACTTGTGGGTCGCCCGTGATGAATGTGTCGCGGTTGATCATCGTCGCGGGATCAAACGGCTCATTCGACTCTGAGAAATACGTTTTGTATTCGAACGGAACAGAGTACATCTCGATGGAGAGTGTCTGCGCGTTGATAATGATTGCGCATAAATCCGACCAGGCTTGAACGTTCGAATCAAGAGTAAAAGGCCCAACCAGATGCCACAGCTTGGATGCGTGTTCGTGAGCTCTCCTAAGGCAGAATTCGCCAAATCCAGGTTGACATTTGAGACTCTTCACTTGGTTCATCATGGCGATGACCATGAGATGACGGATCGGCGATGGAGTGTCTGTTACGTCACATTAGAATGTTGAAGAAGAGAAAGAGAAAAGAAAGAAACATACCAGGAAAGAGCTGCTTTTTGACCGCGCCAATCTCAGCATCAGCAGTCTCATCGAACCCCTTGACGGCGGTGATCTTCAACACATTGTGAATGAGATAGGAGTTGATCGCCTTGGCGACGAGATGAAAGCGAGTTGTTGCGCTGTTGAGGAGGTACGAAGCGCTACCGCTATCTGAGACGGCCATGACATAGTTCTTGACCTTTTTATCCAGCTGGCTATCCCGGTAGACGTTCGGCACGTTGGCGTGGGTAAGACCAAAGGCCTCGCTCTTCGACCACAGCTCATTGAACTTGACAGCCAGCTCTGACATGCATTTGTTATGGTCAAAGTGCAACGCAGGGAATGGACTCTGAGGACGAACGATACTCGGCGACAATCCAAGCTGCTGCTCATACGTGAAGGGGTGCGACATGGGGACAGGAGAGTTCGACGCAGGCGCAGCGCAGGCCATAGTCCCATTGACATCGTATCTCGGAGGAGGGTGGTCATAAACCCCAGAAAACTGCGATCTCGTCGAAAAGGGCGTGTCAAACGGGGAGTTGACCTGCCCAGTTCCCTGGCGGTGTGGAGTCATAGGAAAAACGGGGACAACAGCGGACTGCTGCTTGCGAAGGAGTCTGGGGTCAGAGATTGTCTTACTCTGGTTGCTGATGGTGGTTTTCTGCCTCTGGACAAGGTCTTCCAGCTCCGCGACCCTAATCTTGAGGTCGGTCATCGTTTCAGCGTCTTGGGCGACACGCAGCTGGGAAGCGTTCAACTCGGCCTCCATGCGTTCAAACCTCTCCAGGGTGGTTTTGAGATGGCTCCGGAGGTTCACCATCTCCTGATCTATGGCCTGCTGCTGGGAGAGAGCAGCGAGGGTTGGATTCAGCATGATTGGGAGCTGTGACGGGGATCTAGGTGGTCCATAGGAAGAAGGTGCATGAGAAGCCATCTTGAAGCTGGCACGCAAAGAATTTGTCACTCAAAGGATTGCCAAAAGAAGATAAAGACTCCTCGAAAGAAGTTGCAGTCTTAAAAGAAAGACTTTGTCAACAAGTTTCCAAGAAGACTTTAGTCAACGACGAGGGGCAAAAAGAAAAAAAAAAGAAAAAAAAAAAGAATCTTCTTCAAAACAAACAAGGGACAAATAAAGACGACGGCCAGACCAGGCTAGAAGGTGACAGATGGCCAGCCAGGAATGAATATAGACGGGAAGTCCGACCAAATGAGAGAGGCGAAGTGAGTTGAAGTGCATGGATATAACGGAAGACACTGCCAGTGAAGGGGGGTGGAGGGGCTCTAGAGGGCTATCATCGGCATCTTTCGGCCATCAAGAGTCATACAGGGTCAGTATACAAGATTTGATGACATCTGGATTGGCATTTCTGTCTCATGTTGCTATACCAACTACTCAGAGGCCAGGAAAGGTGGTTTCTTTTTGATTCTGGACATGACCGCTGATGATAGAAGACTTGGGCCAGCCAGATGGCTACACATGCCTCAATTGGCTCTTAGGAAGGCTGTTATAGATTGGATCTTGCGGTCTTGCTGGACGTTACTTCAATTCAGTCTAGTCGATATCAAGACTAGAAGCGTTATGCCCGCGAGAATAAAGCGTAGCCTCCCTTCAAGATGTCAAAACATGAAGCCACAAGACAGACTGAATTCCCAAGGGCTTGGTGATTTAAGTTTGCGCAGGAACACTGAAACAAGATATCCAGGCTGCACAGAAAGGGATTGACGTCGGATATCGGATATCGGCTTTTGCACTTCAGTGAATGAAGCTATTGAATGAGCCTCCCCAGCCTCCACAATTACAAGTAAACCAGAACAGCAGAGCAAATAAAGCCTACTGGCCTGGGTGGATACGAGTGGATACCATTTGGGATTTGACATGGGATTTGATATTCCGTGGCAGGCATACAGTGTGGCCGTACGTTGTAAACAAAGCGACGGGTTGTAAACCCCACTGACTACAAATCTTCGGGGGAAAATACGAAATCTTAATGTAGAGGTATAATTTGTAGATTGCAATGATGCAATATGCAATATGCAGGTTCCTATAAACAGATCATTTCACACCGGGCCCTTTGGCTCATACAAACAACCACGAAGAAAAAAAGAAAAGAAGAAGCAACATGTTGAAAGATTGGCACCTACCAGGGGCAGTGTCATCCAAGCACCAAGTCGAAGCAAAAGGAGTTCAACAACAGCTCAAGGTCAAAGTGTGGTCCTGCCGTCACGAGTTGCGCCTAGTAACGATTATTAGATGAAATACCTACCATCTTGCCAGCTTTGGTAGGTTCTTAACGCGAGGTCGAGAGCTCTAGATAGCTTTGGTTCGGGAGAAAAGACTGCTGTAGACAGCGTCAACAACGGGCTGGGCAGTAATCTGTTTCCCACCGAAGAATCGTCCGTTCAGACCCTTGATGGCATTTTCACCACCCTGCACTCGGTCAAACTTGAGATAAATGTCGCCTTGAGAGTTCGGATCTAGTGCAATGTGAACAACATGGCCATATTTCTCTTCGCACTCAGCGCGGACGTCATCTTCCAGCTCTTTAATCCAAGCCTCACCCTCTTCTCTGTTGGATTGTTAGAATTTGTAAACCACAGTAGAATTATGGGAAGAAACTTACTCAGCAGGGTCAAACATATCGCGAAGCATGACACATCGACTCGCCATGTTAACATTAACGGGAAGTGGCTTTGTTTCTGTCTTGGGTCGGAGCATTTTTTGCTTGTCGTCGGCAGAAGGCTCGGGTTCATCTGTTCTTGCAAGCTTCCTCATCAATGCGTCTCTACTGTAGTTGTTGAAGTTCACACCGGCAACGTCTGTGTCATCCAGAGCACTGGCCCCAGCACCCTTTTCGGATTCCCGGCCGCCAGCACGGTCGAAATTGTTATTTCCTCCAGCTTGAACACCACGTCCTCCCTGACCGGAGAAGGAAGAACCCTGGAAATTTTGTTGGTTTGCACCTTGGCTCTGCACGCGTTGCGAAGTCGACTCAGGGGTGAACTTATCATTGCCAAGGCCAACGCGGATTGCTCGACCAGCAAGGTCAAAGCCGTTCATCTTTTCCAATGCCTCTCGGGCTTGGTTGGGATCCCGGAACCTAAGAAACTTGTCAGTGACCTGGAGCAATATCGGCGAACGGCTCATAGTGTATACTTACTGCACAAAGCCATAGCCTCTGCTTCTGGCAGTATCATCCTTTTGCAATTGAACAAACTCGAGTTCGCCAAATGGCTCAAAAACATTCTGGAGGTCACTTTCAGTGATACTGAAATGGATGTTACCCACATACAGCCTGTGAAATGGCGCCGAGTGATTGGTTCCACTGCTGGCCTCGGGGTTGCGAGCCTGGCGGTTCTTCTCAGCTTCAGTCAACTGCGCAATGATTGGTATTCCTAGAAGCTTTTGCCCGGTAAGCTGGATAGCAGGAAGTACTGAATCCTCGGATTTGAACTCGACGTAGCCAACACTAGACTTGTATTAGTAAATTTGATATTCTCCAGGAGCCAGAAACATACCCTTTAGATCTTCCACTGACACGATCTTTAACGATCTGAGCTTCCTTAACAGGGCCAACCTTTTCAAAAAAGGCGATCAACTCCTTCGTTCTCAAGCGGGCGGCAAGCTGCTGCACGAAAATGGTACGTCTATCACGCTCGTCTTCAGTAGGCTCGGGGGTTTTACTGCGACTCTTTGGGCTTGGGCTACGTCTGCGACCGTCTCTTTCGCGGCGAGAGCGCCTGTCGTCGTCACGACGCGAACGGCCCGAAGGGCGGTAGTAGCGGTCATCAACGGGGGACCGAGAGCGAGTGCGAGCACGGCCGCCACCGCGGTAGAAATCACCACCGGAGCGGTGGTCGTCACCGCTGTAGCGATCACCACGACGAGAGCGGCGACTGTCGCGGCTCCTGCTCCTCTTTCTGCTTCTATGGCTTCCGTTAGCACTGCCGTGTTCGCTTCTCGGACTCCTCATGTCCTCATCCCCATCGGCGTCCCGCCCACGACACCGGTCACGGCTGCGTTCTCGTCGTCTGCGCTCTCCTTCCCGCGAGCGGTCGCGGTCACGGCGGTCCTGGTCGGCTTTGGAACGGTCATCACGGTCATTGGATTGTGCGGAATCCTGGGGCGCGGGGGCCGCTGTAGACTCGAGAAGAGCTTCAACGTCGAGACCTGACATATCGATCGATTATGCTAAATAACTCCTCTTCCCTGGATAGAGCTGAAATAGAAAGGGAGATAGCGTGGAGACGGGAGGGTTTGGGTCACTTTGGTTTCGTTAGAGCGCGACGGGGCGTATTCAAGCTTGATTTGCGCGAACCCTTCTTCTGTTTGAAATCCCAAATCCTTGCAGATTTCCTGCGCCAGTAGACACTTTCAATATATATTGAAAACAATGATATTGTAATGGTTTTATTGCGGGCCGAATGGATTTGGTCGTGGTGAGAGACAAACATCGAAGTTCAAGGTGAGGTGAAAAGCAACCATGATCACATGACACTTGGCATTTGCCTCCTATCAAACTTTGTTGGCGAACCATCTATTTCAATCACTACCATCGACATCTATTTTGTCTAAGATGCCAGTCAAATTGAACTGATAGATAGAAAATATTCAAATCAACTTTACACAGCTCTTACAGCGCGTATCTGAAGATATCATTTATAAAACAAGATGAAGGAATCATTGAGCAGGCAGCCGAAGCTGCAATCATTATGTATTAAGTAGTCATATACACTCATAGGGATAGTTCCTTAATAAAAAAACAACCTGGCCAACGAAGTCATGATCACGTATGCCGTGTGGCATCAAAATCGCCAATACTGCCCATGACAACCGAGACAGGATTCACTGTACATGAAGAAAAGATATAGCAGAATTATAAAAGATGAGTTCAACCCTTTTCACCCAAAGAGCGAAGATTGAAGACCAGGCCATATAAGTAGCCTAGTCTTACCTCATTGTAAGAATAAGTGTGTACGGGCGAAGAATCGAACATTCGCTCAATGCGAGGATTATAAATGCGTTGCGGGATTGTGGGTTGCTTTACTGGGTCTTCACATCCTTGGGTGCCGGGGTCTCGAGCTCAGTGCCGAAAACCTTGTCCCAAAAGCGGCTGGTCACACCAAATCCATTCTCGAAGTCGGCGAAATGGTGCTGAAGGTGGTATTTCTTCAGCTGCTTGTAGTAGGATGGGAGGCTGTCATGGGATTAGCATGGAAATATCAAGTATGTTAGCTATATAGAACTCACTTTCGGTGATGTAGGAAGTAGTGGGTCAGATCATAGCATATGTACCCGAAGACGCCGCCACAGTACACCATCAGAGCAGCATACCAGTTGTAGAAGAAGACGGTATGAGCCAGTTTCCAGAATGGTGCAGCCAGAACGACGAACAGAGTAGGTGGCATGACAAGTCGGTATTTGTCCATTGGCAGGTAGTGATGAATTCCGTGAAGGAGGAAATGCAGCGTGATACCCACTCGGTTGTCGGGAAGGACCCTGGAATATGATTAGATACTAATGCATTGCATACAAGAGCACGGATACATACCCGTCAATGTGGAATAAGAACCTATGCATGAGATATTCAATCAAGGACCAGAGGCAGACACCGCCAATCCAATAACCCGCCGCGGCAACCGGATTCCCCAGTCCAGCAAACCCAATCAAAGACCCATAGGTCACCGGAGGTAGCCACACCATCGGGACAACATACCATGCTGTCTTGCTCAGGGGCTCCAAAAAGTTGCCGAAGAGTGGTGCTGATTCTCCGCCCCTGTAGTGACGAGGACGATGGATCTGCTCCAAGTAGAAGTCTTTGCTAAAGCCGCTGTTCCAAAGCTGCATGAGCAGTGGCTTGTTGAGATCCAAAAACTTGTGCGTTTGGTAATCCTTTTGGGGATCGGTGTCGACGGACAAATCTTCCTCGCGAGACATACCGGTAGTGGCATACACCGGCTGGCCGTTTGAAGTTTCCGCTCCGGTCGTTGTCGCAGTATCGGTGCCAGCATTTTTCGAGGTAGATTCGGAAGAAATGAAACCGACGAGACTATCGTCTAGGATTTCGTAGGCTGCTTCCGAGTGTTCGTGAGAAATCTCATCGCGCATGATTTCTTTCACATCTTTGCCGGCGTAGTCGAGAATCAAATCGCCACCTCCGGGATGATCACCGACAAACGAGGTCAAGTCGTAGACCTTGGAGCCCAGAGTCACATAACAACAGCTGGCACTATTCCGAGCCTCAACCTCGGCGCGCGTAAACGTTGGCAGAACTCTTCCAGGCATCATCGATTAGGGGGTAAGAGCCCAAAGAAGTCGACACTAATGCAGTATGCGATCGTAGGACAGCAAAACGGTGGTACGGTAGCGAGGGGTAATATAGCAGAATCGGGTGCTTCACGAGTCGATGTATCAGGCAACGCGACAAAAAGGATGCAAGAGAGGTGGCGTGAGGGTCAATAGGTGTATTAAGGATCACGGGTCCGATCGCTCCGAGGCAAAATTCGATGTTTTTGCTGCGCAACAGGAACCAATCACTGAAACGAAACAGTAATCACTGCATGCCCCCAACCAAAGACATGCAAACAAAATTAGTATGAATTTCAAACCTTGTAACAGGCTGAAGCAAAAAAAATACGATTAGATTGCGGTGATCAAGGTGGACGATATGATTAAAAAAAAAAAAATAGCTGATACTGAAGACTCCTTGGATCACGTTGTCCGGCATGCCGGGGGGAGATCGGTGACTAGTCCCTTTTGGGAATAGAAATTACCCCTGGCCTGACAGTCTTCACGCCCTAAGCCCTATCTTGGGATCTGTTTTCGGACATGCAATCATCATGCAATGTCGACAATAATATCAAAGTGATATCAAACGGTTATCATTGCCAGGAATATGGATACGGCCCTCGCTTAAGCTGCGGATGTAGCTTTCGCGGATGCAGGGAAGAAAGAGTATAACTGGCAATATGGCGCTCGGATATTGAGTATGTATTGATGACTCCTTCAGGAATGTGCAGAAGACGCAGGCAACTTGAAGTCAATCATCCAGTCTGTACCTGTTTTCGCTCGTTTTCCAGTCGAGGATCTGACGGAAAGCTCATACCAACAGTTTCATAGTCTATCGAATCCAAGGTGTTGGAACCGCGAATCCCAGGGCGGACGCATTACATATCAGGTTGCCTGAAACGAGTCTTCGAACTGACACCTCTTCTTGAACTCGACAGGCGTTGCTAGATTCACCTTACGAACTGGATTACGGAGTACTCTGGATTTGCCTCGTTGAAGCCACGTGGAATTCATTTGCTGCCATATCCACCAAGCGGGCTGTGAAGGTATACGGACCACAGGGTGGTCTTGTCGATACTCTTGTTTCCGCCACCCGGTCTCGACACTTGTTTATGACGTGTAGTTTCGGTTCAGCGGATTGAGCAAGCTCAACGTGAAGTACGACGCTCAGAACTAATCAAGTAGCACGAGGATTGCCCCTGAGGATGTAGTGATACCTGGGTCGTATATGGAGCACAGAGCACAGAGGCCAACCGCCCTAGGAAGGTGACAGCTGAACCGTGAAGTGCTCCATCTGCACCAAGAGAATGCTGTAATACAGATGTCTACAGCCCCTGGAAACCAAAGCAACAAATTCGACTTTGAAGCAACGCTGATAGAAGGCAGATTGCAGAAGGCTATACGAGTCAGGAAGGCAAACGGTGCAAACAGACTAGTCGCCTTGCGAGGCGATCCGCTGAACACTTGAAGCCAGTCAAATTGGACTAATTAAAGACCATTACTCGATCTGTCGAGTCGGAATTTCCCAGGTATTAATATTTGAGACTTGAAAAGAAAACGAGAGACAGGAAGAGACCGGGAGAGGCGACGAAAGAGTTTTCCATTTTTGCCCAGGCGCGTAAGACCTCGTCCACCAGTCATTTCGTTAAACTTTTTACTGCTGTCAACAACAGACGAAACATGTTACAGAATGGCGATTTCTGGTCCAGTCGGAAGGTTGGCAGATGGCAAAAGGACTCCAGTTCAGCTGCGATCGCAGTGGGTTGCATCCGGTGGGCGTCGTACTTTTGTAACATACAGTAACAATGGATGATTTATCGTGTAGGAAGCCAATTCCGGCCAGGGAGAGCGGGGAATTATTTATATTTATTATTATTGCAGCTGCAAGCCTGCAAGAGCTGCATCTCTATATCTCTCTGCCTGTACAGCTGAGATATCTCAGGATTGGATCTATCCTTCTGTGGGTTGAAGTGGAAATGACACAGTGTCACTATTATTATTATTATTATTTCGACTGTCTCAACAGTCGGAATCTGTCTCGAGTCAACATCTTCTCAGCTCTCAACCCTTCTTGGCTCTTCCCCATCCACCAAATCAATAGTCTCTCCCGGGGGAAATTGTTGGTGTTTCGGGGAGAAACTTAAGTCGTCCCGACATAACGGTTTTCCCCCGTAGGATTACTGCTAGGCAATGCACCGTACTAGTGAAAGAATGAATCCAAAGAGACAGACTTAGCAGCGTTGAAACAGTGATAGACGATCATCATCAGCTCCCCTAATTCTGTCTAGGACCGGAGAAATGGAAAAAGGGACGACTTAGTTACTTAGATAGGGGATCAGATGGACTCTGTCGAGGCAGATTAATATAGCATCGTATTATTGTACTCCAGTGATAGACTGATGATCAGCAGGATTCACAATGCTTACTCCTCACTTTATGTGTCTTTTTTTTTTCCTTTCTTTTTTTACCTTTCTTCTTCGTACTTTTTTTCTCTCTTTTTTTCTTTTCTTTTTTTCCTCAATGCAGTCGAATGTGATTAAGATTGTCATATTCTGTACGACATGCATATTTCACATACACACTGACCAGCGTTAATTGAGGGTGGTCCAAAAACTGCCCTGGGCACCGCAGGCTGGATGGAATCCCCCTGAGTCTCCATCTCGGCATCTCCATCTTGCTTTCTCTTTGTCTGTATTACTAGCTGTCAGAAAAGTGGAGTTGCTGGCCAACTGTTAATCCTACTATCCTAGAGTCGAGACCTTTTTGCTATTTATTTAACTACTATTATTGTTCGTCCGATCCTACGATTCCCTCTCCCTCCCTCTCTCTTTTCCCTTTGCCCTACCAAAAAAAAAATAATCACCCTCTCCACATCTCCTCCAATATGGAATCCTCCACATCCTCCGAATCATCTTTCCCCGGTAATCGTTTAATTGCCTATCTTCAATCCTTGGCTGTCACCAAGCAAGGTTTACCCCATGGCTTGCCCGTTTGTGTCGCCGCCTCGCATACTATCACCACCACCGACGCCCTCGTTCAGCTGGCTTCTGCTGTTGGCCCGCACATCGCCATCTTCAAGGTCTTCGCTGACATTGTTGACGACTGGTCCGAAGAAACAGTCCTTCGTTTGAAATCGCTGGCAAGAAAACACTCGTTTCTCATCTGGGAGGGTGGCCGCATCCTCAATTCGACCGTCAATGTTATTGGAAAGCAGGGCACAGACTCAAGAGAGGTCAAGAATGAATTGGTGGACTTGATACGGAAAAAGTACACCAAGGGAGTCATCAGACCCGCATCGTGGGCGGTCATTGCCACGGCTTGGGCATCCGGTGTTGCGGTGGACAATCAGGAAGCAGATATCTTGATCCCCACATTGAAAGCGGCGGCGAGAGAGACAGTGGCAGACACTGTGCAGACCATCAGAACAGAGATCACAGCGGACAGCCCTCCGAATGGCGATTACTCTCCCGCTGAAGCCAAGCCAGACCTTGAGCCTCTTTCTCCCCGACAGCATCTCACTTCGGATTATGTTGCAGAGGAAAACGGGCTGGGACTTCCTCTCCGGAAAGCCTCGACGATTTCTCTTACTCAGACTATTACACAACACTCAGAGGATTCCTCGGAAGTGCCCTCGGAGCCAGAGGAATATAAATGGGAGGACATTCCTGAAGACGCCGAGCAGCAATCGCCTGTCGCTTTGAACGACGACCTCCCATCTCCTCCACTCCTCGCACGAGGTCTTGTGCTCTGTCTGCCCTCTGTTACCGACCCCTCGTTTACCCCAGGCTACAGGCAGAGCTGCATAGCTGCTGCTCGTGCCAACCAGGACTTCATTTTGGGATTCCTTTGCAGTGAGCCATGGCATATGATTTCTCAGCAAGACGATATATTTGAGGTTGAACCCGAATACGAGCGGAAGATCCGGACAGCAGAGCGGGTTGAGGACAACCCTCATTACCTGGCCGTTTTCTCCCTCGTCTCTCACCGAATGAACAAGCTGAACGGCAAGCATATTTCGGAGTATGACGAGGACAACGACAACGACAGCAACATCGACGAGCTATCAAGTCCTACCACCCCTATGGCAAGGAAATTTGGAAGCCCGCTGAACCCGATGGCAGAGAAGCTCCACGCTGTTTTGGAGCAAGCAATCAAGTTCCGAGATGCATCCAGCAAGAGCAAGGACAATGTGGAACCCGACACTTGTTCAACAAGTGACCGACGGATTCTGCATATCCCCATTGTGTCACTGCCATGATGAACACGCTGCTTTTTTTTTTTTTTATATATAATATTTTTTCTCTATTTGTTTTGACTGTGATTTTGTTTCAATTGTTGATTCCCATTGCCATGGACGGCTCGATCGGCATATTAGCGACTGTCATATTAAAAGCGTTTTATATTTTGGGCTTACTGTTTTCATTCCACTTTTTTTCGTTCTTGTTCTCTGGCAGAATGCCTATGCCAACTTTTGAATTCGCCACTGGAAAGGATTCGTTGGTGTGTTTTGACAACTATAACCATTAGCTATTATCATCATCAAGCGATATTACAATATACCGATGTATATAAACAAAGTGGGCTTTAGAAACTATCCGTGATATTAGGAATACAGCACTGTTATCATTAATTGCTTCAATAATCAAACCTTTACCAAATCTCCAATCCCTTGAATATTCATTTGTTGCCCACAAGTCACATGACATCACTGAATGGCGATTGTTCAACGATGAATTCCAAACCTCCACCAGATCAACCATCGTCCAAAATGCGTTTTTCACTATGCTGAGCCTCTTTTCTTGCCATCCGCAACTCCAGCGATATTTATGGGAATACTAACTTACCCCACCCGAGGACCGTTTTTGCAATGCCATCCCCTTTCCAGAGCAATGTGGGATGTGTCGAATTTACAAGTTGGATTCTTCAGTAACTAGCCGACTTTAAAAGGGCTGTTCAGAATACCCATTTATTATGGATTCGAATTATCCCCCATTACCTACTACGGGAGGGCTAGGGAGCTCTTTCCAGGCCCTGTCTCTCCACCATATACCTCCCAAAACTGTATCTGTTACCCCGAGTTCTTATGAGCCAGGACAGCAACCAGGAAATGGCGAATCTCCAGAAGATCCCCAACACGCTGCAAAAGTCATATCGGGAAATGGGGACGTGATTATCGACTACACCGATCGGGATGTTGTTTCCTCTTCGTCGTCGAAGACGGCTAGCCATCGTTGGCAGGTCGCCAGTGGTGATTTGATGCAGAATAGCCCTTATTTCCGGGCTTTGCTTGATCCCAACAAGTTCTCTGAAGGTAGGGATTTCATGAAGCAGAAGGCTGTGCAAAAAAGCCACAAGCCAGCTCCGAATGGCCAAGATGCGAATGAAAATATTATCTTGCAGAGTGCCCTTCCAACCGTCAGCCTTCCTGCAGACCAATTTACGCGGAGGCTGGGAGTAGATGCCCTTGAACTGTTTTTGAGGGTTTTATCTTCGAACTCCTTGGGCAATGGGGAGGAAAGAATCAATTTCGAAGGGGAATTGAAATCCCAGCCTCCATCTCTGATTGCCCGGTTGGTCGAGATTGCGGATGTCTTTAATTCCCCAAATGCAGTCCGAGAAATCTTGAAAAAATCAGGCTATGCCTTTGGGAAGGGAAAAACCCCGGTCACCAAATTCAATCCTTCGTTGTTGAAGTTGAATGAGGATCGTATTCGTCAGATCATGTTCATCGCGCACTTCCTCGACGATCAAGTCGTCTTTCAGGTCTTTTCACATACCTTGATCGTCGTTGGGTCGAAATACTGGCTCAATAGCGTTGAACCTCCTGCTCCAGATACCCTTCGTTGGCGGTACTTTTCCAATGGAATCGAAGGTAAATAAATACTTCTTTTTTTTTTGTTTCTCTCTCTTTAACAAATGCTAACCACACCTTTAGAGGAATTATACTACAGACGACAATGCGTCCTAAACACAATAACAGACCTACAAGCATATTTTCTTCGAGCCTACGGCGCCCTCGAAGAACTCGACGATCCCAAACCAACCACCGCCCCGGCACCTGTCACATTCACAACCACCATCCGACCCCGTACATACCAATGTCGTTTTGGATACGGCAATTCCAGCGCCTGCGACGCTTTCCACCTAGGCCAAATGACCCGGTTCTTCGCTCTACGCACCAAAACCATATTCTTCGGGTCTACCCTCATCGATCCTGACTTCAGCCTGGATTCCGACGAAGAAGAAGACCAAGATGACTACGACGCAAATGATAACGCCAACGCCGCAGCGGGGCGCCCCCAGTCCGGCCCATCATCCGACATCACAGCCCTCCTTGCGTCCCTCAAACAATGTCCCGACTACCAGATCGACTCAAGCCACCTTGGATGCGGTGTACGGCGCCGCTTCGTCCCCCCACTGGATTGTATTGAGCGATTCGTGGGCGATGGTAGAGGTTTACTCGGTATTGTCCTTCGACTTTGGGATAGGAAATCGCCACTTACTTCCTCCTCCTGGGCGAATCGGTCACTCCGAAGGGCTCGCGCGGTTGATGTCCGTTTCTCCAAAATCAATGCAATCCACTATACCACACCGGGGCCATTACGTTCTAGTTCGCAGGAAGAAGATGCCCGGCTGTTTTTTACCGCGAAGAAACGGAACTGGGAATCCTAGGTGCTGCTTCCGGTTTATTTTCTGCGCTGATTACAATGTTACGACGTCATTTACTGGATACGACGAAAACATGATGAATAAAAATTATAGACGTTTTGGTTAAAAGGATTTTGACTTCTTTTTGAATAACGTTGTATAGGGTTAGAGTGATGTTTAGTTGAGTATATATCAAAATATAGAGCATAAAAATGATAACGATATGAAATCAATGAGTCATTGCCACAAATCTAAAAGTAACAACCCAGATACTTATAGCGCCAAATATATTAATAAAATTGACGAAGTCTAATGCAGATGATCGTACATGGCCTCGCGGCATTTCTCTGTATATAGGACTGGTCCTCTTGGCCAGTTTGAACAAGGGGGATAATGAAAGACAGGGACTTGTTGGGGTTCACCTCAAGTCGACCATAATGCTTCTGCAACCCCATATAGCTCAAAAGACAATAATAATAATGATTGTTTCTTGAGAGGGTGCAAATGCGTGCTGATAGAATGCAAAAATGTCTTCAGTGAAATCAGAACAGTATTAAAAGAGAGTGGTTTTTCCAAGAAAAAGAAAGAAGGCCCCAAGAGATAGACTGATGGATACCAGTCTATTTCAATAAGAACCATGGCAACAACTCATTGTGTACGCGATTATGCTCGCGTCCTCGACTTTTTTGACAGCGAAATACCGTAAATGGAAATAAATTCAGCATATCGGATCGTTCCAGACATACCCCAGGTCTAAGTCAAGGTTTGATGCCTCGGGAAAAAAAGACCCTGTTATCTGCCCAGTAGTTGGATCATATGGGAGGCAATCATCATAGCTTTCACGGACAGCGAGTGGTTTTTCGGTCTTCATGATATCTAGTACATCGGACGGTTCAAGGGTATATGACACCGGGGCGGCAAGAGGGGTGTTAGATTGATCCATTGGCGAACATATGATTGAATCAAGCTCGGCAGCCAAAACATCGGCTGTTGCAGCATTTGCAGCAGTAGCAGCATCAAACTGATCATCGGGTGAAGCTTCGGTAGTTGCCTCACTGCTGCATGTAAATTCACTGATATCGACCCCAACATGGGATGCAAGACGACGCATAAAACCATCACACAGTTTCCAGGCCCTTTCTGAGGCCATATTCGATTGGGAAATGGTGGATAACCATTCCAGGGCTTTTTTGGCTGCCTTCGAAACCATATTTGATTTCTCAGGGACATGTTGAGTGCGGAAAGCAAGCTCGAGGAGAAGAACCGTAGTTGCCTGCATAAGGAAATGAAGTATACACCACCATGGCGAGATTCTGTGAAGAAGTGCGGCATCAGAGGAGTCGGGAAAGAGTGTCAACATGTGGCACGCTGATTCGACACACTCCGCTGCTGTCTTACTACAAGAATCGTATTCCCTATCACCTTGTTGCATCATGTCTAACCGGCAAAGACACGGCCTTGTAATTCCGATTTTGGTGCTGTAGAATAGGAATGCAAGGCTCATCCTTTGGCTCATGGGACACTGTGATGTCTGTGTCGATGTGAAATCATAGGGAGTGGGAAGATTCATGAACCATGAATCAAGTTCAAGAACTAAGCTCTGAATTGTAAACTCAGTGCTGGGCCAAGGCGAGTGGGCGGCCTCTGGACTATAAAGCTTGATTGTCATTCGCTTAGAAATCGAGATGAGCTTGGTCAGTTGAAGAAAGTATAGCGACATGCAAGGCGGGAGGCCCTTCAGATACTCGGCCTTGTTGGTATCCGTATCTTTCGGGTTGGTGGCTGTATCGTTGGAATCAGATTCCGCAGAAGAGTTTAGGCTGCATGTGCTGGAAACAGTGATTCTTTCCAGCTGACTAGAGCTCCCCCTTGCCGCATCACTGATTTGGCGGGCTACCTCTTCTTTTTGGAAGTCACTTTCGTCGAATGGAACTGGAAGAGGTGTTGAGCAGGCACTGTCGATGATACAGGAGGGTCTTCCCGTTACCACACTGAGAAGGTACTCTATGGTGTATAAGGACCACCAAACTCGATACCTTATCTCTTTTGAGGTATCAGAAGTGCATGTTCCCACATTACGTAGATGCAATCCAAGAGCTAAGGCCCCGCGGATAGCACCTCCAAGTAGTATCCAAGACCTGGACCAAATTGTGAGTATACCTAATCCATTTGGGAGATATTTGCAGCTCTGAAACAGTGCAGACATACCGATTGATGTGGCCCAATGCTAGTAGATAGAAAGAGGCAAGTCCTTCGACCTGGAGCTGTTGCAGGTCTGGGTGATGGAGAAGCTGGTCATCAAGACTCAAAGCTCTTGCTCGAGAAAAATATAAATAATGATCATCTTCATCACCTCTCCATTCCGCATCAGTAAGGTGAGAATATTTCGCACCAACCGCAAAAATCAAATTCAGTATCGCGAGCCACTTGTTTCCTGGCTTTAAAGATGGCTGATTAAAGAAAACCTGGAACTGCGAAATAAAAGTCGAGATGCCTATAATAGGAAAAGAGGGGTGCACCGAGGTAAGATACGCATTGAAGAGTTTAGTGGCAGTATCTCTCGACGGGACGTCATGGGCATCAAGTTGCTCGGGGGCAGGTATTTCCAGGTCATCGAGATAGTAATTCGAAGAAACGACACAAGGGTCGGTCTGTCCCTCGGCTCTAGGCGTCAAAGTTGGGGAGGGTAGTCCACCGGTATCGGTTATATCGGAAGCACTTGATGGCCAAACATCGTACTTTTGATTGATTTCTCTACTTAGTTTTTGTAGCCAAGCGATCTCTGAGCTCTTGCCAATAAATCCCGTGGCACGCGCCGTCTCGTCCCTATTGAAATCCTCTTCCGTCTGGTCGACGGCTTCGAAAGGCCCAACAGAAGAAGATCGAGAAGAAGGCTGCCCAGAGCCAGGATTCCAAGGGGCTATAAGATCCCCAGATGTAACAGATCCCCCATCAGGGAACAACGTTAGGTCAGAGGAAGCTTCCTACTTTCATTAGAAGATGTAAGCAGTAGAAAAGGTGTCACTCGTACCACCATCAAGGCCATGCTCATTAATTGTTCATCTGAGACACCAAACCGACTGCTCAATTTTTTTATTACATCTTCGTATGCTTGTACTTTGGCTGACAAGCTGGCCAGCTGTCTTTGATCGATTATTAGTGGAACAATTACATTCATTCAGACTCGTAGTACTGATGCTACTCACCTTTTCGATTTTTCTCTTTTACCATCCGTGTAGCAACATATTATCCCAGCTTCGCGACAATTGCGACAGCCAGACTTATCGCCAGTACACTTGGTTTTTCTTTGTCTGCAGGATTCGCAGGCCCGGCGAACGTGTCGACGATGAAACCTACCCGGAGACGGAAAAGCAGACTCCGGTCCCTCGGCAAGCCTTGGGATGGCCATCTTCTTCGAGCCAGCCCGTTCTGTGTCATTTCCTGGCAGATGAGGCAATGGGGTTTCCTATGGGAAGCATTCTCACTTAGCCTCAAACACGGATTCAAAATACATCGGGAGACATAATACTCACCGTATTAGACGCTTGATTGTAGGGTTCCGTATCTGTGCAAGGTAATTTGAACAGAGAAGACTGTTCTGCCCAAGCTGGGAATTGCAGGCTGCTCATGGCGAAGTTAAGAAAAACGATGTATTTTCGCGAAATGCTGCACGATATCTAGAGCACGTCAGTCATTTCCTAAATGGCTATTCTGCTGGAATGAAATGCGCACCTCAAAGGTGACTTGAAACAATGTCAGGGCACTGATAGCATTATGTCAGAAATACCTAACACATAGCAATATATAGTTTCCCACTATCACTGCCCGTGAAAGAGAGAAGTCTTTCGTGGTTGAAGAGTGTGTGTGATTGTAAAAGATAACCAGGTGTTCGCTGGATTGATAACAAAATGCTCGAGAGTTGTCTCATTTGTACAGAGATGTTGAAAAGAATCAAGAAGACGATCAGTAGTTTGAATCGAATCGAGAAGTAACAAAACCAGCTCTCAAACGGACATCCCGTCAGGCCGGAATTTAAAAGCGCGGTGGATATTCATCCCCGGAAACGTTTTGAAGAATAGATAGGCCTATGGAAACCGGGGTAGGCCGATTCTAGGCTTTTGATATGGAAAGGTTGGGCCATCTTTTGGAACTGGCCGAATATGAACACCGAGAACCAACAACTCGATAATAGACTAGATTATTACCCCGCTTGATTGGCTATGTTTAATAAGTGGCAACTGTTAAGAGACAGGGGAACATCATATCTCATTGGAATATCGCCTCCTACGTCGCAGGGGAGGTTAGTGTGACTTCAAGTGTTGATCTGAGTGATCACACACTTCGCCGCCTATCGAATTATCATTGGGCCCTGCGCTGTCTTGGCTTTCTGCACATATGCTGAGTATCTCGTGGGCTGCTCCAGAGGATTTCACAGCGGGGGAGTCTATGACATTGGCCAGACCGGTAAAATCGACTTTCAGGACCCTCCTACTGCAGGGAATGCTTGTATCGCCTCACTTTGGTCATCTCTTGGGACTCGTAAACTATAAATTCGACGGCGGACTCCGTTTACTCTGGACCCTCCGTGACAAATATAAAAGCTGATGGAACAGGATATCAGCCGGACAATCAAGGGATTTGACGTGTCTCGAATCTTCGAATTAATTGCAGTGTCGCCGGGAAAACTTGATTTTAATCCCACGACAGGGAGCAGCCAGCTCATCGATAGCCAGTGAGCACGTAGAAGGAGTCTGTGATGAATATCCCAAGATGTTAGCCTCTTTGGGTCGCGTAAGCAAGTCCCTGTCGACAACGGCCCAGGGATCCACCAGCTTGTCAAATTGACGTTGAAGATACAGTGGCGTGAGGTTCTCACTTACGACAACAAGTCCCCTGGTTCTTTCTCAAAATTCAAGCGAAGTAGCTGGAACCGTTGCGTGACTTCATGCTCATCCCAGAAGAGGCGTGGCAACGATCCATGGGGGAGGATCGAGGTACAGGGGAAGCATGAAGGGTGGTTACATAGTCCGTTGTCAAAAGTACAGAGGTACCTCATCTGACTTCGTCCATTCATGGTGTTACCTGTAAATGACCCTTTCATTTCTTTGTTTTTTTGCTCCGTGGTTCCCTTCATTGCGGATGGGACAGAGGGAATAATAATTCTGACGTCTGCAATTACGCCCAAATGACTGTCTAAGCGCTTTTCATCGGTCCAGAACATCCCATAAGCAGAGGAAATTTGGTGAAAGATAAACGAATTTATTACATTCAAAAAAAGAAGTGTGCTTGTTGATTGAGAGGTGGTTGTAGGTTTCTGGAATAAGAAAGGAACCAAGTAGGCAGGTAGACGGTGGGCTGAACCGTAACCAACTGAACACCCTATGCCTTCAAAGGAAACTATCAAGTATGGAAATGTCTCTCTTCCCTTGCCTAATTTTGCACTTTATTCTTTTTAGGACTAAGACAAAGCTCTTACAGTATTTAAAATCTGGGAACGAGGTGAATAGCAGGATAAAGACTCTGGGTAATAACAAAAGAAAAAGGCCCTTGCCAAAAAGAAATCGCAGTATTCGCAAAGGGCAAATCCGAACATCATTAGTATTCTATACACCCAAATATATCAATCACTCAATAAGATAGCCTTCCGCGACAGTCTTCACGTCCTTGGAAAAGCCAGTAGCTTCACCTTCCATCTCCAGAAGAGAAACATTTGTGACATCAACCTCGACGAAGGGTTCCGCCTTGGAGAAGCGCACGTTCATGGGGAAGAACTCGTTCTCGTCACCCTCGCCTGCGGTCTCAAACTCGAAGCTGCCGGATGCATTGCTCTCGTCCACAGTGCCGATGTTCCAGTCTAGACTGTCTCCCGAAACCTCGTAGACAGCATCAAAGCTGGATACGGTTGGTTCTGCCGCGCCATATGGAATGGTAACGACGACATCACGCAGAGTGTCCGAGCCGGTGAGCTCATACTCAACTGTGACAGTGGTTGATTCGGAGCCCTTGTTCACCCACACAGTGAATGTGATGGGAAGAATGTCCGCATTGTCGGATCCTCCAGCAACACGCCAGCGCAAGACACCAATCGAGTTGTTGGCGGGGAATCGCTTGGTTGTATCCTTGAGTTGAATGGCCGAGCTGTTGGTAAAGACCGCTTTGTCGACATTCGGGTGAGTGCGGAATTGTGCGCCATGCGTAGGGTTGGCGAGAAGGTCAAGCTTGAGCTTGGTGAACGACGGGTCGGTGATACGAAGCTGGAGGTCACCCTTGACTTCAAAGGACTTCAGAGCGCCTTCTCGAGTAAGTGTAGCTGAGATCTGTTCGGCGATAGTAAGATGGATGGGCTCTCGGTCTGTAGATAGGGAGGCACGAGCGGAAGGAGCGTTGTCTGCCACCGGAGTCGACGCTTGCGGGGTCACCAGGGGGCTCGACTCTTCAGCCTCAGGACCCAAATCACCCCGAACCTTCTCGTAGATATCCGTAGCTTTCGATTTCTTTCCAAGCTGCATACCTTTTCCACGGGTTGGCAATGGCCTAGAGATGAGGTCCTGTTAGCAACCGCGAACGGAGCAGTCGCAATGTATACATACTTCGCAAATGACTTTTTCTTCTCCGCCTCGTAGCTATCATATGTATCGGGCGCAGCAGGACGCGACGGAGGAGTGTATACGGGGTAAGACGGGGGTCTTGGGGCCATGGAACGACCGGTGCGAGCTGCCTCCTTTCGCTGCATCTCCAGCTGCTTTGCCTTGCGTTTCCGCTCTTCGCTAGCCTCGAGCTCTTTGTTCTATCGATCCTGGTCAGCCAACCATCATCCAGTAACACATAGTATGATATATACCCTTTCGATGATCTCCTGTATCCTCTCCTCGTGACTCTCCATCTCCAAGAATGCCTTGATCTGAGTAAGTGACAGGTTCTCCCTGTATCCCTGCGTCACCAATTCATCGAATGCGCTGAGCAACTCGAAGGCATTGCGTGTGATCTCTCGCTCATCCAGGCTCTTGCAAATGCTAGTGGTCACTTGGGCGAAAAGGTGAAGGCTGTCAATGTCTTGTAGGATGTTCGATTGGCGGTTGGTGATGAGGACAATGTACAGCTCATCGAGAGGCTGGTAAACAAAGCGCACGTTGTCTTGTTCGACGGTAGTGTGTTGAGTTCCCGAGTCAGCCAGCTTCGGAAACGAGGCAAGCAAAGCTTCGATTCTCGTGCGGGCGATTTCCCGGAATTGACGCGAAAGTACTGCCTTGCCCCCGCGGGTGCATATCGAAGCAGCGAGGACGACCTGTTGTGCGTTGTGATGAGTGTGAATCTCCTGAGTCATGGGGATTATCAAAACATACCATGGCTAACAAATCACCGGCTCAAAATCAATGGTTGCTACCGAAACAATACCGTTATCTGAAAGGCTTGACTGCTTGGAGATGTCGCTCTTGCGTCGAAGGCCAGATAGTTATTCCAGCGGAGTCGCTTGCTGTTCTCTTCGTCCCCCGTTGGCCCGTGCACCACGCTACCCCCTCGCTTACCGCAGCACAAGAAGCTTCACTGCTTGCAACTTCGTAGCATCAACCCTCTCCGTTCTTCAGCTACCCCTTATCCTAGAGGTCGATCTACAGCCTACGAACAGATCCATGGATATCGAACTTTCATTCTGATGTATTTTTGTGATCACATCCTTTCTATAGAAATCCTTTAACGGCTAGGTCGTTATTCTCGCCCAACCAGGCACCTGGAACGTCACTACCGAAACTTCAAAGCAGACTTGCCACTGAGTAGTCAACACATATATGCCATGACAACCGCTTCTTCGCTACCATTTTCCACCATGGAGGCTCCAGCCCTTGACGATACGATGGAGATGGGTTCTCCCTACTTAGGGCAGGCCGATGATTTTGAGATCGACCTCGATGTCATGGAAGACCAAGCCTCAAACGCAGACAAAGATATGACAGTAGATGATTATCCGGAACCATCTCACGAGGCAGGTTACAATCAAGATAGCACAAACGATGCCGATATGGCGGATGATATAACTGAGTCAGCCATGGTCGATGCCGATGAGAAATACCCCGAAGAAAATTATGGTGTCGACATGCAGTACGGAGACGAGGAAACATATGAGGCGGAAATGCTGGAGGATGATTACGACGAGGATATCGATGCACCCGTTCCAGACTCCCACGACCAAGTATCCGTAACTCTGGAAGACGCAAACAACGAAGATATCGAAGGGAAGGCTGTGACGGGAGAGGCGGATGGTACGGCCGAAGACAACCATGAAAAGCCTGCCCCAGAGCCATCTCTGGAAACCAAAGAAGACCAGCCAAGTGAGCACATAGAAGAGCCGCATGTTGACATCGAAAAGCATGATGATCATGATACCGAAAATACCGCCTCAGTGGCCAATCTTGACCAGAATCGAACAAGACACGCAGAGGAAAGCTTTGGCGACACTCACAATGCAGAGCAGATAGACCTGCAACCCAAGGACTCCGAAGGTGCTAAAAACGAACAGGAGAATGTTCAGCAGCCTGAAGAAGAAGGCCATGTTGCCCAAGAAACCCAACCTGCTGTTGGTGAGACCCAATATGAGGAAGCACGCCCTGTAGAAAACGCTGGAGCCGACGAAGCCAAAGAGGAAACAGTCGATACAGTGCAAGACGCCGTTTCCCTGCACCCCGTGAAGGTTTACTACCAAGATAATGAGATTTCTCTATTTCCTCCTCGAGAGGGCGATTCTTCAGAGACTTTCTTCCTTGAAGACGAAAGCTTGGCTTTCAAAACGGTCAACAAGCTCCTTGAATCCTGCCGTGAAGTACTCAGAGAACATATTGGAGAGAATGAAATCTTAGTTATCGATGTCGACTGCCTGAATATTCAGTTAACAGAGGTTTGTGATACCCTTGTACCCCTTAGTTTTTTATCAAGAATACTGATTGATCTGGTGTCTTTTCTAGGATTCTCTCCATTTATCTAAGGTTACTCTGCATCAAATTGTTGATTTATATTTGCGACTTTGCCACAACGACGGGATGAATGAACCGGATGCTTTATACCTTTCGCTCAGCACAAAATTGAGTACTCCAGCGGAGATCGCGGATCTTGTTTCAGCTGCATATGAAGGGAAAGGACTATCCGAGATTCATCTATGGGATGACTATGATGAAGCCGAACTTGAGGCTGAACCAGTTTCAACAGAGGTTCATGAAGAAGAATACCAGGAAGCTCACCATGAAGCACCGGCACCAGATACGGAAAATCAGGAGCATATTCCCCAGCCCAAGGATTCTGAACAAATTTCAGCTGAGACAGAAACCAACGGTGATGTCCAGAACACTCATGATGAGCAAAAAGAGGAACAGCAACCCGAAGGCCTAGAAAAGCCTTCGAGTGATCAAAATGAAGCTGCTTCTTTGGATGCAGATGAAGAGGCCGGAGATGAAAATTACACCAACGTGCCCCATGATCAGGAACCTGAAGAGGTGAGGGGTGAAGATGTCTCAACTGCCGATAATCTTGAAGGCGGAAAATACACCAACGTGGGTCATAATGTGGAGCCTGAAAATGATCATAATGAGGGCGTCTCTTCCACAGGAAATGATCTTGAAGATGGGGAACTCGACGAAAATGTGGACCAGGAGCCTGAAGTTGAACATGAAGCTGGCGATTACCACTCACCTAATGAAGGATCATATGATTCGGAGGGGCAGAAAACTGAATCAACTGCCACTATTGGCCACTTCCCTGCAGGGAATTTGGCAGAAGAACAGCAATATGGTGATGAATCTACTAATGTCTCTCACAATGGCCAGGCCAGCCACGAAAGTCATGAAGACCAGGGTGATCATAATGATTATTATGCGGTCGAGGACACTGGTGATGGGAATTACGATGAAGAGGAGGTTAATGTAGACCCTTCAGAGCATCATGAGGACCTCGAAGCATTTGAGGAACATGATGCTGGTGATGCGTATGATGATGATGAAGAAGAAGAAGAAGCAGAAGGGGATGTTGAGCATTTGCAAGATCCGTCCCAGTCCTACGAAACCAATGAAACGGACCATGGTGACGAGAATGAGCCAGCCAGTGCTCCGGAAGAGAACAGAGATGTTGCCGTGGAATCCAACCAACATGACAGTGAAAGTATCTCAGCTGAGAACCTTGAGTCCAGATTGGATAATACCTCCTCGGACATGCCTGCGAACGAACCCCGTGCGACTCCAGAGCCAGCTGATGACCTTCTCGGCATTGAAGATGATGTCTTGCAGAGCCCCCTCAAAGATTTGAAGAGCAACACCGAGGAAGTCAAGAATCAGCCTGACTCTGGAGAAAGTCGCAGTGATGAGACTGAGCATGCTACGACCGCCAACGCCCCCGACGATAATGCTGAAGATCTCATCTTCGACAACGAAGAGTACATCGACCTGGGAATAACCGAGTCTATTGATGACGGCGAAACGGAACCTTCAGCACCCGACTCCAAGGTTCCAGATAGTACCTCGACAAAACGAGCTCGCGAACCAGAGGACGAGCTTGATCTATCGGGAAGCCCTTCTCCAGATGTTAAACGCACACGCTCCTCTTGATTTGCACTCCTTGTTTCTACACCCCTTCCCAAGCAACTCCCTTTCTAGCACCCATGTCATTTCCCCCCGCATCTCAGCCAACATCTAACGAGGCCGGCCTCTGCCACTCTGGAACTATTGATTCCTGGGTCTATATTTGAGGGGTGATTCCCTGGCTCCACGGAGTATTAACCCGGATCTAATACAGCAGCAGTCCAAGAAGCGATGCGACGATTTGCAATGAAATTTGGTTGGATTCAGGTACGTGTGACCCATTTTCCTATCCCCAGCTCTGTTGTCTTCGACGCCCGAGGTGGGGCTCTCCATGTATACCTGGAGCCCAGGTTTGTACTAGATACTCTCCGTGGTTTATTTTCTTTCTTTACTCTTTTCCCGAGGACTTGGATATTAGTGATACCATATTTGATGCCGTTCCTGTTTGCTTTTAAGGCGTCGGTGGTTATGTGTGCAAATCTTTATTATAAGATTTCTTTTCAGATAGCATTCAGTATCGGCGTGATTGGTTAGGTTGTTTAGCAGTCTTCTGCGTTGACAAAAAAAAATGGTACCAAAATTCTGCATTTTGCTTCCATTCCTGGAAAAAGTTGTCGGTGATAGGATTCTCCCTGCGCTTTGGTCTGGTCTAGGGACAATTTGGAGTCGATTTTCATCCATTAAGTAATTTTCGCCCGAGAATCCTTGCAGATCAAGAGGATTCTTGATTGCCCTTTTCGAGGGTGCAATATAGGGATGACGGGGATGGAAAGTTGAATTTAGAACCATTCAAGGGCGTTGAACATCAAGGAACGTAGGCAAGACGACTCGAGGGACATGGAATCAGCAGATGAGTCCATTAATTACCCAGCGGTGTCTATAAAAAGAACCATGTGATGCCACCGCCATCAAGATTAACGGTGGAGAGACCCATATTAGTTGTAGTCGGTCAACAGACGAGTTCGATTTCCACGGTTCATGCAGGGAATAACAAGAGGGTTATTAACTAAATGGGATGTGGCTGGGGATAAGATAGATAGAATAGATAGAACCGGTCAAGGATGGGGAGAGCCGGTCATGATAGGGATGGTAAATCGCCGGCATCGACGTCTAGTTAGCCGCCCGCAGCAAGTGATTTGGCATTCCGCAAGCATCCAAAAGAGAAGGAGATGAACGTCGCTGGCGATGATGCTTTTGGACCGTGGATGAAACGCCGATCGCAGCCACGGGGAGAAGGACGGGAACAGGGCCAGAGTGGAAGCGAGAGGCAGGGTTCAACAGGGGCGACGGGCTTGGAGATTAATCTTAATTTGAAGGCGAAGTGTAAAAGAAGAAGAAGAAGAAGAAGAAGAAGAAGAAGAAGAAAGTTGTGCCCGTTTTTGGTCACAGGCAGGCGAAGCTGAAACTGCGCGTGTTTTTGGTGCTTCTCAACCACTTTCTGTCGCTCTTTTTTCAACCTAGGCATTCATTCTCTCTCCGCAGTAGTCGCCCACTGTCCTGTGGCCACACAGTCCCTTTATTTTCTCTCTGGCAATCCCTGCCACTACTCTGTGATTCCACTGCCTCTCTTAAAGTACAACCGTCTCACTCTCTGTCATCACCATCTTCCAATTTTATAACTGACGCGTCACAAAGTCCCGGTCCCCGGCTCCGTCGAAGAAGAACCCCACCGCACGAGCGCAGGCACCACTGATCAGACAGACTCAGCCCGACGGTCACTCTAGAATCCCGCCGACTCTCCAAGCACCAGAAAAGCTCGTTCCTTCGTTCGCAATCTTAGTAGTAGATAATAATTACCACATATTATCCTACGATAGTCAGCATCTCACCTTGACCTGCAGAACTTTTGGGCGGGCTCAATTTTCTGCGACAAGGGAGAAACACTGGATTGCGTTCCTGGATTCTTCCTTCGCTGGCCGCACTCCGGATGCTTGGCTTTGAATCTTGCTTCGACCACCCAAGCCACTGACCATCAATCTGTCTCAACCACACACCGTGACCCCATTGACTTGGTGCCCTCTCTCGTTCTCAACTGTTAGCATTGGAGGTCTTTCAACAGGAGGAGCAACCAGCTCCTGGGTTCAGTGACAAAGATGATTCCCGATAAGTATGGCAATGAATTACTTGTCCTGCGGCGCTTTCCGGTCGGTTTAGTTGTTCTAACCGGGTTGCAGGTATGTCGGGCTAATTTTGGCCATTCTATCAACAATGGCGATAGGTACGTTCTCTGACTGCTGCATTTTGTTTCTGGCTATGAGATACTAATCGGTGCATCATCTTTAGGCACAAGTTTCGTGATCACCAAAAAGGTTCGTCGAATACCGCCGAAGGGGAGGGAAACAGATGTCATACAACGCATCGAGTCGACCAACCAACCATACTACGGATCATTGGGACTGATATCGATCGCATATAGGGTTTGATGCAAGCCTCCGAGAGGCATGGCTTTGAAGGAGAAGGGTTTCAATACTTGAAGAGCCCCGTCTGGTGGGGTGGCGTCATCACACGTACGGAACTCCCCCTTGTGCAACTGGAGAAGAATATGAGGCTGACAGAACGTGATGTGTGATAGTGGGTGTGGGAGAAATCGCCAACTTCGCCGCGTATGCGTTTGCGCCCGCTATTCTGGTCACCCCGTTGGGTGCGCTGAGTGTCTTGATCGGGTGAGGATACACTGTTGGATTGCGTTTTGGTTGAATGAGTCGCTGATGGTGGAATAGTGCCGTCTTGGGCTCCTATTTCCTCAATGAAAAACTTGGTGTTTTAGGAAAACTCGGCTGTGCGATGTGTTTGCTTGGATCTGTTGTGATTGTTCTTCACGCACCTCCGGACAAGCCAGTCGAAACAATTGAGGAGATGCTGTCCTACGCTCTCAAGCCAGGTTCGTTCCATGGCCATAATCGCAGTGTGGGCCTTTCACTGATCACTTCCAGGTTTCCTCATCTATTGCCTGGCGGTCGCGATATTCTCGACGGTCATGATCTACCGAGTGGCGCCAATGTACGGCAAAAAGAACCCTCTCATCTACATCTCGATTTGCTCCACAGTCGGCTCCGTCTCCGTCATGTCCGTCAAGGCTTTTGGTACTGCGCTGAAGCTCACGCTTCAGGGTAACAACCAATTTACTCATGCGACAACTTATGTCTTCGCCATCGTCACCGGTTTCTGCATCCTGACACAGATGAACTACTTCAACAAGGCATTGAATCAGTTTTCGACCTCGATGTAAGTGCGATACTTAGCTTGAGAGGGAGCAGGATACTAACGGGCTGAACCAGCGTTAATCCCCTCTACTATGTTACCTTTACCACCGCTACCCTGTGCGCCTCGTTCATCCTTTTCCAGGGATTCAACACCACAGATGCTATCAACACCCTCTCGCTGCTCTGTGGATTCCTAATTATTTTCGCCGGTGTATATCTCCTGAACCTTTCTCGACACGATCCCGACGGCCGCCAATTTGTCAACAGCAAGTATGATGAAGAGGGGGTGCCTACGGATGGAATCGCGAGCTTCCAGACCCGCCGGTCGATGCAGTCCCGCCGAAGCAATGAGCCTCATCGCCGAAGCTCGTCGAGCATTGCTTTTCTGAATGGGCACGGTGACCGGGAAGGCTTAATCCATTCTTACGACGTTGAGAACCAAGGAATTGGCCTGTCCGAGTTGGCCGAGGAGAGCGACGGCGAGCCAGGCCCTACCTACAAGAGAAGCCAGGATTTACGTACCTCTCAACACACCAAGCATGACGATCGATAGTTATGCTACGATCTATTGATCGGAGACTCGTTTCCGCTTTACGACAAATGTCACTGCCGTTACGTTTGCTTTGTTTTTTTCCGTTTCTGCCTTTTCATTTGTTTCTTTTGTCTTTTCTCCTTTAACTGTTCACCTACCTCTCTTCTTATAACCTTTTTTTTTTCTTGGATGCACTGTATTTCTACTTCTCCTTTTGCTCCTCCTTCCCTCCCTCTCAAAAAACAAAATGCTACAAGCAAGTTTGAATGAGTGAGACGAGCGAGGTTAGGAACAAGAGATGTCATGAATGATTTGGGTTGCAATTTGGGTTTGGCTTGATATGATGTTGGATCCTTTTGACTGGGAGAATTGCTATGGTTGATGGAACAGGAGGCGCAAAAATACCTGCGGCAAAATCAGATTTGTATATACGCATCAGGTTCGACTTTGAAATAGATTTGTGTATTTTCCTACCAGTCTCTGTTTTATCATCACTCCACCTATTATTATCCATGAAATCCATCGATTTTATTTCATTTTCCTCTTCCCCTGCTAATAGTGGTGGGGTTCCTGTTGCGGTCGAACTCTCGGCCCGCCAGCCCAGCTGGTCAGGCTATGATGTAGCAAATCGACGGTCAGCTGTCCAGCTCAGAACAACCATCTGGCCAACATCACACGCTTCTCCAGCCGTGGGGCGATTGTTATGCAGTCAATGGCACGGAGCAGCGTTCCCCTGACATCCAGTTCGAACGGGTTAGGTTAGGAAGACCAACTTGTTCCCTCCCCCCCTCACAAACTACAACCCCACACGGCGCGCGGATCGGATTACCCCAGCGAGCGCCAACATGCCCGGTTTACTACGAAAGTTGATTGTCTTCGCGGCGGTCGATGGACTCATCATCCAGCCGTATGGGAATGGACAGCGTCATAATGGAAACGGCAACGATGGCTCGTTTCTCCGGATAGATTATAAAACGAGTAAGGTCTCGTCGCTTCCTGCCTCCGCGTTGGATTTAAGTGAAAGGAAGGATTCTGGGTTGGAGACTTATGGTCTTGTTGGTGAGTATTGACTCCGTTTATGGAGTGAATATATAGAAAAATCTATTTGTTCTTGTTTTTTTCTTACTTTTATTAAGGCCTTTTATCCGTCGCGTCATACTCCTTTCTCATCTCCATCACGCAACGCCACCAAGTGGCCCAAATTCAAGGAAAGCCGGTATACACCATCACCAACGTCGCTCTTATTCCCACTTCGTCGCAGGCGGATGCCAATCGCGCTATTTCTCAAGCTAGAGAAAGCTTAGCAAATGAGGAGAACGGTGCAGGAGAAACTGCGTCGTCTTCCGAGGAAGAAGATGGCGATGATAGCAGCGTATCAGATGCAGAGACAGATGGTCCTGAACCCGAGATTGGAAGCGTGTCAGAGTCTCCAGCCCGAGAAACATCACATTCAAGAGGTCGTAGCGTTAGCAATATTGCCGAAGATGTGATCGGGAAGAAAGTTCGATTTGGTCGATTCGCTGCAAATTGGCTCTCGAGGAAGAGGCTGGGATTTCCTGGATTCGGGACTGTGGATCAAGACAATAACCCCGATGTAATTTCGGGTGAAGCATCTATGAAAGAGACTACGGGGTCTTCTCTTGGGCTTTCGAATGCCGGAGAAGGCACGGCAGAACCTGATGTGGAAGACTCATTGCCGGAAAGTGCAACGCCGTTGTCTGACCAGACTGTGGAATTATTGCCGAAGTTACTTCGGTATACGAAGCTCATCTTCTCCTCGCAGAATTTCTTCTTTGCATATGATTATGATCTGACGAGGCAGATTGGTGCTCAGGAGCCGCGCAATAGCCATCTACCTTTGCATAGATTTGTCGATCCATTGGTATGTCTCTCTGCCACTGTTGATCATGCTTATACACAGCTAACTGACATGGCTCTAGTTCTTTTGGAATAAAAACTTAATGACTCCCTTCATCGATGTGGATGCACATAACTTTGTTTTGCCGTTGATGCAGGGGTTCGTTGGACAACGAGAATTTACAGTAGCAGCAACTCCTGAAACAGAAAAACCAGCCGAGGAGCCTACAGAAGATCGTATTTTGGGTGAGAAACAGGAGGCCCAAGCAATTGATACCGACGCCCCGAAGCGCAACTTCCTGCTTACTTTGATCTCTCGACGGTCGACCCAGCGGCCTGGACTGCGGTATCTCCGCCGTGGTGTTGATGATGATGGGAATACGGCTAATACTGTGGAAACGGAGCAAATCCTCTCTGGACCTGAATGGGATCCTTCCCACAACGTCTATTCATACCTTCAAGTGCGCGGCTCTATCCCTCTTTACTTTTCTCAGTCTCCTTTTGCTTTCAAGCCGGTTCCTGTGCTTCATCATTCCGCCGAAACAAATGAGTTTGCTTTTGAAAGACATTTCCGGAATCTGAGTCGGCGGTATGGCAAGATTCAAGCAGTTTCGCTCATTGATAAACACGCTGGTGAGTTGAAGCTGGGTGAGCAATATGAGAGATACGCCGAAGCCCTAAATAAGGCTGGGGGTGTCGATGGCAGCCCTCTGCGCTTAGAATGGTTTGACTTTCACAATGAATGCCGGGGGATGAAATTTGAAAATGTGAGCCGGTTGGTAGACCGGTTGGAGACGACATTGGATGAATATGGCGACACGATTGTCAAAGATAGCACTCTTGTCCAAGGACAGAGGGGTATTATACGGACCAACTGCATGGATTGTCTAGATCGCACGGGTGTTGCGCAGTGCGCATTTGGCCAGTGGGCCTTGGAACGAGAGCTAAAGCACGAGGGTATCAATATTGACTTGGGTGGCGACTCGTCGACCCAGTGGTTCAATACGCTTTGGGCAGATAATGGAGATGCAATCTCCAAGCAATACTCCTCGACCGCTGCTCTGAAGGGAGACTATACACGAACAAGGAAGAGAGATTATCGCGGCGCGTTGAATGATCTTGGTCTCACGTTATCTCGGTACTACAACAACATTGTCAACGACTATTTCTCCCAGGCCTGCATCGATTACATGCTCGGCAATGTATCCACACAGGTGTTCCAGGAGTTTGCTATGGAGATGCAAACGGCTGACCCCGGGATATCTGTTCAGAAACTTCGTCAAAATGCCATCGAGACGAGTTGCCAGATCGTGATCAGTGACGAGTCCGAGGAGCTTCTAGGTGGCTGGACGATGCTGACACCGCAACAACCGAACACTCTGCGGACCCTGCCTTTCGAGGAGTCTGTTCTCCTCCTTACTGACGCAGCGGTTTACTGCTGCCACTTTGATTGGAACACTGACAAGGTCCTCTCGTTTGAACGGATCGATCTGCGGTCCATCTCCGGCATTAACTATGGTACCTATATCACGTCGATCCTAACGGGTCAGGTAGATGAGAGCCGCAATGTCGGCCTGGTTATCATGTATCGGGAAGGCGATGAGAATGCAGTACGGGTGAATACCCGTTCTCTACAGAGCAGTGTGACCTCGAAAGCACTGGACGAGAACGCCAGTAAAGAATGGGACATGACCTCCTGGTTCAAGGGCCCTAAGCGGCCCACGCCACGGTTCCTTGCCTTCAAAGCACTCCCACTTTCCAACTCTGCGACGAAGAGTCGGAGCCCGGGCAATGCGACCGTGAGTGAAGCAGACTGGGTCCGATCGATCTGCGAAGAGATCGAACGAGCCATGATGGCGGGTGAGGGACGACATGTGGAGAGGCTGTCGGTGATTGAAGAGACAGATATCATCTCATTGGAGGATGCGAAGAAACGTACGGGATATTTAGAGCATTTGGTTTATGATCTCAAGAAGATGGTATGGGCATGAAGATGGGGTTTGATATATATATTGTCGTTTTTGATACCACATCGTCATAATTATGACTTTACATGCCATTTTTCTGGAGATAGATCGATTACACCAAGATACGCTAATGCATGCATATTCAGAGCTATTTTCTATATATTACTACTTATTAAGGCTATCTCCTTGCTGCTAGAAGATCGATATTTATCTGTAACTCATGGTTACCATACAATGGCCAAACGCCACCTGAATCACCACTATCCCCAACTACACCACCAAATAAACGACTATAATATCCTCCAGGAATTTAAACAATATGTGATATTATCTTTCCCAGTATTAATTACAATCTGATATGCTGCAGTTTGTTCTGGTGCAGAGCGTTCCCCTCCTGCATATGTAATACGCCGTCGCCCCAAACGTCCCCCTCCTCACACCAAAAAGTCCTCCACCATCCACACGATCTTCAGTCCCATTCCAACGGGCGCACTTTGTTCGGTCGATTATTAGTATTATTATCTGCTATTTTGCTCCCTATTTTACCGACTATTACCTACTCCATAATAAAGCCATCGACAATTCCTCCTCCTTCCCCTCATCCTCCTCACACAGCACATCCAAGCTCCCTGTTAGCTTTGCGACCGTCGCCCACCACCCTGGCCAACGACCGACCGCATACGGGGGACTCTTTGCTTCCAGCTGTTCTTGAGTCTCTCTTAGTTACATGTGTGGTGTCCCACCTTTGCGCGGTCAGGGGAAATACATCTGAACCCATTCGCGATTCTTCGTGGTGATTAGTTTCTTTTTCCTTTTTCTTTTTCTTTTCTGTTTCTGGGGAAGAAGAAGAAGGTGACGAAGGGTTCCCAGTCTACGGCGGGGTTCCTCGTGCTACACCACAACCTCAACCTCCACGGGGGAAACTTCCTTTACGCACCGCACATCAAAAGGAATTCTGATTCCCCATCCTTCCACACATCCTTGTTTGCACCATGGAGTGGCAACCTCAAGATGATCAATTGAGGCTGCTTGCCTGCTGCCTCAGAGATTCTTTGAATGCCTACAATCGAAATGCTCAGAAGCAGGCTGAACAGGTAAGTTTCTTTTGTTCTTTTTTTCTCTGTAATTTTTTTTTCTACACACCATGAGGGCGCACATCGTCACCTACTCCCCCCCATTCTTACATCGTTTTTTTCTCCTCTCAATTCGAGCGATCCGTAATTCTCTTTTTCTTGTCTTTTACGGAACCAAAATGACTGACTGGTGCGATCTTTCTCTCTCGTGCCCGATAGATGCTAGTGCAAGCTACTTCCTCCCCCGATTATGTCAATTATATCACCTATCTGTTCTGCACCCCGCGAACCCCTCAGGCAGTGGGTATGGATGAGCACACATACAACATGGTCCGATTCGCGGCGGGCATGAACCTCAAGACGAAGATCCGGGTGGCCTACCCTACAATTGCCCCCGCCAGCTTGGCGTACATCCGGTCGGCGACCTTGATCGGACTCCGAGACTCGAATTTCCAGGTGCGGAGCTCTGCCGGTAGCATCATCACCGAGTTTGTTAGCCAGGCTGGTCTGTTGGCATGGCCGGAGGTTCTCCACGAGCTCCTGACGCTCGTGGGCAATGCGTCGGGCGACACCCCTCTAGTGGCCCAGGAGGCCGCGATGTCCGCCCTCGCCAAGGTCTGTGAGGACAACCGTAAGATTTTGGATAGGGACTATCAGGGACAGCGCCCTCTCGACGTCATCATCCCCAAGCTGATGGAATTCACCTCGAGTCAAAGCCCCAAGGTCCGCTCAATGGCCTTGGGCACCATCCACGTTTTCCTTCCCCACAGACCCCAGGCGTTGATCGCTTCTTTGGATCTGTTTTTGTCGCAGTTGTTCCAGCTGTCCAATGATACCAGTACCGATGTGCGCCGCACCGTGTGCCAGTCCTTCGCACAGCTCGTCGATTTCGCTCCCGAAAACCTTATCCCCCACATGGAAGGGTTGGTCAACTACATCATCGTGCAGCAGCAGAACCAGGAAGATCCCGAGCTCGCTCTCGATGCGGCTGAGTTTTGGCTCGTTGCAGGAGAGCAGCAGAAGTTGCAGCAGCCATTGGCTCCGCACATGTCCAAGATTGTTCCCGTGCTGCTGCAGAGTATGGTATACGACGAGGACGATGCCATCCGGTTGACGGGTGACAACGATGACGCCGATGTGGAGGACCGCGCTGAAGACCTGAAACCCCAGTTCGCCAAGTCGAAGTCTGATAAAATAGAGACAAAACCTAATGCACAAGCCAACGGCAATGCTCCTCCGGAAGAGGACGACGAGGACGATCTCAGCGACGGAGAGATCGAAGATTCCGAGTTCGGAGACGACCCAGAGGATGAGTGGACGTTGCGAAAGTGCTCGGCCGCCGCGTTGGATGTATTCTCGAATGTTTACCACCAGCCAATCTTCGAGGTCATTTTGCCATACCTGAAGGAGACCCTCCGCCACGATCAGTGGCCTCACCGGGAAGCTGCAGTACTCACGCTGGGTGCCGTTGCGGATGGATGCATGGATGCGGTTACACCCCACCTCTACGAACTCGTCCCCTACCTTATCTCCCTGCTGAACGACGCCCAACCCGTTGTGCGACAGATCACTTGTTGGTGTCTTGGCCGGTACTCTGAATGGGCGTCGCACTTGGTCGATCCATCGGAGAGGGTGCGCTACTTTGAGCCGATGATGGAGGGTATTCTGCGTCGCATGCTTGATGGAAACAAAAAGGTCCAGGAGGCAGCCGCCTCTGCTTTTGCCAGTTTGGAAGAGAAGTCGGACGCCAGCCTTGTTCCCTACTGCGAACCGATTCTGCGCCAGTTCGTCCAGTGTTTCGACAAGTACAAAGACCGAAACATGTACATCCTCTACGACTGTATCCAGACCCTTGCGGAATGTGTCATGGGCGAGTTGGCTGAGCCTCATCTGGTGGATATCCTCATGCCTGCTCTTATTGACCGCTACAACAAGGTGTCAGACCAGTCGCGAGAGCTGTTCCCGTTGCTGGAGTGTCTTGGATACATCGCCGCGGCGTACGGAGATGCGTTTGCGCCTTTCGCCCCTCCTCTCTTCCAAAGATGCATCAAGATCATCTACGAGAACCTGCAGGAGTACATGGCCTCTGTGAACAACCAGGCCATTGACGAGCCCGACAAGGATTTCTTGGTCACCAGTTTGGACTTGTTGAGTGCAATCATCCAGGCCATTGACCCCCAGAAGAGCGGCGAGCTGGTAGGCAACTCTCAGCCCCGGTTCTTCGACTTGCTCTGCTTCTGCATGGAGGACCCCAACTACGAGGTCCGCCAGTCGTCATACGCTTTGCTGGGTGACTGTGCCATCAACATCTTCCCCCAATTGGAGCCTTTCATCCCCAACATCATGCCGACCCTGATTAAGCAATTGGATTTGGACCTGATCCGGGACGACGAACGTCACACTGGCTTCAGTGTGCTGAACAACGCCTGCTGGTCTTGTGGTGAGATTGCGGTCAACGAGAAGGCTTCGCTGTCGCCGTATGCCGACAAGCTGTATCGTGGATTGTCCGCCATTATTACCAACGAAGAAGTCATCGACTCTGTGAACGAGAACGCCGCGATGGCCTTGGGAAGACTGGGAATCTGCTGTTCCGATCAGCTTGCACCGCACCTTGGAGAGTACGCCACCTCGTTTTTGAAGTCGATGAATAAGATTGATTTCACCCGGGAAAAGGCCTCTGCATTCCTTGGTTTCAACCAGGTGGTGATGAAGAACCCGCAAGCAATGGAGTCCACCCTGGCAGATTACTTCCAGTCCATTGCTGCTTTCCCCAGCAAGTCGCTCAGTCAAGATGACTACCGTGACATCCAGAGCTCCTTCCAACAGGTATGGTATCTTTTTTTTATCGTCCCATTTCTTTCAAACGACTAACCCCATCAACAGGTCTTGCAAGGCTACAAAAATATGATACCCAACTTTGATTCGTTCCTGTCCCAGCTTCCGCCCCCAGTTACCCAGAAACTTCGTTCTGTATATCAGGTTTAGATGAGCATTCGGTGTCTATTAATCGAGTTTGTGTTTGACAGAGTCAAGGACAAGAATTAAAAAATTCAACTCACATTTCTGGGGCGAAAGGCGCAATCAGAATTTGCATTGCATTTGCATTCTCTGCTTTTTCTGATTTCCATGGCCATTTCATTCGTTTCGTTTTCGTCTTTGTTTGATGATGACCCTGGGAGCGAAAAATTCCTCTTGCTTTCTTCCCCTTGCTGTCTGTTTCTTATTTGCTTGATGATCTTGAGGCGTGTTATTTGATTTAATTATTTTTTTTCTATCCTCTTGTGGATTCAACGATAGGTTTTTTTTTTTTTCTTTTTCTGCATGAGCTTAGAGTACGAGGGGGTAACTGCAACACCATGAGCCTGGGGCAGTATATTCAGGAGGATGATTATGGATTATATACCAGGGGAGGAAAATTTGGGAATGAAGAGGGCCAAAAAAAATGAAGAGATGCATAATGGACTCAGTGACTCATGATGGAACGAGCGATCTTGTACCATTGTTGTTTGTTTACGACAATGATGCTTTCTTTTTTCTTTTTTCTTCTTTTTTTTTTTTTAATTAGATAGACTTTTAGTAAGAGATCAAGATTCATATTTTGACATTCAATGGATATATTTAGATGATTTTATGATTATTTGGGAGGGTTAGGTTTTGTGTGGTGTTGAGGCTTTTGAGGCTTTTCCCGTTAAGTCTCTCTCCTGGCATTTGACATCCTCAACACCCAACAACTTCTCTATCTTGTCACATTCTCAATCCGCTGGCTTTTATTCGCCAAACTGATAGAATCATACATGTACGTTCGAAGAATGCCCCGCTCAGCCTCGTCCTCATTTTTGCACGATAAGAGGTCCGGCCGGCGCGAGCTACTGTGGCCTTCTCAGCCTTGCGTTTAGTGCTCGTACCACCCAGCCTTGGAATATATATGGAAACGATGCCCTGGTATCGCCAGCCTCAATTGATAACATGTTTTGCACGTTCTCTGGATTGCGTCTGCCATGGAACCATCCCAGGATGTTGGGCCACGGGCCCAGTTTCAAGGCAAGCCGTGGACTGCGATCTTCAGTCGATCTCGGTATTCAAAAGTCATCCCGTCGAAAGAAGCCAATCGTTCAGACACGATAGAATTAACACGGTATCTATGATTCTGCCATCTGATTGATGAGCGCCAACTAACCAGCATAATAGTGAGGTATCACGATCATCCCGAGACAGAGAGTCGCTCCTCGAGACAACGTCACAGAATGCTTCCGAAACAGGTGACGAGCCAATCGAGCACAACCCAAAACAACACCTAAAGGGCCTTCACATCGCTCTAATTGGTGCGGTATTCGTTCTGATCACAAATATCATTCTCACGTCCATCGCAAGCGGTTTTGCTTACTCCAAGTACAACGAAAAGGGACTTACCAGCGCCGTCGTCTACGATGGGAGTTGCTCGGTTTCCAAACGTTCTTCTATCGGATTGCATCTGTTGATTAACATCCTAAGCACGGTTGTCCTGGCTGCGAGTAATTATTGCATGCAGTGGTTGAGCGCTCCTACTCGGGAGGATGTGGATAGGGCTCACGAACGAAGGATTTGGCTGGAAATTGGGGTTCCCAGCGTTCATAATCTTTGGGTGATTGGGAAGAGACAGAAACTGCTCTGGTTTTTGCTTTTGGTATCGTCGATACCGATTCATTTACTGTTTGTCTTTCCTCCCTTTGCTAACTCTGTGAGAGCGTTGCGTTTAACCACAAGGCTATCTATAGGTATAACTCGGCTCTCTTTTCTTCGATCGCGACGACTGAGTATGGGGTTATGGTTGTGCCTAGCTCCTTCGAACCAGCCGATCTGATGACAAGCAAGAATTCGTTTGCAAACTGTTCGTCTTCTGAACTTGGGATCTCCAACGCAGATATACTGTCAGCACTGTCGAGTGGAAAATACCAGAACTTGACAAAAGAGGAGTGTGTCGATACTTATGCCGTGACATATCTCGCTGGACGTGGGACGCTAATAGTCCTCTCGAGCAATCTGACAACCGGGAATAATTCGATTCTGTATACCGGGACTGGGAATGAGGGTGCGCGTACGGGGATTATGGGGTTAACTGGCCCGTATTATCCGTATGAATGGATGTGCCACTCGCTTCCTGGCAGTTCGGCTTGCACCAAAGCCAATGTCAAAGCAGCCCTGGGGAATCTGACAGTGGTCGGTTCTCAGGCTTCGCGTCCTAACTGGGTCGTAAATGCCTATACTCCTATCGGTCGGGAGACATTTGATGCCAACCATTTCCCTCCAGTTAGTGACTGGGGAGACATCACCGCGGATATACTAACTCTAAGCAATCACCTCGAGGAATCTGGGCCAGAAACTGCCGACGAGCTTCAGAGCTATTTGGATAATGTAGCTAACTGGAAGAACGGCTCATGGGCTGCGGATGTGACGTTCCATCTGGACGGTTCTAATTGTCCTGCCGAGTTTTCAACCGCAAAGGTTTCAAGTAAAACGTATTCCTTTGATGGATGCTTGAGCCTAGAGGCAGATCAGTACTGTCAGCTGTTTTTCAGTCTGCCTTTGGCACTCGTAGTCATTGGCTGCAACGTGATCAAGGTTCTTTGCATCTTCTTTGCAGCCCGTATTGAGAGAGCGGAGACTCTCTTGACTGTTGGGGATGCGGTGTCTTCTTTCCTAACGAAACCAGATCTCACCACGAAGGGGATGTGCTGGGTGTCCCGGTCAGATATGACTCGCCTTCCTCAGCCATGGCGTCGCGGTCGGCTTTTGGAAGGCTCGTATACACCGATTCGACCGGTCGTTGAATCTATAAGATCAGATCCACAGCGCTTGCGTGGCAGGATGCAGTGGATGCAGGTACCCAGTGGGCGTCGTTGGGCAGTGACAATCATTTCGTATGTATGAGTTCCAGGGGTCAGGAAGACAAAAGTTCTGACAATACGCAGATGCTCCATTCTTCTCGTCGCCGCAGGAGTTCTCCTGGACCAAGCATTTAGCGATGATGGAATCAGACTATATGGAGGCAGTACAGACCTAGCGTATCTGTGGAAACTTGGTCTAGGAAAGGTCGATCCCAGCACGATTATCTACTCGATTGAACTGAGTTTAGTGGGATACATTCTCGTTGCCAACTTGCCGCAACTCCTTATTTCCATATCGTACTTTTTCTACAACGGCACCTTCACCAGCATGCTTTCTGCCGCTGAATACAGCCGCTACGGGATGCATCGGAAGTACCTCCGTGTCTCCTGGCCACGGGGAAAACAGCGCACGACATACTGGCTCAGCATGCCCTATCGGTACAGTATTCCTCTGCTGGTAGTCTATGCGGTGCTACACTGGCTGGTATCGCAGAGTCTGTTTTACGTCAATGTGCTCGCATACGACTTGAACCACGAGCTTACTCATTACGGAGTGACGACCGGATTGGGATATTCGCCCATTTCGATTATTTTGGCCATAATAGTCGGTGGAGTTATGCTATTGGGTCTGATAGTCATTGGGACCAAGAGGCTGAAAAGCCGGGTGCCTGTGGCTGCAGGCTGCAGTTGTGTTATCAGCGCAGCCTGCCATTCAAACGACGAGGATGCAGCCTTGAAGCCAGTAATGTGGGGAGAGATCTTGGAACAGGACGGGGCTGCAGATGATGGCAGCGAAGGCAGCAAGGCCGGACATTGCAGCTTCGCCTCCGAGGAGGTTGTCATACCATCGAAGAGGAAACAATACGCCTGACGATCGATCTAGACCCAGGGATTTGGAGACGATACTTCTTGCATTCGGGGTCAGAACCGTCCCTTAGATAGCCAGTCTGTACATTAATTACCATCCAATCTTCAACTTCCAGCTGACCACAGAATCCACGAATGAACCCTGCAAACCCATGAACGTGGACGTAAAAAGTCTTGGGTATGACAACACCAGCTAACCCATCTCAGCCCTGGCTTGACCATTTTGTATAACCAGTAAATCCCAACAAATCAAACCGCGACTTCACTTCATAAAACCAACTTTACCTCCTTCTTGTGACCTGCTCACTGGCGGGGGAAAGCCTTCCCCGGAGCCGGTCCGGCACCACGGAACCTCGGAGGCTCTATCAGCCCGGATACCGGGGGACCCAGAGGAGGGGGAATGATGGATCGTAGACACGCCGGTTTATAGTAAAGCGCGATTTGAAACCCTGAAGCTTGATTCTGGATACAGTACTAATTAGAGTCTATGGGCAAGCCATGGTCGATATGTGGAAACGGCTTGTGATATCCATAACCCTAAGTTCAACTAGAGAAACTCTTTTCCTCTCATGAACAAATGACGAATTGCCTACCCTCCCAAAGAAGGTTTGCGTTAAAATAATGATAAACCTCCATCAACTGCCGGGCGTATGTATGCATATGCTATTTTTGACTTGACAGCTGAATATCAACGATAATGGCATTATGTATGTAGACTCAGCCCCCCCGCGCTTGGACTCAAATAGCCAAGCCGATGCCCTAACTAACTGGAAGTGGATTTAGCACAGCGATATGGGCTGAGAGAACGAAAAGAAAAGAAAAAAAAAAATTAAAAACACATCTTGACAAGACCACAAAAAAGGGGTAAATTTGAAGACATTTATTATTTAATACTTATGTATTTATTCTATGTAAATGTGTATAAAAATGGCGATGGCTTACCTCATTTACGAAAAAGGCAACCAGGTCGGCTCTTCTGATAGGCTACCAGCGAATCATAAGAATTATGATTCATGACTCATCAAGAGTTATCTTTGGTTTTGAGTGACAGTATGTGGCAGTGCTTTATTTTATTTTAATTCTAATTCTATAATCTATAATTTACGGTTCTATCTGATTGATCTTTGGATAGACATCTTCAGGATACATGGATACAACGTCGCAGTGCAACTCAAGATAGCTTAATCGACTGCTGGGAGACGCTAAGACCAAACACAGCCATAAAGGACGATCAAGCAGTTCTCTGTTCCCCACCTAATAATCCTGCAGTGTGGGTGAGTCATATAAATTACAATGACGATAATCCATGATATAAGGAGTATTTTCGGAGATATTATTCTTCTTCTTTCAGTTTCTTCTAGGCTGTGTTTATCATTTGTTCTAGTTTTTTACCCCATTCTTTGATTAGGTTTCTACTATAGTAAGATGAAGAGTGACGGGCTTGTCTTGGCGTGTGTGGGTTATTTAGGTCGTTTGTCGTTTGGATATCCTTGATGGTGCTGATTTTTTTTTTATTCTATTTTGTTTTATTCTGGAAATGGTGTTTTCTTTCCACATGGCTAAACATGGAGTCCATGTGTTTTGTGCGATAGGCCATCTATTATTTATATAAAGTAGTAATAACAAAAAGTAAGCTGACCTCACTCTGATAACTTGCAACACATACACCGACACTACTGTACTAATGTATGTCCTAAATAAAGTTGAGACGGACGTCCCCTAGAAACCAAAATCCAGGCAACCAGTCTAACCGGATTAGGGGTCATCTGGCGAGAATTCGACCTTCACGCTCTCTAATTCGCCCGCACTCCCATTTCCTTCATGATCGCGGATTGGGAGTGAGAGAAAAAAACAAAAACCTTAGATCCCTGCCAAGACAATTGGTTGGGTGCGGAGAGTGGCCGGGTGGAGCTGATTGGCTGGTGTTGGGGTAGATTGACGGGACGGGAATCTCCGACGATACCGGATTTGGGATGGCGTGAGGCTAAAATCAAGTCATGGGACGGAACTCAGTCGAGGATGTGCAGGATGAGCAGGACAAGGGTTCAGGGCAAGCCGTGTAGTATGCAGGATGTGAAACGGCGATTTGAAGTATTGCTTTTGATCCGGATAGACAACCATAACCCTGGTCTTTTTCTTAGTTGGGAAAGACTGGAAAAGTATTTCCATGGTTTGTGATGAAAGTCAAGATGGAAAGACCAGGAGTTCGTGGACTCGTGCAATATCGTCATTCAAATCCCGCCTTGACATTGACATGACATCTCATGTCGTAAGGATATAGGATATAGGATGTAAAACATGCAGAAGAATCAGCATCATCGTCGCATTCCAGACTCTCAGACAACATGAAACACCTGCGTGAGGGATCAACCCTTCTTTTTCTCCCCAGAAAACGTGGCTCGAAGCTTTTGTGTCACCTCGCCAAATATGCAGTCGACAGTAATCTCATGTCTCATGGCTCATGATCTGCATGACTGAGAGGCGTGGTATATTTAGAAAATCAAGACCAGCCATGGGTTGTACGACATATTTCCAAGTCGTGACTGGATGATGATGTAGTTACTTCTTGACTTGCTGAAGGAGAGAGAGGGAGGATAAGAAATCCCACTTTCTGATTGGCCCAAGGCAGGCCATTTAATTCAGTGACTCGAATATCCAAGCTAGTCCCAAGGCAGCCAGCACAGCCCCACCAGTGGAGCCGGCCCGCAGGCTGGGGCAAGCATTTATGATTTGACAGCCCGTCTGTCACTTTACCTTACCTGACTTGGTTGTGTAGGTAGGAAGGATCGTACCCCAATCGCGATCTACGGGTTGGTTATTATTGAGTAATGTGATTTTCTTTTAGTGTGGTATCGAATTACTGCATGTAGCAGGTGGTGATAATTGCCAAGGGCTCTTTGCTTCTTTGGGAGAGCGCAAGTACGTAGTATATGTACTACGTCTGCGTACTACGGCAGAGCATGGATGTACTCCATATTCACACAAAGTACATACTTTTACACAATGGCATTAATCCTGGGCCAGATTCCCGACAGGCTGGAAAGTGCACGAGGCGCAGCGCATTGGCTGTGATACAGCAGGTATACGTCCCAACGATATCAGCATTTCCAGCCCTCCTGCAGAGTTCCTCAAGTTCTCCTCTCCGAAAGCCTATCTGAACCTCCAGTCCGTAAAAAGCCATTATTAGGAAATACTAGTAGTCTAATCATTGGGCCCCGTTGCCCCACGGCATCCTGCTCAGCCCGCCTAGATGGCCGGAAGAGGAAAGGCCACAGAAAACAAAGTTACTGGATTCGTCCACGACAACTTTTTCTCTCCTGTCAGCCTAGCCTGTTTCGGATGGGTGGGTTTATTATTAGGTCGTTTTTAGTGCAGGTGCTTGCTTATCCTCTTGATGGACCCCTGAAGAAGTTGGATGTACAAGTCCCAGCCAAGAGCCAATCATGGGTGATTGTTGCTCGAGTCCTGCATATTGCAGTTTCAACTGCTTCTCTCCTGCAAGTTCGGTTGTTATTACTGTATTCAGGCCAGGGTTGTACAGAGTTCCTTGCTCTGTAGATACGGTGGTAAAATTACACGGAATACTCCGTAGCCAGACGGTACCTTTTAACATGGATCCGAGCACAAGTTCGTTGATTCATTCCTGTCGGGTAAAGACGGACAGAGTGACTAACGGCAAATGGCAGATGCCCATAGGCTAGACCAGAGTGGAGGCGAAGGTTTTTCGAGTCCCTATGATTGGGATTGTCAAGAGCCAAGATTACCGGGACGAGGGAAAGCAGAACAAGGGCCATCCTGGCTAGTATTAAGGTTGTTGCAGTTCAGGCACCCTATCAGCTATCAGCTATCAGCTATCAGGAAAGCAGAAATGGTTTGCCTGAAAAGGCATCTGGTCTGTCTTTTTCTTGTTTTTCTCCCTTCCCTTTCTCCTTAATCTTATGTGCATGAATACCACGGAGTATGTGACACTGAGATTTGTGTGAATTAAATGGAAAGGGGGAGAATAATTGATTGACTAGCGCCTTCCCGACGGGAATACCTGCCCAATGACGATATCCATCCTCCCCTTTACTTTCTGACCAACATGACAGTCGGAACTTGACCTACAGTATGCTTTAGGGTTGAACTATCGGTAGTCTATGCTCGATAGAGGGATGCTTTGGCGTCAGGAATTATTATCCGCGCAGCAAAGCCCCAGTGGTGGTCCCGCTTTATCGAACGCAACGGACGGGACTTGGGAGATCAGGGCCGGTGAAAAGCTGTTACTACTTGGTACTAGGTGGTTACAGAACAATTTGGTTGGCGATCAAGCCTGGCCTAGAGGGGTAGTTTGGATTGACCATCAAGTCTTGTTAAATGACTCCGCGGACAGTGCCCGATGGTAGTCAACATACTCCTCCTCCTACAGAATAGATAGTCGATAGACCCCTGAATATTACTCATGCATATCCTCTAGTTCTCTCCTACTAGACTGCATACTAGACTATTCTTCCCTACTAGTACCTACTTCGTAGGCACTCTGGCTGATACTGTAATATAGATCGAAGACCCTGAAGGCCCTAGCAAAGCTAAACACCGCCACTAACCCTAACTCAACTGTGGTCCGCCTGTCAAGAATCAAGAACGGAAGAACCAACGCCTGCCTGGGCGCCGTTGGGCTTGGCTTTGGGCGAGAACCAAAGTTGGCGGCCCCCCACCCGATCAAAGAGGGCAGTTGTTGATCTGGCCTGGCATCCTTGGTTTTCTTCCAACTTTAATTGGAGAATAAAGCCTCATCCTGGTACCTTTGGATGGGGCATTCAGCATGGAGAGAACCAAGTCGATCTCATCCACGGACAGTATACTACAATGAGGTTGGACTGGAACTCTCTTCTTTACAGTACACTCTTTTTCTTTCCTTTTCTCTCTCTTCTGGCCTGTCAAATTAGACTACAGCACAGTTAGTCCGCATGGCCCAAGCACACTTTTTTACTGATTCGGGCAATTGGCGGTGCTGGCCATGTGGCCCCAGCAGAGCATTTGCATTTCTGGGATGGCCCTGGTCAGCAGCTGAACGCATGACGGGGGGTTACTGTGGGCTTTTCCCTTTTCGCTTTTATTTTATTTTATTTTTCATTTTTTAAATTTAATTTTATTATTTTATTTCCTTTTTTTTTTTAATTACTTTTTTTCTTTTCCTTCCCCCCAGACAGACGGGAGGCTCAAAATGCACCCCTCAACAGGCATAGCCATACTGTGTAATAATAATAATAATAATAATACCCATCACCACCAGACTAGACGATAAAAGTGCAGATTCTCCCCCTTTCCAACTCCCCACCCCCAATCCTCCAATACAGTCAAAATAATACAGACTGACAGACACATTCCAGAGCCCACCTGACCAGTGGCGTTCGAACGTCTCGGCAGTCCAAAGAGCCCCCCAGCATCAAATCGGGACTAGCTTGAATATTATTATTATTGTCCTTCGTCTCGCAGCCTCAGATCCCTCTTCAACGCTGCAGCTGAAAAAGACTCGCTTCCCCCCCTCCCCCTCCTCGTTGTTCTGGATGCTCGTTCTTCTTCCATTCTTCTTCTTCGCTGCAAGCTTCATATCATATCATCTCTGACCTCATCTTCTTCTATCTACAACCGTTTTCTCGTATTCTTCCCACGTGTGTTTCCCTGCTCGCTGACAGTTCCTCTCCACCTGGGACTGCCCAGAGCAGTGGTAGCTCTCCTGCATCTTAGTGAGGGGTTATTTTTGGATTCTTGACTATATACATTTTTCGCCCCCTTATTCTATATATTCTTTGCGCCGTCAGGTCAAGTCCAGCACTTTTGTTGTTGTTGACTATCTCACAAACCCTCGATATCTGGCTACCGTTATAGCCTCACTCTTCAAACACCCAATCTCTTTTCCATCATCAAACAGAACAAAATGGCCGGTCCAGGTGGTGGTCCTCCTCGCAAGAGCCACACCAAATCCAGAAACGGCTGCAAGACATGCAAGAGAAGACACATCAGATGTGATGAAAGCTTCCCACAATGGTACGTCTACTGTTGGGAAACCCACCATGCAGCGAGGCTGACCTGAATTAGCCGGAATTGCACCAAGCACAACTGTCGCTGCGACTACATGGACAGCGCCGCCGCGCACGACGGATCTTCCAAAGCACGCAAAGTCCCTGATCTCCTCATGTCGCCCGAGATTGAGGTCGAAATCAAGAATTGGGACACTACCGGCGTGCCTCCCTTCCCTGAGCTTCTGCACTGTCCGCGCAGTGGCTGGTACGGCCTTTCTCGCACTGACCTTCGCCTAATTCATCATATTATCGGTCTTTCGATCGATATTCATCGTCGCGGCTTTAGCAGCTGCACCGTCTGGGCTCAGAAGATGCCCAAGTAAGTTGGCAGTCATCGCGCGTGGGAATTTCTGGTGCTGACTGTTTTTTCTGCAGTTTTCTTGCTATCGCTTTGTCCAACGACTTCGTCATGAGTTCTATTCTTGCTTTCTCTGCTTCACACCTCGCCTGGATTACTCGAAATCAAGAAACGAAGCATCTGGCGTATCACCACAGAGGGGTTGCGATCAAGGGCTTGCACAAGGCGATTGGAAACTTTTCCAAAGACAACAGTGATGCTATCCTTGCTTCCTCCATTTTGCTCTCATGGCAAACGACTGAATGGTATGTATTTTGTTCTGGTATTGAATCGCAAATGCTGACAACATATCACAGGCAGAGTTGGGCATCCTTGCAACAGGGACTGACAACAGTAAGAAGCCCGACACTACTCCAATGAATTTGTGCTAATCAAATCAGGTCCTGGACGCGATGCATCCCATCTGGAAACAAGAGTCCGAGTTGGCGAGATTTTTGGAGAACCAAAGAGCTTTGGGATGTACAAATACCCCTATAAAGTCGGGGTACCAGTTCCGAGACGAAGATCTGGTCGAACTCGACCAAACCATTGCATCTTTGGAAAACGCACAAAAGTGTGTTTCGCATAACCATGAGCACTACCTTCGAATTGGAGAGTTGCTTCATTTTGTTCGACGTTTCCGCCAGGACCTTCCGACACAAACCCCCGAACAAGCCTTTGAGCGTATGCAACCACTGCGAAGATGGTTGTTTTGGCTTCCCCCAGCCATGCTTCGAGGCGGCGAGTCGGATATCAGCGCCCTTGCGATTCTTTCACAGTTCTTCGGAGTAGGAATTGCCCTGGATAGTCTCTTCCCTGACATGGGAGGTGCATACTTGGGACCCTTGTCCGTTGGGCCAGTGGAAGACGCCTACCGGATTATTGTCACGAGAAACACCACAGATCCATTCAACTTGGAATTACAACACGCCATGAATCTAATGGAACTGCCTCAACATCTCGTCGCCAAATATAAGGCTCGTCTTCAATGGTCGTCGCCACGGTCTTCGCTTGATCACTACTCCCCCGGTCCACCCAGCCCTTATCACCACAACTTCCAAGACTACCGCGTCGCTTCATCCTCGCCATCATCCACCTCTGCCACATACACGCCCTACACGCCCCCTCTCACCTCTCCGCCCGCCGTTACTATTGCCAACTCCCCGTTCGATGTCACCGGAGGATATGTGACGGCACCTTCACAGAACTACTACCCTCCTTCGCCTCGATTACTTTCGGAGCCTAGAGAGGAGCTGCCAGAATACCATCACCCCACTCACCACCACCAACAATCTCCCGCCTTCCAATCACCATATGTGGATGATATGCTGTGCGGGGGCCTACAACGAACAGATGGAGCGTTGGAATTGAACATGGGGCTGTATAATGAGCATCACTCCGTCCCCCTCGCGGGAATGGTTGCGCCAGAGCCCTGCTGGACCTGATGCTAAACAAAAAGAAAAAAGAAAAAACAATATATAATATTCGCCGCTTTTGACGATCTACGATCAACCAGCATTTATTTGATCTTTACTCTTGATTATGCATTTATGTCTGCGCAGTATTGGCGGATAGAAGGACTATCTCTTCTATATATTTCGATCGTTTGACCATTGGTTTATTTTTCATTCTTTCTTTGATATTTGGGAAACAGCAGTACTCTAGCAGGGATGTTAGGGCTACTTGTTTTGATACAGGCATGGGTGTTTGGTTTGATTGATACCAGGAAGCAAATTTAGCAATATACCCTTAGTGGCATTCATGGATGTTTTCGTGATCTATTCTTATACCAATTAGTTCAATTACATTGATAAATAAAGAAAATATTACTGTGTACTACTACGAATGAATATATTTAGAATCCACGCGCTGAAACAAACTACTTACTCTAGATCTACAACGCACTTAACCAACCTACTCCATACATAGCAGCACATAGCGAGTAACCACACCTACGTTAGACCAAGGCCAAGAGAACATGATGCCTTAGCACAGGTTATATTTGGCATACAATAAGAAACCGCCCCCAAGTATCATTTTATACCGGTATTATCATTGGACAACTAACCCACGTTGATATGTAGATCTAACTAAAACACCCACGCTAGTAGTTATCTTCGTCAGTCGTCACACTATCATCATAGTCATACATAATCATATGCACATTTACCGTAAACGGGGCTCCTCGTATTCGGCAGTTCCTCAAAACTGAGTTTCAAGATGGATTAAAAAAAATCAAGGATCATGGATGATCGTCTTTTTTAGTCTCTGTTGCTATCTTTAGTTCTATGTTTAGCTGTGTGTCATGTGATTGTCGTGATTGATGTGCTTGGCTTGTTTGGTTGGTTTGTTCAGGGCAGTTGAAGGCGGTGAAGACTGGCGTCACTCACGGAGACAGGCAGGATTTGTTGTTCACTTGCTTGAGCTTAGCTTAGCTTGACCTCTAGTACTTTGGTATTGATTGGGATTTGTTATCTCATTCTATTCTAACTATCTTTGATATCTATTGTCTTTACGGATAAGATAAGATAGATAGCTACTTTATCAAAATGGCAGACGGTGCTGGTTGGAGTACTATTGAATCGGACGAGGTAGCTATTCCATTCCATTCCACTTGGATAAGCCAGAGGACATATTCTAACTAGCTATCCAGGGCGTCTTCACATCCTTAATAGAGAATCTGGGGGTAAAGAATGTTCAATTTGAAGAACTCATTTCCCTGGATGCAGACACAATACGCTCATTAAGGTAAACTACCCCCTCTCTCCTCTCCCCACTTCACCCCTCACTCCAACAACACCCATACTGAACCGATGCCAGCCCCGTCTACGGCGTAATCTTCCTCTTCAAATGGACGCGCGACTCCAACCAAAACACAACCAACCCCTCCACCCCCCTCGACGGAACCTACGACCCGTCCGCCCCCGAAAACGGCGTCTTCTTCGCCGCCCAAACGATCCAAAACGCCTGCGGCACGCAAGCCATCCTCTCCATCATCCTGAATCAAGACTCCGCGGCCTCAACGCCAGTCCCCATCGAGATCGGCCCCGAGCTAAGCGGCTTCAAGGACTTCACGGCCGGGTTTCCGGCGGAGTTGCGCGGCGAGGCGCTGTCGAACTCGGAGACGGTGAGGTCGGCGCATAATGCGTTTGCGAGGGCGTCGCCGTTTGTCGATGAGACGGTGCGGGGCGCGGATGAGGAAGGTGGGGATGTTTATCATTTTATTGCGTATACGCCGGTGAATGGGGTTTTGTATGAGTTGGATGGGTTGCAGCCGCACCCGATTAGTCATGGGGCGTGTGATGTGGATTCGTTCCCGGAGAAGGTTATTGGGGTTTTGCAGAGGAGGATTGCGAGGTATCCTGAGGGAGAGACGAGGTTTAATCTCATGGCTGTCGTGAGAGATATGAGGGTGCGGGCTAGGGAGACTGGAGATGTGGAGTTGTTGGAGAGAGAGGCGAGGAAGCGTCGCGCCTGGGCATGGGAGAACACACTGCGTCGATCCAACTTTGTTGGTTTCATCGGGGAGACGTTGAAGGGGGTTGTTGGCATGAAGGATGCCCAGGGAGATGGAGCTTACAACGAATGGGTGGAAAAGGCAAAGCAGGAGACTCAGAAGAAGCTCCAGAGGCGAGGTTAATGCGCGCAGTAATTTACTGAGACACGGATCTTATGATATATGCAATTTGATTCCCTTGTCGATATTGTTAATTAATGATATCCCCAGTCGCCAGCCTCAAAACACCTTAAACAAATCAACTAACAATAAGTCTATCGGATGCTGGTCATAAAAATGAAGCTATTTACATCATAAGTCATGAGTACCGGTGAACTTGATGCCCGTGCTCAGGCACAAGGCAGCCAATGTTGAAGAAAGAAGGCAAAGTTGAAAATCCATCAGTCGTTGTCACAATCCGAATTAAACTGGCCTTTGCGAACCAGTTCGTTTTTTGGCCAACAATCTGCTGTTCAATACTCGATGATGCGAGACTTGATGTGCTCCACCATCGCAGGTGGGAGCTCGTCTTCCTTGATCAGGTTCAGAGACAAAATATCTGACCAGAAGAACAAAGCCCGATCTTGTGCATATGCGAGGTAGTCAAAGTCTTCTTCTTCGGCATCAGCATCCACTGGAGAGCTCGGCGCTATCTCCGGGCTCGAGGGGTTCGTCGCATCGTGATCTTCACCATTGGCCTTAGCTGCATCGGCTGCGATCCCTTCTTCCATTCCTGGGACCTTAGCCTGCACAATTCCCCATGCCACCCACTGGGCCGAGTTGCTCACTCGCCAGAGTCGGGTCTGCTTCATTAAATATTGAACAGCGGCTTCGTGGCTGTCTTCATGCGACTTTTCAACCTCATTCATCGACGGGGCTTGGGGGTTGGAGTCATCAAGGTCCAAAGGAGGAAGAGAGGCTATGTTCGAGGCACCGCGTACAGTTGGAGTGCTAGAAGGAGAGGTAGCTGATCGCGAGCCAAAATTAGGTCGATGGTTCAGGTAAGAGGAGATGAATCGATGTTGCTCCTCAGGTCTAGGATACCATTTGTTGTTGCAGGCCCAAGATCTTTCTGCATCATGGTAGTTATAGCACCATTCACTCTGTTTTTCGTTAGAAAATGCAGTGCGTTCAAATACTGCTAGACTCACAAAATGGTTGGCAAATTCAAAGCCCGGAGTGTTGGCCGACGCATACTCAAAGTCAATCACTACCAATTGCTTGTGCTCGTTGGCAGGCAAGAGGAGCGGAGACTCCCCGCTGGGCTCCATTCGAAGAAGGTTGCCGTATTGCGTCTGCAAAAAGTTTAGCCAGAGAAAATTATGCATTCGACAGAATACTCACATCGTTGTGAGCAAAGACAAGCTGTCGCTTGATCTCTTGCATTCCACCATTGGTGTTGACAAGCCATTGACGATAGTTGTCGACGGCTTTCCGGAACAAAGGCCACGGGACACCACAGACAAAGCCTCGTCGCCGCCAGGGCTCCGATTGCGCCTTTGTCTCGTTGTGCGAGGATTGGATTTCCTTGTCCAGCCAATTGATCACCTGCTCACAGCGATCAACCCACTTATCCCAATTCTTGAAAACCATTGGGCCTCCTTCTCTCTCGTGCTCGAGAAGATCAATGCCCTCGTGTAACTCCCTCATCCGCTTGGCAATTTGCTTGCTCGTATCGGGGATTCGCAAATCCTTGGGTGTCAAAGTGCGGGCTTCGAAGAACTCCTCAAATCGACCGTTGTTGAATGTGCCCAGCACTCGAGGACCGATGTTCTTGCGTCCCAAACGACGGAGGATCTGAAGCTCATTCTCTCGATCAATCAAGTGATCAACCTGGGGACCGTAGATTCGCAAAAGGAGCTTCCTAGAAAAGAGTTAGAAGCATTGCTTCGGCGACTTTGCAGCAATACTTACGGCGGGGGCTTCCTAGGGACCAAAGTGTAAGAACCATCTTCAGCTTTGGGGATAGGGATGTTCTTTGGAGGCGTAACGACATAGACGGCGTTTGTCAAGGCACCGCTGAGCCGAACCACCTCAACATCACCCGCAATATCCATGGGGACCTTTCGCCAGCCCTTGAGCCGCATGGTGTGCGCAAGGCGAAGGATTTCGCTCTTGAATACCAACCAGTTCTCTCGGTCCTTGGCCCGCGCTTTATTCACGCCTTCCTCGTCATCCTCATCCGCGGCACCTCCTGTGTATGCGAGAGTTTTGGAGTTATCCAAAGCTGCATCAACACTAGGCGCGGCAGCCTCAGGATCTAAGTAGTCCGATTCGGAGGCAGAGCCCCTGCGCAAGCCCTTAACGTGGCGTCGACGTGGTCGACGAGGTTGAACACCCGCAACACCATCCTCGTAGCGAGAAGTGGCATACTGAAGAAGGATCTTCTCGAGTTTATCAAGGGCAACCGGACTGTCGGACCCCTGGGAGGTAGTCGGATCTAAGGGGGTACCGTAATCATCATAGTCGTCGTCCCCATCACTTACGGCACCATCGGTTTGGGAGAGGGAAGATGGTCTAAAGTTGCGAGTCTTCTGCTTGGTCTTTTCCCGTTGGAGCCACTCATACACCTGGTTGAAAAGACTATTCTGAGGATCTTCTTCGGTGGGCTTCTTGATTTGATCTTTGTCATCCGGATACCCAGATTCTGGCTTAGCATTGGGAGTCTGGTTGTCCGGCAATAGAGTCGACGGTGGCCGTGCCGTCACCTTCTTCCCCACCGGAGCGCGATATTGTTTCCCATCACCATTGGAAGTCCCATTCCCGTTGGTTTGTAGGCCCTTTTGGTAGGAAGGAAGGTTCAGACCGGTTCCCGAAATGGGTTGAATTCCTTCAACAGTTGTCAGTGACATTGAAGAGGAAAGTAGTGCCGAAGTGTAGGTGAGAGGTCAGAAATCGCAGAGGGCATCGCACGGGGCTTGACGGTTGGGAGGGGTTTATAATAATATGGGGGTCCAGAAGTGCCATGTGTTCATATGATCGATCCAAGGAAAGCCTCGGGGCAACTACGACAGAGTACAGAGAGAAGAGGAAGGATCGTCAAGAGCAAGTAAAACACCGAAGGAGGCTGCCTACCTTCAATCCTGGGGCCGGAGTCACCGTCCTGGTCGGTGAAGGAGGGCATATCCTCGTAGAACCGGCTTCAATCAATTCAAAGCTTTAAAGCCGTTAAAGTTGATTAGCATGCAGGGGTAAACGACGCAGGGTCCAAATAGGAGAAAAAAGCACCGTTCACACCCGCACGAGGGAACCACAGGGAGGGAAGATGGCGATAAAATAAATATGGGGTTGACACAGAAGGGAAAAAAGAGGAACGAAAAAAAGGAAAGGGAAAAAACTGGCGGCCAAGTGGGGTGCCGTAGCAGAGGGAACACGGTCCAAGTCGAGCGGTCGGGACGGAGAACCTTGGGGCGATGACACCAGCGTGAAAGGGGAAATGGAGCACCTGAGCAAACGAAGACGACGGGAGATGTGACGATATTAAATGAAGAGATTGACGGCCCTGATCAGGTCAAAGGAATGGATAAGAATCGATGGTTAGCGGCTGATAACTCATATCAGGTATCAAAAGGACGGAGAAAAAAGAGAGACGAAAAAGAAAAAAAAGTGGCGATGTCGCTTATCAGGCCGAAAAGAGTGTCTCAGGTGACTTGGACACCCAGAACAGCACTTGAAATACTAATGTATCATAATCATATAGCCATCATCTTCAGCTTCAATATGGAAGCAAACAAATTGACGGTGAGACAGACGGTGAGACGCAAATGAATGCGCCACCGTTAGGGTTGCTTTGGGGTGGTTTATCCGATCATATCATGGATAGAGAGAGAGAGAGTGTGTGTGTGTGAGAGAGAGGAGCGATAAGCCCAGTCAATCACGACGGAGATCTTCCCGTAGTGTAGTAGATAGATAGATCTTCATCATCCCGTCGGTCTGGATACAAAGAAGCAAGGTACGGGTCCAGATGGAGTCATTATCGTGGCTCATTATCGTGTCCATCCAGTCATAGTGTCGCATGGGAGAAAGCAGTAGAAGAGCACGAGAGCAACGATAAGCATTAATATTGGACGGTTGCGGCGATTTAGTGCTGCTTGCGGTGTCTTAACTCTTAGCCATGGAAGACAGTGGATGGTACCTGTCAACCAGTGGATTCACGACAGAGGCTATCATCATCATCATAGATTGTCGCACAGGGAGAAAACTCTAGTCTTGACGCCATACTCGATGTTGCAAAGGGGCACTTGTTTTTCAGTCTTGTCGCTTCTGGAGTTGTCGTTGCTTCTGGTCGATGGTTGGAATGTGGATGGAGGAGTTTGGAGGGGCACGAGAAGTGGAGGGCCGGTGTTGCTAGTTCGGGGCTAGCGGTATTAGCGCTGTTACTAGGGCAGAACCATTTTATTACAGGGTCCTCTGTTGGGGAACTGTCGCTAGCCGCTTCCGGTCTAGCCTCATCAGCTGATCGTTCAGGCATCATCTTTATGGATCATCACTAAAAGCCTCACAGTTCAGGTTGAAATCCGTCGGATTCATCATTCGGGCATTAATTACGATAGCTCACACTCCACACTCGATATCCTTCTTCTTCCCCTTCTTTCTGCAGGCCCATATCCCCCTGCTGTTCAATTAGGATGGGCGATGAGTCGCCCACATACTGCAGGGAATAGCCCCGTCCATTCCCCAGAAATGTCACCTTGACTTCAGCCGCCTGCTTACCCTTGGTCGATGGCAGCAAAGACCCGTCTTGTCCCAGCCATCGCCCATCCAGAGCGCTCGAGATCTTGAAGATTTGGCTCTCCTCACCACTCGAATAGTGGACTACCCATCGCTGATTCTTCGCATTGTGATCGGGACTGGCTGCAGCGGTCGTCACCTGCGTCGTGTTGCCAGTATTCGTGAGAGCTCGTCCGGCTCTTTCAAAGACCAGGTATCGGCCCTCGGTCAAATATCCTACACATTCCTTGTATCCTTCTTCAAACCACAATGCCTCTGATGTTTCTTGCTCGCCGTATGGTACCGGGGGTCTAGGCTCGGAGTATTGCGCTTCGCAGTTGGAGCTTCCAACATATCCTCCCTTGGAGTTGGTGGCGGGCTCCTCTGCATCTGGTATATGAGGAATGCTAAGGTCGGGCTGGTCAAGCAAGTCTTATTAGCCGATTTTTCCTCCATGCTCACTCGCGGCAGATGACTTACATGGTCCAGATCCAAGGCATTGACAAGGTTCGACATGTGTTCTCGACGCCAGTGCACCATCTCATCTGTCTGTACATTTTCATGCACCCGAGCTGTAAGCCACTCCTCCAAAAAGAGGATCTGGGAATTATGGTCTGCTCTTTCGGTGAATACTCGATTACCCCGAGTCCACGGAGAGATCATAGTGAAAGGCAGGCGAACGCCTATAATGAAACCGATGGTCAGCGTAAGATTCGTGAGATTAACTCTGCAAACTCACCTGGTCCCACGGAGATATTTCCAAACAATCCGTATGGATCCTCCATCCAATCGCCTGGAGTGCCCTCGGGAGAATGGAATGGGGTGACATGATCCCCGAAACCACCGGATTCTACAACTAGAGTTAGCTGAAGCTCGATCACCTGTCCATGCTTAAGCCCGTACCGTCATAACTAATCATGAGCAGAGTGGACGAATACTTAGGGCTCGTCGTCACAGCATCGACCACCTTCTTTTGAAGCCATGCTCCGTCTTTCGGCATATATGGCGGGTGCTCCGACAACTCTGCCGGACCAACAATGAAGCTAACCTCCGGCAAGGTTCCATTAGCTGCTGCTGCGTAGAACCCCTCAAGCCCGAGATATGCCAGTCCTTTCTGTGCCAAAGGAGACGACTTGGGTGCTTTTTGGAACTGTTGGAAATAAGCCAAAGGATTGTCATCGAAATTATTCCGATCTTGATACACCTGCCACGAGACCCCTGCTTCTTCGTAGTATTCGAAGATGGTCTTCCACTTGAGTGGGTAACAGTTGATGCCGTTTTCACAGCCTGGTTCTTCCTGTCAGCATAAGAAAATTGAGCGAAGAATTTCAATCTCACCTGGAGTTTCATTATTGTCCAGATAGGGGCCTCCCTGGTCTGGAGTCTGAGGACCACCGGGTACATTAACGGAGCCGCTCACCAGGGTGACCCGGTTGGGGCATGTAGCTGTGATTTGTCCTTCCTGGGATATGTCAATCAAAGAGATTACCTTACTAACCTAGGGTTTCCTCGCTTACCTGATACATATCACCAGTCGTCCAGCCTTCTGCGATGGCGAAATGAACTGGGATATCGTTCCTTTTGAGATATCCCCAACTCCAAGCAGTATTGTTCATCACCCAGTGATTGTTCAGACCATGATTAATAGCAGCCTGATTTTCCTGATAACCGTTGCTTCCTGCTGCCATACATTGGATCGCCTCGGTTGAGTTTCCTCCCTGGTATCCTAGATACCATGGAAGCAAGGTTTGTGCTTTATCCGATACTTTTGGGTCGACTAGCCTTTATTTAAGGTGCTATCAGTGAGTGTTCCTCATGAATTATCTGTATATAGTACTGACTGATGCCAGACAGGCAACCCATCTGGGTTAACTTGCACATTCGGGTCGTTAAAACCTCGGACTCCTGCCATAGTTCCGAAATACTAATCACAATCGCGTCAATGAGAGTTCATAGATTGCAGGAATAAAGGGCAGTGGAACATACACTATTCCATGAGCGGTTCTCTTGCATGAAAATTACTACATGTTCAATATCTTTCAGAGAGCCACCGGCGACCGGTCTGCTCCCAAGGAGTACAGTTAGGGCAACGCCTAGGAGCATCGCCATAGTGGTTGGAATGAAGAAAACAAAGTCGAGGTGGGATAATTTCCAACGGGCTCAAAGCAAAGGCGGATCGGACGCCCTGCTTGATTTATTTCTCGCGCATTCGCCCGTCAACCTTGTGATTCATGCGGTATTCGTTCCACTGCAGCGTGTCCCTGTACGGAGTAACCGGAGCAAACAAGGAGCGACATGTTTCTTCCTCATGATTGTAGATGGAATGTGCCAACACGTGGGAGGGGATGGGGAGATAAGACTGGTCAATGCCATGTTTTAATATAATTGGAATGCTGGTTGCATCATTTAGTATCTCAATAGTTTCTTTATCAGGAGGGGTAAGACAGTCGGCAAGAAAATGGGTGGTGACAGGCCGGAATGCGGAGCTCCCTTTCAGCAGGCGTTGTTGCCCGCACGTGTTGCAGAGCGCGATTCTTCCTGGACGAAGGAGATCACCACATGCGATTCACGTCGGCAGGAACCGTCAGATATCGTTGCCAATATTGCGATTGTGATTTGCTCAAGAGTACAAAGCTTGGTGGTTAGTGGCCTGATAAGAAAAAAGCAACCATAACAAATGATATCTAGGATCAACGAAGTAACATCCCTTCCCCTCATCATATCAAGTGAGAGCTCACAGAAACAACAGGCACACTTCATGGGTCCATCATAATTTGGATGCCGTAAATGATGGAGAGGCAGTCCAGTCATTCAAGAATAATGCCGTTGATCAAAAAACATCCACAACCAAAATTAGACGCAGACAAAGTTTCCAGCCCATTAGGGCATCGGGCATACGGGGTGGTGGTTTATCCACTTATCGTATGCCTCTTGATCGTCCTTACTTATCTCCAACAACGGAAGATAGAGAGCTACAATCCTTTGCAAGCACTGCTCCCCTCGTCGCGATATCATGGGAAAACTGTTTCCATACCGCATGATCCTGATGCGCTTCGTCCTAGGATAGAGCTTCACCCTGAAGACCATATTTATCGCGAGCCATCAACACAACATCTTGACTGGCTAGTTACCTCCGACTACCTTCGTCCGGATGGAGTTTTAAAACGGGTATATTTAATCAACGGTGGGTGGTTCCCCAGGAAACATCTTACGGAAGACTAATTCCATCGCGAAAGTAAGGCCTTTTCCCTGGCCCAACAGTTGAAACTCGTTCGGGCGATAGGCTTGTCATAACGGTGACGAATGCCTTAGAAGATGAGTCCATCACAATTCATTGGCATGGTTTACATGTTAAGCGTACGATACTGTCACCTGAGACCAGATTACATCTGCTAACTTGAGAAGATTCAATGGATGGTGCTGCCGGGGTTACTCAATGTGTGATCTCCCCTGGAACCAAGTTCGTCTATAACTTTACTATTCCTGATGACCAGAGCGGGACATTCTGGTATCATGCTCATTCGGGGCTCGCAAGAGCAGACGGGCTATACGGCGGGTTTGTTGTACATGCGCCTGCGTCTAAGTCGACGGTTCGAGGGCTCTTATCTGCCCGACACTCAAATGAGGTACATCGCCATCGGTATGACAAAGAGCTCTTACTTCTTATTGGCGACTGGTACCACCAACCTGCTGAAGACGTTATGGCTTGGTATATGCGTGCTGCGTCGTTTGGTAATGAAGTAAGTGTCGTGTTCCAATGAGCACCCACATCCTAACAAACTCCTAGCCAGTTCCGGACTCGTTACTTATAAACGGATTCGGGTCATTCGACTGCTCGATGGCAGTTCCAGCACGACCAGTGAATTGCATCATGCAGGAGAGCGATGCTTTAAATTTGGATCTAGATAGAACGACGGTCTATCGAATCCGGGTAGTCAATACTGGGTAATTCTGCGGCCTATTTGAGATAGGTAGCTAGCTGACACGGATTATTAGATCTCTGGCGGGATTCACACTGGCATTTGGACAGGAGAATATGGAACTTGTCCAAATCGACAGTGTGGATGTCGAGCCACAGCGCCAAAATGTGAATGCCCTGGGTATTCTCCACCCAGGACAGCGCATGGATTTTATCCTTCGTTCACCATCGGAGAATACACAGTTCTCCCTTTTCATACAACTGGATGAAGAGTATGTTTATCCTAATATCACTTGAAGCATAAATTAATTTTGGATAGATGCTTCAAATACCCCAACCCAGCTTTAGCTCCTAACCAAACCTTCCCCATAAATGCAGCAAATACTCCTCAACAACCCATCAACACCATCCATCTCGACCTCTCCGATGTCCCCTCATCAAACAAAGTCCTGTCTTCTCTTCCCGCAACTGCCCAACAGACCCACGTCGTATATACCAGGGTCCAAAAACTTGCAAAAAATAGCAACACCCCTTATGGATACTTCAATCACACTTCTTGGCGCCCACAAAGCGAGCCCTCTGCGGCATTGGTCGCTCTCCCCAGAGAAAAATGGGATAAACAACAATTCTCCCTCTCAACAGGAGACAAAGCTGAATGGGTTGACCTTGTGGTGAACAACCTGGATGATAGTCCTCATCCATTTCATCTCGTATGTCCCCTTCTTCTATTCTATCATCCCAAGCTAAGTAGTACAAGCATGGTCACCATTTCTACATTCTCCAAGTCTACCAAGCCCCCATAGGTTGGGGCTCCTACAACCCCTTTTCAGATCCGCACCCACCAGGCTCGGCTCCCGGCAGCAATCGTTCGTCATACGACCTAACCAAAGCCACATTAAGAGACACTGTCTACATCCCTAGTCGCGGGTACGCAGTTCTCCGGTTCCGGGCCGACAATCCCGGCGTTTGGATGTTCCATTGCCATATTCTGTGGCATTTGGCGAGTGGGATGGCGATGCTGGTTGATGTTATGCGAGACGAGCAGGGTTCGTTTGTAGACGGAGGATCTTGTTTGTCTACTGGGTAGACGCAGGTTACGCAAGAATCACTCGAATTTTCGACTTTCCGGTTTTTTCGTTTGCATATCCATTATACCCAGAATGCAGTGATTGCTATACTTCACAATACTGCAGGTAATTTTACTGCTGCCTAAGGAGTTTTTTGACTCATTAACTGCGCTATCTAGAATATAGTATCATCTATTCACATACCCGGCTGTCTATAAAACCCTACTTCTTTTCTTCTTTCGTCTCTTCATCTCATTCTTATACTATATTATATATCCTCTTCTACCATATTTTGTATTTTCCTCTATTCTTTCTCTATCACTTCATTTCAACGATTGTTTAGTCTTGGTCGCCAGCTGGTGCAAGACTTCCCGAACATGGAGTTACCCCTTTAGTATAACTTCTTCATTTATATATATCCCGCAATTCCACGATTCGGTGCGTGGAGGCCAGCCGATCAAAACGAGATACCTAGACTCAGCGATCGGTCTGCAATTCTTTGGTGTCGTTACAGACACCGCGTCCCGTGTATCGTCCGCGGAGATTCCAAAAGAAGTATGTCTTTTCCTTGAGCTACACAGACAACCTTGAAGCAAATGGACGAAACCAAAGCTAACTGCCCTAGATCCCAATCCAAAGACAGAAATATACGGCGTGAGGTTGGCAGTCTACGACAGGACAAAGGAATGTGCCAACTTGCAATACCTCGGTATCGTGACGGACACAAATATGGCGTGGATCCCAACAAAGTCCCCTTCGAAATTGCAAGATCGCAGCCTGAGATCTCAAACGAACGCCATGATCTGTTTCTGCTGTGGGAGCTTGATACATTCGACAATTGGCCAAGTCAACATCTTTCCGAGAGAACCTCCCTATCCATACTGAACAACTTGGGGGAGAATACCACACGGTGTTGGATTTCTCTTGGACGCCTCCTCTGGGGCACTGTTGGTGTTCTCTGTTCGGCTTCCCTTTGCATGGAACTTTGCTATTTCTATATATAACCGGTTGGTCTTCATCACTCTCCAAATCCACAAGACTTGGCAAATAGCTTATGAGATCAGACTACTTAGCAACGAAAGTATTTCGAAAGTACGGAATCACTTGTTTCCATTGCATCTACAAGCCCAAGCTTCTTCCTGCTGAAGGTGGAACGAATTATATCGAAGGAAGAGCCTCCTTTCTCATCCCCGTCGGTAATATACTACGTCTATATATTGATCTCTTCTAGTGCCGTCGAAGTCGCACATATCTATCCATATTACCTCGCATCGGACGAGGGTACTGAAGTCTTCCCTCTACTAACGGGATGTTTCTAATTGGGAATATCTGGCTTGGCCTTGCTGTCTAAGTCTCAAATCATGATAGCAATTACCTTCTGAGTTCTTTGCGTTCAACAAATGGCAGCCGGTAAGTGAATCTTTCTAGTTTGGCTTGCTTTTGGAAGACTTGAAATAATTGACAATGATCAGATCTATACGAATTACTAGACTGCCATGGGTAAAAACCGAATTGCGGCGAACCCAACCTCTTTAACACGACAACGATTATTCACGTTAATAAGGAAATCATTTTGAGGACAGCATTCGGTGTACTATTGTCTTTGCATGTATCTAGAATATACTCAATAAGTGTACACTACTATCCCAACTAGGGTAAGTTAGCTTCCCATACCTTGATGCAGATTGACATACTAACATGTTTACAGGTAAATGCCATTATCTAAACCGATGACTCTGATAATGGAGAGATTGGTTTCCTCGAGAACTCTGAGAACGTTGAATATCGACGTACATGCTACTTGCAAAAGAGTCCTTCTCCAACAATTTGAATTGCATTTTAACGATATCCGCATCTGCACCGCCGGCGATTTGGTATCTGGACAAGAGTCGATGGCGCGAGATATAATGCCCCGTCCCCTATTAGCAGACTAGAATTGGAACGACAATTTCGGACCAGTTATCGTTTGCGCTACATGATCTTGTTCAACTCCAGCTGGTGATGTTGCTGTGGCTATCTACACCAGCGCTGTCCTTGGGCAGTGGGACAGTGAAGGATGGGACAGTGCGTCAAAGACCAAGTTAGGTCACTATCTGACTGCAATTGTGGCCTCTCTTTTGTTAATTCCCGAGTCTTTTCACGTTGAAGGCATCACAAGGGCAGAGGAGGTTAGAATAAAGATGTAGGCATGTGGTCGCCATTTACTGCATCATACCTGACCTATCTGGGGATATTTTTGATGCGATCATTTCTATGGTGCCTTTTTCCGTCTGATATTTTCTTCGTTTCTCTTTTTGCCTGCCTTTCTTTCGTTTCAAGTGCCGGTTTTGGATTTGGGGTTTTATACCGACAAGAGTTGCACGACAATTTTCTTCGAGTGCTACGTGGGTGCTTTTACAAATGTGGAATCATGCCGTACAACACTTTTGGATACCAGTCTGCCGCTTTATCAGAAGTTTATGCACAAGTCACTGATTTAATTCTAGAGAAATACTCATGTCTATTATCATCCTGTCTATCTTAGTATTGTCAATTAGAAAGAACCTACAACTCATCTACGTATCAATTAAAAAAATCAAATCAAGTCGAATCATCAGACGAAGCATGAGCATCATCCAGCCAATAGATATTTCATGCTGCAAGAATCACAGTCATACTCATAAGTAATACATACAGGTAGGAGGGAAAAGGAGAAGAAAAAAGAACAGTGCTTTCCAGAACACCATACCCACAGCTCCCAACCCATCCATTGCTCTAAAAATAAACCGAAAAAAAAAAAAGAAAAAAAAGAAAAAACGGAAGCCACAACCGAGCTGAGAGCGAGATCAAATAAAAACAATTATAGGTAGTCATCAATCATTTTAGGCAGCCCATTCGAGGACTTCTAGTGCACCCATGACAAGGATGAGGGTGGAGGGGAGGATCCTGATAGTTTGTTAGTAGATGATAGATAATAGTAGGGTTGAGATGGTAGACTTACCAAACGACGTAGCTCTGGAATAAGACTTTCGACATAGCGCCAATGTAGACATTGTTGATCTGGCAGATTTGAGCCAGCTGCAGAGCGGAGGGAGCTCCGGTGAGGAGGAAGCAGACGATGATGAAGATTGGATCGTCCAGAATGCTGATAGGGACGTATTTGGCCAAAAGTGCAAGGACCGGAGCCATGATGATCGTGGGAAGGAGCATGCGCGCAACCAGTGACGCGACGATCAGGTTTCGCTCTTCCTTGGGATGTTCCATGTGCTCTGCAGCGTCTTCGGGAATTGTGTTTCGTGCCAGGTTGGCTCCAAGCACGACCAGAATCAAAGGTACGGCAACCTGGCCGTTCTGGTTCACTGCGCGGGTAACCGAGTTGGACAAGAAGGTGCCTTCGTCGAAGAACAGGTGCTGCAAAGAAGGGATCGAGGCGACCATGATGGAGACAAGCATCGCCCATAGGGGAGGGTTCATAAAATCCCACACACCGTGCACGAATTTCCCTGTCCCCCTCGATATGGCTGATATTGTTTTTTGTAACCAGTTCGGCAGCTTCTTGAACGTAGATTCTGTTCGCCTCTTCCACGAGCGTGCGAGACGTTTTCCAAATCGATGTACACCGATATTGAATCGTTGAAGAGGTCCACGTTTCCTGTGGAATTCTTCGGCTCTGACCTCAACGTTGGGGAAACACAAGATGTCTCCTCTGGAGCTCTGGCGAGGGAGGAACGGACCACGGGGCGGATCAGCGATCACCGAAGGGAGATGGTCTGGGTTCTCCTCGTCGTCTTCACTTGCGGGCAGCTTGGAGTAGGAGAGACTGCGGGGCATCACTGGAGTTTGTTCACCAGATGTAAACTCGCTGTCATCGCCAGGAAGTTCGTTGCACAGATCCTCTTCACTTCTGGTTCTCACCAATGGTTCATCAGGGTCTGTTTGATCCGGGTTGTCGCTGTATCGGGCCTGGCCTTGTTCGATCCTCGAGACCCCGGTCTCTCCCTCTGCCTCCTCGATGTATCGCTCCCGAGGAGCAAGCAGAACGTGGTAGCCCCAGCTCCAGCGTACAAGCTGGCCTAGTTGCTGAAAGATCAACAAGTATAGAATTCCACGCGCCGCAACTTCATCGTCGTTGTCATTAGGTACACGGGCCCAGTGGAGGCCTTTAAGAGTTTGCGACAGTGACATGACGAGGGAGATAGGAAGGGAATTGGAGTTGCCAAACACCTAGACAGTTAGTTTGATTTCCTTCAATGCGACTAGAATCACTTACCCCCATGGCCGTGACAAAGTTGGCCGGGCGCTTCTTGAATCGGAAGCATTTTGAGACGCCAACGGAGCAAATGTACGAGACAAAGGTTTGGATGATGAAGATGACAGGAATGATAGCAAGATCGGTCAGTTTCTCTGCTGTGAGTTGAGATCCAAGTTTCGTAAAGACTAGATAACAGTCAGCCTAGTCACCTCCAGCGAATTTGGTGTTCATACTTAGACAGGGCGTAAAGACCATAATATTAAGATTTGCTACCAATTTCTGCGCATCGGCATCGAACATGCCCTGACGCGCCGCAATGTACCCAGGCAAACTGACACAGATGACTTCCAACACGGCCTCAAAGACGAGTAGCACCAGATGAAAAAAGGACGGGTGATTGTGAGCATTGGCACCGACAGTGTTGACCCCCAGCTGGGACTGGGTCAATAACTGCCGGGATACCAGGGTATGACCATTATGAAAAGATCTGGGCGAGGTAAAAATGGCCATCGATTGAGGGATAGGAACGGTGAGTTATCGTGATAAAGTATGAGGATAAAGTCGTAGTCGTAGGGAACTTGGTAGAGATAATCAGGGCGCGAATTGAACAGATAAGAAGGACGAAGGAACGTGGTTCAGCCTGATGAGAAGAATGGGTTAGAATCTGACCTGAGACTCTTCAAGACGAGAATGAAAAAAAGAAAGCAAGAACGGTACCTGTAGGGGGCAAAAAAGCACAGCGCCTAGAAGCAGAGGTGAGGCTGTGTCTGTATAACAGGCGAAGAATTACTGCATGGGAGCCAAGGAGCAACAATGCCGAGAGAGACGCCAAGCAGCATCAACCAAGCGCAAATGTGGGGGGAAAGGACGGGATTGGATCAACGCTGGATAGAGATTGAAGCAGGAAACGAACATGGCCGGATCAGGGATGATATTGGGCGGGAAGGGTTCAGCTGGCGTCGAGACTGGCGATGATCCCAGCCGCTGTGGGAACAGTTCAGGCGGTGGTTCTGCACCGCCCGTCAGTGGAGTCGGTATAGATGTCATGATGACATTCGCAACCACAGTCTATCTACAGTCGTCTACAGCATCTACAGAGTACAATACCAGCTACGGTAGAACGGTCGACTCTGAAATATCTTTTATCAGTCGTACAGAAGTCAGGTGTTGGAAAATGCCAAGGGAGGCAAGGGAAGTGATCTGCAATGCGGTGTAACGGACGCCCAGGTCACGCAAGATGGGCAAATACTGATAGAGAATGATGCTGGGAAGTATTAGACTACCTAGTAGGTATAGTAGAGAGGACAGGAGAGTAATATGAATATGTTCTAGTTGATGACGAAAGCAAAGATGGATTAAATAATATCGTCGTGTCGTCAATCGTTATATAACGTCATGATCAGCATACGACGCTATTAAGGTACATGCAGGTACTTTGGCAGTCCAATATCTTCAGTACAAAGTATACAGAATGAATAAGAATAGTAGTACTATGGAGTATATGTAGTTCTACAGAATAGGTAGTGTTGGTATAGTACAAGATAACATCATTTGCCACTTATAACCACTATCCAGTACATAGTACTACACTACATAAGTACTAATGTACTCTACAAGGACTGAATCCCTACATGTACAGTTAGAACGCCACAGATCGACAGTGAGCCAACAGCTGAAAACAAGACAATGTCTCTTGATATCATCCCCTCGTCCCCTATCGCGGGGAACAGAGTCGATGATATCAAGCATCCATTCGTATGGAGACAACATCCCTATCCCCTAATCTCCAGCCAATCTTCATCCATCCCAACACTGCCTTTCTTGCTCTTTTTTAATCATCGCCAATCATCAACTCGGATCGATCTGGGGTTGAGAATCCCGGATCCGGGGCCGCGTACGCAGTCTCCGCGAAGAGTGAAGCTATCCATCTACACCAGGTGTGCAGCATCAATAGTTGTAGTAGCAGTAGTAGTATCTTCCAAGTATCATACTATGTATCATATCAAGAATGTACCCCATATCCCGAATAAATCAGGATCGCAAAGTTGATGCTTCCATGGACCATCTGGTCTTTCTCTGAACGGTCGCCATCTCCGCCCAATGATTCACCTCCAGCCGTCCTCGTGATTGGCCGGTCCGCCATCCCGCCGACGGTTTGCCATCAGATTGCGATCGGGCGATTGTGAGCGTTTTCTGTCCAAGTTGAAGGCTGAAGAAATAAAAAGAAGAAGCAGACGGCGAGGGCTGAACTTCACTGCCTGGCATTTCGCTGCCTTCTTACTGGCTGGGTTCTTATTTCCCTTGTTTATCTGCGGCCATCGGCTCTCCCCACCTTGTTTTTCTTCATTCTTCTCCTTCACACCTTTTTTTATTTTTATTTTTGATGTTGCTATTTTTTCTTATTCCTCTTTCTCTGGGAGTCATCTGCCTTCGAATCGTGCTTCAACGGTCATTTCCGGGGCTTCGTGATCATCGCACTGGCCGGGTTCCATCGTGTCTTACAAAAGACTCCTCTTTGCCTGCTTCTGGTTTGGTATGAATCTTGCCCCGCGCCCAACCTTGCTCCCAATCCGCCTGTCAACCTAAACGTTTCTGCCTCTCCCTCTCGCTGTTGTCTTCATCGGCCACGAAGCCTCATCTCGTCCTTTATCAAACTGCACCGACTCCCAACTGGTCAGGCCGCATTCATCATTGTCGATTTCCCTACGAATTTTCGGTCGCTCAGGCCCCGTTTACACCACCTCCTTCCCCCTTTTTTTTGCATGGTTGAACCCCCCCGGGTTTCCGGTAACCTCGTCTCGAAGTGCTGGTGAACTTCTCATTCATTGTGCTGGGCATTTCCGTTCTTGTTTCACCACCTCATCTTCGACCGTCGTTATCCAACAGCGACTGCAACAATGGAAGCGAACCCGGAGTCCATTGCGGGGATCCCCCCTACCGTCCGCGATATCGACAACAAGTCCAACCCAGACGAGACCCCTCAACACGCCTCTGTACCATCCCTCCGCCCGACCAAAGACACGACTGCTAAGATTTCTGCCTCTTCGACACATTTGGGCCAGATAAATGCTGCTCGACGAGGGGCAGGGCCAGGTGCTCCTTCCCGCCCACAAGCATCAATGAGCGGCGCGCAGGCCGGTGGTTTGAATCAGGATATCTTGGCCAAGATGAAAGCTTTTTCTCTTTCACGACAGGGTGCTCCTCCATCCCTGCCGCACATTGCCTCTACTGGGCAAATTCCCAGGGCTCCGGTATCTCCACCGACGCCCGGTACCCCCGGCACAACCTCCACACAGTCTACTAGCCCTGTACCCCAATTAGGGGGTGCATTGTCAGGAGGACGATTGCCTCCGGCTCGCCCGAACAACAAACAAAACTGGTCTTCTCCCACAGTACCCTCAGCACCCTCGCCCGTGCCTAGTTCTAACTCTCCCCGACCCGGTGGTTTAGCCGCGAAGCGAATGAAGCCCGGGTTGAAATTGTCTGATGCCGCAGGCCCCAATGGAGGGCCCCCGGGCACTCCAGCTGCTGGCAACCCAGCAGGGAGTGGAGAGTCTGCATTCAGCAAATATTCCGAGTTCATCGACACCAAGGCAGGGACACTCAATTTCAAGAACAAAGCTCTCATCCACGGTCATGGTATTGAGTTTTCGTCAGGGCATAGTTTCAGCATTTCATTAGATGAGGTCGACCGTCTCGATGAACTTGGAAAGGGGAATTACGGCACCGTCTATCAAGTTCGACACAGTCGGCCACATGTGCGAAAACCTGGTATGGGATTAAGGGGCATCATTAGTCGCCCAGCGGGCCCGGAGGATTCGAATGCGGATGCTACGCCCGTAATAACTAAACATGATAACTTGTCGGGAGTAATTATGGCGATGAAAGAGATCCGTCTGGAATTGGATGAAAGTAAATTCGCCCAGATCATCATGGAATTGGATATTCTCCACCGCTGTGTCTCACCCTTCATCATCGACTTTTACGGCGCGTTCTTCCAAGAAGGGGCTGTTTACATGTGTGTTGAATACATGGACGGTGGCTCAATCGACAAGATTTACAAGGAGGGTGTGCCGGAGAACATTCTTCGCAAAGTTGCCCTGTCCACTATCATGGGATTGAAAACCCTCAAAGATGATCACAACATCATCCATCGGGACGTGAAGCCCACCAATATCCTCGTCAACACCCACGGTCAAATCAAGATTTGTGATTTTGGCGTCAGCGGTAACCTGGTTGCTAGCATTGCCAAGACTAACATTGGGTGCCAGAGCTATATGGCTCCCGAACGAATTGCTGGTGGTGGCGTGCAGCAATCCGGATCGACCAGTGGTGGAACCTACAGTGTTCAGAGCGACATCTGGAGTTTGGGGTTGTCGATCATCGAATGTGCCCTTGGTCGATATCCGTACCCCCCTGAAACTTTCAACAACATTTTCAGCCAGTTGCACGTAAGTATTTCCTGGGCCCTTTTCTGCCATCCACGAGTTTAAATCTAACCATTCCGCAGGCAATCGTTCATGGAGACGCTCCAACACTTCCAGATACCGGATACTCCGATGAAGCACATGCGTTTATCCGTGCATGTCTCGACAAGAACCCTAACAATCGCCCTTCATACTCCACGCTTATCAGACATCCTTGGCTGTCACCCCTCATGCAACCTCCTTCAGAGTCGGAGTCCACTGAAGCTTCCGATGAACAGGCATCTTCCGTCACTGAAGACAAAGAAGTTGCGGACTGGGTCAAGGAAAAGTTAGAACGTCGCCGACTTGGCCTTTTGGGAGATGGGGACAAGCCAGCGCTACATGCTGTTGCTTTAGACGCAGTCCCTGGGAGCCCTCTCTTGGATGACCCGGCTGCGATCTTGCAAGGTTGATCTTGTCGTCTTCTTTGCTCTCTTCTTTTACGGCTATCTCATGCATCTATTTTCACCTCCCCACCTTGAATGGACAGATATACATACACACCGGGCCAGTGACCTTTGGCGAGGCCCCGTTCTGCTTGGATTCTCTCATAGGACCACTTCTCAACGCGACCTGACATATTCCTGACCTGTCCTGTCAGTAACTGCATGCCTTTAGCAAGGTCCTGCTGGCATGGCAATGTCCTTTTGGAAACCTGAATAAACTACGACCCAGCTTCTTGTGCTTGTTTGTTTCTTATGTGTTATGAATATACAGACATGATACGGCGTCTTCTCTATTATCTACCTGGCCTGCGGGCCCCTCCTGTGTTTGCTAAAGTCACCCTGACATCTCATGTGTACATTACAGAGACGGATGCTACTTGAGGGTTTCTTTTCAACCACGGTACTCTTGGTCTCATTTTCTCATTTTTTGGATGGATATCTTTTGATGGGCATCTGAAAACGGCTCGGGCTTTCAAATATATCTAGAAAAAATAAAAAACTTGGATAAAAATTAAACTCATTTCCACGTAGAATTTGGTCTCGATTATCGGCGATTGATGGAGTAATTGCGGTGATTGATAAGCTGCTTAGCAAGCTGTCACGTGCGGTGACGCGATGCAGAAATCCGAAGATATCATTTTTGCAGGTGTTCAGAAGGTCTGTAATCCGTTGTCATTGCAATTACAATAAATCTTTTTGGTTTTTGAGGTTCTGTATAATTTCTATTTAAAGCCTTCGTCATAGATTGATCAATTTTCTCGTTCTATCTTTTTTCCTGTGTTGTGTTGTGAAGCAGCAAGAAAAAACACCAGACGCAGCCTCGACTGTACACTACCTAAGCTTTCCTCTGCATCCCGGTTTCCCCGCCAGCCCCTCCATCCTCCTCCCTCGGCGTCTTTCCTCCTTTCCCCTTCCTCTTCGGCCATTGCTTGTCAACTACCTCCCCATGCTCTCCCGCTCCCCCCATACTCTCCCACTTCAAGCATTTAAGAATCGGCTTCTACCCCAACTGGCTCGATCCTCTCCTCTGGCATCGCCTACCGCACGAACTATCTGTACCGTTCAGAACTCCGTGAATCGGAGACCAACAACTTTGGCTTCTTCACGTTCGCCAGTCCCTTCGATATCTTCCGGGCAACGCCTCGCTTCTCTCTCAAGACACTTCTCCTCGACCCCCGCAGTCGCTGAAGAGAACGCCAACTCGACCATGGCGGAAACACAGCAGTATGACTACATCGTTCTCGGTGGTGGAAGTGGTGGTAGCGGCAGTGCTCGCCGAGCTGCCGGATGGTATGGCAAGAAGACATTGATTGTGGAAAGTGGACGGTCTGGAGGCACCTGTGTCAACGTTGGGTATGCTTTTATTACGCCCCGGATAAAGTAACTAGGATGACGGGCCATTTCTAATATGAATCTTGCAGATGTGTTCCCAAGAAGATGACCTGGAACTTTGCTACCATTAACGAGACTCTCGAGGTTGGCAGACACTACGGCTACGATATCCCCGAGGATGTCGGAAAGAACTACAAGCACTTCAAGGAGCTCCGCGACGCTACCATCACCCGTCTCAATGGCGCCTATGAGCGTAACTGGGGCCGTGAGGGAATTGACCTTGTGCACGGCCGGGCCCGCTTCGTCGAGCCCAAGACCATCGAGGTCGCCAATGAGGATGGCAGCAAGTCGCGATACACTGCCCCTCACATTCTGATTGCCACCGGTGGTCGTCCCAACATCCCCAAGATTAAGGGTGCCGAGCACGGTATCAGCAGTGATGGATTCTTCGAGATGGAGGAGCTCCCTCCCAAGCTTGCCGTCGTTGGTGCGGGATACATTGCGGTTGAGTTGGCCGGTGTCATGGCCGCCGTTGGCGTCGAGACACACATGTTCATCCGTGGCGAGAACTTCCTGCGGAAATTCGACCCCATGATCCAGAAGACTATGACCGACCGCTATGAGGCTACCGGTGTCCACATCCACCGACACTTCCCTGGTTTCAAGGAGGTTCAGCTCCTGCAGGATGGCAAGGGCAAGGACAAGTTGATCAAGCTGGTTGGTAACGACGGACACGACGTTATTGTCAACGAGCTTCTGTGGGCCATTGGTCGTGCCCCCGAGGTTGAGGACCTGCACCTTGATGTCCCTGGTGTGAAGCTGGGTGGCTCCGGATACATCCCCGTCGACGAATACCAGAACACCAACGTCGAGGGTATCTACGCTATTGGTGATGTGACTGGACAGGCTGAGTTGACACCTGGTGGGTACTATACAATTTTTATTTCTTAATATTCACTAACGACGAGTAGTTGCCATCGCCGCCGGTCGTCAGCTGGGTAGCCGTCTCTTTGGACCCCCCGAACTCAAGTCCTCCAAGCTTTCCTACGAAAACATCCCCACTGTCGTTTTCTCCCACCCTGAGGTCGGCACCATCGGTCTCACGGAGCCCCAGGCTCGCCAACAGTACGGTGACGACAAGATCAAGATCTACCGTACCCGCTTCACTGCCATGTTTTACGACGTTCTCCCCGCAGAGGAGAAGAAGAAGAACCCCACAGAGATGAAGCTCATCTGCGCTGGACCTGAGGAGAAGGTTGTTGGTGTGCACATTCTGGGTCTGGGCGTTGGAGAGATGCTCCAGGGCTTTGGTGTCGCCGTCAAGATGGGAGCCACCAAGCAGGATTTTGACAGCTGTGTTGCTATCCACCCAACCAGTGCCGAGGAGTTGGTGACCCTGCGGTAGTTTTGGGTGGTAGATTATGGCCCATGCAAATAGAGGACATCATGTAAATGCGATCAAATAGTAATATGTTGGATATACACGTTGTTCTAGAGAGTAAGAGTTTTATGAATGTGTTGATTGATTGATGTAATTTATGCTATCAAATGATAACCATCCAAGATGCTAAATACAATGTTGAAATGTAGATGGTATAGATAATATTCTGAGCCAAAAGTAAAGAGTGACTTTGAGACAAAGAGAGAAAGGAAATCAAAGGAATGTGGCAGTGGCAGTGGTAACAGCAACGGTATATCCAAAGTGATATGCACCCCAACCTGCATGTCTCAGTATCTTATCACCGCATCTGATAAACGCATCAGGCGGTGAAAGATCTAAATATGAATGCGACGAAATGCGACAACCAGTTATCGCATCGGCATAGATAGTAAATTGTTGTTATTCTCGAGTCCGGCTCGGGTCCTGGTTGGGTTTATGATATTTGGTTTAAACCACCAGTACCCGAGACTTTGGACTTGGGTAGGTCTTGATACCCTCCATGGTTGGACTGAGAATGTCCCCCAAGGTATTCTGATTCTGAGTACGTCGATTTGTACTTCTGACTCGGGCTCGTTGAAGGCCCGGGTTCGAGTTTTGTTGAAACTTGTTATTTCTTTCTTTGATCCCCTGGCGATATGGCTGGTGCAGGCTATGAGAGCAGCCCACCGCTCAGTTGGACGTAGTAAAAAGTATGGCGAACAACACTTTCAAGAAACGAAGATGTCGTGTTATCCCATCGCCTAGGGAAATGATATTGTTCGTGGTGGTTGAATTCAACAAAGAAAAAGAGGTGGCGCTTCTGGCGGTGAGTGTGGGGTTATCGGTGATCGATATGTAGGTACGGTGTACGGAGTACAGGGGGTATCTTCTAGGTATCGTGCTTTCGTGCTCTCGAAGGGTAGATGGAAGCAAGGGAAGTGGGGGAGGGAGATACGTCAAAAAGCGTGCAAGTTACACGCTCAGTGATCGTGGGCATAGATCAAGACCGCAAAAGAGATCAGGCAGAAGCAGAGAGGAATGTAGACCTTGTGATCCATGTCTCTATTGTCTGGACGACTGCCGCGTGCTGATCCTGAGGTAGATTTGGCTGACTTGTGGACCATTCTTGAGGGATGAGTTGTTTCGTGGGCTGTGGAATAAGGAGGGAAATGAGTGTAGTAAGCTGATGATGATGGTAGTAGGGGTGATGATGGTGGTGAAGAGGATTAAGATTACCCCAGGGGAAGCAAGGAGGGGCTACTATTCAACGTGGCGGGTGATCATCCCCAACAAACACAAACATGTGTTGTGTTTGCATTGGTAAGTGGTGCGCACGTGACTTCATAATGCATGACACGTGACACCACCTGTCGCATGACGTAGTCACTTGACCAAGAGTTGAGCGTTCGATTCTCGGGGACTTTTTGTTTTCTTTCTTTTTTTTAATTCATTGCTTTCTTATCACCAACTGTTTTTATGCCGGCTATTAATTATGCTGATTATCTACTTCTCCTCACAGCACTCTGCATCCAGGAAGACAGGAGCTGCTGAAAGAAAGTAAAGATGATTGGCACACCAGAATATTATAATATGGGCCTGCATCCAATACGTCCGTCTGTCTGTATCACCATTGGTTCACTCTTCTAACTTCGATAGATTTGCATTGTATATTCAACCTCCCTGTTCTAGAATGTTTATGTGGGCGCCAGTAGCATTTCGCGCAAGTTGTTCTTCTTTTAAAGATTTCATCTCCCTCAAAGGTAGGATCTATAAATGGGAATTTCCCACAGGCACTTCTAATAGGAGGGGATCTTTAACACACTATAGGCAGACAAAGACATAAAATTTAACGAAAATATCCACTTAATCTCTGTTAGACACGTGCAGTATACCTACTGTCTTTCCACTTCCGAAGCAGAAGAAAGGCAGACGATCAATGCGCTTTTTTCTTTGACATCTTGCTGTTAGTGATTTTTAGACATATCCGTCGAGTAGACTCTTTATCAGGAGGAAAAGTATTTGTCTTACATTATTCCAAAAATGTCATTTATTAAACTTGAGAGAACAAAGCAAAATGCCCTCTTTCATGGCTCAAGGTCGAGTCCGAGTATAAAACGGTGGTATTCTCGACTTATCTCCTTATCTACTCATCATTCTTATTAAATTCTGATTCTACAACTCAATATATCTACAAATGGTCGGATCAAACCTGGCTGCTGAGGTGGCAGAGATCTTTGATGAAGCTCAAGTCCCTCATCTTCTCTGGGGCCATTTGGCGCTTGCTCTGATTGGGGATGATTGCCACCCTTCCGTGAATCCATCTCTCTCCCTTTCTCTCTCTCAACACATACTGATGCTTCTTAGGAGCTTGAATTCGTTATTCCCGACGAGCAGATCAAGGCCGCCTCTGACACTCTGTATGAGGCCGGCTTTTGTATCTGCGGCAAATCAGATTGTCCTGAGCTCCGTACTAACCAATTCTACCCTATTGCCGACGTGCATTTCCATCTTGAGGGCATGACTGAGGAGCACCACACCCTCTCCTTATTCTCAAAGTCCAGTATGGTCTGGTGGCTCCCAGACTTCTCCCTAGGCCCTCTCCCTAAGGATGATCCGCACTTTATCCTCTCCACTGACCCTCGACTCCCACCACGTAAGGAAGGCGGCGGCTCCGGCCCTTGGACTCACCTATATCCAATCCGAATCCTTAACTCAAATATCATGACTGAAGCACTTATCTTACTGGGCGCCCGCGATAGGAATCAGATTAATGGGCTAGAGGAGCAGTGGTGCCGTATGCTCATTGCCTTGATGGAGGACCGCGAGGTTCCTAATACTGGGGTTAAAAAAGTCCTTTCACCTCGTTTCATGCCGTTCTGGGAGGCCCTCCACCAATCCAGTCCACCAGTGGGCCCGTGGGATATGCTGTGGCAACTGGGCCAGGAAATGAGGGCCAACAATGAACTGCCACCGGGGCCGGCTTATAATGCGTATGGGACGATTGAGTGGGCAAGGTTCAATGAGGTTGATATTTGATCGTCTGTTTCTTGTCGTTCCTTTTGTTCTAGTTTGTTTGTTTTGTGCTGTTTCGGGTAGAATAGATTGCATGCTTCCCTTGTTTGCCAGCTTGTCTTCTTTGTGTAGAAAAACACGGGTGCGAAACCATCTCCTGTGGCTAACAGTTGACCATCAAAGAAAGCGATAAAGCCAGCATATATTTGATTTGTGTGTCTTGCATCAAGCTCCATCCAAGACATCGAGTATCAAGCCAAAACCTCGTCAGCCAACATGAGATGGGTATGTATATATACCAATCACTGGAAGTAGTCGATCTTGATAATCATCACCATGACTATAATGGTCGACTCAGCCCAGCTGGCTATCGCAGCTGAACAGCTCTTCCACCGGTTGCAAACCATACAAGAATTTAAAACCATTCGCGTGCTCATCATAGGCGACCTTGCTGCCTGGAAATACATTGCTAAGCGCAATATAAGTGTCAGTTCTCCCCCTTCATCCTATCCTTCTCATTCATCACTGATCGATTGACCCACAGGATATCGACATTCTGGTGGAACTAGGACCTGGATTTAACCCGCGCCTCAGTGAACTTCCTACAGGCGCTACTGAGCCCCTCAAACTGGGACTAACAGTCTCATACCCAGAGGAGTTTTACCAGCCAGTTGCCATATATATCAGCACTAGATCTGGCCATCTTCAGAATCTACAGCTCTGGACTTCGAGGGGGCTACAAAGAGCAGGAATCTGATGCGCGCAACGCTACGGCCCTTGTCAGATATGTCAGTAGGGCCCAGTCGATCCGGCTATCGTCTGAGCAGCGGGAAGCCGTGCTGGCTAGTCTCAATTGTGACTTTTTCAAAGCTTCTGGGAAGAGTGAAAGGTGGTGGTGGTTGGTCCTGAATTTGCATTAGTCCGTTTGCTCCGCCGTGTGTCTACCTAGGTAGTCTTCTTGAAACTAGGCTGAAGGGATGAGGGGGCTACTATTCGGCGTGTGGGTGATTATCCCCAATAAGCATAAACGTGGGTTGTGTTCGTATTATTAAGCTATACACATATAACTAGCTAACATATATCATGTGATGCTACTGCCGCATGACGTCTTTGACCAAAAGTTGGGCGTTCGATTCTTGGGGTTTTGTTTTCGTTTTTCTTTTCGCTTCTTTTTTATCGCCACCGTTTTTATGCCGGCTATTATTAACCGCGCCGATTATTATCATTCGCCTAATTTGCGTGTTTCAGTTGTCAGAGTTACCAGGTGTTGGATGTCTCAGATTTAACTCTTCCGGACTAATAACGAGTCAGTATCAAGTGTGACAATGTGATTCTTGTCGCTGGCTCCACTGAAGCCATCAATTTGTATTCTTTTGAACTTCCCCTCTTATCTGTGGAGACGTTATGAAATGCCACACTGTCCATGCTTTCCCTGAGACATCTACGACCACCTGTCACGGCTGACAGGATTCTCGGGAAATTATCATTTCTTACCAGGTGAGAAGAAAAAGAAAAACAAAAAGTTAAAAAAAAAAAAAGCTTGCTATCGAAGACAAACCCTCCAATTTTGTCAATTTGCGGTACCTGAATGCCCCGGTGCCCCATTCTGTTGCTGCTCACGGACTCGGGCTGACGCTTTCGGCTTCTCCAGTTATTTCCACGCTGTTTCCGTCGAACTGACTCGCCTCTCGTTCTCTCTGATCAGCAGAAGATCCTTCTTCCCGTCCCCGCCGATTCCTGCTTCATCCAGTCAGTCCTTTTCTTTGATGGCGACTTTCTGAGTCTCGCTTTCGACGCGATCGAGGGCCCAGCATACTTGGCGGTATTGGCAGTATTGGCATTATGGCATAGGGCGCTTTCACACGGCGAATTAACCCATCGTCTACTCTTCCGGAGGGGCGGAATAATTTATTATTCCTGCTTACGACAAACGTAAAACTGTGCGTATCGGTTCTATCAAATGCAACCGTGGGCACGCCAGGCCTTTCCCGGTCTAGGGCCAGCGACGAACGACCGCCCCGGCGCATTAACACCACTAAGAATACGCACGCAAGCGGCAAGCCATCCAAGGACAGACCGAAGCCATGCTGGACACAAGCTTTCTGCGCGATCCGCCCACTGGCAGTGCTGCTCGGTGCGTTCCCCCAAGCCGGCTTGGTTACCTATCACGTCGTCCGTATGGTCGTGTCGCAATGGGGCCGTCTCCAGTTTTCTTACTTTGCTCCACCAGATCGTGGCCCCAGTGGCCTTTTATCCAAGCAATCATAGTGCCTGACCACCTCAGCTCGTGACGCAGATTGGCTCTCAGCGTTGCCAGTGCCTGACAGGATTCACCCAGGGGATGACTCCGAGCGACGCATCCAATCATACTCTCCACATGCTTTGCTGTAGGCTGTAGCGGAGACTGTTCTGGGTCCTTGGGGTTGTCGAATCAGTTCCTTTCCTCAATTCGTACCAGGGGAAGTGTGTTATTATTACTGCTACCTTACCACTGGCACTACGATTACTTTTTCTACCGTCGCCTCCCAGAAATTCTTCCTGGACTGTGCTACACTTTCATTTTTCCCTTTGACCAGCTCCACTCATTCGTTCACTGGGTCCCTTTCCGTTGTCGATATAATCCACAATCCTACTATATCGTCCTTCGTTGGAAACTTGCAACCAAATCTCTCGTTATCTACTACACTCGCTTTTCTAAGCAGCGCCGAATTCAACCAGGCACCACCATGTTGTCGTATTTGAAGTATGCCGCGGCCCTGGCCGCTGTGCTCCCATTGGCTACTGCGCAGACCTCTACCGATTGTGACCCTCTGAAGAGTATGTTGCTCAATCCATTGTATAGAGATTGCCGTTCTGTGATCTAACCAATTGATTCTATAGAGACCTGCCCCGACGATGATGGATTGGACAGCAGTACCTTCAGCACAGATTTCACCAAAGGCGATTTCTCCAAATGGACCACCACAGCCGGCAACGTTACCAGCGGATCGCAGGGTGCTGAATTCACGATCAACAAGAAGGGTGATGCACCCACTATCGATACCGACTTCTATTTCTTCTATGGCAAGGTCGACGTGAAGATGAAGGCCGCTCCGGGTACCGGAATCGTGAGCAGTATTGTGTTGGAATCGGACGATCTCGATGAGGTTGACTGGGTATGCATGAAACCTTACTGCTTTTTATGGTTTAAAGCACACGCTAATGCTGTTTATCGTTTGATAGGAAGCCGTCGGCGGTGACACCACTCAAATTGAGACCAACTACTTCGGCAAGGGTGACGACTCGTCTTACGACCGGGCCACCTGGGTGACCGTTTCCACTCCGCAGGACACTTTCCACACCTACTCCATCGACTGGAAAGAGGACGTTCTTACATGGGCTATTGACGGAAACACCATCCGCACTCTCAACTACAAGGATGCCAAGGATGGCTCCCGCTACCCTCAGACCCCCATGCGCGTGAGAATCGGAATCTGGGCCGGTGGTGACTCTAGCAACAACCAGGGCACCATCGAGTGGGCTGGCGGTCAGACCGACTATTCCCAGGCTCCTTTCACCATGTACATCGAGTCTGTTGACATCACCAACTACAACCCCGCCAGCAGCTACTCCTACTCGGACAACAGCGGCTCGTCCGACAGCATCAAGTCTTCCAACTCGTCTTCTAGCTCCACCACCCGCTCTTCCTCCACCACCTCTTCTTCCTCTTCGTCAACCGACACCTCCGCTAGTACCACCGACTCTTCGTCGACTGCGACTGGCACCTCGGACTCGGCCACTTCGACTGAAACCCCATCGGGCTCTAGCTCCGGCTCCAGCTCCGACTCTGGTGCCAGCTCCACCACCGGCTCTTCGTCTGGCGCTGGCTCTTCCACCAGCTCTAGCCCCAGCTCTAGCATCTCCGTTTATGAGGGCGCTGCCGCCTCCACCGGTGCATACCTCGGCTCTGCCATGCTCATGGCTATGATGACCGCCATGCTTCAGCTGGTCTAAATGGCGGGTGCAGAGTTCTGATTTGTCAAGTTTGATTTGCGTTTATGGGTCATAATACAACGACATCAGCCGGGTGCTTGGATCGATTTTTGTCTCTTGAACTGTATTCTTATCTTTGGGGAGAATTCTGCTGTTAACCACTTTCCTCCCCAATCCCCTTCTTTGTTTATTTGTGGTCTTGTTTGTAGTAACATGAAGTATATTATCCAGGGCGGAATTGTTCTAGTCTAAAAATACGATAGGCGGGATTTTCCGTATACACACTGGGGACCTATGAAAATGATATCTAATGTAATAATGGGCGATTGTATTGTGGAGATTGTTTTACCATTTAATACCAATTTCGACTACCTATACTAATACCAAGGAAATTTCCAACATACATACAATGAACTCGGGTATCATCATTGATTTATAACATAAAACAGAAAGCAAATCGTGAGTTTCATACATCTTTCTTCTGCAACCCTTCCAATCGATGCAACAATCCCCGAACTACCTTTGCAACAGGGAGGTGATAGCTCGCTGCATCCCGAAATCGTCTGGGGACAGACTCATCTGAAGGTATCTCAGCAGAGGCAGCATCCCCGGCTGGACGAAATAACGAGGGGATGTTATTGACCAGTGCTCGGAACCCGAGACCGATATTGCTGTCTAGCGACTCTGACAGGATGGGAGGGAGTTGGTATTTCTGGTTCGAGTCCCGGTCCACGACGCTTTGGATGGATTCGAGATGGTCAGCCAGCGTGGCAAAGTCGTTTGCGAGAGAATCAGATTTTGACTGCATGCGCGATGTCAATTGGGCGAGATACTGTTCCCGCCTCACCATTTGGGTTGAGAGCCGCGCGTCTTTGGCTACTTCTGCATGGGAGGATGAGTGTTGCGTACTATCTCTGGGTGTTACGGTGCCGAGGTTCCCGGCGGCGACTAAACTGTCGACTGCAGATTGGATGTCTGCTCTGAGGGAGTCGAATTTCCGAATCGCTGCGCGGAGAGCGTGCCAGCAGCCGTCGAATTCGAGGTCGAGTTCGTGTTTCATGCCTGGGAGGGTTTGTTTCAATTCGGTTTGGATATCTCGAAGCATGGATTCGCTTTGTTTCAGAGTGCTGTTGAACGGGGCCATTTCCTGCAGTGTGGTGTGGAAGAGGGATTCCAGCTGTGCCTGGGAGGTGATTACCGTGTTGTATCTGGATGGTGACGATGACGGTGACGGTGGTTTATGCTGGTGATCGGCTTGCGGTTGAGGTTGGGGGTAAGATGCGACAGGCGTACAGCTGGTGGGATAGAAGGACGATACTGTCGATATCTCACAGAGGTCTCGGTACTGATAAAAAACCTCTGGAAGGATGAGCATGTGGAATATGCTAGCCGCGAGAAGAAGATTGAGGGTTATGCGTCCACTGGCGACTGCTATTCTCGAGACACGGGCTAAGATCCCATTTGTCTGCTCTTCTAGCGCTGGTGGGGGAACCCGTTCTTGTTTACTCGCGATGAGAGCATTCTTGTTCTCAGTCTCTGGCGTTTTTCTTGATGTCCTGTGTCTTCGTTTCAGGGAAGGCGAAGACGGTTGCTCTCGAGATCGCAAAGCTGGCGCAACCCATGATGCTTCCGAAATAGGCGCCTCGCAGATCGAGGGCATAATAAGCTCCGGGCCAGATATGGTAGCCGCAGGTTCTCTCATCGACGGTGATGTATTTGGCTTATCTCCTTCTGGTTGATGAGGGCTTTGGTTGGCTTCATCGGGTTCATATCCCTTGTTGGATTGCTGCTGCTGCTCTTCTTCCTTCGTATGAGTAGACGATGGGACTACCCAGGATTCACCCAGGATAGAACTCTCCTCAGGACGAGGTGGTGATGTAGTCATTATGGATGTTGGATGGTTAGATTGTCATGAAGCTGTTGTTAGTGAGTTGGGCGTTGTTGTCAGACTGCAGTCGGCGGTAATAACAAACAAAACGTTAAGCGCTCCGCAGCCTGCCTGGGAAATATTAAGAGTAGGATCAATTCCGTATCCCTGCAATAGACATGTCACATAAACTAGAGAAATAAAATCATAATTTTTCGCTGCGAGTTGGATGTGAAGAATGATGATTGTTTGGTTCTTCCGTGTGGGGAACCGTTTTATAGGGCCGATAAACAACTCGCGTTTTCGCGGCCGCCAGAACGGAGAAAAGCTCTTCGCCCATCAACCATGCGTCGATTAACCACAACGCTTCTCAGGCACTCGTCCTTCCCAGGACGGCCTGCTATCCAGAATCTTCCCCGATACCCACGAGCAGCACGGACACAATGGCTATCCTCCACGTCGACTCGACACTGTTCATGCTCGGATCCGCGGCCTGACCAAGTTCGCACCGCAGAGACATCGTCCAGCCCTCAATCATCGACCCCGAACGCCGACTATCGAGCTTTGGGGACATTTCAGGATCTCTTTACGTCGTCGACCTACAGTCCCGGATCTCCTCTTTTCCTCCCCAACGGTACCCACGTCGTCAACAAGCTCATCTCGTTCCTCCGCACACAGTACCTCCAATACGGTTTCCGCGAAGTTCTTACACCCTCCATCTACAAGCGTTCATTATGGGAAGTGTCCGGCCATTGGCAAAATTACAAGGATGATATGTACGAGGTCCGCGGGCGAGGTGCGACTGGAGACACGGAAGGCGAAGCTGGCGAGGACGAGTCGTACGGACTGAAGCCGATGAATTGTCCCGGCCACTGCCTCTTGTTCAAGTCGCAAAATCACTCATACCGAGAATTGCCTATCCGGTACGCAGACTTCAGTCCTCTGCACCGGAACGAGGTCTCGGGCTCGCTGAGTGGTCTCACTCGTGTTCGTCGGTTCCATCAGGATGATGGCCATATCTTCTGCCGCCCACAGCAGATCAAGAAGGAGATTGCGTCTGCCTTGGGATTCGTGGATATGGTGATGACGACGTTTGGACTGGGACCGTATCGTCTTGTGCTTTCTACTCGACCGGAACAGGACTACATTGGCAGTCTGGATCTGTGGAATAGTGCTGAAGCGCAGCTGCGCGAGGCACTGGATAACAGTGGACGGGAATGGGCCATGAACGAGGGGGATGGTGCCTTCTACGGACCCAAGATTGATATTCAGCTGCAGGACCAGGCGGGCAAGTATCATCAACTGTCGACTATTCAGTTGGACATGAATCTTCCGCAAAGGTTCGAGTTGGAGTATCAAGTGGCAGAGGGCGAGGAGGACTACAACCCAGCGACCCCTGGGAAGGCGACGCCTGTGCTGGTTCACCGGGCGATCTTTGGCTCATTGGAGCGATTCCTTGCGTTGATCATTGAACAAAATGGCGGTCGCTGGCCATTTTGGCTTTCTCCACGTCAGGGCATCATCCTCACTGTCAACCAGGACGAGGCAGTATTGCAGCAAGCGCAGGAAGCGGCCGCGAAGATCTCTGGTTTCCGGGCCCTGATCCCAGAGCAGAATGGTGGCAAGACACCTAAGCCTCTTTCGTCGGTTGATTCCACGTTCCTGATCGACGTGGACAACAGCAGCCAGACCCTTGGAAAAAAGATCCAGCGGGCGAAGCAGATGAAGTACAACCTGATCTTTATCCTGGGATCCAAGGATTTGGCGGATGGTAGCATCACAGTTGATGTCACCGGTCAAATGCAGAGCAGCACCGATCAAGGTGGCCAGAAGCTACGTGAGATTCTGGCTGCTCGGCTTGGGGAGCAATCCTTACAAAACCCACGAGCGGTGAAGGTGAAGGTTGACCATGTGCATGATGTCCTGGTGCAGTGTGAAAAGGAATTTGTATGATCTGAGTAGTAGTATATCTACGTATGTACAATATAATATATATTTCGATGGCATCATCGGGCCATAATTGATCTCCCTATTTATGCTTATCTGCTGGGAAAATCGACGGCAGGGCAGAATCCACTGTGCGTCCGGATTGGGCAAGTCGACCGAGAGACTTCTTGGCTTTTTGCGCCTTTTTACGGATCTTCACCTTCTGATGGAGCGATTATCTGCGGGCGAAGGAAATAATTCACGATAGTCTGGCGATGGAAGATGATGGCTTCAAAGCGTCACATCCAGGATAAGCAGGATTGGCCAGAAAAGGGCCCCCAAGATGTTCCTTACTCCAAATGCCTCACCACAGATGATGATCCCCCAAAAGCCAAATCAACGCCCAAACCAAAGAAAAGAAGAACCCCAAAACCTGAGAACCTCAAGCAGGAAAACAGAAGAAAACTCGACTCGAGTTCCCCCCCGCGATTATTTTCTTAGTGATCAGTAGCAGCACTTTCATCGCCCCACGACCTCCCAATTCCTTCTGGAAAAATCCCCGTCATTCGCCGCCCCTCGCTCTCCCCTCTTTTTCCCTTCTCTTTTCCTCTTTCCTGACGTCTGTGGTTTTTCTTCTTCCATGGCGTCTTGTTTGGTGGTCTCCTCGGATTCCCCTCCTGCTTCAGTTCGATGGTGGTAGAACGAGACAATCGGAAGAATCCCTCGTCGGGCATGGCCGACGTTCCATTAAAGACCAATCTCCCTCGGAAGAGTGCCTTCTCCTGTGAAGCCTGCCGGAAGCGAAAGGTGTGGGCTTTCCCCCTCTCCTCGTCTAATTCTCTCGGATGTGTTCCGTGTACAGACTGGGGCGCTGACCTCTTCGCTTAGGTGAAATGTAACGGTGCCAGCCCGTCATGTTCACGATGTGCTGCGCGTGGTGAGGCCTGCGTCTATAGCTTGTGAGTCGTCATCATCGCCCTCGTGGTCCCTGCCCCTGTCGCTTTATTTATTTTCTTTTTTGTTTTTTCTTTTATTATTTTCTTTTTCGGTGTTCCTGCGTTGTCGATCCGAAGCAAGCCTTGCTGACCACTCGTGTGTTCTCGATCTCCAGGGCCCCAACTCTATCTTATACCAAGCAACTGGAAACTAGAGTTGCCCAGCTGGAAGATGCTTTATCCAAAATCCGGGGCCAGCAATCTCCCAGGCCCGAGCTCCAGAAGGGAAGCTCCCCGGCTTCCACAGGGGAGATTAGCTCCAGCAGCCCCGGTCTTTCTCATCGGATAAAAGAAGAAGAGGATGCTACGGAACGGGATTTGACCAGAGACTTTGAAGGCCTCAAGGTTGAGAATGATGGTCGAATCTCATTCCATGGCCCAACCAGCTTGTTCCAGCTGCCGAGTGGGGTTGTCAATGAGACCTCATCGTCCTCGAACCTCGCCATGGCGATGGAAGCACGCAAGGAACGGCTGATCAATAATGCGTGGCGGGAGAGGGCATTTGAGCAGCTGGCTGTCATGCCGGTAAGTTGTGACATCATCGCCATATTCTGGTATACATGCTCACGCTACTCTTTCTCTATTAGGAACCGTTTCAATACCTTCTCGACTCTCACTGGTGCTGGATCCAGCCTCTCTTCAACTTCGTTTATCGGCCTGCCTTTACTCGTACGTTTGATACCCTTCTACTTCCCTGATAAAAGGACAAGGCTGACAGGTAATCAGGTGATTTGAAGATCAATGGTCCCTACTACTCCGATACGCTACTAAATGCGCTTATATCCCACTCGGTCCGATGGTGTAAGGCTGAGCCTAAGATCGGGCCGATCTTGGACCAGTTCGATGGCGGTGCACAGTTCTTCCATCGGGCCGTGTCGGGCTTGTACGACTCGCTGAAGGTCGGCTATGCTGGTATCCCGACAATCCAGACCTTGCTGCTCCTCAGTGCCCAAGAGTGTGGTCGAGGAAACAGAACTCAAGCATGGCTATACAGTGGTATGGCGTTCCGGTTATTGGACGATCTCGGCATCTCGATCGACAGTCGCAAGTACTCCGGTTCGGCTCACTTGAGTGATGAAGACATCGAGATTCGAAACCGTCTCTTCTGGAGTTGTTATTTCTGGGATAAGATGGTCTCGTTGTATTTTGGAAGGGCACCTACGATGCAGCATTCCCGGGTCAGCCCACCGCGAATGATTCGTGAGTACTCCTTGATAAGCATGAGGTAGCACGTTACTGACAAAAGTTTAGTCGATGACACTTCTGAGATTGAGGCTTGGACACCCCATGGAGTTATCTTCCCGGATGGCACGCATTACCCGCCCACTCAGGCCCATTCAACGTCTTGTTTCATGAAGATGTGCGGGTTGGCGGAGATTCTCAACCAGGTCTTGGTTCACATTTATGACCCTATACGACAGAGTTCTGAGGCGGAGTTTTTCAACTGCGTGCAAGAGCAGGCTAAAAATCTGTCAGAGTGGTGGGAAGAGTTACCGGACTTTCTTAGGCTGGTTGCTACCGACCTCCCTCCTTACTGCCCACCGAGTCACATTGTGATCCTGAAGTATGTTCTTCTTCCTTGAATTGCGATAACGAAAAGTGCTAATAAACAATTGCAGCTGCCTATATCACACCGTCAACATCTTACTTCATCGCCCGATTCTCTGCTCGCGAGAATTACTCAAAACACAAGAAACCTATGACAAGAACCATCTGGTCCAATGCATGGCGTCTGCGACTGCCACTCTTTCCCTTTTCGATCTCTACCGTCGCACCTTTGGTGACAGTCACGTTGTCCTTTCTCTCGCCTACAGTGTGTATACCGCTGCGTCTATTTTCTTGCTCGAGATCCAGGCCTTGAAATATGCCGCTCCGGGAACCCTCGACAAGTTGAAGTACTGCATCTTCGCTCTGGAGCGAGTGAAGCTTTCAAATCCTGGTAAGCTCTTTTTTCACTCGTGATTCTTCGAGGCAAGCATTAACGGCGCAACAGTCATCACCACAGCTCTTAGTCTCATCTATCGGGAGCTCCAGGTCCTTCAAATCGACATTCAAATCCCTATGCCTGGTAGACAAGAACAACAACAGCAGCAACCACAGCAACAACATCACCCTCGCTCTCAACCGCTCTCCCGTCACGAAAGTCAGTCTCCATCCCAACAACACCAAGCCCCAGCCCAACTCTCTATGAACCTGGGCGATAATTCTCGTCACGTCTCCCCCGTCCATCACCATCAGCAAACACAATCACAACACCAGTCACACACGAGTACCCCCTCCATGATGTCGGCATACCCCTTCCAACAGCCCGCCGCGGGCTTCGATATTAACCAAACTACCGTCCCGCCCATGACCCCTACTCATCTACTTGGAGGAATGCCCAACGCCGCCATGACTTTGGACAACACAGGCACGTACGAGATCACCCCGGAGGTGTTTGAGGCCTTTTCGTATGCTCAGCCTATTTCGACGAATATGACACCGGCGTTTGATGCAGGATGGGCTAGACACTCTCCGCAAACTTGAACTTGATTCTGGGAGTAAAATCGGGAGTTAACGTATAGAACGAGCAAGGCAGGGTAGAAAGCAATCTTTCATTGTTCGTTATTTTTTGGATGATATTTTCGGATTTTTGGGTGTATTGATGAATATAATGAATTCTTTTTGGTTCTGATAACTTTTTTCGCTTATGCCATAAAATGCACAAAACGCTTCACAAGTATAACACAAGGTGTAATATGTGCACATCTGGTATGCCTATATGTTCACATGAATGATAAAAATAAAATAAGTACAGAATTGAAAGTCAAAGCCCAAAAAAGATATTTTTGGGTGGGTATATGTTTCAAAAATGACAAGATAGAATTAGTAAATGATGGCGGTTGATGATGAGCATATATATATGCATGCGTGGTCGAAGGATATATATGTATAAGTAGTGATATTAGACAGAGTTCGATTTTCTCAAAGCGCAGTGTCCTTCGAATCGGGGTTCTTGGGTTGGGTGGTGGTATAGATACCCTCGTCCATTCCAGCCGATGAAGGAGGCGAAGACTTGGGCTCACCGATCGTCTTGGCATTCATGCGCCAACGCAAGTACCAGGGCCCGTCGAATAGCTCGCCCATACGCTCGATAGGGACGTTGCTGGTCTCGGGCATCCAGATACCGAGAATGATTATGCCGAGGGTACAGATGATGGCCCAGAAGAGGTAGGCGCCCCAGACGTGGAGGGAGTCGAACATGTTGGGAGTGACACGGACGACGGCGAACTGGAAGAACCAGTGGAGACACATGCTGCTGGCGTAACTGATGTTACGGATGCGCGTGGGGAAGATCTCGGTACCGTACAGGTAGGGAACCGTACAGAGACCGATGGACCATCCTACGGCGTAGACGAAGACGGAGGCGATGGCGGCATCCGAGGCGGATTTGTTGTCCGCTGAGCCGGGCTGGAGACCCATGTAAATGCCCATGTAGATATGCGCGGCGAGCTGCAGACTCAGGCCAGCAAGAGTGCAGGCCCGACGGCCGATGACGTCAATGAGATACCAGGCGAAGGCCATGGTGAAGACCAGCTTGACGACACCGTAGGCACCCGAGGAGATGAGCGAGGTCGAGTTACCCGTCACACCGGCATACTCGAAGATAGTAGACACGTAGAAGGTGATTCCGTTACCGCCAGTCCACTGGGCGACGGTCTGCATGGCCATGAGCAGCCAGTAGCGCTGGCGGTAGTTGGGGTTCAACTGGGATTCTTTGAAGGCCTCCCAGTGGGAGACAGATGCCAGGTCTGCCGCTTTTGTGCGGTACTGCGAGTCGATCTCTCTGAATTCAATCTCAATGCTGGGATCATCGATGGCCTTGCCACGGAAACGAGCGAGGACGGCTCGTGCCTCGTCAACGCGGTTCTTGGAAATGAGATAACGAGGGGTTTCGGTTGCGATAAAGGAGGCAAAGAAGGCGATGCCTGTCGGGATCAAGGGGATGGCCTGGACCAAACGATATTGTTCACGGGTCGGGGCCATGTGTACTTTGGCGCCATAGTTGATGAAGAAACCTTGAACAAGCTCAGTTAGCACCTGGCTCGATGGAGGGAAAGAGAGGTGGAACACTTACCCAGCGTTAAGATGCCCAACAGAATGACCATGTACATACTGACGACCATACCTCTGGTCCTTGCAGGAGCTGTAGTGTGAAGGTTAGCAAGTAGATATTTTAAGACTCTGCAATGTACTTCATACCAATCTCTGACAGGTACAACGGCGTAGTCACTGTCAACAATCCGGCTCCCAACCCACTCCATATTCTCGCAAACAAAAGCAACCCGTATATACCGGAGGAAAAGATCTGGATAAAATAACCGATGGCCCAGACGAGAACTGCCAGACGCCACGACTGGAGACGTCCTAGGCGATCGTTCAGGTCCAACCCAGACAATGCGCCAAAAGCAGCGCCCAAGACGCTGAACGAGGTGATGTTGGCCTTGCGGTTGGTCAATCCGGTTGGGTCGTTTTTCCAGTTGGAGGAGAGGAGGTTGAAGTCCTCCATGAAGGATTCCAGCTTGACACTGGCACTGTAACCTCCCTCATCGTAACCTATAATAATGCGATGCGACGGTTAGCCACAGAGAAGACAGCATCTGCACGGCACAACTCACCCTTGGGAATACTGCCACAGGCAATGATCAAGATGACCAAGGCATAATACGGATTGGTGGTCCATCGCGACCAATCCACGCCCAACTTCATGATGGCAACGAGTGTGTTTGCCTGGGGCGACAAAAGCACAGAGGGTGTGTGGGGAGGCAAATCCACCACAGAAACAAAGAATCTGGGGAACAAAAGACGGTGAGAAACGAGGTGAATAATGAGATTGGTGATAATAATAGAGGCGGGAATCCACGAACAGCTTCCGCGTGCGAGCTGGAGCAAAAGGAGGAGGGGGAGAGACGAAGAGGTCGTCGACTTCGAAACTTTCGTCCGTCTCGGTCAACTTCCGCTTTGGGCTCTTCTCCTCCTCCTTAATTACGCTGGCCACACCATCAACCCCCCTGCGACGTGCAGGTTCATGTAGGCCAGGTATCACAACATCCCTGATGGGATAGCGCGCGAAAGAGGGGAATACCAGAACGATTTTCTATATCTCCGATCTCCAGAGCTGCAGAGGATGTAAGTGGCTGACCTCCCGTTTGGCATCGTCAATCTGCCGACAACTTCCCGCAGCCAATAACCCACTTCGTCTCCGCTTTGTGCTCTCGTTTAACGGTGAATTTAGAGATGACCTGCAGCCTTTCCTCGATCCGATGATGCTTTTGGAATGTTCCGCGATGGATGGATCGTCTCTCTTAAGATCCTGTGTGCCTGCCCTGCGGTGTCACCGTATGGAGTCGGTCCGTTCCTTGGAATTCGACACACTGACTGAGAACTTCTCCCGGACGACTTCCGCCCTCACCGTGCGCTTTGTTGCGCTTCAAAAAAAGAGGATAACAGCTGTCAGGGAGGCGGATTCTTCGCTCTCTGTGGGGCAGAGGCTGTTATCCTTCTCGAAATTTTTTTACATGCCTTTTTCCTTTCTGTGACCGTCCCACCCGGTATAGGAATCGGCAAGCCGGTCCCTTACTTGACAGTACCCGCCAATCGTTCTTGTTACCTACCTAATATCGTAATAATCTGATTCTATGCGGCTGGCCTGATGCCCGTTTTCCTTTTGTTCGCTCAAAGTCCGAGATCATAATGATATCTTTGCGGCCTTGTCTCCTGCGAGGAGCTCGTCTAACTGCACTCGTGAGTCGTGCCTCATCTTAGATAAATCAACTCCTCTCCTCCATCAGTATTCCCTTTTGATGTCTTCTGGCTCTATCATCCGTTTACCACTGCTACCGACCCAATGATTTTCCCGTCCCTCGAAAGCGTGCTTACTTTCATTAAGCCCAGGAACAAACTCCTGGACAGCGCCCCTCGGTTCTCTTTCACTCTTGCCTGGCCAAAAGGAGAGCAGAGAGTTTACAGCAAAGATACCCAGAAAGTATCTCGATCCCTGTCTGTCAGGCAGAAAGTTCCGCCACGGTCATGGGATAGCCATATGCATGTGGTGGAACCTGAGCGGTATCCTGTCGCCGCCAATGCTATGTATCAACCTTCACCGCACACAGTACAAGACGCCCTGAGCTTCGAATCCTCGTTGGGCATTGAAAACGTCGTTCTTGTGCAGCCATCTATCTATGGAACCGACAACTCCTGCCTCCTGGACGCACTCAAAGAAATCGGACCCTCACGCGGACGAGGTGTGGTGGTTATCGATCCAGCCAACATCGACGCTAAGACCCTTAATTCATGGCATTCCCTCGGAGTCCGCGGCGTGCGGGTGAATCTCAAATCTGTCGGCAAGGTCATGGATGAAGGTGAACTGGCAGAGACCCTGTTGCAGCATGCGGAAGTTGTCCGTCCACTCGGATGGATGATTCAAGTCTACGTCTCTTTGGATATGCTTCCTATGCTCGAGCGAATTGTCCCCCAGCTAGGGACCAAAGTTTGCATCGACCACTTTGGCGGCCCAGACCTTTCTTCGATTTCGTTGGTTGCCGAGACCCCCTTTGATCCATACACTCTCCCCGGATTCTCGTCAATGATATCCCTTCTCCGTGCCGGACAAACCTACGTGAAGATTTCTGCACCATACCGTTTGAGCAAGGACAGCCAGATGCGTGACCTCCAAGCGATGGCCCAAGAGTTCCTGCGCGTGGCCCCAAACCGAGTTCTCTACGCGAGTGACTGGCCACACACCCGATTCGACGGAATCAACATCAGCCCTTTTACACAGTCGTGTCTCAAATGGTGTGCAGAGAAGTCCGGACTGGCTGAACGGATTTTCCGGAAGAACACAGAAGAGTTGATGGATGGAGAGCATGATAATTAACCCGGACGGCTACCGACTTTAAGCGTTTGTTATTTCATTACCCGGTTTCTGTCTGCATTTACCCAGCATCGACATTTTGCATCAGCTACGAATTATGACTCGGCGGATTATTGTTTTTAACTGTATATAGCATACAACATACAACATAGCATTTACACCCAGCGTGAATTTAATCGCATTCAAGGACAACAGGACAACAAGACAGCACACCCCTCCATAGCCATAGCCCACCTACACGAAACCAAAACCAAAGGGAAGGTCCAATCGACCAGCCAAAAGTCCCAACAGCGCTCGGTCAAATTCCGACGGTTGGTGAACGGCACAGCGAAAATCGGTTGATTTGCCGACCAACTCGGCAGAAGTGGATAATTAATCCCTCTTTTCCACACCGTAGATACACAAGTAACACACCGTGACGGCGTGACCTGACACAGCAGTTCGTATCGGACATCTCAAACATGTCATCGTCTATCTCCACGTTCTGGGAAGAGCGCAGGATGATCAATGCATGGCTCATTTACTTCGGAGGCTTTCCGGTCTTTCTTCTACACAGTACACACTGCATACAAAGTACAAAGTACGGAGGAAAACCTGATTTCCGTGTTGAATCTGGCAGGTAAATCAGATAAATCAAAAATGAGTCCTGAAGGTCGGAAATCCACTTTGGTACTTATTATCTGATTCCGGGGACCCGAGTGCTGTGGGGATGGTGTACGTATTCGTGCTTTTGTGCCTGTTCAATTCGTTCAATTTTTTCTTTTATTTTAAAACTACCATACAGCCAGTAGGTTGTAGTATACAGTGTATATCCATTTTGTACACTTAAATCTGTGCTTCGGTAAGGACCTTAGCAGAAGAAGTACAGATTCGTCCAGGGCCCTATCAACCCATTATATTAGCTCCATCCAAACAACAACAACAATAAATATCTCAACTTACAATCTCATAACAACACTTCACCTCATCCCCATTCGGACAATGCTGCACCACATGATCCAATTTCGTGCCTATCCACAGTGATAAATCATTAGCTAAAGCCTAATCCACAGCCCATCCCATATAACACAGCTGTGATATATGGTAATGGTAACAATAACAGTACTGGTAAGGAATACATACACTGCTTCCCCTCCTTGGCCTTGTTCGTATGCGGTGCAGGGACGTAGTCATCGCAGCAATAAGGATGCTGGATGAAACCCGAGTTATCCTTGGCGAATTCGCAGCGGTAGTAGAGGTTTTCTGCGGAGATGAGGGTGGCAGAGGAGAGGGCTGCGAAGAGGAGGGTTGTGAGGTGCATTTTGGTTTTCTTGAATGTCAATGTAAATGGAAACTGTATAGGATGGATAGCTTGGAGTTGATTGAAGTTGAGTTCTACTGGGAGGGGTCGGTTCTAAGTATGTTGGATAAAACTCCTTGACGCTCATTACACCTCGTATCCTTTTCTGGGGTTCCTCCTTGATTAATGGATCCCTTGCGTTGGTGATGAATGTCTTTGCTGTCATCAAGGGGGGTGGCTGGATGCCTTTACTTTGGAATGTTGTACGGAGTACGATGAGGCATAATCTTTGTGTTTATGTGGACGATCTATCGCTATTGAGTTGGGATTAAAGCCGTTGTTTCATATTTTCTTTGCTAATGTATAAAAAGTAGTCGTCTATCCCTTGATGATCTACTATCCCCTTGAATATCCCCAGATTAACAGTGAAAAGTGTCTTATCTGTGTCTTATGTTCAAAAGTTAAACTAAATATCCAATGTCGAAGACCCAGTAAGCTTGATCTGCGTCTTCACAGTCACCTTCTTACTACTCGCGTCATATTCATAATCGGCCTTTCCAGACCGCGATCCAGAGTGAGGGTCTGACTCTTGTCCAAGCAGAGTCACCGTTTCAACCACCGCATCAGCATCGTAGTCGAAGTGGCCGTCGATGTGGAGAACACCGTCGCTGTATTTGAACTGCGCCTCGAGGGTTGAGGCCTGTTCCAGGGAGTCTCCATCATCCAGGTAGAGGCTGCCTGAGGCTGTTCCATTGAGGCCAGGGGCGATGATGAGCTCGAAGCTCTTCTTGCGCAGTTCGGTGGTTGTCATCGCGCTTGATGACCGTGCGGGGATGATGTTGCCTCCGCGGATGTGGACGGGGATGTGAGTGATGTCGATGTTGTCGAGGGTTGAGTTGGCTCCCTTGCCACGCACGGGAAGTCTCGTGTACCAGTCGTAGAAGATGTCGTCGGGGAAGTATGCATCCACAGAGGTCGAACCCTTCTCGGTAACTGGGCTGACGAGGATGGCATCACCGTAGAAGAATTGGTGGTCGTTCGAAAAGGTGTTCTTGTCCTCGGGGTAGAGGTAGAAGAAGGGCTGCAGGAAAGGCTCGCCGGTCTGAGTCTGTCTGTGGAAGGCCGTGTAGATGTAGTCAAGGAGTCGGTAACGGATGTCGATGGCCTTGCGAGCAGATTCTGCGACGGTGGGCCACACGTAGAATTCTTGTGAATTGTAGCCGATATCATTGTGATTGCGGTAGAAAGTGTAGAACGCTCCAAGGGAAGCCCATCGAGCGCAGAGCTCTTCGGTTGTGTTGCCAGTAAATCCACAGACATCCGATCCGACCATGGGTACTTGGAACATGGAGGCAAAGGCAACCGACTGTGGAACAGTGATTCGGTATTTATCCCACTGGCTGAGGTTGTCACCGAGCCTATGCCTGTTAGATATGCCCAAATAAGTTCCATTGAATAGACTTACCAGTGTCCAACGTGCGCTCCAGCTCCAGCAAATGTGCTGCGAGTGATGACCAAGGGTCTCACATTAGGACGACGCTGCTGCATGGCACCGCGCGAAACCGCACCCATCACTAGATTTTTGTTAGGATTATTCTGCTTCAACTGTATGATTGTACTCACTTGTGCCGTAGAGGTTGTGTGTATCATAATCGACATAACCACCAGCATGGACGAGGTCAGTGTTGATCGTTTTCAAGCTGAGCTCTCCCGCAGCATTGGCGATCTTGTATGGCGGGGTAATGAAGTTGCGACCAGGCAATCCAGTCTTAGATCCAGGTCCTCTCTTCACGGAGCGCTTCGAGGAAGGCTGGAAATCAGATGGGAACCCGGGCAGTGGACGCGGGTTACTTCCCCGCACAGGTGGAGGCGAGGGAGGCAGGTCGTTATCTCTCACGTATCCCTCGGGATCCTTGCATGGGTATGGGCAGAAGTTGGCGGCTTCATTCATATCAATCCACAGACCGTCAATGTCGACGCCAGTGTCGGCGTTGAAGAAGTAGTCAAACTCGCCATTCCAGTACTCCGAGACGTCAGGGTGAAACCAGTCGGGGAAAGCAGTGACACCGGGCCAGACAACACCTGTTTGAATGAGTAAGATACTTAATCTTGTTGGCTAAGATTTTTCATACCCTTGTAAATAGATCCGTTCTCAGTTTTCAGAAAAACGTCCTTCTCAACACCCTTGTTGTAACCATGGTTGTCTAAGTAATGTCAGTATTTCCCTCATGTAAAGGAAAGCTCACATTACTTACCACTAATGCTCACAGCCGGGTCAACCATCACGATGTAATGCTGGTCGTGATCGTGGAGATACCCCACCAATTCACGCATCTTCTCAAGAGGAAACCTATCCGGGTCGAGGGTAAACACTCGTCGTTTATCCATGTAGTCAATGTCAGTCCACATGGTTTCGAGTGGAATGTTGGCCTGGCTGTAGTTTTGGACCACCTCGGCCAACTCGTAAACATCCCGGTAGCCGTATCTGCAATTATGGAACTATTCCATGTTAGCTTCGTGCGAACTACTGGAGAAGTTTGAGAACATACACCAAAAGTCCAGTAACTCTGCATGGCCGGAAGACCAACAACCTCGGAGTACTGAATGCTAGCATCCTTAGGAGTCTCTCCAGTGAAGAAGTAAAAGTCAAAAACACCACCAAGAGTGTTGTACTCGAGATACTGCTTTCCATCCTGTGTCTGGTTGATCTTGATGTCCATACCATTGGAGTTGACCAAGAAGACACCATGGGTGCCTGCCTTGCCACGGTGGTCGTAGTACACTGGGTGGCTACCGTAAAGGTTTGTGTTTTCGGGAATACCGGGGGCATCACGGTTCCACAAGGTGCGTGTGTAGTTTGTTGTCGGCAGACGGAGAGAATCAGAGTGCTCTCCAAGACCATAGAGATACGGGTCTTTGGGAAGAGATGTGCGGAGGTTCAAGTACTGCGACTGGAAAATGAGGTTTGATCCAGCCGTGTCGAACAGCACTTCGTTGCCTCTGGTGACATTGAAAGAGAACGGTTCTTCGGCATATCCAAATTTAAGAGTAGACCCATCACGAGCGCCTCCCTTGCCATCGGGGCGAGGGACGACGGACTCGGGAACTTGGTAGACCTCCTCATTGGCGTCGTAAATCATAACATGGAGACGTTCATCTATTTTATAAGCTTCATTCTTCAACCAGTGTGGTCAAACTTACCAGTCTGGTACTCCACGAGAAGCTTCAAATTCTTCAGATCTGTGCCATAAGTATTGCAAGGGTTTCCCGCAAGAGTCAAATCTGCCGTCAAGGAATTAGACCCTTCTTGCACATTAGACGCCTTGTATCCAGGACAATGCTGGCTATTCTCCCTGGATCCGATGACAGCCGCACCCGCAAGGGGGGCCAGAAGCAGAAGGGACCCCAACATGGTGAATTCGCGATGAAATCAACTGGATCTGAACACCCTACAACACGGGAAGACCCAGTCCTTTATATATCCTCAGCCAGGACCGAAACCGGAATCAGGAAACCAATAAATTGTTGAAATTTCAGTAGCGCAAGGTCGTACACCAGTCAGCATCAACCACAATCAATGTCTCTGTTGCTGCTGCAGGTATAGCGTCGGAAATTTAGATCTGGGCCGGAATTTTCGCATGGCACGGGCATTGGGCAGCTCGGGGCTGGCAACGGGGAATACAACCCTAGATGCGGAGAGAAGATGGAGATGGCAGGGTCCATGAGGTCAGATTGCGGGGTCTCCATGGCTGGCGATGAGGTTCTTTGGCTCGTTTAGAGGATCCTCTCGGGCAAATATCGGGGGAGGATACTCGGCAGTGTCGGAGTCGTCCGACAGTCCGACTTGCATTCCGGACTGTCGATCATCCTGACTCGGGTTAGCTACCTGCCGATTAGTGAAGCTATCGAGGGCAATTTGCTCTTCCATTGTGATTTCTGATGGAGTTGTGTTGGCGTGTTGGTGTTGAGGTTGAGGAATTCACGCAACGCCAAGAATGCGTGCGTTTCCCCGCTGTGAGAAATGTCCCTTACAGAATACAGACACAAGTTGATTTACTGTAATTGAATAAGAAATGGCTTGAAAATATATTCTACCTCTAATCTGCATCTAGGACATCATCATAAACGTTACATGGAAAAGTCATCACAAATGCATCACAATTAATTCGTCTGACCAGCAGCATTGACATCCTCCTCCGAGCTCATAATCTGCACCTTAATCGCCCCCGTCTTGGGGTTCGACGCCGTCTCAAATGCCTTGAGGGCATCCTCGAGCTTATACCGGTGAGTGACAAGCTTCTTCAGGTCGATCACGCCGTTCTTCACCAGCCGAATGGCTCGCGGCCAGGTGTTGGAGTAGCGGTACTGGTACTGCAGGTCGATTTCCTGCGTACTCAAACGCATAAAGGGAATCTTCATCTCATTCTTGCCGACGCCAATCACAAAGACCTTTCCGCCGAACTTGACACTCCAAATGGCGGATGCGACACTGCTTTCCACACCGGTGCACTCGAGTGCCAGACGCGGGCGCAGAGCTTCGGGACCCGAGCCCTGGCCATCGTTCAGGGCGTTGATGATGCCGTTGGCGGACTCCTCAGCCGACAGACCAATCTCGACCTTGTAGGTGCGCACTTCAGGGGCGAGCGACTTGGCGAATTTCAGACGGCTCTCGTCGATATCGGTGATGACGATGGGTGTTGCTCCCGCAGCACGGGCACTGAGTAGGGTAATCAGACCAATTGGGCCGGCACCGGTGATCAAGCACGGGTCTCCCAGACGAAGACCGCTGCGCTCGATAGCAGCCAGAGACACACTCAGAGGCTCCAACATAGCACCATCCTCCCAGCTCATGTCTCCAATCTTGTGGCACCAGGTAGCGGGGTGGTTGACGTAGCGTCGGAGCAGGCCATCGACGGGGGGTGTGGACAGGAAGAGAACATTCTCGCAACCGTTGTACCGACCGGTCAGACACGGCTCGCAGGCATTGCAGATGATGTTGGGCTCGACGGCAACACGGTCGCCCGGCTTGAGATGGGTAACATCGGATGCAACAGCGATGACCTGACCTGCAGATTCGTGGCCGAGAACATGGTCGCCAGTGACGATCATGGGACCGATACAGCCGGCATGCCAGAAGTGAACATCGGATCTGAACAACGTTAGTGATTATTCCAGTCAATATTCAGGGAATGGATGCATACCCGCAAATACCAGTGCTGCGAACCTCGACCGTGACTTCACCGGGCTTGAGACTCTGGCCCGACTTGATTTCCTCGACCGAGGGTTTTGATTCTGCGATCCACAAGTCGTGGTTGGGGTTCGTGAACACACCAATGTTGGCTTTTTCAATAGTAGTCGCGGAGGCCATGATTGATGTAGATAGAGTAGAGGTAGAGAGAGGGAGTAGAGGAGAGGAGGTAGAGGGGTATCTGCGATGAAAGAGGGGAAGTGGGAAGATCAACAGCTTTATGTACTGAAAAAAATATGATACAGGCTGCATCAACGCATCAAATGAAAAGCTATCAACACAACTCCAAATCGTCATCTCCTGCGGCACCCCGTGTTAAGTGGAGGCTGCATTTTATCCGGTGCCCCGCCGCGGGGTTGCCACTCTGGAGATATCAACACTGTTAATGGAGCTGTTAATATTGTGTTAATATCCATATTTATCGCGGCAAAAAGGGAATATAGAATAGTGAATAGATAATAGCAGACGTTGTTGTGCTGTAGAATGAGATGGCTATGTTTGTAGCTATCTATCTGTATAGATACACCAAGTATAAAGTAGAAGCTGTGTAGCATCACCACAACAGTTGAATGTGAATGTACAAATTCTACAAAAGTCTAGAAGGCTTAACCTCGAAATGACAGATAAACACACAAATAGCAATCAATATATTAAACATCAGCAGCCACAAGATAGAATTCGCACCAGTCAAGGGGTTTAATTGTCGCCAAACCATCTCGGTTAAATCAATCGAGGCTATTTTCCCAGTCGCTCCGAGACACCATTCATCCAGATGAAATTCCAGATCTTTTCTGATTAAAAACGCCCATCAGCCCCATTTGCTACTTTACAACCTTACTCCATATGCCAGTTCAGCTGATTCATTGGTTTGTATTGGGTGAGGCTGGATTGCCGTGGCCGAGAGGGGAAATTCTCCGGTGGATGAGGTGGAGAAGTGCTGGTTTCAATGTTCAATATCGATATCCACGCTGTTATGTTCGCTATTCGAGGATGAGTGCTACATTTGATAAGGATGTCTTTATCTTGGTATCTAGATATATTTGTGTTGAGAAATCAACATCTTGTTCTTAAACATTTGTGACTGCATGTATATCGGCTAGTATGGTATTTATATTCTCAAAAAAGACACTGCACACACATCTACCTAGCACCCCCATAAGCAGAGTATATAAGAATACCAGAATACAAAAGTTGATCTACAATGCTAATATGAGTCAAGCTCATCGCAGCAAACATTCTTGTCTGATGTGCATTTACCCGGTGATATCAACTCACCATGATTGGGCAATGGCCAGTATATCTAGAATATTCTCGCCGCACTTCTACTGCAAGATCGTCTTTAATGCGCTCTAGGTCTTTCTGGAAAAGCTTATCTTGTCTTCTTCATTGGATGTGGTTGGCTCTGGCAAAGGCCCAGGGGACCTTGAGGATGGATCTGATGAGTTCTGTAAATAGTTCTGTATAGATTTAGTTACTTATGGCATTTCTTTCTTTATTGGAATAAATTGCATGCTCAGGAGGAAATTCGAGGAGATTAATGTTCTTATATAAAGATGAACAATCTAAAGAGTAGCCATTGATATACCCCGGCCATTACTATACGAGTCTGAACCACAACACCATTGCCATAATCACATAATATAGCATCATTGATATAGAGAAATGCCTGATATAACACATAAATTCCAGTCAATTTGAAATGCCAATCATTAGTTACATTCAATAATCCACTTCAACTCTTCCATCTCATCACCATGCTCAACCATATCCCGAAACAATCCACCAGTACTGTTCCAGACGTTGACTATGACTATTTAAGGTCAGCATAGATCTATACCTACATTCTAAAGGATACGAAACATACCGTCCAACCGTCCAACCGTCCAACCTGCAAACCTACATAATATAAATCATCACAACAAACAACTAAGGTAGTACGCCATCTCCCTCTGTTTCAAAAGTATGCTATATATACCGACCACTTTATCAACACAGCTTGAACTTTTTCATCCTCGACAAATTCATTAGTCAGAGAAGAGTGTTCCTTGTTATATTCAAAGCCATTGACAGTCCTTCGTCTAGATTGTGCCTTGAACAATGTCTTTCTGGACTTGTATGTAATGTATTACAATACAAGATTAGATTGTACCAGTAGCGTCTAGACCCACTTGAAACTCTAATACGACTGTGATAAACAAGGTATTCTATTATTTTGATAATATATAACTTATTTAAATATGAATGATGAAGCCATATGATGGAGGGATGAATGTGGAGAAGCCCAGATGCCAATGTGGAGATATGTGCATCTCAAGGTGAAGACGGTCTGTAGTTTTTGTATGGAAATAGAACCATGGGATATACAAGTTTGATAGAGATTCTTCTGGTAAGAAGAACGGAAATAGATATAGAACAATTAAATAATGAGTTTTACTTCCCTTAGTTATTTTGTCTGTAGCTTGCCCATAGAGTATGAATGCCATGGCGGATATCTTCACATCTAGTAGTTTACAGCATGTAGGGACAGCAGCCAACAGATTTAGAGAAGACCAACATGAACTTTCACTATAGTAATGAAGAATTACTCAGTAAGTACTCTATACACCATCGTCATATGAGATTGAGATGCCGAATGTTAAAACCTTACCAGTTACTCTAACCCAGATGAATTTGGAAGACTCGCTTCTCGCTAGATATCTCTCAGACTAGAATGAATGGACGGCTCAGCAGCAGAGCTCATGATATAGAATCACAAGAAGTCGACTGTCAATGTTCTGCATTATTGGGAAGATGGAAAGATGGTGGAAATTGATGGGATGTGTGATTCTGCCCTTCAGCAGAGGATTATAGCGGTGGATTAAGAGGTTAGAGAGCGGGAAGAGAAACAAAGGCCCATGTTATTATGGATTAAAGAGCACTTTGCTGCTAGGGCGAGGCGTTTTCATGTTGATATCTTTCCTGAATACTTTATTATTCTCTAGGACTTTTCCCCTGCCCTCAGTGGTATATATTTCGACTAAGGTCAGATATTGTTTGACAGATACTACCATCACAGCAAATGATTGAAATATTCAAATTGATTGGAATTGGCGTAGAGGCCGTCTTCCTTTCGAGAGTCTTAGCTGGTTGATTAGGAGAATAACAATGCTGCCGTGTCGAGGACAGGTGTGTTTTATGGTGTTACCATCGCAGACTGAATCTGGAGATGTTAGTCAATGTGAATAAATAAAAAATGACAAAGAAACACATCAATTGAAATAATATTGAAGAACGTTGATCAATAAACAGTTCGGTGCCTTGAGGCTCAGGCACAGTCACGTGCACGGTTAGTGGAGGCCTTTTCCCTGAACTTCCCGACGTCAAATCTCAGATTCTGGTCTTGCAATTGCGCGACGACTTAGTGCCAGGCTCCTGACAAACCCGCCATTGGACTCTTCTGTCCCTCACCAGTGACTCCCCACGGTCATTTTCTATCTTTACCTTCTTCTCCCTCCCAGTGGTTTTCAAGATGCCCGTCACGGCGTCCCGTGCCGTGCTGCGGCAATCGCAGTTCCTGACCCGGAGGACCGCGGTCAGACACGCCTCTTCCACCTCCGAGACTGCCTCCAAGGCTGGTGAGACTGCTTCTTCTGCTGCCTCCAAGGCCTCTGAGGGTCTCTCTCGCGCCGCTTCCACCGCTGGCCCTGCTCTCAACAATGCCGCCGCTGCGTTGAGAAAGGTTGGTGGAAGGACCGGAAAGGTCATTTCCTTCGTTGATTGTAAGAAGACCCCTTTCCCCTCGATTGATTGGGATTACTTTTTTTGTTGGCCTTGATATGGATGAACGGAGATGGGAATTGTGATCGAACACGGTCGTCTTTCCTCCTGGCCTCCTTGATGGCTACAACCCTCAATCATCAACTGCATCTCCGCTAGTCCGTGGCTAATCATGCATGATATCGATTTAGCTATGATACCCCCTACTGTCTACTACTCCAAGGTCGGCATTGAGGTCGCCAGATTGGTTTTCCGTGGCCAGAACATGTCTCCCCCGTAAGCACTCCTTCGATCTCGGAGTTCCAAACAATCCGAGAAACGACCACTAACACACAACAGTAACATGGCCACCTTCCAGTCTTACTTCCAGCCTCTCATCAACGCCACCCGCAACCCTGCCGCCCTTAAGAACGTCTCTCCCTCAAACATCCTGTCCTGCATCCGCAACGCCAGCAAGAAGGAGATCGCTCTTGCCGGTGTCGCTACTGCCGAGGTTATTGGATTCTTCACCGTCGGCGAAATGATCGGTAGAATGAACATTGTCGGCTACAGGGGGGAACCAGAGCACCACCACTAAATAACTACAAACAATCACGCCTAACCTGTCTTTTAACAATTTCCTTTTTCCTTGCGTGCTGTACTATTGTATGATAGACGATGGAATATAAACTGTTGTCTGGTTAAGTCTTGACAGGGCATGGCTTTAATGGGTATTGAGGGTATGGAATGTCCTTGTGCCTGTGGCGATTCCGCAGTTGCATGAGGTTGATATGTGGGCTTCTTTTTTTGTCTTTTTCTATCAAAAGTTCTGATACGATTGAAGACTGCATTCTATACCATTGATTTAGTAGAATTAGACTGAATGTTGAAGTAATCTATTCGCATTGTTTTCATGTCTTAACTCCGGCATCGGCCAAGCTCAGACACCATAATATCCAGTCAATGAGACTATTTCCGATAAGCAGCATAAGAAATCCATCTCTTCTAAATAAAAAACATCTTTTTAATTCCGCCTCCAAGCAAGAAATTCATTGTTGTCCAACTAATATGGCGACTGGCGTTCTCGCCTCTGATTGGCCCGTGCGGAGAGAAATTCTAAAGCGGACATGAACTTTTTTTTTTTCTTCTGATGCTCGAAAGCCTCACCAACCAACGCGAAAACCCAACGCAAATGTCCTAATTCCGGACACCACATTTTAAACTTAGAAATTGCATGGGTCAAGTTTAATATAAACTCGCGATGGATGCTTTCAAGCTTCTTACCAGGTCGACCAAGCTGAAGACCGGCGCCGGCGGTGGTGGCCCGGCCTCTTCAACATCTCGTCTGCCATCCACGGGCAAGGCGGCGAATCCGAAGCTCTTTCGTACCGCGGAAGCTGACAAGGTTATTGAAGAATCCAAACATGGAAAAAAGAGAAAGAGGGGCCATGCGGCCCGGGAGCTCGATGCGGATGATGATGATAATGTTCCTGATCTTGACTTTTTCGGGACAGGAGGATCCTCTGCGCGGAGTTCCGCTGTGAAGAAGGAGCAGGAGGCGCAGGCTGAGCGAGAAGATGGGTCTGAAGGGGAAGGGGAAGAGGACGATGACGCGATGGATGATGTCCAGCGTCGGACGGTTCTCAATGCGCATAAGATCAAGGTGACGGATCTGCGTGATTTCGAGTCCATCCAGCCTGTGCAGGTTGAAGAGCCTAAGAAAAAGAAGAAGAAGAGCAAGAAGACCGAAGAAACGCCAGCTCTCAGTAAGAAAGAGCAGAAAAAGGCCCGTCGATTGTTTCCGGAGCCTCTTCTTTCTTTCAAGGAGTTACGGTCGAAATACAAGATTTCTAGACGGCTTGCTGAGAATATCGCCGAGCAAGGATTTAGTGTTCCAACTGAAGTTCAACTGGGTACTCTTCCTTTATTGCTGGGAGAGCCTTCCGGGTCGGAGAAGTCTAAGACTGAACCTGATCTTTTGGTTGTTGCGCCGACAGGAAGCGGAAAAACTTTGTCGTTTTTGATTCCGGTTATCAACAAGATTGTTCGGCATCATCATGAACAAGAAGAAGAGCGTGGTATTTTCTCCGTTGTTGTTGCGCCGACTAAGGAACTTGCTAGCCAGATCGTCAATGAAGGAAGGAAGCTGGTTCAAGGAACTGGTGTGAAGATTACGTTGATGAAGAAGGGAATGCAAGTGGTGGATCGCGAGGACAAGGATGATGACGAAGATGCGAATGAGTCGGATAAAGACAGCGCAGAGTCTTCAGAGTCAGAAGATGATGAGAAGCCCACAGAGAAGAAGAGCAAATCGAAGGCACCCGCCACCAAGAGCGACATCCTCGTAACGACACCGTTGCAGCTTGTCAACGCACTTTCTGAGAACCGCACAAAACCCATGGCTACCTTGCCTTTGGTGCGAAACCTGGTTCTGGATGAAGCAGATGTTCTTTTGGATCCTCTGTTTCGCGAGCAGACACTTGATATCTGGCGTTCATGCACACACCCAGAGCTCCGGGTTGGTCTCTGGTCCGCTACCATGGGCTCGAATATTGAAGATATCACCAAGTCGACCATTAAAGAACGACAAGAATCCATCGGCCAAACCGAGTCGCATCCGTTGCTCCGTCTTGTTGTCGGATTGAAAGATTCCGCCATCCCTAACATCAACCATAAACTCGTGTACGCCGCAACTGAACAAGGAAAGTTGCTGGGTCTGAGACAACTTCTTCACCCCGCTGCAGCATCAGCATCAGATGTTCGCCTCCGTCCTCCCTTCCTGATCTTCACCCAGACCATTCCAAGAGCGGTTGCGCTGCATTCCGAATTGCGATATGACATCCCAGCCGAAGCTGGGGGTTCATCTCGAATCGCTGTTCTCCACTCGGAACTATCCGACGGCCAACGATCTGAGATCATGAAGAACTTCCGCAAAGGCGAGATTTGGATCCTGGTCACAACCGATCTTTTAGCACGTGGTGTCGATTTCCGTGGTATCAACGGAGTGGTTAACTACGATATTCCCAACTCTGCAGCCGTCTACGTCCACCGTGTTGGAAGAACCGGCCGAGCAGGCCGTGAAGGTGGCATTGCAGTGACTTACTACACCAAGGAGGATATTCCCTACGTGAAGAGCATCGCCAACATCATCGACGTTAGTGAAAAGCTACGAGGAACAGAGGGCGAGAAGTCCATTCAGAAGTGGTTGCTCGATGCCCTGCCTGATCTCAGCAAGAAGAACAAGCAAGAATTGAAGAAACATGGCGTCAAAGCCAGACAGACAAACCTCAAGGGTGCCAAGGATGATAAAGAAAACCGGAAGATGCGGATCAGTACCAAGAGTGGCTTTGAGAGACGGGCAGAGAACAAGAAGAAGGGCGCCATTGCTGCCAGTCGCAACCGGAAAGCCAACCCTAAACCTGCCGCAGATGCTGGCAGTGATGATGAGAGTTGGGGTGGTGTTGAAGAATAGACGAATCGTCTACAAGCGTCCAAGCGTCATGAATTTCATGTCAAAAGTTATACAGAACACTGTACAAAAGAAAACCTATGATTCCCAACCAGCATACTCTTATTTTGGATAATAAAATTCACGAATTATTCTCCTCGGCCAAACTCCTCCGTAAAAACACCGGCGCAAACGCATTATCCAACTTCCCCTGCTCCTCCAAAACACCCTCCAAATCATCCCCATCCCGATCAAAATAAACCGCCCACGCCCCATCCTCTTCCTGAACAGCCACAAACGCACTCTTCTCTTCCAGCGTCACCGTCGTCTCATCCTCCGTCCAATTCCAAGGCCCGACCACATGCGAAATACTCTGCGACCGGTTCCCGTATTTCAACTCGTATGTCTCTTTATCAACATATATCCAATTCACCATCGGCGGATTATCACACGTCGTAGTCACCAACCCAAGACCTCGTTTGAGATGCTTCGTCTCCTCCAACTCGGGGTATTCAATATAAAACGCCTTGGACGTATGCGAGGGGATACTGCGGTTCGAGGGAAGAGGATCATCCAGATAAACCTATACCATCATATATATCATTAACATCAACATCACTATTATCCTTCACAGTTTGAGAATAGCAGCACCGACCTTGTCATTCCTCACCACCATCCGCTTCCCTTGTACTTCATCGTCCTCTGCTGTTTCCCCCGCGCTCCCAACATCAATGTGGAACTTGGCCATGCGCCGTGCGTCGTTCTTGCGATCGTTCGATTTGCGCTGCTCGCTGACTCCCATTGACACGCCGGTCACGGTGGGAATTGCGGTTAATGCTAGGAGACCGATGACCATGTTGATTTGTATGAGGGTAGTATGTGGATGGTATTGTAGTAAGGTAGGTAGGAGGTAGGATGTTGTAGATCGGGGTATCTCGAAATGAATGTTAAATTAAAAGGTTATATAATTGTTAATATATACAACGAAGGATAAATGATATGTAGTGATATTCATGCGATGGGATTTGTTTTCATCAGATGCTTGTTCCTGGTCATATTGTTGATGTCGTCATAGAGGCAGCCACTTGCACGTGATGATGAAGATACTACCAGCAACCGCTAGTCATGACCAAGTCTTCGACATGATTCTTGAGCAAGTTAATTTACACTATTCCTTCCTCTTGATAGTTGCTATTTAAACGGTAGTCTTTTCTAGACTTACGCGATAAAAAAATTGGAAGTGTCTACATACAGTTTATTGACAGCTAACTGCGACCCAAGTCGTTGAAAGAGGCTCGAAGCTCTATGAATTGCTAAAATGAAACCATCTAGTGAAACGGTCTAAATCCTGTCTAGTCCTTTCTACCCTCGTGTATCGTTTATTTTCGTGAAATCGTTGAAATTGGGGCGATATTTGAATTAGAGCTTTTCGCTCCAACCCCAAATCGACCACCAACATTTGACCGCCAGCGCTTCTCCATCTGCCGACTCCCAGTCATCGTATCCAATCTCCTCGCCCTCCTCTACCACCGCAAGACCAGCCTGCACCATTCGCTCTCGAAATTCCCGCACCTGTGGCAAGTATGCATCGCGCAGCGGCATCTCGAACACAACCCGTGCACCCAGGCCACGGCTCAGCCAGCGGGCCACTGTGTCAACCAACCACTTCGGGTGCTTGGGCGAGTATAGAGGATCGGCAGCGAGGATAATATCATACTGCTCTTCTGCGGGTGGCAGCTGCTCCGACGTGACAGACCAGTCCAAAACCCCCGTTGTGATGCTGGCGTTGGTGCTGTTGAGCAATTCCACATTCAGAGCCGCATTACGAGCGAGATTCGGAACAATATCAGGCAGGTCTGTGAGATGGGTCGTAGCCGATTTTCCGCGGAGGGCTGCGAAGGCGAGTCCTACGAGTCCGGTTCCTGAACCCAGCTCCAACGCTCGCAGTGTCTTCTCGGTCTTGGGGGAGGTTGCTTCGGAGGGGACTAGCCGCGGGGTGGATTCGACAAGACTATGAAGGCGACGGGAGAGGAGGTAGGAGGATACCCAGGTTTTCATACCAAGGTTGTCGGCGGTGATGGATGGCTCGTGCAAAGTAATTGTGAGGTCTTCGCCGCTTGGTGTGGGCACTTGGAACATACGGGACATGGCTGGCATGGCTGGGGCAAAGGGTTTAATGTCAGTTTCCAGGCACGGTGGAGGGCACAGACAAAGAGTATTCGCATACCGGCCCTACCAGACCGCTCACTGAGTCGAGCTGCCGCGGCATCCCAAACTGTCTCACGCAGTTCATCGGTACCTAGCCATGAAAGTGTACTTGCGATAATAGAAGTTAGGTAGCGGGGCACGCCGTTCTCCTGGACAGCTGGGCCATTGTCCTCTTCGTCGGGATCAGTACTGAAATTCCTTGGTTTAATCGCCAGCAGGTCTAGGGCTTTCACAAGCTCGGTTCCAGACGGTTTGGTATAGAGCTGAGGGAGGTCGAGGACTTGTAAACGCTTATCAGTTCACTATCGCGCATATCGGGTTAATCAAGTGAGGGGAGTCATACCATGGAGGGGCCCTTGGCTATCGGCGCCGATCATGATGAATTAGTGTGCTGTGCAGCGTGCTGTAGTAGAGGTGAGAATAAGAATAAGACAATATGCAATGGGTTTTATCGTGGAAAAGTCTGCCTGTGGCGAATCATGCAAACCGGTGCTATATTCAATTCAGGCACAAAAAAAGTCGCAATCGCCCAAAAAGGAAAGGTCGGCTGCGCAGTTCCGCGGATCGGGATCCGCTTCCATGCCGGCATCAACATTGACTTTTGACTTTGGACAATTTATGGAGATGAAAAATTTAGAACATTGGAAACATTGGATATCGTAGTATGGATGCTCATTAATCTGATTATACAGAACCCAACGCCAGGCCTAAAACTCCGTGACTATGCATGCTCAACCCAACGTTGCCTTGAAGCCCTGGTATGCCTGTTCAATATCAAACGCCAATTCCCTGGCCTGTTCTTCGCTGAGTTCCTCTGTCGCCCGCATCTGATTCAAGGCGATCAGCCACTGGATTATCTTGCCCCGGTTCTCAAAGTCCCCGTCCGTCACCTTGTTCACGGACTGGATCACCTCAGAGAGCAGCGGGTGCAGGGCATCCTTCGACACCATATTCAGTTTCAACGCATCTAGGAATGTGATGAAGTTCTCCGTCGCCGTCAATATCAGAGTACCTGCTGCTCCACCAGCAGGGCCCGTTGCTGCTGCTCCCATGCTGGCTCCGGGGGCGGTGTGGGATGCCTGTTCGACTGTTGCGGGGAGTCCGATGCGAAGGCGTTCGGTGGCACGGGGGCATTCCAACTAACAAGAAAACATCAGCAATTGAAGATGAGAATATAGTAAATAACCAAGTAGACCTACCCCCCATGTCCGTTTAAAGGTGTCGAGATCGGCAAAATCCCTTGCGACAGCCTCATCCCCCAGACTGGACTTGTATTGCTTCAACAACCGAGTGCATGTCTCGGTGTATTCTGCTTCGGTGACCACATCTTTAATGTATGCCTTCTCCAACCCGTCTAGTGTGACGATGATGCTGTATATTTCCGCCAGCGACTCGTAGAGATCACGATCTGCTGAGCTCGAGGCTAGTTTGACTTCCTGGCGCGGCCGCAGTTAGCCAGCTGCTGCTTTTCCTACCCCATCACACAAGCAGTGAATACCTCATCAAGATTGATGGATGCTGACAAGGCCGGGTTCGGTGTATAGCTGTAGGGGGTGGGCGCATAGGCCAGAGGACGTTGACTATACATGATGTTGTTCTTTGTTAATTCATGTTCTTCTATGCCCTTATTGTCGTTGATTTACTGCTGGGGGCGGGGGAAAGGCGGTTCCCCACGGCAGAATACCGAGATGCACCAAATCGTCATCGCCAGAGATCATCTATCTTAACAACAACACCACCATGGACACTGACTACCGCTTTAGGCTTTCAGCCTCGCATACAAATATCTGGACATTACGACTGTCTAGGAGGAGGAATGTGTTGTGCAACTGAGAACTACTAGCCCTTGACATGCATGGAATAGGGGGTTCATTCCGTTGCCTTTTTTTCACTCAGGCAGCATTTCGACTCAGGGTCAGAATGGTTTGAGCCTCGACAACTTCACAGATCTGGAAATTAGTTTGCACCGTGTGACTATCTCAAAGGCCTAGAGACTTTGGAAGACACATTTCAATGCATTGCTGTGGTACATTCTAAAGCATCGTCATAATATGCTATTTATCACTATACCAAGGATTTACGAGCAATAGCATTGAAGTTTTTCAGCCTTGCTTTCGGATGCACTCACTATGCCGCTTTTGAAGCGTGAAACCATAATTCCAATTCCACAAGTGCATGCGTTTCATGCTGGTCTGGATAATAGCCTAGAATATCCTTTTATCCTGATGGATTTCGTGGATGGGATCCCGCTTTTCGATGTTTGGTTCGACCAGTCGATTCCTCCAGATTTGTTAGACACTCGCTGGCTGAGAGTGTTTGAAGATATAGCAAAGGCAATGATGCAACTGGGAAGGTTTACCTTCCAATAAGCCGGCTCTCTTCGATTTGATTCTCAAGACAATGTGTCCGAGATAGCTCCTATGCGGGAAATAGACACTGAGGCTTCTTTAGCTGCTAAACATTTTGAAGTTATGTGTAACTTTGGTCCTTTCAGTGACGCCACGTCCTATCTCTTCTCACTGTTGAACTGTCGTGAATCTCCCCTAGATGCGTATAGTAGGGGGTTATACATATTACCCCGGCATTACCTCGAATGGTTACAGGAGTTGGAAGGTTTCAATCAACAGAAATTTGTTTTGAGCCACCCTCAATCCGGCATCCAAAACATCTTCGTCACACAAGACGGACAGATCACCGGTATTATCGACTGAAAATTTGTGGATCTGTTCCTGAATGCTTGGGAAATCTTTGGTAGCCCTCATTCTTAACAAGAGAATTGGATCTTGCGCTCTGCGCTTACAATCCAGAGGGTGCTCCCGAGGATAATGAGGGCGAAGACTCGCCTGAAGAGCTCCAAGGCCTTCGAAAGGTTTATCTCGAAATAGTTGAACGGGCACTTTCGGAGAACAATCCGTCATCCGCCTTCTCGGCCAAAGATCCTACTAGATGGACGAGAAGGTCATGGGTGATTCAGAACTTGAAAATCGCGGCGGATGATTCAATTTTCACACATAGAACCATGATAATGACCTTTGATAAATAACAGAAGCTCTATCCAAAGAACCACAGGAATTGATGTGGAGGATCTCTTTCTAGATGACATCGCCTGTGAATTGGTCGATGGAACTCTCGATGAGGACATTCTCAAAATCCTTAAAAAGGGCCTTTTAGATATTTGCGACTCTACGTGAACATTTCTACTCAATTACAGGGATTGTAAATTTGTTTTACAGCTCACTTTTCGAGTTCTGTATCATCTAATATGAATGACGCCATTTGGACCTGCTTTCTACTATAGATACGACGCTATTCCCAAAGTAGATATATGTCGCAGAATGGCTTACTAATACTTCGCACAGCCGCAGCTTATCCATCACGTGAACTTATCTTCACTCCATCTGGATAGAAAGGCGGTCACCGTATTAGGAAATCCGCCAATTTTTTTTGCCCCGAAATTCTCTCCAAATTTTTCTCAACTTCCAGAGAAGCCAAAAAACTCCCCCGCTCAATTAATTCTTCCATACTGCAGAATTCGAGGATCCCGCGAAATCGGGGATCAGAATTTTGTCATCATGGCTGGAGGTATGAAAAAGTCGACCAAGAAGTTCGAGAAGAAGCATCTCAAGGATACCCTCGAACGGCGCAAGGCCCACGCGAAAGTCAAGCAGCGATATCAGCAAAAAGACAAGCGAAAGGCGGACAATGCCAGACAGCGCGCAGAAATTGATGAGGCCAATCCGGAAGACCCCGAGCAGGTCAAGAAGCAAGATGCCTTTTCTCAGATGAACGTTGACGACTTCTTTGCTGGCGGTTTTGACATTACCGAAGGCGACGCAGACCAGAACAAGAAAGCACAGAAGAAGGACGTTACCCCTAAGACCGGAAAGCGCAAGAGGACTGCAGAGGCACAGGCAGAGGGCGATGATGGTTCAGAAGCCTCGAGTGCAGAGGAAGATGGTGCCCCCAAGAGCGACGATGACGATGCTGCCTCCGCTAGCGGTTCCGACGACTTCGAGACACACAAGGGTCAACTGGAAGCATTGAAGGAGAAGGATCCGGAGTTCTACAAGTATCTTAAGGAGAATGATTCCGAATTGCTCGACTTCGAGGACCATGGAGATCTCGCTGAGGTTGACGATCTGAGTGAGGCCGAAGAAGAGGGTCCGGCTAAGAAAAAGAAGAAGGGCAAGACAGCGAAAGAAGACGATGAGGTGGAGATGGTCGACAACACGCTCACCATTCCGATGGTGAAGAAGTGGCAGAAGTTGATGGAGGAACAGAACTCGGTCCGCGCCATGCGACAAGCCGTTCTCGCTTTCCGTTGCGCAGCGTACATCGACGAGGCCGACAGCCAGGACCAAAAGTACTCGATCTCAGACCCCAATGTATACCACCAGGTGCTCGTCACAGCTCTCGGCACAGTTCCCAAGGTTCTGGCACACCACCTCCCCGTCAAGGAGACCGCTGGCGGCAAAGTCAAGGTGTCTCTGGACTCGAAGAAGTTCAAGACTCTTACCTCGCTCATCAAGTCTCACACATCGTCTGTCCACCAATTGCTCACCAACCTGACCGATGCCCAAACGCTGAAGTTGACCCTTTCGTCTATTGAGCCTATGCTTCCTTATCTCCTCCAGTTCCGAAAGTTGCTGAAGGTTCTCGTTAAGACAGTCGTTGCCATTTGGGCTGATGTTTCCACCGGTGAGGCAACACGAATCACAGCATTCCTCCTTCTGCGACGCCTTATGGTTCTGGGAGACTCCGGAATCAAGGAGTCAGTTCTCAAGGCCACCTACGAAGGAGTTGTCAAGGGCAGTCGCAACACCACCGTCCACACCCTCGCAGGTGTCAACCTGATGAAGAACTCGGCCGCAGAGCTCTGGGGCCTTGACCAGAACATCTCTTACACAACGGGCTTCAGCTTCATCCGTCAACTGGCCATGCACCTTCGCAGCAGCATCACCAACACCTCCAAGGAGTCGTACAAGACGATTTACAACTGGCAGTACACCCACTCGCTCGACTTCTGGTCGCGTGTCCTCTCGCAACACTGCGACGGCCTCGCCGAAGCCCAAGCCGGCAAGGAATCCGCTCTGCGCCCCCTCATCTACCCCGTCGTCCAGATCACCATCGGTGCCATGCGCCTCATCCCCACAGCGCAGTACTTCCCCCTCCGCTTCCAGCTCACCCGTGCCCTCCTCCGTCTCTCCCGCTCAACGGGAACCTACATCCCCCTGGCCTCCTCCCTCCTGGAAGTCCTCAGCTCCGCGGAGATGCGCAAACCCCCCAAGTCCAGCACCCTCAAACAACTCGACTTCTCGACCGCCATCCGAGCTCCCAAATCCTACCTCCGCTCCCGCGTCTACCAAGACGGCGTAGGCGAGCAAGTCGCCGAGCTCCTCTCCGAGTTCTTCGTCTTGTGGTCCAAACACATCGCCTTCCCTGAACTCTCCGTCCCCGTCGTCGTCAGCCTCAAACGCTGGTTGAAGCAGGTCGGCTCGCGCAACGGCGGAAACAAGAACACCAAGATTAACCAGATGCTCTTGCTACTGGTGCAGAAGATCGAGGCCAACGCCCGCTGGATCGAGGAGCGTCGGTTGACCGTCTCCTACACACCGCGTAACCGCGCCGAGGTCGAAACCTTCCTCAAGGACGTCGACTGGGAGTCCACCCCTCTCGGTGCATTCGTCAAGTCCCAGCGCAAGCTGAGAGAAGAGAGAGCCGCTATCCTCGAAGAGAGCAGACGCGAAGAGGAGAGACGGAGAGCCGACGAGAAGAAGGCCGACAAAGACCAAGTGATGAAGGACGCAGGAAGTGACGACGATTCTTCTTCCGACGAAGAGGAAAACGAAGAAGAAGATGAAATTGAAGAAGAGGAAGAAGAGGAGGAGGATGAGGAGGAGGATGAGGAGGAGGATGAGGATGAGCTTGAGATGGAAGAAGAATAGACGTCTCTTTTTTTAAGTTTCTTTTGTCTACTGGGTCATTACTTTCTTGGTGTTTTTTTCATGTTTCGAATCCAATTGTCTTGTAACTAACTATCCGGACATGCCTAAAAGAATCATGCTTTCATAGATCTTGATATCAATACAAAAGTTGAAATTCAGGATGATCAAATCCGTCGCTTTTTGAAATAGGGTTTTCTTGGAAACAGATGCATTGAATATAGTAGTTGTAAAGCAAGATTCAATCTAACAACACGCAACCTATGAAAACAAACAAAACCAAATAAAACAAACCAAAACCAACAATTATGATGCACCATATTTACTCTCAAAACAGGGCATATTTACCATCGTTCGTAAATAAGCGATGTGACGATAAACGCTCCAGACATCATAACTCAAATCGATGCTTCAATCTGTGCAACAAATCCGAAAGAACTAGGCAGTTCCCATGGGCATCCTGTCCATACCCAATGAGCGAGCTTTCTCCCGTCTAAGGTCTGCATCCTCCTCCTCTGCCCAAGCGAGAGACTCATCCGGTAACATGACAGCCTGGTCGATGGCGACGGGCAGACCTCTATGACGTCCTCTCAAGGTGACGGCAGCCAGAATCAATTTGCTGATGGGGTGCCAGGTCCCACAGAATGAATAATTCTTGCCGGGATAACCAACACTGACACCGACGCAGCCGTAGGCGGAGACAACCTCGAATATAATGTTGAAGGTCGAGTAGGAAACCGGTTCATTTTTAAAATGATCCGATTCGGCAATGGAGATGAACAAGACCCCAAGGGCAACCCACCAAATATCGTGGCTAAGCTGAGAGCGCAGCTGTTGGTGAACAAAGTAGCTGCGCGAGGACTCTGTTGTGGAGACGTCGTGTCGACCGAGGAGGTGTTGTCTGATGAGACTGACGAAGATGTTTGGAGGAGATTTGCCATTCGGTTCTTCAAGGGGGTCATCGTGGGCGTAGATACCCAGCGAACGTTCTTCGTAGACGTTTGTGTTTCTATCGAGCAATGTTAGCAGAAAGTAAGGGTTATCAACTAGGAAATACAAACCTTATTGTGACTAGCACTGGGAATGCTGAAACATACTATAGTAGACAGTTAGCTACTCACACTCATCATCAAACCTCTTCGCTAGACAACTAACCATCATAAGCACTGAATATTCGTTAGCATTGCGTTAATTGGTAAAAGAGTTGGTTAGATTCTTACCATATAAAACGAGCAACCCCTGACGAAGGTCAGAGATAGTAACGACGTAAAATCCTCCAGAGCGAACAGCTGCGATGACAACGAACATTAGGAACCTGCTAAAAGAAAACGAAATGAAAACAAACCTAATCCCTGAAACAGTCCATCCAAAACACGATAGCCTCTTGGCAGATTCTCAATTTCCTGATTTCCGATTGCAAGAATCTCAAATCCGGCCCAGTCGATGCCGTTCAGGATGATAATAGTTCCTAGTAAGTACCACGTGTGACGCGCAGGGAAGAGATTTGTATACACCTGGATCATTGATCAACAATTGTACCACAGCCGAGAAGCTTCTGTCCTCTACGTACTCTTCTGGGGTGGTCCAACACAAAGTCGAGAGTGATTTTCCATGTTTCCCATGATGGTTGGTTTGGTATAAGGCGTCTCAGGGTCCAAATGATGAACCGCAGGAAGCATGGGTAGAGTGTATTTCCGGCCAGAATCAACATTCCCATGGTAAGAAGCGGGTATGCACTTTATATTGTCAGCAGAGTGTCCATGTGGCTAAGATATGTAGAGTAGCAAATACTTCTTTTGCAATGCAGTCATATTTGTATCCAGAAGAGACATGCCGCTGTTAACAAATGCAGATACTGCAAAGAATGCACCCGTCCAAAAGGGCGACAGGCCATTTGATCGAGAAATCTCTGGGTGATTTGCTTCCAGCCAACCCCCCATGCCTATCATGCCAATGATAATGAACATGATCCAGTAGAGTGAAACAATAACTGCTAAAAACGATACCGCCCTATACTCAACCCCACCGAGCCTCTCGCGCTCGGCGGGAGTGAGCCCGTGGAACTGTGAGTTGCGAGAAATAAGTCCTTTCGAGGCAAAGTATTTCTGTGTTCCTCTGAGCATCCCCTTCAGTCCGGACAGCTCAGTATCTTTTGCAAGTGGTAAGTTCGGCGGGACATCCTGAGGATGGTTGTTCAAATCATGTCGAGCTCCAACGCCTGTCATTGGAAATACTCGATGGTGATGATGCTGTCGAGCTTTTGTGCCACCGATGGTGATCTGATCATCATCTTCGACCCATCGAACAGGGTCAACATCCAGATTAGAGACTGTTTCGGCAGGAGCTACATTGGTCATCACTGTGAGCTTGTCCCCTTTACTTGAGGCCAATCCACCACGCAGATCTCCCGTTTCAACATCTGCCAGACTCTTTTTCTGGTAGCTGGATTCAGATGCATGCTCATTGAGTGGGATATTGCCGGATGACAGTTCAAGTGCACGCTTATACGAAATTCCATTGAATTTCAATTGAAAAGCACGCTTTCTGACAAAGAGCACAACGATCGAAATGAGGATCGCATGTCCAAGCATGAGAAGAGCAAAAAGGATCGACTGCTGGAAGCTATTCAAAGAGGATAGGTCGACCTGGAAAGGATCAGTATGCCAATTCCGATTCAATAAGAAAATAACATACCGTATTCAATCCTGCTCCTGTCATAGCACTGACACACATGAACAATGCATCGACATAGGCAATGCTCCGAGACGGCTCTGCGGCACCCCAGAAAATGGCGCTACAGATCAATGGCGTCGCAAGGAAATACGCATAGTGAAGCGTGAGAAAGTTGAATGGTGGGCAAACCGCCATAATAAAGTGACCAACCGGTCTTTGCCATCCTCTGGCTGAAATTATAGTTAGTAGAGTTTCAATAAGAGTAGACTCGAGCCTCGGAACTGGAATAAGGGTCATGATGATGAAATCAAGGCTTACGGAGGAGCATTGCTGGTAGGTATGCGCCAAAGCGCTTTTAGAAATGATGAGATAGACCTTGCAGCTCCTTTTTTTGATTGGGAATAGTAATCCGAGTCCCTGCTTAATATCTGCGATCACTGCGTCTGTTGTGACCTTTTTCTCTTCTTTTTCTCTTTTCTTTGGGGGCGCACACCGCTACCCACAGTTTTTGGATAGAACTCGAAATTTCAGTCTGGTCCAAAAGTACATTATTTATCGTCGAGTAAAAATTGAGGGGAATCAGTAGTATAGCCTGAGAATTGGCTAGTAAATGCAGCGAGAGATTTGGTGTGTTGAGAATAATATGGTGTGGCAATCGTGGAGTCGAGATTAAATTTCGAGGCGATCAAGAACGGGAAAAAGGCTTGTGTTATTCCATTTCAAACAACTCCGATTATTTAAGATGATGATAGTAATATAGATAAATATGAGGTCAGAATTTGAGAAGATGAAGCTGACGAGAAGAATTTGACTGTGGATGGATGGTGAGACAAGCAGAAACAAAAAGCGTGAAGAAACCCCGTTGAGCCTTGCTGCCTTGGGAAAGGCCAAAACGGGCCGAGACCGACTAAGCTTTATAGGGCTGGCTCTGGATAGCTTCATTTTCGACTATCAAAGCATGTTTATTCTGCCCATTCTCTAGCTACGGTCATCTCCAACCTCATTCTCACGCTTCCAGTGCCCACTCTTCCCTCCCTTTTTCTCTTCAAGCTGCACTCCTCCGATCACCATTCCCTTGTCCACTGCTTTGAGCATGTCGTAGACGGTCAACGCAGCTCCCATTGTCGCTGTCATCGCTTCCATCTCTACCCCTGTGCGGCCGAGACAGCTCACTGTCGCGAGGATGCGCATCGAGCCATGTTTCTCGGTCTCTGATGGATCAACCAGCTTCACGTCTACCTCAACACCTGTGATTCCAATTCCCGGATGACACAAGGGAATCATATCCGGTGTCTTCTTAGCGGCCATGATTCCGGCTATCCGCGCGACACTGAATACGTCGCCTTTGTGTGTGCCGCGACCCTCTCGGAGTAGTTCCCACGGACGGGCGTTGGAGAAGGATACATAGCAGCTGGAGGTGGCAAGTCGAGGGGTGACAGGCTTCTCGGTGATTTGCGTCATGTGGACAGTCTGAGATGGGGTCAGATGGGGAAGGTCGGGATCAGAGGCTGTAGGGAGAGAAGTTGTCGCTTTCTCTGCCTTCTTGGTATGGTCTGAAGATCTGGCTTCAGATCCAGTACTACGCCCACGGTGATAAAACCGGGCTTGCATTTTTCCTAAAGAAGCACCCATTGGGAGCATATTGAATGGAATCCTGGACCAAGGATTCCTTTGAGAAGACAGAGCTGGCATATCACTATGAGTTTGTCTTGAATTCGAAGTATTGACCGTTTCATTATCTAGTATAGCTCCTATCAGCATTAATCCAAAAGACGTAGATACAAATCAGATAGATGGCCCGCTTGTTCCCAAAAGAAATGAAAATCCATCCAGATATATGCATGCAGTCATTAATCGTCATTCCAACCAAAATTACTCCAAAGGAAAAGGATGCGCCTACCCACCAATAAGAATCATCGGCCGGTTCTTCATATTCTTCAACTCTCCCATACCAGCATGTTTCTCCTTCTTGCGTTTCACTGCCATGCCGATGATGTCCAAGAGCTCTTGCTCTCTGGGATTAATAGAGCCACCCTCATCGCTGATGCGAGCAGCTGCCTTTGCTGATTCGAGCAGTTGTAACTGCTTCATTGCGGTCTCGTCGATGGGTTCGTCATTATTCACCTTCCGAATGATATCCCGCAACGACACCTCTGCATTTCCAAACAAACACACCTTCAAGTTCCCATCACTGGTGATGCGTAGTCGGTTGCAGGTTCCGCAGAAATTATGGGTCATGCTAGTGATAAACCCGACCCGGCCCTCAAAACCAGGAACTTGGTATGTTTTGCTGGTGTCATTCTTATGGTCCACCACCTTTTCCAGTGTTGGGTACTTTTCGCGGATGACCGCCAGCATCTCCTGGTAGGAAAACATCTTTCCTTGATTCCACTTGTTGCCATCAAATGGCATGTACTCGATAAAGCGCACTTCGATAGGGCTTTCACGCCCCATCTCAACGAAGGGGAGGATCTCCCGATCATTGACTCCGCGCATCACGACGCAGTTGATCTTCAGTTTGATCCCCGCTCCCTTCTTGTTCATCTCCAAGACCCGATCGATGCTCTTCATCACGGCATCAAACCCCTTCCTCCTAGTCATGATTTGAAATTGGAATGGGTCCAAAGTATCCAGACTGAGGTTTATTCCTGTCAACCCAGCCTCTATCATGGGGTCGAGTTTCCGATGCAACGAAATTCCATTTGTTGTCAAGCACAGCTCCCGTAGTCCATCACGGCGCAAGTCCCCAATCGACTGCATCAAGGGGACTATATCTTTTCGGACGGTCGGTTCCCCGCCAGTCAGCCGGATCTTGGTAACACCCTGGGAGACAAAGAGTGATGATAGGTACACAATCTCCGGTGACGTCAGAAGCCGGGCCGAGGGTGAAAGCTCTATGCCCTCCTCTGGCATGCAGTATAAACATCGAAGATTGCAGCGTTCGGTAACGCTGATCCGTAGGTAATCATGCTGGCGATTGAAGTTGTCCGTCAAGAATTCCGAGAATGGCTTCGCGGATCTCAAGGCGGAGAATCTCGGTGATGATTTCTTGGACGAGGGGGTATCGAAGGGGGGGCATGAAGAAGAAGAGTTGATTCCATCGTTATGTGAAGCAGACGCAGCTGTACTCGTGCTCTGCTGTCGAGGGTGAGCAACAGAAGCTATCCTGCGAGAGCGGGGGCATCTGGCAAGGGAGGCAAGCAGGGACACGCCCCGCCTTCGCCACAACAGAGACTCAGCCATCCTCGGCAGATATGCTGCTCAGTGAATAGAAATGAAGTCAAGCATTGCTCAGCATCGCCCAGAGAACTTGGGTTTATAATAGACGAGCAGGTGTTGGTGGAAGAGAGATAGAAAAGTGTCGAGGCCTTATCGCGGTTAATAATACCGGTTGGTCTGACTCCGCGGAGAGTGCCGTCATGCGGTTAGTCATCGCTGCTTCGTCACTACGACGATGGCTACGCTTTACAACAACGTCTTAGAGTGTCAGAAGTTGGTCACATTGGCTTATGCTGGTGCTACGTGGCTGGCATCATCTTATGGACCCTCTTCACGAGGCTCTGCTCGAACTGTTCCACCCCATTCTGCTGCTCATTGAGTTTGCCTGCCTTCATGACATAGACAACCCGTTTTCTGCCCTGTGACTCCTCGGAGGCTTGCTCAACACCCTCGAAGTCTTCGTCCAAGCTGTTCTCGGCATCCCTTTTCCCCTCAATAACAGATCGGACAAGGAACCGGTCATGCGAGACCAGCAAGATTGCGCCATTGAAGCAGGAAAGCGCCGATGCTAATGCAGTGACAGTGTGGAAGTCCAGATGCGTGGTGATTTCATCAAGAATGAGCAATTGGGGTGAATTCCAGACGACCTTTGCCAATGCCAATCGAACCTGGATGGAAACGGGTTAACAATGTCCTCGATTCAAGGCGGCTCTACTCACAAGTTGACCTCCTGAAAGTCGGGAAACGGGGACATCAGAAGCAATCCTGCCCTGAAGACCCATCGATGCTAATAAACCTCTGAGATTGCCTTCACTGAATGCGCCGTCAACCTCCTTCGTCATTAGTCCCAATGCCGTCAATTCTGGATCGGCTAGACCTTGTTCGTGGAGCTCATCGATCGAGTGCTGTGCGTAATAACCGAGTTTCAATCTCGAGTGAGTCGTTACTTTCCCCTTGGTTGGTAGCGTGCTTCCGGCCAAAAGACGAACCAGGGTGGATTTGCCGGATCCATTCAGACCCATGATGCCAACACGATCACCCATGTGCATGACAAGCTCGATGCCGTTCAAAACAGGGGCTTCATTGGGCTTGTACCGAAAGACGATACCTTCCAAGGATATCAAAGGGCCTGGAAACCGCAGTTCAGTAGCGTCAGGAAGCATCATTGATGCACCTTTTTCGTCGGTAGGAACCTCAATTTCCGCTCGTGCAGATAAGTGATAGCCTACGAGGTCTCGGTTTAGTTTGAATCGACCACCGTTGGCATTCACTTGAATTCCCATTCGGTCGTCTACCTTTTTCTGTCGAGATTTGGCCATTCGGAGTTTGTTGTCGTCATTGGTCTTCTTCCCGACCTTAATATTGTCGCGAATGGTTGCTTCCATGTGGGAGATTTGCCGTTCCTGCGCTTCCTTCATACGGCCCCAGTAGAGCTTTTGCTCCTCAAAGTCTTTTTCGTATGCTGACAAGTTACCTCGAAAGTAAGATAGCTTTTGTTCCTTGATGATGACAATTTCCTCGCAGACTGCATTGATAAAGTCCCTGTCATGGGAAACCAATACCACAGTCGTCTGCGACGAATCGCGTAGCTGTCGCAGATAATTCTCGAGCCAGACCACTCCCAGAAGGTCTAAGAAATTAGTCGGTTCGTCGAGGATCATAATATCAGGATTTTGAATCAAGACGCTAGCCAGCATGCATCGCATGCGCCAGCCGCCAGACAGGGTCAAGAATGGCTTGTTGAAGGCGCTTTCCTTGAATCCTAATCCGATGAGAATCTGACGGGCTTGCTGTTCAACATCGACGAGTTTCATCTGCTCGACATCAGCATAGTTCAGCCAATGCGGTAGACTTGCTTACGGCTTCAATTTGGGATTGAAGGTCCTGGAGTGTCTCCGCTGCAGTCTGGGTGTCCGTTTTGATAGCTTCGGCATCAATGGCATCTTTTTCCTGGTTTAGTCTGAGGGTTTAGTATTTATCTCCCTGCAGATCATGAAACTTACAGCTCCGTCGAGGCTTGCACTTTGGATTCAGCCGACTTGAGGTCCTTTCGAGCTTGCAGACCTCTCGCTCCACTTTTGAGGCTTGCATTTCTCTGGGCCAGGAATAACTGCTTCTGAAGATTCTCATGATGGACCTTGCGTATAGCTTTTACAGGCTCCAGAGGATCCTCCGTTTCGAAGCTTTTTGATAGAACTGCCAATGTCAGCTAGTTTAGAGGAATTGGGCATGATTCTTACAATCCATTTTTCGAGAGATATCATTCCTGTGGTTATCACTGCTCAGGACTTGTTCCAGAACTGTTCTATCCTTCCCTTGGTCACGATGCCCAAGACCGCCCTCATCAGCCTCAGAATCCGTCTGCTGCAAGATCGCAATCCTCGTTGCGTGCGGTATACCAGGGACCAGCATCTCCGCCATCGCCCGAAGAAGCGCTGGCCTTCATTAGCCATGAAAATAACGCAGATTGGTACTCCCTACTCGACTTTCCAGTCCCATTCCTCCCTATAAGTCCATAGTGAACACCAGACTTGAGACGCAGATGAGCGTCTACGAGGAGTTCCCGTCCTTCGTTTTTGGCTTTTGATTTCCCTTTGGACTTAGATGCGTCTTTTGGGGGTTGTGCGGATGATACGAGGATGTTGAGACCTGCTACATCTATCTAGATGTTGCATTTATTAGGTTAGCTTTGAGGTGGAAAGGTGAATTGCAGTAGTTATATACCTCTTGTGCGGGTTTATCATCAAGCAGATGAAACCGGGTTTGTTTGCAAGTTGCAATGATAGATGATTTCATTTTGCAGTATTAAGCAATTAATTCAGTATGAAAGAAATAATCAACAATTCTATCTTCAAAGTAGTAAACAATTAAAGATACCCTACAGCCTACCGTACACTACAACACTGTATAGTATTTAAATTATCCAATCTCCCACCCAGCGGCCTGAACCGATGTCAACCAAGACAATAGAAAAAACAATCATGCAGAAACCAAATATCCACCGAGTAACACTGAGTCACGTAAGAAGATCATCCAAGATGCAACCGAGGAGATGAAGAGAGTCGGGGACCGAATGGGGAATAGTGGCAATGCCTGAGGCGAGAAGGTCGTATTCGGAACCAGACAGAGGCATTTATGTCGACTATTGGGGGTTTTATGTCCTTTATGCGTGGTTGATGTGAGTCACTTGTGGGTTTTGAGTCATTATGTATCATTCTCTATTTTATAGTCTACTGTCTATAATCTATGTAGGTAGTGTATGTATGTAGTTATCGAAACTCCTCCAACCTCCTCTTCTGCATCCCATCCTCCCCGAAATTCCCCTCCTCCAACCACCCCTCAAACGCCCCCCTCACGCTTCCCACCCACTCATCCCTCAACAACGAAAACCACGCCGTATCCCGATTCCGCCCCTTCATAACCATATGCTGCCGAAAGATGCCCTCGAACGTAAACCCAAACCGGCGCGCCGCACGGCGCGAGGCCTCATTAAGCGAGTCGCACTTCCACTCGATACGCCTGTAGCCTAGGTCCTCGAATGCATGCCGGAGAAGGAGGTAGACGGACTCGGTGGCCTGTGTTGAGCGCTGGATGGAGGGGGAGAAGACGACGTGGCCGATTTCCGCGGTGAGGTGGGCGGGGGTTATGCGCATGAGGGAGATGTGGCCGATGGGTGTACTGGTGGGGGTGGTGTTGTCGAGGATGGCGAAGAGGAAGGGGTCGGTGGAGGTTGATTTTGTGGTGATGGAGGCGCGGAAGGAAGGGAGGTCGGGATAGGGCCCTTCAGGCATGTAGGTCCATAGGGAGGTTTGGATGGGGTCGGTGCCGCCGATGAGGGTGTAGAGATGGTCTGCGTGGGAGGGATCAAGGTGTTGGAGGAGCACTTTGCGGCCTTGGAGGGTTGTTGGGGAGGGGAGTTGAGCTGGAGGGAGCGAGATGGAGGGGCCTAGGTGTGTCATGGTTGATGTGAATTGTGATGCTGCTGCTGGGAGAGTTAGTGATTATATAGCATGAGTGAGTCATTGTCAATTCGTTGTAGGATTTAATCCTTGTTGGAGGAAGACATATTGAATGTCGTGATAAGACACTATCGGCTGTCTCACGTGATCTGTATAGAACTTCTATGCAACGATGGGTTCATCAGATATCCATGATAGATATTCGATAACTGTTAATTGTTGTTAGCTTTGTATTCAAGCCATCATGTATGCCAGTCGTAGAATCTAGACATCCTGCTGAATCACCACATCCAGATAGATATTCTAGGCACCACTCAACACCCCGCACTGAACCAACTCTCCCACCTCGACCCAAACCAGTGCATTGACCAAATCAGTATCTGATACAAAGCATCGCCCCCTCGTACTCCTGGATACCCAATAATCCACCACCCAGATGAGACGATCTATGAATTCATGTGTCATATGAAACGGAGAGGCCGAGTATAGGACCAGCCAAAATAACCTCAAAAAGCCATCAGACAAGACCTCACCACCAATAATATAGCCTGCCAAGTCGCGTATCGCCATGTCGTTGCATCACCATGTGCTCACTCTACGCCACGCCATCATGACTTCATGTCCGCGACAGGTGAGCCGAAAGTATATAAAAAGCATATATATACCGGAGGTCAGGGCCGGGTGAATTAAAGCATTTCCAGAAATATCACAGATATCTCTGCAAACAGACAATTACGATCATATTGCAGACAATTACAGCAAAATTACATCCACCATGTCTTCGAACTTCAACCCAAGCCAGAACTCATTCAGCCGTCCTTTCCAGAAAGAGGACAATATCAGTCTGTCCCGTGATAATGAAGAGGCAATCGATCAGAGTCAGGATGAAGGAGTTTCGCTGGATACCGGCAGCCAGGTACTACCCTTCTGGACACAGTGCCCAGGTATAGTATAACTAACAGACCCAGCAACAGACACAGCAAACCAAGCCCAGCCAGTCCATAAGTGAAGACAACCTCGAGGAAGGCCGACAGTGGGTGCGCAGAGCAAGTCAGCAAGACGATGTATTCAAATATGCGTTTACGTCTGGCCAGCTGGACCATCCGGAAGATTAGATGAGGCAAATACGAGTATGATATCATCTGACTGTGACTTTTATGTATAATAAATTGGACAAATCAATGGCAAACAATCCGATGGTTGTTAATAACAAAATTGCAGTAGATTGTAGTGCAATTGGATAATGGCATTCACAATGAATGTATTTTATTGGTAGAGGTGGGTCTATACGTCATCCATTCTGACAGAACTTTATGGATTAAAATGCAGTTGATTGTGGATTGTGGATACTGGAGTAGAATGAATAAGCGGAATGCTTGCGTGGCATTCATTCATCTTGATCTTCTAGTTTCTACATGATCCAGCCTTATGATATCCACATACAATCCACATCAGACGGAAATCGACTACTCTATCTGGTAACAGTGGACCAACCCCAGTATACGATGAAATTCGTGTACAGACAATCTAGATCACAGAGATCTAGAACTCATGATCGGATATTAAGGATCTATGCGGGTCTGGATGTGTTCAGTCAAGAACGTGGATGAGCATATGGATCGATATGGATATGGCTGACTTGAACAGGGACCGGCGAATTGTCGGATATTTCAGTTGTGGTGGCCACAGTTATAGTTGACAGTAGTTGGTATTAAACATCAATATAGTTGATTACTGATACTACAGTATATTGTTGATACAATGCAACATCACTTCTAATGTTGCATCGCATTTGAGCATCCACCAATCAACACTAGTAGATCCCACCATATATAAAACCTCACCACTGTAACATAACATCACATTCAACAACAGCAAACAATATCTGCATTCAGAATGTCTCTCCACCACTTCCTCGCCCCCTTCACTATATCCGAAACCACCCTCTTCACCCTGGCCGACCGCTTCTCCCACATTTACAAAAACCTCGCAGCCAGTTCCGTAGAGCAGTTCTTCCCCACCCCCGTCACGCGCTTACCTACCGGTAGGGAAAAGGGACGGTATCTAGCTGTGTATGTAGGATTGTTTTATCTGCGGGTAGCGTTTATTGAGCTTCTGGGTGAGCCGACGGGACATACGCCTCTGCAGAGACAGCGGGTTCGGAGGACGTTGGAGAAGGCGTGGTCGATTGAGGAGCGGTTGAAGAGGGATCGGGCGAGGGAGCTTTTCAAGTGGATTGGGGATTGTATTGCAGAGGTTGTTAAGGATAGACTGGATGGTGAGGGCGAGGGTGATGGGGATGGGGAGGATGAGGTGGTGATGGGGATTTCATTCTGTTTTCCTATGAAGTATGTATTCCTCTCTCTTACGTGGTATATTAAGTAACCGGATAGACAAACATCTCTTGATGAAGCAATCTTGATGCCAACAGGCAAAGGCTTCGCTTTATCATCCGACCTCAACCTCCGCCAGGCTCTACTCGACGGGTACGAATGCCACACAATCCGTCACGATGAAGAACCAACAGCCAAACGACAGAAACGACACGCTCTCCCTAAACTCAAGATAGCAGCCATGACCAACGACACCGTAGCCACCCTCGCCTCGCTGGCATACTCGATCAAATCCCTCCCCAACAGCCGTGTAGTCATGGGTCTGATCGTAGGCGCAGGCTGTAATGCCACCGTGCCCATGAAACTCACCGATCTCCACGCCTCCAAAACGAGCCATATTCGCGCAAACGACCCATCCGCCACCCATACCCTCGTCTGCACAGAATGGACCCTCCACGGCGCAGCCAAACCCCTCCGAGACCTCAACCTCGTCACGCCCTGGGACACGCAGCTCGAATCCCACACCGATCGCCCGGGGTTTCAGCCCCTCGAGTACATGACCGGAGGCCGATACATCGGCGAACTGGTCCGCATCGTGACGGTCGATTATCTAACTCGAGAATTGGGCATTGCGCGATCTTCCCTGCCCGTGGCTCTCACGAACAAACATAACGCACTCACCACCGACTTTCTATCGCTCGTTGTTTCACCCTCCACCTGCGATGACTCGCTGTGTCGGACCCTCGCTGCCAAATTCCCCCCGCCTGAGTCAAGTGTCTGGCAGTGGACTGCATCCGCCGCGGGCGCTCTGCGCGTTATCGCATCCACCGTCCAGACTCGTTCTGCGGCGTTGGTGGCAGCTGCCACGGTTGGGCTGCTTGCGTGCACGGGGGAGATCCGACTCCATAACGACCTAGATAGTGGCAATAATAGTGCTAGTAGCGCGGTGTCATGGCAGCGAGGACCGGAAGAACTGGTGGTGGCGGTATCCGGGGGCGTGGTGCAGCATTATCCCAAGTTCAAGGAGACAGTGCAGTGGCAGATCGATCGACTCATGATGCGAGCAGGGCCGCAAGACGGGGGGAGAAGCGTGTTTCTTCGGGAGGCGAGCGATGGGGGGATTATCGGGGTGGGTGTGTTGGCGGGCACGGTGGCTGGGAAGATTGAGGGGATTATTGGATCGACGTTGGCTCCTACGAGTACATAGTACATGTTAATATGGACTAATCATTAAATGAATCGTACATAGTACATGATATGGATCAGTGAATAGATCAGTCAATATTATCTACACTCTACAAACCATTAATCAATACGAGCTCAGGAGAAGACGTTGAATAGTTAGAGCGATAGAAGGCAATCAATATCAGACAATCACACGAAACAGATAGTCCGGAATAGCAGCTGACATTATCGACTCCCCCACCAATAATACACGCCCGAGTCTATCCAGAATAGAGACCAAACAAAACAGCCGGTAGTCGGCACTTGTCCGAGACAAAGAGTTACTCCGTATGGCATTTTTAGAATCTAGACTTCCCTCAGCCTTGTGACTGCTACGCCGAAGTGCACCCGGAAGTGCGCAGTCAAACTTCAACTATACTCGATTCTATGCTCGGATCCGTGCTTGCATATAAGGTTTCATGCTGAAAATATCGATTCGGTGGACGAGAGGGGATATTTTGACGCTTTGCGGATATCTTTATAGCCGGTTCAATATTGTAGACTCGTCAATATTGGTGGGATATTGAATGATGGATGAATAGAATGGATAGGGGTCAGGCTATAGAAATACTGTCAATAGAAGACTCCTCATAGTTCATACCCCTATCAGATAGAATAGTATAGGAGTAGTACTTTTGACATCCCTGTTCAATTCATGCTGGTCGAGCGTTAAAATTACCCAAATAGGAGAAGAAGACCGCCTGATAAGATCGATATAGTCGATCATAGGGCAACTGGCAACTCGGCGCGAGACCACACAATCAGCACCAGTAGACACAAAATGGACAGCCGGAAACAACTCCTGATCCAGCGCCCGCGAGCCATGAATGATAATTGAAGCCATTGTTTTCAGCCGAAGCTTATCCCCTCCCATCCACCAATAGTGTTCCCTGAACCAATTAGTCTGAGACAAATCCGGTGTCCGGCAGATCCATCGATCCATAGGGACGCACTCCATCCGGCCCACTATGGAGCCCGCTAGGCAGCCAGTATCACCTGTGAGTGGCTGTGCCAGCCAAAAGCGATGACCTTGAATTGGTGCCAAGCTTTTGGCTGCTTCGGCTGTTGAATGTTTCAGGGTTTCAGGTTCTTTTGTTCGTTCCAATTATGAATGATTTTTGTTATCCACACAGCCCAGGGGAACTTCGCCTCGAGTGGGCAAGGGATAGTACGTAGTGCTACCGGGCACTATCCTTTCTAGAACGCCCTTTATTTCTGGCTAGAAGGGAGAAGTGGGAGATGGTTGTTGGCTAGATTCGTTTTTTATCTAATGGGTTTAATTTTATTTATGAAGTCATTGGACAGACGGAGGTGGACTGAAGTTATGCTAGCATTTGCCGAGTTCTAGCAACGAACTCGAACTAAGAACTCAATTTCTGAGGCATAAACAAACCTCCTTTACCTAGACACTGTGTACTATCCGACGACACATTCTGCCTGAACTCTGAAGAATTCGATATGCACAAAATCATGATTCCCTGCCAAGGAGAATGAAAGCCACCGTGTCACAGGGAGAATCCAGATTCCGCAAGCATTTTTCCGGGAGGCGAACCAATCAGATCCCCGTCCCACAACCCCTTGGAGGGACCAATAGGCAAACTCAATGCAATTCACCCGAAGCCGTTTCAGTGAGCTCGGAGAAACCAGCCTGAAACAGCAAGGCGTACCTAGGAGGCAATCGACCCCCCTGTTTGCCTTTTAATGTGTGTGGTGGTATTGCCGTTTGATCCAATGCAATGTACCTCCTCTACTTTGTATATTTCGTGTTTCTGTACTCTGTACAACTGCCAGCTACTAAGATGTATGTATCGTGCTACAAGTAGAGGTTCAACTACATCATCGTAAATAAACAGATCATCCAGATCTCCTGATGCGAGTTTGGCTAGCAAAAGAAAGATTTCCCTCTGGGGCGCAGTCCCCAGTCTATTTCCAGGTGAGCCAATCATACTGTCCCTACCGGTGGGGGCCTGGCTGAGTCAGCGGAGGACGCGCAATCGCCCTAACCTGATTTCTATTCCTGGCGTGGAGCCTTCCCAGTTGGGTTCTCTCGCTTCCCCCCTGGGACCGGCCAGTGCCAAACTCAGTCCTTTCTCTCTCCCCCTTCGAACCCATCCACTCTTCTCCCTATCCAGTTCCAGTTCCAACTTTCTCCTCTTCTCCTCACCACATCATCACCACCATCGTTCCTATCCTCCACCCTTCGTCGATCCTCACTTGGCTGGCCTTATTTTTGAATATTGAAAAAATTCTATTTTTTTTTTTTATTTTAATTTTTTCTCTCTTCCTACACTTTACTCCTCTTTCTGTCTTTTGATACATATCACTTCCTACCTACGCTAGATCTTCCGATCGGGTTTCGTCTCTCTGTAATAACCCCTTCACCCACCTTCGCTCGACCCAGTCCCTCGCTATCTTACGACCTCGCTACGTTTCTCATTGATCGGATAGTCTAGCTTCCTCTCGTTCACTCGACACTCGACTCTCATCTTTACTCACCCTCAATAACTCTCAACCGCGTTCATTATGGCTACACTGGCGGAGCATCCCGCCGTCGTCCCCCAATCGATTAACGGTGTCTACGAACCGGATATGGACTCCTTCCTCAACCTCGATCAGTTCACCTACACATCAGCAGAGCCTTCCAGAGCAAAGGCTGCCCTTCCCAGCCAGCCCTCGGTCGCAGGCACAGATTTCAGCGGCGCTACTGACATGAGAAGTGCCAGCTTCGCATCAAGTAGTCAATCGCCAATTGCTTTCCAGGCCCCCAGCCATCAATATGACGAGCACAAGCAACAGACCGGTCTCCCCCCGGGTGGCTTGGCTCATGCTATGACTTTCAACAACCACGTTAACGGAATGGGCTTTGGTGCTGGAAACCAGGGCTTTGCGATGAATGGAGACATGTTTGCTGGCAGCCAGATGAAGCGCGAGGACGCCTCGCTGGATTTCAACACCGTTCCCACCCGTAACCCTTCTGATATGGACCTGGAGTCTGACAACATGGGTGCCGTCCCCGGCTATTTCTTCTCGCCAAACGCCAACAAAAGCCAATACATCGACCCCAATGCCCTGGGTGGCCAGGAGGCCCCTATGGGCCCATCCACCCAGGTTGGCCGCATGTACCCCGGAATGCACCAGCAACAAGCCGCCATGGCCAAGGCCGCCCAGCAGCAGAAGCAGCAAGAATTCATCAGACAACAGCAGATCCAGCAGCACCAGCGCCGCATGGAAGAGCACGCCCAGCAAAACGGCACTCCTCAGCCCCAGGCTCCTCGCGTCCCAAACCCCGTGGTTGAAGAACGTATCTCCCGTCTTTTGCAACAAATGAGACAGAACGCGATGGGCTCTCCCGACGGCTCTCCTTCGCCCTCCATGCCCCAGATGGCCAAGGCCAAGAAGGAAGAGCAGGACATGGATGAGGACGAGAGACTCCTCGCCAGTGAGGAGGGAAAGAAGCTCAGCAGCAAGGAACGTCGCCAGCTTCGCAACAAGGTCTCCGCTCGCGCTTTCCGATCTCGCCGCAAGGGTATGTCGACTGTTCTCTGCTCCTGGGATTTTCAAAAAATGCTAACTCGTTTTAGAATACATCGGCCAGCTTGAAAGTGAAGTCGCTGCCAGAACGAACGAGGCCCACAACCTCCGCATGCAGAACCGCTCTCTTTACGAAGAGAACAACCGCTTGACCGACCTCGCCCACATGCTTTTGTCTTCGCCTCAATTCTCCTCGTTTATGGATGACATGAACGCCAACGGTGGTCTCCCTAGCTCGAACCAGTCGCAGGCTCAGCCTCAGCAGCAGCCACAACAACCACAGCCCCAGCACCAGCAGGCCATCGCCCAGCCTCACATGCAGGCCAATGTCGCCAAGGACCCCCCGAGCCACGCCCACCAGGAGTTCCAGATGCAGCAGACTCCCCAGGTCGGTATGGGTATGGTTCCCAACCAAGGAATGGATGTTCCCGCTATGGGATTTAACGCCGGATGGAACTCTGGCATCGAAATGAACTACGGCAACACTCCCGTCTTCGCTGTCACTGAGGTTCCCCAAGGCCCTGTCCTTGACGCTGAGGTTCTTTCTGGAAAGTCTTCGAGCTTCACCGGTTCCTTCCTCCCCGAGACCTCCAAGAACGAAGTCCCTGCTCTCGAGCTCCCTACCATGGCTGAGGAGCAGTCTGACTTTGGTGTCGAGAACTCGGAGGTCGAGATTGACGAGTCAGACCCCGCTTTCGCTCTCTTCGTCGAGTCCCCCGCAACCAACGAATCTTCCGGTGAGCAATTCGAAGGTGTTTCCTTCGAAAAGGTCTCTGCCTTTGAGCTTGTTGTCGAGAACGAGTCCCAGAACAAGGTGAACCGCCTTGCCTGTTTGTGTGACAGCATGGAAGCCGCTTTCCAGCGTGTCTCCATGGTTACTTCTTATCTTTCATGATTCCCCACGTCGCTTAGCTGAGCCTTTTTTTCTTTGATTCTTATCTCTATTTGACCGTTACTTTGAATTTGTAAATTTGCTTTTGCTTTCTTTGAATGGTGTTCCATATCCTGAATCAAGTCTTGTGGACACTACCATCGTTTCCTTTGTTTATGACTCTGTGACTATTATATATTTGATCCCCGCATTTCGAACTGGCTGCGATTCGGTTTTTGATTTCTTTTGTGGGGTTTGAAGGAATTGTTTTTTTTTTTTTTTTTTGGGCTGTATTTTCCGGGAATGGAGAATCAAGGATACTACGGATTGGCAATTAAGGAGCCTAAGATTAGGTATATCAGAATTTCAAAAGCAAAAATTATCAAAAAGACCCAATATCTTTTATTCCCACATATAAACTCGTAATCCGTATTTGATCGTCGCTGGTTCTGGCACTTGTGGTTGTTTGGAGCCGCCGGAAAATTCCACTCAGGCAGATCGAAGCTCTTCTCCGAACAGCCAACGACTTCCACGGATCACAGCCAAATACCCCACTGACTTAATTTTTTCGCTTCCTTGTGTGTTTTGTCGCCGATCTCGTCTTGAGATTGTGTATGTTCTGCATACTCTCTTAAACATCTTTTCCATCGCAATCAGCCAAGTTGGCTTTCGTTCAGGTATCCCGCAGGCTATTTCCCAGAGCCTTCTGCGGCATCACCACCACCCCGTTAATACGCCCCTCGATCTCCACTACTTTCCTGCTATCTCAAGGTTACAAGACCATCCCCAAGGGCAGGCCAGAACGGCCACGGCCTCCTAAAAAGTCACCCGCGCGCCCACCGACCGCTCGCACCCTCCGAATCAAACCAGCTCACCTCCCCCCAAACGCGCACATCCTACGAGCCCCCAGACTCCCATACCCCCACCATCATTCGCAGAATAACTACATCGTCTACGACCCATCTTCCTACAAGCTATCCGGTTTCGATCCCCCGTCGACCCCGCCCACGGGAGCCCACCCGATGAAGTTCCACTACCAGGTCGTGACGACCCCCACGGCCGACACCCCCGGCACGACCCTCGTGCTCCATTTCCCAGACAAGCGGTACTTTTTCGGCCAGCTGTCTGAGGGGACGCAGCGCGCGTGCACGGAGCGAGGCGTCAAGCTCACCTCGCTGACGGATATCTTCATCAGCGGCCGGACAGAATGGGCCAATAATGGGGGGTTGATTGGGATGATTCTCACGCAGGCGGATGGGCTGATTAGTGCGAATACGGCGCTGGAGAACGCGGCGCGTGAGAAGCAGGCGAACCGCGCCCCGGACCAGACGCAGCCGAAGAAGGACACAAAGCATGGCGAGCCGTATGGGGTTCAGGATGGGCAGTTGGTGCCGCAGAAGGGGCACTTGACGATTCATGGTGGGAGGAATATCACGCATACGTTAGCTACTGCGAGAAGATTTGTCTTCCGGAAGGGTATGCCGGTGTATACGCGGGAGTATGATGGCGAGAGTATGGCTAAGCAGGCTTCTGCTGCTGTGGAGTCCGGGGATCCGTTTGAGAAGCCTACCTTTTCTGATAGCAATATCAAGGTGTGGGCTATGCCTGTTAGTCCTTCTCCTTCGCGCGAGGCCAAGGTTCCTTCTCGGTCGAGGACGCAGAGCCCGAGGAAGAGGAGTCTGGATGAGTTCCAGGAGAGAAATGCTCCAGAGGAATCTCTTGATCAGCAGACCAAGGATCAATTGATGAGGCAGTCTGTTGTCTCTGATATGTTCAACTCCTCGTGGAGGATGGATGCCTTGATCGAGACTCGTCTGGCTGATGTCAAGATGCCTGCTGCCATGTTCATTCGCAACACCGAGACCAAGCAGCTCGAGCAGTACACCGGTCCTGCTCCCGGCAGCACTGAGCCACTTCCTGACATCAAGGTGCTTGTACGACAGCCCTGGCCGGGTGCTTCGGTTGAAAAACTCCCGCCTACGACAAGGAATGAAGAAGCTCTCTCTTATATCGTGCGAAGCCATGATATCAGAGGTAAATTCGACCCTAAGAAGGCTCAGGAATTGAAAGTCCGTAAAGGACCCGACTTTGCCCGTCTGACGAAGGGTGACAGTGTAGAGTCGGAAGATGGCAAGACCATCACCCCTGATATGGTTTTGGGCCCTACTCGACTTGGCAAGGGAGTGGCGGTTATCGATTTGCCGGCGCCAGAGTATGTGGAGAACTTGGTCAATCGTCCCGAATGGAAGTCGCCTGCGGTGATGACTGAGATGGGAGCTTTCGTTTGGATTCTTGGACCCGGAGTGGGAGAGCACCCCAAGCTCCGTGAGTTCGTCGCGAGCATGCCCCACTGCAAGCACACCGTATCTGGTACGGATTATTGCCCGAACTACCTGGCTCTGAACAGCGTCGCTGGATCGTCTATCCGTCTTGCTCGGTTGAAGGGCAGCGGCTACTCGGTGCCCGTTCACGACAACGTCACTCTCCCTCAGCCAGGAACCCTCACCGCAGGATCAAACATCACCAAGGAAGCGATCAAAACCTCGCCATTTGAACCCGTCGACCCTGGTCTCATCATAGACATTGAACCCAAATTTGAGTTCAACCGTACCGATGTCGTACCACGATTGAATGCACATGACACAGTGGACAGGATCCCATTTGCAGTTGAGCAGCGAATGTCTGCTATCCGGAAGCGTGTGCAGAAGCCCCAGTTCAAAGAGAAATTGGAGAGTCTTCGACAAGGCTTGCCTGGGGGTGATGCTGAGATTATCACGCTCGGAACAGGATCTTCTTCTCCATCCAAGTACCGCAATGTCTCTTCCACCCTAGTCCATGTGCCCGGGTATGGATACTATCTACTTGATTGTGGTGAATGTACTCTTGGTCAATTGAAGCGTGTCTATGAGCCCGAACAGTTGCGAGAGGTGTTGCAGAACCTGCGGATGATCTGGATCAGTCATCTCCACGCCGACCACCACCTTGGAACTGTTTCTCTCATCAGAGCTTGGTATCATGAAAACTACGGCACTGGGGCTTCGCCTAGCCAGACCGTTGAAAACGACATGGCCAAGATCCTGCAGGAGAAGCGCTTAGCTGTTGTCTCTGAGGAGATGATGATCGGTTGGCTAGAGGAGTACGCCGCTGTCGAGAACTACGGCTTCGACAAACTGGTGCCTCTATCCGCAAACCCCTACTTTAGAGACGGCAAGATCCAGACCCAATTCACCTACCACCACTGCCGGGGCGACGGCACTTATCCCGGCCACGAAAAGGACGGAAGCAAGCCTACGTCCACCCCACTTCGCTTCGACGACAATTCCTCCCCGCTCACAGCTCTCCTCCGCTCCGCTACTGGCTTGTCCGACCTCCTAACCACCCGTGTGTCTCACTGCCGCGGCGCCATGGCCGTAGCCCTCGTCTTCTCCAACGGCTTCAAGATCTCCTTCTCAGGCGACTGCAGACCCTCCGAAGGCTTCGCCACCATCGGCCACGGCTCAACCGTCATGATCCACGAAGCCACCTTCCAAAACGACATGGCCGTCTCCGCCATCGCCAAACGCCACTCCACCACCGCCGAAGCCCTCGAAGTCGGCCGCAAAATGGAAGCCCGCAACATCCTCCTCACCCACTTCAGCCAACGCTACCAAAAAGTCGCCCACATCGACCAACGCCCTGAATCTGGCCCTTCCAAACGCGGCCCGGAAACCGTCAAAGTCCCCGCTTACCAACAACAACCCGACATCCCCGTCGACGAAGCAGAGGACGCCACCCCGCCCTCCAAGGACGAAATCAAAATCCCCACTGCCTCCCTGCAGTCGAAGCCACGAGTCCCCACCACAGCAGCCTTCGACTACATGCGCATTCGCGTCCGCGACTTCCCCATCGCCGAAGCCTTCGCCCCGGCACTGGAGAAACTCTTCGAAAAACTCGAGCGAGCCTCAGCCGAGGAATCCACCAAGAATCGCCAAGAGAAGAACGAAGAACTGCAAGCCCAGAAGGTCAAGAAGCATGGCAAACACTTCGCTGCCCGTAAACCCGTCGCAGCCCCGGCTCCTGCTCCTGCAAACCCCGAGGCAATGGATGTTGACAAGAAGGAATCGTCGCCCAAGAAACAGACGGCTTCGATCTGGAGTGCCAGTGAGAGTGAAAGTGGCTGGAATACAAGCGGCAGTGACAGTGAGGGTGACCGAGCGGTACAGCGCAGACATGCCGCTAGGAAGCAGACTGGTAGTCCGCGCCGGGCCAGCCCTCGTAACAAGAGCAAGCAATAATTCTGGGCCCGGCAAAGAAAGAATGATGCTTGTTTCGGGTTGATGTACAGATCAAATGTATATAACTTCTATTTGACATAGATTATATCCTATTACTTCATGTCTGGGTTCGATTTCTTTGCATATTATCATAGCTATAAAGCTCAATTTAATTCATCACACGAAGACTTGTTCCTTTCACATAAAAAGAAGACAGAAAGGGAAATCGGATCACAAGAAAAAGAATTATTATATACTCTCACGCCTAGAATCCAGCAAGAATCTTCTCCTTGTCACCCTCGCCGAACGGCCCCTGTCCAAGGTTCTGCGTGCACTCTTCCCTCCAGTTCTTGGGCGTGAACTTGTCGACGATTTCCTTGAAGGCGTCCAGTGTGCAGAATGTATCATCGCCGGGGAGATGGTTTTCGGGCCTTGCGGCGCAGCCGGGAATACGGACGGGGGTATCGTTGAACCGGAGTCGGACGTAGTGCTGGTTCTGGAGAGCGGCTCGGGTGGATGCTGGGAAGGAAGACAAGGGGGCGCGGTGGGTATCGGATGGAGCGGGTGGCGTGGAGGTTGAAGACGAGGAGCCTGACAGGAACGAAAAGAGGCCGGGTTTCTTGGAGGCGTTGCTGGCGAGAACGGGGTTTGAGAATTCCTCTAGGACGGATCCTGCATCGTCGGTTCCTTTTGGTGTCTTGGTGAAAAGCTCAACGGCCACGGAGGAAGTGAATGGGGGCCATCGGTTGTTGAAGGCACCTAAGCTGCCTAGGATAGCGGCGATGGTTGTGTCGTGACATCCGCTGAGGGCGAATTTAATGGGCTTGCCTTGTCCGTTCGATGGTCCAGCGGCTGTGGTCTCGCTGCGCCAGCCCCCGTCAACGGCAGTGCTAACCATGCGGTCCACAATGTCTCCCATGAGGGCTCCGATGCCTAGCCTTCTGTATTCGCTGCTTTCGCCGTATCCGGAGAACCACTCGTCGGCGGTCATTATGTTTGCGTACTCTCTGGCCTTCTTATCGTAGAATTCGGAGGGAAGTCTTGTAGCGGGGCCGTGGGCATCAGTGGCGTTGATGGTGTCCGTCACACCTGCAAGACGGGGGTGGGCGTCGATGGCGACCTTGGGTGAGTTTTCCGGCATCCATTTCGACCAGAGGCTGTTGATGTATTTCAGCTCGTCGGTGTCGCTCCCTAGTGCGACAAGAGTCAGCTCTTATTCCAGTATGTTGTTGTAGGGAGAAGACGTACATCGTTTAGCTGCCCGGTCTGCAAAAAGCCTAGCGAGTTGCCTGAAACGGCGACAGTTGGCTTCATTGGGCAGTAGTGTCTCCTCCGAAACAGCGCGCGCCACGATAACTGGGGGAGGGAAATCCTGTGTACGAGCGTTTGGAGGATACATTCCCCAGAACGCTTGATGGAGGGACTCCAAAGCTCGGGGGATGGTGGTGGCACGGAGGTACATGTCTTCGGAATCAGATTTGACCTGAGGCATGAAGCCCAGCTGGTCGACGTAGAGGTGTCTCAATCTTTGACCCAGGGCAAAGGTAGTCTCACGCCCCTTGTCTGTCAATTCACCATGTTGGCTTTGCTGCCAGTCAGCAAGACTTTATTTTCCCCAAGGTAGTTGTTTCAACTTGCCAGATGCCTTCGATATCACCATTTGCACCGACGGCAACCACCGATTCATCGTTTTCTCCAAAGGTCTCCATTTTCCTTCGCCATTGAAACTGATTCCATTCTGAAGTGTCTTGTTTAGTAGAAGCCATCTGGACCATGCGACGGGCTATATTGCAATACGGCCAGTCTTGAGAATAAACCAGTCAGCCGAGGATCGACGAGAAGGTATAGCGGGGGCCGGTATCGAAGGGAAGGAGTAATTACATGGAGCGAGGCCTGCCTTTTGGACATTAGCTGGGGAAATGCATCAATTGGGGGGTTTGAGGCATACATTCTGAAATCGCGAAGATACCGGCGTGCGTTCACCTAGAATGATCAGTCTAGTCCTGTCGAAGCATGTATAAAGCTAGAATAATCCCCACCATGGCGAAGAAACTACTTAGACGTTAGCCAGCGATCAATTGAAAACAAAAACATTGACGTTCTGATAACGTACCACTTGGACCAACTGAAGCTTCAGTTCCTTAGGATACAGCTTCTTCAGCTCCTCCTCAGAATAAGGCTCACGGGGAATAAGAGAAGTCATCCTGAGGAATGATTGCCGACAACATAAAAAAACAACCACCTGGTCGAGCAGAGAAGTGTAGAGCCAGCTTGCAGAGCACACTGGGGATTGTCGGGTTGGCGGTGATCGCCTGAGCGGTGATGACGGAGAAAAAGGTGCCGAACGGGCCAATCAGCGCGGGGCATCGGGTCACACCGTTAAACCGGAGATGCCTCGGCGATGCGTTGTGATATGGGCTACATACGGGCAGTAGAGAGTGCAGAAGTAGTAGGTTATTTCATTGATTTATTATACAGATTGGGAGTCAATATCAGAAAGATAGTGTACACAATTTCATATCACAGTAACATTCAGAGCTTCATGACAAGCCCGAAACAATCACAAGCACAGCTCAATTACCTCTTTTTAGCCTGCTTTTCCTCGGCTGCCTGTCTCAAACTTCGCATAGTCTTCGCTGTAACATCAAGCAAGAAACTTCTGGGAAGCACAAGAAAGCTGATGTTCTGGATGGCATGCCAGAAGTAGCCTGTGACGATCGGCTGGCCACAACCAACACGTTGCAAACCAGCAGCTGCCATATTGCGTGAAGTGGGAATAAACAAGGTAGTGTCGACATCGTTGCCCTGACTCTGTACACTTCCCACTCGTAGTCCCAGAACCTCCACATTCTTGCCATTTGCTTTAACCTCTGCCTCGATGGCCCGAGTGAAAGAGTCGACGAATCCCTTCGTCCCACTGTACAAAGCCACGAAAGGCATGCCCCATGCGGCAATCGAGGATATATTGAGAACCAAGCCTGGACCGTTCTTCTCAAGGATAGGAAGCAGGACCCGAGTCACCTGGGCCATAAACATGACATTGAGCATAATCGTATTCTTGACATCTTGGTACGTGAGTTCCGTCAGTTGTAGGTATTGTTTAAGCTCTCCGCCAACATTGTTGACCAGGACCGTAAGGTGTGCATCTCCAATCTCCTGGGTAATCAAATCGACATCCTCGGTGAGGTTGGCCACGTCAATCACAATAATTTTGGTCTTCACATTAGGGAATTCCGCCTGGAGCTCTTCCTGTCTCTTCAGCAGCTTTTCACGGTTCCGGCCATGCAGGAAGATGTTGAATCCATTCCTGCTGAGTTCTTGTGCAAATCCAAAGCCAATTCCATCGGTAGCACCAGTGACTAGAGCCCAGGAATCTTTGCCCGAGGGGTTGTAGCGTGGCAGAGAGGATGGTCGCAGGTAACAGTACAGACTTTGGGCCAAACTCGCTGCCCAGAGACAGGAAGTGGCTGCTCCCAGGTAGCAAAAAGCTGTTTTGAGGTCCTCAGGAATTTGGATCATGGTGGATTCACTGGTTGGAAATTCGAAGATTTGTGCTGTGGTTCGAAGAAAGGGGCTAAACCAGCAATATGAATGTAACGTAATGCGACCTTTTTGGCCCAGAATCCTTAATCCCAGGCAATGAGGGTGAAGCGCAGTGAGAATAAAAAGGAGTGAATTGATGAGCAGCGTCCGTGCAAGTTGAAGGTAAACAAGTTGCGTCGATCGACCGATGAGGTCATTCCCGATCAGCGCTAATTTCTGTTCCCCGCTCGCTTTTCTCGACAGTGAATGGTGTTTTATGTATTTTTTTCCCCCAGGCTCTGGACTATGGAATAGAGCTTAGAAGAGAACCATTGTGAATTGGATATTATTCAATAGTGAAGGAGATGAATACTTATTTCCAGAAATAATTGCGCTTTCTCCCTCTCTCCCCTCTTCCATAACAACTATTTGCTAGCTTAATCTCGTTGGCATTGACCAATTCCCTACAATGTCTAAACTAGGTCGCCCTGGCAATTATTTATGGATGGTGCTGGAGGTGCTGATGCTCACGAAGAAGCAATGGATGTAGAACCCGATCTCGGTCGACTGGGTTTCCAAGACGTACATGCTATCGTTCTCAAAAACTTGGATGATACTCACCCCATTGGAACCTATGTTCCTGACTCGAAAGAGCCTCGACTTCGTCGCCTAATCGTGATGGGGTTTGACAAGAGGACGCCAAACACGGCGAATCGCGCAGTAAACCATGATGGAGCAAACGTGCGGCTTGATTCAAGTCCCAACCGACTTGGAACCGTGGCGTGGACTTCGATAAGTTCACCGACCTAGACGGGCTAAACAACACCAATGAAACCGAGAGAATGATTTTCAATCTCCTTCACGCCCGAGGCGTGACGGCCAGATACAAGTGGCCCAGTTACGAGGTGAAACTCCAATCGGAGAAAGATGTCAGACGACATCGATAATCGTGTTAAGAACGATTCGTAGCTCATCCCAGCTTTTCAGAATCCGCTCGTCACTCCGGAAAAAGGACGCGATGTCGCCCATGATTTCATGAAGAACTTGGACGAACAGTTCAATCGCCTTGGGGATTCCATCAAATACCTCAATACAACTGTAGGGACTAGTTCAGTTGATGGCAACAGGATAGACTACATCCAAAGTCTATACGTCGCAACGACGAAAGCAAATGACCGACTGAGCAAGGAGCTGTTCTCTTGGGATGGAGTTCTGGACGTTCGAGGTGAAAGGGATCGACTCCGTGGGGCAGCTAGAACCCCCCGTCTAGCTAAACCGGGTTGTCATGTTCAGATAGTCGACAGCAAAGGATATCGAATGGATTCTCCTTCCAACTTCTAGTATCCTTCAGGTTCGGAGAATGGGTAGATTGGATATCATTATTGGAGAGAGAGGAAAGGTAGATATTGGCATTTTCTAGAGAGAGAGAACACATGAAGATGACAAATTAAACTGGATTTTTTAACCACTCATTTTGGTCTGAGATTCACTAGTGACATCTTCGGGTTTTTCTTGCCCGACTTTCGCGGCATTGGCCTTGCGTAGAAACCCGCTGCCAATTTGGGCCTTGACGCGCTTGCCTGGGTCACTCAGACGGTCGGTATGAACTTTGAATGGTGCAGGCGTCGTCCGAGAAACTCCATGGGCTGTCGAGGTTCTATCCTTTTTCTTCTGTTTCTTGTAGCAGTCTGCTAGCTCTTCTGCCAACGTCCTCGAAGTGTTGCGTGGATCCTGTGGGTCGTCATCAAGGTTGTCATACTTCTCTTCCGCGAGGTAAATGGGGTATCTTTCCCAGGCTCTTCGCTCAAATGCAGAGTGAGCGACCATTCTGGACAGCTGATGGTGTTTTAAAAATCCTTCCTCTAGGCGGAGAATTTGCTGTAGAAAGAGATTATTTTAGATATATAATATGGGAGTCATTCCGGCTATATATGTGAGATGCGAGCAGAGTCGCATTGTAATGTGATAGCAAACAAAGGAAAATCTCCTTCAACGGTAGTCATTGTGTGTTTGTTGAGGGTTCCTGCAGGACGGTCAAACGGCCACAGCCAGAGGTTGGTGTAGGAGATTGGGCACTCCGCGACCATAGAAATCAGTATTTTTATTCTGTTAAAAAGCCAGTCATGATCCAGAAAAGATAAAAGTTGATAAAAGTTGGCAGATGTCTATCCTGAATGTTCCAAATTATGAGGAGAAAAGGACGATAACAAAAGGCGGAGACGAACAACCCACGCCGCCAAGCCTCGTTGGCCTCCCTGTCACCAAAACCCACTGCATCTCCTTCATCATCCACGATTTTGCGCCTGTCGCCGTTAAGAATAGAACTGGGAATTTAAAGTCATCATCTCTGGTTGGACAGCTGTCATCTGTGGCGTCTGGTCGAATTACCCCGGAAACCCCAATTCTTCTTCCCCAGCAAAATTCCCCCCTTGCGCTGGCTTTCTCCGCATAAAGCCCACCTAGGTAAATACCGGTTGTGTATGATATAGCACGGGAATCTGTATCTCCTTTTTTGTGGATTCTTATCAAACCAACTCTTCTTTGTTTGATCGTGTCATATCATTCCCAGTGGTGGCCATGAGTCTCAGAATTTAATGTGCTGCAATTATCCAGCCCTGGATCTGTGCCGCAAGCCACACAAGTAACCCTGAAGCAGATATTGCCATTGTCTGATCTCTGAAGTCCGGGTTACACCATCACAGACTGGTATTGTGAATGCCATATTGGATTAGTCGTCATAATTCTCTCGGCGTGGTGGTCTCATCTCAGTGTTTGAACACCCAGGTAACAGCCAATTCCTGTATCTTTTCATCCTCCCTCAACCTCTTGTCTTTCACTTCGAAAACAGCCCTTCCGTCGGTAAGTCCTTCGTGGATCTCTTTCTTTTGGCCTTGGTGTATCAGGTCTTCATCTTTTAGTGTGTAGAAGAAATTAACTCGTCGTTCTCTCAGTTTGGTCCTCTTTCGAGTTCTTGGTTGACGCGTCTGACAAGTTTGGAATCATGGAGGTAAGAGATCAAGCCCTTCCCTTTGCTATCCCCATCCTCCAAAGGCATAAAGCAGTGCCCGAAGCTGGGTATGATGTCGAGTGTCTTTATAGCTTGATGCTTCCGTTTTTGCTGTTGGCCACAACACTGTGCTGCGTCCCACACGGGTTGCTGCTGTCTGTTGTCAGGACGAGGTCGCCCGTCTTCTCCCACCTCTTTTCGTTTGTGCATGCAAATTCCCATCTCATTCCTTCTTTGTATCTGTCATACTCTTTATGGAGGCTCAGGCCTGTTTTTGTGCTGTCTCAGGGGAGTCTAGAGTGCCCTGACTCCTTTGGTGATCTGTTGTGTTCTTTTCTGCTGCTGGGAATTTCTGCCCACCTCCCCTCCCCTTCCTATTCTGGCTGCCACGTGATGACCTGGCGGGCTATTCACAGCACCAACCAGTGTTATGACGTCTAAGCAGTCCTTTGTGCCTCAATTCTGTGTTCCAGTCATGTACATCCCTTCAAATCTTTATCTTCCCTGCATGCTTTGGCCACCTTTCCCTCGAGATGTCTACATCTTTGCGTCTTGGTCGCCGAGTCATTGGGCAAGGCCCTGAGAGACAAATATTCGCTGGCGACGGGATGCTTCATGGAAATCCTCCAATTTGCAAAACAAGTGCAGAGCTAAGTCTCGAAAACAATCTACAGGTCGCTACCCAGCCTTCAGCCCACGCCAAGTCAGGCCAACTTGCCCCCGGTTCCCAGGATGCCAAACCCCGTCTGCTTCTGATGGGTCTCCGCCGGTAAGCAAGCTTGCTGTTTGATGATATGTCTAGGAATTGTATTGACTGTGCACAGGAGCGGAAAGTCTTCCATTGCAAGCGTCGTGTTTCACAAGATGCCTCCCAATGAGACACTCTTTTTGGAATCTACCACTCGCATCCAGAAAGACTCTATCCAGTATGTAAACCCACTCCTTGAATCCATATGTCTTCTAACAGGCGTTTTAGCTCGTTCATGGACTTTCAGGTCTGGGATTTCCCCGGTCAGCTTGAATATCTTGAGCCGTCTTTCGATCTGGAGGACATTTTTGGCAGTCTTGGTGCTCTCGTGTGGGTCATTGATGCCCAGGATGACTACCTCGACTCGGTCGCTCGTCTCAACCGTACCATCTTGACTGTCCAGCAGTACTATCCGAACATCAATATTGAGGTGTTCATCCACAAGGTGGACGGAATTTCTGATGAATACCGCACGGACACCTTTCAGGATATTGTTCAGCATATCTCTGATGAGCTCAGCGACGCCGGCTATGAGAACGCCCCGGTTCATTACTACCTTACATCCATTTACGATTACTCCGTCTTCGAGGCTTTCAGCAAGGTCATTCAGAAGCTGATTCCTAACTTATCCACTCTGGAGAACTTGATCAACACCCTGTCCAACAACTGTGGATTTGAGAAGACCTATCTCTTTGATGTCTTGAGCAAGATCTACATCGCCTCTGACACTCGTCCTGTTGACATGGCATGCTATGAGATGTGCTCCGACTACATTGATGTCATCGTGGATATTTCCGAGTTGTATTCTTGGGACCACCCGGATCGCAAGCCTAAGGGAGACCAGATTCAAGAGGCGGAAAGCCATGTTGTTCTTCATGACGAGACCATGATTCATCTAATGGAGATGAACAAGTAGGATTATGCCATGGCCCCATTCTACCACTCGATACTGACCTCTCTAAGGTACCTCTGTCTCGTTTCCGTCATCCGCAACCCCGAGGCCAAAGAGAAGAAGGGGCTGATCGACATGAACTGCCGTACCTTCCAGGATGCCCTCAATGACGTGTTCTCTCGCAGCTGGGAGCAAGACCAGGAGGGGGAACAGGGTGACGATGCTCAGGGAACTCGAGTTTTCCATGACATCCAGGACGCCCCGGGGGCCCAGGAAATCCAAGCGGAGCAGAGCTCCAGCACCTGAAAATACTTTGCTTTCTTACATCCCAGTCGTGATATCCGATGATGGGCTTTTTCAACTTACTGATGAATAATTTGGGAGAATTGGCATTATTGAGTAACGCTTGTCTTTAAGACAATCTCTCAGGAGTCATGATGTTTTATGGTGTTTACAGAATTGGCTTGTCCATAGCGCGGCTTGGCTGGCGAATCAATAGGAATCAACATATGATTTGATCTTTAAGAGTAATATTGGACTTATTCACCATTCATGGTTGTATGGAGGAAAAATAACCCTTCGGTATCGAACAAGCGCATCCCAACGAAGCCATTATTGTGCATCTTGAAAATAGACACCATGAAAACCAGGCATCAAGGTCTGGACCCACTTGGCGGCACCCTAAAGAAGCTCTTTTTCTTCTCTTCAATTTTTTTTCTTCCCTTGTAGTTTTCTTTCTTCCTCTCACACACTGCAATACTGCAGACCCCAAGCATAATGCAAGCTTGACACTTTGCTATCATGCTCAAATTCAGCGATTATCACTAATTACTTGGTATGTATATTAAACCCCATGAATTCAACTGCCCCCACTCCCCAATCCCACCTGTCTCTATGATCGAAAACCATTCCTACATTCGCAGTTTCCACGCTAGCCGTCGCTTGAACCCATCAATGACGAGCACTGTGCGCAATATCTTCCTTGGATGTCTGAGAGATTGTTTTGAATATCATCATTTCTGTTTTGCAATGGATTTGCGAGCTGTTGCTAACTGGAAATCAGTTTAGGATGCCTTCTCTGATATGATTTACGAGTCTATGATGTTATTATAATGATTTGACACGATTTGTGGGATTCCTGGGTTAGCACCATGGTCTTCAAGGCTTATTATATAAGTCTTGTTGGACTTTTTATGTTTTCGCTGGTTTTTTTTACCATGCTCTAGGATTAGCAATAGCCATGGCTGTTAGCCAGTAATATACATTCTTTTTTTTTTTTTTTTTTTAAATGGCTTCAGTAGTTTCTTTTTCATATATTAAATCCATCCCAAAGTAAATGAAAGGTGTCGAGTACACCAGTTAGATTGATCAAATATAAAAGCTACAAACCCGATTGTCGCACGATCGATTGGCCGAAACGGCGGCCAATGCGGAACAACAGCGACAGCGATATAAGAATACCTACTCCATCCATAAAAATCTCACCCCTCAAGTCCACGAAATCCAGATGCCTTTTCTGCCTAAATAATTCTCTACCATGTCAGAACTCAGACAGAGACAAGTCGCCCAGGACTCCTCGTCCAAGTCCGACACATCCGGCGTCAAGAAGACCCAGCAAGGTCGCAGTCGCAATGGCGAGAACAGAGGCATTAGCTTTCTGGATGTCATCCGCGTCCTGGTCACGCTGGTGGTGGCCTCCTGTGGCATGTCATATTATATGACTGCGTCCGAGTCGTTGCTTTGGGGGTATCGGCCATGGTTTACGAGATGGCCGGTGTTGGTGCGATATGTGGTAAGTTGAGGACTATCTACGAGCTTGAAACCCCAACACCACAGCTAGTTATACGTTTGCTAATAATGAAAAAAACAGAAGGGTCCCCTCGCACTCACACCCGATCAACTCTCCCTCTACAACGGCACTGACACGACCCTCCCAATCTACCTCGTTGTCAACGGCACCATCTTCGACGTCTCCGCAAACCGCATGGTATACGGACCCGGCGGCCACTACAACTTCTTCACCGGCCGAGACGCCACCCGTGCCTTTGTCACGGGCTGTTTCCAGGAAGATCTCACCCCGAGCTTATACGGGTTGGAAGAGATGTTCATCCCCATCGATGATGAGAACTCGGAAGCCGAGAAGGCCTTGAGTAGTGGCCAGAAGAAGATCCGGCGTGAGCAAGATGTCCGATTGGCGCGGACAAGGGTGCGGAGCCAAGTGCAGCACTGGGAGAATTTCTTCCGTAACCACAAGAAGTACTTTGAGGTGGGCAAGGTTGTTGGGAATGAGGAGCAGCGGAAGGAGAAGTGGGAGCTTTGCCGGGCTGCGAAACAGCAGCGACCTAAGAGGAAGACGGATAATTGAACATTGCGGGCATGAAAATGGGATTTGATGGTTGGATAGGGCTGCATGTAGTTATAATTTGTCAATGTCATTTTTCGCAAGGCCCGTTGACACTTGTCCGGTCCCTTATGCCCCATAAAACCCACGTAGAGGGGTGAAAAAAACCTCTATACAATTACGTGTGACCTCATTCATCGGTGTATAGAGCCACTCCAATATCGCTCGGACACCGTTGTCGAATTACGAGAGTTGGGAAAGAAATGAAGGATTTTGCGATCAATTTTTGTCCATTCTACTTAACACGTTCAGTAGCGCGACTGTCCATTCACTCCGGTACAATCCATCGTTATTCGCCCAGCCAAAATTCCCAGGATTTTATGATATCGTTCGTAGCAAAGGAAAAAAGAACCGCGAGAAAATTCGAAAAGGAAACGTTTACTCGGCGGTGACGGCGCGGGCTGAAAGACAGGTTAGCATCCACGAAAACCAACACCTCGATAACGGAATCTCATAGTATTGCGAGGCGGAAAAGCGTGGAAGAAAACATACTGTAGATCTGCAGGCTGGAGTGACCAACAACCTTCTTGATCTGACCGTTCTTCTCAAGGTCAGCAAGGCAGGCACGGGCCAAGCTGCCGTTGATCTTGAGACGGTCGACAAGGGTCGAGACGGTGATCAGACGGTAAGACTGAACATCCTTCTGGAGCTTCTCAGCAACGTTCTTCTCGAGGACGACGGCGTGCTGGGCCTTGTCCTTGACTGTAATGATGAAACAATGTAGGTCAGCTTTTCTGTGCGCTACCCATTTTGGCGTTTTCAGGGCCGAATATCCAAGCAACTCCCTCTCCCGGTTCAAAATCTTTCTGCTCTGGCTCGGGGAGGATGGATCGTTGCTCGGTCGGTGATGGGAATCAGGAGAATGGTGATAGCGTACCCTTGCCCTTGGACCACTTCTTCTTTTGCTTTCCGGCGGGAGACTGTTCAACGCATTAGTATCATCGTAATACTCCTCTGTTAGGGGCCTGGGCCGCCAGCGGCACTCACCATTTTGTCGGTCGGATGTGGTTGTTCGACGAAAGAAGAGCAACGCGACACTCAAAAGGCTAGAAGTTTGGGAGCCCAAGTGCGAAATTCGAGTGGGGGATGACTCAGCGTCACGTGTGACGTAACCCTAAGCCCTCGTTGTTGGCGCCGCTCGGTTAGCATTGGCTCGATTGGGCTTCTGTGATTGGCCAATATATTGTTCCTGTTCCAGCCCGTTATTTTATTGCTATGACGCCATTGAATAGGTATGGAAGGGAATAGATTGAATTCGATCTTCCTCTGTAGTTGAACTTAGTTACTGTCGTTCTATATACTTTGAGGTGGTCCGGTTGCGGTTCTTGAACCACGTTGCTGGGTTTGCGCTCATCAAAATCATCATCATAAAAGGCTATCTGCTCGCGTTTCCGCTATAACTACCAGTTTGTACCTTGCCATGCACAGAGTAAAAGCTTTGGAACTGCAAAGTACCATCCTGGTCCCGAATATCACCTAGAATATAATCTTCGGGTGTGCCAAACCAGAACCTTGAATCATCGTCTTCGCCTGAAGACAACCATCTCACGTCGTATCTTCCGCTTTCATTTCGAGGGATAGGGACACGGATAACCATCGGCTGGCTATCCAATGACCAATACCTGACCGCAGCCATAGAGCTGTTGGCCGTGGTTATAAGCAGCTGTGTCTTTGACGGATGCCAAATAACCTGTCTAACTGCATGTTCGTGGACCAAAGCTGTCACAAGCCCCGGTGTTGATCCCAATGCCCACACCCAAACGATATTTGGACGTGTCTGGTCTACAGTGCCCAGTAGACTCCCATCAGAGCTAAATGCCATGATGGATACGCCACGCGGAGGTCCAGAAGGATCTGTAACCGTGCTAAATGCAGAGGAACCTGATGCTTCAGCATATTCGAGATCTCCATCCGAGTCTGCGTACCGCTCACGCCAAATACTAGGGGAGTTTGGATCGATGTGAAAGACATGAGAGAGTGAGGTAGAACAGGAGAACTGGTTCGGTTAGCTCTCAAATTTAAGATCACAATATAGATCGCCCTTACCGTCTTGTTCTTGAGAATATCTATGTTTCCATCAACCTTCCCGACAGCCAAATAATTTGAAAGCCCGGTGCGGTCATCCACGGGGCTCCATTCTATGTTCCTCACTCCAAGATCGAAAACACTGTCAGATTCGGGTGGTCCTGAATAGGTCCGGAAAAGTTGGCCGTCGGCAGTGAAAATCAAGACCTTGGTGCCTGTACTAGCGGCGTCCCAGACAGCTATCCATTTACCATCTGGACTCCATTTCAATCCTTGAGCATCCACCGTGGGAAGAATTGCTCGGTTGACCAGTTCATAAGACCGAAATTCATGGATAGTCAATATATCAGTTGTATCTGGCTTTAGTAGGATTGCAAATTGCCTCGTCTTCGGTCGATATCCAAAGCTATTATAATGAAAGAATTTAGGCGTCTTGATAACCTGACTTCGGCCAGTGTCCAGAGAGAATATCGTTGTTTTCGTGTTCCACGCATGGAATACTATTATCTCATTTTCGTCCCCACCGAAGTCGATGTTAGTTGCCCCAGGCTCGGCGCTCTCGATTTCTGCGTGAAGCTGCAAAGGATTCAATTGCCAGACCAAGATGCGATTGTCACTAGCAACGAGCATACGCCGCGCTAAGCTGCCATTTCCTTGCTCACGACGCGTGTTTCCTGGCCCAAAGGATCTTGGTCGCGAAAATTTCAAGAACTTTGTCACATTCTCCTTGGCTTTGACGATCTGCACCTCCTTGAAGTCTGGAGAAGTAGGGTTCAGATGAATGATGGTATCTTTACCGTTCAACTGAGCGGCATATTTCCCATCCTCGGCTATGGAAATCGAAGACAATGCTATATTTCCGGTCAGTAACGGCCGGATTTTTCTTTGAAATAGCAACCTAGCGTTTACCTCCTAATGCGGAGTCCATTATTGTTGATCTCCGTGGAACAGCCCAGTTAGATCAATAGTTATTTTCACGGTGGCAGAAGATCAGGAAAGATGCAAATGAATCTTCTATTGCCACCTACATGCCTTTGTTTGATCATATGTACACCTCGTGATGGATGATCTTTCCCCTGAAGAGCTTCCTGGAGATGCATTATTGAGGTGAAGTGGGCATCGATATTTCCCCTTCGGGACAGCGCCAAGCCTTTTCTTCTTTATCCGTTGTTCCGATAAGATAAAACGGGCTCTCATTCTTCCGTTCCGGGTTAAATTGTCGCTTTTCGCAAAGCATCGCCTTTTCCATCCATCTTGATCGCGGTTCCAAATCGATTGCACCTTGAAACCTTCCTGATTCCCTCAATCCAGCAACCATAGGTCTTGCGCGCGTTTTTGCCCCGTGGCTGGGGCGATTCTTTCCCAAATTTGAGCGGCATCATCTTACCAAAATGGCGATTTCCCAGACCCAACCCGCTTCGCAACCAAGCGTCGATCAGCAGAATGCGCCTGTGAACGCAAATGCAGAGCCTAAGAAGAAGTTGTTTGGAAGGGAGTTCTACCAGAGCCTAGGCAGTCCGAGATACATCGTTGCTCCTATGGTGGATAGGTCTGAATTTGTAAAGATTCCCCCGCTTTCAGTGTCTCTTATTGGTACTAACGGTTCTATTTCAAGGCATGGCGCATGCTTACTCGTTCTTTCATGACAACTGAAGAGTCCAAATTACTCCTGTCCTACTCTCCCATGTACCACGCTCGTCTATTCCGTGAACAGGCCCGTGTTCGTGATCAACACTTCCAACCAACTCGCGCTGCCACTGGTCAAAAGAGTGACTCGCTATTCCTCGATGGAAACCCAGCCATAGACCGACCTCTTTTCGTACAGTTCTGCGCGAACGACCCAGATGATTTTTTGACAGCTGCTAGCCATGTAGCCCCGTACTGCGATGCCGTGGATCTAAACCTTGGATGCCCTCAGGGGATTGCGAAAAAGGGACACTATGGAGCGTTCCTTCAAGAAGATTGGGATTTGATTTACAAACTCATCAATCGACTACACAAAGAACTTGATGTTCCCGTTACAGCCAAATTTCGAATCCAAGAAACCAAGGAGAAGACACTGGAATACGCAAAGATGATCTTGTCCGCTGGAGCTAGCATCATCACCCTTCACGGACGCAGGAGAGAGCAAAAGGGTCACAATACAGGTATCGCGGACTGGAGTTATATCCGGTATCTGCGTGACAACCTTCCTGCTGAGACTGTCCTCTTTGCAAATGGCAACAATCTGAACCATGGCGATCTCGAACGCTGCCTCGAAGAAACAGGCGCCGATGGTGTAATGAGCGCCGAAGGTAATCTGTCGGATCCATCCATCTTCAGCAAACCGCCTCCAGTGGGTAGTGAAGGTCGAGAATACTGGCGAGGCAGGAACGGAAAGGGTGGATACCGGATAGATGCAGTCTTCCGCCGATACCTGGACATCATCTATAAGTATGTCCTTGAATCGCCGGGTCCCGAAAGGAAGCCCTTGTATCTTCCATCGGACCCAGTAGAGCAAGGACAAGAATCGACATCAGAACCCGCCGAAGATGAAGCTGAGGATGGACCCCCTAAAAAGAAGCAAAAGCGTGATAAGACGAAGAGGCCAAACTCTCCTAGTCTTGGGGTGATGCAAGGACATCTTTTCCAACTTCTTCGCCCAATGGTTTCACACCACACAAACGTTCGGGATGCACTCGCAAGATCACGACCTGGCGACATGGCAGCCTTTGAGCACACTTTATCTCTCGTTGAGCAGGCTATCAAGGGTGGTCTTCAAGAATATGAGCAGTTCCCGGAGCGATTCGAAGAAGACCCCAATGCAGAGCTCACGGGGTCCAAGGCTACAATAGCAGAATACGGCCGGCCATGGTGGATTTGCCAACCCCACATCCGTCCTTTGCCTGAAGAGGCCATGGAAAACGGGGCTCTGAGCATGAAAAAGAGGGCTGTTTCCAGCGAGGAAAAGCCTGCCGCTGATGGGTCTCAAGAAAAGAAAGAGACTCCTGCCGCGGAGGGACCTACCGCTACTCCCAACGAGTCGACTAATACTTCGAATACAGCGACACCAGACGCTCTGGTCAGTGGTTGATTTTATTGCTGAACATATTGATCACGACGTCTATAGAATATCATGTGCATAGCGTTTCATCATTTTTTATAAAAGAATCGATATAAAAGGTGCAAATAGAACAATTATATATCCTTAATAAAAAGTTTTGGAGGACAGCTCTACAGATATTCCATAGCAAACTCCATCCACGCCTGCAGTACTTCCATTGGTACTTCCTACCAAAGTACCCTTAATCCAAGTATATTCACAAAAAATACCTAGACTCAATAGTTTTACTATCAGATATCACTCATATCATCATATGCTCTCGCTGGTATCTCAAAAAGACAGAAACAGAAAGCCCAAGCGCCCTTCAACTCCTATAGAATCAAAACAATATCTAGAAATCCAAAACAAGCTGCGGAGCCATCTTCTCAAGATCCTCGACCTATTTATCGAATAGCCAGTTAGTCAATTCGAATCCCCAAGCATTATAAAAAGTTTCAATGATGATAAAGAAAGCATGCATACCTCCAGAAACCCATCCCCAATAGCATCAGCACCACCCCCACCTTCAGCCTTCTCATATGCAGCTCTCGCCAGCGCCTCTCTCACAAAAACATCGATATATTTCGCCACGACCCCATTCGCATCTTTCGCAACCTTGGTCTTCTCGTTCTGGAAATTATGATGCAGCAACTTGGTGAGCAGCTTCGGTGGGATCGCAGGTTCGCTTGACGTCACATCCTCCGATTGATTGTTATGTGTAATCTCTGCGAGTATATAATCCGGTTCCCCAGAGAACGATCGAGATCGAGAACGTTCACGACTGCCCGACCCCGACCCTTCTGATTCAGATCCGTGCTCCGACCCTGACGGAGGGGAGTTGGCGCGAGGTTTCTGGGGGGCCGACTTTCGAGCGGTTTTTGGTTTTCGGGTTGTTGTTTTTGAGGATGAGGTTTCTGTGCTGTTGGTGGCCTTTTTGCCCTTTCCGTTGGCTTTGGACGCTGCTGGTGCTGCTGGTGCTGCTGCCGATGATGGTCCAGCGCTGGCGGAATCCCGTTGACGTGGGGGTTTGAATGGGAGGACTCTGCGCTTCTGGGCGGGTTGGCGTTCGGCAGGCATATTTCCAATTCACCAATTCCAAAATTGTAGTTTCTGAGAAAGATCACGACCTGCCGTGATCAAGTGGTGGGGGGGTTGATGTTAGAAGTGGTTGCTTGAACATCATCCTGGAACGCGCAAGTCGCGAAACGGAACGCGATGTCAGGTGACTTCGAACATGGACATCTTTTATTTGCAAATATAATTATTTCTTTGAAGCTTGGTATTTCTTGATTATCATCCGGAATTCATATGTTTTTTTAGTGTAGGTAGTGGTTTGTTTAGTTAAGAAATGCCCTAGAACTCGTGATTCAACTGCAACTATATATGTAGTCGTACATGGGAACATCAACGCTAAAATAAACACACAACTTATTCAGAAGGACGAACAACAGTAACTTCCAACTCTGCGTTCTCCAAAACCTCCCTCGAGAGTTCCCAATCCACAGCAAAAAGCCCAGAATTGAAACGGCACGACCAAAGCGCACTGGGCGACGATCCTCCCTCCTCAGCTTCAAGCTGGGCAAGCTGCTTCTTCATATCCGCAACAGCAAGTTTGGTATTCTCCAAAATCGTCTCCGGAGGACTGACTCTCCTGCCATATCCTCTTGATGTAAAAAGGCAGACGACCCAGTGTTTTTTGCTCCCCCCTTCGTAGTCGCTTTCCTGGGGCGGGATGATGAGCGCAGTGCCCTCTGGCAATCGAACCGTTTTGCTTGAACTTTCCGATTCCCCAGTCTTTCCAATATAAGACCTGATTGTTTTCTGATTCGGCTTTGACGGGAATGACCGGCAATGAGCCCGATATTTTTCAAAGGCCGCGGGATACTGCAACATGGATTTGTCAGTAGCGATTCAATAAGCATGGAGAAACACCGTTCTCTTTATCTTACCTGATCCTTGAAAGCCTTTGCTATTCCACCTCCCCAAGAGCCCTGGCAGTTGCATGCATCTGTACCGTCAGCTATCTTGCTATTTGTAGAGCCGTTGAGATCACGTACGAATTAACGCAGTCCCGTCAGGTGCATCAAAGAGATCACCTTCGATTTCGAGGACCTTGCCTTGCATCATAGCTGAACTTATTCCCCTAAGATAGGATATCTGGAAAAAACAGGCTATATTTGAAATTTTTGGTTTTTGGTGTTGCAAAGTGAGTGAGTGTTAATGGAAGAGACTCGACAGACTCGACTCAGGCTCGTATCGGGGTCTATATAGGGACGACTCGTACCCCACATCGACTGTTGCCTGTCTTTCACAAGATTTCTTCCAGACTTTCAAATAAAAAACAGATGATATTTTGTGAGTCATGTGTTTGCAGGTAAGTCAAAATTTATTAAGAGACCCTGGCGAATGTAAGCCGAAGGAGAGTGCTTGGAAGGAGAGACAGAGAAAGAGATGCTTTTGTAAAGGTTTCTGTTTTAGCTATCGATTCCCATTAAAACGATTTTATTTAGTACCAACTACAAAGGATTCTCTTGCAGTCTAAACCCTAGTCCCAATTGAAGCCACACCTCGCATCGCCGTGCATGTAAATAATCTCACCAATTGGTTGTCCAAGAACCAGAACTGTGTACAAAAAAAGAAACCACCCACCCCATCCTGTTCTCGTGATAAATGCGCCTAATGAGGGTCACCGACGGCTCCAAGCTCCGAAAGGCGACGGGAGACAAAGTGCCGCAGGCTTCTAGATTTCCTGACAGACCGGGGCTCTCCCTCGTCGAGAGAAGTGCCCCCTGATCTAGGGTCCTTCTTTGATTCTGATCCTGGAGTTCCTGTTCCTTGAACGTATGAAGACGACGTAGCTACAGACATTGGCGCACTATTATCACTGCTGGACTTCAGTCGTCTGCTCATAGATCGTGAGATGGTTTTGAGGATTCCCGGCTCCTCGTTTTGAGACCGGCGCTCAAGACGTGCAATCTCACCCATGAGAGTGACACCATTGGTTGCGAAATTCTCTTCGGGAACTGGAATGTACAGAACAACCCCACGGTTCGGCGCAATATGGATATGCTCTTGAAGGGCTGTCTGGATCAGGATGGTGTTACGAAGATTGGTCACCGGGGCTATGAGGCATGGAAGCGCAAAGACCTTCATCAAATACGCTGGCAAGGGTGAAGTTCCTAAATTGAGACATGCATCTTGCTGGAGTGTGACCATCATGGAACTCTCGGGCCTCTGGTAGATTTGAGCCAGACGAAATGATATATCCGCGACAAGTTTGGACTCATCATCCTTCACCTGGGAAGAATTTAGTCAAACCATCTTGTGGTCAAATGATACAAAACAACTTACGTTGGAGCTCATCTTGATTTCGACAACAATAATGGAGTCCTGGGTCACCCGAGTAGTCGGCGAGTTATACGGACCACGCGTATTGAATGCTTCTTCGTAGTACTGGCTTTTGGTCTTGGTCGCCGCCTCTTCCTCGACGCTCTTGTGGGCAACATAGACCGTTCTAGCATCATTAGAAACACCGTGTGTCAAGGTGGGAACCTCAGGTTCATCGTCGTCCTTTTCCAAAAACACGGACGGAACAACAGGCGCCCTGTCCATCTTCTTGTTCTTTTTCATAGTTGCTTCAGGACTGGTGTTGATAGCCATAGCCTGGAAAGTGATGGGAGATTCGAGTTCTGGGCCTGTTGGAGAAGAAAGACTGGCAGACGAAGTGTTTGAGTGAGCCTGGCGTCTCTTTGAGAACGACCAGTCGATCTTAGGGTGTCTTCTACCGAACATCTGTTTTCAGTCAGAATCAGGATAAATGCACCCGGGAGCTAGAGCTACCTTGTCTTGAGCAACCAGAGCTTGATGCGGCCAATGCTTGTCTGGTGATGAGATGTTTGTGTGCAAGGTCAAGGGCCGTTGTGAGAGTAAGACGAGGTTGCGTGTTGTGCAAGCAGGAGTTGCTAGTACCCCTCCCTCTTTCCTCTTCTGTCTTCCCAAAAGAGAAGCGATACCACTATGGAAGGGCCAAGACAGAACGCTATCACAAGATATTCATATAATCAGTGAATGGAGAAGAACTCAAGAGATACGTATACTGTGTCTCATTATTTGCTCTAGTATATGGAAGTATGAGCATCCCATTGCAACAAAATATTATAACATCAGCATAAAGCCTCATCTAGTCCTGCAGAATGGTGAAAGGCACCAACAGAAGAAACCACCCCAACTTCAATTTAGAAAAGCCAAATAACTAAAGGCAGAGTTTCCACTGTTGAAGATCTTGTCAATCCTTCTTCGCCTATCCCAGACAATTTCCTCATCGGAGTTGCGCTTGATGTAAATAATGCGATGCTGTGGGATGAACTCCTCGTCGGTCAGGTCCTTTTTCCAGGAACCAAGGGTAGCCTCTAGTCGTCCTTCGAATCTATCTTCGTATCCGATGGTATAGTTGGTACTGTCGAACCGAGGATCCCAAATGATGCGATTGAGGATATCTAGGGTTAGGATGTCAGAATTGGAGATTGCAATTCATGATGATGCTTCGCGTACCTGCTGCTGGCCGAAGTCTGTTTTCCATCGAAGCTGGTTCTGTTGGTGCTGGGATGATATAACTGGGTTCTTCATCATGGATCTGGGCAGCATCTGAAGGCGTCTCCTTCTGTGATAGTGATGTGGAAGCTATGTTGCTTTCTTCATTGGGCTCAGGCTTGCCAGCTGTGTCGTAGCTGTGGCCTGATTCCTGGGGATACGAGGGAGCGTCTGAAGCCATGTTCAACAAATGCAATATGAATTCTGATAAACTGATGATTCTAGTAAAAACATCATGAAGAGATGAAGGAATTGGCCATTATTTATAGTCCATGGACATCCTAATCCTCCTCTATATCACCATATCGAGATATCCAAACCCTTCTCATCGAAGGTGACCTAACTGAGTTGTGGTCTGCGTCACAATTGTCTTGGACGGATCAACGAGAGATTCCCCACGGGCCACTATGAGCCATAGTTCTGAATGAGGCTGTAAAGGGCCGCATTATTTAGTCACGATAGTCAATTGAACGCAAGCAATGTCCTTTGCAAAGGCAGACTGATCAATGGCGCAGCTCTGCTTTCGTGTTGGTGAGTCAAGGCAGCGACAGTGGCGGGGCAACATGGCAGTGATCGGTCGATGTGACTCATTGGGGTGACATTCTAGATCCTGCGGTGTAATTGAGCAAAAAAAAAAAAAGGCAAATATTATGGGGTATCATGAGAAACGCAGAAGAGCGAAAAGCCTAGCAAATGGCGATGAATTTATTAGTAGTTAGTAGAATAATAATTAAAAAAAAAACCAAAAAGAAAGATCAAGTTCCGACACGGGGAATCGAACCCCGGGCTGTCGTGTGAGAGACGACGATGTTAACCACTACACCACATCGGACGGTTGTTGAATATCCTTGATGTTAATGCGAATATATCGATCACACATTATTCATTTATCGAATTGATTTAGGCCGCTGGCGTAAATACCATAGAATTGATGGATGTTTTTAAAATAACAAGCAGATCACAAGCTTGTATGAATATCTGATAGCTGATAACTGATCGTGGGGAATGAAACCTTTTGTGTTGTGTTGTGTTGGCCCGGGTTTCCCTCGCGTCTCCCAAGCCAACCCAAGTCAACTATTTTGTCTCCCGCATCCACGCGCATCGCGTCCTCCACCAAGGCACCGCATTCAAACCCGATTCCTAGGCTGAAGATGGATGCGCTTGGTCGAAGCATATCAGGATGAATGACGCGACTACTTCTCTGCTCACTGAGCATCTCAGTTATACACCTCTGGTTAGTGTCCTTGCAGCGCCTGTCTCAGACATATGCGCGCCCTGCCCCTCAACCGCCTACCCACGTATCGACAGAATAAACTGACCGTGAAATACAATAGTCCCTCATAGACGATGTCATCAACTCAATAAACAACTTGATATACCAAGCGATTTCCAGTCTGGAATCGGGCTTGCTCTCCACGCCTCCAGAGCGCTTGGGTTTCTCGCACGCCAATAACGGTTCTACTATCCCAGACACAGACGAGGATGGCAATGTTGTCTATCCAGAGGCCCAACTGGAGATTGAGAATGGATTGCATCAGCTAGAAACACTTCTTGAGGCGACGGTCGACAAGGCCTTCGATAAGTTCGAAATCTACGTGTTGAGAAACATTCTCACGGTGCCGGAGGACCTTCTGGGCTGGCTTAGACTGAGCCATTACGAGGTACGAGACTGTCGCTGTGGATCAGGACACCGCTACTGGGATTCATATCCTTTACCGACCACAGAATTAACGTGATTATCTTCCAGAACCTTTCATTCACTCCTTCGCCCGAAACGCCTACCCCCGAAACGATCCTCGCCCAGCGCAAAAAACTTTACGAAACCAAAAGACTAAATAGGTCCTTGAAAGATGAACGAAATCGGAACGAAGCAGTTATATCCCAACTAAAATCCATCCTATCGACAGCTCAAACTGCACAGCCCACGAAAAACGAGGAAGATGCTGGATTGCCTACACCGCCCGAAAGCAAAGACCTGAACCTTTCGTTCTTGACATCTGGCCCGGCTGCCCAGCAATTGCGCGTTGGTACTATCGCCGGACCTAATACACACCATACCCCTCTTACGACGAATACGAAGTTCATTTTGTCTCAACTTCCCGCGTTACAGGCAATGCTCAAGCAGCTCCGGCCGAAGTTAGCTACTTTACCAAAATCTGCACAGCCGACAGAGGCAGAAACGAAAAGAAATGAGAGAGCCGAGTACATCGAGAGCCGAATCAAACTTCACTTGGAGCGCGCTGGGCAGCTGGCTGTGGGAGGCGATGGCAATCCAATCATCACAGGACGAAAGATCGATAGTTCCGAGGCACAGGCACTCGAAGCTGTAACGGGCATGCTTACTCAAGGTGACAAGATGTCAGAATAAGAAGGAATGTCGGAAGATAACGAAAGCTTTTATGTTTTTACCGATGACTATCGTGCCTCATTTCCGGCGGGCTTCTATGAAGACCAAGACACACTCCATGTGTTCTGGTCCCGTCTGAATGGAACGACGTCCACATTTTCTGACTGCAGGATGTTTGCGATCTTTTCACCCTTCTTTTCGAGAGTAATGAACTCCTTCTTTTCCTCCTCCAGGCCATAGAAAGCACGGCCGAATTTGCTCATGAAGCCCTCGATAATCTCAGGGGTAATGTTATCCTCCTTCAGGATACCGTTCTCACAAGCTTGTTCGAAAGAGTCGATAACAACCTGGGTGGTGTATGGTTGAGTGAACACGCCCGCTGCAATCTTGTCGCCACCACGCTTGGAGGCTGCCTGGTGAGGTGCGCTGTCGGAGCCAAAGAAGAACTTGGGGTTGCCGGATGTTGCAGCGCGGAGAAGGGCATCTCTATCGGCGGGGGTCTTAGCGACGGGCTTGCAGAAGCAGAACGGATCTCCCGCCCAAGCATCGACGATCAAAGACAAGTGATGCGCGGTGATGGTTCCTGCAACACTGGGTCCGCATTTCTTGACAGCCTCTACAGCCGCTGCCGTGGTGCAGTGCTCCAAGATGATTCGAAGTTTGGGGAACTTCTCGTGGATCTGGATGAGGGTTGGGAGGAAACGTTCCTCGGCCGAAAGGATAGTAACGTCACCCTGGGAGGGGCATTCTCCGTGGATGTTGAGGACCATATCCTGACGCTCCATCTCGGCAAAGACGGGGTAGAACAGGGAGTAGTCCACGACACCCGAAGAGGAGTTAGTGGTCACACCTGCTGGGTAACTCTTGACACCGGCAATGCCTCGCTTCTTGGCATCGATGATAACTTCGGGGGTGATGGTCTCGTGGAGGTACAGAGACATGAGGAAGTTCACATTTGGTTCAATGGCCTGAAGGCGCCTTTGGTAGTCAAGAGCACGGTCGACAGTAGTCACGGGAGGCACGAGATTGGGCTGGTATCATGTTATTTAATTGAATTGAATTCATTCTTGGAAATTCCTACCATGACGAAGACAGTGTTGACACCTCCTTGCCGGATGGTAGGAGTAACGAGGTCCATCATGTCACCATCACGAAGATGGACTGAACCAGCAGTTAGTGAGCAATTCTATAATATAATTACCAACACAATAGAAGCCATTGAACGCGTACACACCGTGGAAATCGGCGGAGGCGGGGAGTTTGACTCCCTGCAATTTGGACAACGACATGATGATTGTTATTGATCCGTCAAATTGACTTTCTGATCAAATGAGAAAGAAATGGAGTAGACACGTCTGTCAATATCCAACAACGCAGAACAGCACCTGTGAAGTCTCTAAATCTTCCCTCGCTTTTTTTTCCCCGCCAATTTTTATCGGCAGGTGGGATGATATGGGGAAGTGGATTCTGATTGGTTGAGGGTCATGTGCGAGCATGTGATGTCACCTGTTCTGCCAAGGCGGTGTGTCTGTCTTGTCTTCAAAGGGTCAGACTTCATCGCGACTTGGGAATCATTCTTCATTGTCGATTGAAATGATTTATTTGAAGAATAGCAGTGCTATTCAGATATATGTCTGATATGCATGTCCCTACAACCTATGACTGAAACCCGTCACTCCTAGATCTGATGATTTTGGTGACGTTCTCACATTCAAATCGCGTTGATAACCTTCAGCATCAACTACACAATGATACTGACAAATTCAGATGGAAATAGAATAGCAGAAGAATGCACCAAATTTCAAAATTAACAATGCTACTCGATATATTGCAATTTCCAGTTATATCTTCCCCTGACCCGGTGTAACCGCCACTGTGAAAGTAGGCGCTTACTCTGCGTATCACAGCCGCAGATCAGCATTCATTTCACAAAATTAAAAATAAGACCTGATCAACTCCGAACGCTCATTCATCCACCTGAAACTTTCAAATCTCCTGCAAGCGCTTCTTCGTATTAGCTGTGAGACCCTGAACCTTGATTGTGGCCCACGACTAGACAATGGCCCAGTGCATGGTGATCGTCCCAGAATAGTTTTTCTGCAAAACACGGCGGCTCTACAGGGCTGTCTGGAGCGAATGAAAACAAATTATTTACCGGCGAGGCGGTTTAGATTGAGTTCGTGGTGTTGCTCGAGCATGTCTGAAGAACGGACTGATTCGATTTCAGTCATTCTGCAGGCTGGTTTACGATTCAGGTGTTCAAAAAGCAAAAACTTCCGACGATTTTGCTGTATATATTGGCCTCCTCTGTTCCTTTTCTTTTCTTTGTTGTGTCATAATTGCTTTTCTTTCTTCTCTTTCTTTGTTTGTTTCCTTTGTCCTTCCTAATACATATCCAAAGTCTTCTGGAAAGACTTCCCAGACACATTCTTTATTCATCCTAATTGCTTTGACTATCCTTTATTCATTCTCTTGAAATTTAAGACAGTCATTTTTTTCCCCTTTACGCTTCTTGCTGCCATACTTTATCATGAATTCTGAAGTCACTCTGTCCGGTTCATACCAAGCGTCTTGCACGGCTGATCAAAAAGAATCGACCTATCTGCAGAGAACTCGTCCTTTGGGCTGGCTCCGAATAGGACTCGCATTCATCATATTTGGAGCAGCCATTGCAGTCGTAGGCTGCGAGGCTGTGCCTCTGCAACATTACCAGAGCACATTTGCGTATACCAAAGTCTGGTTATACCTATGGCCACTGAACTTTGACTTACGGCCGACCAAGGCGATCCTGTCTTGTGGTGGAATAATTGCGTTCCAGAATCTGGTTTATATCGTTGCTGCGCTTCTCCCCACGGTCAGTAGATGGTGCCCTCGTCGCATCCTGAATCGTGTCGTTGCTAATATGAAGTTACAGCCTCGCTCGCGCATCCGATTCCTTAACCTTCTCGCCGGAGCAACAGCCGTATCTGGATTTATCACATCTTTGGTCGGTGTTTTATTCACAATTTACCTCCCATCATCGACATATCCCAGTGGATTCAATGAAAACGAGACCCTCCATTCGTGGACCTGCAAGTGGAAGTCGATCCGCAATCCCTCCTCTTCGGACGCCCAAGCGCCCATCCACTTCGAACGGGATTGCACTGAGACACAGGCTGCATTCGTGCTACTGGGTATTCTGATCGGGTTGGAAATCATTATGGGCTTTGTGGCTGCGGCGGGACTCTGGCTAGAGCGCAGTTTGATCAGACACCGAAGGACAGGTGTGTTTGATCTCGAGACGGTCAAGGTTGCTGCGAAAAATTCTGGATTTTAATGGCTTAAACTATGTTATGGATAAGGATATGTCTTTGCGATGTAATTTTGAGATTGCGGGCCAGTCTCGGATAGGATGCTGAAATGATGTCACTGTATTGTTTTATTCTTGTCTCGAACTCACAGTACTTGTAAAGTACTGCTAGTAATAATGATCAGCATGTTGAGTAGCAAATGCAATGCTAAGTCCTGATTGTGATTCTGTTGAGTTTGTAACAAAAAAGAAACCGAGCCGACGTCGGCTTTTGGAGATGTTCGTTGGGACATCCTCGGCTCCCCACATTCAATTCGCAGTCAAGACAACTATCCCCGGGCCTGGACAGAACCAGCAAAATCGCGATAACTTGATAATATAATCTTAAGCAACCAGAGACATAGACAGCAGTATCAAATATGCCCAAAAAGATTGAATGCTATCTTGACTGCGGTGCGTTGATCCCGCATCTTTTCCTAACACATGCTGACGGACATCAGTGTCGCCCTACAGCTACCACGCGTTCACCTATCTCCAAAAGAATGCAGCGTCATTGAAAGCTCTCAATGTAGAGATTGAGTATGTCCAGCTTAAATTCTATCTTTTATTCATGATATATGCTAATCTATTGCTCAGATACATCCCCGTTTTTCTGGGAGGCATCAACGTTGGCAGTGGTCGGTTTACACACCTTTGCCCTTTAACACCCCAACAGCAATACTGAAAATTATACTCAAATCCAGGAAACAAACCTCCATGGACCCTCCCAGCCAAAGCAGAATACGCAAAATACGATGGCAAACGAGCCCAGAAATACTTCGGACGGAGCTTTGAAGTCCCGTCTTTCTTTCCCATTCTTTCGCTTCTGGTACTACCTAGCATAATACTATCTTTTGATCTCCAATGACTAAATGCTAATTATCCGCCAGCCCCAACGAGCCCTAACATTCATCAAACAGAAATATCCTACAGAGACCCTCGAAACCGCCTTCCTCAACTGCTTCGAAACAATGTGGCTGGGTCAACTCGACCTCTCCAAACCCGAGAACCTCGTCTTAGCCCTCGGGAAAAGCCTTGAAAAGCACCAAGTCGAGGAAATCCTAACTGCAGCTGCTGACCCGCAAATCAAGGGTTTACTTGCGGCGACAACAGAGCGCGTCATCAAGGAACAGGGCGCGTTTGGGTGTCCGTGGTTTTGGGTGGATAATGGGGAGGGAGTGAAGGAGCCGTTTTTTGGGAGTGACCGCTTTCATTATATGTGGGAGTTTTTGGGGCTTCCGTATGAGGATTTGAGGTTGAATGTTAAGGCGAGTTTGTAGGTTTTTTACTATCTATTGATATAGGTTTGGGATGTGCGTTTAGCAGATATTTGATATTGATAATATCGCGAGAGATGCTGAACTCATTGAGATAAACCTGAATAATATTATGTAGACATCTACAGCTTAGTCTGGCGGTTCTTCGCACTATCCATCCTATCACCCTCATCATCCTGCTCTGCTACCTCCAAAACTGGAAATTCGTTTGGCATTATCCGCCGGGGACTCGACCCAGGGACGATGGAATACTTGGAGAAATCAGAGACTCCGCAGTATTTACGGAGAAAGTCCTCGTCTAGTTCGATAAGTCCATTTACAGACTCTGCGGGTGCTTTGAGCATCCCCAGAATGGCGTCGGAGAAGATGGTCTAGATGGCACATCAGCTACCTAGGTTATCTGTGGTAGTTAGAGGTCAGACGTACGGGTTTTCTTAGATCTGCCTTTGTTCGAGAGTCGTTTGCAGGGTTCATTTCTGTAGCAGCTGACTGGATGGCCTGGAATTTGTGAGACGTGTTTCTTGTATTGATGTATCTTCTGACTTACAGATGCTGGCCAAATGCTGGTAATGGCCATGTCCTTTCGATCTTGTCTCACAAAGTCCATTGCCAGACCACGAGTCAAGACACTCATTCCAACCTTGCCTGTAAAATGTTAGCCAACGGTAAATAACGCAATAATCTAGAGAAAAAAAAAAAAAAAAAAAAAAAAAACAAACCTATGGCGTACGCCGTCTTTCCACGAAAGAATCGGGAGTAGATAGGCGGAGAAACAACAATAATGCGACCCTTCCACCCATTCTTCGCAAAAGCAGGCAAAACAGCTTGCACACTGGCATACAAGCCCTCCGGGTTCACCTTTTGCATAAGCTGGAAACGTTTCGTTGGCGTAGTTTCGACAGCAGACCACCAGATCGCCCCGGAGTTGTATACCAGGACGTCTAATCTTCCGTAGATAGAAACGGCCTCTTTGACCATGTTTTCTATTTGGGTGACATCTCTAACATCAACGGAGATGGCGGTTGCATGGCCTCCGGCTTCCCGGATTTCACGCTCGACCGTGTTGATAGTCGATTTGGGTGAATTTGGGTCTGGTGGAAATGGAACCGTTTCATAGGCGTCGGATGTGGTTTTTGCTGCCACGACAACTGGACGTGTGGTTAGTTTTGTTGAAATAAATATTGTCGGATAGATTATATACCAGAATAGCCATCTTTCGCCAAGTCCACTGCAATTTGCCTTCCAATACCCCGAGAAGCGCCAACGACCAAGGCGACGGGCTTTCTTGATGTCATTCTGGTGATGTTCGTTGATGGAGACTTGATCAAAAAGGAATACTTTCTGCTTGAATATAAAAGCGCAGATCTGGCTTATTATAAGATGAAAGATGGGATTAGTGATCCTCCCCTCGTCGTCATCCTCGGACAGTTGGTGAGGTGAAGTTGAAATGCCGAGCTCGGGTCGGCCCGTTGTGAAGCGCCCAAAATGATGACATCCGATACAACGCCGAGGATCATCCTTGCCTCAACAGTACGGGAACAGAAGATATTGGTCCATGAAAATAGTATGCTGGTTATTATACTGTTTTTATATTTCAAAAGTTCGGCGTTGGATAAGCAACCTGGGTTTTGCAGGACACTCCAACAAGAGAAGCAGACTCGCTGTAGCTCCTAGAGGCCCGATGGTTGAACTCAAGACTTATAGCTAGAAGTTCGACTATTCATAAGTACTGCGAAATGGTTCACCTGCGTTTTGAGTGTTAGATTTGCCCATTCGAATAATGTCACGAAGGCTCTGCAGTATTGTCGAGGGGTTAGAATCAAGTTCCCCTGCGAGTATAGACTCTATGTCGCCCGTTTGATCATCATTGAAACTAGATGGGGTATCGTTCTGATATGCATTTGTCGCAGTAGATGTGGGTATTCTTTGAGTCTCCCTCCCTAAAGACTGAACAATAACTCTGCTGCGTGGAAGAATCACCTGTTTCGTAGTTGGTCTTTTGAATGGTGCTGATCGGGATCGGCTGACACTTTCATCACCAGATGCCCGCTTGCGACACTCCTCAACGGCATTCGCTAACAGCCGATCAAATTGCTCTGGATTGACCATAGTCTGGAACAATTCTAATAGCATTGTAGCTATAGGCCATGTGTGAGATAGTTCGCTTAGCATGTCTAAATTTCCGTCTAGTTTTTGCTGAACGGAATGGAGCAGAGACGGCACTGAAGCGTTCATTTGGCTTTTTAAAGTAGCAAATGATACAGTAGCGTGGCAAATCCTATTTGTTATATCAGCATCCCATGTTCGATTTCAAATGGGGCACTCACAAAAATGATGGCGAGTACTGTAGCTCTTGGCGCGAGTGAAGGGTTTCCATTATTGAGATAACCGTTGATGCAGCGTGTATCGCTGAGCTTCGAGATTCATCTGAGGCTTGTGGAGCCTGTAAGAGATATGTTTGGCAGACAATAGAGCTTTCCTGAGTGTTAGCAAGCGTTGACACGTCGGAGGCAACAGACTTACTAGAAAGTTGAAAATAATATCGCAGAACAAAAATTATGCTGCGATTGTCTCCAGCGTAGCTCTACTGGACAAGATGCAAGCCACTCATTCAATCCGATTTCACATTGCGCAGCTTCAGAAGCTCGATTTGCTTGTGTTGACCTCGAGGATAATGTAAGACATAGGCCTAACTCCATAAGTCGACAGAGCTTGATGTATTGCAGAAAGAACTGGGCATGAAGCGGCTCAGACGGATATTCGAAGAAAAATTGCTCGTCAATCTCAATAAAGTCACTCTCTTCTAGTGGGTCTACTGTGCAATCCTCGGGATTGATGTGAAGAGGTCGACCGAATGCTGCCGCCACAGCACGATCTCGCGTATAAAGTGTCCACCATATTCGCTTTCGAAGAGCTTGGTCAGATCGACTGAGTGCTGTATATGTTTCTCTTTAAGCCGTTAGATTATGTAGCCAATAAGAAAGACAAAATTACCCTCGATGGAGTCCTTGTGCTTGTGCTAGGGCTATGCCCAGTCGACTCCAGTAGAAGATGCCACTTTCCGTAATGTCTTCATAGGTCAATATTATGAGAATAAACAATCGAACTGGACTCACCATCTGGCCCATCCCAATATACTCCCATCAAGACCATTGCTTGGACAATGATTATCGGATTAGTTTCGTATCCAGCATCATACAAGGCTTTAGTCTTCTTGTAGAAAACGCGAGGCGTAATTGCAGAGTTATCCGGGACTTCTTGCTTGTAGAATCTGGAAGCCACCATAAAGATAGCCTGCAGTAATAAAATCGAAGGTGGATGCTCTGGAGCATAGTATCTTCGCATGAAAGCATGTCTATCCACCACCGGTAGCACTGGTGCTATCCAGGTGAAGAATATGTCCACGAGAGCATCACAGACATGTTTAGGAGGAATGTCAAAGGCCTCCCGCTTGTTCAAGATTTCAATCTCAAGCGAATCCAAATGGTCAGGATGGGATAAGGATATCTCAAGTCCTGCCATGAACCTGGTGGGGGTGGGGTTGAGTGATGTGACAAATGGAAGGCAAGTCCGATTTGGATGGGGGAATACAGCAGCTGCCTTCTTTAGAAGATGCTGATAAGACGAATTCAATTCAAAGCTAAGATGGCATTGCAAGATGTCGTTGATGAACGATCTCCAAGTCGTATCTCTCTACCTAGGCCCCCGGCAATGCACCCATTTTCCTGATTGGTCAGATTACTTACATAATCATGTTAAGTAGTTATCCTCACCGCCAGGCAGAATCCGCGTATCGTCTTTTATCGCGTTTCTCCATGGTGCCATCAGCATCGCTGCCCTCGATTCTGGGCTTCTTGGGCTACGTCGCTACTACAGTTTCTTCCAGTGGATATTGGGGATATGTCGGCCGATCCTACGAGTACCGTTCCCGATCTCGAGCTGGGCGACGAGCCCTATGACTCCGCCGAAGATGAAGACTTTCAACTCGATGGTGCTGAAGACGACTCCGACCAGTCTGGTCCCTCGGACGCCGAAGACGCCGCCGAGCCGGTAAAGAAGAAACGAAAGACAGGAAAGGATAAGGGGCAGGATGAACAAGAACTGGATTCTGGCGACGAAGCAACTATCAAGAAGGCGAAGGCAAAAAAAGACAAGAAGGGGAAGAAGTCAAAGAATAGAGCTGGAGATGACTCGGAGGACGATGAGGATGATGTGGATTTTGACGATGATGAAGAGGGAGGTCCAGGGGGATTTGTTCGGACAAGAGCCATGAAGATGCACATGTACGTCGCCCATGAAGTTACTGCACTTGCGGCTTTGGACTAATGGACTTTGACAGGCGCGAAGAGAAAAAACCTTTAGCAAAAGTTGATGGCGCCACTGTTGATGTCGATGCGCTGTGGGCAAAGATGAACGCCCCGGACACGGGCTCCGGACTGGAGAAAGAACAGCAGGACACAACCCCGGCGGTCGAGGATACCGAAAAGCCAAGCAAAAAAGGTCCACCAGCACAAGATAACAAAAATCCAACCAAGGCGTCTGGGGAGACGATTAAAATCAAACGCACCTACAAATTCGCGGGTGAAATGATCACGGAAGAAAAGGTTGTACCTAAGGACTCGGCGGAGGCGAAGCTCTTTCTAGCCAATGGAAAGAATGAAGCTGTGACTGACGCTGATATCGAAAATGCCGCGAACGCCAAGGCAGCTCTCAAGCTCCGTCGACCTCTTCGCACGGTCTCACGGTTTGACCCCAACCCGAGCGGTTTAATCAAGAAGAGCTGGGAGAAGCAACCTGCTGCGGAGCCTGGAGCAGAGACAGCCAAGGGGCCTAAGATTAATACGGTTGAGAAATCGAGACTGGACTGGGCCGCATATGTGGACCAAGCTGGAATCAAGGACGAGCTCACTGTGCACAGCAAAGCCAAGGAGGGTTATCTCGGTCGCATGGATTTCTTGGACCGTGTGGGTGCCAACAGAGAAGAAGAAAGAAGGAATGCGCGGTTGAAGGGGATGTAAGGTATTACGTCTTAAAGTGTCAAGTCAATCTTCGACTGGTCATGATGGAAGACATGGCTGAGCGCACAAAACGTGAAGCTGCTAGGCGAAACAAGCCTGACTACACTGCCATCAGCACCTTCTATCAGAAGATGTCGATATCATTTCGCTCACCAGGAACAAAGCGACTGCTCAATTCCAGGTCATATCGCCGCATACCAAGGACATACGGTTTACCGGCTCGAGCTCTGCCAGTATAACCGGCTCAGAATCAGCGTCAAGCCAGCCCAGCAACTGGAATTGCCCAAACAGCCCGTAAGGGTTTGCGCCGCTCCCCAAAACCACAATGGATAAATCCACAATCGACATAGCTTTGAGCTTTGCTCGATAAAGCTATTTATGATGGTTCACTTGCATCAAGGCATCACCATGATTTGTACAATACTTATGACTTATGTATTATATAGCCTCTATGGACACTACCAAGAAGACCAAGAATGACAATCTAATTTATGAACAAACGCATCAACCTTGAAGGGCTACCTTAAGAAACACATACAATACCAACACCCGCGAATCGCCATTGTAGCGCTGCTCACTGCGGGATGGCTTTGACGGCGAACCTAGTAGGAAGAGGGACATCCTGAGAATGAGAGCTACGAGTGAAACCTACCCCTGGGGTAGGATGGCGAAGTTGTTCTGGGGCGAATGACGTGGAGGGCTGAGACAGTTACGTTACTTGGTATATTGGTGACTGGCGATAGGCGATAACTATCGCAAGACCGTCCAGCCTTTACGTGTCCAAGAGTAACATCATAGGAAAAAGTACATGATAGGACTCCATCAGAAGGTAAAGTGTGTTACAACCCTTCTCCAGTCTACAATAGCAAAAACTCGATAAGAAACATTCATTCATGATTAATCTATCTACCACACTCCAAAACGACAACCACAACCGCACCAACTTGCATCCTAACTCAGACTGTTGAGCTTGATATATTGTTTGACGACACTCATCGACAGCAACAGCTGTATCATGCCAAAGAATAGAGATCATCATAGTAAGGAAAAGCCAAGTTGGTCGGTGTGAAGAAGTATTTGTATTTGCACTGCAACTCGTCCTCGATCAAAGCTAATTGAAAAGACGGTCGAGTTCGAGTCGAGTCGTTGCCTCGAATCCAAGACAACATGTACAAGACAGAGGGCAGAGGACAGCGCGCGCATCAAATTCATCGCATGACGTGCTCACTTGACCTCGACCTCGGACTCGGATATTGGATAACCGCGACGTACAGATGATGGATTCTGGAATACCATCAATCATGAACAGCCAGCAGATGGACTCGTACAGTGTGTACTGTTTTTCTGCGGTGTGACAGTAAGGAGCAGAAAGGAATTTATCGAATCGCGCGTTTGTGCGTTATTTAAACCAGACCGCGTTATGTAAGCGACTAGCCCTATGTAGTGCATAACTGACTAATAATGAACAAGACATGCATAACCTATACAACAGCATCATCGCATCACTATCAGTAGCATCACTATCAGCACCATCACCATCACAGGCGAAATGCATATGATATCACATTGAAAGATAGGAGAGTGCAACCCAACCCAACCCTTAGCTTCAGTAGTATCACGTAGATCCAGACCCGATAATTCGCATAGTGTGATCTGAAATCTTGTTTTTTCTGCATGAAGATGAGGATAAGTCGGTGAGTGACTGTCAATTGACTCGGATTCGGATGGTTTGATAGGTTGGCAAGGAACTGTCAGGTGGCATATGTTGTATGTTGTACTCTGGCGTAGTATTCCAAAGGAACAATGTACTGTCTGATGACTATTATGATGCTGTAGGTACGGTGTAGATGTCCAGAGAGATACAGATGAACAGATAGATACTCACCGCACGATCATTCAAACAGTGGCAAGCAGGAAAAAAAAAATCACATGCCAACTTAACACTTACTCAACATTCCAATGTATGCAAGTCGGATACCATTTCCATCATAAACATCTAGAACAGAAAATAATAATAAAGCAAGATGAAAAAGTAATAATAATCAGGGGAAAAGGACAGATTGGGACTTTGTTTCGAAAATCACTAGCCTTTACACACACATACACGCATACATACTTGACTATCTGTCTGTCTGTAGAAAAGGCTGCTGCAATGTAGATCATCTGTACGGCCCAAAGCCAGTTTCTTTTTTTCTTTTCTTTTCTTTTCTTTCTTTCTTTTCCTTTTTATCGTCACACAGACTGTTGGTTTTGTGTAACTCGGAAGAAAAAATGATAGAGGAATAGAACGATTAGATAGAATATCTGGGAATTAAATGCAATTATTTGGAAGCGTCTTTCTATAGGCCTTGACGATACCAGACTCCAAGTACAGCACCTCTATCTACTCCGTATCTACCCCGTAGTCCATATACGATAGAAAATAAATACCTCACTGGCATGCAAAGCGGGCCCCCTCCTATTCTTTAAGCTCAAGGCGATTTCCCGGTCCCTGGAATCTAGTCTGATGATCATCGATGCCCGTGCCCATGGGGAAAAGAAGCCACCAGTAAGTACCTCTGCCGGAGGAGAGAGTACGTTAGTATGTCGATATTATCCCAAACAGGCCATCGTTGGGCATCATGTACTCCGTAGTATGCGCGAACATGTCCATCTGACATCCAATGAACGCAAGTAGTTTCCGCCAATAGGATCAGCACCATTGAAGAATGCGACGATCAACCCTAGAAGTGGGTATGGAGCAAAAAAAGGCTGAACTAAATCAAGACAAAAAAACGAAGAAAAGTAAACTTCGGTACATTCCGTATGCGATGCGATTGCTCTGCTCTGCTATGCTACGCCAATGAAACACCCCTGGACGTGGTAAACGAATAGATCCCATAGGTGGTGGTCTCGGACCTCTTCTTTTCCTGGAGACTATGGAGACTATGGACAATGTGATACATCATCTTTTTGTGGCCCTCCTATCGCTTTTCTCCATTTTCTTCATCAATTCGATTGTTATTGCCCGGTCACGCTGCCCGCCTCCATATGGCATTATTCAGGGGATCGATGGGGGATAATGGGCCCACGGACGCTTGATCGACCCATGACGTCTGACTGGTAGTCAACGCCATCTCCACCTCGCTCACACCCCCCCATCGATGAGGCTTTTCATTCCTTGGCGAGGCCATGGGCGATGGGGGTGTTTGGATGATGCATCAGACAGAGATGTCGTGGGTGATCCTGAATTGGGAGTGGGAAAAAAGGACAACGGGTCAACTTGCTAAAAATAAGTCATGGGAAGATGGTAGAAATCGGTTATTAGTAGTATTTTCATCTAGCTCATATTATTTCATGTAGAAACTCTGTGTGGTTCAAGACTGATCAAGTCAATAAGACAAAGGAAATAAGAAAAAATAAATGAAACAAAGGAAAGTGTAACAGTTCAATCCTGATCATACAATGTGGGTGGTTTGTTCCCATGCCATTTTTGCTCCTTCCGTGATGTGATGCAAATATTATCCAAAACCAGATGGAAATAGGTGGAAAAAAAAAAAAAAAAGTTGGAATGAAAGGATATTGAGTAACAAACAAACGAGATAGCCTCTCCGAGGAACATAGAAAAATGATTAAAAAGTGTCAAAGTATGCAACAACAAAAGAGGAACAATTGTGCGTGGGAATGTTTTACAAAAAAAGAACGCCGTGAAGCGCCGCCGACCGGGATTTGCCGGCCCTGTATGTCTGCGCCCATCTAATGACAGAAGGAGATTTTTTTCCACAAGGGTATCATGATCCGGTCCACCCATATTATAATTTTTTTTTGTTTGATTTTGTTGCTCGGTTTTCTGTTGGTTTAGTTCCAGTCCTCATCATAACTAGGTTCGCGGCTAGCATAGGTAGGCGCCTCCAGCTGTGATCCGCGGATGGGCCGCCCATCCGGCGTCAGCTGTCCGCGGAATTCGGGATCAAAGTCAATGCTGTTCTCGTCTAGCGTTGCAACATAGCGATTGCGTCCTCCGCGTTTGCTGTGGGTCTTGGTGTAATGAGCATTGAGATTGTCGCTGCGGGAGAAGGCCCGGCCGCATCCTGGTACCCAGCAACGATGGGGCTTTTCCTTGGAGTGGCTCTTCATGTGTCGCTTGAGGTGCTCTTGTCTCTTGAATCGTCCCTTACAGCCAGGCTCCTTGCACTTGAACTGTACTGTTCGGATGACAGGGGGCAGGTGCTCCAGGATGTCCTGTCTTGATGGTTTTCGAGAAGGCTTGCGCGACTGGTGTCGCTGGGGACCAGCATATGCATCGCGGTATACTGGTGACATAGGGTATTCCTCGTAGTCACCTGCGCCGCCGGAGAGGCGGCTCATGGGGGTCTCTGTTCCGGAAGGTGTCCCCAGAGAGCAAGACCGGTTGGGAGTACTGATCGAGGTTGAGAAGTCAGAGTATGACGGCGGCGGTGTCATTGGTGTTTGAAAGGCTTGCGACGGCTGGATGGTCTGGATTGGCTCAGCAGGTGGAATCCATTGAAGCGTGCCGCCCATCGGCATAGTGTTTGTCATGCGCTCTGGCTGGCCGAAGATGGGTCTCGTTAAGGAAGGGTTGGTAACCGGGTCGGCAAGGTATGGTGCCTGCTGGTGGCGGTATGGGTTGCGCGCCATCAGGGGATATTGAGGCATCATAGTCTGATAAGAAAGTCCATGCTGTGTGCCATCGTATGTCTTGGGGAGGTCCGAGGGAATGAAGACACTCTCATCGTAGCCAGAGAGATAGTCGGTCATTGGCATCCGTTCCTGGGCGTCCATGTTTCCGCAAGACATACCCATACCGTCGTTGGAAGTCACTTCGGAAAGACGAAAGGCACTGTGCAGAGGCGTAGATCCTGTAGGTCTGTCATAGACATGAGACTGGAAGTGGCTTCCATCCGGCCATCCAGGAGAAGCCAGAGAGCCCTGGCTATAGAGGCTCGTTGGGGTCGGAGTAGGCGAGTCCAAAGGAGAGAATCCCGAAGAAGCCATGGAAGGACATTCGCTCGAGCCAACGGAGTCGACCTCAACGGTAAGGTTGGCGTGGGATCTCATGTCGTCGGTTTCTTCGGTCTCGAGGTCCTTGCGAGGCAACGGTTCGACCTTGGCACCTGCTCAGAGTACGTTCAGTGCAAGTTCAAAGATGTATAGAAAGAGTGGATGTAGTATAGTAGTATACAAGGAGTGTGATGATAGTCAATGAAAGAGTGTAAGAGTAGGAAAAGTGAGGGAGTGAGGGACAGTAGTAAAGGAATGTCGACTTGGGTTAAGGAAAGAAAGTAGAAGGTCGAGGTTGGGAGAGAGGACAAACGAGGTGAAATAAACAAAATCCCAGGGCCACAGACCGGGGGCGGAGAGGGACGATCAGCAACTTACACTCATAAGCCATTTCTAATTCCAGATCAGAAAGCTAAAACCCAGTTACGATCACGATGGAGGCGAAAGTAAAAAGCGCGTCGTCGCGTGCCCTTGTGAGGCCCAAGCAAGGCCGGGAATGTAGACTATGGGTTTCTTGAGTTACCGCGGCGGGAATCGTGGGGGACAGCGCCAGCGTCAACGCTTGAACGGGGCAGATGTCTTTCTTTCTCCCCCTCTGAAGAGAACGGTTCCCTAGGAGGCGCGAATGTCTCTGGATAAAGAAGAGACAAGTGGTGACGGTGTCGTGTTGTTGGAAGGTCGACCAGCCGCCCTTAGACGCGAAATCAGGTAGTCGGATGGATGATGAGCAGAAGGAGGGGCGGACAAGAAAAAAGGTCTCAGATGGAGGAGAGGGATGTAGATATAACAATTGGAGGAGAGTCAGAACAGAGAGTCAGGCAGCAAGGGGAAGATTGGCTTGAAGCAAGTGGTGATGAAGTCTTGTCTTGGATGGAGAGGGACGAGAGGGAGGTGGGGAGAGAGGGGGGAGATGGAGGTTTATAGGTTTACTGTTTCTGGCGAGGGAAAAAGCACCGAAGCCAGCAGGAAAAATGAAATACGGATGGAAGAAGCAGAGAAGAGCAACAGAAGGAACAGAACGAGAAACGGTGCTTGTTTCTGCTTGGCCCTACAAGAGACAGAGAGCTCCTGCCGCCTTATCCCTCACTTTCTTTTCTTTTTCTGATTTGATTTATTTGATTTTAATTTTCCACTTCTTGCTTGATTTTCGCTTTTTCTTTTATTTATTTTTAATCCGCCATATTATTTTTATTTCTGCCTTCTGATTCGCCCACATCGTGCTTTGCTCCCAACCAGAATGAGGATGGAATGTTCCAACGTCAGTCTGTCGCCCAGTATGTATGATATCGTATCAACCTTATGTTTTATTCTATTTTTTATTTAATCTCTTTTAATTTTATTAGTGTTTAGTTATTCTTTTAATTTATTCATTTATTTCATTACCTTTAATTTATTCATTGACTATCTTTTATTTAATTCATTTTCACGATTCGGGAGTTCGACGTACATCATGTTTCATTCTGCGGTATTGTAGATGGCATCATGAATGATCGACTGTATCCAACTGAAACACATTACATAGTAAGATCAAACCTACCATCCTCTCGACTCTCTCCGTCCTCAGGTATGTTGTGCACAGTTCAGGTACCAGCGCCACTGGATTCATAGCGTTCAAACTGATCGACTGGACCCAGCGCCACCATCTAGGCCATGTCAAACTTTAGTGCATTGTTTTCGAGTAAATACCGTGAGTGGAGAAAAGGTTGGCCAGAATCGAGAATACCTGTTGAGATGCACAGAATCAGGGCCCAAAACTTCGATACATATTAGTGCATCGTTCGACTGCCGATAATGATCGTCCCAGTTTCCACCGTGGTGGGAGTGGGGAAAATAAATAAAAAATAAAAAAATAAATCATCCCACCCTCGCTGTCTGAACCAAGCCCAAACGTACATGCATATTTGAGCAGATAATGTGATGAGGTTATGGTATTTGGGTATTCCAACACGAGAGAAGGTTCTGGTATCAAGTATCAATATTCAATAATATTAAAACGCTCTCTGTAAAACGCTCTCTGTGTTTGCGCGACCGACCGATGGTCTGTGCGGCCCTTGCCCTGGCTGCAGACAGGCAGTGATCTTCGATATTCGACAGCAGGCCAGATCCTGGTTCTGCAATGGGGATTATTGTCCGGCAGTTGTATTAAGAATGAAAGTACCGCTATCTTTACTGTACGGGATAATAATAATAACAATAATAATAATAACAACAACAACAGCAATCGGTATTCCGTACCTCAGTAGGTATTGGATTACTTGTACTGTTCGTCCTGTTACCAGTAACATAGATAAATACCGATTGTATCATAGTAAATCTCGAGCACTGACAGTACTAGCAACTAGTGTCCCATGTCCCATGGGTGAACAGTATTAGCGTCAACCTAGCCGCTCATCCAAGGCTCGGGATTCGTGGCTCCCATCGGGTCACCGCCCCACTCGGTGGGACCGCCCAGAGGCCCCAGACTCCCTCAAACACACCCACTAATGGGCGATCCTCTCTGATCAGACGCACATCATCCCCCCACAACCTCACTCTCAGGAGAAAAAGCAATGATGGATCGTCATTCAGTCAGCAGTCATTGCCTTCTACTCACCACTGTAACTCCAGTTCTGGGCGCGTTCTGCAGGTTTAACAATTTGCTGTTTAATCATCTCCTGCCAGAATGTCTCGCTACAAAGCAGCCAGCCGACCGTCCCCAGCCGCCCCAGCCTATCACTGGCTTTCCAGCTTTCTTTCTCCATGGAAAATCCCAGATACCAGTCATGTAAGCAGCCACTCGGGCCTTCGTTCAGGAACGCTTCGACTATACGGAGCCTATTATGTTTCGATTCTAAGGAATGTGGGCCCCGGGGATCGAGCACTGGAGCACGTCTACTTTAGTACTACCACCGCCACCAGACCACATACTACATACAGACCATCCGGCATCTTTCTCACCTACCGCCTCATCGGGTCCGAGCAAGTCGACCTACTGGATGGAACAATTTCCCTAACATGTCCGGCCGTGGTTGGAAGGACCCGGCCATTCAGTTCCGTTTTGGTCGTGATTTGCGTCCTTATGTTCAAGTGAGACCTTGGGTTTCTGATCTGTCACGCGTCAGTTGGGACTCCAATTCTGGATATGAGACGATGGGGAAATGCCCATTCGTCATGCAAGAATGAACTGAAAACGCCTTGGACTCGACCAGTCCGATTGATTGGAGGGTTCAGGGTCGGTTGTACCACCATGCCCGGGTTGCCACTGAAATCAGAGGCAGCCAGTCGACTTCCTCCATCACCGCTCTGTATGTATCTTCCGAACATCGTGGCATTTCCGATGCTCAAACTCGTGAGATCGTGTACACTCCTCTCTGCTACACGAGATGAAAATCCTTCATCGACATGATGTGTTGTCTACACCTTCTGTCCATTCCAAGTTTTCTTATTTTCTTATTTTTTTTTTTTTTAATTATTATTAATTAATTAATTATTTTTCTTTTCCACCTCACCACCAACGTCACTCTCCCCAGGAACACCCAACCCGCTGCGTGGGAGAACCAGAATGTGCTAGCGTGTGTTGCATTGCAGGGACTGCGGTGTAGTCAACGGCTTTCCCCCCGTATTCTCTCCCCTACGATAGACAACTAAGATAGTAGTGATTCACAATTATTATTACTCGATTCCAATTATGAGCTCGCCCCAACCATCTCATCCATGGTTCATTAGTACGGGTAGCCGGATCCAGCCACTAGGTCCGTAACTTTTAGTTTTGAGTTTGTCCTGGTGGGTTCGTTCCAGTTTTGACAGCTCTCCTAGTCCCCTAGTGCGCAGAACGGCAAACACCGCGACGGTCCGTTCTCGACCACAGACAAGAGGATCCACGAATTTATCCACTGGCGGTAATCAGCCCTGTATGTATCTACTGTGGGACGGATGCCAGTTAGATTGCCTTTGCCTTGTTCTATGGATACAACATCCATATATCAAATATTGTGGCCTCAGCCACAATACTACTACTACCCTAACATACATATATTGGAATGCTGCGCCATATTGTGGCTTGCGTCTATGTGGTATCGACATAATACATTGGTATGGTTGCCTACGCCACAGTCTGTCTCTGCTACAGTACAGCTGTGCCACATTTCGTCATGTCATTATTGTCAATAATCTCCCTTGAGAACCAGAAATTAACATTACTTACTTACTCCGTACCTTACCAATGAAGAATACCTATCTAGGTATCATGGCTGGTACAGATACAGTACCAAGAAAACAATACATAATAGTAGCAACAATAACCAACCCCATGCTTTGTCTTCCCCAGTCGAGCCTCCCCACCCAAAAGCAGTGATCAACGGGCAGACAGTTTGAATTATTCCCTCAAGCCAACCTGTTTGGCTGGTCTCGAAACCGGGTGAAACTTAATCTTGCAGGGGTTGGCTCTCCTTGTCTATTTCCATCGACGTGCAGATACGCTAGTCAATATTGGATAGTACTTTTTATCTGTTAGGTTTTTAGGCATTGTAACTGTCGTCTGCGAGGTCTTCCTGGTCGTGTGGTTGATGGTATTGATCCTACACGAGGATTTCATCATTAATCAGGAGCGGAGGGTTTCTATCGGTCTAGAATGTTTTCTATTTCTTCTATGAAACGGGGCTATCAAGGCCCAGGGTTGCAGATTGCAGATTGAATTAGTTTTTCATGTTGTATTTGAATGACAAGTGTCATTGCATGCAACTACATAACTTGAATCGCCGTTAAACCCTGCCGATCAGGCAAACTGACACCAGCATCATTCCCCATACCTTCATCTGGTCTGAGTCTGTCCTTAGTACTTGCTTGACTTTACTCTGTAAACTCAACTCAGCTCAGCTCGAGTAACAAGCAACACCCCTGCAGCACGGGCCTGCATCCGCAAGGGTGAGTCAATCACCGACTAACCTAACCCCTCGTACCGGAGAATTGAAGCTCATCCATCCCCAGATTTACAATGGGTACCTGCGGTGAAAAAAAGATAATAATAATAATAAAGTAAAACGGAGTAATCCCAAGCGATCTGTTCGTGGGTTCCAGCATTATTGCCAAGCGTTGGGAGAAAAAACTTGATTTCGATCCAATAGATTAATCCACTACCTTATACTATGTACCCTGAAGCTATCTTACTGTCCGTGCCTGTTGTCTGTGCCTGTCTGTGCCATGTCTCCATACGGAGTATATTCATCCCTTTATCAGCGCAGTCCGGGGAATATAGGCGATACATTATCGATTTGACTATTGAAGTCTTAACCGTGGTTAAGTCTACGCCTTTAGATCTCGAGCATGGGGCCACTGGCTGGCTGGGCTAGATCTAGCATGGGGCATGGGCCTAGTATCTTCATGAGGCTGAGGGTACTAATTTGAACAGATGACGTCCCAGCAAGGAAGAATTGATAATCCAAGGAAGGGGCTGCTACATTGCCTGGCCTGGCTTGCAATATACCTGTGTCTCGATATAGACAGTCCAGCCATGATTTTAGATCAGGAGAAATATTTCTGTATAGTAAAAGTATATTCTGCTGCCTATCAGGTATACTGCTACCTACATCGTGGTGGTCTAGCCTCGCCATTGGATATAAACGGTTTCCTCATCCGCCTCGTTCTGGTAAATATAGCATTGATCCAGATGGCACTGAACATCATGCTATGGACATACTTGAATAGCCAATCAATAAACTACCAAACTGCAGGATCTTCACCTGCCAAGAGACACAGATGGTCTCCCATAGCACTCTTTCTTATCTTGATACATGCCGTAATGAAGGAGGGTTACAACCAACCGTGGACCAATATTAGGCCTGTCTCAGACCATGAAACCTAACCCATGCTTCCCATGCTGTCTGTCTCAATTGACCTTATGCAGGGCATGAACCACCTTTTTTTTTTTTTTTTTTTTTTTTTGCCTCCAGCCTGAGTGGCTACTACCGGGGGTTATCTGGGTTCTGTTTTCCTCGGAGGGGTTCCCCATCCATGTTTGGGTTGTCTCTCTTCCCCCCCTCCATCGTATCCCTTGCGTGGTCTTGTTCCCTCCCCCCTCGTAATCATCCAGTTAGAAAATTTATATGAATTCTATGGTTTATTATCTAAGAAATTCGGCTATTAAACCTGGTACGGTATTACTACATTTCAGCACAAGCCAATTACAGCCTTGAATCTGTGCCTCATTCTCTGTAATTTTTTATCCACCTGGGCTGGGGCTGAGATAGCCCTCCTCCCTCGGTTTTATTTTTTCGTTTTAATTTTTTTCTTTTCTTTTCTTTTCTTTTTTCCACTACCCCAATTTGAGTTGCATTGCATTGCATCGCGCTGCAGTGATGATTCAATAAGGTAACGAACACCCTGTGGCTGGTACACACGATACCTTAGCTTTCTACCTAACTCTAGCCCAAAGCCAAAAGTAAATAAAATTAAATTAAATAATAAGAAAATAATTGCTCTCGTGCCCCCAACGAACTCCTGTCCTGCCCAACGGTCAATCTGAATATTACCATACTCCCACTCCCACTCTCACTCTCACTCCCACCACCACTACTACTACTGGTACTAATGCTGCTACTGCTCCTTGACATGCACATTCGTCCTTGCGCATGCATGTACAATACACATATGCACGTATGCACATATGTAGGAACTGACCTCCTCTGATGTCATTAATTGGATCTGATTTATTACCCTTACCCTCCCCTCTACTTTCCTTCTTCATCATGCGCTTGTACGACTCGGATGAAATATCCACCTGGTCTGAGCTTAGTAGGTCAGGCTAGGTTAGTTACCTAGGTAGTAAGGTATTGGAGCTATGGGCAGTATGTAAACATAAACAGTTAGTTAGCAGTCCAATGTGGATGTACATAACGCTCAGGCCTAGATGATCATCGTCTCATCTACTACCTTGTACTTACGACAGAAATCAGCTTGGGCTGGGTGGCTGGGTTGGGTCGTATTGTACGTGCGTGGTCTGCCAGTTGATGGTACCAGTAGGAGGTGTGCCTGTTGGAATGTGGGTTGTGAAAATTTTGGTTTTGCATTTGGGTATGGGAATTATTGGTCGAGTCGAGACTTTGTCTGGGTATGTTGTGGTGGTGTTTGTGTTTGTGTTGCTGTAGATCGTAGATGGAGTGCGATTTATGAGGTATTTCGAGATTGGATTTGGTGGTACAGGAAATATACTCGTTCATTCTGCTGTGATACAGAAGAGATATTTAGATTTGTGCGACTTGCTGTTATATATATAATGGATATCAGATTTATCTGGGATCTGGTATGTCGGAGTAAATATGTTGTGGTTGTCTGTTTACTAGACTTGTTGAAATATATTTGTGGTGACTATACTGCCAAAGTACTATATTGTAGATATAGAAAAAAAAAAAAAAAAAAAAAAAAAAAAACAGAATTGAATTGGCATGGTACTATCTGACGAGTAAAGTATTATCAACAACGTCAGTCTTTTCATCATCCTCTCCATCTAAACTTCCCCGACCATCCTTCAACTCCTCCCCTGTAAACCGGAAACGAGGCCCAAATGCCACCAACGGTTTCTGCTTGGTTAACGGAGCCATCTGGATGGTCTTGCGTAGAAAAAGTCGGATATGAGTTATGATATTCGCCCTAGAGTCCGAGTTCCAATGCATATTGTCGCTTTTGGATACCTGATCCTATCAGCGCTTTCCCCTATTGAAGCTCAGCAAGCTCAGCAACTCACCTTGGACTCGTGGTCAATCTGGATAAAACTGAATATATATCCATCGGTAACGATACCATAAACGGCCACGTTAGTATTTCCCGCTTCCTTTCTGATACGGTGGACCATAGCTGGCAATGTTAGATCAATATAAAACAGTATAATAGCACTCACCCATATACGCAAGGCAATGATCCTTCGCCTGACCATTCACGCTCTGCTTAATCGCAACGACCAGACTCGGTCCCATTTTCTCTGATCCCCTATGCCAAAAGCTATTTTCCGTCTTTGCGGACAGAATCAATTTGCACTGACTGTGCGACTCGATTTCATAGCGAACAGTCGTGTCGCAGCGCAAACTCGGCCAGCCATTCCTCGTGGCTTTGCCAGCCAGAGACATATGACACATGAAGTTTCTCAGCCCGCCTAGGAAGCCTGGCTTTGACGAGGTTGGTTGCTGTGGGACTGTTTTTCCTTCGGCTGCGAAACATGAGATGAGGATTTGCTGGGTGCGGGCTTTAGAGAGACCCAGAGACTGCGCCCAGGCTTGATCGAAATTTTCGAGAGAAGACACTGTTGGCAAACTCGAAATCAGCTCAATCCATCTCTATCCAGCTAGGATGGTTCAGAAGGTTAAATTACCTAGATAGCTGGAAGCTTCTATAAGCCCCTTCTTAGACAGCTTCCAGGCATCAGGTCTTTTATCACGTTTCAAAGTCAACAACGATAGGATCTCTTTTTCTGAAGGGTTCTTGATGAGGAGGGTGAGAGGGGTGGATGTTCCTGGCTCTTTAGATTTAGCCATTGTTTTCTCATTGAAGCATGGCTGATATGAGGTTGACAAGATGAGGGTGAAAGAAGTGGTGGTTGAGGTTGAGGTTGAGGTGTCTGTTTGTAGAAGTCTTGGTGCGCTAGCTGGTACTTCACTCTCTGCAATCCTTAGACCCGAGGTTTCTTCCTTGAGCAAAGTATCACATTCACACAGATCCTATGTACTCCGACGGTCTGACAAGCCAAGTCAATCCTTATCGCCTATGAGCTTGAATACCAACACCAATCGTTTTATTAAACCAAAAATTAGAGGTCTTCAAGTCCTCTGTTGGATTCTTAGGCTCGAGATGGAACTTTCGAAGCATCTGGGGAATCAGCTTGTACATCTCACACATCGAAATCTATCAGATGAGTAACATTAGCATCGTATCATGTTTGAAGAGAGTGTAACTGACATTCTTTCCTAGACAGGTCCTTGATCCTCCACCAAACTGCCGGGCACATTAGCATAATCTCGAAGTGATCGAACGGGCACGGAAGCCATACATGTAGCATATATCGGTTCATCGTCTCAGCGCCAGGCTCCAGCCAGCGCTCAGGTCGATACTCGGCCGCATCCTCTCCGAATACTCCCTTGTCGAAATGGAGGACCGCTGCATTCATGCCGACTTTTGTTCCACCAGGAATCCAGAAGCCTGCCATTTCGCATCCTTCTTTTGGAACATGACGTGGCAGAGTGAACGACACACTGGGATTCATCCTCATACCCTCTTTGACACAGGCGCATAGGTACTGTAACTTGGTGGCTTCACTATAGCGGATATTACCAGGACTGAGGTTTCCCTTTTGTGTTTCCTCGTCGATCTCTTCGGTAAGTTTGGCATATACACGTCGATCCTTCACGAGGTAGTGCATGGTTGATGAGAGAGCAGTTGCTGTCGTGTCACTTCCAGCGAGTCTAAAACACTCAGCATTTGTCTTGCAAATCCCCAAACTTATACTCACAACGCGCTATAGATCTCCGCCTTGATATCGATTTGTTCAAAGTCTGATGCAACACCAGACGTCTCCCAAATCTCAAAAAGCTTCCTCAGAATGTCCCTTCGCTGAGGCTTTCCCCCTCGTTCAGATTGTAGGCGTTCCTCGACACAGCTTCCAGCTTCTCTGTCAATAGCGGCAAGCGATTTCAGTCCTCTTTTGATCGAAGGGAAAAACAACGCCCCACCATAAAGAAACAAGGGTCGTGTATATACGGGCATAATGGAGGCAAGTGCCATGATGGGTACCAGGGTGTCCAGTGAGTAAATATAGTCATCTACATCTCCTTGGTTCTTCATAAAACCGAACATGTTGCTAAAGTATAGCTCTCCGATTACGTCGAAGGCGTATCTAAGAGAATGAGCTTATAGGTAGGATTGGAAAGGGTAAGTGACCTACAATCGAGCCCATGTCGAAAAGTCAAGCACCTCCTTCCTGTCTGCAAACCCATCAAGTTGCTCCAGAAACAACGCAACACATTTGTCGATATACTCTTCGGACTCCACGATGCTCGACATGGAGTAAACAGGGTTGACAATTTTTCGTCGCTCAGAATGGACCTTCTCATCCAAGGATGCAAAGTGATCCGGGTGTCTCACTATAAAGCGTCAATCAAAACCATATTACTGGTGAGATGTGAGAGATGCTTACCAAACGTAGGCTTCCAAACCGTATAGAAGTCCGTCTGTTGATAAACCAGTCAATACCAGAAAGGCAACATTCAATGAGAAAAGAGAAATACTTTTGTAAACCCAGTATTAGTCCCATATATAATCTTCATAGCCTGCGGATCGCTGATCGAAAGTTCATCAGGTGCTATTCGAACGATAGGCCCTATACAATACATGTATCAGCGTGAGCCCTACACACGAAGCCAAACGAACCATATTTCTCATGCAACCGTCTCTCCCTTTTTTCTGCCTTTCCAGTCAAAACATGGAGAAAAATCCATAACCTCGATAGAGAGGCGCCCAACGGGCCCGGGAATTTCGATAGACTGTGGACTTTCGTGGTATAAAACCCCCAAGTAACCACCAAGGCCAAGCCTGTGGCTACAAAGGGAAGAGGACCACCCGAAGAAATAATGGAAAGAATATCTTGAAGCATCGTGGTATAGAATTATACGTATGTATACTCTCGAATATCATCGATATAATGCCGTTTATCCCTTCGAATCGAGCAAACACCCAACCCCCCGAAGGACACACCATCTTTATACCCCATCAATCCACCCAATTTTTTCAGCTTCTGCTTCAATAATGCATATGAAAGCATGTGGTATCCTTTCGACAAAAGTACGAAATACTACCCACAACCCCTCTTTGACGCCGAGATATAGGTGCGGGGTTGTCTAACATGGATTATTAGCTTGCCATTTCTGCAGCGGTAGACTTAATAGGCAATTGCACGGTTTGAAAATGGGTATATTTCATAATATACCTGTCTATATCTGCCTATGGTATGAAGGAATTAGCAATCGATTGTATGCGCTGATCCCTGGCCGGAGACAGCACACGTCACCGAATCTGTCGAACCTTTGTCTTATTAGCAGACTGCAGTGGTCGGTTGATATACTCATGCTCGTACTAATGACTGCGAATTGACCTCAACAGATTGCTTCCTATTCACTCAATCTCGATCATATTTAAACATCATAGAATCTGGCAACATAAACGCACTCAAAGGGAACTAAACTCCTGTACAAAATGGTATCAAGTCTGTTTCTTGGTCCCCCATCACCTTTACCCCGTTCCCGATTGTTACAATCACCAAGCATAAATCAAAAGACAAAGATGAAGAAAAAAAAAGCATAAGTCAAAAAAAGAGAACATGAAAACAAACGCCGGCCTCTTTGATTTGATCCCTGTACAGTCTCCAAATGACGATGACGAAAAGTAAGAATAACCTCCCACGAACCCCAACTCGAAAGGATGCAATGGTACGTAGGAGTCGGTAAAAATTCAATGCAAGAAAACAAGAAGAGAAAAGAAAAGGAGAAAAAAAAAGATAATTGCAAGAAACCTGTCGCTTTCCCTCCAAAATCGCTAAAGAACATCAAGAATATTAATTCCCTCTTCCCATCATGTTCTGCTGTTGTTGCATTACTTGAGCTTGAACTTGGGCAACTTGGGAAGCACGCTGCTGTTGAGCGGCTTCTCGCTCCCGTCGCATGATTTCTTGAACCCACGCTTTGGCGCTCCGTTCGAGCCCGATACCGTACTGCTGTGCAATTTGCGGTGGGTACTGAGTAGGCGATCCGTACTGGGCCATGAAGCGGGTGGCCATTTCATGCCGTAACCGAAGTAACCGCTGCTGGTAGAGGTGATTGTATCGCTGCGCCATGTTGACACCTTGGAAATTTTGGGGAATATGACCCCCGTTGGCTTGTGCGGCTGCCATCAAAATCTGCTGTTGCTGCTGTTGAGGCGTCATTTGCGGACTGCCCTGGTGCACCTGGTTTTGCTGGCCCTGAGATTGGCCTTGCGTTTGTTGCTGTTGCTGCTGATGCTGGGCCATTTGCATCTGCGCAAGCTGTGCACGCATCAGTTGTGCCTGGTATACCTGCTGGTTCGGAGCCTTTTGCTGCTGGTTTTGATGGTTCTGCTGCTGAGCTTGCAGCATTTGTTGCTGGTGTGATTGAATATTTTGTTGGGCATGCACATTCGCCTGCAGTTGAGCAACCTGCTGAGGCGTAAATTGGGAGTTGCCAAGATTTTGTTGCGCTATTATTTGTTGCTGCCTTTGCTGCAGCAATAATTGCTGTTGCTGAGGTGTAAGACCGCCCATGCCACCGCCCATCTGTGGAGGCATAATAGGTTGATTCATCGCAGGTGTTTGAGTTATGGAATTGGTCGGACTTCCGTGGTTTATTCTCTGCGTAGGAGTAACATTGCGCATGATTGGGGTTGCATGAGACATAGCTGGAGTCGTCCCTTGACCCATCTGGGGCGTCCCGTGTCGACTGGGTCCTTGTTGGCTCCTTGAGGGAGCCATTGGATGGCTCATGACATTTGGATGAGCGTGCTGTAAAGCAGATGGTGGTCGTGGAGGACTGCCAGCTCCTTGGGCGGAAGACGATATGCTCATGGGAACGCCCGCTTGTGTTACCATTGTATTTCCGACCAGCGGAGATGAGGTATTGTGAGGAGTCTGGTTGCGAACCACCGGCGAAGTCTGCGGCGCTTGACTGACACCATTCGCCTGAGCCATGACATGTCGATTCTGCTGCTGGGCGGCTGCAAGCTGGGCCTGGGCCTGTTGAGCAGCGAGCTGCTGTCTGCGAGTTTCTTCCTTGGCATGCTCCTCGGCTTGCCGCTGTTCCAGTGCACGGCGACGCTCCCGCTCTTGCTCCTGTTGTTGCCGCTTGGCCATTTCTTGCTTGAGCTTGATTTCGTGCTCCCGTTTCGCCTTTTCTTCATGTTGCATCCGAATGTTCTCAAGTGTCTTGAATCGGGAGAAACGTGGCTCGAAGGATGCCGTGCCACCTGCATCATCAACAACAGCAGATTTCGATGCTCCTGCAGCCCCTGATGTAGTTGGCTCCAGTCTCTCGTCCATAATAAGCATAAATCTCTCTTCCTCGGCCGCCAAGGCCTCATCGGCAGCAAGTTCGGCCACGGTTCGCTTCCTTCTCTTCGGCGATGGTGGCGGTTCGCGATGCTGTGGGCTTTCAAGAAATTTCAGTAGATCTTGTGCAGCCTCTAAACTGTCTACGGGGTCCAGGAAGAGAGGTGGTGCCAACGCTCTGGTCAGTTTCGATTCACAATGAGGCAAGTCCTGCGGTTCAACCAGCATTTTTTGCCTCTTTGGAGCCGGTGCACGGTCAGGTTGATTTCCCGATGTGCCTGGAGATGTCGAGTTCGGGGGTAATGGTTTTGGTGCTTTTGGATCAGGTGTAGTGGCCAGCAGAGTCAACTCCGCTTGCAATGAACGGGGAGTAGGATGGAGGACGGTTGTGAACACTCGAGGTTTTGTTACAGCGTTCTTCTGCTGAGTAGCAGCGGCCGACTCGGCTTCTTTCCCACCTTGGGATCCAGATGGGTTCCCGTTAGTCTTAACATCGGAATGGCTTCCAGTGTCCGACTCAGTTTTTGTGACCGGCTTCTCTGAAGTCAATTGATTTTGTTTCGGATACGGAACAAATGCTGAAGGAGTGACATGTTCATTGTAGTTGTGGATGGAGAATGGGGTATTATTTTCGTTCGTCGACGGAGCGGTTGATTTCCTAGCTTGCGCAGATGCCGACTTGTGATCGACCACACGAACAATGAGGCAGCCTGGAAGGGGACTTGTTTTAGTATGGTATTACTGCAGCCTAAAGCGATGACAGTCAAAGTTACCTTCATAAAATCGAACATTGGCTCGCAGGAGCTCTTCTATCATATCATGGGGAACAGTTCCTGCGCGGATATGTTCAATGATGACCTTCATCTCAGAGTTATAAGGAAAGCTTCCATCTTGTTGCTCAAAACGGAAATGAGTCGGATGTAAATGAACGATGAGAGAGGGAGGAGATCTGGAGAATTTTTTGAGTATATGGGAGGTTGTTTTGACTGCAGAAAAACACCATTATCAGTAAACAGGGGCCGCGCGATCTCACTAAGCAATAAACAGGCCAGCAGCTCACCATATGGCTCGGGACAATTTTTGCCTATGCGACCCTCATTTTCCGTTGCTGTTGTCCTCCCGGACGGCCTTTGTAATCGCATAGACTGGTCGCCCAACTTTTGCGCATCCTTCTTGGACCGGTTCAGGGGACCCTTGTTCGTGATATTGGTCGAATTGACCACGCCATTCACGCCATTCGAGACCGAGAAATTAGTCGAACCTGCAGCAGCTGATTGACCTGATCCAGGAAGACGTTTCGAAGTGGTAGGAGGGGAGGACGAGGTCTGGTGAGGTTTGACCCCGTTGACCCCGGCCTGAGCGAAAGGCGGGGGCGGCCGCTTCATCTTGGGGGGGTGGGAGGCGGGAGTTGAGACGGCCGTTGCCATGATGTCGACACAGGCTGTGCGACGCGGCTACAGCCAGCAGATTGCCGATGCGACTTATCGGGAGGTGGGTTTTAGGATAGTAAACGCAGGCCGTGCTCCGGAAATCGATGAGATAGCCGATGCGCGAGGCATGTGGGGAGCGGAGGACGGGACCGGACAACAACGAAGTGGCCGGAGTCGATGCGGAAACTTTCCCAAAGGCCAGAGCCGTTACAGACAGGATATACCGATGTCCATGAAACAGGAACCTGCGCGGAGGTCGAGAGAGGAGAGGGTCGATTTGGCGATGGCGGCCGGACGAAGGTGAGGCTCTGCAGAGGGAGTTGGCGATGCCAAGCCACGGGCGACAAGAAGGGAAGCTCACATGACTACCGGATCGGGTTAGTGTCTATCATCCTTTCTGAGAGTGAATCTATGGATTCATTTATCCATTCAAGCATTCTATTGTTTTAATAGCTACTATGTTGTATATTGAGGGCAATGAACAAAGAAGTGATCTAGAAGGGAAAGATCCAATACAAAGAAGTGCACCAATGTCTTTCAATGGCTTAACAACTGCAGAAGAATAGTTGACGTCAATAGTAAAGTTGTTGGGTGAACAGTTATATGCATTGATTACTTTTATTCAAAGTGAATCCATATCACGCTGAAATGAATGGCAAGAGTGTTGAGAGTCATCATCCAATGTCCCAACTGGAAACATTAGTGGTAAAAACAATATCATAAAGTCAAGGGGGAATCAAATCAGTCATCAGTAAGGGAAAACAAGGGGAAAGCGTAAGAAATACAGGTATAAACATCAGAGCAGTAAGCGTATTAACATAGGCTCTAGAGTCCTCTGCGGATCTCGAACCTTCTAGTCGTGACCTTGTACTCTTCGTCGCCAGTCGTCTCCGGTGCGAAGGACATCCACCACATCAATGCGTTTGCCGATGCCGGTGGTGCCTTCTCTCTCCCACCATTTTTCTCCGTTGTCAGCGAGGGCTGATTCATCCTCACTGTCGATGAGACCGCCGCGACCGCCTTCGTCGCCTACGACAACGACCACTTGTCTGACCCATCCAGAAATATGGTGGACAGGGTCCCCATCGCTGCCGGTTAGGGACTCCTGGACATATACAATGTCTGGTGAGAGGTGGCGCACAAGGTGCACGTATCCAGTGGCACTGTTGAAGGGCATGATCATGGTCTCCTTATCAACAATGGCTGAGGCTTGGGTGTACAGGGTCTTGAAGAAAGGGGTGCCGTCATCATCCATCTGGCTGGGTTCGACAGTGGGCAGCTCGCTAGGAGATGCGGCTTCTTCGGGGGCAATGTTCGAGTAGGATGAGGTAACAGACACGGGTTGGTTGGATGAGCTACCTTGTCCGGGAGCGTGCTTAAGCTCAGGTGCATAGATCAAGACAAAAACCTTGGCAGTATCAGGATTAACGTGCTCGGGAAGGTGCGAAAGGATAGACTGCAGGCATTGTCAGCGAGTAAATTCAAAAGTATGAGTTGAGGATAGCTTACAGCATGCTCGGAAGAGAAATCCTCAGGACCACGCCGCGATCCTTCAGAAGAAACAACAATTGCCACTGTCTTCTTCCTGTCAAGGGAAGACTGGCCGGTGCGAGTCGGGAGAGCTCCACTCATCGTTGGAGCAGCCGCCGCCTGGTTCCTTTCGTCGGCCCTGGAACGCACTTCCTCAGACCATCTCGAATGGTCTTCGAAGTCGCCCCTATCTTCCTCTCGAATCGATGTCAGAGCACCACCCACGAAAGCGCCCGCAGCGGCCATGCCGGCCGCAACTCTCTTGCTGGCGCCGTCGAGGATCTGCTGGGGACTGGGTGTACGGCGCAAAGCGCCCTGCATTCGAGCCATCATGCTAGCATCGTCCGGGATGTCGCTCCGGAGATCTGTAGCTGTGCTTCTGCCATAGCCTGAATCGATTCCAGCAGGCGGCAGCTCTTCCCCACCAAGGGTTGACGCGGGGAAATCTCCATATTGTTCGTCATCATCTCCATCGTGATCGGCTTCATCATCTTCATCACTGCGTTCGCTCCATACCCAGGCCGCAATTCCAGCGGTTGCGACGCCGACCGTCAAGGCCAGAGGGACCCAATACCCCAGGACGGTTCGCCGACCCGACGAGCTGAACCCAGCGCCAGCTCCGATACGCCGACGGCGAGCATCCGGAGAGTAGAAAGACATTGCGGTCACGAACGATCAATTAAAAGTGGCGCATAGAAAAACCGGTGAGTCGCGATGCGCGCAAGTCCCATTTCAAGCTTGCCTTCAAGATGGGGTGGTTGGTTGGAGGAGACGAGAAAGGAGGCAGGATGCAGGTCGATGGGCCTCGGAGGAACCGAGAAACATGTGGCTGGTGATGGTTTCTGGGGGAGTCTGTTTACCGCGGTGTTTACACGATGTTACGTTACGGTATGGTCAGGGTGTTTGCAGTGTTTGCCTGGTAGAGGATTAGTCAGTAATGAGTCAGCAGTTGCTATCGGCACGTGATAGTGGGCTGCCGAAAAAAAGAAGGTCAATTGTCGGATGGTTTGAGTCAGAGAAGGACAGGAAGAGGAAAACAGCACGATCGAGTTTGTGATATTCAACTCCACGGCAGAGACGGAGAACCTGTCGTGCAGCGATTGGCATTTCGGTGGTTTTTTCAGATCCCACGCACTCTAGGAGCTCACCCTATTGCAATTGTCTTCCCCTCATCCCCGCGGTGATTATCACCAGATTGCCAGGTCCCTAGTCGGATCTCTCTGTACGAATCCTAGCAGCATTTAGACTGTGGGGAATAGTTAGAAAGCATAGCCGGTTTTGTGTTTTACAGCTTTTGTCACAATGCCGCACTCGGTTCCTGTGCCCCCAACGGGCTTCCAGGCCGTCATCTTGTGTGGCCCTGGAGTTTCCCTCAACACCTTTACTTCCAACCCTGAGGAATTCCCGAAGGCTTTGATTCCGATTGCTAACCGTCCTATGGTGTGGTATCCGTTGGACTGGTGCTATCGGATGGGAATCACAAGTGAGTAGCCTTGCCGGGCTATCTGATTGAGTATACTAATGAATATAGATATTACATTGGTTACTCCTCCTGCTAGTCGGGCGCCTTTGGAGGCTGCTCTTTCACAAAATCCTCATCTGACATCACTGCCATCACCATCGCCGTCTGTTTTGGCACCAAAAGACTTGGCTCTAACTACAGGAACGGCGGAGCTACTCCGTCTTCCAGAAGTCCAGTCATGCATCAAATCCGACTTCCTTCTGCTTCCCTGTGATCTCATCTGCGATATTCCGGGTGAATCTCTTCTAGAAGCCTGGATGGTGTCTCAAAGTGCCTTGGGAGGTTCTACTCTTCGTGATGGCCGTAACACCCACAGCCCGAGGACTGCCGGAATGGGTGGTGAAGCGGGAGGTCGTCGGGGCGGTCTAGGAGTGTATTACCAGACTCAAGGCCGGGAAGAGAGTGTAAAGGGTGAGGTCACAGACTTTGTGGCTACCACACCGCTTGAGCAGGATGAGGCACCAGCAGTTTCTCATCCGTTGGACGGACCAGCTGCTTTGAGGTTTGGGCTGTCGAAGCTTGTTCTCGGCATGCCCATGGACACATTGAAGGAAAAGATGGAAGACGACAAGGGATTCCTCATCCGTCATTCGCTTGTGCAAAAACATGCCAAGGTGAAGATGTTGACCAGCTATAGGGATGCCCACATCTATGTCTTCCCCAAGTGGGTTAAAGACCTGGCAAATCTTAATGAGAAATTCGAGAGTGTCAGTGAAGATCTGGTTGGCTGGTGGGCCAAGTCAGGATGGCAGACTGGATTGGGAGAGAAGCTTCGACTGCATGAGATCTTGTCGCCGGAGAGTAATCAATCCGGGGAAACTGGCAGCTACGATGGCGACTCGCTCGAAGAGGAAATCGACCTCAAAGCTATGAGCACCACCAAGGCCGGTGCTGGCACATCCCGGGATGAAAGTTTCTCTGAAGTCGTTCCGGAATTCCAATTCGCCTCCCGTGCGCAGACATTTGGCTCGGATTCCAACTCGGAGACAGCCGAAACGGGCAAGCTCACAGTCCCACCGATGCTGGCCTACGTTCACTCCTCTCAACCTTCCGCCCCTATGATCCGACGTATCGACAGCTCCGCCCTCCTCCTCTCTGTCTCTCTCCGCCTCGCCAAGCTTGAGCCGATCGAAGAGGTTGGCCGAACGGCCGCTTCGCCATTCGCGCACAACCAGAAGGTCGCATACCCTGCTGGTGTGGCTCAACGATGCACAGTGACCAAGGCCGACTGCCTCCTCGCCGACAACGTGACCATCGAAGAGAAATGTGTGGTCAAGGAATCTGTCATTGGCGCTAACTGCCACATCGCCAGTGGTGCCCGGTTGACACGATGCTTGATCATGGATGGAGCGGTGGTTGGAGAACGGTGTCAACTCACCGGCTGTATCGTCGGCCGACGGAGTAAGATCGGCCGTGAGAGTGTACTGAAGGACTGCGAGGTCCAAGACGGAAACGTGGTCCCTGACGACACGGACGCAAAGAATGAGAAATTCATGGTCTTTGAGGGACTAGACGAGGAGGGCGAGGACGGAATGGACGTATCGGAGGATTTCGACGCCGATGGCGATGATTTGGGATTCTGATTTTACGGGGTTAATTCTTCATGCTTGTAATGGGATAGATGAAATGTCATGATGACTAGATAAAATGGACTAGACATGAGTATTATACCAGATATACCATCTATATCAGCCTTAACGCCATCCACATGCAACGATGCAACACCCAACCAAATCCATATATCCAACGCCAACGCTAAAAAAGAAGAACTTAATATCCTACCCACCCCTCGCCTCCGCCTTCAACTCTTGTATACGCGGAGGCACAGCGACAGCACCCGACTGCATCTCGGTAACCAGGTACGCCTTTCGTTCAAGAACAGGTTTAGATGGTTTCCGTGGTGGTTTCGCCGGTTTTGTTATTTTTGCCCTTGCCTTGGGTGGTGAGCGAGGCGGACTCGGACTTGGACTTGAACTGGGTCTTGATCTTGGTCTTGGTCTTGGTTTGGTGTAGGATTGATTGTCGATTGTGTCTGGTGGTATGGGTGTGGGTGAGCGCTGTCGTTGCTGCTGTCCTTGCTGTGATTGCGATTGCGATTGCGATTGTATCGACTCATCCACCCCAGCAAATATATTATCCAACGAATCCACAGAATCAACCGTATAGTAATAATTCCCTGGCCAAAAAACCGCATCCGGGCCCCAATTCAACGCCCTCTGACTAAACGGCGTATTCGCCGAACAATCCAACTCCCCCTCCTCAATCCCAGCAACGAACTCAACAACCTCATCAACAGAGAAAAACTCCTCACCCCGCGCCCCCCTCCTCTCCATCTCCTCCAGCACGGATAGATACTCCCTCGCGCTGTCTTCGCACGTATACGACGCGGCCCCCGGCTGATTCCACCGTTTGTGGTCTCCGCGCGCGTAGAACCGCGCTATCATGTCTAGGAAGCCTGGGTGGGAGATTTCGGCGCCCAGGATGAAGGCGAGGGTTTGGGCTGTTAGGAGGTTGGCTTTGAGGTATGGTATCGCTTGATTCAGGTGCGGTGGTGGTGGGTGTTGGTGTTGGGGTCGGCAGAGGGTGCATGGTTCTGAGACGATGGCGACAGAGGTGGGATCGTGGGGATGGACGATTGTTGTAGATGTAGACGTGAGGGCGCAGGTGAGGGTTTGGAGGATGAGATGGTCGCAGTTGTGCCAGAAGACGGCTAGTTGGCACATGGTGATTTTTTGATATTCAGATTGGATGGTAGTGTGAGTGTTGAGGGGTGGTGGTGTTTTGTAGAGACATGTTGATAGATAGATTGGAGGAGAGGATAGAGGAGGAGGAGGAGGATGAATAGAACAATGAATGGCTGATGTTTCTATTGTCAGTCAATTGTCTCTATTCAAAGACTCAAAGGGGAATGCGACATCTGTTGAATGGGGGTGTCATTCACTGACTCTGCGGCATTGTGTATTGTTCGGGACTTGAGACATGTCTGTCTGGGACAGGACAGGTTGATAATGAAGCGTTTGGGATAGTCTCATATGGAGTGTAGATAGGAAGAATCTATAATATATAAAGCCTGATAGATCAATGTCAATTGAACCGTAGTATCATCAGGTCCAACCTTGATCCATACTACCTCTACCTCCTCTGCAACGACTATCCCACAATGTCTCCAACACAAGCAGACAACCTCCCAGCAGAGCCCATCAAGCTCAACCCCATCCGCGAAACCCTCTACGACGAAAACAACTACTGGACCTGGCTCTCCAAGATCAAATCAGCCCTCGAAACGCACAACCTACAAGACCTCACCAACCCAACCATCCCACGCCCCATCGACCCATCCCCTCAATACGAACACTGGAAACGCACCTCCCAACACGTCGGCCTCTGGCTACGCATGAACCTCAGCCCAGCCGTGCTGAAAACCCTCAAAACAACCCTCTACGCAGACGACACCTTCTCCATCATCCAAACCCTCATCCTGGGCGACATGAGCGTCCGCCCGAAACAAGTCTGGAAGAAGGCCATTTCTACCCGGCGCTGCCAGTTCGCTACGGTTGAGGAATACGTCGAGACGTTTCGGTTGCTGGTTCATGAGGCGAATGTGCTCAAGGCGCCGATTTCTGGATACTGTGCGGCGATGCTGTTGTTGGGGGAGGTGAGGGGGGAAATGCCGCTTTGGGCGTGTCTGATGGAGTTGAAAGTTACGGGGGATGAGGAGCCGGTTGAGATGACAGAGACGGAGTTTGGGGGGCTATGTGAGGGGGTTCTTGGGCAGTTGAGGGTGAAGCGGAGGATTGAGGCTGTTTGTAATTGATATTGTCTATATACATGGTCTGGATATGATAATATATAGAAGATGGACTAGGATGCAGGAACACGTGGGGTGAGATATATGTCGAGCTGTTAACAAGTTATGAAGAACTATTTATATAGTATGGCAGATGATATGGACTGCAGAATGTCACGGATGCAGTTCCGGCAATATATCACATTTAGTTAATATGGCACTTCATATATTCATATTGGAGATAAACAGTGGGTCCATGGCATGACAGACGAACCATTTAATATACGGAGCAGCAGACTGAGGATAGTTAGCAGCAGTGCTAAAGTACTCTTATCAACCGTCAACTTGTCCTGGACAGGAATATACCCCGCCTGGTTTCCTTCCTCTTCCGGCGAGGTGCATAGCAGATATTACCTTAGACAACTCGTTGCCTGTCGCTGAAAGGAATGGGGATATTTTCATATCCTTGCTAGATACAAGACAGATGCCAGGTACGTGTCCTCTTGATTGGCGGCACAATTACACGAGAAATGGGAATAGCAGCATGGATGTTGGACGGACATCATCTGACATCTGTACGCGTAGCGACCGTATTTTCTTCTTTCTTTCGTCTTCTCCACACTTGGCTTTCCCCGGATCATGGATGGATGCAATTACTGCTCGTATCCTCGTCGGTCGCATGTATGGCGTTTCTTATGGACTGGGATTAGGATCACCCAAGGCAATGGTTCCATTCTTGGCTGTGTGCATGAACGATTTCAACGTTTTTTTCTTTTTTTCTTTTTATGTACGCATACATCGTACACTCTAGGAGTTATCGGGAACATCACATCATATCAAGGCTCCGTTTTAGCCCGAGGTCTGTTCGTCGGGTAATTTGCCTGATTCACTACCAGTCTACTACGGAGTACACAGACTGTAGTCTGTACAAATAATAAAGACAAAGAATGCTGTCATGATAAGATCCGAAGAATCTGTGCTCCTGGCGATAATAAGTACCGAGTGGTGTCCTCGACAACTGTCCTACAAATGATGTGCATCGAGACGATCATTGCCCATCTTTATTTTCGCAAACGGCAGATGTGGAGCACGCCTTGACTCGTGAGAGAGCAGCACAGAAGCACACAGTGTCAGAGCACACAAAAGAAGCCAGACGAGACGAAATGGCGATTTGCTAGCGACCACTGGGGCGTGTCGATCACGCGGGAACTCCTTACGTGGATCGGCATGTTGAGGGGCAGAAATGGAGATAGTCGAGGATACCCAGATAAGAGGGTGTTATTTCGTGTTTTCTGCTGGGTGATTCCATGGATGGGAATATGGGATATATAGATGGTGAAGCACGCATGCGGAAGTGTTTGGGGTAGATTTGAATATTTGAACTGAAGTTCGGTGAGAATGAAGATTTGATTTATGATTGTGTGGCGAAGCGAAGCTATTGGCGTCCCTCGCTTGAGTGCATTTCCAAGGTATGAGGATGGTTTATGTGCTGTACTATATGAGCTTGTCCATGCAGATATTATCCGATATCATATGCACAACATTATCAGTAACTGAATAAATGTCGAGATGATGGGAAGACTATTGCTACAGCTGATTGCAACATGTAGAGTGATTTTCTCGGAATCCGACTCAGCCTGCCACACGATTAGGTTGGTGGAACAGCGCATCCATGGTTCTGCCAGGCACAGACAGCTAGCTAGTTGTGAAGGTATAGCTAGAGGGGATTCAGTTGGGGCATAACTGAATACATAATTGCCGACCAATATGTCCAGAAGTACTGTACAAAATACAACCGATGATAATAATAGATAGACTGTTTCTCCGACCTTCCGTGCTTGAATCGGCAACAGTAAGAATACATAGCAGCCAACAACTATAGCACGTTCATATCATATCATATACTATAGTATCTCTTCTTCTTCAATATTATAATTATTATCTTCTTCTTATTCTTTTTCTTCTCCCTCTTCATCTTCATCTTCTTCTCATCTCCTTCGTATTCTTATTATCTTAATCATGTATGATCGGCCCACTGCGCTAACGCCTTAGTCTGCTGGCTAAACCGTCCAACCGTCACGACTGGCTTTCCCCCCTTAAGAGGATTCAGGAGAACGAGGGACGATAGTTGCATGATGCTGTAGCAATATCAGATTTTTATTCTCTTCCTATAATACCGTTATTTTATCACGATCTGATACTTGGAATAAAAATTGAAACACTCAGCATAAAAAATAAAATAAAAATAATTATTCACGGTGTGTCTTGCATTTTTTTTTTTCTCGCGTTGTCTGGAAAATCCCGTCCGACTCCGCCTTCTGCTGTCTGTCACTCACTCTCTTGTCACTCTCTCGTCGCTCTCCTGGCCATCCTCACCTCCCAATAATCTCCCTAATTCCTCCTCCTCTTCCTCACCTTCAACCCCTCTCCCTCCTCTCCATCTCTTCCTCTCCGACTCTCCGACTCTCTTTTCTCTTTCTTCTTCTCTATTCTCTTCTTTTTCCACCCCTCCCTTTCCCCCCCTCCTCCCCCCGATCTTCATCTCCCCCATCCCCATTCCAGGTGAACGGCCCATTTTCTGCCTCATCAGAAGATCAGGTGTCTTTCCTCGGATCGGTCTTCGCTTCTCTTCTCGTCTTTTACTGTCTTCTTTTCTTGTCCATCTTCCGTTCTTGTACATGGCTCGACCACTTTAGACAACGTCTGCCATCCCGGAGCCTTGTGTTCCTTTCGTCTTACCTTTTTTTTTTTTCCTTCGCCAATTCCACCTGCAAATCATCTCATTCGAGCCTTTCATTTCTTTACTTCAGCATTCCTTTCTGCATCCACATAAGCGTTTCTCTTAATTGTTGTATCAATATAATTCGCGTTCGCCGTTAGACAGGTACCCATCCCCCCACGGAGCGGCCAAAAAAATTTACCCAACTATCCCAGTCCTTATCTACGCTGTTTTCATTCTGATATACATCTAACATATTATTCTATAGAAGTCGCTTTGGTTTCTTTGTCCTTTCGATTTACCCCCCTTACCACGACTGTTTGCTGCGAATTCATTGCGAGTTGGTTCCCCTGTCGAGATACCCATTCAGTCGCAAAATACGCGTCAAAAAAACCATCCAAAAAATTGGTGGAGGAGAACATCATGGCTGCTTTGGTTCAGACCATTCCCCAGCAAAGTGGCACGGTTTCTGTGCTTCAAACTCGCCCCTCTTCGTCCTCTGGCACCTTCACATCTGCACCTCAGCCCTCGCAACAACAGAATCCCCGCAACCCAGCAATGTCTTGGAATACATACAACACAGTCGGCAGCTCTGGGAGCTATAGATCAGGTCACCAGGTTGTGGCCCCCTACGCTTTCACCAGCACCCCCAGCCTTTCCAATTCCGTCAACGCGCAGAACCGTCAGTCGTGGTCCCCGCATCTGAGGCCAGAACATCGAACATCTTCTGCCCCTTCCGTGCCCCAAGAGTCTCACAGTACCGCCCACGTCGGCCCCAACTCGCGTTCCGTGAATCATCCTGCAGCTGGCTCTGTATCTACTTCCTCTTCCGATTCTTCCCTTCAATCCCACGGGTCCAAAGACGACACTGCGATCCCCTCTCGGCTCCACACTGAGCAGCCTCTTCGCCCTTTATCCACCGCCAACCTCCCTTCCCCTACTCCCTCCTTCATGAACATCTCTTCACCTACGGTTGCTAAACCGTCTCCCGATCGTTATCGTCGTGGAAATCGACGCTCAGATGGTGCCGCCGGCGCCCAGTCGCCTGCGACAGCCTCGACCGTGTCTGGACCCCCCAGGATGATGGACGATCAGTCGGCACAATCAAAGGGCTTGGCTCCTCGCAGCAGACCTCATATCCGGGTATCGAGTGCCGATGACACTGCTCGTGCAGACAAACCACAAGCCGAACTTGCCAAGCGATACAGGCGTCGGAGCTGGGGAACTATTGATAATGCTGGCCTCATTAACCTACAGCTTCACTTGCCCTCATCGCCAACGCCAACCCCGGGCGCACAAGATTATTTCGACCCGAACACCCGACCGCGATCGCCCCCATCCCAGAAAGAGGCCCCGGGAAGCATTCGCTCTACAAACTCGTCGACTTCGTCTTCGGCGCGCGAGTCAGCACCCACCGATCCGACATCCGCTTCCAACAAGAGTGTGACCAAATCAGATGACTCGAAGCGAACCAACAAACCCTCCCCTCTATCTCAACCCGCTTCTGCAGAGACAAGTTCCCCGAAGCCTGCTGCTGCTGCTGCTGCTGCTGCACAGCCCCCGAAGGAGAGCGCACCCTCCATTGCTCCCACGGAAAGCCTCGCAACAAAACGCCTGGCTGAGATCACGAGAAACGATTCCAAAGGTCCTGGCAAATCCAGGTTGCGGAGGGCATTCTCGTTTGGAAGCGCTTCGGAGCTTCTCAAGGCGTCGCAACAGAGCAGTGCAAGCAAAAGGGAGGCGATGGCTTTGGAGCAGGCTCGTAGGGATATGCTCAAGGAGGAACTTGGCCCCGAGCAAGCTGCTATTGCTGAACAGCAAGAAGCAAGTGGGCTGGGCGAGAGTATCTATTCGCACCACCAAGGGCACTTCTTCAATCGCTCCACAGATAATCTCTCCGTTTCCTCCACAGCCTCCTCTGCTTCGGTTATGCTTCGGAAGATGGGCAAAGGGATGAAGAGGTCTACGCGCTCGCTAGTCGGATTGTTCCGTCCCAAGTCCGTTATGAGCTCAAAGTCGACCGATGGTGTCCTTGAGCCGATGAATCCTCAACTGTCGGTAGTCAATATTGAAGCGGACAGAGCAAGCGTCACCGCAAACGCAGATCCCCAGGACCTCCCCCACGGTGGTACTGTATTCCCCAAAATGGAGCCTGCTGCAGATACAAAGGGCGCGCCAGGCAGCGAGAACGCCGACAAAGGCCAATCGCGTAAAAGCATCGTGGGAGGAGACAGGGAACGAGCAGAGGTCCTAGCGGCCGTTAGAAAGGGAATTTTGAAAAGTACGTTGGCTCTCGTATAAATAGGTGATCGTTGGCTAATTCTTCTAGAAACATATTCTGATCTCGGTGTCTCTTCGCCAGCAGCCAAGGTCGCTGAAAGTAGTGACTCGCCGCACTCGAGTGCTCCTAGCACCCCCGAAGACCAGACGCGATCTGGAAACCGACGCGGCGATGGGGTTAAGATTGCTGGCGAGGACTATTTCTCGGAGGGACGATTGAACGGTGCTGAATCTAAGAGTGCACCCATCACTCCTCAGGCCATGGCCCCGAAAAGTCTCATCTTCAGCCCTCGGATCCAGTTCCACGAGACATGGCCGAGTGGCGAGTACGACCGACGCGGAGAGATTGCTACATGCAACCGGTTGACTCCTCTTCTTGCTCAGCAGATCAAGGAGGAGCTCAACAACTTCAAAATGGTTAGTAAGACAATCTGAGTTCAACTTGATTGTTATTAATATCTTCTAGGAGATGGAAGTTCACGAGACTTCGAAAGTTTACACCCACTTCCTTTAAACCTCTGAACCGTTGCATTATTTCAAATGGCGTTTGTTTCTGCATGACTGGTGTCATATTTATCTTTCTCCCTGACGACTGTTGGATCTCTGAACGGTGTGGTATTCTCCGGCCTTGGTGTCTCAATCCGTAGACTGTTCATTATTCGGAGCGACCTCTTGGTTGCGTCTTCAGCTTCACGTGCTTAAGAGATGACTCATCAAGGACCCCCAGCCACTAATGTTTCTCGAATCTGGGTCACGATCGACCGCCTCTCCGTCTCTGCTATGCGTTTCTGGGTGTTACGGTGACAGCAACGTCCTAGTCCTGCTCAGCTTTTTTCTTAATCATCTTTCTTTTCTCTCCCGTGGATCATTCAACGAGGTGGGGGTGTATGGAATGTTGGAGATATCCATGCCTTTGACCATTCCGGATCATTTGGCCTCGATCTACTTGACGCACCGATTTTGGGCATTGATATATTTCTTTCTTCCCTCGGCCCAATTATGTTCATGGATCCTTATTTTTCTCTTCTTACTCTTTTTTTTGTGGACCTTGCATCCGAGTCATTCTGTCTCTTTTTTTTTTTTTTTTTTGAAAGCGTGGAAAATGGGCAACTTTTCTTATTGTTAATTTCTTTTTTTTTTCTCAAGCACACACACATACACCCACAGGTCTTTTCTTTTTTTTTTCCGTGGTATGTCTGCCGTACAGCTCTGGAACTGTTACACCGTCGTGTCCTGCCTTCTTTTCCTTTTCATCGAGCCTGTCTCCTGGAAGCAAAACGGCAAGACGTGTCTTTTCTTTTCTTGTACCCGTGCATTTGATTTCGTGTGTATCCAATTTTTTTCTTTCCGTTATTAACTCTCTTTCCATAATTGTTGTTGCGGGTAATTTCCTTGGTTGGATGGTATGGGTTTGCACAGAAATGTCTTTTCTTCTTCTTTTCCATTTCATCTCTCCTTTATCTCCGTTTCTCATTTTTAATCTGTCCGAGGAGTGTTGTTTCTTGTGGTTTTTGCATCATGGAATCTCCCGTTTTTAGCAGAGAGAGAAAGGCCCGGTCAGCACAAAGAGAACCCAATTACTGAGAGACATCCGCATTGATATTAATATTGGAAGCTCTACGTAAGAAGCATGGTTTTGTTCTCTGATTCCTTTGCAATCTGGCCGAGCTACCGGTGCTAGATAATTATCGAATGGCAAATGGCATGTCGTTTTGTCCTCGAATTCAGTCGTAGCAGTCCCGATTCTTGGGAGATGCGTGTGTCACCATGAAGCTGTATTTTCATTGATCAATATATTTAAGATGAGATGTGCACAATATTATACAGAGTACTATAATGATCTACAAGATTGTGTACAGTGGGAGGAGGTAGGTAAAGGTAATCCCCCCCCGCCCTTCTCCGCCCTTCGATTTCCCCGTTTTCTCTTCTTTTCTCCATCTTTTCGCGTCTCCAATTTTCTCCATCAATCCATCTTCCTCTTGTCAAATAACATCATCCCAATTGACTCGATTCCTCAGATCTCACCTTCTAGTGTCTCTTCATACCATATCTACTGTCTTTCCCCGCAGGAGACAACCCCCTCCTCGGCTCTCCCCCAGACCCTTTCCCCAGCTCTTTTCCCCGCCTCCGATCTCCCCATTGGCACGATACACCATGCACAAGATGTTCTCCGGCCTAACCTGTCTGACTCCTTTTTCCATGCGGGACTGCAAATCCGGGATTTCCTTCGGTGTGACCCGTGGTTCGAGTGCTTGGTGAATGCTTGACTTGAAGCCGATGACGCACAAAAGGGTCGGTTTCCCCGGGTGAATGTCTGCTTTTATTGTTCCTTGTTAATCTTCCGAGTCTTTGTGTTTGTGTTGGTTTGTTCCCTCGTACACGTGCAGGGGTTTGGTGTTACCTTGTCTTGTCTTCACCTTTTCTTCTTCCCCTTCTCTCTTTTTTACTTATACATACTCTCTTTGATACACAGGCAAGATGTCCCGCCAAAGCTCACACGAGCATGACCCCGAGCTGAACGTTAACAAGGGCTACGTCGACAACGTCGAAGAGGTCGCCGAAAATGCAGACAGGCCTAATCCTACAAAGCAGGCACCGGCCTATGTTGCCAGATTGACGCCCGAGGAGCGCGCCCAGGCTGAGAGGGCCCTCGTGCGCAAGATTGACTTTCGTCTGCTGCCTATGATTATCATCATGTATATTCTGAATTATTTGGATCGGAATAATATTGTTTGTTATTCATGATATTGTGGGGGTGGCGGATGTGACTGCTAACGATTATCTAGGCGGCTGCCCGGTTGGCTGGTCTTCCAGAGGATTTGGGATTGGAGGGCTCGCAGTATGCTACTTGTGTTAGTATTCTGTTTGTGGGGTACTTGTTGATGCAGAGTATGTTTTTATCTATCCATCTATCGTGTCGAACGAGTCCAGGTAATGGGTTGGATTCTATCTAGTTCCGTCCAATTTACTTCTTAACAAGCTCGGAAAGCCGGCCATTTACCTGCCTTGTTCGATGGTGCTTTGGGGTATCATTTCGACTGCTACCGCTGGTGCGCAGAACTATGCTGGTCTCGTTGTGATTCGGTTCTTCCTTGGTTTCGTTGAGGCTGCTTACTTCGTATGCTTCATTATCTGCTTCTCTTGTCTTGATGTTACTAACGTGCAAAGCCTGGATGTCTTTACTTCCTCAGCGCCTGGTATACTCGCAAGGAGCTAGGATTCCGGACTGCAGCCCTCTACTCCGGCTCCTTGATCTCTGGCGCTTTCTCCGGGTTGATTGCCGGTGGAATCACAGGAAACATGGATCACAAGGGTGGTCTGCGAGCTTGGCGGTGGCTTTTCATCATCGAGGGTGCCATCACTATCGTGGTTGCCGTTGTGTCTGTCTTCATCTTGCCCAACTTCCCCCGTACCACTTCCTGGCTCTCCAATGACGAGAAGGAACTCGCTACCTGGCGTCTGGAGGAGGATATCGGTGAGGATGACTGGGTTGACAGCGAACAGCAGTCTTTCCTGCACGGTGCCAAACTCGCCTTTACCGATATCAAGACCTGGGTTCTTGTAAGTTTCCACCCACCGACCACTTATAACAAGTACTCATACTAATTATCTCAGATGCTCCACATCCTCTGCATCGTCTCCTCAGCCTCCGTAACCAACTTCTTCCCCACCGTCGTCAAAACCCTCCACTACGGCAACATCGAAACCCTCCTCCTCACCGCACCCCCTTACTGCCTCGCCGTGATAACCGCCTTCCTGAACGCCCACCACGCAGACAAATCCGGCGAACGGTACTTCCACATCACACTCCCACTATACGTATCCATGGCCTCGTTCATCCTCGCTGCCGCGACCACCTCCACCGCGCCCCGCTACCTCGCTATGATGCTTATGGTGCCATCGCTGTATACGAGTTATGTGGTTGCGCTGGGTTGGATCTCGAATACGCTTCCCCGGCCGGCGTCGAAGAGAGCGGCCGCGCTGGCGGGTATTAATTGCGTTAGTAATGCGAGTAGTATTTATGCTAGTTATATGTATCCGTATAGTGATGCGCCGAGGTTTAGTATGTTTGTCTAGTTTCTTTATCTGCAGTTGCGATGAACCTTACTAATGTGGTGCAGTCCCTGCTATGTCCGTCAACTGCGCTACGGCCTTTATCGCTATAATCTCGGCCACACTCCTCCGATTTATGCTCGTCAAGCTGAATAAGAAATTAGACCGTGGTGAGAGTGTTATCGGTGCTGTCTCGGGAGGAGTCCCCGGCGAGGCCAGTGCGAAGGGATTCCGGTTCTTGGTTTAGATCTTTTATGCATGATACACATACATGTTACGATTGGGTTATTTGCGGGAGTTTATCTATCTATCTGGATCATGGGTTTAAACTTTGATGAGTATTACGACTACACTAAATCCACGATATGCTTTTATTGGAATGATTCAAAATCTTTCTTACATGCAGCACACCCCCTTACTCACACACACGTAGCAGTAAATCTCTCATACAAGACAGACGCATGCATGTCTCAACCTGAAAACCTTCCTGACCTGATCACGCAAACCTCAACCTCTCCTCACTCCACCCCGGCCTCAGCGATCCCCCCTCATCCAAACGGCCCACATCCAGCGAACTATCAGCAACGTAATTCACCCTCCAATCTAATTCAATACTCGCCCCATCCTCGCTCTGTGCCCACACCGCTACTCCAATCGTGTTGTCGCCGTGGTAATCCAGTATCCCCGGCGGAACGGGGAAGACCACCTGGTTCCCGATGTGGGGGTTGTACCGGCCGTATTGGTACCCGTTTATGAATATTTGGGCGCGGTAGGCTTTGCTGCTGGTGGATGGAGTGGAGAGGATGAAGGACATGGATGTGTCGGTGTTGTTGGGGAGGTCGAGGGGGATGACGCTTCGGAAGAATTGGATGGTTGCGTTGGTGAATGTTAATGGGGGGCTGCTGGTAGTACTGGACGTGGTTGTGTTAATCGTAGACCAATCACTATCGTCGAAACCGGGTAAATGCCAGCCCATCCGTTCGGCGTATAGTCCGTCTTCATTGTATACGCCGCGGACGGGATCGAGATTCGATTCTCCTCCAGCTGTACCTGCAACGCGCCAGTGCGTAAATGCGAGGTCTTCACTGCTTTTCTCGTCTTCGTCGAGGAGACGTGCTTCGAGGATGCCGCGCGGGTTGAGAACGCCGGTTGTTTGGTCGTGGCCTGTGTCATCGTGGATGATGAGGAGGGTATTTGGATTCGTTTCTGGTTTTGTGGAGAGGATATCAGATGGGAAGAGGATGGTCTTATTTCCTTGGGTTTCTGTTGCATTGCCCAGGTAAGAGGAGAGGAAGTGGCCGTTCAGATAGGCAGACCAGCCACTGATTTGTTAGCTTGTTCACCTAAATGGAAAAGAGATGGATCTTACAAAGCTGTTCCTCCTTGGATGTTCAGGTAGACGCCTTTCGCGGTGTTGTTAAAGTATCCTCGCCAGAGACGGATGCCGTTGTGGAAGCCTTCTTTGTTAGCTTATTGATAACTATCATGGATACAATGGACATACCATAATCATCCCCATAAAGAACGGGATAAGTTTCTGGTTTATGTGGATTCGAAGTTGTCATATGGTTGGCATCTATCCTCGATTAGCATTGAGTGAGTGTAGATAGATAAGTGGCACTTACCAGCCCACGCCTCACCAGAGTCATCATATGATGGCAACCGCTCTGGTAGACTGTCTTTTGTTTTCCACGATGTCAACGAGGGTAACTTAATAGATGGTGGTGCAGCAAGAGAAGCCCGCAGACTTCCATATTCCGTCCTCGTGGTTTTGACCTCTTTGCCATTCCAGGTGATTGTATCCAAGGTCTGGGGTGCGAAGACCTCGATACTCGTAGCATCCACAGAATCACCAGTCACTGCAAGAGTTGATTCAGTAATTTTGGCACCGCGAACGAGGTATGGACCTTGAATCAGAACTTCGACCGGTTAGTAAATGCCAATTAATAAATCAGGCGAAACATACCACTTTCTGTCTCTGGAACAAATGGGTCATTTGTCAATGCAGGCGCCCAGAAATTATATGCGCTTGTTCTATCGAGTAAAACCACGCGTACATCGTCGAGCTGGAGGATGCTCATTCCAGATGACTGGGTGAATCTTACCGTGAGACCACCATTTTCCTGGTAGAAACCCATACCCGAGCAGCCCTGACAGTTACTGACTGATCCAGACTTGACTCCTTTGATGGAGAACTCGCCGGATTCTCCGGTAGGTACCCAGAGGACAAGTGTAGGTTTGTCATCCAACACAGCGTAGGTGAGAACCTCCGCGGTGGAATAGAGAAGAGTCTTGGAACCAAATGTAAAGTCCGTCACGATAATCTTGGACTGGTGACCATTGAGACGTATAGTACCTCCATGGCTAGGAACAGTCAGACCTCCGACAGAAGTGTTGACCTGAAGTTGAAAGGCCTCGTTTGTCCCAGAGGAAGAGTTGCTGTGGATGGTAACGTAGAAACCGGCATTGGTCTGCGGATTCCTCAATTCGTATGCTTCCACTGCTATATTATCGGTATACTGAGTTCCATTTCCAATCAATTCAGTCATGGTCAAATCTCTTGCACACCGCGTGAACAATGCCAGTAGTTTAGTCTCATAATACTTTGCCCCAATAGACCGATCTTCGGAAATCGGGGCTGAGTAGTCATAACTACTTGCCGTCACCGGTGCAGCGAGCGACCCCCAATTCGTACCTCCGTATAGCATGTACAGACTCATAGCCGTCACATGCTGGCCAATGTTCCACCGATAGAACAGATTCGCAAAGTCTGCCCCGGTATTCTCGGAGCATCCACCTTCAGGTCCTGCCCAGGGATTGTAAGAACCGCCCTGGAACTCGGGCATGAAAGACGGCGTTGTCGGTTGAACTTCTTGGAAGTAGTCGTAATACTGCATTACTTTGTACGGCACATACTCGCCATTCGTCGAGGTGCATTGGCTAATATCACACGTCCAACACTGCTACTGTCAGAATAATCCAGTCTTAGAGTTATGGTTAACCTACCGACGGGTAAGAGTCCAAGCCAGGGGCGTCAACGTTTCCACCAGCATTAGACCAATCTTTCCCCCAAGATTTCGAGTTCATATTAGGATCATTCGCGGTGAGAGGTACATTGATGCCGTTTTCCCGTGCACTCGCCTCGAGAAGCTCCATATAAGCAATTGCAGTATTATTCGGAACTCGATCACTTGGATCGCCGATCCACTGGTCTCCGTATTCGTTTTCAATCTGATAAAACAAGGTGTTCTCGCCATCCGTGATCTGATATTTGCTCGTAATCTGCGACATTTTAGTGAAGTACGGCTTCCACGCGGCAGTATAGCGTTCATCGTCATTGCGTAGCGTTCCGTATTCCCCAGTCGTCAGCCACAAGGGAAAGCCACCAGCATTGGCTTCCGCATTGACATATGGCCCTGGGCGAACGATGATATACAAGCCCAACTCCTTGGCAAGTTCGAAAATAGGTGTGATATCACGAGCACCGGTCGAAAAGTCAACGGTATGGTTATTTGGCGCATGGTAAGCCCAACTGGAGTAAAATGCGAATGCAGTAAATCCAGCCGCTTTAATCTTCTCAAGAATATCCCTCCATAGTCCTGGAACTGGAATGCGCCAGTAGTGGAATTCACCGGAGAAGACGAAGATTCTCTGCCCGTGGATCTGGAAGCTGTAATGATCCCATTGAACGACGGTGTTTAAGCTGTTATCGTGGAGAGGCCATTGTGACTCTGCAGCTGCCAAAAGCCCTATACTTGAAAGTAGGGCAAGAAACAAATGGAAAATGCGCGCCATGGCTTAGCTCAGCTGCTGGAAAGCAAGATGGAAACAGGAGTCCAGAAATTGAGGGCATTTTGGCAAATTTATAGACAAGAATGAGACCATCTAGTTTGATGCGTTAATTAGAAAAACAGTGCCAAGTGGCTTGGTGTATAGCTGCATGAGCCTGGTGGGATGCCCCGCTGTGGGATGAGAAATACTAGAGGCCTAGAGACTTGGAAATATAGACCCAAGGAAAGGTATATGAAATTAATTGTATCCATTGGAAAAGTTCAATATAAACGTTATTGTTAAGAATATTATGAAATATCGACTTGGAGACGAAGACATCGCGTGTATCGTGGCTGCAGCAAGACCCTCTGCGGGGATTTTTCCTCCAGTGAGCTGCCAGTCGGGCTGGAATTTTCCGTAAACCATAGAGGGAATATAGATTAAATCTGCTGGCCAAGGAAATGTCTCGTTGCGATTAATTATTGACGTCAAAGAAGTGCCGATGTCTTATCCTGAGTCGGAAGAGTGTGCTTCTGTTTTCGCCTGAGATGCTGCAGTCTGATCCTTTACGTTGTTTTCATTTGAACCGTTAGTATTATCGAGTAGATATCGATAGAATGAACTGTTCTTTTTCGCCCGCATCGATGGTGTTCGACCAGAATGATCGTGTGAGTGTAGGTCAGCGCTTGCTTCAGTTAGCATTTGCACGATTACTGAAAACCTCCCTCTTGACGCCTGTGCAAGAGCAGTAAGCCCATCGTGGTTTGGTATATCTGGGTCTGCACCGCTCTCTAGCAGCAGAGAAATAACTCTTGAAGATCCGTTCCTTCGAAATTTTGTAGCTTCCAAAAGCGGAGTGCTGCCAGTATTATCCTGCATGTTTGGGTTGGCACCATTCTTTAGTAGACAGTCAACTACTTCTCCATTTCTACAGTGCGTTGCTTCATGTAATGGAGTTCGGCCTCTTCGATCTGGACAATTTGGATCAACACCACTGTCCAGGAGAAACTGGGCAAACCTCGCACTTTCGGTGTGGATAAGATGTAATGCTGTTCTGCCGTTTGCAGTTTTAGAGGTAGATAGGTTAATTCCCATCTCCAGGAAAATCTTGACAATCTCCTCACGACCAGCCCTAGCTGCCTTTAGTATTGGCGTGAGTCCATCGTGATCTGGGGCATTCGGCTCAAGGCCTTTTTCGAGTAGTATTCGGACGATTGCCTCGTTGCTGTATGTTGCGGCTAAGGATAGTAGAAGTATACCATTGTCATAGTGTTTTGCAGTTGGATTGACACCGTGGTCCAAGAGACGTTTGACCATGCTTGGACGTATGCTTTTTATCGCTAACACCAGCGGAGTGAACATTATATTATACGTCGGATCTGGATTGATATCCTTCCTCGCAAGAAGCAAGTTGACAATTTCTTCGTGTCCGGATGCAGCTGCACGAGCCAAAGGAGTCAACCCCCGTCTACCATTATCTCGAATATTCGGCCTCACATCTTCCTCTTGTAACAGAATCTCGACAATGTCTTTATACCCCCTGCTGGCTGCAATCGACAGTGGCGATTCCCCATATCTGCTTTTAGTATTCGGAGACGCACCGTAGAGAAGCAACAGCCGCAAAACGCCAACATATCTCTTTTTTGCGGCTAGAAATACCAGTGGTTTGAAACAATGAACACGCATCCTATAGTTGATGTAATCAGAACGAAAACGATACCATCGGCGGCGTGGTTCTGGGCAGATTTCACGGCTTTCATATCCCTGATTTGAATCCTCCTCTTCAGATGAAAGCTCACTCTGGCCCTCAACCATCTCATCATCCACATTAGCCCCCTGCTCTAGAAACTTCAGAAGCGTGGATTCAAAGTTATACTTGACCGCCCATCTCGCCCCGGAACTTTGATTATGTTCAACATTGTGCTGATAAAGGAGGCAATCCAGGGCAGCGTAGAGCCGGCGACAGGTTTGCGCTAATGCGTTGATATCGTGCTCCTTATCTAGGCCATCGGCGATACTGAGGATTATTTCATTGGGTAGGTTAGTGAGTGCCATGATATGATATTGATTCTGTGTAACCGTAGTGTTCGTGGTGGTGTGATGAAATGAATAGATTGAAAATCACCTGCAGGTCTCTGGGGTTGTTGGTTGTTGGGGTGAGACAGCGCAGGTGTAGGTGCGTGTGCAGGTGCAGGTGCAGGAAAGAGTGAGGCCTGTTGTGTTGCTCTTTTGGGGAAACGCTAGGCAGCAGGTCACATGCAGTCAGTCAACCATTGTGTGTACCTATTTTGTAGGCACCCTGTACTGTAGAGTATGTAGATGGAAGTTGGGTATTAATCTTTTATTATGTATGATAACACCAGTCCAAGTCTTGCTAAGCACTGACGCCTGGATCCAGATCCAGTGGCAGATAAAACGTGTATTTACAGAAAGAATATCTCAAGAACAGAACTCTAAACCCCCAGTCAAAACATTAGAGAAGAACAGCCCACGCATTGGCAATTCCATTATCAATCCATCAGTCTTATTGAATCGTGTATTCGTGATTAGACCTGGAAGCCCCGGCCTTCCGTTGCCGTTCGGTTCAGAGCTCCTCTGTAAGCCTGGAGCGCAGTCCCTTGTAGGAAGCGGTTGGAATAATCCGTGATTAAACCATAATAATAATCGAGAGTCCCAACGGTGGATCAACCGGGCATTTTATCATGTCTCAAACAAATGTGGTATTTAGTCACGATGGATAGCTTTAAGCCTTGTCACTCAAAACATCATAGGGGTTGTTGCCCTTGATGTCAGGAGCACTGGACTTCTTAGAGCCCTTCTTCACAGGCGAGAAGCCCTGCTCTGACTGATTGCCATTGGCAGCGGACTTCTTCTGGGTCGAAGAGCGCGTCTTGATGGGGGAGTTGACGTTGCTCTGCTGGGGCTTCTTGGCTTGAGCCTGAGCCTTTGCCACGGCTTCGTCGTCGGTGAGTTCACCATTCTGTTCCAGAGCAGCCTTCTGGATCTCACGGCTGACACCCTTCAGGGCATCCAGACCGGCCTTCTCAGCGGGGTGCAACTGGGTGGGGTGCTGAGTGCTTGGTGCCTTGCGGTACAAGTACGAACGGATAAAGAAACGGACGAAAAGGAATGTCAAGGGCAGGAGGTACATGACATTCAGCCAAACAGCAAAGGCTTGACCAGTTGTGTCGAGGCAAGTCACCATGTTGGAGTCATTGGCCTGGATAGCACCCAATGGCTTCTGGCCAGCGCCCACATTCTCGGCGACACCCTCAGCTCCCGCAGCACGGAAAGCAAACTTCTTCAACCACGGGGCCGGACCAGAAGAACCAGCAGTAGCAGGAACACTGGCGGCTTCCCTCGAAGCCGGGGCATAAGGCAGGGTGTAGCTAACAAACAAGTACGAGGCGGCCATAGCGGTTCCAAAAACGAACTGGGTGATCTGCATGGTAGTCAAGGACTGCTTTATGGCTTGAGGGACACGGATGCGAAGGGCAGTCAGAGTGTAGTAAGTGTACTAAAAAAATACGGTTAGCCAATGCAATCAATCGCAGTTTGTCGCATCACTTACCATCAGAGCATGAATACCCGAGTTAACGAGAGTGAAGATCCAAATCGGCGGGGCCATATAGCGGATACCAGCCCACATGCACATCATAGCACCGGCGTGGTGGTAGGTCTGCAAAGTCGAGCTCTTCTTACCCTTGGCCAAGATGATCGCGGTGTCCAACACCTCGTAAAACTTGGATAGGTAGAAGATCCAGCCCAAAAAGCCCAATCCCTGGTTCCACAGACGACCAACATCGCTGGGATCCGGAAGACCTCCCTCACCAAGCTTCATCTCAGGGTTCGCGATGCTCCATTGATCGGTCACGGAGTTGTAGGTAGCGGCATTACCATAGCCACGGGGGCCATTGGCCTTGCACAGGGAATCCGTGATGCCGACAAGGCCGTTCTGGTTATTCCACCCAGGCATAGAATTGCGGAATGCCTGAAACATTCCAGCGAAAGTCCACATAGAATAGATCGCGAGGAAGACATTGTGGAGGATGACGAAGAGCTTGAAGAGGCGTGTGTTGCTGAAAGCGTAGGGCTTGTATCCGCGGCTCTTGTTGATGCGATTGATGAGGACGACGGTCACGGCATAGGTTCCGGCAATGGTGATGGGGACGCGAATGTCGAGCATCTGAGTATAGAGGGAGTCGGGGATGTTGAAGGGCTGCTGCCAGGTCCATTCGGTGGCCTGGGGTGCAGGAAGAATCGCATGGTTTTCGCTTGGAGGGAAGCTCAACAGCGAGGCAGGCGGAAGACCAACGCGGACAGTGGCAGGGCCCGACTCGGTGGCCGATGTGAAGTCGTACATGGTTGGGCGATCTCTTCTCCGGGGGGAATCTGGAGAGAAGAGAAGAGAAAGAGAGGAAAGAAGGGAGGAAGAAGGTGAGGAAGACAACCGGCAATTATTATAGAAAGAAAACTTTTTTTCTTTTTGGCGATGGGGAAAGAAATAAAAATCAATTATTAGATTGGAAAAAATAAATACTAAGAAAAAAGCGATGGGGAAGAAAAAAAAAAAAAAAGAGGCAAAAAAAAGACCGCAACAGGAAACCAAACAAACTATCAATTCACGGCATCCACCCGTCAAGAGGGAGAAACCAGTCTGGTTGGAGTGTGAGGCAATGAATACTCAATAATCAGACAGACATCACCAGGGATTGAATAATATCATCATCATCAACCCAATAGGGCATATTGTTCGGGACAATGGAGAGCAAGATAGCGATGATCTCGCGGTGGAGCCCAGGATTGCATTTGTTGGGATTTTGCAGGACCTCGGCCCAACGAGTTCAGTTGAATGTGAATGTTCGACTGTTAGTTGCATCTGCAGTCTCTAGAAACAGATGATCGACGTCTAGAATCCCATGCTTTTGTTCTTGTAAACTGGATTAATGGTGTTGGATGTTCTCATATGGTAGCAGATACCTTGCGTGGTAAATGGAGCTCTTGCCACCGCCGTCATTCTCACGCGATGCCCTTCCCGCCTGGTCATAATGAGGACAATCCGGCAGAAAGAGATATACTACGTGGGTATATGTTCACCGATCCATTGATATGGACAAAGCCTATCCACATAGACTCGGTAGATCAGAAATAAACTATTGGAATGGTGTAACACAACATCATCACTTCAGCTGCGGCTGAGATGACAATTGCGATGGTTGTCGGACGGAGATGCGATCCGCACGCATACAAGTTAAGCCCCCGCTTTGAGCATCGATAGCTCAGTGGTAGTTGACTTGTATGGAGATAAGCATCTTTGATATCAAGGTCATTATTCTTTTTACTTTTTACTTTTTTCTTGTTTTCATCAATTAGATGCTTCATATGATTCTCACTGTCTCAGGCTCTTATCCTCGGCATTACTTCTGTTGGGAATTTGGCACCCCACACGGGATGCTCTCCGTCCTAAGTCCATACAGTTTCAATGCATATGTATTGAGATCAACGTACAGGCTAAAAATTATGGCATATCTAATATAATTCGACAACTAGATATACAGCTAAAAGTACAAGTCTAATTTCTAGCGGGGTTTCGTGGACGTCGGTATGGGAGGCGGCACAGGGCTTCCCGGTGCGGAAGTGTTCACTGGCAACGCCCGCATTCCCGATTTCTTTGGTGGTGGCGGTGGGGGCTTTTTCCGGCTCAGCGTATCTGTGTCAATTTGAACACTGGATGCCGGCTGATTAGAATCTCGAGGAATCGGGGGTCCTGAACTTGGTGCGCTAGTATGGTTTGCCTTCTTCTCATCGATGAAATTCTTGGCCCGCTGAGAAATCTGGTACTTTTCATTGAACCCTGAGACTTTGTCTTTGCCCGCTTGGATTTTGTCGCCGTGACGTTCGCGGAGGTCGCTGACGGTGGATCTAATGCCTTGGCTGCTAGATGTTGAGGGTGAGGATACATCGTTGTGCGAGTTCTGTGTCTGGGATGCAGCTGGCTTCTCAGGTAGTGTATCTCTCCTCGGCGGGGGTGGTGGTGCTGGTGAAGATGTTTTCATCTGCGAAAAGCGCGACTGTAACTGATTGACCGGGCTTTGAGATACCGACCCTGTTGTCCTGGGACTATTTCCCCCAATTCCGAGAGAAGGAACAGAGACACCGGCTCGAGTGAGTCGGGCCGTAGCCCCCTGGTTTATATATCCATCTGAAGATTCTGTAGGTTGAATCGGGGAGTATGCCGGGGGCGGAGAAGGCGTATGCGATGGCGGAGTTGAATTGGTGCGGGGTGGAACCCGCGGGGGAATGCTTGGCTTTGGTCGAGAGCTCACAGGAGGACCAGCGTCCGCTGGGGAGTCAACCCGTCTCGGAGGTGGCGGGAGATTATTCGTAGATAGACCCGTTCGGTCCGCACGATATGGTACTGGCGGAACTGCTGGTGCCTGAGCCTGCTCTTCCTCCGCCTCAAGCTCCGCCTGCTGCTGTTCTACACGAGCATTCTGCTGGCGAACTTGCTGCTGGGAAAGAGGAGCCCCGAGGCCACTTCGATCTGGAGTGTTCTGATTCGGCACGGCAGCTGGGCCGTGATAGTTTATATGCTTTGGTGGTGGTCCCCAAGCTGAGGGGTCTTTCATCGAAGAAAGTGGTTGAGAAACATGCTCAGAGCGATCACTACTGTCGTCTTTTCCTTTTCCCATCCATCCCGCCTAGATAAATCATATCAGCATCTATCAATTAAACCAAGACAGAGATACAGACCACTTGGTTAATGCCTTTGAAGTCATTCCGCCAGCTCTCTTTCTTCCCATCCTTGCTTTTGGGATGCCAGCCATCCTTCATGATATCTTTGAACCCACTCATGATGACATCAAACCAATACGATAAAGATAAACCACAAATCGATAAAACAACTGATGGATGGCAACACAGACGACGTTGTCGGGATAGCTGCGCCATCGCCCCGCATTATCTGGAGAACCATATCACGTGCCGCTCCTCGAGCCGTCTTCGGTCATTGCTGTTCCTGTTCCTCATCATCATCACCATCACTTGCCATCAGGTTTCTTGATGCTAAAACGCAGGATTCTTCATGCTAATAAGACTAAGCATTGGTGATGGTGATCCCCTTGCATTGCAACACTAACACATGACGGTCTCTCTCGTTGCATTTGGCCCCCATTTCTTAGGCCACGCAATGCCCCAGAGCCCCAAGGCTGTTGGACGAATTTCCATTCTCACCACCACTTGCACCAGGCTATAATGACGATCAGACGACCAACAATCCCTTAACTGACTAGATACCTATTCTCCCGTCTTTAGAAAAAAAAAATTTTCACTTTGCCGCTGACTGGCTGTTTCAATATCCTTCCATACCTACTATTCGTACTGACAGGATCACCGCCTCCGTACTCCAGTCTGGCGCTTAACCGCACAGTCTATCCAGCAAAAATGTCCAGTTTGACAGGCATAATCATGGTGCGACACTGTTTATCTTTTTCAACCCCACTCTGCACATTCACGTTGCCACAACCACCCTGGTTGCATGCGCGTTGCGAATCAGAGATGGACGGCGCTTCGTATTTGGTCCCGCGGCCTGCTGATTGGCTCTTGATCCTCCTCCGTCAAGCAGCTATAGTAAGTAACCGCTAGAAGCTGCTGCGCCGCCTTTCAGCCTTGTCTTCGTCGTCCGGTCTTTGTGGTTTTTCGTTTTGCTTTATAGTGGTGATTTCCTTTGTCGCTTTTTTTTGGGGGGCTGCTTTGCTGCAAAAATTTTGTGGCCGATGATCAGAGGCTCGAAAATCCGTCCCTCTGACCTCTAGCATCATACCTGTTAATCTTACCTTATGAACCATCAAAACTACGGGGAATATTATGACAGGCTTACTCTGCTGATAATAAGAATTTCGTCTGTTTGATCCTTTGATCCTTGAGAGTCAAGTTAGCGCCGAGCGACCACACTTCTTACTCTATACACCTGTCTGGCGATCCATTATCTCGTCTTCCCACATCCTTGCCCTTATTGAACTGGTGAAATTTTCTGGTTACTACTTTGTCTGCAAACCTGACATCTCATGGCCTTCGATTCGGAAAACGAGGTGTCCGATATAACCTCATATACCGATGATCATGGGTATGGTGTCCAGCACCCAGATGGATCGAGTCAATCCACTTCGGTGCAACCCGGAGACTCAGCAGAAACATCATCAACTTCCATTTCCACACCAGCTATAGCATCAACCACTCTGACCAGCTATGAGTCTGACGATGCTTTCGCTTCACCAACATCGTCACCGTCGACCGATCCAGCGAGTTCAGGATCCGGAGGCATGGCCACCAAAACTAAGATCGCGATAGCTGTCCCCGTTGCTGTTGTCGGAGCTGCGATAATACTCCTAGTAATCTTCCTCCTCATGAGATGGCGCAATCGCCGACAAAGAAATGCCCTCCAAGCCGCCAATGTCGAGCCGAGCCGAGCCCCCGAAGCAGCTTTTGTCCCTCAAGAAGAACCCAGATGGAGCACTGCACGATCACCAACTCACGATATGCCCTTTGAAGGACCCCTCCCCGGACAAGCCATATCACAGAATTACCAAATGGACATAGTCCCCGACCAAACCTCCAGGCCCAGAAGCCAGCCTCTCGACTCTAACCCTTACCACGCGCAAGCCGGTCTTGCTGTAACCACCATGCCGGAACATGAAGCCGAAAACAGCCGCACGGCCCTCACGGAAAGAAATGTCGCTTCGAATGAAACATCGCACAATTTGCAGCGGCCGCAGTCGCCTTTCGCCGATCCCCATGACGATGCGATATCTCAGATCTCGGGTGTGAGTGGTGGGCGACAGCACAGGCAGACGCAGGACGAAATGGATGACGTTTCTTCCGTATCGTCTTTCAATGATGATGACCGTGGACCGGACACGCATAATGGTATACGTCGGTAGATTGTACATAGCATTGTATACTTTGAATTAAGCTTTCTTAGTTTTAATATCTGAACTTATAGTTTGCACTAATGGCATTGAATCTACCATCTACGCAGTACTCCGTACATCATCGAGCATAATAGGACAGTATTTTTCACTTCATATGTACAATACAAAACTTTTATATAAACAGTCCATCTACAAGTTGTTTACCGTCCACCACCAAAGTCCGGCTGGAACGCCTTGACCTTACCCTTCATCAACTCTCTCAAAGCCATGGTAGCATACTGGCTAGAACCAAGCTGGAACTTGAGGATAATAGCGACCTTATCGCCGGACGCAGCATCAGCACCGGTCTCAGCCTCGGCCTCAGCCTCAGCCTCGCCCCGACGCAGAATATCCAAATCAGTCCGCACAAACTGCTCATCGTCCTGGGAGTACAACTTCACGTCAAAAGAGTAATCCGGACCCATGCGACTGAGCACCTTGCGGTAGCTACCGCTCAGACTGATATCCTTCCATTTGCGGCGCATGTCGAAGGGGTCGATACCGCCGTTTTCGCCCATGAAGGTCTTGTAGAAATCGGTCATTTGGTTGGGCGGGTAGATGATGTCGAAGCCGGGGAGGGGGAGGACGATGTCGAAGATGGAGTATTTGCCGCTGGCGGCTTCGGCGGCTGTGAGGGCGCGAGCGCGGGTGAAGGCGTCGTCGACTGCGCAGGAGCTGTCTTCAACCTGGGGTCTGATGATGACTTCGCCGTCTGCGTCGATGGTGGCGTTTGATGTGTCTGCGCCGTCGGCTGTGCCCTCCTTATCGCGGTGTTCGTGGACAATGACCAAGTCACCCTCTACCACCTTGTCGCCGTAGAGTCGCCAGCGCTCTCCGACGGCGAAGTTCCACACTCGGGACTGGTATGCGTGGACATACATCAATCGCAAGTTGCGTGGGATGGTCTGCAGAGCTCCGAGGTGGTCCTTTTTCGCACGGCCAAGGTGACGGATCAAGTTGGATTCCGCGGAGAATTTCCGGGGCATTTTTTCGAGGGCATTGGCGACATTCTGCCCGATTTTGAAAATGTTAATTGCCTCAGCACGAGCCCTGTCATCGGCACTGATCATGGCAGTGGAGTTTTCTCCTTCCTGGGCAGCCGCGAGAACATGAGGACTGAAATCAAGGATCGCATTGCAGGCGCCCTCGAAGTCGCCTTGCAGCATCTTCACACCGACCATGTCTGTACGTGTGGAAAAGGTTCCAAAGCGCTGAAGGCCATAGTAGTTGAAGTAACCGCGCTCACGGAGATTTCGCAGAGACGTGTCCACGATAGTCTTTGTCTTAGCGACGACGTTCTCACGGTCCGCCAAGTCAACACCAGGAATGTCACAATCGCGCAGAGTAATCACGAATTCATTTCCTTCCAGGTCACCCAGCTCGAGACCCTGTCGGCAGTATTCAAAGTCGCCGAGGGTAGCGTTGCGCAGTGTCGCGTTGATTTTTGCCAGTCGCTCGGCCTGCAATTTGTGAACGCAGGCTCTCTGCACCGTGACTCCGCGACGGTCCTTGGTACCGGCGAACTGGATGCTCTTGGGGTGCACCTTGAGCTGGCGCGCAAGGTAGGAGATGATCTCCATGGTGTCCTTGTTCTCCTTGTAGATGGTGAAATGCAAGTACGGGCCACCCAATTCCTCCCAGTTGGGTCGTCGGTCTGGCTTGTTTCCACGGCCACCACCCTTTCCATTGCGTTTGTTACGGTTCGGGGCAGCCGCGATGGTCATCACACCCTCACTATCCGTAGAAGATTCAAGCTGCGAGTTAAAAATACGGCGAATGGCTTGGTGAATGTTGGTTCGCAGGTCACGGTCAGTAATGGTACCGCCATTGACCTTTCCCAGATCACCCGGTCTGGCAGACGACGTGGAAACACGACTGTGCAGCTGGATAATTTTCTCGGCGATTTCCGCGCTGAAATACGACTCCAGCAACGCCTTGTCCGAATCCGAAAGTTTGAATTCCTCGGTCGCATTTTCCTTGGTCGCGTCTTGTTCGGCAGCGGGCTCAGACGATGGAGCCTCCACAGTAGGCTCGGCTGCTTGCTCATCCTTGTTCTGTTCCTGGGTAGGTTTCGGGGGTGCGCCGCTGCGGAGGTGAAGGACTTGACCAGACGGCAGGATCTCGTTGACGAGGAAGTCTGTATACCTGATTATCCATTAGCGAAGGGCAATTAAATGCACACTTTCAAGCAAATACCTCTTCTTCAAAATAGCGGCGTATCCCTCATTCTCCGCGCTCACAAACTCGGTAATTCCGACCTCGATCTCCTTGAGCGCTTGAGAATCAGCGCTGGGAGCGGGAGCCGCGACCGCGACACCGGAGGGGAGCACTGCATCTTCAGTCGACGGAGCAGTGTCGGTCTTGATCCTCTTGCGAGGCGATTCAACGATTTCTCCTTCCATGTTGTCGGGTCGTTGGGATGATGGAGTTGGAGTAAAGTCGATGTTTGGCTTGGAGACGTCGACGATCTCCGCCGGGGACGGACTTTTCCTGGCCGAATCCGGTATTAGGGCTAGCCCTGATTGAGTATACGCAGTGATGATATAAACCATCAACCATAATTGAGGAATACTGACGTGGTAAGAGCAAATTTAGTATCGTAGGGCCTGTCTATATATTTACTTTTTCTTCTCGGTCTGTATACACCTGCCACTTAGTCTGGAAATACCTTTTCATAGGTCGATAGAACACCAGTATAGCATCAATTGGCTTTTAATTGGCATCTGAGATAGGAACAAGTTTGTACATATAATGGCTGCTAACATAGTATTTAGTGGTGATAATCCAAGTAGGCGGAATGTGGTGGCTTCAAATATGTCACCTCCAATTCACACACAACTGCTCTTCTCCTCCGTCCCACGACAACTACTTTAACGATGGACAACTATGGATTCCCAGATGGAATAATGTTTTACAAATATGTCGGGATAAATTCAAGTTCCGAAATTATCAAGTTCCCCATCAAGATGTCTTGTCCGAGAAGTTCAAGAACGAATTCAACGAACACTGGGTTGTCCTTCAAGGCATTTCCCAAGCAGCCGGCAACACAGTTGTCTTGAAAACCAGTATGTCATTTCCAAATAGATAGTCAGAATAGCTATCTAATAAATAATTGCAGGCTACCTAGGTCCCATCCTTCTTCCTATCGACGTTTTCCAGAACATCCAGACATCACGAGAGCACTTCGACGTTGAATGCGATGCGCTGTCGGATTGCCAGAAACCTGGGCCTACTCTTTTATACTATGCAAAATAATATCACATTAAATCGATTGTGATCCCTATCCGACTCAGTCTATTCGCGTAATTGTCATGTCCAGGGAGAAGTGATAGCGCCGAACTCCATTGGTGTTGTTGCCTATGACATGGGGTGGAATCCTATCTGTGAGGTTACTTCCAGTTGGAAGATACTATACTTGGTAGTGATGTCAGCCTTGAGATGCTGACCTGGTGAGACAGTGCAGATGTCATACGGATGATGTGAACAAAGAACAACAAAGAACTAGGATCAGGGGCAGACGCTAAGACTGTCTTTGTCATACTTGAGCTTGCATATCAGACACTTTGTAAACACGATAACCAGCCAAATTCAGCCAGATTCTGGTACCTAAAGTGTGATCAGAGAGTAATTGACCAAATGATCAAGAAAATATCAACACATTTAAAGATTGCGCTAAACCCAGAACGATGGCGATCTCTACCTATCTAGGGATGGTGTAATGAGTTTATCCCGATTAGTGCGACCCACTGGTCCGTTTTCAGGAACGCTTTCCTATTACAGTTAGAAAGCTACCACAACAGGTTATAGGGCAGAATCTTAGGGTATCTCAAAGCTACGACGATAAAGAATGGGTACCTACACTCAGACATAATGCCATTCATTGCCCTGCAGACAACACGGATTGTCGTCTTTGTCCAACATTGCCTTTGTCCTTGACTTTCAATTGCACCAAAAAGTCTCAGTCCAGGACATAAATACAGCTTCTCCTGCAACCAAATCCCCCTCACCACCTTTCATCTTCTATCAGAAGTAATTGAATACAGGTACCTACCCTTTCACACAAACAACCCTTCAACTACCACTACCAACAAATCTAACGAAACGACCTTCTCAATGGATACAGACATCCAATTCTGGGCTGATCAAGCCGCCTTCCAGCCCCCTCCCAGCAACCAAGAACATGCAAAACGAATACAACAGCAGCAGCGACAAGCAGAAGAAGAGGAATATGAGTGGATTGAAATGTGCACTTCGCCTGACCGAGTCTTGAATGTTAACAATACACCAGTCAACGACTTTGCGAAGCATGTCGCTTTCAAATCGCCTACAGGTGAGGATGGTGAGTGGATCGAAATGGATACTAGCGATGGTGATTATGATATTGTCTACGATTTGGGCTCGAAGTTGGTCATTTACGATGACTCGGACTCAGACTCGGACTTGGATATGTATAGTGTCAGTACTATCTTTAGTTCTGGTTCTGCAGCGACTGACAGGATGGATATTGACACCCCCTCGTCCACATCGGATTCTGACTCCGACTCCGATGAATTCGAACCCTTCACCATCCTAGTCAAGATAAACACCCTCCCCCACGCAGCTCTAGATTGGGAAGTCTTTAACCTAGCCAGATACTCACTCCAGGCACGAATACAAGCCGGGCGCTTCGAAAACCCCGCTCTCAACATCGATAACGACGACGGCAGTCGCATGCTGCGAATCGAGACGAGAGAAACACACGAGAATCGGGAGATTATCTACGGCTCTGTGGAGTTGTGGCTGGGGTTTTTGATGGAGGCTATTACGGATGGGTTTTTTGTTGGAATTCCGTTTAGGATGGGTACGTTTTCTATTGAGTGGGTTGATGGGGTGTGATGTTGGAGTTTGGGCTAATTGGTTTTATAGTATTTGCTGGTTATATAGTACTTTCTGGAAGAGAATGCAGTGAAGCGTTGATTCATGTCTAATATATATTCTCTGAGTTGATCATAACCATCGTAAGTCTAATCATAATATATGCCATCTAATCCTGGCGTATGCGTATGGCGCACAAGTTGATTGCGTGCATGCAAAGTATCAAATCTCAAGTTCATCTTCCTCTGCGGAATCAAGTTCGATGACCTCCGGGGACTCTTCTGGGGACTCGAGATCAACTACCTCCGGAGTATCAGAATCAACATCCATCCGGCTGCCCAGAGTGAGAAGATCCATCGTCTGGCTACCTCCACCCTCCCAGGCAGTCTTGATAGCTTTGACAGTCCCCCAAACAGCTTTTCGTGCTTCGTTTCTGTCCATTCCATCATCGAGAAGGCTCTCATATGGGGTATGTACGTGTCGGATATGGGCCTCCACGGCCAAGGCAGCCTTGCGTTCGTCTGATTTCATCGTGGTGCGTCCTACCCGTCCGGATCCTTTGAGGAATGCATGGTCGAGAACAATCTCCAGCGAGTCGGCTGGCATCAACGGGAATTGGGTGTGCAGAAGTTGTCGATACCGAGTGTGGTCCCTCTCATCGCGGACTTTGACAGCGTTGGCGCGGGAGTCGGCTGTCGCAGCGGCGGATTGGAGGACGTCCGAGTGGATTTCTGAAGGAACACGGATCCCAAGAGTGCGTTTGCCTGAGCTATGCTGTGATGGGTTAGATGATGGTAAGTTGGTGGTGGGGTGCGTACTCACGTAAACAAGATAAACTACCCGCTGGGATTCTTTGGTCTTGCTTCGACAATGACGGGTGACGTAGACATTGCCTTTAGGGACAAACACATAGTCTTCAGGAATAGGATCTCGTTCAAAGCAGTTCTGAGTATCGCCTGTTAGCAATGGTGTTCCTATTCGGGCCAGCCGTGTATGTCTCCGAAGAATAGATCCAAGCAAGGGACAAGACAGTAGACCAGCAGAACAAACTTTATTGCCCAAACAAACAACACCTACCTCTTCAAAAGGCTCATCATTCGAAGCCGGAATCATGACGAATTTCGAGTACTTCCAAGCCGGTCTACCGCTTTTGGACAGTGGCTGCCCTTTGTTGCTACCAGCAACCGCCAGCAGATCGTCCCGGATCCGAGCTTTGCAGATACTGCTTCTGCGCGACTGTGTGAGGATGGACTGGGGCGACCTGGGGACTGTCTTTTTCACGCCATTCTTTCTCCGACCGGCGTGTTTCTTGGAGGCCCTTTTGCGGGCGGGTTTCTTTCGAGTGGGAGTCATTATGCGGGTGAAGCTCAGAGATGTTTCTGTGTGCTTTTCTTTTTCGAAAGAAGGACAATAGGAGGATGGTAAAGCTTCCGATTGTACAGAGAACACCTAGATGAGTACTTTAGAGCTTGAGGAGTGAATCATCCACTGCACACCGACATTGGAAAGGGATAAAAGATCGATAGTTCCATTACTAAGGGGAAAGAAGGGTAGGAACATTGCATCCATGATGGCAGTAACAGATCTGGTGATGTTCAAGTATGCATCTTGACTGGGGAAATGCAAGATATTCTCTCGTTGAGACTGTTGTTGAAGCTTGAATGTTGACTCAACATGGATCTTAACATTTGATCGGCGATTCAAAATGGCGGGGTTGTGGCTGGTGCCGTGGCTGAGGCTGCCTTAAATCTCAGGCCCCAATTCCGGCCAGTTGGCAACTAAAATGCGGGGAGAATACGACAGCTGCACGAGGCGACCAAGAAAGAAACGATATCGAGCATCCCTTGACGATAGATCGGTGTCTCGTTCTCCTTGCTTATATTGGCTGTATGTATTACAAATGGCTCCAAGTTACACCTTCACGATTTGACATGTCCACGCTGCAAGAACCATGTCAGGGGTGTAGTCGCGGCGATGTTCTTCCGCCCCTATCTTCGTACATGGGCGATGCAGGTCCCGATGTTGGCGTGCATTGCCCAATGGCTTTATTCTGCTGAGCTGTCGTCTTCAGGGGTCAGTACGACTAACTCGACCAGAACAGCTAGACTACTGTATGACACCGTATCCCCAGCAATTGAGGACAATCATAAGCGGCGGAGGAGTTTCCCCCTTCAGATCCGAGCGGTGATCCCCTTTCAGCCTTTGGCCAATAAGCCCGAGACAAGTCTAGATTGGTCTCTTCCGATCATCGTGAATTATTCTCAGCCTCGCTGGCCAAAGTACTGTACGCGAGCTTTTAATAGTACGGAGAGAACGGAGAATCGGCATCATATCGTCTGATATCAGCTCTGATGTGATGGTTGCTGGATGTTCGCTGGATGCATCGATCCTGTCCCCATCTATGTCGTCATCGTTGCTATGCAATGTTGCGAGTGGCATTAACTGATTAAATGTCCCGATTGGCGCCAAATTTGAACTCTCGCCGTGGCTCTAGGCCCCAGAGCAAGGCTCAATCTCGTCTTTGTTCCCAATCCAGCCTGGATCGGCGTTTTGTAAGGAGTTGTTGATTTCCTGGGATGTGAATCCTTTCCCGAAGTCATTGCTGTCTTGCCTTACCATCGATAGACAACCCCATTATCAGGACAAGCTCGAGACATGAACCATCAGGAGTAGTCTATCTAGTAGGACAGTCTCACTCTCCTTGGCTATTTGACTCTATCCCGTAGCTTAGCGAATGCTTCAGTTGATATGTTCGAGGAGATGAGGCAAGACGATCCACGGGAAAAGAACCGCCGTTCCCTGTCGCTGGGTCCATGGAATATCGAAATGTGGTCCAACTAGACATCGTCCAGGTGATATTATCACGGCTTTGTTCACATCTGGGCTTCATTGGCTGTAGTGCCCAGCTGTGAAACCTCAATTTCTCCCCATAGCCCTTCTCTTTCGAGGTAGCATTTCGTATTGATGATGAATCCACTCTATACTCTGGATAGAGAAACTCTCATATCCGGGTTCCTAAAGTTAGTTGTGCTCCACCAGCACAAGACATCACCAAGTGGAGGACGATCGGGCTGATTTGGTGATTTTTATTATTTCATATTACTCCAGCAGATCCGGATATCGTTTACGGAAAAAAAAGAAGTTTTTCAACAGTGGATCTTCTGCGGAAGAAAAAAAAAAAAAAGTGTCATTACATTATTACAAACAGAGCAAAAGGAAAACACCGTCAAAAAAAAAAATCTCCCCCTCTTCCTCAATCTCTGGTCTCTTCTTTTTTCCAGCTTTGAATTAACTTTCATCACGATCATTCATTATTCTTATTCAACCTTCTTTTTCTTTCTCCTCCTACCTAAAGACAGGCGACCCTAGGTGAACGCATTCCTCCGTTGCTCTGTCTCCCTTTGTTCGACGGCAGCTCCAACCAACCCTCGAATTGCCTCGTCGTCGACCCTTTCGATCCCTCGATCTTTCCCCTTCCTCCCCATCCTCGTCCTTTTTCTTCCTGTGGTCGTATATCCTTCGTCTACAGTGTCGAAATTACAAAAAGGTTAAAAAAAAAAGGATTATGTGTTAGGTCGTGGGTCCTGTCCTTTCGCTGTAACCTCTCTCCCGCCTGGCTGCCTACTTGCTTGGCTTCAATGACCTTACTGGGCCACACATTCGCCGGAAACATCGATCCCTATCGAGCCCCTCTCCTCCTCCGACATTCTTCAGCCCTCCGAAATATCTGGACAGCCTCCAACTAGGTTGCCTGGCAGTTTCACTTGAATGGTTGTTGCTGGGATCATTCTGTTGCTGACATGAGTTGGGATCACCCCGTCCACAGGTATGTTGCTAGTATTTACTACTCCATATCCGTACTGCCCTCACCTTACAAGCGGGGCTGTTTCTTATTACAATTGCTATCAGCTTGATAATTTTCAACTTTATCTGCTGTGCCAATTACTTCTGGAGATTTTTTTGCCAAAAATTTGCGGGGCTCAATGAGCTTCGTTGCAGGGTGCAAGATGATGCTGACGGAGCCTTCTTTCATGTTTAGCTTCAGCTATCCAAACGGTGAACCTCAGACCCCTACGAGGACTCCTCCGACCACAGTATTCGGTGATGGTGCCTTCCAGACTCCGAAACTCGAATCGAGCTTTTACGACCCTCGAGTCACCTGGGACACTTCCGACCCCTATGCCTCGAGCCCAGAGTTTCTCCGAACGCCGCAAAGATTCGGCTTGAACACTCCCTCCAACCCCCTGAGACTGCCAGACACCGCACCCGATCGAAATGCTATCACGGGCTCGGCCAATTTGAGGAGTGCAAGGGCATCGGACCAGACAGATACTGCCAGACGCATCCGTCCGTCGAAACCTTATGGTGACCTGGGCGAGGAAGGTCTCCGGACTGTGGATTCTGCAAAGTCCGCCGCCTCAATGCAGACCCCGCCACCCAGCAGCGCTTCGAGGAGGAAGGTAACAGGGTTAGATAATGTCAATGACACGGCGAGAAGGATATCAAGCCCGGGCGCGGGTGGACATCTGGAGACACCAAGTCGGTTGATGGGTGCTTCACCCCAACTGTTTGGCAATCTCCCGTCGTCCCCGGACCTATTCCAGCTGGCATCGGCAGATCCGACAGCTTCCCCTTTCTTTCCTCAGCAGAAATTGTTTTGGGACCAAGACCCTGAGCAGCATGGAAATAATCTTTCCATGTCGGGTGGCAATATGAACTTGTTCGATTCCAGTACGGCCGATGTCTTCGGCACCCATCACAACCCCATGCCTGATCCTCATATCCCACAATTACCTTCAATCGAAGGGACTTTGGATCTGCCAGAGTTTAACAACAACGGGTTTGGCCTCAGCTCAGCCGGTCCAGCTGATACGGCCTTGTTCCCTGCTCCATTCTCAACCTCCCCTCGTATTCCCGTTCCCAAGGCAGAGGACCCAGCCTTGTTTCTAAGCTCTCCCGCCCGACGATTTGGGGGTATTCAGCCAAGCCCTAATAAGAGGCTATTCTCTAGACCAACCAGACAACCCTATCATCATCAAACAGAAGAGTCCAAACGAGAGGAAATACGCAGATCACAATGTGTAAATCAGCATCTTCCGGCATTTGATGACGACGATGAAGATGACCTCACGCCTCGACGTTTACGGCCGGGTCTGACACGGAGTTTAACTCAAAGTGCCATCGGGTCTTCACACCGTCCATTACCCCTTCAGCCCTCCTCGGGAATGATGGCTTCTGCCACTGGGATCAGAAAAAGCCCATCCAAGGGTCGGTCCTCCCCTGTCAAAAGCCTACGCCCTTCGCTTTCCCGCGCCAACTCGGTTGCCACTGGCCTGCCCACCCGCTCTCAATCGGTGGTCTTGAAGATCGGCAAGGATGGCAGAGCAAAGGCGGAAATGCAATCTGTCCCCGAGCCCTCGACCGGGTTGACGGATCCAATTAGCGCAGTTGATCTTGAAGACTCTACTGCAGCGGACAGCGAGTATGACTCTGCTGCAGAATTCTCTGAATACCCGACTATCCCTAGTCGTCACCCGTCCATGGTCTTTTCAGAAGCCGGCAGACCAATGCTTGCTCGGAGTGACTCCGGTTCTCGGCCTGTTTCCAAAGGCTCTTACACATCAATTGCTTCGTCTCACTCGGGTCGGGCATCTCCTTGGGCAGGTTCATCTCGATCCAGACGCCCACAGTACTCGACTACAGAAGACTGGCGAAGGACACCTACAAGGCATTCGTCGATGGTGGTCAATTCTGACTTTAGCCACGGCAGCGCCAGGTCTGTTTCCGCTGCAGCTCTTCCTGACCCTGAAGAAGACACGGGTGATGCCCAGCATGCACTCCGTCAAGTCCTTCGCCAGAGGAGTCGAAGACAACCTCACACAATCGGTTACGGGCCCCGGTTCAACCACCCCTCCCGCTCTCTTGCGCACCTCCGCTCGTCTCCTCCTCGGTTTGGTGCAGAACTCGACATCAAGTCCAGAGAACCCAACACCTCCCCTACTACCATGACTGATCCCGATCTGGCGACTCCTGCTACCGAACGATATAGCAACCCGAGCAATGGGACAAGATGCGTTTGCAACTCTATGGACAATGGAGGCCACCTGATGATTCAATGGTAAGTTTGGCGTTCGCCTATTGCGCCCTGGTGCCCCAGCTGACTCAAGACCAGTGAATCATGCAACCATTGGCTACACACCAAATGTGTCGGACTAGAGCGGTCACACCTGCCATCCTTCTACATTTGTATGTTCTGTGCGCAAACGCCTACAAGAAGACAGCGAGCTCGGCCCATGGGGGGTGCCAGCCATGCACCAACCTCGCCCTTGGCACATAAGTCCTACCGATTCCGATGATACGGCCGCACACTGCACCTGACTTGACCTGCATTCATTTCTTTTTCTTTGTGTGATTCCCCTTGATATAGTCAGCGAAGTCTGATACTATTAAATCGGACGCCCTTGTTGAATACACTGTACTGCAGCAATGCAGATGTTTCTATTTTCCTTTGTCTACATTACCTTCGACCATGACCGTTAGACATACCCCTTTTTGTCCATTGAGGCACACATTTTTTTCCCAACCTCTACAGAGGATTTATGTTTCATGCATCATAACCAATGATGGTTGTCCTATGTCATTGCCCTAATTGTTTTTTTATTAGTTCTTTCGAGGTGAATTGGCCTCCCGGTGATACCTATGTACTACTGTATCTAGCAATACCCTTATACCAGGAAACATGATAGATTTATTCTTCTCTACCAGGGGTACCCCAACTTCTTCTACTTCTCTTAGTCAAATTATACCGGTTAACCCCGGGCCGGAATCCGACCGGCTGTCTTTTGAGACCCACTGGGCGGTGAGCAAATTTACTTTGTCCCATTGGCTGATGGTATCCTTATCAGCTCACCGCCTCCGATAGCGAATCTTTCCTTCTTTTCGCCTGCGATTTTGCTTCTTTTTTCTTTGACTCAACCCCACGCGTTTTGTTCCCCTTTCCTTTCTCCCCCAGTCTCTCTTTTTGGCCTTTCTTTCTTTCCTTGTCTGGCCTTGATAATGTCTGCCTCTCTCCCTGGCAATCGGGATATTCCCGCGTCGCAATATGACTTGAGCACCTACTGGGGGCGTGTTCGCCATGCGGCAGACATCTCCGACCCAAGGTAAGCAGTCACAATTCCCTCGAAACGGCCTTCAGTCGCTCAATCTGTCTTTGAAAGATTTTACATGGCTTGAGTGGACTGTTTGCTTTTTTCTATGTGCAAATCTGATGCTTTCGTTTAGGACGTTGCTCGTTTCGTCCTCGGGTTTGGAGCAGGCAAAGAGCCTGATTTCCTCCTACAAGCAGAACCATATTCCTACCATGTCGCCTGACTTGTGGCATGCCAAGAAGGTGGTTGACTCTACATTGCATCCGGGTATGTTATCTTTTACCTCAGTTCTTAGATAATGATGTAACTTACGGTTTTTACGCTCGATAGACACCGGCGAACCTGTTTTCCTCCCGTTCCGCATGTCGTGCTACGTTTTGTCTAACTTGGTCGTCACGGCTGGTATGCTTACACCGGGACTGAAGGTATGGAATAAATGATGAACTGGTGCGCAATGGACAATACGATCTGACTTGCATTAGACCACCGGTACTCTTCTCTGGCAGATCGGTAACCAATCGCTTAACGTGGCGGTCAACAACGCAAACGCAAACAAATCCACACCTCTTTCGTTATCCCAAATTGGCAAGTCATACATGATGGCCGTGTCGGCTTCGTGTTCGGTGGCGCTTGGTCTCAACGCTTTGGTTCCCCGACTTAAGAACATTTCACCCAACACCAAGCTTATTATGGGCCGTCTGATCCCATTCGCTGCCGTGTCTAGCGCCAGTGCCTTGAACGTGTTCTTGATGCGTGGTGAGGAGATCAGACAAGGAATTGACGTTTACCCCGTCCTTTCTGAGGCGGAGAAGAAGAAGCGTGAGGAAACCGGTGAACCTATCGAGAGTCTGGGCAAGAGTAAGAAGGCCGCTACCCTTGCGGTCGGAGAGACCGCCATCAGCCGTGTGTTGAACGCCACCCCAGTCATGGTTGTGCCGCCTTTGATCCTGGTCAAGTTGGAGAAGACCGCATGGCTCAGGGCCCGACCACGCATGGTGACCCCTGTCAACCTGGGTTTGATCTTGGCTACATCTGTGTTTGCTCTTCCTCTTGCTCTGGGTGCTTTCCCCCAGCGCCAGGCGATTAGTGCGCAGTCCTTGGAGGAGGAGTTCTGGAGCAAGGGAGGAAAGGATGGACAGGTTGAGTTCAACCGGGGAATGTAAGCTCTGAGGGAAGCTACATTCGAGGGTTATACAATTCAGTCTAGGCTGGAAGGAGTTGATAGACAGATATATACGCATCTACAAGTACAGAGTAGATAGATGGTTGTCTATAGCATTTACATTATAAATAATAGACTTGTTGAATTCAAACTCATTATCACGCAATGCTTAAAACAAATGCAAATATATAGTCGCTCAAAACACAAGTTCATAACTTCGTACCAAAATATATATCGGCAGGCCCAACATGACTCCGTCGACCCTGCAATTCCGGCTGTCTTCTCCCCTGAATAACCGACTCGAACATCTCGGCAATATCAAACAACCGATCATCACCACCCGGTCTCCCCATCAACTCCAACCCAATCGGGACACCCAGCGGCGCGGACTCGGACGGCGAACTAAAACCAGCTATAACGATAATCAGCACTCATCCATCTCCGCTTTTCTCAAAAAGAAAGGGGGGGAAACAAAAGACCTACCCGGAATACAAATAGCAGGACACCCCGTCAACGCCGCCAAAATCCCATTCCTGCCCGGCTGAACCATCGACCCTACCTCCACAACCAACTGTCTCTGATGCGGATACACCAGCGCATCGAGCGCATTCTCCTCAAAGCACGCCGCGACCGACGCCTTCAATTCGCCGATTCGCTGCAGTCTCGCGCGATACTCGGGGCTTGAGGGTGTGAATTCCGCTGTTAACGTCTGGTGGAAGACGGGGGTTAGGGCTGCCTCGTGGTAGTCGCCGCTTTTGGCGATGGAGGATAAGCTCGTGTGGGGGGTGTATTGAATAGAGGGGGATTGGAGGAAGGAGTCGAGGACGGTGCGGAATTCGAAGGATTGGGTGTCGAGGTTTGAGCGGAGGGTTGGGACGTCCCAGGTTGGTGTTTGGGATTGGGGGAGGTGGATGAATTCGAGGGTGAGGGTTGATTTTGATGGTGAGGAGGAGGAGGTTTGGACTTTTTGTAAAGCGTTCAGGATGGTTTGATTTATCATTGCAGACTCGGGGATGTTGAAATCACCAAAGTAGGATGTTAATACTCCTATCCTGAGGTGTTTCCCCTTTATCTCTGATGGAGATGGAGGGACTTTGATATCATCATCCCTCATGACATCAAACAAAGTCCGCACATCACTCACGACTCTCCCCATGGGCCCAGCAACATCCTGCGTCTCAGAAACAGGAAACACTCCCTCCTTCGAAACGACTCCCTTCGACGGCCGAAATCCAACAATCGAGCACGCCGACGCCGGCGAGCGCAGCGAGTTCACCGTATCACCACCACAACCCAGCAGGCCGAAATTCGCCGCCAGCGCCGCGGCAGTCCCGCCGGAGGAGCCGCCAGGCGTGCGGGTGAGGTCGTACGGGTTACGCGTTTGCCCGCCCAGCGAGGAGATGGTTGCGCCCTCGAGGGAGAACTCGTGGAGGTTAGCTTTTGCGAGGATGATTGCGCCTGCGGCGCGGAGTTTGGAGACGACAACTGCATCAGTGGATGTTTGGAGAGATTTGAGGGCTTTCACACCGGAAGTCGTGGGCATGTCTTTTGTGGTGTAGGTATCTTTGAGGATGATGGGGATGGCGTGGAGGGGTGGGAAGGGGAGGTCATTTTGCACGAGGTGGGTTGTTTCGGCGTCTTTCTGGCGGGCGTAGTCGAGGGCGTTTTTGTTAACTGTTATCAGGGCTTTGAGGGTGTGATTGTACTCCGAGATGCGGGCGAGATAGGCTGTGATGATCTCGGTGCAGGTGGTTGTTTGGTTGCGGAGGGCGAGGTGGAATGAGGCGATGGTGAATTCTTGGATGTCTGCTTGGTTGTCTATCGGTGAGGATAGACCGGGCATCATGTACTGTATACCCATCCAAGTTGAATATTCTAAATATGACAAAAGGACGGTAGATACAGCGGTAGATGCCGGTTTATACCCAGGTTCATCTATCAGCAATTGGAGAATTTGGAGTAAGTATGAGGTGGAAATCGCCGGTGAGGGGCAACGCTAGTCGTTGGAGTCTTTGGCGCCAATTGGAGATGGTTTCAATAATTTCGCGATAGTCAGCCAGCCATAAGAATTAGATAACTGATATTTGAGATTTCACATGCCCCCATTCACGAGGAACTTGAGGCCTGAGCTTTCAAGATAACGCAGGTTATAACCACCCCCTCCTTCATCGCGAGCTACTCCAATGGTATGCGGCAGCACCTATGCGCCCATAGCTGAGCATTTGGCTTCAAGCTACAGGGGTACCTAGCCTGCTCACCGTCTGCCTCTTTGACCTCTGGAAGGGGCCATTCCAATGCAAATGTAAGATAGGGATGAGAGGGATCGCCAGACGAGGCGGAGATGATGTTGGAGATGGATTGGCCTCGAGCGGGGGCGTGGAAACCAGTCTAATTATATTAGAAAAGGCATTAGCAAATTTCACGATAGATAGGATAGAGAAAGGGGATTGGTATCTTTATATTCCAACATGTTTAATCACCTCATTGGCTTCCCCGTCTTTGTCTGGCTCTCCTTTGGGATTTACTGCGTGTGAGATCGTCGTTAAACTCGCGGACAATCCGTGATGTCTCGATTACAGAGAAAAATTCTTTTAGATGACACACTTTGGCAACGAGGGCTGTTCAGGGCTCATCGTGATTGAGGATGGAGATTGTCCCTGGTGGGTTGACGGGGATACTGAAGGCGACGGAGATGACCATTGTGTAGCTGTGTGGTGTAGATGAGGCCAATTAAATTGAATCAAATGGTTAAATAGATAGCAAGAATGGTGATGGTGATGGAATTCGAAGCCTTACTCGTAAACGATGGTTAAATTTTGACCTTGGTTGCCTTGAAGTCCGAATTTGGCAAAAGTCGATGATGGAAGTATCATCGACGATGCAAATGCTAGTATTGTCAAATGATATATATGTACAGCACACCGTATCCTCATACTGATCAGCTTCATGTCATGGAAGAAATCAAGTCGGTATAATCGAGGGACTAATCTAGTCATCCCTCCTTGCAATCACATGTAGCTAAATAATGAAACGAAGAGAAAGAAGTGAAGAGAAGAAAAGAGGCAACAAAAAAAAAAGTGAAGCGAAGAGACGTAGGTACCGGAGCACACGAATTACCAATGGTAAAGTCAGAATAAATAGTAGACAAACAAAACCTATGCAAAATATAAACCTGTATCATATCACCAGCGCCCGTCGAAGATAGAATAAGATATAAAAGCAGAATGATGGATCTCATCCACAATGCTGAGAAGATAATGTAAAAAAGACAAACCCCCATAAGCCCTTAGATCCAGGCCAAGCCATTAAGAAAGTAAGAAAGAAGAAAAAAGATATCAAATAAGTCCTCCGTGATATATGAAGCCATGTTTTGGTCCTTGGTGTGTTTTTTTTGTCTGAATTTTTCCTCTTGTTTCATATCTCCCTTTACCCATAGTGCTTCGCAGGTAAGGGCTTCTCATCACGTCGAATGATTGCCAAATCCTTGACTCCTTGTCCAGCATAAAGGGCGCGTAACTCCATATTCCCGGCGATGTCCCTCGTGGCCCAGACCTGCAAAGCAATGATCCCGTAGTCATCGTCAATTGGCAGCACGCCTGCCATATCATCCCTGAAAAGTATTATCCAAGAAAAAAGAATGAAACCATCCATCATCGCTGTGTATGTACCCATACAAAAACTAAAGGGAGGCTAGCTCCATAGTCTGGAGAAACCGTAAAGGCCTAAACGGCCGCAACAGCTAGGCGTGAGAAGGTATTCGACGCAAAGAGTGTGTTGGCTATGGGCGTTGAGTGGTGGTGGTAGTGGTCGTGCGCCGCAATTGCTGCCCAATCCGCAAAGCTTCAGTACCGTCGTCGATCAGAGATTCCTTAAACCAAGGGTGTTTTAAAGCTTGCTTCGCAGTAATACGTTGCTTGGGATCGTAGACAAATATTTGCCGCAAAAGATCAAGGAATAACCGGTGAAAAGTGGTGTTGACTGGGATAAATTCCTGCAGATCATGTTAGCGTCTGAATCTGATAGATATCGACGTTTTTACGTACTGAAAGCTGTTTCATAGCTCTCACATACTTGCGAGAAGGCCGCGTCGTTTCCTCATTAGGATAATCCAGCTTGTTTCGGTTGAAGTATCTGCATCGCCCGTTAGATCAATCGAATTTGAGAATTGATCCATAAAAACTTACTTGGCTGACTGATTCGTACTCCCAGTCCGTCCGCCTTGCATCACTTGCCTGACAAGTCTGGTATCGATACGCTGTCCGATGACAGCCTCCATCATCGCCAAATGCTCCAGATTATCGTGAGTCTGAAAGAGTGCATCGCCCGTGAAGAACTCCACGAGAATGCAACCGATACTCCAGATATCGCAGGGGAAACTCCAGCCAAGATTTAGGATGATTTCCGGTGCCCGATAATGCCTGGTTGAGACAACAGACGAGTGATATTCATCATCGAAGGTTGCAGAGCCAAAGTCAATCAAACGGATCTCACTATCGAGCAAGACCCGTCTTTGACGTGCATTCCGAGACGTTGCATGTGATGAGGAGGGGATTGTTCGGTTGTACGTAAACGTCTGATATGCGTTATTCACAAGGAGAATGTTTTCGGGCTTCAAGTCGGTGTGAATGAGGTTGAGGTCATGAAGGACTATTGGATTAGCATCAAGCTTCGCCATAAAATGAAGGGGGGGAAAAAACTCACAGGCTACACTCGTGAAGAGCTGTCGGGCGAAATTTTGGATTTGGCTACTGGGAAAAGGCACAAACCCGTTTCCTTTCAAGAAATCAAAGACACTCTGTCCCAGTAAATCTGTGACGATGCAGATGTGTTTCCGATAGTCGAAACAGTCCCGCAGGTGAATGCATTTGTTTCGATTTTGCTTGTCATTGGAGGCCAAAGTTGACAGCACACGGAGCTCGATCCTTGATGCATCACGGTATTTCTGGATGGAGCGGATGATTTTGATCGCACAGCGAGATTTTCGGTGCTTGTCGTACGCTTCGACCACCTTACCAAATGTTCCTTGCCCGAGTAACTTGATGATTGAGTCTTCAAACTAGGTCAGCATCATGCTAATCCAGTCTATGGGCATAACATACATCGTTCTGTCAATGGGGTATCTGGGTTCACAACATAATGTCCATCATCGTCGTCAAATTTTTCGTTCCTATTCCCATACTAAAAAAAAAAAAATTAGTAACCAGACGTCGATAAGAGCATGCTGGATGACTTACATCACGAATGACAGGCACAGGGACATCCTTGGCCTTGATCGGTGGCTTGGGAGGAGGAACATAGCTCAGAAAAGCATCTCCCGCCGTCTCCAACTCTCGCCGCTTTTGCTCATCGCGAGCAGACTTCCGGGTAGTCACCCGTTTTCGCTTCTGGCCGATGCTGGCATCCTCATAGTAGATGCCATTATTGGCACCGGTGCTGCCCTGGGAGCCTAGAGAAGTCGGGGCAGTAGTGTGCAGCGACGTTGTTCGGTCTGTCGATATCGAGGCCGCCGACGAATCCTCCCCATACTGTTGCGGGTTTATCGAATACGAGGGACGATCATAGTACCCTAGATCGTACGCCGTCTCGATACCAGTCCGTCTTCTCTTACCCGCGGGTTGTGGAGCAATATTGCCATTTGCGGCCGGGACCGTGGAAGCAGTCGCAAGACTGCGAGAGGCGGCATGAGATTGCTCCGGGGGAGGGGTGTCATCAATGACAATGACCTCCTTGGGGATGCCATTCTTGTAAAACTCGCCCCAATCCGGCTTCTTCCTCCTGCTATTGTCTCCCGAGGGGCCCGTGCTAAGTCCATTCTGACTTGGAGGCATCGTGACGGGGGTCGATGCCGCAGGAACCAGTTTAGGAGACTGGGCAAAAGGGAGTGTAGTAGTCGGTGGGTTGACGGCGTAAGGATACGAGGGGGCCAGACGAGCGGTGCTTGCGGCGGTAGTGGTCGGATATGATGCGTTTGCTTGGTACGCCTGGTGATGGGGATATCCGTAATGCTGGTGGTGATGCGAAGGATGCGTCGCAGTCGCCGTGGAGGGCGTAGACATGATGAACAGAGAAATCCAGCCGGTCGTATGAACGGCGGATGTTGGAGGATACGGACAGGTTGTGGAGGGGAGGAGGAAGAAGAGGAGAGAGGTTCAGTGTCGGTTCGCAGGCCGGCCGTCCCAGTAATCAATCTACTTTGGACAGGGGACTCGAGATTCCAGGCCTGACACGCGGTGGTCTCGCAAGGGACGCTGACGAGGGAAAAGGAGAGAATCTAATTGAGAGGTGAAAAAAAGGAACGAGAAGAAAAAAGATTGAAAAGGAAGAGTCGTCTCGACAAGGAGGATGCGTGGGGATGACGACGGGCGAGGCGGTCGGTCGGGAGAGAAAGAAGCGTAATCGTAGTAATTCAGGTGTGTCTCATTTGCTTTTCAGCAAGAGAGAAAGAGGCAGGAGTCACAGTACCATTGAGGAGAAAGAAAACCATCTGTTCCAGCTGTCGACCGTGAACAACCCAGAAACAGGGCGAAGGAGAGCGGACAGAGATTGGTTGAGGTGGAAGACTTTCTCTGGCAGCGTAAGAGAGACACGGGGAATGAGGACTTGCGATGGCGCCTCGCCGCTTCGCTCGTGCACTCAAAGCGGAGGGTTCGTTTCGGCTACGAACAACCTACGATCCAGCCAAAAACACACACTGGAACCGTCAATCTCGATGAAAAACAATATGAAATCACCACAACTACACCGTGATTTTACTGTCTTCACCGAGTATGGATTGTAGCATTTGCACACCTTCTATACTCTGTTTCTGTGCCTCAGATCGCAAGGCTCATCCAGCCCTGGGGCGACATAGCGTCAGATGAGGTCTAGGCTTGGGACGCCACACTCAGGATTTCCTGACAAAGCCCTGCTCATTGGTGTGCTATTATCCGTCTATCATGGAATTGTAAGAACCAACTCAATCCATCGCAACAACTATCAGTTGCCAATTAGACCTCACCCCCTCCTCACTATCTGCTCTTTTCCCCTTCTTTTTTTCATCTCCTGTGGCGACATCGCGAGAACAACGCAATGGGCACATTTCGCCCACCGTAGTCCGCAGCATGTCATGCGTTCCCACTAACCCTATTGGGCGATGGCGCCGTCGCGCGTAGAAAAAACCCCCTCCGCTTTTCGGCTGCTTTCACTGACATCATCTCCTGCTTTGATTCTCATCGTCTGATCAGAATTGGAGATCCTGGTTGATTCTGCGCGGTGATTGGCATTGCTGCTTGCTGGGGTTGTTGGTCGGTTGATCGTCAATTGTGTTATTTCCACCACTCCCCCTTGCTCTTTTCTCATTGCCAAATGTCCTTTTCTTCGTTCCTGGCCTACAAGCGTTGCCGTGATGCAATGGCCAGTCTCTAACTCGAAGCGGAAATGTCCACCGTAGGATGGATGGAAATATCCACGATTTAAGCCAACAGAGAAAATTTTCAAATTAGCTATTCATCATATCTATTCACATCTCAAGGGGAGGATATCTCGTGCTTCTTGATGAAGCCTCCCAAACTGATTTATCTCACATCCAGTCAGGAGAGGGTCTCTCCATCCACATAACATAGGGTATCTCCAGGCGATCTCTTCATAAGACAACCTCTAGATTCCACGGTAATTAAAATTTCTGATACATAATGAAAAAACAAGAGAGAAGAATGCAGTGTTTCCCCAACCCCCGTGTAAAAATGCATGCACAATGAAAAAAGCATCTGTAACGCAACCCACGTAAAAGGCTTAAATGCACCGCAACGCCTAAAACCACGGTCCTGCGCAGTAACCGTGCGGAACTTGAAATTGTAGCGCGGAATGATGAAGAGCCCGCCACTGCTCTGATGATTGGGGGCAGACGAATCATAGGACAAGTAGCCTGGGCTCAATCAGTCCAGTCGGTCTTCTTTCACATCTTTCGAGTATGCCTTTTGTATATGCCTCGAGCCTCTGCCATCGAGCTCGAGCATGAACAAAATGTCTCGGACCTGTATCCCAGACCCTTTTTCTTTGTCTTCGCGCCAGGCACCAAGACGTCTGGTGGGCGCAGCCGCTGGTTCTCCGGATTTTCCAGGTTTATCTGGAGTTGCAGCTGGAGTTGCCGTATTCACCCGTGATGGTGTTGAAAAGCCACTGCCAGTGGCTGGGCCTCTGTTAAGCCATGAGTATGATTTCTTGGTACCAAACATGCGCCCAGAAAGCATGCTATTGGTGGCCATTCGTGCAGTCTCGACGGATTGCTGGTGTTGCTGGGCTTCGCTTGCTTTTGCATCATGCATCTTCCTGGCTTCCTTCTTGGTAACTCCTTTCTTATCGAAGCTCGGAGTCTTCTCGCCAATTGGCGTGGATGCCCCAGAGCCTGGCATATCTACAGAGTCGGATCTGCTTCCTGCGCTTTCTCCTAGAATGGCATTTGCGCTACGCTTAGCACGTTTTGCGGCACGAATCTCTTCATAGGAGTTATCTCTGTCCATGAGCATGCGGTATTTCTGAGGAAGTGTTCTCTTAGATTGTTGTTCGGTTTCCGAGTGGGATCCTGGATTTTTGTCAGCATTTGCAATATATTTAGTAGTTCAATTTGCAACATACGCTTGATTGGGGTTGCCTTAGGGGTCTCTGCATGTCCGTTAGTTGGAGCAGCAGATGATGCCACGTCCTTCCATTCAACTGGCACTGCCCCATGCGAGTGTGCACGCCGGCTCCTGGCAAGTGTAGAAGAATAGTCAATGACGTTTCTCAGGCGTTCCTCGCAGGAAATCGACATTAAATTAAGGATATCCACCAACGGAGCTCCTTCTTGATTCAAAATAGTTTGTCCCGTTCGTACCACAGATGAACCATCAGGACCGGTAACTTCGATCGGCTGAGGACGGCCTGGAACGGGATGGAATAGCCCTTCGGCAGGTATGCGAACACCAAGCTCAAAACCACGCCTTTGCAACTTCTGTTCCAGCACCTTTGTCAAAAGAAATGGTTCCTGCAAATGATATTGCGCGCGCCTAGCTGCTTCTGTATCCTCGCGGGTAGGTTCGTTCGGGTCTTTGAACGGTGCAGGAGGCTGGGACGACGCCGGCTCAGTATAGAATGAGTCTTGAGTAGTTGGAGGTTTCAACTGCGACGGCTCGTTGAAGCTGGGGGCAGAGGAGATTGTTCCAGTAGTAGAAGGCTGCGACGTAAAAGAGAGGTTTGCTGGTGGAGGTTGCTGTTGTTGAAGATGATGCTGTTGCTGTGGCGGCGGTGGCTGCTGAGGCCGAGGGGGCTGTTGCGCCTGCACACCAGGCCCTGAGTAACTGCTGGTAAGAAAAGCTTCCTCCTCCCTAACATCAATACCCGAGGATGCCAGAACATCCGTCAACTCAGCAGCATCTGTAGCCTTTTCCACGGGGCGAGAGGGCGGTCCCATTGCGCCTGGAGGGGGAGGAGGCGCTGGCGTCGTTGGAGCCATGCCGTTCATATTTGTCCCGTTCATCGTTGGCGACTGAGTCTGCGGCAGCTGCAGAGTTCCAAAACTCGGAGAAGCATAAGGTGATTGTGTTTGCGACTGCGGGAGAGGCGAGAATTGTTGTCGTTTTTGAGGAGGAATGCCACCGTTCACTGGAGACGGTGCTGCACTGGGCGACGGGGAGGAGACGGGAGGAGAGAAAGATTGCTGCGAGGCAAACTGCTGTGGTTGAGTCTGCGCCATGATGACCGAAGTGTACGAGTCCAACGAAAAATTTGCACGAGAAAGTTGATATCAGATTCTGTCACGGCTGCCGAGATGGGGAGAGAACACCCGCGCGTGGGTCGAAGAAGTGAGCGGATTGCTCGAACCGCCACCACCACCAACTGTAACCATCTCAGGGCCTCTGGTCAAACATAGATCCGTGATCCACACCGGGGACGCTTTCGAGCGGGAAGCTGTGGGCGAGTGAATGAGCTGGGGTCGATGATGTTGACCGCGTATGGACAGGGAGCTTTCACTTGACGAGGTTTGCTTCGAGATCCCGCAGGTAGCTTGGTGTCACGTGCGCGCTTATGTAACAATTCCATCGGGGTTCGGGCGCTCTGCTGTTTCTATCAAGTGAATTGGAGAGAAGTGTAACACTGGCAGTGGATGCTGCTCATTCCTGACAATTGAACGCGATTCACCCACTGAATATTGCATTCACTTTCACCTCAAGGGAATCTGCTCTCCTGTGCTCCGTGCCGGTCATGATCTTGTCGCGCCGCGACATTTGAAAGACCGTCAAATCGAGGCGGCTTCAATCGGGCTCTCCTAACTTTCTGCTCATATAGCTATCACTTACTCCTCAGATTACGATAAAAAAGCTCTTTGACGAGATAATCCCACGATAATACGATCATCTGATATAAACGAGTTGCACCATGGCCGCAAAGCGCAAGGCGTCGGCCCTTAACGCCGCCATCGATGATGAGCCTGTCGACCCGTCCGATGAACTGGCTTTTTACTGCCTAGGTGGAGGTAACGAGGTCGGACGATCATGTCACATTATTGAATATAAGGGAAAAACTGTCATGGTGTGTTGCATTAAATCCTTCTGGAATTGGCGATGGCTAACGGCTGGCGTTTTCTAGCTTGACGCTGGCATGCATCCCGCGAAAGAAGGGTTCTCTGCGCTTCCTTTCTTCGATGAGTTTGACTTGAGTACGGTGGATATTCTTTTGATAAGCCAGTACGTGGAATACCCTTTCTCTCTCAGAGTTCATTTTGGCGCAATTCCATTTCTCTCGGGTGCAAGAGGTTCTGGGCCCTGTTACGCGATAACCAGGACAGCGTGGTGGCCCAGACTTTTATCCATGAAGGAGTATTGTGCTTCGATGATACAGACCCTAGTTCCCATCATGTATATCAGAAACTCAATACAAATCATTCCAGCTGCTCACTTGGTGTCCTGTGTTTGTATCTTTGTATCTGCGCATAGCTGTTGCTCTTCAATACTGTTTCATGTCATTAAATTCTGCCATGCTTTGTTTTACTGTAACCACTGGCTGATGATTGGAACTTGACAGTTTCCACGTCGATCATTCCTCCGCTCTTCCCTATGTCCTCAGCAAGACCAACTTCAAAGGCCGTGTCTTCATGACACATGCCACCAAGGCCATCTACAAATGGCTTATCCAAGATAATGTCCGTGTCAGCAATACAGCATCTTCATCGGACCAGCGCACCACCTTGTACACCGAACATGACCACCTTTCTACCCTCCCCTTGATCGAAACAATCGACTTCAACACAACTCATACCATCAACAGCATTCGCATCACTCCCTTCCCTGCAGGTCATGTTCTTGGTGCTGCAATGTTCTTGGTTTCTATCGCCGGATTGAACATTCTTTTCACTGGCGACTACTCCCGTGAGGAGGATCGACATCTTATCCCAGCCGAAGTACCCAAAGGCATCAAGATCGATGTCTTGATCACCGAGTCCACGTTCGGAATATCATCTAACCCTCCTCGCTTGGAACGTGAGGCAGCACTTATGAAGTCGGTAACGGGTGTATTAAATCGTGGCGGAAGAGTTCTGATGCCGGTGTTCGCCCTCGGCCGTGCTCAAGAACTGCTGCTCATTCTAGACGAATACTGGGAACGACACCCTGAATTGCAGAAAATTCCAATTTACTACATCGGAAATATGGCACGACGATGCATGGTCGTGTATCAGACATATATAGGAGCGATGAATGATAATATTAAGCGACTCTTCCGACAGCGAATGGCAGAGGCAGAAGCAAGTGGCGATAAAAGTGTCAGCGCTGGACCTTGGGATTTCAGATTCGTTCGAAGTCTGAGGAGTCTCGAAAGATTTGACGACTTGGGAGGGTGTGTCATGCTGGCCTCACCTGGTATGCTGCAGACAGGAACAAGTAGAGAGCTGCTTGAGCGATGGGCCCCAAGTGAGCGTAATGGTGTCGTGATGACCGGTTACAGCGTCGAAGGAACAATGGCCAAGCAGTTACTGAACGAGCCTGAGCAGATCCCAGCCGTGATGTCAAGAGCAGCGGCAGCAGCAAGGAGAGGTGTCACTTCAGGGAACGAGGAGGAGCAAAAAGTTATGATTCAACGAAGGTGCACTGTGGACGAGATCAGTTTTGCTGCACATGTGGATGGCGTGGAAAATAGAAACTTCATCGAAGAAGTAGCTGCACCCGTTGTGGTATGTTATCCCTATTGGACTATGGCATTTCGGTATCTTACGATTTTTCTAGATTCTCGTTCACGGTGAGAAGCACCAAATGATGCGACTCAAGTCAAAGCTGCTCAGTCTCAACGTAGACAAGACCGTGAAGGTGAAGGTCTACACCCCAGCAAACTGCGATGAAGTTCGCATTCCTTTCAGAAAGGACAAGATTGCAAAGGTTGTGGGAAGATTGGCACAAGTGGCACCGCCTTCAGAGGAGGACAATGGCCAACTGATGGCCGGTGTCCTCGTTCAGAATGGATTCGACCTGTCACTCATGGCGCCTGACGATCTCCGTGAGTATGCCGGTTTGACGACCACAACTATCACATGCAAACAGCACATTACTCTCAGCTCCGCCAGCATGGATTTGATCAAGTGGGCACTCGAGGGTACGTTTGGAGCTATTGAAGAGGTTGGCACTCGCGAAGTACATACCAAGGAAGAGGGCAAAGACGATTCTTTGAAGGAGGATGCCGACGAAGAAATCCCGATGGAAAAGAGCCAAACGTACTTGGTCATGGGATGTGTCATCATCCGTCACAATCCTCGCACACGCGAGGTAGAGCTGGAATGGGAAGGCAACATGATGAATGACGGTGTTGCTGACGCAGTCATGGCGGTTCTCCTAACTGTTGAAAGCAGTCCTGCATCTGTGAAGCGTATGCTACCGTCCTGGATATAAAGTTTTGGTATGCTAACAGATCCTTAGAATCCGCCAAAAACAAACACCACCACCACCACCATCACGACGATGTGCCAGAACTGCCTAACCCCCACTCGCAGCTTGGATCTGAAGAGCGTTTCGCGCGTCTTCTCATGATGCTGGAAGCACAATTTGGATCTAACATTGCTCCCATTGAGCGTCCACGACTCCCGTCCGAGTTACTTGGCAATGGCGCAAAGAAACCCACTGAGAGCGCAGAGCAAACACCAGCCACAGAGGCAGAGGACGAAGACGACGAGCGCACCGCAGAACTGGAAGAGGTTGAACTTGCCCGACTGCACATGCTGGGAATCCCCGTTCCTGGTATTGAGATCAAGGTCGACAAGCATGTTGCTCGGGTATGGCTCGAGGATCTGGAGGTTGAATGCGCAAACCCTGTCATGAGGGATAGAGTCCGGGTAGTTGTTGAACGGGCCGTGGAAACCGTTGCTGGTATGTGGACTGAGGGTCCTTCGCCAGCGCCTGTTACGAATGGAACTGCAAAGGACAAGACTGGTGATGTCCCAAAGAGTGTTGAGATTGAGGCCAAGGCATGATGTATTATTTAGATGTGTGTACTATTTAGGGGCGTGGGAAACGATTTGCCTGATTCGAAAACCCAAAATACATATGCTAGGAAAATGATCTACAGACAGTGTCTTGCAGATCCCTACTCCATAAAGACCCTGTCATTTTAATACCATTGCTTATCAGCCCTGCTATGACGACAGTCCGTTAGAGTGGCGCCTAAATAACATAAAAGTATCCAAGTCGCTGTTGGAAGCTATCATTCCTTCTTAACACTGCCTCTTAATATCATTTACCCCCCTCCTGTCGGCTGTTCCAACTAGAAGAACTAGCCCCAACAACACTGCGTATCCTTGCTAGTTAGTTAGTGGGCGTTTATTACCTATCATGTCGAAAATGGCTTCATCTCAGTTACAGCAAGAAGCCAAAGAGGCAGCTTTCCAAGGCGACGTCGCAACGCTCCAACGGTGTTTTGAAAATGGACTTTCAGCAATGGATAAAAAGGTCTACCTTAACGCCTTACAAAATGGAGATGTTAAGACCTTTCAAGTGATTCTAGATGCCGGTGGGGATATCAATTTCACGATGGGCTACAGCGGTTCCCCATTAATCTCTGCACTGCGACACAAGCACCAGAATCTCCTTGAATTTCTTTTCTCACGTGGTGTTGATCCCAACATGGGAACCTATGGTCAACGGCTGCCCCCCCCTCAGCGTGGCCGTGCGGTATACAGATATCAAGTGGGTTAAAGTTATGTTGGAGAAAGGCGCGAGGATTGAAGGGACAGGAGCCTTGCATATTGCGGCAATTTTAGGAAATATCAACCTAATGAGGCTGCTGATCAAGTATGGGGCGGATGTTAATGAGATTCCATTTCTACATGTGGTTGCCTTTGTTGACTACCACCGTGAAGGGACGCCTCTCCACTGGGCAATTGCTGGGGGTCATGCTGAGGCTGTGGAGCTCCTGCTGGAGCATCATACAGATCTAAATATGGTTGATGTGGAGGGAGTCTCTGCCAGTGACCGTTTAAGTGAGTTTAGGAACAGTCTCGGCCTTTAAGTTAGTTGTCTGCCTATTTGGGGGTGTTGGGGGAGAGGGGGCCTATACAATGTATCTTGATTCTGGGTTATTGTGTGGCTTTTACGTTGATTAGAATCTGCATTCTATTTTTGGGGCTCACTGAGACTATTGCGAGTCTGTCTAGACTGGATAATCGATAATAATCATTTGCAAAATACTTTGCCAGTCAATTATCTCATAGCTTTGCGTTGCCCACGTAGCATAAAAACCGCCTACTCCACTGCAATCTTGGTAAAAACATCATTGATAACCCTCGCCGTCGTATCCACAATGATATCAATTTCCTCTTTAGACACGTTGTACGGCGGCGACAGGATGACATGATCACCGCGGACACCGTCTACACAACCCGTAGCACCGTATAGGGAAATAGAGTAGGCGGGTTTCAAGGCCGTCTCTTGGAGCAAGAAAGCGATGCTGGCTTCCACGGGGAATGGCTCTTTGGTTTGTTTGTCTTTGACAAATTCGATCTGGTCGTTATTAGTTGCTGTTGTTCTGTAAAAGAAGAAGAAAAATAACTCACCCCCCAAAACAGCCCTTTTCCTCGAATATCTCCAACATTAGGATGAGAGCCCAGTCGACTCTTAAGCCCACTTTCAAGATAAGCGCCCATCTTCCTCACATTCTCAACTAACCCTTCCTTCTTGATAACCCTCTGCACCTCCAACGCAGCAGCACACGAAACAGGATGACCCTGGTACGTCTGTCCATGTCGAAACACACCAGACCCTTTGTCTAGCACTTGCACAACGTTATCGCCAATCAGTATACCCGCAACAGGGGCGTATCCGCCTCCGAGACCCTTGCCGATGGTTTGAATGTCAGGGACGACATCTTCTTGTTCCCATGCGTGCAAGGTACCGCAGCGACCCATACCGCTCATAATCTCGTCGAGGATGAAGAGCGCGCCGTGGCGCTCGCAGACGGCTTTCATGGCGGGGAAGTACCCGGGGACGGCAGGGACGCAGCCCATGGACTGTGATTATTAGTAAATGGATGAGCGCTTTATGGTAGGTTAATATGTACGCACCGCACCGACAACAGGCTCCGCGAGAAAGGCACAAACAGTCTCCGGTCCTACGCGCTGGAATTCTGCATCCAACTCCGCGGCAAGACGGGCAACGTAGTCTCCGTCTGATTCGCCTTCTTTCTTGTCGCGGTAGGCGTAACATGGGGAGATGTGCGAGGTGTTCTGCGAGAGTATCGGCTCGAAAGGCTGTCGTCGAAGGACGTGACCACCTGCGCTCAGAGCGCCCAATGTGGCTCCATGGTAAGATGGTAAACGGGCGATGAACCGAGTACGTTGGGGTTGAGGGGATGGTAGTTCAAGGAAATATTGACGGGCGAGTTTGAGTGACGCTTCGATTGCTTCGGAGCCTTTTTGCATGTTAGTGGTAGGGTGAAGAGTGGATAATATTCTGCCTACCAGAGCTGACCACGAAAAGCTTAGTGAGCTTCCCACCCGTTGAATCAACCATGAACGAAGCAAGATCTTCAGAGACCTGAGTACCGAAAAAGGCAGTGTGGCAGTAGGATATCTGCTTGATTTGATCCACGATTGCCTGGTTCACCTGTTCATTGCCATGTCCCAGGCAAGAGACGGCAGCACCACCGGTTGAGTCGAGGAATTTCTGTCCATCCTCGAGATAGATGTAGCTGCCCTTGCTGCTGATGGCTTTCTTTGGGATGAAGCGAGTGTCTCTATGGAGCATCGCGCTCTGAGGAATTGGGTCTGTTCCATGTCAGTCAAGAAATACAGCTTGATTCATGATCACGTACTGCCTTGGGTCATGATTGAAATGATTCAGGATGAAGTATCAAGTAGATGAACTGGAGATATAGTGATTGAAGCTGAAAAATACAGATATTCGCTCGATGCATGTATTTATATGTTTAGTACACAGAATAGCCACGGCTATCTTGTATCTCCAACTGTCATTGCGGAGTTGGTGCGGGGTGCGGTTCGGCATGCCGATGGAGAGAAGCCGAGTGTATCATTGGCTTTCTTAGCCGAAGTTCGGTTATGTTAATTGTAGATAAGAGATGAATTGATTAAGGAGTAATATCTCATAGTTATGATCGTATCAAAAAGATAAGATAGAAGTATGAACTATGTCCAAGCAGATTTCTACTGTTGGTGAGCAAACAGCAAGTCAACTAGGCGTATGATAGAGCAAGATTGATGCCATATTCAGTGTTCACTCAGTCAATCAGCCTATACTTGATGCTTGAATCACTTGCTCATTTATATTGATAACGGCAGGTATTTAGTAGTATTTGAAGAGCAATTGGCAGATTGTGTATGTGTGTAAGCTGCTCTTTGACTGCGTTGCTCAGTGAGGACCACAATCAGGGTTGACTTACACGATATACCATTCAGTCACCATATTTTCTCTCTCATATCCAACACCAATTGTTGACCTTTCATTACTCTCGTATCCTGGTGGTGTTTAATTCTTGTTTTCCAGATCGAAAAGGGAAACATCACCTGATTTGTATAACACGTGACATACTGACGCGCTGACTCAGGAGATCTACATCGCGGCCAATAAGACGACAGAATGGAGTGCCTGGAGATGTTATGAATGACTGACTGTCCTTCATCAATTCCAATGACATGACGACTCTTTACGACCGATGTTTCGAATGCTCAGCTACATGTCCACTTTACTGCGCTATGGACTACGGCGCCGCCTGGTTCAGTATCTGTTGATAAGTCTCATTGCCTGGACCTTGTTGGAGACGCTTTACATCCACCACCAAGTCTCCGTGGTGGATAGCGTCCAGCCCAGTCGCCCACGCCAGTTTGAGCGAATATTCATTGCCAGCACGCACTGGAATAACGAACCCATTCTTCGCAGTCATTGGAATAACGCTGTTGTTGAATTAGCTAAGATATTCGGCGCAGAAAATGTTTTTGTGAGTGTTTACGAGAGTGGAAGCTGGGATAACAGCAAGGGAGCTCTCCGCGATCTCGATGCCCAGCTGGAACAGTTGGGTGTACGGCGAAAATTTACACTCTCTGAAACTACGCATCAAGATGAGATCTCAGCTCCTCCGGCTAGCGAGGGGTGGATTGATACGCCCCGTGGTAAAAAGGAATTAAGGCGTATACCTTATCTTGCTCGACTTCGCAACCTGACTTTGAAGCCTTTGGAGGAACTGGCGGAACAAGGCATCACCTTTGACAAGGTGCTTTTTCTAAACGACGTCGTTTTTACAGTATGTATTAAGCCATCTGAAGTTAAGAAGAGCTATTGACAGCTACCAGGTGGACGATGTGATTGCATTACTCAATACCAACCAGGGCAGATATGCTGCAGCCTGTTCTATGGACTTTTCCAAGCCGCCTCTCTACTATGACACCTTTGCTCTACGCGACTCGAACGGGGATGCGCATGTGATGCAAAAGTGGCCTTATTTCCGCTCTACAGCTTCGCGACACGCACTTTTCACCATGGCTCCTGTGCCTGTTAAAAGTTGCTGGAATGGAATGGGTGAGTGATTATCCTTACTCCCATGACTGCTACTGACGACTACAGTGGCTATGCCGACGGAACCCTTCATGTCGAACACCCCGTTGCGGTTCCGTGGGATATCAGATTCACTGGGAGAATCGCATCTCGAGGGCTCAGAATGCTGTTTAATCCACGCAGACAACCCTCTTTCCCAAACTCAAGGCGTTTACCTTAATCCCCAAGTCCGCGTTGGGTACAACGCCCCAGCATACGACGCCGTCCATCCTACTAGATCCTGGATTTCGCTGCAGAGTGTAGCTCTCGCGCTGTGGGAAAACAGAATACGTCGATGGACTACGACAGAATTCTTCACGAAACGGACCGTTCGGAAAAGAGTGTCTGCCTGGGAGAGACAAGATGGTAGTAGATTCGAGCCTGGCGAATTCTGTTTGATCAATGAGATGCAGGTGCTTGCTGCTAATGGCTGGGCGCATGTTTGATACCCTTGCTCTGTTATTCTACTGGAATTCATCAATTCAGGTGTTTTATTTTCGTCTTACTGGATCGGCATTGAAATTGTGCCACTAGCCGTCGCATCGATACTTGCAGCCGTTGTGGTCCGCTGCCAAGCTCAGCGATACGAGAAGGTAAGCACCAGCCACCGTCACTAAAACGTCATACTGCGGACGGAAAATGAAAAGTACAAAAGAAAAAGAAAGAAAATCAACGACAATCCCAGACTCAATCAACAGATGCAAAAAAAGAAAAAAGAAAAAAGCAAAAAGGAAAGCCGAACGCGGGGGTCGAACCCGCAGCCTTGAGATTAAGAGTCTCACGCTCTACCGATTGAGCTAGCCCGGCTGCTCTTGTTGTGTTAGCGTTCAAAATTAGTGCCTCTTCAATGGGCTAACGGAATAGTTAGGGTTGCCCTTGGTCTGGACTAGACAACATACTCCGTCTGATGGAGACAAAGTACCAACATCACCAAAGATACAATCCTACTAACTCCCTATGAATACGCCCAAATACAAGTTTAATTTCAAAGCTTCCTATTCAATCTAAAGTGTGGCAATATTTGATTGCCTTTGTACAATGCAGGGTGATCCTGTAGATACAACGAATGCTAACAAACAGTTTCACTAGACAAGATAGGCTTCGACCATTATCCTTAGCACATTCAGATACCCCCTCTTAAGCAGATCCATATAAACATTCAATTCAAGGCAGCCCAGTCATTCGATTGAAGGCACTACCAAGTCATCAGAAACCACCTCATCTATCAACAATAATCACGATATCTCATACCTAAACAACAATAGTCTCATCCTCATCCTCTCTCTTGGAGGGGAAATCACAGTCCGAATAGCCACCACAGCAGCTCCGGAAGTTAGAGAGATGCTCGGAGATGGAGGAGGCCTGGCAATCACCGTCCTTGTAGGTGCCGCTCAGCGAGTTGCAGCAGGACTCGGTCTTGCTGGAGTCCTTGGTGCACTGGCAGGCCAGGGCGGGGGCGGCCATGATGGCGGCAACGAAGAGGGAGGCAATGGAGAACTTCATTTTGAATGAGTTGGTTGAGATTGGAATTGAAAGTGTTTTGAAGTTGTTGAGAGACGAATGATGCTGATGAGAATGAGATTCAGGCGAGGAAGATGAAGGTCTTTATACCTTTGACGACAGCCTTGTCTGTCAGGTTTGCTTCCTTGGGTCAGACACTATGAAGTCCATATCCAGCTAGACTTACTCCTAGATACTGTTGAATGGAGGGGAGGTCTCTCGATGTCCAAGAATTGTAGACATAGCCCCTGTTGCATTGCCCAGGATGCTTGGCCACCTGTAAGCCTGGTTGAGGTGACGGATTCGAGGATGCTTATCCCTGCTGGTAATTCTGACAAGTATAGTTACACTTTTTCTTCTGTATAGTATACTGTTACCAAAGAGCCTTCTACAGTCTAGTCCTTCTCTATGTTGAGTACGGAGAATGTTTACCATTATTCTCACCAGACTGAAGCTGCTCCGGCTATCATATTGATATTGAATATCTCCTGTTTCTTACTTTCTACCTAGCAGCTTGACAAAAAGTAGGTTCCAGAATTATATTCGACACGGCTCCCTATAGCCTCACTAGACTACTAAGATCCCAACATAATAGATCAAGCAGTGAGCCATGATTTGTCGATTTCTGGAGAAGGTTTACGCAATTCAATATGCAGGCACAGCGGTACGGTCATACTGGTGGTCTTACATCTAACATGGATATACGAATAGGGAAAGGAAGCAATTGGTAAAATGCGCTGTGCCGGCGATTAAGCGAGTTTGTTCACTTCAGACTGTCTAGTTCAGTCCATTCTCTGAAAATGTTTTGTACGCAGTAAAATGGAAAGGATGATGGAACAATAGAGGCCTCTTTCTTTTGTAGTAGGTAGTAGCACTGTTTTGTTTGATAACTAGATATTCCCATGCAAAAGCATTATTCATAATAATACACACGTATAAGATCGGACACAGAGTACCGAGTCGGCTGTCGGTCTCTGACTGATCGGCATGGACTCGCCACCAGAAGCCACCTAAAAGCCAAACGTTTGTCAAAGCTGGGGGAAACAGCAAGGATGCACTCCCTCGTATTCCATCACGTCCGTGATCTACTATGGCTGTGATCGGCAGAGGCTGTCACTACCTACTCATGTATCCGTAGTCAGATTTTCCTAATATTTGGGGGCCATGAGTTGACATTTGAGATCTCAGGAAAGTAAATTATTGGGATCATCATGATACACGTTTGTGGCTATCACCACTTGTGTGCTACATAGTGCATATACTGCAGCTTTGGTTCAGCCATAAGCGCCAAGGAAATAAGCACTCAGCCATCACGTATTGTCTCTCTCCGCCCTATGGGAGAATACATTTGGCACATGGACGAATCAGGCTGCTCTTCTGTACTTCCACTTTTTGACACGTAATATGGCTTGTCTAGCTTCAAGGCTAGACCTTAGCAATCAGGAACTTTCGCTGCTTCAGCAGAAGATGATGCTTGGAAGTCATTGATGAGATCAATCTGTATTTTAAACTCCTTCTCCGCATTCAAAGTCGTTTATACTTATTGGCCACGAGGCTCTCTGGTGCAAATCTACATACTGCGTCCTCAGCAACACCGCCTACATATGTGCATAGAACTTCTTCCTCCAGTATGAGACGATCACCGACATCCGACATAGTTTGTGGAGAAGCGCCCCACATCTCGGGCCGCCAATCCCACAGAGTGCAACATTACCATTGGCTAACTCGACCTACTATCTCCACATGTCACACTGTTTACTTTCTGGAGTAATGATCGCCGTCCATCCGGATGTGAACGGCTTGTCGATACATAGGTACATTTCTTGGAAGGTGTTGATCTTCATTTATGTGCCTATTCAGGAAATGACTGGAATAGTAACAGCGGCTACGGTGAACAATAATTGGGCAAAATTCCTACAAAGGCAGATATATGGATACTTGAATATGAGCATGTTGAATTGGGAAACTCAAGTCCGTCCTGGTAGCATTTAAGAATTATGTAGTATGCATAACTACACGTTGAGGAAAATTCAATTGCCTCATAGAGCTCAGCTGAAACAATTCGTATTGGCCCTGTTTGCATCCAGGCAGTCATCTAGGTGGGTGGCCTTATCCCGGGCCTCGTCCAGGATAGCCTGGTGCTGAAGACCAGAGATCAGCACAGAAGGCTATGTCTAAAAAAATAAAAAAAAAATAAAAAAAGCAAGATATCCAGCCTTGTCTATTAATGATGGTACAATAATTTCAGTCACTACCATGATGGATGTAGCACATATCTGCTTATTCCACTTTGTAGGTGTTGATGGAGTATGTAATTTCTGGCCAATCAGAAGCAGTGTTCTGGATTGACAGCTCCCCCGCAAAGATGGCACATTCCAGACTGAAGCAACATTGGGTCAGTCTATCTTGCCTCAACTTAACCGTGGAACATAGACAGTAGAGTAGATAGACGATCTACAGCAGGTATACAATTGATATTCAGTTGAAAATCACGAGAAATGAATAATGTGTCAAAGAAATGCGCCGTGTCCATTTAGAGGCGATTACATAAGGCCAGGCTAGCCCCCAAACAAAGGCTACAGCGCAGCCTGTTCCACAAAGACTTGACCGTCAAAACCCCCTAATTTGGGTTCTGAATCCAAATGACACCATGTGGAATCCTCGATATTGCCAGATCGACCCGGTCACCAGCTTTGCGGGGGCTGCTCTGTTATGCAGCATCGCGACAGAGCGTCTGTCCACCAGGCAATCCGGGCTTTGCTCCGAGATTCTGGCCTGGATGATGCTGCCGATTGTCTTTAAGCTTGCCAGGCAGCCAGATGCTAACAAATTCTCAAAGACAGCGCCTTTTAGCAATTTTCAAACTCGGTCTGCATCTGCGCTATCATTATGGATGGTTGCGGTGAGCATTGCTACGTTTTGTGTCTGGAAAGCAGAAATCGGCATGCTTGGGTTCTTCGTAAGCTATTTATTTTAACAAAACGAGTCTTAAACTAACCACCAGCAGCCAGCATCAACTCCTTTACTTTTGGTGGCTCAGAAGTATCTCGGATCTGATTTGCGAACATCTCGATCTGACTCACGCTTCTCTTTGTGTGTGAACACCGTCTGGGGCACAGCCTTGGCAGCTTCGCTTTTCACTGTCATCTTATCGGACTGGGATCTTCCAGGATGTCTCCTATCAGCTGTTCCAGTTGCTGCTCTGCTGGTTGCCTATGTCATTCTCACGCCCAGGACCGATAGAAGCATTCTGTTTTTTCCACCGTTTGATATTGGGGACGCCGTTCTTCCACTTTCATTGTGCGTTGTGGGTGTATTCCTCATTGTTTTGTGCGTGGAAACCGTGAATTTTGGCTTCCCCCAAGGCAAAGCCCTACCAACATTAACACTGGGCTTGGTTAAAGCGTTGACTTGGTATTACACAATTCAAACAGTATGTTGCCTTCTTTCAAGAGGCTTAGATACGCTGACCAGTCTAGGCTCGACAATCCTCCTGGCGTACTGCCACTGCGTTAGGAACATTCAGCATTATATCCACTCGCAATCCTTTCTCGCTGTCATCAGGTGTTCAGGCTTTATCACATGCTCTAGCATCTTTCCTTGCTCTGGGCCAGGTTATCCATCTGCTTCCATGGCATGCGAACGCCAAATCAGCTCTTTGGGCTTTTTCTCTCGTCTCGCTGGTTCCATATCTTGCAAATACCCTTGCCATTCAAAACTTTCAATCTTCGCTAGTTCATTCTGGAAAGCATCCTACCCAGGTCTTGAATTACAATGCCAAATCAGACTTCCAAGACCTGATTCAAAAACAATCACAGACATACACAGCTGCTCATGATGAATACCAACGTCGATACGGCATAGAACCGCCACCTGGCTTCGACGCCTGGTATGAATTTGCGAAAGCGCATCAGTCACCTATTATTGATGAATTTGACATGATCTACGATGCGGTCTCTCCGTTCTGGAAATTGAGTGGAAAGGAGGTTGTGGACACCATGAATCGTGCACATTTTGCACCAAGCAGCGATCTATGGCGTTGTGAATTCTCTGGTGACCAGGCCAAAACTCATTGCAGTCATTCTTTTCGCACGTTCGACAGGCATTTTTCGTTGTCATTCGATAACTTATTGAGGGATCTGCCCGGCGTTCTTCCAGACGTCAAATTTCTTATCAATCACCTGGATGAACCGACAGTCTTGATTCCTTCACAACCGCTGGGAGGGGCTTCCCACAGTAACGGGCAATTCGTTATAAGCGACATGTCGAAAAAGCCCGCCTGGGATGCACTCACGAGATTTTGCTCGTCCCAGAAAAGCAAAAAGGGTGCTCGCAAAATACACACGGTGGAAACGTATGATCTCCCTTTTGTCACGGACCCCTTATCTGCCATGAGCCTATGCCAGCATCCCGAGTATAAGTCTATGCATGGCCTGCTCATGAGCCCTACATCTCTTCGCCTGATTGAAGGCGCAGTGCCGGTACTTTCAACAGGCTCACCGTCAACCATGGGCGACATATTGTTTCCCAGTCCAGCTTACAACGAGTCCGAGTTTCACTATGAAGAGGCACACGACATCGAATGGGATAAGAAGCGCAGCAATCTTTACTGGGCGGGCTCTACCACTGGTGGCTTTTCCTTGGATAGCCAATGGCGCCACTATCACCGACAAAGATTCGTCGAGTTGGCACAAAATTTAAACACACGCCAGCATTATTATCTACAAGAAGACGGCGGTATAATCAGCCGTGTGAAATCATCATTTCTCAACAGCAGACTATTCGACGTCGCCTTTACCAGAATCTTCCAATGCGAGAGCAAATCCTGCCGCGATCAACGCATGCACTTTAACACCAAGTCTTGGGCCAACAAAGACCGCCCATTCCAATCCCGACTCGTATTCGACATTGACGGAAACGGCATCAGCGGCCGCTACTATAAACTACTTGCCTCGAAATCAGCCCCCTTGAAACAGACCCTTTTGCGGGAGTGGCATGACGACCGTCTCATGCCATGGGTTCATTACATACCAGTCAGCCAAAGCATGGAAGAGCTTCCCGAGATGGTTACCTACCTCACTTCAACTGAAGCAGGGCAGAAACTGGCTAGAGAAATTGCGGATCAGGGCCGGGATTGGTTTTCAAAAGCCTTTCGGGATGTCGATCTGACTATCTATACTTATCGGCTTTTGTTGGAGCTGGCGAGACTACAAGATCCGGACAGGCCTGCTGGTTGAATTGGGTGATTGTTTCGTTTCAGTATACTTATCAACCGATCCTATCTTATCAGTAAAGCAACTGGGATTGCCATCTGTCGCTTGAACATGGACATGAAGAACCCGAGCTCTGGAATGCCATGGCTTAGGCCATCTTGACCAGTCTATCTGCTAATATCAGTGTTTACACTGATAACTTAGCAACAGATATCGCTGCTACAGGCCATCTCAGAAGACCTACACACTAGCACCTCAATTGTACTACAGGCACACAGAAATCTGTCCCTTTATTGGGCATGGAATGATGTACATAAGCCCCTTGAAAATAACCTTCTGCATTAAAAAAACAAAATAATTAAACAAGTTGAGGGCCATTTGAGAGATTTGCGTTTTGGTATGGTAACAGTTGTTTCTTCCGCAGTCATCATAATATATAGCGTTCGTAGAATGAGACTGAAGCAGTGTTTAATGTAGTCAATTCGAATAAAAAACCAAAGAATACTAAATCCCTTAGCATTTGAATGAAATTGATTTCAAAAGCGTCTTATTATTCAAAATAGCATTCATTCTTCAAACTACACAAAGTCACTGCATGGTTGACAGCTCCGCTCCGCACTACCAAAACTTCCGCACAGAAAGGCCAGACTGACTTCAACTCCGCTCACCAAACAAGCATCAACCACCATCACCACCTCCCCCCCAAACCGTCCGTCGTCTCCCCACAATCCCACAGACGACTACATAAACAACCCACCATGTCGCGAAACGCGCAAGTCGAAGAAGTCTACGACTCCGACCCAGACGAGGTCGCCCCCTCCGACTTCTCACCCTCCGACCCCATCATCTCCCCCGCTGCAATCCCCCAACAGGGAGTATCGTCGTCCCTCCCCATGAGACCAGCCCCGGCCCAAGCCCCCGAGCCCCAGCGCGAAATCCCCAAGCACTTCCAGTGTCTGTACCCCGTGTACTTTGACAAGACACGAACGCGGGCCGAGGGCCGCAAGGTCGGAGCGGAGCTTGCGGTTGAGAATCCGTTGGCGAGGGATATTGTCGATGCGGCGCAGATGTTGGGGCTGAATGTGGGATTCGAGCCGGAGAAGTTGCATCCTAAGGATTGGGCGAACCCGGGCCGTGTGAGGGTGTTGTTGAAGGATGAGAGTGGGAAGTTGGTGAATCCGAAGATTAAGAATAGTATGTTTCTTGCTTTTACTTGCTTGCTTGGTTGAGTGTGATTTTGTTTGTGGATGGTTGGCTAATTCTTGCAGAGCACCACCTTTACATCCTCGTTGCTCAATACCTGCAAGCACACCCTACCACCGAAGAATCTCCCTACCGTTTGAGAATTAGAGGCTTGCCAATGCCCGAGAAGCTTCCCGCCGCTCCTTCTGCCCCCCGAGGCTGGAAACTGGGCAAGATCCTCCCGATGCACTCGCCAGCTTACAGTGGCGGAGGAGTCAGCGACAACCCGCTCAAGGACGCCATGGCCGAGATGCAGAACATGCAGGGTATGCCCGGCATGCCTCAGATCCCGGGAATGCCAGATATGGCCAATATGGCCAATATGATGGGCATGGGAGGAGGCGGAGGAGAGCCGTCTGGAGGTGGCAGTGAGAAGAAAAAGAAGGACAAGAAGAAGAAATGAGCCTGCCCTGCTGACTGTTGATATAATCGATATCTTATCTTCCTTTTCGCTTCATGTGTTATACTTTGGGTTGCATTGCACGGGCGACAGGCGTTTTTTACTTTGAATATAGAGGACATGATGTTCCTGATACCAACATGGAATCAAAAATGAACCTTGAATGTTAGATCTGATCGGGTCAATTTAAAGATTTATTCGCCACCGCAGCCACACAGTTACTGCATCATAAATCGTGTTTAATATAAAGTCTCCGTAAAGAAATGCAGAATTCATGCATTGTTCACTTCTGCAAAAAAAATCCACAGAGCATCGATCTGTCTTGTGTATACCCCCAATGCTATTGGCCGATGACGGCGATCTCCGATAAGTTGCGGTCATCTACCCCGGAGTCAGTCGAAATCACCGTCGCGAGAACAACCCCCGCAGCCCTCACGACGTCCCATTCTAAGCTTCGGTTCCAGACAATTCGCAATCGAGTCCTCTTGCGCACATGTTTCGCTACTCAAGTCTAACACGCGCCCCTCCATGAACATACCGACCTTGCCGTCTCGTCGATGGATTGAACTGCCCCGCCGCTGCGACCGAGGTATCATACCATGAACCGCACTCCGACGAGCACCCAGCCCGTCCCTGGGCTGTTGAATCGAGGCTTCAGGACTTCGTTCCCGTTAAGCCATGGATCTCCAGACTCGCCGATTTCTTCTTCTACTCCTAAATCGGCCTCGGGGAGGGGTGGTGGTGTTGCGGGCACGCTTGCCGGGGGTCGCCAGATTACCCGAAACCGCGCGAGCTACAGCTGCCATACCTGTCGGAGGAGAAAGGTAAAATGCGACAAGGTATGATGACTTTGTTTGATTATTTTCACTGCTTTTTTAGTGTTAATGCATGCTAGGTCCACCCAATCTGTGGGAATTGCGCAAAAAACGGCACCGAATGCGCCTACGATGTGGCGCCACAAAAGGAATCCGGGTCGAGTAACAGTCGCGGCGGACATGGGGTGAAGCGGAGGCGAGGGACATCGCGAACAATAGAAGACGACGAGGACGTGGAGGATTTCCAGTCGATATATGGACATTTGAAGCAAGCCGGCCTGGAGCAGAAATCCGGATCGAACGCGATCGAGGCACGGCTGGATAAACTCACGTCGATGATTGAGCGGCTAAGTAAGTCCAACCAAGCGCTGGATCCGGCCGAAAGGCAGCTTCTGGCGCAGAATGTCGGGCTGGAGTCTGTTCGGGATTTGCGACAACAGCAGGGGATTGCTCAGGTTCAGGCTCAGCCGCCCAGGCCGGCTGTCAGTTCCCGTCCGGAATCCCGTTCGGATAGCCCGCGACGCACGGCCGAGTCGAGTGGTGATGAGTTTCCGATTCCTGCTGGTCATGCTACTGATTTGGTGGATCCGGTTGGTAGTTTAAATTTGGGGCATCTTAGTCTTGATGATGGGGGGAGGTCAAGGTGAGTTTCGTTCTCTTACTTGCATTCGAAGCGTTGATTTAACCTGCCGTTAGATATGTTGGAACAACTTACTGGGCGTATATATCACATGAAGTATGCTGGGATAGTCCTTTTTGGTTATGATTGAAACTAACAAGATATAGATTAACGATCTCAACCAGCTTTTAAGAGACCAAAATCGCTCCCATGATGAGGTGCCTCCCGAAGACGACTCCATGGATGAGACCATGACAGACTCAGCTGGAAGGCCACAAGGAAAGCCTTGGAGTGCACCCATTGAAAGTTCTGGGGGACCTGTGGGCGACAGGTTTTCTCGTGGAGAAACTTTTCAAAAATCGGTGCTGTTTCCATCGGGAGATTCTCCATCGTTAGAAAAAGTGGTTGAGCCAGAAATGCTTGAGCATGTCCCGACCAAACGACAAAGTCATATATTATACAAAGGGTTTATGTCCGGTGTGCAAGCCATCAGTCCGGTCATTCACCCGCCAACGATCCTAAAGTTATACAATGCCTTTTGGGATTGGTACGATAATAGCAGCTACTCTGGAGATCCTTGCCCGGATCCGTCTTTTATTCCTCTGTTATATGCCATCTGGTATGGCGGTTCAGTAACAGTTTCGATAAGGACTATCAAGGCGGAATTCAACGTCTCCACTCGCTCTGCGCTTTCGAAGACGCTTAATGACGAAGTCTCGCGATGGCTAAGCAAGATATCCTTTCCACGCAGCCCGTCCTTGCAAGGACTGGCTGCGTACTTGCTAGTTCAAACGATTCTGTCAAAGGAAGAGGAACCACTCACCAGCAGCTTGTTCATCAGTCTTGCCATGAGAGTAGCACAAGTCATGGGTCTACATCGGGATCCTGCAAAATTTGGGATCGAGCCTTGCGAAGCCGAGTACCGACGTCGGCTGTGGTGGCATATCGTGCATATGGATGGAGTTGTTGCCATGTCCAGCGGCCTTCCACCTCTTGTCAGCGATGAGAATTACTGGGATGTTCATGACACCAGCGAGCTCAAGGATACGCTGCTTGGCACACCAGAGGGAGAGCAATACGAGCGACTTGTTTCTCGCAACATGCGCTTACCCGATAACCCCGATGACCCGACTGTTTGCGGCGGGCCGTCTATGGTGAACGTATACTATCTGTCTGCCAGAGGCAAATATGTCATGGCTCGTAAGTGAAATCGAGTTGAATTTTGGACTGGGCTAACACGCTTTAGGTGCTGTTCGACATATCTTGAAGATCCAATTAGGGACAAAACCAGTGACGCGAAGGGACATGGAGGAGCTTCGAACTATTCTCCTCGATCTTCAGCTCAAACTTAATTCAATCGTCAATAGGATCCCGGCTGTGAACGGCCCAGTGTTGCCGTCTGTACCATCTGACCGATTACAATCTTTTGCTTCGCGGTCTCCGGTTGAGGTTAGAACTAGTGATACGGAACTTCCGGGTGAAGGGCATAGTGGTTGCCCAGAGCAGTATCACTCTCCTGTCCTTGTGTCATTTCACAAGTGGGCGAGGATACTGCTTTCGTTGTTCATTGATAAGGTGAGCTTTCACATACTCAGAGTTCTGCTTCACTAATTCTGACTCATGCTTTCAGGCCTTTTGTGTTGCCTACCAACCTTTTCTCAAGAACGCCAAGAGTCGAATATGGCCGGCTGCTAGGCAAAGGTATGTATTTGTTCTCCCCTTATCTACTTGGATCGCCTCTAAATGCATGTAGTGCACTGCGCCATTGCCATGGTTTCATGGAAAAATTTATATCTCTCGCTACCGATCCCGATTTTCAGCCTTTCCAGTGGAGTTGGCCTGGGTAAGTTCTGATCAATAGTGACGTGCAACATCTCTAACGGATAAAGGAACCACCAACCAATGCATGCTACCATGATCATGCTTATTGATTTATACGAGCGGCCGCATAGTCCTGAAGCCCCAAAGTCACGAGCGTTCATTGATAAGATATTCTCGCTTTCTGGTCCTGATGGTGGTGTTGTCGGTGGCGAAGATGGCATTTCAACTCAGCGACCTCTGAAGGATGGCGGCCGCGAAGCATGGGATATGATTCGCAGGCTACGCCAGAAAGCATGGCAAAAGGCAGGACTGGACCCGCAAAAGCTCTGGACAGAGCAAGCCCAGATGAAAGCGGGTATTACTACTGCTCCAGATGAATATCCTTATTTCAACGACCCCTACAATTCGAGCACCCCTGCCGTTACTGTCTCTCCAAACAATCCACCCGCAATGCCTCGACGACCGGTCGTGGACCGAGCATTGACCGACTTCTCGAAGACATTCTACAACATGACCCGCTCCCATATGCTCCCTAACCCCGTTTCGCACCTCCGACCTAGTCCTTTACGATACCAACTACCTCCTCCAGTCCCGAGTTCCATCCCAGGGACCCCGAAAATACTCCCCACTCCACAATTCTCACATTCTCCCAGTCGCCCTCTCGATGCCACTCTGGCTGGCTCTGGAATATCCTCACCGGAAAACATTCCCTCACTCAACGCTGGCATCCCATTTACTCAACCAACCGTCACAACCCCGCCACCAGCGCTACCTTATATGGATATAGCCTCCCCAAGCGCACAGCCCATGGGCGCCCCCACACCACCGTCAATGGTAGACCCTAATCTAAATTTCGACTGGGACCAGTGGGATGCCGTCTTTGGACAACATCTCCCTGTCGCAGACGAGCTCATGGAACTCGACCCCGTGACAGGGCTCGAGTTTGGAGACCTCGGAAGTCTCAGGGCGAGTGAGAACCATGCGGCTAGCTTGGCGGGGAGTGATACAGGGATGAGTGATATTCGAGGTCCTAATTGGGTCGGTTACTGTTGACCTGGTTTCTTGCGATATGTGTTTCTTGTAGATCTGTATTTCTTTTGTTGATACCATGGATGAGTTGAGTGTACTCAGCGATATAACGTTTTGGTCATATGGACTTTTGAAGTCCTGTTGTGTATATAGCAAGCGAGATACCTCTATAGCCAATAATCAATCGACTGTGTACATATATGATGGCATCTATGTTGAATTTTAGGTATGGAATCAGGAAAACAGCTTCCCTGAGCAATAATGTAGGTCTAATGTCCTGCCCTATTTCTGCCCTTCCCAGTTGGGGTTAAGGTGAGTCAATGCTTTGCTCAGCAGGCCCAACGGACTTTTGATGATATGAGATGCTTCTTGGAGTACCCGCTAGGGGTAGAATATGCTATGGGGCCTATCAGGGTGGCCGAATGACTCGGGTCTCAGCCGGATCAGGGAGGTGACTGTAGCCAACTTCTGGGGCAACTTCCAGAATGTCTTCCGATGGCCATACAGCCATACCGTTGCCCTTTATTGTCGCATCGGCTTTTTCCGCAACATGAGTGGACATGGTCAGCTCGAAGACGTCTTTTGCGGGAAGATAGCCGTGGCAGGCCGTATGCATCTTGTTGTCAAGCTGCTGTTGGTCTTTGTAGCAGAAGGTAATGTGCCAGCCATTTGGGTCCTTTTGGTAGATTCCATTAATGCTAGTCGTGTCGTGCGGAACGGATCTGTATGGAACTTGACTCTGCATTTATCAATTCACAGTAGAGGAGAAACGAAAAGTTAGAGGAGCATCGCATGTGAGGACTGAGAAGTTGACGCGGATTGTGATGGTGAAGATTGAACCAAAATCTAAAATCTTAGCCGGGGAGGCGATAGGCGAGGATGTGATAGACTTCCAAATTATCTCACCGGATGAGGACTGCTTTGGGGTAAAGCTTTCTGTCCCTGGCTGTTTGATATGCGAGAGCAATATAATTTCGCAGAAGTCTCGGGTTGTCGGGCATCATGTTGTTGTAAAAATAGTACTTGACCAAGTTGACAGTAGACATCGCAGTCAGAGAATAACAAGATATTAGAGTATGGTACAATCGAAAGCTAGCCTTGCCTTCCATTGGGACATTCCCACCTTTTTATGATACAATAGGCGACGATCATTGACCATGGGATGTTTGATTCGGCGCTTCGGAGCTCAGGTAAAGAGGGAGGAAAGGTGAAGTTGACTGGCCCCTGTGAGATGGCGAAGCTAGCTAGCGTGTGATGGGCACTCGATACAGCCAATGCCCCTCAGATGCTGCACAGGGCCCAGGAAGGCAGGCGGCTGTTGCGCACAGGCGGCTGTTGATAAGCAATAAATAAGGCGTAGTAGTGGCATAGATGGCATTCAATCAATCGTTTTGCAGAGTGATACGCATAAATCCTCAAATAATTTAAAGATGCAAGGGAATTAACTTGTTGTAAGCGTTGAATATGTACATCAGTGCCTGATATGTCAGGCAAAAGGATGCATACTATGTGTTCGACTGCCACGTGACCCGACTAGGCGGGGAAACATTATAGCCCGGCCGAACCAATCAGAATATCGATCCTTCCAGCCCCAGCCCGGGCAACCCAGTTTACCTACCTATCTAGTACTTTGTCAGGGACTTCAGCTTTCAGATGTCAGCAAACATCCGACCTGTCTAGTTTGTATGCGATTTCTTGAGCATGGTTCTGCTCATGCAAATGTTTACCAATCCCCTTGATGTTTTCTGTTCAATTTCAGACGACAGATACCATTGCCTAGCTATCCTACCATGAGAGGCTTTCGCCTTCATAGACTATCAGCCAATTTCCGTCAAGTTATTCTTCGCGGGAATTTGCGCTTCCCACCACGTCGAGAAATCAGTGTCAGCCGTAATATGGAGTCCGACACTGCCAAAAAGGCTGCTGGTGCATACTTCGAGTACAAACCTCTTGAGGACGTGGAAAGGCTTGAGCGGTATCGTTCGGGAGGCTACCACCCTGTAGCAATTGGTGACCACCTCCATGGCCGTTACCGCATTGTGCATAAATTGGGCTTTGGTGGCTACTCAACAATTTGGCTTGCACGAGACGAGGAAATCGGCCGGTATGTTGCTATGAAGATTTCAACCGCTGATAGCAACTCCCACGAGTGTAACATACTTCGTCATCTCGGCTCTGTAGGTATGCCGAACGACAAGCATCCCGGCAAAGCTAGCATTCCTCAGATATTGGATGAGTTTGATATCAAGGGCCCGAACGGGGAACATCGATGCATCGTCACTAGTCCTGCGAGCACCAGCCTATCCGATGCTAGAGAGGCGTCCTATACTAGGCTTTTTCAACTGCCTGTGGCACGAGCTATCATTGCTCAGCTCATTCAAGCTGTGGCCTTTTTACATTCTCGAGGTATCGTTCATGCTGGTATGTTATCTCGGTGAGAGCGTTGATGTTTATATGTACTGATTGTTTACCTGGAACCAGACATCTACATCGGTAACATCTTATTTCGCCTCCCTCAGACCCTGGATAGCATTTTGCCAGAGGAGATCTATTCACAGTATGGCCAGCCGCATTGTGAGCCTGCTCTACGGTTGGATAAACAAGCCCTCTCCAAAGGTGTCCCAGAATATGGTATTCGGCCAGTATGGCTAGGCAAAGATAGCGAGCTCATCCCTTTATCTGAAGCCAACATTATTATTACTGATTTTGGGGAATCGTTCTTGCCATCTACCACGCAACGACACTACTCAAATACTCCTGCTCTTTCAGCCCCCCCTGAGATCCGGTTCTCACCTGAGATGCCTCTCTCATTTCCCATTGACATTTGGAGTCTTGCCTGCGCCATATGGAGTATCATGGGCACACGGCCGCCTTTTGAGGGGCTTGCTCCGACTCCTGACTGGATGACAATAGAACATGTTACTCTTCTTGGCAGACTGCCGCCGGAGTGGTGGGAAAAGTGGGATGTACGCTTACAATGGTTCAATGAAGATGGGACAAGAAATCACGAGGAGTTAGGGAGACCATGGGCAGAGCGGTTTGAAAAATTTGTGCAGGAGCCCAGGCGGAAATGTGGCATGGAGGAGCTTGGTGATGAAGAGAAATATGCTCTGCTTGGCATGCTAAAAGCCATGCTGATGTTTAGACCCGAGGAGAGGTTAACTGCTGCCGAAGTCCTGGAATCCAAATGGATGAAGGAGTGGGGGTTTCCGGAGCTTGAAAGGATGTTGCAAACATGATGGCAAAGGGAGATCACATGAATAAGAAGTGATACAGCTAAATCTGAGGATTCAGCTACATGAACCGGGCTATATTGATCGAGAACCTTTCGCGAAGATTTGAGAGCGGTGATCCAGCAAGGGTCAAGGACTCAGCATGTGAGCACGCAGTTCCCCCCAAGACTAATTGACCGCTTTTAGGACAGCCCAATATGGCTTTTTGGAATAAAAAGAGCTTGATGGATGTATATTGCTGAGTCCATAGTGGACTGCATGGGGATTCTGGTTAACCCTTCTAAGTTGTCTGGTGGCTCTGGGCATACACTTTGAGGTTATATCGCAGAAGGTGGTTATGGCGTTGATGATCTTGTGGTTCAGTAAGGAAAGAATAATCATCAACGATTGATAGTATCTTGGCTATCCATGTGTAATTATGCACCAGCCCAGATACCTATATAGCCAATAAATCATCGACTGTGTACATACGATGCGCTTTAAGGCTGAAGCTTTCGGGGGTTTTGCTGTCGAGGGAAGAGCGCTAGTCCGTTTTGGGGTTGACAGATTCTGCAGTACTGAAGAGGAAGTGTTACAAAGTGATACAACACCATGATATCATTTACGATTGATCTGAATCAGATCTAAATTAATTAACTTATGAAGGGATCAAATAGGATAAATAAATATCTCTGAACGCTGAGGCTGGACACAAAAGGGGGAGATCTGTAGCACGATACACCATCGTGCATATTACCATACGTTACAATATCAGCGCATACAAAATTCCCAGGGACGGAGCTGCATTACCGTACCGTACACGATATCGATTAGATAAGTGCCGGCCCGTTTCGGTCGACTTCATCGCCTTGTGGTGCCACCGCAGTGGGATTTATTTTTCCTTTTCGCTCCTCCGTGCCTTTGCGTTTCCTCGTCCTCTCCTTATTATCGCTAATTTTCCTTTTTATATACTTAATATCCGATCCTCGCTGTTTATTCCTCATCGCTCTCTTTGACTGCATTTCCAGGTGTCTGACCAGCAACTCCTCTGCTGGTCGTGCCTGCGCTCTGCTCCCAGGATCTCTCCCCTGATCGCGACGGTCCGCTTTCGAAAACGATCCGGTCGTTCCACCATCTGCCGCCATCCTATCGTCACATTCATTCCCTCGACTCTGTTCTTATCAGACCGTCCTAATCACCTTGTCGTTCCCTATATTTTCTTCTTCTTCCGCCTCGACTTGTTCGCGTGTTATCCTCGCCTTGCGCAGGGCGAATCATAAAACAACTCCGCCAAATCCGTCGAGTTCACCATACTCGAATCAGGCTGATGCGTTAATCCTTTCTACCTGTTCCCCTCTTTTGTCTCGACTTTACAACAACCTAAACCAATTAATACTCTGCCTCGTTCGAGATGGCAGTTAACGGATCGGTCGTCTTTGACGACCTCCCTCCTCTTCCCGCCTACACCCTAACCCCGCGACCACCTCTCCTCTCGCCGATCCCAGATAACATCCTTGCGCTGATTCTGCCTATCGTTGCATACTGGGGTCTGTCTATGATATACCACTTTATCGATGTAAACGACTACTTTCCTCAGTACCGTCTACACACTCCGGCAGAGGTTCTTAAACGGAACCATGTCTCCCGCTTCGATGTCGTCAAGGATGTTGTCCTTCAACAAGTAGTTCAGACTATCGCGGGTATGCTAATGGGATATTTTGACCCGGTTGAATGTGATGGCAAGGAGGAATACGATATTGCCGTTTGGGCCCGCCGTCTCCGCATTCTTCAGAGACTCGTCCCGAGGGTATTGGCCCTTGTTGGCGTCGACGCTTTGGGCCTAGCTAAGAACCTCTCCTCGAATGGTCATACCATGCTTGCTGGAGCTCTGGCGGGCGGAAATTACCCCGGAGCGACTCAGTCGCTTATCTTGGAGAATGGCACTGAATCCGTGGCTCCCGCTTTCACTGGCTGGGAGTTGGCAGCGGCCGGTTTTATCTATTGGTACTTCATTCCGGCCATCCAGTTTGCCTGGGCTGTTTCGGTTGTGGATACTTGGCAGTACTTCCTTCATCGTGCGATGCACCTGAACCGTTGGCTCTATGGTTAGTATTGCATTTCCCCTTGTATCAACGACGAATTTTCCGAGTTGAATCCTAATGTATCGACAGTCAAGTTCCACTCCCGCCACCACCGCCTGTACGTTCCGTATGCGTTTGGTGCGCTCTACAATCACCCAGTCGAAGGATTTCTTCTTGATACTGCAGGAACTGGAGTGGCATTTTTGACCGCGCGGATGACAAATCGCCAGAGCATTTGGTTCTTCACCTTCTCCACCATCAAGACTGTCGACGACCACTGTGGCTACGCCTTCCCTTGGGATCCTTTGCAACACATTACCTCGAATAATGCTGCTTACCATGACATCCACCACCAGAGTTGGGGAATCAAGACCAACTTCTCTCAGCCTTTCTTCACCATCTGGGATCGATTCCTCGGCACCCAATGGAAAGGCGACGTTAAGCTTCGTTACGAGCGAGCTCGTGAGACTGCCCAGAGACTGGTGGACAATGATCCGACTCAGTCCACTGATGTTACTGCCGACGAGGCATCTGCTGCCAATTCAAGCAATGAAAGCGCAGTGGTGTCACCAGAGGGACCAACGGATTCCAACGCCAGGACCCGCCTGCGAAGAAAGACCGCTACTTTGTCTTCAGATGGGTTCAAGGGCGTGAATCATGGCGTAACTAGTGGTGTCCTTCAAGCCTAAAGCTCCTTCTGAATATCGAAGAATTACAATTGCTTGACTTGTTTTTTCTTCCTTCGCCCCCCTAATATGATCTCTGGGAGCTGCGGGACGTCTCCTGGATACTGAGGGCTTTCTTTCTTGCTGATCAGCAGCTTCATTACATTGTATTAATAATTGAGGACCAACGACCATTCTTCCTGTACAATGACGCTTTACTTCTTCTTTGATAATACTTTCTTTGAAAATTTTGCATGACAATGGGAATTGGATTGATGACTATTGCTTTTTCTACATGTTTTTATTATTCTTTTCGCTTTTGAACATCTCAAGATTGATTCGTCTGGATAGATTTAATATAACATTCTCTATAATTCCACCTAAGCAATTTGTGTATCGTTGACAAAAGAAAAACCCATATTTCTGTTGACATTTCCTAATTCTTATGCCTTTGCACGCGAGGCGGTTTCGATGTCTTGCAAACAAGACTCCATGTAGTATCTCCAGGCCCTGATTCCTTAACCGAGACATCTTCCCACGATCCTTGACTGACATGCGATCCGGGTTGGCCTTCCTCTGGACCAAGGAGATGGCGATAGTCCTCTGCGAACTCTTCGCTATCACCAGCATTCCCAGCCGAGGCAGGTCGCTCGCGCAGCATGTCTTTAACCCCATCTGCGAGTTTATCCAAGGGGCTCCGCTGGCGAATAATGTCTTGCCAGTTGATGTTCTCTCGGGGAGGGAAGTATCCAGCCACAGAGTGTCGTTTTCCTGCGCCCATTGCTGAATAGATCGATGAGCCGATGGGCTTCTTGACAGATAGTGGACTGACATTGGGCAATTCCTTGATCTGGGTAGGCCGTCCAGTGCGGGGAGTGGAATCAGTTGATTTGATCGCTGCGTATTTGGAGATGATGTCGTCCACTGTGTCGCGTTCAGAGTCTCTTGCGGTGCATTCTGTATCCAGTGAGTTGTCGGTTGGGTGTTGGTGTTGATCTTGGTGCTCGTCTTGGTTCGATTGCTGGTTTTCGTTTTCGTTTCCGCCTGTAGACATGAAGACCATTATCGATTGCGTACTCTTCTCTTTCAATCGACTCTTCAGCGACTCGAGATGTCTCGTGTGCTGTCTTCTTCTTTCCTCCTTGTAAGCTTTGACGGCACTTTTTCGCCCTGCTTTCATACCATATGCCATCGTGCTACTGCTGATGAACAGCCCATAAGCGTCGTCTTTATGGGAGTTGATAGCTGCGTCGACGAATGGTAGCAACCTCGGCACTCGATGCTTTGATCTTGTTCTCGTTCGACTTAGCAGCGTGACACGGAGGTTCCGCAGAAACATTGGCTCGGTTGTGACTCGTGTGAGCATGCACGCTTCGCATTTGTTGCTCTGGAACATGGCAGCGCCGATTGGTGGCATAAGGTGTGAGGAGGAAGGCGTCCACCACATGCCCTGCATTGCCTGGAGTGCGCGAACGAGGTTCCTCGCTTCTGGCTCGAGTATATCTGCATACATGTCCATGATGCGTAGGTGCTCGGTGACTTCCTGCTTGATTAGACTGAAAAGATGCCCGATGACATAGATATTGAGATTTCTGTGGGAGTTACAAACGAAAGCAGTCCGATGATGAGGATTGGGAAGTAACCTGAACAGAAAGCTTCTTTGAAGATGAACTGGGAGCGTCTCGATGGCCGATTTGATTCTTTCGTCGACCATTTCCTGGGCTTCCCCGTTTCGCTGTTTGACAAAAAGGGGCGAATCTTCTAGGTCCAGGACCGCTGTTAGCAACTTCAAATCGGCCTTTGTGAGGTCTGTCACCGTCAGAGGATACTTCTGTTTGATTTGGCCGGATATCGAAATCCTTTTTTGGGTTTTGGGAGACAGGGATAATCCCGAGGAGCGTAAGGATTCAATTCCAGTGTAGCTGTCTTTGGGAGATACAGCTGGAGATGGCTTTGGTGGCAATGGAGGGGATGATTTGGGAGGTACTGGAGGACCAACGTCCAGGCTGGATAGACTTGTGGAAGTTCCATAGTCTGTTGATGGTAGCAGGTCTCCCAGTTCGGTATACTGGGAGTCTGTGGAAGAACTTGATTGATGGTCCATTTTGAGGTATCTTCTCTGGTATTGCAATGTAGTTTGGTGTATCAACCAAGGAATATGTAAAGTGATAGAAGCAGAAGGATGAAGTTGGATGAGGGGAGTATGTTGAAGTTGAAGATGATGGACAGTGCACTTTATATTCTTGGACAGGGATGATGGGAACAATGAAGATGGATGAAAATGTCTTGCTTCTTTGTTCCTCTGAACAGTTCTTTGAAGAGCGAATGCCATTGTTGCCTTGGATTCCGTCACGATGAAAAAAGGTATTACCGTTGTCGCCTAAAGATGATTTAAAGATAGTCGACAAAGGGCAATGCATGGAGTAATAGTATAATCATCTAGAAATGTGGTGAAATTATCTGAGCTGCCATGTCAGGTGCACTGATAAAGAATTATAAGTCTGGTATGCCGCTTCTTTTTCTTTATCTCTCTGTTCCTTGATCTCGACACAATGGGTCAAATGGATGGAAGAAACGTAAGACTGACGCTGACAATGATTTTGTTGATTTTGATGTTTCTTTGTCTGTACACTTGATTTTGAAACAGTGTTCCTTGCTGATGCTTGTATAATGGTTCTGGAATATCGCTGACAGGTAGACCCGACTATCTTAGAGACAGTCATGTCGTTGAGTTATGCTCAGAGCCCCTACAGCACTCGAGGAAACTCAGCTCTTCTTCGTATGGCAATGCGGACCCTAGTTATTGGATAGGAGCTTTGGATTTCTGATAACGGAGTTGGAGTGTATAGTAGGTTCACTGTGAATTATAGAAGAGAACCAGCTGGTATCCATTCCCTAAAAGGTTATATTAGATTAACATTGATAGGAAGGGATATGTTTTGGTAAAAGTATCAAACGAGTTACGACATGACATTATCAGTTGTGCTATCGTCGAGCACTTAGCTTAGCGATCTCATATTCGGGATTATGCAATGGTCGTATCAAGGAACCCTCTCCTGTATAGAGACCAGAATTCTCAAGACTCTTTGGCCCGTCGAAAACACAGTTCCACAAGGTGGCCAAGGCAGCGTTGGAGAGAAATTCGACATCGGCTGCTTCTTAATGAGATGCCCTTAGAACTTTTGAGAGTCCCAAAGCTGATATTCCGAGGATGCTGTCAGCCGTTTCAAGAACCCACACTGCTGCAAATATGGAATACCTGAGTATGCCACCCCACTGTCCTGAACGGCATGATATATGGTAGACCTTTGGCACTATGCTGTTGTGTGAAGACAGAAAAGAATCCTCACTGATGCATGGGTAACGAAGCTTTTGAGCACATCCAATATACCATTAGACTGGATTTTTTCAATAAAACGATTTGATGCGATGAGAGGAAAGAAGAAAAAAGAGAAGAGAAGAAGGAAGAGAAAAGGCAGGGGGCAGCCCTCCTTCCAAAAAGAGAAAAGCGTGTTGGTGCCAGATCTCCGAGGCATCAAACTGGTATCAGTGGATCCAACGGCACAAACCCGGGTTTCCGCGATTCGAACACCCACCGAGGCACTGACGACGTTAGCCAAAGTCTTCAGCCAAGAACGAACTCGCTCGTTTGATCATCTCTGATCATCCACGGTCAATTGAGCCACCTGGGTCGCGAGTGGGTGCTGTGTCAAAGACTCAGAGCCAGTCGTGACGCGCGCAGAGAGAGACGCACAAACTCCCTCTGGTAGAATCAAGGGGTAAAAGATAATAATCCCAAATGACGACTGCATTAAATGTGCAGAACCTCATTCCGTCAATTCCAATGAAGCAGGAGTCAGTCCGTGAACAACTGCTGCTGTCTCGTACTTCCCCCGAATTTGCCATCAAATTGAGGCTCCACAGGGATGTCTCAATATGTCATTGCCCCTCCAATATTACAAGTATTGGGGGGAGACTATGCTTCATATCAGGATAGTGGCCTAGCGGAGAGGTCAGTTCAATTCTACTGGTAAAATATCCTGGCGCAATTGCTGATTTACAATATAGGGCGCTGTGGCGATATCGGACGCAGAAAGCCTCGGCCTTTGTGGCTGCAGGAGATTTACATCTGGCCGCTTTCCTGCTGTTCTGCATAGTATTTACTTTATCGCTAGCTCTGCGCTATGTTCAATATGCACGACATAAGAAAGATCGGCGCTTTCCCGACTTTAGTGCCAAACCCGGGCATTCCATTCCTCTGCCATATGCGTTTGTGCAATTGGCTGCTTCTATAACAGCCTGCTGTCTCAGTTGGCTCATGATTAACAACCTAGGTAACTGGAAGCGATCTCTACTGCTGAGCTATATGGTCTTATTAGGAGTCGTGCGATTATGCTGTAGGCCAAGCTACCTTCGATCGCGGGTCTATCACCACATGAACGGAATAGCTATTGTGGCTTTTATACTAGCAATCGTCAAAGACCTGATTCCCATGACGATAGTTGACTCGAAATATCGCCCAGAATCTATAGAGGGCGCCATATTGGTTTCCTTAGCTGGTGTAGTGATAATTACACTCGCCACTCCTCGTCCTCGGGCTCCCTTCATGTTCGATCCAGAGGTTCACGAGCCACCGATGAAAGAAGAAATATCACCAGAGGAAACGTGTTCCTGGTTTTCATACTACTGCTCCTACGAGTGGGTAACGTACGTTATCTTACGGGGATGTCAAAGAGACTTGACTATGGATGATCTTCCTCCTTTGCCCGCATATGACGAACCACGTAAATGGTTACAGAAGATCAAGAAGCAACGCCTCAGAGGTGGCAAGACGTTTCAGACTCTGTGCAGACTGCTCAAAACTGAAATCACGACTATGATGTGCTGGTCCGCAACTACGGCGGTGGTAGAGTACTTTGCACCCTATGCGATGCTGGGATTGTTGGCATACCTGGAAGATCCTAAGAGTGCTATCCTACACCCTGCAATCTGGGTTGCATTGCTTTTCATCGGCCCAATGATGCGGTCGCTTTGTTACCAACAATACATCTTCACAGGCACTCGGCTTCTTGTCCGTGTCAATATCTCGCTCGTCCAGGAGATATATCAGACTGCAATGCGCTCACATTTATATGACGGCTCTATACATCAGGCTCGCATTGAAGAATCACAGTCAGCGGCGCGTTCGACGCAAAAATCAAAAGAAGCACCCAAGTCTAGTCAGGCCAATCTAACAAGCCTGATGTCCTATGATGTTGATGCTATATACAATTCCAGGGACGTTTTTTATGTGGCTGCTGCAGGTCCAATATCTACCACCCTGGCGATGGTATTTCTTTATAAAATGCTTGGCTGGCCCTCACTGTTTGGAGTTCTGGCATTGATTTGCTTAACCCCTCTCCCAGCCCAAGCATCTCGCAAGGTTTCGCGCATCCAAAGATCTGTCATGCGTGCAACAGATGCTAGACTTTCAAAGATTTCCGAATATCTCAATTCGATAAGAACTTTGAAGTACTTTGGATGGGAATCCGCTGCCGTGGATTCAATAAATGAAGCCCGGAGTGTCGAACAGCGCCGTCTCTGGAGTCGGAGCGTTCACGCAGCCGCAATTTCTATGGCAGGGGATCTGCTGCCCTTAGTGAGCTTGTTGGTAATGTTTTCTGTTTATGTTTTCTTTACTCGGCTACCTTTACGGGCCCCTGTCGCATTTACCTCTCTGTCGATTATGGAGACGCTCCGAACACAGTTCGTTTGGCTTTCAAACGTCAGTCGCTTTTCTGCTCAAGGCGCAGAATCTTTGCGCCGTGTGGACCGTTTCTTTGAGACAGCAGAGGAAATCAAACGGCACCCAGAAGGACCGCTCGAACTTAAGCATGCAACTTTCCGACGAACTCCAATTGCTGCATTTAGGCTGCAGGATCTTTCCATCTCATTCAAGCAGAATGCCCTGAACGTCATTTCAGGCCCAACTGGAGGTGGAAAGACATCTTTGCTGTTGTCATTTCTTGGAGAGACTGTGCTGGAATCTGGAAATGCTAGTTGCCCTCGAGACGTAGCCTATGTTCCTCAAACCCCATGGCTTCAAAACGACACAATACGTCAAAATGTCATTTTCTATGGCCCATTCGACGAAGATCGCTACAATACTATCATCGAGGCAAGTGGTCTGCTGCAAGATCTTGAGCAGCTTCCGCTCGGTGACGAGACACTCGTTGGAGAAAAAGGGACATCGCTTTCGGGTGGCCAAAAGCAACGAGTATCTTTGGCAAGAGCTTTGTATTCCAAGTCTTCAACCTTGCTGTTAGATGATGTCTTTTCAGCACTTGATACGCACACCACGACACTTGTCTACGAGAAATGCTTCCGCAGTGGTCTCCTAGCCGATAGGACTGTGGTTCTTGTCACGCACTTTTCGGCTGCTTTGCAGGACGCCGAACTGATCGTTCGCTTAGAAAATGGGAGAGCTTCTATCAAAACACCGCGCGATAGTGGACGAACTTCCCAGCAACCCGCAACTCCAGTTTCTGAGCAAATTGACCCGAATGCAACACCTTTGGATAATTCACAAGTGTTAGCCGAAGGTTCCCACTCACAAGCTCCAGCAATTGCCAATCCTGCATCTCAGGTACAAGATGCTGTTCAATCGGGTCGCATAGCCAAAGAAACATCTGCTACTGGTCGCATACCTCGCACGCTTTGTAAGTTCCATTGCCCAGATTTTTCATAAACTGCCGCTAATGACATTCTTGCAATCTAGTCTTCCAATATATGGTCTTGTTTGGCGGGATATCCTACGCCTCTATAGCGATTCTGGCTACACTCACAGTGCAATTTGCCTACTTTTCTATCACGTATTGGCTCTCCATTTGGACCGGTGCTTATGATCAACAGGAGCATCCGAACTCAATCTTTTACTTGTCCGTATATGCAGCAGCGATAGCGACTTTCCTTTTACTACAGCTTGCAAATAATTTGATCTACCAATATGGAAGCTGGGTAGCGGCCAAGAAGATGCATGCAAAATTGGTGAAGGCGATCATGTTTGCTCCGATATCCTGGTTTGACGAGAATCCCATTGGGCGTGCTATCAACCGATTTGGAAACGACACTCGCTCATTGGACACAGTCCTGATTGACTGGCTGCGGATGTCAATTGAAAACGGACTTCGCTTTTTGCTTCGCATCGCAAGCATTGCCTCCATAATGCCTATATTTGCACTTCCGGCTGCCGTGATCTGTACCGCTGGATTTATTATTGGAGAAATGTACACCCGCGCCCAAGTATCGATTAAGCGATTATGCTCTATCAACTACTCTCCAGTGTTTTCTCATTTCACGGACTCCATTGCTGGGATGACTGTTATCCGAGCTCGACACGGGATGGATGATGTTTTCAGAGATCTGCTAGCGGACAAATTGGCTACACATGCTCGCTCAGCCGAGGCACAGTATAATTGCAATCGCTGGGTTTCTGTCCGGTCTGATTGTTGTGCTGCTTTTGTTGCTGCTGCTGCCGGATGTGTAGCATACTTCCAGTCGGGATCGGCAGGTCTTGTTGGATTCTCCCTGACAAACGCGATTGGCTTGAGCACAACCATTTTGACACTGGTGCGCACAATGAACGAGCTCGAAGTCGAACTGAACTCCTACCAAAGAATGCGCGAATATGCCGATATTGAGCCTGAGGAATCATTAAGCGAGGAGAAACGGGCAAAGGCCCAGGCTTTGCCAGCTAGCTGGCCAACATCTGGACGTGTGGAATTCCAGAATGTCACCGCCCGATATCATGAAGATGGCCCAAATGTCTTGCGAGATGTGTCATTTGTCGCTAACCCCGGCGAACGAATTGGTATCGTTGGTCGGACGGGTAGTGGTAAGAGTACTCTTGGGCTATCCTTGCTTCGATTTGTTGAGATTTCTGGGGGAGATATAATGATCGACGGGGTTAATATTAACCAGATCTTGCTAAACCGTCTCCGAACGAGTGTGACTCTTATTCCTCAAGAGCCTGTACTCTTCTCTGGGACGGTGCAGTCAAATCTCGATCCATTCGGCCAGTCAAGTGACACCGAACTCCGCTCTGCTCTTTCTGCTTGCACTACGATCCAGGTTCCCGGTAGCGAAGTGGAAGGGCAGCCAACCGGCCAAGCCTCTCACTCTCTCAGCCTAGATACCCCTGTTGCAGCGAACGGAGAGAACTTTAGTCAAGGGCAAAGACAGGTTCTCGGCTTGGCGAGGGCATTATGTCGCCGGTCGAAGGTTGTGCTGCTCGACGAAGCCACTGCTTCTGTGGACCATGAAACTGATATGCACATGCAACGACTTTTGCGATATATGTTTCCTGAGGCTACTATTATAGCGATTGCTCATCGCCTACGGACAATCATGGATTATGACCGTGTGCTTGTCATGGCAGATGGCGAAATTATAGAGTAAGTCGTGACTTGAACAAAATGCATCTGATAATTCGGAGCGGAGTACTTACAATTTAATAGGAATGATTCCCCAGCAAACTTGATAGAGAAAAGAGGTATGTTCTGGGACATGCTACGGAATACTGGAGAATACGATGAACTGGTCCAACTTGTTCAATGATTACGCATTTTATTAGAGTCATATTTGATGATGTTGATGTTTTACGTCCTGCATTTGGTTATTTGATATGAATGATGAATATATTGTTTTTGCATACACCCATATCTTCGTTGCCAATGACTTTATTTATGGCTTAGGATTGATATAAGGGGCTAGACACTATTTGAGGGCCCTCTTGTTTTGCCTACTATTTATTATGATCGAGTAGCATTTCTACGTGCCTCTCCCTGTGGTATCAGCGGAGGCTGTGGGTTCCAAAACCAGGCTATTAGGCAAATCAGTAGCCAACCTCTGGCTTTGAACGTTCCACGAGTTTGAAACCATGACTTACAGAGAAGAGGGCTGATGTTAACCATTAGTTAGAGCAGCCATGGATCCTCGAGAAGCTGTTTGGCAGTTTTGCGCTCATCTGGCAGCCACCTGAGCATGGAACTGATGAATCGGATAAATGCTTCTTTTTCTGTTCCAGAGAGGCGTTTCTCTAGGCTGTCGAGTGAGACTGCTGGCACGACTGCTTCTTCATGGGCAATCCAGTTGCCTGAATATGTTAGCCTCAGAGCTTTTCAAGGTCACGCCACGTCGAAAGAAAAAATGCGAGGGTCAAGACTAGGCTAAGTGTTAGCCTAGAGGAAGTTGCCACTTACCACTAGAGTCAAAACACTGCTGCGCCGTCTCACTGCGTCTGACAAATTCACCTGGAGGTGGACCAATCAAGGCGACCATGAGAGCAAGATGTTTGAACGGGTCATGACCGCCTTTGCTATCGAATATATCCCCAAAGAGATGTTCGCCTTCGAAAAGATCCCACATCTTCCAAGCTGTCAGCGCGGCAATAACATAAGGAACAATAGTATAGCGCCTACTAGACCTGCCAGATTCCAAATATCGACGGCACCTCCCCACGGCATCTCGAATATAACTTCCGGGGCCCTGTAAATATGCGGCTGGACGAACGGGCCAGACTCTTGTATCTTTCCAATACGTGCTTCGCCAAAATCACATAAGACCAGGAGTCCGTACTTGCTAGCGGTAGGTCGGCGGAATTTTCGGCTCTTGTAAATGGTACGTGAAGGGTTGATTGTCTTCTGGGGACTGGGAATTTCAGCTTCTGCTTTTGCGAAATCCGCCAGCATGGTGTCGTCGCCTATGCTGAGCATTATGTTGTCGGTCTTGAGATCTGCCTCTGATTAGTGATAGATTCAAGCTTTACGGAGGCAAGAATGAGTACCCGTGTGAACAATCCCAACCTCAGTGTGTAGAAAGTCAAGGACCGTTAGCAGTAGGCTCATTGTCATTTTAAGGATTTCCAGATTAAACGGCCTCGAGTTCAGTCCCATCATCTCAAGAAGCGTCATGTGCATTGGCTGCAATACAAGGCAGCTGTGTTTCCCAACAACTCCATCAATATGAAAGGTATCGTAAAGCTCACGAATGAGTGCTTGGCCCGGGTGCATGGAATCTGTTTGCCCAAGATGCTGCGCAAGACGCTCGTAGATCTTGAGCTCGCGGTCTGTTGCAGTGGGATGCTCTGGCAGCGCAGTCGACACCTTTAATACTTTATATTTACTGTCCCTAACATGGATAGAAACTTGTTAGGACGATATTGCTGGCTGATCGCAGTCAAGAAACGCACTGGAGATCCCGACATAGCCAACTTATTGAATACGCCCCATAGCCGAGCTTGCCCGCGATCTGATATCTGGCATTATACACGTCCCCGATCCTGACTGGATGGTAATCGTCAGGTTTATAATAGGGCAAGGTTTCTTCCTCGATTGACGTTTCTATTGATGGGGCAATCGATGAGAAGCTGGATCTATATCTCGTGGATGGTAGCTTCCATTGAAGGGCATTTCTGCAAGTGGTCGAGCGGCCTGGCCACCTTTTTACTGAAAGACCTGATTTCAGCATCGCCTGCATAGGATGATGATCAAAGAAAGAAGGCAATCACGAACAGAGTCGCAGAGTTGCAGAGCCACGTGATGTCGACGAAGGGAGGGCAGCGGGCTCCCTTTTCGGCTTAGTGCTTACCGAACTGGGTGGAAGAAGCTAACCGTATTGGGAATGATGGTCGGCGATCATTGATGCGACTATATTCCCATCTCGCGATGCGATTGGCCCATATTTACATCCAGATATCGTCCTCTCACTCTTGGATGTGTTGGAGGAAGATCTGTTGGTTTTTGGCCTTGATTACGCGGTATTTGTCTCATTAGTGAGTCATGTCATGATTCAATTCAAGTTTTGGCCCCGGGACCGACCAGGATGAGTACGTGTGCGAAGTGGCCTAGATAAGACCAGAAATATAGGGACTGAAAAGGTATATAAGCCCCCTCCTTCACTGAGTATCTATCCTTCTTCAAAGCTATTCTCAAACAGATTCCATTTACCACAAGCCTTAAACATCTATTCATTGAAGATGAATCCCGTCAACACCAAACCCTACACCCTCCCATCTGATGCCGTCTGGCTCAGTGAGTATTTCTCTTCTCCATCTTGCAATGATTCTTCTAACTCTCCTCTCAACAGTCACCGGCTGCTCTTCAGGCATCGGCCGCGAACTAGCCACCCTCGTCGCATCCAAACCCAACCAGCGCCTAATCGCCACAGCCCGCAACCCATCTACCCTCTCCTACCTCCCCGAGAGCCCCAATGTCCTCAAACTAGCACTCGACGTGACATCCTCCAGCTCCGTGGACTCCGCATTCACCGCAGCTACTCAACATTTCGGAAAAACCATCGACATCGTAGTCAACAACGCCGGGTACTCACTCTCCGGCGATACTGAGTCCGCAACAGAGGACGAAACGCACAAGGAGATGGAGACGCTGTTTTTCGGGACCGCGCGGGTCACGACCCGTGCTATTGGGTTCATGCGTGAGGGCCGGCCTGGGGGTGTCATTTTTAACATCTCCTCGTTGGCGGGGCTGTGTGCGTTCCCTGGTCATGCGTATTACCATGCCGGCAAGTTTGCGGTGGAGGGGTGGTCGGAGTCTGTGGCGAGAGAGATGCACCCGGATTGGAATAGTGAGTTGTTCTTACCCTGAAGAAGTAATCATAGCTAACTGTTAAAGTCAACTTCTGCATCATCGAGCCAAGCGGCGTCAAGACCAACTTCGAGGGCCACAGTAAGGCACGTACGCAACCTCACCCTGCCTATGCCGGGGAAGACATGCCCGCGCGCAAGCTCGAGGCGTATGTGGAAAAGGGCATCAAGGCCGGTGCGGGTGCGGGGATGATTGAACCTGCTGCTGTTGCAGAGGCGATTTTCAACATTGCCAGTCGGGGGGAATGTGTGCCGCTGCGTGTTCCGTTGGGTGGGATTGCGTGGACGATGGCAAAGGCGAAGTTTGAGGGTGCGTTGGGGAGTCTTGAGAAGGTGAAGGAGTTGAGCTTTTTGGGGAAGAATGCCTAGGATGGATTTTAGATTGCAGTTGTGGCGGACTGAGCATATTACGAGTTATAAGAACAGTGTTTATTACTGAAGACAATTCAATTAAGACGGTGCTCAGCTACTCATAGCTATATCTAATATTCGAGATTATAAGCCAGTCTCAAGCGTGGGGGACTAGCTGGTGCTCCTGCGGCCACTTGGTGATAGTAGTCTCATTACCCGTCAAGGTGAAAGACAGCACGACAGACCGCTCATTGTTCAAAGCCAGTTCATACTTTCCAGGGTAGAGAATGCGGTTACCCGACTCGTCAGTACGCGCCAGACTGTCTGGTGTAACAGGGAAGGTCATGGTAGTGGATGAGCCCGGTTGCAGGGTTGCCAGTCGGTCGAAGCCCACCAGCCACTTGTTCGGATGCGGGGCCGGACCGGCGGTTGTGTTTGCAAATGCCAGGGCCGTGTAGTCCGATGCAGTCTTGCCTGTGTTTGTGATCTGGACTGTGAAATTGAGGAATGGCACCTGCTCGATGTGAGCGTAGTCGGGGTGCGGTTTTGTCAGGAGATCATCGATTTTGTATGACGCTCCACTCTTTGTTTTGCCAGACTGAGAAGCATTGAAGGATGTGTAGAAGAGACCGTGGCCGAACTCATACACCGGTGTTCCTGTGTACCAAATGTAGGTCTGACCGGGCTTGTCTCCGCTGGGACGCATGTTCATATCCATGGGAGACAGCTCATTCAGGTAATCGGCTGGGTACTGTGTCACGACAAGACGGCCGGCAGGGGCTCGCTTCCCGGTGATGATGTCGAGCAAGGCTTGACCACCCGACTGTCCTGGGTATCCTCCCCAGATCAGTGAATTGACATTCTTGTTGGATTTCAGCGACGAAGAGTCGACCTGCCCACCGCCCATCTGCAGAACGATCAGTGGCTTGCCGAGTTTGCTCAGCTGACCGATGAGATCCAACTGATTACCCGGCCATGTGATGTTGGAACGATCCATAGCCTCTGCTTCAACGGTGTTGTCAATTCCACCGGCGAAGATGATGGCATCTGATTTGTTTGCTGCTGCAATTGCCTCGGAGAAACCGTCTGTGGTCGTCGATGAAATGTTGGTACCAAATGCGTAGTTCACATTGACGCCTGCTGAATGGAATGCATTCAATGGGCTGGAAAGATATGGAGCTGTGCCAGCATAGTTTCCTTGCAATTGGGTTGTGGCATTGGCCCATGGACCGACCAGCGCGACACTACCGGTTGAATTAGAAAGCGGAAGAGTTCCATCGTTTTTAAGCAGGACGATTCCCTCCACAGCAGCCTCGTACGCGATATTCCAAGCGTCGGTTGAGAGGACATCATTCCAGGTCAGGTTCCGATACTCGGAGTCATCGCCATCAAAGTACCCAAGGCGAACCAGATTCGCGTACAAGCGGATCACTCCCTTTTCAATGTCGGAGCGAGACAACAATCCCTCGTCGTAGGATTCGTCAAAGACGTACTGGTAAGTATCTCCACAGTCAATGTCTGTACCCGCTCTGATAGCGGCGGCGGCGGCAGCAGACTCATTGGCAGCATATCCGTGGGGGTTGAAAACGTCGTACACGGCTCCACAGTCACCGGAAACGAAGCCATCTTCGACAAAGTCCCAGGAGTCGCGGAGGAGAGTTTGAAGGAAGAAGGAATTCGCACAGCCGGGAACCCCGTTGACAGCATTGTACGAACACATGAAGCTGTGTACCTTGGCGTCCCTGGACGCGACAAGGAACTGAGGCATGAAGTATTCGGCCAGATCCTGTTGCGTGATGATCATGTCATTGCCCAAACGCGAATGGTTGTTCCAGTTCTCAATATCGTAGCCTGCGTAGTGTTTGGCGTTGGCGACAAGCTTGAGGCGCTCGGGGTCAACCCCGCCTTGGATACCAGTGATGTACTCGTATGCATAAGCCGAACTGAGACAGTAGGCATCTTCGCCTGGGGTTTCCTGGCCACGACCCCATACCGGGTGTCGGAAGCTGTTGATGTTTGGGGAATACACATTCAGTCCATATCTACCGGCATTGTTAAAAGCCCGACCCTGGGTTGAGATGATGGTCGCGATCTGGTTGATCAAGGTCCGGTTCAAGGCGGACATGGTGACAATGGGCATTGGGAAGGAAGTGGCCCAGCTAAATTCGTCCGCAGAGGTGTAGTTGGCTCTGGCCACACCGTGGAGGGCTTCAGTCCATACCTGGTAAGGTGGCAGACCAAGTCTGGGAACACCCGGTGCATTGTTGCCAGTGTTGTTGACCAGCTCCTCGAAGGTGAAGAGGGAGATCAGATCGGCGGCTCGATCATGGGGGTCGGCGGAGGTGTCGCAGACGAGGGTCTTGCTCAACGGTCCATTTTCACAATCGGGAAAGGTAAAATTGATTTTGGCCTGGGAATGATCGCTGAGGGTTGGCTCAGGATCGGTGTTGTAGTCCTTGGCGAAGGAGGCCGGCAGCAATGCCGCCAGAACGGCCAAAAGAGACGCAACAGCAGGCATGGTGGGTGTTGCCTTTTCACGCTTGGTTGAGCTACATCTTTTTTCCACACGTCCAAAGCCTTGCTTTATATCCATTGATGTCCTGGATAATAGCCCAGGATGCTGTACTCGGTCAACAACCGGAGGTCGATGTGGGAGCACCGTTCCTCCATCTCCCCACGTCCAAGAGCCCAAAGCAGCAAGTCCCGCAGTCGATCAGCAGTAAATGCGGGGATTCTCCGGACATTCCACGATGCACGGCCTTGGATTTAGGCTGAATCAATCAGGCTGTGGTTGACTGACTGATGTTCGGGGTTGAAAGTGACCTGGATTCCCGAGAATTGCTCAGCATGGTGCGGGTGAATAGCTGGAGATGTCCGACACACAATGACGAGTGTCCATTCAGCCTGAAAGAGCATGAGGCTATCCACCACTTGATCTTGCATTAGGTTAATTTATTGAACTCATTAATAATTATCTTGTAGATTCCTATTGAATATTTGAAGAATACTACTACACAGCCACTGCATTCCCCAGTCCTAATCAGTATGTACACATCTAATCATATGACAAGCCGCCCAGGGTAAAGCATACCCGTCCCAGGCATGAGCAATTGAGGCGTCGAGTGTCGCGGCCCTGGTGATTCATATTCAACCCCATGGGCTTTACACCACTCCCGGCTCACCCATTGTTTCGCCCATGTCAGATCCTTATGCTCTTCCAGTATACTAAGCACAACGTTCAGCGATGTGTCTTTCTGAGCCGCCAGAGCCATCATCTCCATGAGATTTTTTATCTCCAGGTCCCTTTTAGCAACTTCCTGCCTTATGGTTTCGCCATTGGCCCCACCTATATTCTTTGCCAAACGTAGCTTCGTCCCCCTTTGCTTTTGCCATTCAGGGTAATGCTTCTTTTCCAGTTCCTTGAGCAGTTGCTGGTGTGCGGCTTCTGCTTCTGCTTCGTGTATTTCGGTTTCTTTGTTTTCTTTCTCGGCTTCCTCAAGCTTCTTCCTGGCCTCGGCGACTACTTTAAATGCATCTTCCATTTGTTTGATCGCCTTTTCCTCCTCTTGAAACTCTTCCACCAAGACATTCAGGGTACCACCAGCATGCAGGTATTCAAGTTCCAAGGTATCCAGGCCAGGAGTCTCAAAGTCAACGGTCTTGCCAACCAGATAACTACCTTGTTTACAACCAATATCATAGTACTGGCCGTTTCCCAGTGAATATAACAACACTGAGACGTCATCACGATGCTTGACAGAGCCAGAAGTGCTCCATGGGTCTTCGCTTGCACGGAACTCTATCATGCAGTTGGATGCTCTCCCCGGAGCCAAATGGATTTGTGCGGTTCCGTCAGTTCCTGGGGTCTCTAGCTGGATACCATACCCGGGATCAAATTCATATTTATTTTCCTCATTGTTTTCCGAGGTAAGATTGATCTCTGCGGAGTAGATTGTCAAACCCACCACGGGATATTTGATGCCGAGTTTCAACTGCTTCGGGATCAGTGACGGAATGATCAGTGGTTTCTACTGCAGAGGGTGTCATACCTCTGGCCGAATCCTGTTTCCAGATTCTTTGGGGACTATCATATTCCTCGGGTCTGTGATGGGAACCTGAAACGCTGACAACTTGAATCTTTTGGCCAAAAACTCAAGATCCTCCTCATCATCAGGTATATCTTCATCTTTGATGAAGCGCAAGCGTCTAACCCCCCCTTCATTGCCCGAGGCCTTGGCAGGAGAATCTGATCCGGCAGAACTTGGTCCTGAAATATTTAAAGTTCTATGAGCCTCATACTTGATTCAGTCTATGCTTGATTGGAGGACTCACCCTTTGTGTCCACACAGATCGTATCCAAAGCGACGAACAAAGAATGATCTTTGTCTGGATAGATGCTGAGAATGCTTCGAACAAGATTTGGAATATCAGCATAGCCTGGCAGCTTTCCAATATGATCTATAAGGCTAACAAGCTTTGATTTCTATGTTATAGAAGGTTAGTTTCATAATAGAAGCAATGAGGAGTCAGTTGGCTTTTTTCTCACCTGCATCACACGCCAGTTATAGAAGGATGCAACAGTAGAGCACCACTGAGGAGGACTATAGAAAGAGGACTTAGTTAGATAGGATCATTAGAGGATGATAGGGCACATACTTATTGCAAAGAGTGGTGTCCCCTCCATCTGCGCACCAGCTGATTGTTTGCGTAAATGAGGTCTTTTTCTCCGTATCTTGATGCTTCTCAATCTTCTCATGGCTGACATCTGTATTGGCCTGGAATCCATAACCTGAAAGAGATATATTGGCTGCAGCTTTGAAGCCTGTCATCTTCTCTGACAGAGTCGATCCCGCCACCGAGTCGGATTCCTCCGATGAAAATAACCGACCACCCAGATAGATTTCAGGTGCGAAGAATTTACCTAAAATATTAGAAAATGAAAATTCCCAATAGGGGGAAGGCTTGTTGCATTTGGCTTGACATACCGTATTTCTGGTGGAAATGATCCAGCGCTGCCTGTGTACGTTCTTTTCGAAGCCTTTCAATATCTTCTTCACATTCTGGGCTCAACTCGAGCTGGCCTTCATCCAATTGTAATTTAACCCGCGGATACTTTATCCCCTTCCGCGTTAGCAGCAGGCCCCAGTGATGATTCTGTATACAATGCCACTTACGTTGTACGTAACATGCAGATGCTTCTTATCAGTAGCGTCAGTATGGGCCGTGGCTGTTTTCTCAGTGCTTCTGAAGCCCGCCGATGCACTGCCGGTCACAGGCCCTATTATACCTCCTCTGCATCTTGATTAATGTCTTTTTCTTTATTTCTCCCTTTTAAGTTTGCGACTTACATGCCTGCGCTGACCGCGGTTTCAGTAAAACCACTATCAGCAGATGCCTTTTCTTGCGAATTTTGTGTTTCGAATATTTCTATGTTTGTCTTGTCGTTGATGTGGAATCGGGGGATGCGGAATTGGGTTTCCTGTTCTGATAAGCATTTCTTCTTATACAGGAACGAAGGATCTCACCTCATTGCCATCATTGCCATCATCGCCATCATCAATGGGGTCGCCGGTAGATTCCCCACCGAAAGTGATGTCATAGGCAGCAATTGGTCTTGGTTTAATCGCAAAGGCTGTAAAGCACTTGTTAATCAAGCACATGCCGAAGCGTATAGGTTGAACATACCTGGATAGTAGGCTTTCCTGGACGGAATGGGCTCGGTCACTGATGGAACGATGACGGTTTTGCCATTGGGCAAAGTGACTTCTTTTGGAACCTCTTCGCGGGGATGGACACCACACAGCAGGCTGTTGGTGCGCATGACAATGCCCCAGTGCTTCTCGGACATATCTGCCGGATGCCTAGAGGGCGCATAAGCAGAGGAACAGATGGATGGGTACTGCTAGTCTCTTACACAACTTTTTCCATGCTGGTCGATGCTTGCCAGTCGCGAGAATTATATCTGCTTTTCAATTTCTGGAGCTCAGCATCTTTCAATTCAGGGGTTTCCGACTGAGAAAAGAGTGAATTAGCCACTGCTCCTTGGGTATCAAAGTTGAAAGACAAACAGGTGTGGTATCAACTCCTTTGGCCAGATCCTCCTTGACCCGATCGGGTACGGTGCGCGAGTCGTCGGTTAATCGGCGGTTTTTGATGTAGACATTGATCGTGTCCTATGGAACTGTCAATTGCTGGACTTCATCATTCTGATCCAAGGCTCGAGAGCTGACCTTTCCTGCTTGATCGGTAAGGTCCAAATAGCTTTTCCCCGTTTGGTCGCCATTGACTTCGGCTCCTTCTTTGGTGCAGAAAGACTGCGCAGCGCTGCGGTGCAGGATATCCTAGTCAGCTCCAGATCGCAGCCTCAAGCAAGATATGCGCCTACTAGGATTTGCCCAGAATTCCCTTTTTAATCATGCCATTCCGAAGACTGCTGAGCTTTCCGCTTAGGAAATCTTTCTTCTTGAGCGTGAAGGCGGACGAGCTTTTTGGTTCTTTCGTTGTGTTTTTGTACACCTTATGAAGAGTTACATTAACTTCATCTTCTTTCTCTTTATCTGGTTATATAATCAGTTTAGTATTTTCCTTGTATCCAGTTATAGATATAAGATGAACTTACCAGGCTTTGTTCCTTCAGGTTTCGTTCCATCAGGTTTCGTTCCATCAGGCTTTGTTCCATCAGGCTTTGTTCCATCAGGCTTTGTTCCATCAGGCTTTGTTCCATCAGGCTTTGTTCCATCAGGCTTTGTTCC